CGGTCTCAGACCCTCCGGGTTCAGCACACTACATGGCGCCGGAGTCGGATGAGTACGAGGCCGGTCTGACGGTGATCGGCGAATGCGACACGGTGGAGTCGTTCTGCCGTACTTCAATTGGCTGAAGCCGCCGTCGAAGCTGGAGCGGAACAGCAACTACCACCTGTTCAAATCGGGCATCAAGCCGATGTGGGAGGACGACGCGAACGCGAACGGTGGCAAGTGGGTGTTGACGATGAAGAACAACCCAGCGCTGCTCGACCGGTGCTGGTCGTGGCTCGCGATGGCGCTCGTGGGTGAAGACCTGGACGAGGGCGACGAGATTTGCGGGCGGTGGTCAGCCTGCGGAGCAAGGTGGACCGGATACAGCTTTGGACGCGGACGAAGGAGGATGTGGAGAAGATCAACGGGATCGCGCGCAAGATGGTGAAGCTGCTCGACGTCTCGGAGGCGGACGGGATTGGACTCGAGTTCCAGGTGGGTGTATGCGTTCTGTCGCTAATGCAGCATGGATTGACGTCCCCCCGCTCGCTTGGGTGCAGTACAACAACGACGACCGGCCGGTAGCAAACAAGTTTTTGACGATACAGGCGGTCCCTCAGACCTCATATCGGACGTCGTTCCACGGCAAGCCGCCAGGGTTCAGCCCCGTCACAAGCCCTGGCGAAGGCCCGCAAATTGGTGGCCCGGGCCCAGGCGGCGCCTTCGCGGGCTTTGGCGTCGGCGGTGGAGGGGTCCTGGGCTCCGGCTGGAGGGGCAAGCGGTAAGCGTCGGACGTTCGGCGTGCCAGCCGCGCGTGTATTGGGCGGTGGAAATGGAAGAAGCAGCGAACACGAGTGTGCGTACGGAGGATGTAAGTCAGGAAAAGGTGCGGCGGGGATACACATGGTGTGTGTGCGCGTTCCATCTTGCATCTCGCGTCCGCTTCACACGCATGGCGTTGGTGGTCTCTTTGGCGGCGGGCAGCGATTGCTTAGTCTCATGGCGAGTATGAATAATTCACGGGGCGAAACCTGACGAGATGTATACGCTACTGTATTGCGGTCCAACATCATATTTATTAGACTGTACTGTAGCATGAGCGCAACAGAGATACTGGTTTTTGGTTGACCCTATGGCAGTAATAAGTATACAGTACTTCTCGCATCGCCAGTCCTTCGAATCTCAGCTCGGTCCCATGACTTAAGGGAGCGCCCGTGGCCCAGGAGGTGCGACCGCTAGACGCCAAACACCTTGTCTTTCGCCATCTCTCGACTTCGCCCAGAACCACGATCGGCAGCAGCGTCGAGACCGGCCATCACACAATATTTAGGCAGCTTGTGTTTGGCTCCGAGCACACAGCCGAAGGACGGTATTGTGAGAACAGGTCAAGCCATTGTCTTTCTAGCGCCCGGGGCCACGAACAATGGGGGAGCATGCGGCAAGGTGCGTGCACATCCGCCCATCGAAATTTACGCGGCCTCAATTTCGTACGGTCCGCGCCTCGTTTCAGACCTCGGCGTACAAAAGCGCGGCCCTTCCGAGGCCACTTCCCCCATCCTGCCCGCCTCCGCGCGTGCTCCGCTGTCTTCTCTCTCTCGCTCTCTCCTCCACGCTCTCTAGGATCCTCGACTCGTCTCCCGCTCTCGGCTTCCTGACCTGACCTCACGAGCCTTCCTACTCACGCCGCGCCCCATTCTCCCAATGTTGTCACCTCTTCTCTTGCTCGCCGCCATGCCGCTGGCCTCGGTGTGGGCTGCGCCTATGTGCTCCCTTAAGCCCCCTAAGTCTGCCTCCGCTTCCGCTGCGTCCTCCACCGGCACCGCGTCCACCGGCAACAACGCCTCCGGCTCGTCCAACGGGACCCTCCCCGACGACGTCGTCGCGTCTACCTGGTACGCCGGTTGGCACGGGACCGACTTCCCCCCGGACCAGCTCAGCTGGTCCAAGTACACCTCGGTCACCTACTCGTTCGCGTGAGTCTCACATTTGTGCAGTCGCTGCATGTGCGGCACTGACTGTATGCGCAGTGAGACGACCAACGATGTGAACACGCTCTCCCTCGAGGGCTCGAACCCGGACTTGCTCCCTACATTCGTCGGATTGGCGCACCAGAACGTGAGTTTCTCTTCTAGTTCGCGTTTCGCCGTCTCCGAATGGGCTTGTCCTGGGGTTTCGTGTGGGCGGAATACCGCGCGTGCTTCATCCCTGTCGTCGCTCGGAGAATAATGCGAAGGAGTACTTGCACTTTTATCTGCGGATTGCTCACCAATTGCCACAGGGTGTGAAGGCAATGCTCACCGTCGGTGGTTGGTCTGGCTCTCAGTACTTCTCCACCGCCGTGGCTACCGAGGCCAATCGGACCGCATTCGTCAAGACCTGCACGGATCTCATCTCCAAGTACAACCTGGATGGGCTCGATTTCGACTGGGAGTATCCCAACAAGCAGGGCGTGGGCTGCAACACCATCGACGCCGACGACAGCGCCAACTTCCTGTCCTTCCTCCAGGCCCTCCGTACTGAGGTCGGTCAGAACTTCACCATCTCCGCCGCCGCGGGTATCACCCCCTTCGCTGGGACGGACGGCAGCCCGATGTCAGACGTCTCCGCGTTCGCCGAAGTCCTCGACTGGGTCGCGATCATGAACTACGACATCTGGGGTTCCTGGTCAACTTCCGCCGGGCCCAACGCCCCCCTCAACGACACCTGCGCGCCGGCCGCGGATCAACAGGGCTCCGCCGTCTCCGCCGTTGCCGCATGGACCAAAGCTGGCTTCCCCGCTTCACAGCTCGTGCTCGGTGTCGCTTCCTACGGTCATTCCTTCGCCGTCTCCGCATCTAACGCGTTCGCCGGCGCGGACGACACCACCCTCGCCTCCTACCCCGCCTTCGATGCAAGCTCCCAGCCGCTCGGCGACGAGTGGGACGAGGTCGCCCCTGCGGGCAAGGACCAGTGCGGTAACGCGACTCCCGGCGGGCCGTCCGGCATCTGGGACTTCTTCGGCCTCATCGACGGCGGGCTGCTCACCGCCAACGGCACCGCGGCGGACGGCGTCCCGTACCGGTACGACGAGTGCTCGCAGACGCCGTACGTCTACGACGTGAGCCGCAACGCGCTGATCGCGTACGACGACACGACCTCGTTCGCGGCGAAGGGCAATTTCATCAACAACATGGGCATGCTCGGCTTCGCGATGTGGGAGGCCGCGGGCGACAAGGACGACCTCCTCCTCGACGCGATCTCGGACGCGATGGGCATCGTCGACGTGAGTTGCTGATCGATCGACTCCGTTCGTTTCGCGTTTTGCCTTTGTGTCCACTCCCCCTACCCCCCTATCTTATTTTCTTGTTCATGCGTTGTGCCAAGCGCCCCTAGCGGGTATTGGTGTTTATGGGTTTCACGAGTGTTTGACACGCCCTTCATGACCCCCTCACGCATTACCTACTGTATCGCTACACGCACCCTCGATCGCTGTTGCTCCCCCTCATTGGCGTATGTTGTATTGCTATCGGTATTGACCGTGCTCGACGCACAGGCATAGATTAATGTATATCAACCCGATCTCCGCGCGCCCCGAGTTGCGCGCGGCGTTGCTCTCATTCCAGGCTATGTCCGATGGCCAAGACACGATCTACCACGCAAGCAATCATGATATCGCCCGTCTCGCTGGACGATGGGCACGCTCGCCTCGAGCGGGGCTTGGAAGGTGTCCCTATTTGAACGTTGATGGATACCGAAGCCAGGTGCTCATGGTTTACACGCTGTTTAATTATCTTTGTAGCCATCTCCGTGTATTATCAAGAAGTGTGGATCCGCACTCGCGAGCGGATGTCCATGCTGGCAGCGGGCGGATCTCAGTCACGTTCGACCAGAGGCAAACGAGCCTTACCACAAACTTCCGTGCCGTCTCCGAGACCCTGCAGCAGAGGCCGAACTTAAGCACGTCAGGCTGCATGGTGGCCTGGGGTGTATGGAGGTCGCAACGTGGACCCGCGTTCCTGCTCCTTCGTGGTGAGTGGGAGCACTTACCTCCGTGTTTGCTTCCTGAACTGACGACGATGCACGTATCCTCGTTTCTGACGTCCTATGTCGTTAGTGTGGGTGCTCATTGTTGGCCTTTTTGTTACAGAGCTTCGCTGGCCTGAGTCGTGTTCAACAGATTAGACTCCAAGATGGAGTTCTGGAGGGTAGACGCCAATGTAATGAAGCTCGTGCACGGATGGTCACAGCGGGGAAAGCCAGTAGTGACGGAGATTCCACGTTAGTCGCGTTTGCACGGGACAACGGGACGGTCTCGTTCCATAGCATCAAGGAGTTACGTTCAACCTGAAGTGTAGAGATTAAAAGCGGTAGATACGCAGACGTCCTCACATGCGGGTGGCTTGGGATTCTTCTGTAAGACAAGGTCGAGGGCGCATGTTCACTTGGAATCGATGACAATGCGGTGGTGGGAAGGTTATACAAGGCACATTCGTGGAAAATGGAAAACATGTCGATCGATTAGGTCCAAGACATCTAGACAGCGACCCTATGTACGCAGCCACGCCGTCTTCGCCAGCTTTTTCTGCTTTTTCTGTTCCTTGAACCGATCCTTCGCCCTCGAATCAGTACACTGCAGACGACGGCTACCGCAGCCCCAACGGGAGACTCACCAGGTCCTTCTTGGATGGCCGCTTCCGCTTTTTGCTTTCCTCCTCCTGTGCCTCCTCGAGCTTGCGTTGCTCAACCTCCTGCTCCCACGCATTCACGTCGAAGTAGAACTCGCTCATCCGCTTCGCGCGCTCATACTCGGACAGGTGCGTCGGGTCCCGGCCGTCTGGGCGCGTGAACGCCCCCGTGCGGGAGTTAAACTTGGCCGTGTACGTGCCCGCCCCAGGCGCGCTGCCCGCCGAGGCGAGGGACGGGTCGAGGTGGGCGAGTGCGGGATCGATGCCCTGTGCGGCCGCGGCGGCGTAGATGTCGAAGCCACCTGCGGCCACGGCCGACGACGACGCACCAGCGGTCTCGGCGGTGTCTTGCGCGACGGTGACGGTAGAGGGCCCCGCTTCCGCGGAGGGCTGGAGCGGGTTCGTCCAGGTGGTCTCGTGCGTTACCGAGTTGTAGAAGTAGTACATGTTGTGGGCTGGCGACCAGACCGCCTGCCAGTTCTGGGGCGACGGGGTGGTAGAGCTTGAGGAGGACGCAGATTCGGGAACATCAGCAGGAGTGGTGGTGGAGGTGGGCGCGGGGGAACTGGAGGGGGCCGCGTCCTCGGTGTCGGGTGTATGCGTTTCAGGCGAGTCCTGGAAGGTGACCTGGAGAGTAGGTTCCGAGTCTTCGTGCTGAGACGGCGAGCGAGGTGCGGGGGACGCGGGGGCAGGGACGGGGGACGGTGAACGGGACATGGTCGAGGGTAGGGAGCAAGGCGCTTCGGAGCCGCCGTAGGCCTTGGCATCGCTTTACGACGCGCCGGCGACCAGGCCGTCCTTGTGCCTTCCACCCTCTGCCCGCCACCTTGCCATCGACCCTGCCTGTGCATCCTGCTTCTCACAGCGACGACAGACTCTGCTGAACGCCGCGCTCAGATCCTTGAAGAGCGGCCCCGCCTGGAACTAGAAGGTACATCCAGGTACAGGTGCGCACGACCGCCGCGGCTCCTGCGCAAGACGCTGACCCCGCTCGCTGCAGCAGACGACGGCGATACCCCATACACCAGCGTTCACAGCCCGATCGCCCCGACGATGTCGTCCGACATGGCCTCCCCAGACCGCTCGAGCCACATCCTGCTGCCCCCGCCACTCCGCTCGGCGATGAAGAGTAGGCCAAACACCCCCAACAATCAGGGGTCATCCTCCTCCCCGTCCCCGCTCTTCTCGCCCCCCATCTCCGCCCTCCCACTCTCTCCCGCGGTCGCGACGACCTCCCGGGAAAGCGCCAGCTCCGTCTCGTACACCACCCCCTCCTCCCCCTATAGCTCCACCCACCCGTCCACGTCCGCGGTCGTGGTCGCGTCCCCGAACATGTCCAGCGTCCCGCTTGTTGCTGCGCAGGGCTACACGCACAAGGTCTCCTTCGATACCCTTGAGAACCCGCAGGCGAGCATGTTTTCCTACACACTCCACGTCCAGAGCGAGGGCTACGCCCGCACACGCAGCACGCGCATCTTCCTCTGCGCCTCGAGCCCGGACGAGAGCGGAACCCAGGCGCTGGAGTGGTGCCTCGACGGCCTCGTCCAGGACGGCGACGAGCTCGTCGTCTTCCGCGGCATCGACTCGGACGACTTCGGTGCGTCCATTTCAGCTTCACTTGGTTTTCTCGTCTTTGTGGCGTCTTCATTGTCCTCTTCCCTGTTCCTGACGCGCATCATTGGCTGCAGCGGACAAGGACCACGACCTTTACCGCGACGACGCGCGCGAGCTCATGCGCTCCATCCAGGAGAAGTGCGTCGAGTACGACCCGGACCGGAAGCTCTCCATCATCGTCGAGTACATCGCCGGCAAGGTCACCCAGACCATCGACCGGCTGATCGCGCTTTACCGACCTGACTCACTCGTCGTCGGCACCCGCGGCCAGCGGAGCGTCATGTCCGCCTGGGCGGGCGCGTTTGGGGCCCCGGGCGTGGGCAGCGTGTCAAAGTGAGTCGGTCGTCTGATCATTCGTCCTCCCCGTGGATCCCGACCGTTGACCATGCTCTTCGCGCTAGATACTGCCTCAGCCACTCCCCCGTCCCAGTCATCGTCATCCGCCCCGAGAGCAAGGTGCGGAAAACGATGGCCAAGCGCCGCGCCGATCCCAAGCGCGGCAAGCACTTTGACGAGTACGTGTACTGAGGGCCGTTGTGAATAGAAACTGACACAAGTATTGCAGTGCGAAACTGAAACCGCCGACCAACGGCAGCCTATCCGTACCGATGTTCTCGCCCCTCACTCGATAATGCTCACGGTGGCCACAGCCCCTCCCGCTTGGTCCCCGCGCACCTCACACCTTTCCGTTTGTACAATCCGACACTCAAGTACTATCATGTATGGGTTAATCGCTGACTATTTAGCTATATGGTGGTGTTGTACTGTAACTATGCCAATGACTGTAATTTATACATTGGCACACATCCTCGAACCATGCCAGCCTAGACGAGTGAGTGGGGATTCGCGCTTGTGTACAGGTTGAGAACGTGTGTAGTGCACCAGTCCCTGTTGAAACCTTGACATTTTCAAGAGCAGACCACAATAGCACGGAAAAGGGTTGACGTAGCGTATCCATCCTACAATCAGGCCCGTATCACTTTAAATAAAGAGTCAAGGCGCTCCAACGTCCACCGTCGCTCGACATTCCGTCCACGGCGGGCCATCTTCTCCAGTGCCGCCCTAACATGGGGCACGAGCTCCGTGTAGGGCATCCGGTGCAGCTCCGGGCTGATCCTGCACACGTACGTCCAGTCTGCACGGCGCACGGAAGGGCACATGAGCACGCAGCACGCAGAGAAGGCACAGAGAGCGACGCACCGGCCAAGACCCATCGGTGCCCCGCGTGCTCCTCGTCGAAGATCAGACGCGGCACGTCGTCGGTCCCGTTCACGACGTCCGCCCCGCGCGTGACGACGAGCGCGCACGCGGTCTTGAGCCGCCGGAGGGCGTCCTGCTGGTAGAACCGGACGCCAAGAAGCTTGTGCACGACGGACGCGAGCGGCATGTAGACCACGCTGGGGTTGTCGGCATCCTCGCGCGGGGCGTTCGGGCTGATAAGGTGGGACGATAGTGGTTTGTAGAGGAGGCCGGTGGGGATGGCCTTCATCGTGAACGCGGGGGTGGTGAAGGACGGAAAGTCCTCTACAATGCGGTCGCGGTTGGGATGTCGCAAGAGGGGGTGGGAGGGGTCGCACACCGACGAGGGTTTGGGCGGCGTACGGTCGTAGGCCCATCTCCCTAGCTCTCCGGGGCTTCTTCTTCTAAACTGTGGGTTATGCTGGGAAGGACGTGCAGAACGTGGGCGGAGAGGACAGGACGTACGCTCACAGAGAGCCTAGCTGGGGGCAGGTTCGCGAGTTCAGCAAGCCTCGTCGTCATTACCACAAGCCTTGTTTGTCTCCGAGTACGACATTGGCGGCCAGGACAATTATTTGAGGTCCAGGCAAGTTGGAGGATGAATACAAGACAAGGTGTGGCACGACAGACTTGCGCTTGCGTGTGACATTACTCTGCATAAGTAGACCGTAGTGACCCATGTCACAACCGCATGCAAGCGCATCTACTAGAGCGCTAATTATAACGCCTCGTCTCTCCTTCGATGCCCGCACGGATGGCCGCTTTGTAACCTCGCTCTCTGCTCACGGGTTCAAGCATAGGCAGGGCTTGCAGTGAATGCGGTGATCACTTGAGTACCCTTCAGCACATTCACCGCTGAAGAGTAAGGCTACACAAAAGGCGCTGATGTCGAGTGCCTTCTTGGCCATTCGTGATGAACGGGAGCACTCAGATATGTCCACTTCCTCTGCCGTTATTGTGGGTGCTCAAGCGCTCATCGTGAGTCTTTTTGTTACAGCCAGGTTTCAACAGCTCCGCCCGCTGGCGTCGATGCTTCGCGCTCAAGACCAATCGTGCTCGGAGATACTATGAACGCCTACATATGCCACCGTTTATTGTGCGCCATTGTAGACGATGAATGGCAGAACAGCTATGGAACTTAGTTTCCTCCTCACGGACACAACGCACCGCACCGTGCCCGACATTTGGATGCTCTCGGAAACAGTAACTTCATCCCCGTATTCGCGACCGGAACTATCCTCTCACCATCACCCCGCTCAGATGCCGCTTTCACTAAGAACTCTAGAAGGGGTTCTTTATAAGACCCAACATAATTCTTTCTGCCCTCCAAGATGCCTCTCTTCTCCCTCTCAATCCCTGTCGTCCTCACAACGTGCGGGACGCTGCTCCGAGGAGCTGCCGGCACCGTGTTCTACCGTCTCTTTCTCCACCCGTTGGCGCGCTTTCCGGGACCCAAGCTTGCCGCGGCGACATGGTGGTACATGACCTATTATGAAGTCTTCAAGGGTGGTGCATTCGTCGACCATCTCTGGGTGGTCCATGAGCGATATGGTACGTATCTTGCCTTCACTCGCGGCGTGTACTCACGCGCACTTTCAGGCCCTGTGGTCCGCGTTGGTCCAAATCAAGTACGTTTTGCACATATATACACTCCCCCCCCACCAACCACCTGTGTATCTAGCCACACTTCAACAGTCCCGAGGCGTACGATTACATCTACACCCGCGGCTCGCAGTTTACCAAGGACCCACGGACATACAAAGCTTTCCATCAGGATGACGCGTCGTTGTGCATCATCGACCAGCGCGAGATCAAGACTCGACGGGACATCCTGAAGCCGCTCTTCTCGCGGCGGGAAATCCTCCGGCTCGAACATGTCATACAGGCAAAGGTACGTGCACGCGTCGTCATTCCCTGCGTTTCGGCGTTCAAGACGCTCCGTCTCCGCGCAGGTCGACAAGTTGCTCGCCAAGCTTGTGGCCTATGCCAACTCGCATACGCCTGTGAACATGCGCCTGGCGTGCCGGTCCACAGCGCAGGAGCCTATTTTCGACTACTGTTTCGCGAGCGACGAGGACTTCATCTCCGCGCCTGGCTTCGCGCACAAGGCTGTTGTCGATGCTGAGGCGGCCGCCCCTTTTTTCCTCCTCCTGGTTCACTTCCCGTGGATCTTCTGGGTCATCGTCTATGGCTCAAAGCTCGCCGCGGCGCTCCGGGGGAACCGCACGGGGGCAATCCATAATTCATCAAACAAGCTCAAGGAGAAGATCGACGATATGCTGAGGGACCCATCGCTCCTAGAGGATGAAGACCAAGAGACGGTCTTCCACCACTTGATGAAGCCACACCCGGAGAAGGGCCAGTACGAGATTCCGCCGGTGAAGACACTGTTCGAGGAGGCGGTCACGCTCGTCGTCGCGGGCAGTGAGTTATGTCTGCAGTGACCCGGCAGTCTATACGAGATTGAAGGAGGAGCTGCGGGTGGCGTGGCCAGACATTGACACACCTGTGCACCTGGAGGTGCTCGAGAAGCTGCCTTACTTGGTCCGTACCTTCGACTCTCATCCGTATCGTGACGCTGAGTTCCACGGCGGGCCGTTGCTTCAGACCGCAGTCATTAAAGAGACGATGCAGCTCGTGCATGGCGTGGTGTACCCTCTGCCTCGCATAGTCGGGCCCACCGACACTGTTATTGGAAGCTTCAAGGTCCCTGCCGGTGTGAGTGCTTTTATCAACGTTCTCACCGTGCATGTTCAAGGTCTCTGCAGACAGCGGCGGCGATGGGCCCGTCGTTTGTACACCTCAACCCGGTCATCTTCCCCGACCCTAGCGCCTTTAAGCCAGAGCGTTGGATGAACAAGGACGACGTCAGCATCGATCATCACCTCGTTCCCTTCTCCAAAGGTCCTCGAATTTTTCTAGGGATGGCGTACGTTGCGAATTGGTTCACTGGGACCTATACTAATCCGTCTCAAAGGCTCGGATGAGCCGAACTATACCTCATGCTTGGCTGCATATTCCGCAAGATGGATTTGTATAAGACAAGTTACGTTACACGCCTGGGTTGCGTCGGCGTGTCTGACATGAATCCGACTTGCAGAATGGAGGACATGACCTATTCGTGTCAATTCACTCCTGTGTACAACCAAGCTCCTCACTGCAGGCTCAAACCCTGCATGGATTGAACACGGGACGAGATGTTGCGCTCCTCGGAGTTACTCGTGTGTAAATGGCACAATCGCTTTCACCTCCCGTCCATGTATCTACTTGTCTTATCGTGCGGGTCTAAGAAGCTCGAGCCAGTTCAATTCTCTAACCCGGAGGTAGAACAATGTAAAGATCCGAAACCAGTGATGATCGCGGGATATCCACATCGTGAGTCGACAACGAAGCTGAAAAGTTGAACACATGGCACCTTCATCAACTATGAGTTTGCCTTGGCCCGCTCGTACGTATCTCACCAAACTCTCCATTTCTCCCAGGGTTCAATCCCACCTAACGCCACGTGTGACGTCATTGACGGCAGTCTGATATATATGCTGCAGTTTTGCTGCGTGCTTTGTGGCACAACGGCCTTGTGGCGTTCTGTAACCTCTGTCCTTAGGTCATCATGTCCATTCGGCCCGCTCTCCTCGGAACCCTCGCCGCCTCGGCTATTCTGGGGGCGACCTACATCACACTCCATTCCACAAACGGCACCTTACACACGCGCCCGTGAGCACCTTCTCTCCGACTCCCTTTGTGGTAGCGTTGACTGTCGCTCACAGGTATCCCACACCCCTGCACCTCGCCCGTCTGGGATATAGGCCCCCTCCCCGAGGTCGCTCAGTACAGCGAAACTTCCAAGCGCTACGGCCTCGCCGCCGACGACGCCCGGGCCGCGGCGAGATGTGTTCCTCCATCACTGCAGCCCAGGGAAGCGCACAGTGAGTTCGAATTCGTGACCACGCCCGAGCGAAGACGGAACACGAGCCCCAGACACAATATTTGCGTGTGTTCTAGCGCACTTCACTTCGTGACTTCTGGTGCAGTACACGCGCTTCAGGATGACTGTGTCGCTGCCTCTGGTTCTACGTGTGGTGTCCGTAGAAACTGCTCTCAGGCTCGTGTCCAGTTCCACACGCCTACAGTTCCCAAAGCACGCGCCCGAGCTATCTCACTCGGCGGCGGCCGCCATGACCTCGACAGCATTGCGCTCATGCGCGCGATACACCTCCCTCCAATCCTGGCATCGCTTCGGCCCGTTCCACCGGACTATGGGCCCTGGTCTGTCGTGAACGGGGAGAGCGCGACGCTCCGTCGGCACAGCGTGGTCTGGCGGAGAAACTCGAGGCACCCCGTCGCGACGGAGGCGTCCTCGCGGTCGCGTCACGCCCGGCGAATGCGGTTGAGGCAGTGTAGCTGCCTAAACATCGAGACCGCGTGCCACGGGACAAGGTCTAGGGCGGAGGAAGATGGCGAGGCGACTTGCACGGCCCCGCGGCCGCTCTGCCTAGTTCAGCTGTATTGCGAGAAGAGGCAAGCTCAAAAGTTTGACCGTATCAGCTTTGGCCGTGAGTACGAGGGTGACGAGGGGAGCGGCGAAACAAGTACCTTCAACCGAGACGACTCCGCACGTGGAACGGAGGAAGACTGGTCATGTTGAACGACTTCCAAGCTATCATGTTAAGGCCGTGCTGTCATCTGTCAGTATGTCTCGTACGACGCGCGATGCACTTATGTATATGAATTCTGCTCACATCAACTTTTCAGTGACAGCTCCAGCGTTCCATTGGGGTTGGCATAATGAGGCTGGTACCTTGAAGAGTCGTAAGTGAGGCGTGACGAAGGCGCGAATGGTCACGGTCATGTGAAACGCACGACGCGTAATTTCGTGACTCATCGCGCTAGTAACGTCGACGCGCGCGTCTTGGTGGGGTCGCATTCTCTTCCGTATCTTTATTCTTTCAGCCTCGAAAATGCCTCGCGCTAGCCCCTCTGTGAGTAGCCCTGGCTCCAACGCGACACTACTTGTAGATTGAGATTGTTGTTGTTCCAGGCGGCAGAGGCGGCAACCACTACCACCGCCTCGGTGCAAGAAGAAGAGAAATTTTTCATCTGTTTTGGAGACTTGGAAATAGATGAAGAGGAGGTGAGATGCGCGGCACGAGAAGGTAAAGACCCGTCAAAGGATATTCGGGTAAGTCTCCTTTGATGCGGCGAATTGGCGAGCGCGAGCTCGGGGCGCCGACTCCATACATGTTCAGGGCGACCTCCAGAAGATCATCGACAACGAGCTCGACTTCTCGGTTCTTTCTCGTTTCATAAGTCGTGGTCGGAGCAAGAATTTCCAATCCCCTTCTCACCATCGACGACTTCGGTATCGTCGGACTGCCCCTCGGCGCACGGGACGCCGTCGCAATCAAGAAGCACGCTGCGAAAGTCTCCGGAGTCGGCAAGGCCAAGAAGACCGGTGTAGACAAGACGACGCGGAATCATGGGAGATAGATGGTTCCAAGGTATGTGTTCGTCTTTCCATAGATTCTGTATCTGAGTTGCGTTCTGGTGTACTAGGTCCACTTTCGCAGCGCGGCTTGGAAACCGTTCATGGATAAACTGGTTCGCGACGTATGTGAGCCTTGGAGTCACTTCCATACCAGCAGACCTCGATCCGAGCTTTACAAGTTGATGTTGTACGAAAAGGGTCGCAGTGAGTGGCGTGAAGCTTTCGCGGTGCTATAACTGAGGTGTGCTCTCCTCTCGCAGATTCCTTCCGCAGTCGAGTAGTAACACGTTATTCGTCTAATCTGCTCCGACGATATCGCTCAGACGGAGAAGGTGAACGGCATGTTCGCAACAATCGTCGTCGTCTTGCCCTCGAGTTCTCAGGTGGTGCGGTTCGAGTCTCGCATGGAGGGAGTCCGAAACGTACGAAATTCCACACAGCCTGGCCGGACTGACGGCACTCGCCTGGTACACCGATATGGAGTACGAGGTCGAGCCCATCACATCCGGATACCGACTCGCCCTCTCCTTCAACCTTATTCATACGACGAACGCCGTCGACCTTCGCTACCAGCTATGCCGGACTCAGCCGCGCCTCGAGCATATCCTCCTCTCATGGAAGCAGACGAGGAGAAGGGTCCGGAGAAGCTCGTTTGTCTCCTCGATCATCAGTACTCCCCGCAATATCGCGGCAGTGGTCTCGAGGGATCGGACGCGCACCTCGTGGACTGCTTCAGGAGGTCGGCGGCCCGCTTGGGTTCTGCTCGGTTCGTCAATCTCAAGATCGAACGGCGCGGGTCCCTGGAGATTAACGGCGGCCTGTAGATACTCCGACGTCGGGGAGGGTGGGGCCGCCGCGATCTCAGGTGCTATCACGATGACGGCGAAGATGAAGACTACAGAGAGACGATATGGGATGGGAGAGATCTACGAGACGGACATAGAGTCACCAGCTGGTCGACACCAACGGCGATCAAATCCGAGAGGAACCCCTTACCTTCGACGAGCAGACTGAAAGCATCCCGATAGCTCTACACGCCATGTCTCGACGGTGAACACGTAAACAGTCATGTGTGAGTTGTCTGTCTTTGGTCCGCCGTTCATACGACTGATGGTTCAACGTGTGGTGAAAGTGTGGAGGTTCTATTGAGCGGGCGAGTTCCGTCATTTCTGCAAGGTCACTCCGCGATTGACCGCCTGAGTCTGTTCCAGTGTATCATCGTACGCTGCTCGTCGTATGGCCCTTTTGGGCCATGGAGTCGATGCTTGGAGAAGATAAAGCCCATGACTACGCCTGCACGGTGCTCAGCGACTGTGAAAACTCAACGCCGACAGCGGCCCAACTTCAGATGACCGAAATGCTCTATGATGACCAGCAAAGTTCAGATTCGGTGGATGCGCTGTCATTTGTGGCAACTTGTGGGCCGCCAGTCGATCTGGTTGAGGATGGCGAAAGCCTGTGGTGATACGCCGTTGGTGAGCCTAGAGCACGTCAAAGATGCTATCAAGACTTCGGGCTGTCATCGATGCTTCCGTGTGCGTACCCTTCGCTTTTGCGTCAGCCATGCCGAGTTTCTGATTCAAGGTTGCGCAAAGTCTGGAAGCGGCGGTCAGCAACACTCCCTCAGATGTAAATACCCTCTTGCTTCTCGACGAGCTCGAGAATTTGGAGGACGAGCACTCTTCCCGTGCGGAGACCAAGAAGTGGGTCAAAGCTCAACGGCTGAAACGTTTCTCCGCTCTCCGCATCCCTAGCAACGACGAGGCCGCGCCGCTCATACAGCAGGCATTGACGTACGGAAAACTCAAGTTGGTTCAGAACACGTGAGTGTCTATTCACCTTATATGTGAAAATGTGCTTACACCATCGTCATTAGTGTGCTGCCACAGATTATGAGACTCGCGGACAGCTCGACCCTTCTCAGACACACTACGTATATGCACTCCGCGGACAAGATCCCGAAGAAAGCTCGCACGAACTCCGCCAAAGAGCTTCTCGCCAAGGCCGTCGGTGACGCCGATTTCTTTACGCCTCAGGTTGCATCAGCCGGTGTTCAGGACGTGGCGCAACGGATGAAGCGCAACAGAATGAGGCGGACGGGACGAGGCGGGACAGTACGAGGCGGTCAAGTCATACACAACAGCCTGCTTCGACCTCGACCGAGAAGATCTCCTCGCGTCCGTTTTTGAGAAGCTGCTCAAGTTCGAAGGTTTGGAGAAGGACGTTCTTCTGCGCCGTCACCAGCAAGTCTTGCTCCCTCTTGTTACCTACATTGCCGAGATCTTGAAGGGACACCAAACCGGCCGAACGCCTCCCTCCGGACTACAGGGATTCTGTGAGGTGGTCGTTGCGCAGTACATGGTTGCAGTCACCGGTGCAGTGGCAGGGTTCCAAGCGGAGGATGTGGAGCGTTTAATCGAGACTGCGGATCTGAGCGGTAAGCCGGATATCCTTCACGCATCGTAAGTGTACTTTCCCAGCACCTCGCAGACTATCGTTGACGTTCCATCAGCGTTCTCCCAGGGCTTGAAGGACTGGAGCTGTCTCCGTCGCAACTGGAAGGCTTCCTACTACAACTAGGCCGTTGCGCAGTGGGTCGTGACGGTCCGACCACCGACGCCTTCGGAGCACTGCAACAACGCCTGCTCAAGAAGTGGTCTAGCACCGTAGAGCTCGTGTCGACAGAGCGCAGTTACTACTCGAAGTCGGCCAAACCCTTCCTTGATGCGCTCGAATTCTGCCTCACTCACAGCTACCCCGACGCTGGAGCCCATATCGTCCAGCGCCTGACCCATCCCTTGCCCACGACGCTCACCGCCGCGGACATTCGGTCCACTCTGGCGCCGTTGATCCCCAAAGTACACGACTTACTCCGCAAATACGAGCTGTCGCCGGCCGCCCCTCCATACGCCGCCTTCTTCCGTGCCCTCGCACTCCACTTTGCACAGACCGTGCTCGGCCCCCGCCCGCGCGATCCCGCGCCGCAGATCGCGGCGCTCGCCCGCTGGAAGTGCAAGTGCGAGCACTGCGCGGCTGCGCGGGACTTCCTGACTGCGCCGGGAACGCACTATTACCGCAACGACAAGGAACTGACTCGCATCGGGCGCCCAACTGCAAGCACCTTGAGAGCTGCGTCGCATCGTACGCTCCCAAGCTCGTAGTGGGGCAGACGAGCCGAGACACGAATCCGCACAGCTTCAGAGTGCGTTCCCTCCTGCCGCGCGCGTTTCCACGCTCTTCTGGCTAAGCTGACGCTGAATCCTGTGCGCAGATGAACAAAAAGCCGCTGCTGGTCCAGCATGAGGAGTGGATGGCGACGCAACAGGAGGGTATGAAGATGCTGGCTCAGATCAGCGCTGACCCGGCACAGTTGAAGGCTATCCTCGGAGACGACCACCTCAAGATCACCTCCCTCATGCGGGGCGACCCGCCCCTGCCAGCACGCCCACACCTGGGCCTTCGAAGTCGTCGACTCAGTGCCGTGCTAAAACACCTGCGCCAGCGTGGCGAAGCCAGCAACGGCCAACCTACCACGCGGCGCGCAGCCTGCGACGGCCCCCGCGGCAAGCGGCAAAGCATCGTTGGTACGGAAAACTCCTCCGACGCAGGCTGCCCCTCCTGCGAAGCGTAGCAGAGCCTCCTACAACCCGGCGGACACGATTGATTTGACGAGCGATTAGTTGCGCGAATAAGCTTATGCCTATGTGTGTGTATTCTATACCCGATTGCTTACTTGCTCCCCTTCTTGTATGCGTCTCTCCATATCGCGGCGAAATTACAACGGCAGTGTATCAGCCTCGTATTGACGTCCTCCCCTGCGGGTCTGAGAACCTTCTTCCATCTCCGCAGCATCCCGACATGGAAGGCACTCGGGATACGACGACAGCCGACGCACTCCACACCGGTCAAGATCGCCTGTTCAAGTCTTGGTCCAACGTCGCGATTATCCCTGGCCCACCTCCAACCGTCCCAGCGGACGCCAGCGCGCCTCACCCATCGCCTATCTCCCTCCCCTCAACACTCGCCCAGTACGGGCGGTGGAGGCCGAAACAGGAAGAGGGCCTGAGGCTCCTCGCGCTGATCAGTGGAGGCGCGGCGGAGTTGGCGGAAGTCCTCGACCCCTAGCATACGAAGGTCGTCCACCGTCGTCGCGCTTATGAGGGGAGAGTCGAGCAGGACGGAATGGAGATGATGGCTTTGACGGGTGGAGGATAGTTGTGCGAGCGAGTGTGGATCTGGTTGGGTTCAGCTGCGCCTGACTGGCGTGGTGCAGGGGCTCGAGCACATCTTGGCGTCCCAGGAGGACAATCTACGTTCAGGTCTGACGCCAGGACAACGGGCCCTATCAACTAAGATCAGACATTGGGCGTAAGTATTGAGCGCATTAAGGCCAGGGCATACTTGCGCACAGTCACGAGGGAGTCTGTTGACTACTTTGCGTAGAGGACGGCAAAGAACGAACAGCCTGGCCGCTGACAGGCGTACCAGAGCGTGCAGGGGTCTGCCTCCACCAGACAAGAAAGAGCTTGGGCAGACTGAATACGCGAGCAGAGGGAAAGAGACCAGGACTAGAATACACGCGCGTAGAGAAAGACAATAAGGATACATACATGGAGCAGCCAACGACCTCTACAGCGTCGACCCCGACCCTGAGCCCTTGCTCGCAAGGAGTAACTCGTCAAGCAACGCAGCAACCTTTTTCTGCGCCTCCGTCTTCTCCGCCTGTACGCTCCGCAACTCGGCGTCGCGCCGCTTGACGATCTGCGCCTCGTCGGAGAGTAGGAGGAGTAGCTTCATGGAGTGGATGGTCGACATGAGCGAGTTCGCCGCGCGGATCTGCCCACAGACAGGTCAGAGAGCGGTCCGACCGGAACGCAGCGCGGATGAAGGAGATTGGGAGATTGATACAGAGGGGAAGGGAGGAGTCGCCACGCACCATAGACTCCGCGCGACACTGCGCCTGAAACGCCTCCTCGGCGATGCGGAACTTGTCCTTGTCGCCAATCTGCGCGATGTCAACATCACGCGGCGGACAGGACACGCAGGAAGCACGCACCGCGGCGAGGGAGACGATGTCGACCATGCTGTCGACGAGGGTCTCGATTTCAACGTCGACACGCTTGTTCCATTCTTCTTCTACGTTGTCGAGGTAGTCATTCGAGTCTTGGTCGATGAGGGGCTGCGAGGGCCGCTGGAGGAGCCGTGCGGTGGGAAGAGCGGACGGACGTGAGACGTCGCTCTTGGTGAGGTCCGCCATCACGATGTGCAAGAGGGACCAGCAACGGGGAGAAGGGTGCGGCTCAGTATTTACGTTGATAGATTAACATTGATGGCACAGTATATGTCCCGCTTAGCTCAGCTGGTAGAGCGCGTCACTAGTAATGACGAGGTCAGTCGTTCAAGTCGGCTAGTGGGAACGTAGTCATGTATAATATGGCGTTTTTGTTTTTCTTCCGTTCCGCCATTGCATCGCAGAGAGAACCTTCCACCTTCGTTCAGTTTGTCAGGCGCGCTCTGCGAATCCACTCCCGTCATCTCTTCTGGCACGCACGACTCCTTCACTTTCCGTCTTGTGCGGTACAGGCATTCCCTCTCCTTTGACGCTTCAATGAGTACATACCTGTTGTTCCTCAATCCCGCCAAACTTCTTACTCAAGCTCGTCTCTCGCGCTCACTCACCACAGGTGACATTCAACGGAATAGAATTATCTGTGCTCTTGAATATCCCGGCGCCCGGTGTGTGCTATGTACAGTGCGTAACATTGGCGGTCTTTTATGTTTGAGAAAAAGGTACGTCCTTCATCATCGTCCGCATCTCCCCATTCCGAGACAAGTCCTGCTCAGGCCACCGCCCCTTTGCCAAATCAACGCAGAACCGCCCAAGCAACTCTGTCGGCGTGATCGCAGACGGAGCAAGGGTGTTGAATACCGGTCCTATCACGGCATCCAAGCCACGAAGGAGAGGCCCCCGCAGGTTCTGGCGGTCCTCGGGATAGTCTTTCGAGGGGAAGAAGTAGCCTGGGCGGAATACGTGCGTCTTCATGTTCGCGTCCTTCATGATCTCCGGCAGCTCGCGCTCTGCCCGTCCCTGCGAACCCATCCCAATCCCCCGTCAGCCAAGTCCGTCGCCAGTGTCGTCCCCCTCATCCTCATTCCCCCGCCGCGCACGCACCTTCACCCGCGCCCACATCTGCCGCGACTTCTCCGTCGGGTCCGCCTGCTCCCCCGAGACGTACACGAACCGGAACGGTGCGTCCCTGCCGCTGCCCGCGCCGGCCTCCGTGAGCGCGCGCGCGGCCGCGACGGGGTACTCGAGCGTGAGCTCGGTGTACGCCTGCTCGGACATGCCCGCGGAAGTCTTGCCCATCGCCCACACGAGCGCGTCGTGCTCCGCGAGGCGCGCGGCGAGCTCGGGCGGGTACGTCTTGAAGTCGGCGTGGATGATCGTCTCCGTCTTCTCCGCCGCGTTCGGGGGGAGGACCGCCCAGGCAGGGACGGCGCGGCGCGTGAGCAGCGTCACCTTTGCGACGGCGGGGTCCGTGAGCGCGGCGCGGTAGACGGCGAGGCCGGCTGCGCGAGGAGGGGCATTTCTGAAGTCAGTTTGGGCGGGCGCGCGAGGAGTTGGGATGTGCGCGCACCGACTCCTGTGGCTCCGGTGATAATGATGCGCGACATCGCGGTGTTAGGCGGGTGTAATGTGTGGTGAGAGTTGTTTGCTGGTCGATGAGAGGCACGTTCTGCGCTTTCTACCACTAAATACGAGCCCCGAAGTGTTGTGCCGTCTGGACGCGGAAGTGCATCGGCTTCGGCGGTGGGGACGCGCAGAGTCCGGGGCTACTTATGAGCTATGGGCGCGGGGCGCATTCCCGATCGGCCGGCTTCGACGCTTGAATTTGACGTCCGCCTTCGACAGCTTCCCACCGGGGATAACTGCGACGCGTTCGGACGCGTTGACGTTGCGCTCCGGCGTGTCGTCTCGACACAGGACGCGCGTCCACCGGTGCAAACGACATCATGATGCGCATCTGGTGAGTACCGGCACCTTAGGCTTCGGCAATTCTCGCCGCGTGTAGTTTCGGGGAGAGTCCCTGTCAGGTATGTTGTGACCGCTCAACCGACATTCAATAACTCAAGAAGCCACCACGTGGTACCGTTCAGATGCCGCTACCAGACGGACATAGCCCGCAAGCGCCCGCAGCCCGCCGCAGTTCCAACCACTGCCCTCCGACGACCTAGACCCAAGGAAGCCTTGTCTCGCCTCTGCGTTAAGACGTAAAACCTTGAGTTATACGAGATAACAACGGGGTCGACTGCACGTCCACATACTTCATGGACTATCGCTACCTCGATACTCCCGAGATGATCCTGATACGGCTGATTACTAGTTTCTCCCTCCGATTCTGGATCACGTAGCTCCGGAGTGTTCAATACTTTCATTATCGTGTGCCTTCCTGGGATGAAGGTGCGCGCTTTTGACGTCATATCCTATGATGTCCCTCTGACTCGTCTAAACCCTTGTGTCGAAAGACAACACCGCCGGCGGTCTCAGCCACGAAACCTTGCTAGATGGCGGAAAATATGAAGATGTTCGAGGACGGAGGAGCTCCCATTCACGTGTCGTAAGTCTGCTCAGTTCCTCGCTGCGAAATACCTGCTGAGAGCAGTGGCCCCATTCTTGCCAACGATCTGGATTGATGCAAAAACACCACCATATCCTACTGTCGTCATCCCTACGGTCCGTACTCTGCTTTCCTTAAATTCCTTCAAACCGGTTGTTAATTGTCTTCGTTTCTCACCTCCGACCTCGGCAGTTCCACGTTGGGGGTCGACGGAATACGACACGAGTGTGTTGAACGTTACTTACATGACATTACACACTACTAAACGTCGGTTAGCTTTTCAACTTATGACGTATTGTATTTTTGCTGCGTATCGATGTGCTGTGTTTGAACACTCATAACAGAGACCCCCTTCAGCGAATACAGATCGTTACAAGTACAAGTGCATCGTACGCTAAGCTGCGCGATGGCGAAAAACGCCCGCATTCCACAACTGGCCCTCTGCAAACGCCTGAATTCTGAGTATCGTCTAGTATGTCGCTACCGCGGAGGTGTACAAGTCTAATAACTTGAAAGCACACGCCGAAACCCAACGACGCCGTTTATTAGAGACAACTAGACAGATGCGGCAGAAAAATCAAGTAAATGCTGGGTTGGCGTCCAAGGTGAATTTGCCCGGTTCCGACGGACCCGCCATAAACGAATGTGACTCTGAGTATCGCTTCCGTGCCAGTCGCTGACAGATTACGTACGCTCTCCCACCGTCATGAATACCCGAAGGAGCTTCTTCCGGCCAACTTTCCGCGGTCTCTCGCAGTGGTGAATAATCTGCTAGGCATCTTCCCCGACCGGGTATTCCTCCTCGCCTTTGGAGGGACCGCAGTACGTGAATAAGAATTGGTACCGTTCACTGAACGCACACCTATTTCCCCAGGGGAAATGCAGGGCGCTTAAAGGATAGCATGTGACCACACTTGGCGCCGGATAATAGCAGGCAACCAAAATACAAAGCCCCAAGCGGGAATCGAACACGCACACCTAGAAGCACCCAGGCGCTGTACCAACTCCGCCATCTTCGCATTATAGTGAACCACATTTTGTACTTTATATCCCGTTGGCTTGGCCCCTGGAAAATGGGCTTGAGGAAGGTCGCATTTCCCCGGGAAGAATTCCCCCCTTCCCCGACGTCCCCGAAGGCTTCCTGGCCGTGGGCGCTCACACGCCACCCCGATATATCCGGACACTGCACTCCGCCGGCGCCTCCCACCTCCGCCACCCACGCTCATCGTTCCAGACAGCGAGCTCACTGTTCCTGCGCCCTGCCTCTCCCTCCCCTCCGTTTCCTTCCGTTCTTTTTGCGATATCCTCGCATTTAAAATGCGCGCTCAATGGTACACAATACAGTAGCTACAGCGGGCTGGATGTGCCTGCACTGAGCCCTTACACCTCTCACAATGCGTGCAACATAGAAACATATGCACGCATTCCATTGATAGAATAACTTCTGCATAAAATGGTCGTATGTGATAGCTGGTTTAATCTTGAGGTAGCAGGTGAATAACTGCAGAGGTGGCGGTATGATGTCACATGTTATTTCAGAATGACATACTGTACAGTGATGTGACATACACATGTATCGCTGTATTCACCATTGAGCGCGCATTTTAAATGCGAGGATATCACAAAAAGAACGGAAGGAAACGGAGGGGAGGGAGAGGCAGGGCGCAGGGACAGTGAGCTCGCTGTCTGGAACGATGAGCACGGGTGGCGGAGGCGGGAGGCGCCGGCGGGGCGGCGAGCGCGGGGCGACAAGCGCCCGCAAGAAATTGGCCAGAGATCAAGTTTATTGCCCTGGATGTAAGATAACAGGACATGAAATATATAATGTGGCACTTGGCATTGGGGTTGTGGCGTAGTTGGTAAAGCGTGCAGGTGTTCTATATGTGAGCATGTTCGACTCCGATCCAACGCATTTGTATTTTGGTTGGCAGCTGGTCTCGGGCGCCAGATGGAGTCATGTGCTCCCCTTTAAGCGCCCCTTATTTCCCCCAGGGAAATTGGCCTGCGTTGGGCGAACGGTACGAATATATATTCACGTACTTACATACATGCGCCTTTGTTGCTTCCGACCGGAGAGGGTTTCCACTCCGCGCCGGTGATTGTCCCGTTTCGTGTTCAGCACAAGTTTAACCGCAGAACCTAGTACGTTGTTCAGTCCATCGCTGCACACTGTACCATGGTCCACTTACGACTACCATCGAGGTCATGTCCAAGTAGGTATGTCTTGGGTATGTCGGCCACCGTTCGATCAACGATCCGTTTGCCGCGACAACCTGACCGAGTCCCACAAATGTGTATCCACGAAAGTGTGATGTGCCAGTTTCCGGCCCTCCACGTAGATATTATCAATCGTCGTCTTACGGTCCAGGATCAACCCGATGGACTGCACTGTGCATACGTCAGTGTCTGTTCTCACGGTATTATATTAGTCATCACCACGGTGGGTTGGTATATATCCTCAGGAGATGGCAGACTCCAAGCAGACTCACCCAGATTCACACACAACAGCATGGCTCCATCGAAACTCCCCACTCGCAAGATTGGCACCACAGACGTCTGTGCTATGGGCTACGGCGCCATGGGTCTCGGCGCTGTGTACGGCGACCACCTCTCGCAGGAGGAGCGCTTCAAAGTCGGTGGTATCTTGTCGCCTCGGTAGCCCCTATTTATTTACGCCGTTATCCACCCACACAGGTCCTTGACGCCTTGTACGAAATGGGGTGCACCAACTGGGACACGGCGGACATCTATGCCGACAGTGAAGACACGATTGGCGCGTGGTGCGTCCTATACCCCTCGTTTCCCTGCAACAGTTGTGCTCAATATATTCGTCTACTTGAAGGTTCAAGAAGACAGGGAAGAGGAATGAGATCTTCCTCGCCACCAAGTTCGGGTTCACCATCGGGAACCCTGATGCTAAGAAGCCTATCAGCGGCGATCCGGAATACGTCCACGCATCAATGGCGAAGTCGCTCTCGCGCCTGGGTGTAGACTCCGTTGATCTCTACTATTTCCATCGGTGCATATAACATCATTAATACGATTTTTCTGTCATAAACTGACCGCCACCGTTATAGACCTGACCCCACGGTGCCTATCGAGGTATGCAGCCTACACTAGTAGCTAGCCGGATAGGCCAACGCTGACTTCGTCATATAGGTTACCGTCGGCGCGATGGCAGAGTTAGTCAAGTACGTTCAAGAACCCTCTTTGACCTATTGCTTCGAGACTCACCTAGAACCACTAGACAAGGAAAAACCAAGTACATCGGTCTCTCCGAAGTCTCCGCTTCAACTCTTCGCCGCGCCCACGCCGTCCACCCTATTGCAGCCGTGCAAGTCGAGTACTCGCCCTTCGTGCTCGACATCGAGGACGAGAAGATCGGCCTGCTCGCCGCCGCGCGCGAGCTCGGTGTCGCCATCGTCGCGTACTCGCCCCTCGGCCGCGGGTTGATCACTGGCCGCTACGTGAGTAGTCCGCGTCCGCGCCCGCCCCATCTGCCCCGAGCCGCTGATCACGTTCCTGGGTACGTTGGGTAACGTCGAACAGCGCAGCCCGGATGACTTGCCCCCCGACGACTTCCGGCGCAGTGTCCCGCGCTACTCTGCCGCCAATTTCCCGAACATCCTTGCCATCGCCGACGACCTCGCGAAGATCGGAAAAGCGCACGGCGCGACCGCGGGCCAGGTCGCACTTGCGTGGCTCCTCGCGCAGGGCCCCGACGTGATTCCCATCCCTGGGTCAACCAAGATCGCGGTGGGTCTTTCCATGTTTTCAGTCTATCGAGGTAACAGGCGTACTGATGTATGGGGACGAATCAGAACTTGAAAGAAAACCTGGGCGCACTGGAGTTGACGCTGACGCCGGATGAGGCTGAGGAAGTGCGGCGCATCGCTGAGATGGCGGATGCGTTGCCGGGCGCGCGGTACCCGCCTGGACTGGCTGAGATGCTGTTCGCGGACACTCCGTCGCTCACAACCTGAGCTCGTTCTAGAAGGGAGTGAACCGGACAGATATGCCAAACTGTTGTACATAAACGACCCACAGAATCAATTGATGCGCACAGACGACAAAGACAATACGGGTGTGAAACGAGACATCTCTCGACAGATCCTCGAACTCTTCTTTCTAGTTTTAGCGCACCTGGCAGCAACAGTGTACCGGATCTCATCGCGCAGAGACTCTCCGTTGGGCTCACGCCCACGGATGCATTTCCCGCTGCAATGCGATCTACCGCATACATTCGACGCTTGCCTTGTGAGGGGTACTGTCCAGCAGTGAAAGGAGTGATGATCAATGGAAGGCGACTCAAGAGAGATGGCTTTGGCGCCGAGGGGAGGCACCGTTTTGTAGCGCTCAGAACAGTGGCTCTGCCGGTGGCCGGCAGTGGCCGGCGTGCAGTCGGAAAACTTTGATTCCGGCTTGTAAATTCAAGCTCCGCCACTGGTCCTTGCACAACTGAAGCGCTGAAGCTCATCGCGAAAGGCGCCAATTCACAACTCTCAACTGTCTACCTCCCCACGCCACTTACCCCTTGCACACCAGTTCTATGACAATATACTTTGGAGGTTTTTTGTTCACTTCGGAGGCCTTGGCTCACCTCTGCGTCAAGGCGTATGGGTTTGGGCAATCAGTTGTACGAGAAGACGATGGGGTCGACTGCGCTTCCACGTACTTCATGCGCTATGACCTCGTCGATAGCCCCGAACTCATCCCAATCTATGGCGAGAGGGACGAATCCCCGACATATGGCTTCTGCCGTGCCGACTCGCAGTCGTGCAACGTGGCCTCAAAGCGCCGGACCTTTCCCTCGACAAAGCCGGGCAGGCATATGCTGATCACTGGTTTCCTCCATCTCTTCGCGGGCTCCCGGAATTCCGGAGCGTACGATACTTCCAGTACCGTGTTCCTGCGTGGGACGAAGGTGCGTTTCGCTGTTATCTTCGCTTTGCAACCCATCTGACCCATGTCTAGAACCCTTCTGCGTCGAGCGACAGCGTCGCCAGCTGACTATACCGCGAGATTACGCACGCATAGTAGCTCTTTTGAAGAGCAGGGAAAACGAGGGAAGGGCAACTGGTCGCGTCGTAAGTCTGTCCAGTTTTTTCCTGCGCAATCCCCATTGATAGTAGTAGCCCCCACCCTTTCCAACCATGTGGATTGATGTCAAAACACCATCATATCCTACTGTCGTAATCCCTACAGTGCGTATCATGCTCGCCACCATCCGTCACTAGCCGGTTTGTTGATTATATATGGTTTCCAGCGCCGGACTCGGCAGTTCAACACTGGGATTCGACAACATAGGACACGAGTATACTGAAGGTCGCTCACGCCGTGGCATCGCCCATCAATGAGCTTCGATTAGCTTTTAGCTTGTTACATATCCGATCTTCAAGGGTCGTAACCACTACGACCTTCAACAAATGCAGATGGCCATCGGTACGAGTCCGTCCAGGGCAATTCAGCCGAGCAACCCAGTACGTCACCCCGTTGATGTTGCATAGTGCTTTTTTCCTATGTGGCTACTAGAAGATCAATGGAGCGGCGTACAATCGCATTTGTATGACGACCACACTATGATCAAGATTCTGCGATGACCTGGCCAAGATCCTGCAAATCACTGTATACGTAGGTGGGTTGTACGCGCTAGCGATTCAGGTAGGCCAGCGCTGACTTCGTCACATAATATAGGTTTCCTTCGGCGCGATGGCAGAGTTGGTCAACTGCGTTCAAAATGCCTTTCAAGTCTATTGCTTCTGTGCCTATTTAGAGACCATTCTAGACAAGGCAAGACCAAGTACCTCGGACTCACCGAAGCCCCAGCTTCGACTCTGCGCCGAGCGCACGCCGTGTACCCAATCGCCGCCGTACAAGTCGAGTGCTCGCCCTTCATGCTCGGCATCGAGGACGAGAAGACTCGCTACCGCGCGCGAGCTCGGTGTTGCCTCATCGCGTCCTCGCCACTCGCCTCCAGGCTGCTCACTGGTCGCTACATGAGTCGCTCGCTCATTTTGTTTACTTTGTACGCAAGCTGACTATATACATGTTTGGCTTTGGCAAGCACCCAGCGGCGCAAGGTTCCGCGCTACTCTGCCGTCAACTTCCCGAACATTCACGCGATCGTCGGCGACCTGGCGAAGATAGGGAAACGCACGACGCGACTGCGGGTCAGGTTGCGCTCGCGTGGCTACATCCCCAGGACTTCGACGTCATCCCCATTCCCGGGTCGACGAAAGACGCGGTCCGTCGTGTCGTTGCTATTCCAAACGAGGGACAACGGATATGCTGATGCGCTTTGGTGGAACAGAACTGGAAGGAGAACCTCGGCGCGCTCGAGCTGAAGCTGACGCCGGACGAAGTCAAGGAGGTGCGGCGCCTCGCAGAGATGGTGGACGCGTTTGTATCCGCCCGGGATAGCGGAGATGCACACGCCGCCGCTCGAGGCTTGAGTTCGTCCTTGGTCGACGTCGGGGGCGAAACAGGCTAAATCGCCAAGTCGTTGTGCCAATAGGAAACGATTACCAATTCCAGATTTAACGAAGATGCACTGCGATGGAAAATGGCCCCGAGAGATGGATCTGATCAAGAGTGGAACAAGACGTCTCCTGAGCGATATTCCAACGCTTCTTTCCAAGTGCGTATCACGTATGGGCGCTCCGAAGGTTCAATATTCAATGACTAAAGCCCAGATATCGACGCATGGTTCCAGATTGGATGACTACGTGAGCCATGTCACCTCGTGATCGCCCTTGACATTCAGCGTTCAAGTAAGCTCCACAGTCTAGGTTTCCGTTCTTTTGAACGTGAGACTGTGGAAGCTACCGCAGCACAGCGCCATCTGCACTGTGCCCTCATCATCTCCCTCGTCGCCGTCCTCTTTCCATCTCCATCCTCACGTTGAACTCTGCCATCCCGCGACTTAGTACTCAAGTATTCATGCCTCCCATCAATATCAAGCGCTTCTGTCCTGCACAGGTATTGGCCGGTCAGTGCGAGGATATCAACTCGTGCGCGTTCTCCCATGGGCTCCATTCTATATGTATCCCCTGCGCTAAGTTATTCATGAATCGAAATTTGTCTCTCAATCACTTTCAAGATCCAAAACACCACAGTCGAATAGATGAAGTTCAGGCACGTGTCGCCCTCCAGTGCCCAGCCTGTGCCATCACCCTCCCGGATCAATCGTCGTGGCTCCAACACGCCAGCGACAGGCATCCTGGTGAACATATTATCCCGGAAATACCCGGTAAACCCAATGAGAAGCTGGGCTACTGTACTGTCTGCAATAATCGCTTCCCTATGGACAGCTGGAACAACCATCTCTCCGGAACGTATCACATCAGAACTCAACTCATCGTACTATGGAGAACGGAGTATGAACAGGAGACCGCCCTTCGAGAAGTGGCGACCATGTCACACCCCGAAGGCTTGGACTTCGGGCTTGTAGATCTGGAACACGCGTCGACGACCCAGGACTCGCGTGTCGTGCTCATGGTTCCGAAGACCGCTGGATTGGTCATCCGCAAAATAGCGGCGTACCCCAATGCTGGCAACAACAAGCCATCCAAATCGTACGTCGTGCTTTTACTCCCACATGTCTCTACCGATTCTGATACAAAAAGTTCAGCTTTACCGTCTCATGGCCTCTGCAAGAAGACACACTGACGCCGCTCGAACCCGTCGAGATAACAGTGCACTTCAACCCCAATCACCGCGGCAAATTCGCCGAGGTTTTGGCCATTGATCTCGAGTCGACAACGGGCCCAATTCAGGGCACCTTTCGGGTTCGTCGGAAGCTAATGGCGATGGTCGGCCGCGCGGAGGACCACAAGCTTTTGCAGGCGTCGAAGAAGTTCGTTAAGCAGAAGCGTACACGATGGAGACACGGGGGAGCGACCGTTGAAGGAGAGCGACCTCCGGAGGCTGTCGACTCCGCACCATGGGTACAATCTCTCCCAAAGGCGTGCGTTCCCAAGGCGCTCTCGGATCTCCTATCAAAAGGAGCAACGCGAACAGTACTCCAGCAATTAGAAGAAATGTACTTTGCAAATGAGCTGTCTCTCGAGACTCACCTGGATCACTTCACGCATCTATTATGGGCGGAGGAGGCCCGCATCATGTATGTACCCCACTAAATGCTACTCGCAGACGTCCTAATATGCTCTCTAGAGACGATTTACGCATGTATGACATGCGTTCTGTAAAGTTCAGGAGAGAATCCGGACGGCTTCACACGTAAGCACCGCCAGTATCACTCAAGCCATCCCCATGGCTTACGTTGGTTCAAACTTGGTTAGCGTCAATGTTCCTGGACTTGCAGAGAAACGACCAAGCGTTGTCGTCGGTAAGTCACTGGTTCTTTCGATAGTGTGACATCTACAACTTAACCCTTCACGTTAGGCGACATCATCCTCGCCCAGGCTTTGCGCAAAGCGGATTCCACCGGACCAACGCATCGAGGATTCGTACACATTGTGCGAAACGAAGATATCTGTGTATCGTTCCACTCGTCCTTTGATGGTGCCTCACGGTACAACATTCGATTCGAGTACAACCGCATCCCTCTTCGTCGGCAACATCAAGCTTTATCGGTACCGTCTCTTTCTGCCCAGCGACTTCTGTTCCCGCACCTAGACGACCAAGGGATCTTAAGCACCCCTCAACCCGACAACATTACGACCTTCAACCCTCTCGTTGCTTTGAACTCGGCCCAGCTGCAGGCTGTCAAGCTGATCGTGAGTCTCCAACCGGTGGCGCCCCCGTTCGTGATCTTCGGCCCGTGAGCAGTATTTTCCTCGTCTGTATCAGCATCCCATTGACGCGCGCATCACAGTCCCGGAACCGGGAAGACCATCACGCTGGTCGAATCAATTCGTCAAGTCCTCCACCGCGATCCCACCACGAAGGTCCTGGCCTGTGCGCCCAGCAACAGTGCGGCCGACCTCATCGCTCAGAGGCTCTCCGTGGCTCTCACGCCCAACGATATGTTCCGGTGCAACGCGATCCACCGCATCCAGAGGCTCCTGCCTGCTGACCTTGTCCCTTACTCGCTCTTCCGTGGCCACCTCTTCGCGTTGCCGTCGCTCGAGCAACTCTGCTCCTACAGGGTGATCGTCTCCACGTGCGGCAACGCATCGTTCCCGTACAACGTAGGGATGCCTACCGGCCACTTCTCCCATATCTTCGTAGACGAAGCAGGGCAGGCGTCCGAACCTGAAGTCTTGCAAGCGATCAAGATCATCTCGAGCGCGGACACGCGCGTCGTCCTCGCGGGGGACCCCAAGCAGCTCGGGCCGGTCATTCGATCGAGCATAGCCCGCCACTTCGGGCTCGCGAAGAGCTACCTCGAGAGGATCATGGAACAGTCGGTGTACACGAGCGCGATGGCGCCCAACCGCGCGTAAGCCGATCCGTTTGCCGTCGTCGCCCCGTTCTGACACCCTCCTTGCATCGCGCTGCTTCAGCTTCGTCAAGCTCGTGAAGAACTTCCGGTCTCACGAGGCGATCTTGCAATACCCCAACAACCAATTCTACGACGGCGACTTGGAAGCGTGCGCCGATCCGGAGGCTACCGACGCCTTCCTCGGTTCGGCGCAGCTCGTCAACCTGCGCTTTCCGGTGGTGTTCCAGCATGTCTCGGGCGAGAACGAGCGCGAAGCCTCTTCTCCCTCGTACTTCAATATTCTTGAGGCGACGGAGACTGTCGAGCGCATAAAGCTGGTGCTTCGTGACGCTGCCCACCCCGTTCGTGAGTACCTTTCCTGTCGGTGCTACCGTCTCCTCATCGAGGACCGCACGCTTAGCCGTTCCTCGTGAACACAGGTCCCGAAGATATCGCCGTTATAACCCCGTACTACGCACAAGCACGGAAGATACGCATGCTTCTTAAGACGTCAAAGATCGAAGGCGTCACTGTTTGCAGTGTGGAGCAAATCCAAGGCCAAGTACGCGTTCTTTCCTTCTCCGTGGTCCTGCCCGTCGACCTGACCTTCGTTCGGCGTCACCTCAGGAACGTCCCGTCATCTTCATCTCCACCGTCCGGAGCAGCCGGGACCTGCTTTCGTACGACGCCAAGTTCACGCTGGGCTTCGTCAGCAACCCGCGTCGCTTCAACGGTACGTTCGAGCCCCCATCATACTCGTCCCCCGCATGCATGCAAGCACGGCTGAAGCGCTGACCTCCGCCGCGTCCAGTGGCCGTCACCCGCGCCAAGGGCCTCCTGGTCGTCATCGGCGACTCGGACGTGCTCTCGATCGACCCGGTCTGGCGCGGATTTTTGAACTACGTCCACCAGCACGGCGGGTGGAGCGGCGACGAGCCTGGTTGGGACACGAGCGCTCCTGTGGACGCAAACTTCGACTATGCGGCGGAGATCCGGGAGGCGGCGGCGAACGACATGGACGCGCTCATCGCGCGGCTTGCGGAGGGTCATGACGTGGAAGCAGAGGCTAACGTCGAACGGCCGTTTGTGGAGGAAGACTGAGAGGGGCACCAGAGGGATCCAAGTGTACAAGGTTGTGCGAACACGCCGCGCTGTCGCACGCTGCAGCCCTACCGACGTTGTACTATATGATCTCCATGTTAAGCAGGTCGATAAATCCAGAGGATTCGCACACAGGTGGTACAGGAGTGTAGAAGGGCGCAAAGAGCGATCATAGATCTCTTGCGTACTTGTACTCACCCCCCTTCTCGAGTGCCTGCGAAACCGTCAATAAATGGACTCGACCAAATCATAGTAGACATAGAACTTACCCGCTTGTATGCGGGCCTGCATGTCCAAGGATCACGCAAAGGTCAGAGACGAGTTGTTTCATAGAAGTGATGGACTCACCTTGCGTGCGCGCGGTTCACGTACTCCCTCGTCTTCGGCCCGAACGGAAACGGTGACGAGTTCCCCCACGCCTCCAAACTGAACACCATCATGTAGTCCGCCGCCGTTGGCTCGCTGCCGCCCGCAGTCCAGTCCCCGCACTTCTCCAGGTGCTCCTCGATCTGCCGGCGCGCGTTCGTCAGACAGTGGCTCCCGACGCGCACGGCCCAGGAGACTTCTCGGAGGCTTGCACACGCGAGAGGCGAAGCACTCACCATGTCGGCGTGCAGCTTGAGGCGTGGCTCATGTACCCCGCGTCGATCTTGCTGAAGACGATGTTGAGGAATGGACGGATAAAGAACGGGGCCTGGGTGGGGATCTTTTTGAACAGAAGCTTCTGCACGAGCATCGGCATCAGGGACGCCTCGGAGTAGTGGGTGACTGTCGGATGGTCATGGGAGCACACGGGTGTGAACAAGGGATGTGTGGAGAAGAGGGCTTACAGTAGAGGTTGTCCAGCTTCCCGGACTCGGGGGGCTGCGCGCGCCCTTCCCCGTACTTCGCGATGATGTACTCTATGGACGCATATCCGACATCAGCGTGTGTGCATGAACACCCAAGCAGAGGCCTCTTCCTCAGGCACTCGTAACCTCTCGAACACGAGGAGCAGCAGAACGAACGCTCGATGAGGTGGCCCTGGTACGCACCTACAATTGCTCCGCTCTCAGGCAAATTGCGCCCTCCTCGGTGATCACTGGCGCGCCGCCGAGTGGGTTGACCGTCTTAAGATCCTCAGGTGCTTTACTGTCAACGCCGCAGGCATATTTCTTGATCTCGTACGGGACATCGAGCTCCTCCTGAACGCCAAAGCGGTAACATTGAGCGGAGCGCGGCCAAGGAAGAGTCAGCGGAAGCGACATACCACGAGCCACAGAATCCGCTGGGAGCGCGAGTCGTTCAGGTGATGGATGGTCAGCGTGGACGACATGTTGCGGCGGGGAGAGACGATATGGGACCGAGAGCAGGGACATGAGGGGCATATTAACGGAGTACGGTGCACGCAGCAGATAGTCGGATGAGTAAGGACTGAGAATGGGGGTGGGCGGTAGCAGCCATGGTGGCTGTTAGGAAGAACAAGGGAGGGCAGGAAAGAACCAGCAGACGCAACTCCCGACAGCGATCGGGGCCGGCAGTTTGATACGGGCCACTCCCTCTCGTGTGTCAGTCCCTGCTTGTCCGACTCAAGGAGCGCGGAGTATGCCCAACGGGTATGCATGCCCGCCTCCGATATCCAACGGTCGTGGTTCACAAAAGCGCGTGCTCAAATATTTGCAAGCGCAGTTTGTCAGGAGACAGTCTGCGGGAACGTCTCTCCAACTGGCACTAAGTATCGAGAAAGGACACGATAGAGCTGGCTCTGACTTATTCATGTCCCTCCATGTGGCGAAAACATGCTGTAGTCCGTGATGTCTACAAGAAAGGTATACAAGTATGAGAGCAGAATGCAACTAACGATACACCCCGGCGGTCGATATGTTATGGGGACGTTGACCGGGCCTTGAGGGTATCGAGCATCTTCTGAGCCTCTGAAATCCGGACGTCGACATCTGTTCCAGCATTGCAGGCAAAACACCAGAAAGACAAGACGCACCTGCTTTCACTTTCCCGTCCGACACAGAGACCGCTTTCTGCAGCGATTCCAACGCCGCGTTCATCGCCTTCATCCCCTCTTCTTCCTCCGCAAGCAGCGCGGCCTCCGCCATCCGCACCCACCCCTTCCCCCACTTCTCGTCCAGCACCGTCGCCGCCCTCGCGTCCTCAACCGCCTTCTCCCTCAGCCCTCCCGCTCCGCCTTCGCCACGCCCTCCGCGCGCGCCCGCTTGATGTACGCGAACGCCCTGTTCCCGTACAGGACCGCCGCCTGCGGCGCCGCCGCGATCGCGCGCGAGTACGCGTCCGCCGCGGCCTCGTAGTCCGCCGCCGCGAACGCCTTGTTGCCCTCCTCCTTCGCCGCTCCGCCGCCGCGGGGAGCACGGGCGCCGCGGCGTGGCGCGCGACCATCGCGTGCAGCGCGCGCTGGTCCGCGCCGCGGAGGGAGTCGGCGACGCCGGCCTGGGTGATGACGACGAAGGTGGGCATCGCGGTGACGCTGTACTTGGCGGCGATCGGGGCCAGCTTGTCGACGTCGACCTTGAGGAAGACGCCGTGCGGGAACTGGGCCGCGAGCTGCTCGTAGAAGGGCGCGATGGCCTGCGGGGGAGGTGTGCACGGGGGGTGCGGGTGCGTGAAGGAGAGGGGGACGCACCTTGCACGGCCCGCACCATGTCGCGAAGAAGTCGACGACGATCGCCTGGCCCTTCTCCTTCGCGGCTCGGAGGGTGGTGTTCCACTGACTGACGGATTCGATCTGTGTGGGATGCGTCATGTCGTTTGTTCGGACGTTCAAGGCCGTGGTAGTAGGTGGAAGTGAAAGTGACGATGTATTGCTGCGAGGGCGATGGTAGTACTAGTAAGCCACACAGGACGGCGCTCAAGTAAACTTCATTTCGAGACATTCCCTCGCGATGTGGTCACGTGCGATCGTGATCTCAAAGCCATCGGAGGCCGGACTCGCCGAGGCTCGCAGTCAATTGGATTGCAACCGCCTCGCGCGCCAAGCTCATCAGTGAGCATAGACTCTCGTAGTCATTTTCGTTCGCTCGCTCTTGAACGGTTGAACTCTCAGTAAACATCGAAATGTCTCTCGCAGTATATATTCTCGGATCGACGTACAGCACAAATTGTACAACATGCGCGAGGCTCATGCGCTCCCTCGCCTAGATCAAGGAGCAAGTTCTCCCATGCCGCCTGCTGCTCGAGCAACGGCTTCCGCGACACTACCCGGGCAGTTCAACATGTACTCAATCTGAGGCTGGCCTGGATAGAACCACGTCGCAATGGCCTGCACAAGCATCGACATCAGAAAAGCGTTCGCGGAGCGTACACGGAGCGCACTCACAATCATCACGTAGAACGAGACCATGTTCAGCCCTTCGGACATGTTCGTCTTCGAGTCGCTGAGAACGCAGATGACGAGGAAGGAAGCGCCGAACAAGACGGCGACTTCGAAGTAGTCTGTGGGATGCTCCAGATCAATTCACCCGACCGCGAAAGGCGCGGCGCACGCACCGAAGAGGAGGTGCATGGGCCGGTCGGTCCACCAGCCAAGGAGCACGAGGAACGGCATCCACCAGAGCGTGAACTGGATGCTGAGGTCGATCGGGCGCGCATGCGCGAACTCCTGGTCCAGCGACTCCTCGTCGTCACCCTCTTGTTCGGCAGTGGAGAGTCCGGAGTCGCAGCCGCCGCGCTTACTCCGGAACGTGGCCTTGAGATCGTTGTGCGTGCGGATGAGGAACTTGTGGATCGCAACGACCCCGTCGCCGGAGAAGGAAAGGACGGGGAGAAGGATGAGGCCGAACCACCTGGACAGCCGCAACGTCAGACGGATGCGAACGGTGACAGAAGAGGAAGGATGCATACTCCGTCTGAATTCCACTTGTCTCTTGCACGTCTTCGATGCTCGAGACGAGCTGCAACCGGTACGCTCAGTATTTGTGGCTGATAGGAACGTGAAGGGGCTTACAAACTCGGCGGTGGGTGCCATGAGCGCAACGGCAACGACGAGGAGAATGAATGAAGCCCACGGATGCACAGGCATAGTAGTTTTGGACGCGAGCAGTGGTTCTGAAGTGTTTGCGCGAGACGCGGCGGGCCGAGCAGGACTTTGTGAAAAGGTAAGAGTTGATGGCCGGCGCGCAGGAGGTGCGAGCTTCCGAGTCCGGGTGGACGGCAGTACGCCATGGTGGTAGATACGGGAAACAATATACCTAACAATGCCGGCGGTCAGCGATGATTATATGCGTGCGAACGAAATACCTACGCTACGATGAGCACGACGGATATGCCACGACTCATACTCAATATATCTCGACGGACTGTGTCGCTGACTAGGGGTACGAAGGCGGGAGGAAGCCCGGAGTTGGAGTCCGATTGTCCGCTATTTGACGATCCGCGGTCTAGGGCGGCAAATAAGGCGGTGGGAACAAGCATAGAGAGTACTCTGGAATCATGTTGAGATACGGGCATCCATCTAGGTGTTTCACGTACCCGACCATGAGTAGCGTGGTATTGACGCTCGCATGTTGGGCGTGAAGGGGCTGATCGTGGTGTCGCGCCCCAGATAAGAAAATCGGCATCCCAGGGATGAGGAGGAGATGCAGCAGCACTACTCCTAGCTCGAACGATGACTACGACGGTGCTCGTCAGATGGCATGAAAGACGTACCAACGATGGTGGACTGGAGGAGCCGTAGCTCGCACTTGAGAAGTAGTATGATAGAGAGGGTGGCCTCTACGGCACTATCACGATGATACGTTGGCCTCGACATGAAGTCGACCTATGATGACCAACTTACTTGCTTAGCGTGATGACTACCAGATCTCGTAGATCTTCTTTCAGGAATTCTCCCAGTTGCTCTCCGCCCCAATCGAATATCTTCTGCAGTGGGATCATGGCGATGAAGCAGACTGGAGTCGGACATGAGCCAGTTGAAAGGCTGGTCGTATGCGAGAGACGTACGGGCAAACGTTGTATCATGCCCCCAGGTTTTGACCCAATGGGCGGCCCATGCGAACGGGAGCGCGAGGAGCAGAGGGGTCATCCCTACGACACAGCATGAGCTTCGGAGAGACCATGCACGAATCGCGAGAAGTGACTCGCACGAAAGAGCCTTGAAGGTACTGGCGAAGCTCTTTTTCCATCCCTGGTGTTGAGGTGCTTGGTCGACGAGTACGACATCGGTGACGACTCCCAGTCCTCCGACCAGAGCGGCTAATATCTGGGTACGTGGAGCTAGATGGGGGGTGCTCTTGAGGCAAGACATCGGAGAAAGTTCGCAGGGAGGAGGGAGCTGGTATGGAGAGAATCGGAGCAGAGGAGCATTCGCCAGTCGAGGGGAGTTTTAAGGCTCGGTGGTCTGGACCAGCGTGTGGCCTGCGGAGCGTGGAGAGCGAGAGGAAATCGCATGCCGACGGACACGGTGTGGTCGAAAGGCGCCATACTTAGACCCACGGATTGACGTGGGCGATGATGGAGGAGGTGCCAGGCGGTGATATATATCCAGGTGGATAGATGCCGGTTGAGCCATCTACAGTGGATGAGAGCGACCAGTGGGTGAGAGACAGCGGGAGCTAGCGGGGCATCAAGGTCAACGGAGAGCATCGGGAGTTGAAAGCACGAACGGCTGCCACCGAGTCGCGAATGAAGCAGGGAAGCCGACACGGACGCTTGGTGCACGGTCCAGATAAGACGGCTGCTTCCCCGCCATGTCGCGGATGCCCAGAATGTCGCAAGGACTGCGACAGCGCGGTGTGTGGCCCTGCGCGAGGAATTGGAAAGGACTGTTCCATCTTGGCCAGAGGTCGGGAAATGGCCAAACGAGCCCGGCCCGTGGGGCCGTGCCACGACTGATCGCAGTCACGTGGCGGAGCATTGGTCTCAGGCGCCATGCCAGTCGTCGACGGTCGTCCCTGCGACTGACGATGATGCCGCAATGAGTCCCAGGCTGTAAGCATTGCCTCCCTCTCTCACCAACCGACTCGCTAAGTTATCGCACAGGTGACATCCACCAACTCTGACGATGAGCTCAGAGAGATCGCTGGATGCTCCCACCAGTAGGCCTTCCAGGAGCGCCTGCTCGAGAAGTGGCCCGACAGCCTCGTAGACGGTATCTCCCTCCAGAAGGAGAAGACCAATGTGACGACGGGCCAACTGGTCTGGAGTACTCGGTCCTTGCCACGCTCGATTTCTGCGCCTTCCCCGACGCCGCCGGTTTCATCATACATTGTTTGATCGACCCTGAGGTCACCCTTGATCCCTCCGACGATACGGTAGTGGGTGGAAGTGAAGGTGACGATTCATTGCTGCGAGGGAGATGGTGGTATTACTAGTAAGCCAGACGGTGCGGCGCTCATGTGAGCTTCACTTCGTGACGTAAACCGCGCAGATATTCCGATCGGTGAGCATAGGCTCTCGTAGCCATTTCAGTGCGCTCGCTCCTGAATGGCTGAGACAGATTGCTAAATGCCAATCCGGGGCTGCCTATTTTTGCCAACAGAGCGCTGCGACCGCAAAAGCGTCGTCGATAGCACAAGTATTCTCCGTTCGCCATTGGGGCTTCATACGAAGCATGTAATGGCGGTCGTGGTGGACAGTATATAGAGACAGATCTGTCTCGCTCAGGACTGCACAAACCTCTCGAGTCCTGCGGCCCTGTCCTCTAGCAGTATGTCTCTTCCCATGCGCAAGATCGGAAACTCGCTCGTGAGCGCCATCGGCTACGGTGCCATGGGTATCTCTGTCTGCTACGGCCCACCCTTGCCAAGGAGCGCCTTAAGGTGCAGTCCTCGCAGCTACTGCTAAACTCGTGCTGACATCAGACATCATCACCATCTGCCAGATCCTCGACGCCGTGTATGAGCGTGGTTGCACTCACTGGGACACGGCCGATGTGTACGCGGACAGCGAGGACCTTATTGGAAAATGGTTAGCTTTCGCCTTTCTAAGCAGCAGTAGCAGCAGCATCGAACTTATTGTTCACTCACAGGCTCAGCACGCGAAACAAGAGGAGCGAGATATTCCTGGCGACGAAGTTCGCGCTGGCCTCTGGTATCAAGCGCATTCACTGTGCGCCCGACTACGTTCCACAGGCTTTGGAGAAATCACTTAAGCGCTTGGGTGTGGATTACGTCGATCTATACTATGCTCACAGGTGCGACGAGTTCCGAAAAATATTTTCTGCTCAGACGTACGTACTGACATTGTGGGACAGGGCTGATCCAGAGGTCCCGATCGAGCTCACCGTCGGTGCGATGAAAAAACTTGTCGAGTACGTGTCTAACGTGCTTGCTTCTCCCCCTTCCGTCATTCATGAGATGGTACCAGGGCTGGGAAGGTCAAATACATCGGCTTGTCCGAATGCTCCGCAGAAACCCTCCGTCGCGCGCACGCCGTTCATCCCATCGCAGCCGTTCAACTCGAATACTCTGCGTTCACTTTGGACATCGAGGACCCGCAGATCAACTTGCTCAAAACGGCGCGGGAGCTTGGGGTGGCGATTGTTGCGTACTCTCCACTCGGCCGTGGGATCTTGAGTGGCAGCATAGTGAGTTCAAGTGGTATTGTATATCGCAGGGGCAGAGGTTGACGTTGCTGTCAGACTGGCCCTGAAGGATTCGCGGACGACGACTTCCGCAAGCACATCCCCAAGTACCAGAAGGAAAACTTCCCAAACATAGTGAAGCTCGTCGGGGATATCAAGGAAGCCGGGGACAGGCATGATGCGACGCCCGGGCAGATCGCGCTTGCTTGGCTCCTTGCGCAGGGCGACGACATTCTCCCCATCCCTGGCACGACGAAGATCGCCGTCCGTGTCCTTTCACATTCTCAGATGCTCGTTGTGACTCACTAAGTTTCTTTTCAGAATCTGGATGAGAACCTGGGCGCAGCTCATATCAAACTCACTCAAGAGGAGGTGGACGACATCCGTCGGATTGCAGTGGCGGCCGATGGTGCGCGCGGCCTTGGACGGTATCCTGTGGGGTACAGCGCGAACCTGTTTGGCGACACACCAGCTCTCCCATAGTGTCCTGTAGACACTGCTTCACAGTTTACTACAAGTTTGAGATTCGTGACACGAACACGTGACTGCTTGGGAACACACACGCGTCTACAACGCCAGACACATTTTGATGCTCTTGAGTCTTGACCATACGGATCGTATCGTCTTCTACCTCTCATCGTCGCCCCTAAAGTCCAAAGTCCTTATGGAAGGTGGTATCGTCCTGGCAAGAATAGGGCCGGTGTTTTGTCGGACAGGGTGTCTCCGAAGACTCGGGGTTCGGTTGGTGAGTCTTGTCCACGTTGTGCATCTCAGCCGACAGATATCATGCCGGCGGCCAGGATTGCACCTGACCACCTCGTACGCTGTTGCTGAGCCCAACATCGCGCATACAGTGCGCTCGGTTCACGTGTCGTCTCAACTTCGCGGATTTTATTCGCCCATTTCCTCCTTCCAGGCCTGGTGGTTCAACCCATGCCTCCCAAGACGCAATGCTAGGCTCCGCGATCATGCGCCGAAGACGACCCGCGCACTCGGTCGACGACGCGCACATCCGTCTGATTCGGGTCTTCGGCATAAGTCTTGGTGCGGGCACCATCGCACTCCACTCACGTGGACGTGTGCGCGGGACAGGAGAGTCAGATGAGCGGCTTCCAGCACCGCGCGATCACTGTGGCGACGGGGTCAGGCGGCGATGTGTGGACACATAAAGCCTTGAGGTGCGTTTCGTCACCGTCCGTCTCTCCTCGCACACATCCATTCCGTCCTACACTTTCTCCTCCCCCAGACCTCACATCATGCCCAAATCATGGCGCTCCACTCTCGAGCAACGCGACCAGGGAATGATGACAGGAAACTGCAGAGATGACGTAGGAGGTTAGCTCATAACACGGTGCGTGGTTATCAATACACTGCACCCTCTTCCTGTGTCCTTCCCCTTTTGAGTTTTATGCCCTCGTTCTCTGCCGAGCCAATCCACCTCGCCTTCCGCCCTGTCACCCAACTGTTGCTGCTCGATTCGTCACTCCTCCCTCTCCCACCCCTTCGACTTCTGGCTTTCCTTTGGCATCAGTTTCTGTCGGGCATCAGTGAAGACATTTTGAACACTATATCTTCCGTGCTCCAAGTCGACCGCCCTGTTTTGCGTCGGCGGCCGCCAGCGGAAATTTCTCCCGTATTCCCAACCTCTGCTTCATACCACTGTGTAGTCACCAGGAAAATGAGACAAATTTCCGGCACCGGTTCGATCTGCAGTCTAACGTTTGATAGCATTGCAACGGTCGGGCATCTTGGGGTGTTGATCTCGGGTGGACATCTCTCGCGATGGGCCATATGCTCCTACGTCAGCTTTACACGAACGAAATGATCCTGTAAGCTGCCCCTTCCGTTGATCCAGCCGTCCACGTTCTCATCCCTCCAATCCAGGCACGTCGCGTACTCAAGCTGGCCCCGTCCCGTCTTGGCCGCCTCCGACGCAGTTCCGTTCGATCGTCGCGGCCGCTCGGTCCCCCCGTGCGTTGGCGTGCGTCCGACGTCCCCGGCCAATTTACCCCGCATTTCCCCACTTACCCCACAGTCCAGATGAAGGCTCAAGCCTCAACCGAGACACCGAGTGCATGATTAGTTGTTCCAGCTTCCGATCGCCTTCACCGTCCACTGCGCTTCCAGCCTTGCAAATGGCCCTCCATGCCCTCACGGAGGCGTACGCGCCGATCAAGCGCCGCCGGATTCTGGAGAGCGGCCATTGGGACGTCGCGTAATGGTCCTTCTCGCCGCTATCCCAAACTACCTCACGAATTTCCCCCGCCATCCAGCCGCTTCCCACAGGGTGCCGGCACGAGAAGAGCGTCGCGGCTCCGAAGGTCGTCCGCGCCCCCGCGTCCGCGCACGCGCTCCCACCGTCGGCCTTGGTGCGTCCATACGGCATCAGTGGGCGCGCGCAGGGCTCTGATCGTAGAACGCGCGCCCCTTGGGGAGTTGGGCTGTGGACAGCATAACTCCGCCTCTGGACGGCGCGCGACCAAGCGAGGTTGATCCAACCCACATGCTCCCGCCCTATCCGTACGCCCACGTACGTCTGATGCGCCAGTCTGCGGAGACTGGCCCGCCGAAGTATCCGCCGCCCCGGCGCGCGGCCGTCAACGACAGAACGTCAACGACCTCCAGCTGCAGCGCTCCCGGTATCGTCCTCCTCCTGGGCCAGAGCGATCGCCGCGTCCTAGGCTCAGGCTTGAGTCTGGTTCTGCGGAAACTAAGCCTAATCCGGCCCATCGGGCTGGAAAGTTCGCCATGCTTTCCCCGCAGGACGCCCTAGGACTTCGCCCCGAGCGATCGCGAAGACATGGTGCTCACCGGGCTTCGACGGCTCGAGCGCATGGTCGTCCAGGCGCCATGTCGCCACCATTGCCTCTTCACCGGGTCGACACGTCATGGAGATGTGCGGAGACCGCGCGAAGGCCCTCCGCACGAACGAGGAGGAGAGCTTACGGCCCATGCTCTCCCGTTGCAGAAACTTCGCGTCCGTTTGCATCCGCGCGGTACGGCACTACTGTGGCTGGGGTAGCCGGGGAAGTGGATTCGGAGAACGGGGACCGGACGAGGGTACGCTGGTGGATGCATTGCGCACGCACCGTCGACGTCATGCTCGTGATTGATGCGCTTCTGCCTCGGCAGCTGCAGTCGCTGCAGCGCCGTTCTCCGCGGCCTCCGGCGTTACGCTCTCTCAACAGATGTAATACAAGGTCTTCAGGTGCGTTGTCGAGATCCTGTCGCCTTGGCCCTGCTCTGACGCCACACATACACGATTCCTGGACTGCTACAGCGACTATTACGTGTGGGCAGCTATCACGGACTTTCTCTGCGGGCGGGAAACAAAAGCATCGTGCTTCCCGCGGCCCCATTGGGTGGGGCACGCCTCTGTCGTGGGTGCAGCCCGCTCAATGCGCGCCTCGTCCATCATTAATAATTCTCAGCTCGCAGAGAAGGTCGTGCGCCGTCTCGCCGGGGAACTTCCAGAACGGCGAAGCACACGCGCTCCCGGCGCCCCTTTCCCGCCTTCGGTGGCTTCGCGCCTCCATCTCCGACTACCAAGCAAAGCTACTCCCATCGAGCCCAACTTGCCGAAGAACAACACACCCCATCCCGACGCATGTGCACCGTGCAGGCTCGGGTCCGGGGGCGCAACGACAGCCATCGCACAGGTTCCTGGAGGGCCGAGGCTCTCCACCGTCTGCACGTTCGCCTTTCCGCTTTCCTTTCTCCGCATCGCATCCGCTCCCGCGCGATCACCACACGTATACGTGCCTGACGCATCCCCCCGCTCGAGCCGACCCCCGCACCCCCATGCACGGCCGGCGATCCCCCGCACTGGCACAGTGGCCGACAGCACCCACCCTCCGCGTTCGCGATCACCCATGTCGCAGCGGCGAAGCGGATCGTCCGACCGCGAAAGCGAAAGCGCAACGACGTCCCGGTCCCCCTCCCGCGCCGCGCGCGGCACCCGCCCCTCGATCCTCGCCGCGCGCCCTCCTGCGCCGCGTCGCTCAGGGCCGCGCTGATTAGCTCCCCGCGCGGGCGCACCCCGCCCTGGGACCCGCGCGGGCCCCCGCCTCTTCCCGACCTTCGCCCGAGCCTTCGCAATACACTCCCCGCACGCCCAGCCCCACCCGTTCCCGGCGCGGCTCGGCGCGGCGGATCTGCGCCGCTGACGTCGTCGCCCCCGGCCCGCTGCGCGTTCTCCTTCAAGGTTCAAGCTTTACGAGGCTCGAGGCGACGGACGAAAGGCACGGAGCGACTCGCGCACGCGGGCGTCGCGCAGGGCAGCGCTCCGGGTTTCCCGCCCCAGCCCCCAGCGCTCAGCCCCCAGCCTCAGGACCGTGCTGTCACGCTGTCGGCGTGAGGTGTTCTTGCGGATGCGTTCCGGGCGACCGGGAGTCCGCGGTGGCCATGCCATGGCGGAGGTCTCGCGCCGTGCCTCTCGGGGGTTTTAAACTCGTCTGGGGCGTGGCGTGGGGGCAACGCCTCCAGCGCTTCAGGAAGAGTGACGGCTTTAGTCTGATAGCCCGTGAGTCTCTGCGAAGGTAGTGGGACGAGGCCTTGACGGGATAATCGGACTCGAGGAACCTAGACGTCGGTGTTGTCTGCGCACCACACGAAAACGTCCGGACTACAAGCGGAGGGCCGGCTCGCCCGGGGCAGGCCTTGCGTTGTTGTACGTACTCGTACGTGCGTCCTTTCTAGGCTCCTCGGTACTTACTGATTGCTCGACAGAAGTGGGCGGTCGAGTGGCGCGCTGCCAAACGCGCGTACTCTTTTTTTCGAAACCCAGATAACCTCGCAGGCAAGCACGCCATACTTGGCGCTATCCACATGGGCCTCTCCGCCCGTTGCGCCGCGACTTCTGCCTTCTCGTCAAATTTGGATCCTCCCGGTGCTGCGTCCGAGGCCCAGCGGAGAGTGCGCTCATAGCCATCCAACTACCGCAGGGCAGCCTTCCTCGCCCTCGCGCCGGCCGTTCCTATCGGCCGTCGCTCCACCTCCACGCACGACGGCAGGCACACGAACGCAAGAACATCGAACTACGCAAGGCTCCACTCCAGCCACAGGGCGCTCGTCCAAACTCGTCCCTCCTTGGGCGAGAAGCGCTTTTTGGGCCGGCCACACCGCAGAAGCCCTCCCAAAGCGTCGCGCACAAGCCTTGACCTCCCGAACACGTCTAAGCGACAGCCAGGAAGAAGGGCCCCAGCGCTCCTCTTCGACAGCGTTGTCCAATGCCTTTGCGTGGCCTGACCCTTCGGCGCTTCTGTGCGGCGCCAGCACCAGCGGGGCGCGCGCGATGTCTTCGCGGACGTCGCGCGCGCATGTCGTGCACGGCCCCGGCCCCGCGCGAACGGTTCTTGAAGACAAAAGCGTCTCCCAACGCCGACTGCACCGTGCGCTGGGGCCGCTCGCCAGGGGAGATCGCCGTCCACGTCTGCGCACGCAACATCGTTGGATCCGGGTCCGGTCTGGCCTTCGCTATCGCCACCGCTACTGTCGCACCAGCCGTTGGTCGCACAATCCGTCACTGCGATCATCGTCGACGGAGAGTATCCATAGAGCCAGCCCGAAGCTCTACTTGCGCTCGAATCCCCGGACTCCGCCTGCCTTCCCCGCCTGCCCCCACGCGTCCCCGGCGCCTGCGCCGCCGCATCCGGGTTCGCGTTCTCGTCGCTCGCGCATTCCTCGGTGTTGTCCCAAAGGCGCATCCCCCGGGCTTGTTGCGCTTCTTCGCGTCTGGTGCCGGTGCTGCTGCTGCGGCGACGCGGGCCCGTGCGCGCACGAGTCCGGCTCGCGGTGCGGCGGTGCGGAGGTGCGGAGGAGAGAGGCTTCGGAGCTCGGAGCCCGGGATCGAGGGGCGGGCGCCCCGGATCATCCGCTCGTCTCCTCCGACGGACGCGCGCGGTGCGGGTGTGCCCAGCACTTCTGCGCTGCTGATGCGCGCGGACGCGGGACGATCCCCCACGCCCAGCTGGAGACACGAACCGGAGGCGTGCTGTTGGTGTCGGTGTCGTCCGGACCCCTGCGTCGACGTTGCCGACCTCTGGGAGCCCAGGGCCAAGCCGAAGCTGCAACATAGTACACCGCTATGTGCACAACGCTCCGTCCTCGGATACTCCTCGCGAGACTGGTATCCATCGCACGTACGCGGCGCAGCCCCGCGCACGGCGGCCCTGACGCACGCTAGAAGGCGCGTAGCCTCCTCTCCCTCGGGCATCTCTGGCTTGTCAATGTCATCCACAGGCGACCCTCCGAGCCTCGAGCCTCGCGCCCGGCCCGCCGAGTCCAAGGCGGGGGGCACGATGCGGCGCGAGCCCCGGATCCCGAATCCCGCTGGGGGCGCGGATCCGTGCTGCCGCCCGATGGGCGCGGGGTCGGGGGTCCGTGCGGGGACGCGGTGCGGGGGTGGCCGGCCGGCCGGAGGCGCGGACGCCGACCAAGCGCCCGGCCTCGCCGTCGCCGCGTCGTCGGTGTCTGGGCCGTGGGACACGGAAAGGGAAGGCTGAAGGCTAATCCAAAACCATGAAGGGACATTGTGGGAGTACAATGTGCCGGCGCCACACAGCTATCCCGCAAGCAGACTGTCGTCCTTCCGCCCTGGCCCCGAAGCTGATGCGCACTTCATGTAGGTTGAACGCTGCCGCGTTCAGCTCGCGGCGCGAATGGCGTACATACGATGGTTTTTATAAATTAGCCAACGCGCCGTGCACGACGCGTCCCCACGGCGTCACCCCGCTGATGAGTGTCAGAGGCGGAAATGGAGGGAGATTCGATCGTGCCGCCCCCGCTCCCAGGCGGTGCAGATCGCGATGAAAGGCCTGAAACGTCGACGAACGCTCGCACTCTTTCTCGATCCCTCCCGCTGCATGCGTTGCCTGCGGGCGGGCGGCAGACCGCACTGGCTCCCTCAGAAGCTCGAACTGCGGGCTGTCGCGGCGCTGTGCTGGGAATTAAAAGCAGGGTGGCCCCGTTGGTTCGGACCAGCCTTGCTCGCTGTGTTCTAGCTCGCGTTCTGGATCGACGCAATTTCACGCTGTTCGTAATGCGCATGCATGGTACGAGTGGCCCTTATTCACATCTGTCTCGAAGTGCACGCTTCAAGAACAACCTTGTCAACTCAACGCAGGCCCCGCGCCGCACACACCTCCGCACAGCACCCGCACATCCCAGCACCAGCGAATATTAAGCATCGGGCACGGGACTCTCGATCGAGCGCACGCGCGGCCAACAAGGCTCGAGGCCAGCTGCCACGCTTCCGCGAGCGTTCGCGCCCGGTCCCGCGCCGTGGCCTCGCAGGGCGCGCGTACATACCGGGCAGGAGGCGACCGACCGAGATCACGCTGGCCTGGCTCTATCCACATGCCTCCCGCGGGTTAAGATGCCGGCGGGGTCGCGAGCGCGATCACTCCGTACGTCCGCGCGCGACTCTCCGTGGGGCCGTAGGTGGGGGGCTGTGGGGGGCTCATCGGTCTGTAGCCCTGGGCCTGGGGGTCGTGGGGCCTCAGCGCGGCCCCGAAGGCGACGGAGCCGTGTGCGTATGCGCTACCAGGAGCGAACTTCTGCGCCGACCAGGTCCACGCACATCGTTGTGCATCGCCCGCCCCGTGCGACGGGTGCTCGTGAAAAGGCCAAGGGCGGTGGGGAACGAGACGATCGAACGCGTGGGAGGAGCATTCGCCAGGGGCTTCCGAGTTCGATAACCAGGGCCTTCTAAGTGCGTGCGTCTCTTTCGCGCCGGGCGGCTGGACGTGGGACGCACGCCCTCGAATGCGGGGGGCGACGGAACGCGAGCACCAGTGCGTGTGCGTCACGGACGAAGCGTGTCCCGCAGGTTCGCGCGGCGGTCGTGGAAAGGCGTCCCCGCGCGGGAGCCGGTGATCTATGTGCGCAGACGTGCACGCTGCAGCGTTCGGTAGGCCCATCGCCCCGCACGGGCGCGTGGGAGAACCCGCTGGCCACACCTTGCCTGGACGCTGCAGCAAGATCCGGGGGCGGTACGAAGTCAACTTTGCGCTTATGCCCACGACCTCTCCGTGCCCCCCACGGTGCCCGGCGCGGTGAGAGCAGCAGCAGCCGCAGCGAGCTCTACATCGACCGATCCTGGCCAGTGAGAGCGTCGAGTCGGAACGGGACGCCACGACGGCGTCGCGGGCGCCTGTCTACCCCGCATTGCCCCAGGCACGGGCAGGGCGCGGCAGCGTGGCGGGCGAGTGCTTATCCATCAGCAACTCAAAAGCTACGCGCGCACGCGCGCCGTGCGCGACGACGACGCGCCTCGCTCGGTCTCGCGGCGCTTCCAGATCAGGTTTCCCGGCGAGCGGATGGTTGGGCGTGGGGCGCGCAGCGCTGAGCGGAGGGCGCGCGGGCGAGCGTGGGCGCGCACTATGTCCGCCCGAGAATGGAGGCCGATGGAGGCGCGGCGGCAGGCGGCAGGCCCAGGGCGGGGCGGGGCTGGGGGCTGCCGATATGACCGGACGGCCTGCCGCTTGCGCTGGCGGCTCTCTTCAGCCTGTCGAGGAGGCCATGGACTCATGTGAAGACTGAGTACTGAAGGTGCGGGGATGCGGGGAAGGTGCGCAGCGAACAAGTCGACGCACCCCTCCCCCCGAGCCACAGTGCGGGAAACGGTACGCACCGTGGCTGAGGCTGGACACGCTCAGCGGGGAAGCGAGCGCAGAGAGGGCGAGGGCGTTGCGCGATCGGGACGCGGGGAGCGAACATGCGGCGCGCGCGAGGCCGTGGGTGGAGGCTGCAGACTCGGAATCTCGGAGGTGGGGGGTGCGCAAGCGCACATCACCTTTGATCGCGGTTCTCGGTAGTAGCTCATGGTGATACTTACAGGTCAGTGTGAGTGAGTCAAACGATGCGTAAGTACCAAAGGCGGGACTCGAGAGGGCGCGCGGACCGGACGGGCGCTGTAGCTAGGGGCGGCCGCGATGGGCGCTCGCGTCGCCGTCGGAGGACCGGGAGTGCGCTTTGCACAGACGGAGCCGGTGCGCCTCCACGCTGAAACGAAGTCCAAAGCGGGGGTGGCGAGGTTCGAGCAGGGGCGACGGACTCGAGCTCCGGGGTGTCTTGATGTCGGGTAAGTGCCCTGGACACAGCTTGCCCTGCGACGGTGGTCGGCGGCCGTCGCGTTCTGCGCGTGCGGGGCGAGCAGAGAACACTCGCTGTGGCCCAGTGGACGAGGAGTCGTCGGGTGGACGGAAGGGGGCGTCCCTCTCGAGGGTCTTCCACCGCCCGGGGAACACGACGATCGAGGCGATTACGTCAAGAATGGCGCATCCGCCCCGACACGGACTGATTGCTGTCGACCCCGACGTCGAGGACGCTGCCCGCGCCGGACGCAGCGCGAACGACGGCCGCGGGTGCACGGCGGTGGGGGCGGGGGCGGGGCGGGGGCGGGGTCCGGGGTCCGGGGGGACGGATGAGCCGTGCGGGGACTGGCCGGGGACTCGCTGATGGCGGCCCATTGGCGGGCCTGTGTTTGGTCGTGCTGGGTGCGATCTGAGATCCGGGGGCCCAAGAGAGCGGAAACGCGGGGTAAGCGAAAATAATAATAAGATTGGCGATAAGTGAATGGTTGTGTTTAAGGCCCGGGTGCGGGGTCGACTCCCGCCCTCGCCCTCCCTGGCAGACTCCCTCGAGCTCTCACCTCTCCCTAGCCACACCCTCCAATGAGCTCTGCCTTCTTCCCGTCCTTCAAGCCCCAGGTTCTCTCCCGCACAGAGGGCTTCCACCTCCCCTCCCCGCCTCCCTCCAACTCCCCGCCTTCCCCTCCCGCCAACCCCACATCCTCCTCGGGAACCGGCAACTTCGACAACCTCTTCGTCCCCCCACTCTTCTCCGTCCCCGACTCCTTCCGCAAGTTCCCCTCCCACTCGACCAGCGAACAGTCCGGCAACATGGATTTCTCCGACGAGCTGGCCTCGCTCATCGCGACCCCCTCCCAGGCACACATCCACAACTCATCCCACGAACGCTCCACCCAATCTCCAGGCGCGTACGATGACTACCGATCCCATCACACCCACAACATCTTCGACATCTCCGCCCCCACCTCCCACCACCAATCGTCCCATCACTTCGGACACCAGAACCCCTCCTTCTCCCTCCCCCCGCATCCTCCCTCCATTCGAGCTCCCTCCATGGACCGTCCTCCGTCCACAGCACACATCCCCTCCACGAGTTCAACGCCCACTCCCACTTCAACTCACCGTCCCCGCCATCGGCTCTTCCATGCGCTACGACCTCCATCCTCCCCGACGAACACCAACGGCGCGAACCCGTTCTCCGGCAACGGCGGCGAGTCCTCGTCCTTCCAGTCCCACATGTCCAACCTCTCCAACATCTCCTCGTTCTCCAACATGCCCAACCCCTCCGACTTCCACCTCAACGGCCCCGCGAACGGCCAGCGGCACACGCCGTCCCCGTCTCCGCGAACGGGGCCGGGACGGAGTTCTCGAGGAGCCGGTCTCGCTCGCGCGCTCCGGCCGCGAGCATGGACCCCGCCAACCCGCCGAGCACGAACGGCGGCCCGGCCCGCCGCACGCGCACCAAGCGCAACAGCGTCTCGAGCGTCTCCCCGCCCCCGCTCATCGCGGGCACACCCAGCCCTCGTGATCCCCAGCGGGAGCGGCGCGGGGCGCGGGCCCGCGAGCCCGCTCAGCCTCCACACCCAGGGCTGGTTCATGCCCTCGGGCCAAGGTAACGAGTTGGGCTTCCCACTCCGGAGAGCGTGCATGGTGCGTTCCGCGTGTCGCGTATTCAGATAGGCCGGCGGTCGAATGAGCATCCCTTTTCCCCTTTCCTTCCCACATAGGCTTCAGCGCGTTCAACGGTGGGACCAGCTTGGGGTCCGTGGGCTTGGGGGTCAGTCCGAAAGACGCGAACGTTCCCGGGATGGGCATCGTCGGCATGCAGAAGGGCGGCGAGACCCCTCCGGACGAGCTCGCTACGAAACAGTGCGTGTGCCGTCCCGTTCTCCCCGCCAGCCACCCGCTCATGCTGTCCGAACCGTGTCCGCCGTGTCCTCCCGCGATCTCCGTCCCGCGTGCGTTTGCCTTGCCCGATGACGTATGGCGGGAACACAGGGCGATAATTGCCAACGAGAAGCGCCGCCGGAGGCGGGAGTCCCACAACGCGGTCGAGCGCCGCCGGAGGGACAACATCAACGAGAAGATCTCGGAGCTCGCGACGCTCATCCCAGAGTGTCTCCTCGATCCGAATGGTGTGTGGCCCGCGTCGGATCGCGGGTGATATCAAAGCTGACATGAGGGACGGCTTAGCGACGATGACCGTTCCCGCCTCGCTCTCGCAGGCGACGAACGAGGACCTCATCTTCGGAGTGACGATCAAAGACTCCGGGGAGAAAAAGGAGGGCTCTGGCAGCGCCGAGCCAGAAGACATGAACCCGTCTTCGACGCCGACGACGACGACAGGGGGGAGCGCTGCGAACACCCTCGAAAACAACGCCGCGAAGGCGAACAAGGGCATGATTCTGCGCAAGAGCGTGGAGTACATCCGCTACCTGCAGCAGCTCGTCGGCGCGCAGGCGACCCGGAACCGCGACCTTGAGCAGCAGCTGCAGGCATTCCGCTCGGGCGGTGTTCCGTCGTCCGCGTCCGTCCACGGGGACGGGGACGGAGACGGGGAGATGAAGCTCCACGACGAGGTCGACGGGTTCCTCCTCAATGGCGCATCCGGAGACGCACCCGCCGCTGGGGGCCGCCCGCGGCGGGGGAGCGTGCGCAAGGGGTTCAACAGCGGGTTTGGAGACCTCCCGAGCGTGGAAGAGATGGACCAGGACACGGAGCTGGAGATGGAGCGGCCGTCGACGGCTGGCACCGGAGTCTCGCCTGGGAGCAGCTTGGACGACGACGACGTGGATGACGAGGGAGAGGAGGACGACGGGGACGAGGAGATGGAGATCATCGAGCGCGGGCGCAAGGGGCGGGACGGGCGACCGGTCGGGAAGCGGGTGGGGCGCAAGGGGAAGAGCGTGTCGGTGGACGCGGGGGCGAGCCCGGTCGCGGTGAAGGTCAAGAAGGAGGCGGACGGGATGGAGATCTCATGAGGATGGGACGGGCGGCGGGCGCGTGGGTGGGGGCGCGCCGCCGCCGCGATGCGCCGCGGTCGAGGCCGCGGTCGTCTGTGGATGCGAAAACGGCCGGCCGTCGGCCGTGCCCCCCTCCCCGCTATGAGTTGCTCGTTATGCGTTATGCCCCCATGCGTTCCTCGTCTCTTCGCCCTCTCCCCGCCACCCTCTCCTCCTCCCTGCCCTTTGACTCGCTCGCCCCCGCATGTGTTCCCGCCCCGGTCTCCGCCCACCGCTGCGCATCATCTCCGCGCAGCGCCCCTCCGCCGCATATCCTCGTTGCATGATTCCCGCGCCGCCGCTGCCGCCACTGCTCACTTGCCCCGCGCCCCCGCTCATACGTCCCGCCCATCACTCCGCCGCGTTCCCTGCATCGTGCATTCTATCTATCGCCCCCTCCGCCGCCTCTGCCTCTCGCACTCACGCCCACGCTCACCACCACGCTTACGCTCACGTTCGCGCCCGCGCTATCGATCGCCGCCTCGAAGTCCACCGGAGGAGCCGCCGCAGGGCCCTCCATTGTATCTGTATAATGCCATCTTCCCGGCCGTTGTCCATCGTCTCCCTCTCCCTTGCCTGTTCAGTGTTCACGCACGCACGAAGTCGTCTTGACATGTAAGTTCTCGGATCGACCGAGGTTTTTTTTCCAACCCCCTAATTCACGAATCGTTGGATCGAGCCTCTGATCGACTTGAAGAGCGCACAAGCCTGGGGCTAGTTTCGTGCGCGCCGCGCCCGTCCGCCCGTCTCCCCCTTTTCTAGCTAGTTAGGGCGTACGTAGGACCCCCCTGTCGCAGGCGCGCCCGTTCCCCCGCACCCCGCACCCCGTGCGAGGCGTCACAGCCACCCCCGCACGTCTGGCGTACGCGACGGGGTCGATGGAGGCGGTGGCGGTGGGTGGGTCGACGCCGTTTGTTTCTCTTCCTCCTCCTCGTAGGGTTCCAAGCGGGGGAGTTCTCAAGATCTCACGGTCCAGCCTAGGCGCGCGCACAGTACTTCGGGCAGCGGCGAGCGGGCGCGCGCTGGTGCACATACGTCCCACCGATGCGCGCGCACCAGCTGGACGAACTGTGCACCCGGTGCGGCCGCGCTTGGCCCCGAACGCGAGCCGCCGAGCGAGGCGCGTCGACGTCATCGCGAATGCCGCGGCTTCGACTCCACCGCCAGACGCACCGCGCGCGAACGTCCACCGTCCGGTGGCCTGGCCAGTGGCCACCGTCCGAGGTTTCCCCGGGGCTCAGCGCGAGCATTGGGCGCCGTGGGCAGGGAGAGAGAGAACGAAGCCGTTCCGTTTGCGTCACGGCACGGAGCGTACAGTACATACGTACAGGGGAAAAGAACTCGTCGCGCGCGCGCCTGCGATGAACCGTAAGTACGTCCCCGCGCGCGGCGCGGTGCGGAGGCAGCGCTCGGGCGCCCGCAGAGCGCGTACGGAACATGTACAGGCACATGTGTGTGGCCCGGCCACACCTGCCACCGATTGCCCAAACGCGGCGGGAGACGCGCGCGTTCGCTCGACGCACGTACGGCCACACGGCGGGAATCTCGTCGTCGATCGACGCGACGCGCATTGAATCGCGGGCCGTGCGCGCGGCGTCACGGGGCGGGCCTCGCGTCCTCCGCTGCTGTGCGTCCGCCGCGTGCGCGACAGACTGGGTTGGACACGTGAGCGCGAAGGGCGAAAGGAGCTGGGGGGGAGACGACGAACGCTGCTGCTCGATCGTGCGGGGGCCCCGCGGTGGACGCCGCGGACTGCCTGACGGCCTGCGGGGGAGGACACAAGGCCCCGCGGGAAGCCTCGCGGGCTCTGGAACGCGCGCCAGAACGCTCTCAGCTGGTCGGCCGTCGCGGCGGATCGATCGAGCGCTGCGTTTCCGCTGTGGCCCGTGGCCCGTGGGCTGCAGGCTCCCCGGACATTAAAAGCCCTTCACGGCACTTCCCCTCCGGCGCTGCTCGAATCGGCGGGGGGCGTGCACGGGATTCGGCGTCGGAGATGCGCGCGGGCGATCGGGTCGCTCCGTGTGTCCCCGCGCCCGCGCGCGTACGACGTACGTGTCTGCGTGGGAGCCCTGGGGTGGGGGTGGTGGACCACTGGACCTTGCGCGCGTGCGCATTGATCGCTGGACTTCGTCCACCGCACGGCTTCGCCGGCGATGCAGACGTAGCGGTGAGATCGAGGTGCTGGATCACCTAGCGGTGTCCGTGCCGTTCCTGCTCTCCGTGGGCGGAGATGCGGACGGGCGACGCAGGCCAAGGTGTCGATGAAGACCGCCGGTGTGGTCCATGAGCCGCCTGGAAGCGATGCATTGACGTGACTAGCTCGTAGCGGCCCACCCTTCTACGTCAATGCTTACTTGAGTTCAACGAGGCACGGGGACCTCCACTGGAGAGCCCTCGAGGCCCTTTCGTTCCACCTTCTCACTGGCAGGCCCCCGTCCCCCAGTCGCGCTGCAGATCGAATAGTCAGCCACGCCCACAACATACATGATGCAGAGGGCCAACACGTACCAGCTCCCCACGGCGGTAACCACCAGCACATCTCCATGATAGACCGCTCGCCGGGTTCGTGGGCCCGTAGAACATGTCCGATCGCCATATACCGTGGTCTCCGTGTGATGGACCATCACTCAGCACGGACGGCCTCCCCCGGGCAGGACAGGACACCGTCCTAACCGCAGCGGCGTCGCGAGCCCCGCACGTCCCGCGCGCGCGCGCCAGGGCGGGCCCCGGTCGGATGAGCACACAAGTACGTCCGTGTACGTACTTGGCGCCGCGCACGCGCGCGCCCGCGACGCACCCAGCAGCAGCAGCGTTCCTTCCCCGCCGTGAGATCCATCGGCGTCGATCTCCTCAAGGCCACAGTGCTGCTGGGGGGTCCCGCAGGGTCCCGCGCGGTGGTTGAACGTTGATGGTGTCCGTGGGCCGCTTGGGACGCAGAGATCCGGCGGGGCCGCTTGCGGCCGGCCCTGGGCGGTGTGAGCGACGCATGGAGGGGCATTGATTTGATGTGCGTACGGGCACTCGATCGGTAGGACGCCGAGGTGCCTTCAAGGAGCCCGAGGCAGCCTGAGGCTCGGTGAGTTGACACGGCCGACCGATAATCCTACCCCAGTTACTCAGATCTCAGACTCCGTGCTCCGATCGGGCTACTACTGCGAGAAGGGGTGCGTCAGACTTATTAGAGCGGGTAACGGGCTGCAGCTACCTCAACACGCACCTATAAGTAAGCCCCGGTCAACCTGGTCAACCGCTCTGACATGTGTGATCGCCGGCGGCCGGACGCGAGGTGAGATGCGTCAGAGCCCAGAAACCCCGCACGAACTATTAGCGGCGGGGGCACTCGCAACTTTTTAAATTAGGCCAAAAACTCGGAATCGGAGGGCGGCCAGTGGCCGAAGGCGGGCCAAGCGAGACAAGGCACCCGCCGCCCCCGCCGCCCTCGCAGCGGGGACCCCGGCACACCGCGCGGCTGCGCCTTCTGCCGGGCCTCTGGCAGCGTGCGGGGTGCGGGGGCGGGGGCGCGATCGGCGGCGGGTCTCGAGCCGCATGCTCATCCGTTTTCCCGCCCGTGGGGCTCGGCCCCGCGGTGGGCACGGGCTCCGGAAAGTCCGCGCTTTGCGGTCGTCCTTGGCTCTCTCGACTCTCGAGCTCGAGGGGAAAAAAACGGGAGCATTTGGGGGACATGGCCAAACGCGCACGCGCGGAACGGACGCGGTTTTTTGCGAGCTCGGTGTGCATTGCGCTGGAACTGCGCCCCCCCCCCCTCACCGCGTCGATCGACGATCGGTCGCGTTCGCGACGGGGCCGGGCGGCGGACGTGCGGCGAGCGCGAGGGCGGGGCCAATCGAACGCCGCCGCGCTCGACACCGGACGGTGCTCGTCGCTCGAGGACTCACGTCCGTTGATGGCCATGATTCATGAGGCCTGTCTCCACTCCACCGACGGCCGCTCCAATAAGAGCCAAAAAACCGCGCGTCGTACGTCGCCCGCGTCCGCAGAACTCATGTATGGCGTGCGCGGGGTCCCCCAGAATAGACGCCTGAACACTCCCCGCCTTCCCAAGCGCCCAGGGGTCGAACCTCTGCGGCAGGCCGGCTGGATAGAAAGGTAGCGCGACTGCCCAAAAACGCACGAGGAATACCCCGCGCGCGCGCCGTAGCCTGGTGTCGCGCAAGCTCCGGGCAGAGTTGGCCATCGAGTAAGCTTCGCGCCTCACGGAGCGCAGCGCTAAGGCTCCTCGATCGTGAAGCGCTCGCGCCTTACGGCACGACTCGGACGGGAGGGGTGCCGGTGAGGCTCAGGGAGGACCGCGGGCGCTGCCAGGCCGTGGCCGCGCCCGCAATGCGCTCGGTCACGGACCGCGGGAGAAGGGCGGGGACTGAATGGCTCGAGGGCGATCTGGACCGGCAGCGATAGACGATGATTAGACACGGTCGCGGTGGGATGCAGAAGCGGACAGACTCACTGTATGAGCGGGGGGCCTGCAGGGCACGAGGCTACAGGGCATCGACCCCCGGTCGCTTCAGCCGGTCGAAGAAGCGGGAGTGTGTGTGTGGATGGAGGAGACGATGGTACCGCACGGGCGCGCACACGCCTCGCGCGCCGACGATACGAGCCGTCACGGGTGCGCGTCGGGCCGACGAGACGGCGGGCGGGCACGAAACGGACGCGCGGATGCAAAAAGGCGCATGGTCCGCGAGGAGAGTTGCTGGAGTCGCGCAAAAGGTGGCCCGGTACCAGTACGCATGGCGAGGGCGCGGACTCGGACCCCGCAAACGCGCGTGTGCCGAGCGCGATTGGCCCGCGCGGGGAGATAGAACGCCCGGCGCAGACGCAGCGCGCGGCCGGGATGTTTTGGAGGCGTGGAATCGTGCGCGCGCGGGATTATGGGGACGCTTCGCGGCGGTGCTTCGTGCGGAGAGGGGGGCCCCGTCGCGCGGTAAGCGCGGCGCGCGCGGAAGACCGCGCGTGCTTCGCAGTGTGTGGCCGCGGGCGCGAAGGAGGGGCGCATGTGGTGGCGTGGAGGGTTCAACGAACGGGCGTATGGAGGTCGTCGATGCTAATGTGTACAAAACGGTGCGCGCATGCCGGGCGCGAGGGGGCTTCCCAGCCAGACCTGCTCGCGATGCGCACGTCCTCTATATAGCTGTGTGCGTCGACGGCAGAGGTACAGGTTGTGGCTGGCGTCGACAGCGAGCTGAGAACGGACAAAGTGTGGCTGCGAGGTCGATACGTAGCGTGAAGAGGACTTTGACCCCTTGGACCGGGCATTTGGCCAGACCGGCGCGCGGGCCCGAGCTCCGGCCTGCGGACCCGCGCTCCGCTGGTGCCGGCGTGTGGGGGCCAGAGAAGGGCCGCGCGAAGGGCGGGGCTCCCAAAGTTCCAAAGTTCCAGGCGGTAGAACGGGCGGTGGAGCGTGGCAGGCAGGGGCGGGGACGGCGTCGGTGGAGAGGCTCGGCGGGGTGTAGAAGGCTCTGGAGACGTCGACGAGGGCGGAAGACGAAGGGGCGTGCGGTGACAATGCTCCGCCGTCATGCTGTGGAGAGCAGAGGGTGCCGTGCTCTGATGGGAAGCGGGGCTTCGTGCAAGGCTTGCACGCCGAGCGCACTGTCCGACGCCCAGGACAATGGAGGCCGAAGGAGGAGCGACGAGGCGAGTGCGCGATCTGGGTCGATAACGGCGATCGTCCTCGATAGGCAAGGCGTCCATCCGGCAAGGGGATTGGCCAAGACGCCGGGGGCGATGGCGATCTTGGATGCGCAGGGACCAGGCCGCGGACGGCTTCTTGTCCAGCACGGACCTTGAGGACTGCGTCGATGCGGAGCCCCGCACAACCTGCGCACGTAAACAGTCCCGGCCATCCGTCGGCATACTGCTCCAGTCAGAGATACATCCACGTAATGTACAACACACACCTCGTCGTCCACTCCCAATCATTCCGCGTTCTCGTCAGCTAGTACAGTTGCATGCCCCATTCCGGAGATTCTTTAGTTGGACCAGTTTTGAATCGCTCACGTTCATCGGGATTTCGTCCGACGCTCAAGAAGTGGACCTCGAAGGAAACCGATTGGTGAAGGACAGATGGGTATGGTTTGAGGTTGAAGCTTGTTGAAAATCGCAGGTACGTAGAGAGTTACCAGTGACAGTAACGTCCGTGTACTAGAGCGCCGACTGTGATGTATTCGGTGTCACATTCCTCTGAGCCGCAGCGTGACGCGCCACCGACATTTCAACTTGCCTTGCACCCTTGCCTCATCTACTCCTTGGCCAATTCACCAGTCAGATCGATATATATTGAGCACATTATATCGTCTCTACGCCACAGCAGAATGGATAACCATGGCTCGTGGGACCTCGATGAGGATGATATCGAACCTACCGGCCTGCCCTTCCAACAACCACAGATCGAGTGGCGGTACGTTCTCTCCACTCCATCCCCAAACCACCAACGACCCACTCACGCCCACACCCACACCCCACCAGCGAGGTCGAGGCCTTCCTCCCCGCGGACGCCTACCCGATCTTCCACCCCTCCGACGCCGACGTCGCCCACATCCTCGCCCTCATGGACACCACCGCCGTCGAGCTCGAGCTCGCCCCCGGCGAGCCCGTCGCGTCCGCCTCCGGCAACCAGTTCGCCGACCTCCGCGACGGCCGCGTCGTCAAGGTCGGCTGGCGCGCCTCCGAGCTCATGCTCGAGGCCTACGCCCTCGTCCTCGTCCGCGCCCGCACCCGCGTCCCCGTCCCCCGCGTGCACGCCGCCTTCGTCCGCGACGACGCCGCCCACCTCGTCATGGACCGCGTCGACGGCCTCCCGCTCCACCGCGCCTGGGCCTCCCCCGGCGGCGGCGCCGACCGCCACGCGCAGCTCCCCCGCCCCGCCCTCCGCGCCGTCCTCCGCCAGCTCCAGGGCGCGATGGACCAGCTGCGCGCGCTCGGCGAGCGCCTCGCCGCGCAGGCCGGCGGCGCCGCGCGCGGCCGCACCGCGCCGATGCGCCCCGCGTTCGGCTCGTGGCCGCGCCAGCCGTACGCGCACGCCGCGTTCGTCGACGAGCGCGCGCCCGCGGGCCTCCAGGCGCCCTCGCTCGTCTTCGCCTCCCTCGCCGAGTTCCACGCGTACTGGCTCGCGCGCTTCGGGCGGCACGCCGCGGACCCCGCGTACGCGGACCTGCGCGCGCTCTGGGCGCGCAGCGAGGGCGGGAGCGCGGCGCTGCCCGAGCTCATGCACGGCGACCTCGCGCCGCGGAACGTGCTCGTCAAGGACGGCGCCGTCGTCGCCATCCTCGACTGGGGCACGTTTGGGTGGTACCCCACCTTCTGGCAGATGATCGGGATGTGGGCCCAGTTCAAGCCGAAGCGGGTCGAGGACGCCATCAAGGAGGTCTTTGGGGGGCCGTCGCGCGAGGCCTCGGTCTACGTCGAACTGCTGGCCCTGCTCGACAACCCGTCGTTTGTGGAGGACGAATGAGGTCTGGTCCTGTCGCTGTGTACGAACGCGGTCGTGTCATTGGATACCCGACACATGCTATGCTACTTCCTTCCCCGTCGCTTCGGACACACCTCGTGCCCCTTCTACTCGTACCGCGGTAGCTTCGCGCTCAGCTCCGACACCTCCGTGATCGGCAACCCACAGGCGAAGTTCTCGCAGATGCGCACCCCGGGGCGGGGTGGCGCCTCCCCCTTGTCTAAACCTTCTATGAGGCTCTGGAGAGCGCTGTTCACCTTCGCAAGCTCGCGAGGTGGATTGGTGGGGTCGAGGTGGATCAGAACGCGGTTCGGGATGAACGTCGTCCGGACTGTTTGCAGCAGGGGTGTGCCGTGCGGAGAGCCCGTATGAATGAACTGCATAGCGCAGGCACACGGTCAGATGGGGACATCTGGATGTGAAAAACAGCATACCTGCATATAGCCCTTATCCGCCATCAACGCCGCCGAGAGCATGGCGGAGCTCACGAAGGGAGCTTTATTGAGGATCTGTCCGTTGGAGATCACGATGCTCTGCGCCTTCTCGCTGTACGCCGTGTGGCTATCCGCGTCGAAGTGCGAGAGACGCTGGAGGTTGGAAAGGGTTATCGATGCCGCACTGGGCTCGGCGCCGTCCTGGGGCACGTATATGTGAGCACACGATCTGGACGACTGGCGGCGGTACGTACTTGCGCATCCTTCATGCGGATCAGAATGTGTTCGTCAGGCGCAGACGCGAAGTACCCGCCGCCTTCGGGATCGTAGAAGAGCTCGTCTTGCTTTGCTTGGAGACGAATGGCCCACAGTGCATACTCTTCTTTGCCGCCGGCTTCATAGAGATCGAGCAACCCTGAACCGCGCCGCTCAATCGCCGTGTTGCTGCGATCGAAAGACTGCAGAGCATACCTTGGATGAGGAACGCGTAGTCATCGGCTTGTCCCACTGGGCCTTTGCCTTCGCGGAATGATCGGCTGAGCGTGCCGCTGGCCTCATCGTAGAGGTTACGCCGAACAAACGCGGCGGAATTCTCCGCTAGCTTGAGGACTTCCCTGGACACTTCGACCTTGTGGAAGAAAACTTCGGAAGCCCGAGATAGGCCCGATATCTACACGGGCGTTAGAGCTATGCCAACAACCACGGAGAAGGCTCCTTGCCATTAGTCCGTTCCAAGCCGTCACGACCTTGTCGTCGAGGTGGGGACGCGGACGGTTCTTGTCGCGAAAGTCGCGCAAGGTTGCGAGACTCCTGGCTAGTATTGTTTGCGCCTCCTCCTCGAGCCTCCCGAACTGTTGCGCGGTCTCGTCGACTGTATGCGCGGTATACAGAACGTTCTGCTCGAGGATAAGTCACAACGTTGAACAGCAACGACTAAAACACCCGCCTGTCCCTTCAACTCGCCCTGGATATCGTGACGCGGGTCGCAGTTGCCATCTTGCTCGACACCGAAGTGGTACTTGAACAGCTCGGCGTCGGGTCCAAGAAGCTCGTCCATTGCTGGGCGGTCCACACGTAGATGCGCCCTCTTTCTTGACGGTGCTGTCGTGCGTGGGCAGCGAGTCCGCGTCTTCAGCGCTGTAGAACCTCCTTCTGGGCTCGTGAGATCCTTTCCGACGTAAGAGATGATGTCTTTCGCCATCAACCCCAAAGTGACGCGTTCCTGCGAGCTGGAAGGGAGCAGCTGATAGAGCTCAGGGCGGAAGAAAGGAGTGTCCCTGATCGTAACTGTATGCTAACCTCAGTGGGCAGATGGACCTGTATTAAGGAGATACTTACAGCATCTTTTCGACTGGCAATGAATTCAATTTACAGCACCTTTGAATAAGCGGGCATGCAACTCACAGTGGGGAACGTGCCATCGCGCATCAACAGAGTATCGAGAGAACCTCCTCCTACAACGTCTCGAATGCCGCCATTATAGATCTTGGTCATCGTTTTCAGTGCCATGTCTCGCGCCGCCTTTGCTTTGTCCAAGTCTTGCGGCGAAGTGTTGGCATCTCCGAGATGGTAAGCGGTAAAACGCGATAAGAAATAAGTTGTTTGGGAGATCGAAGGGAACTTCGGTGCAGTGCCGAACCCGCCATTCGCCGAGTCGAAGCGCTTTTGCAGGCGTTCGAAAACATTCGTGGCAAGGTTGCGCACATGAATGCTAGAATCAGGACAACCTATGAGAACGAATGAGCAGCAACGCGATATTGGCAGAATCAGAACCGACATGTGTGGTCTGTTGGAGGGCTTCGATGCCTTGCTGACCAGATTTCCGACAGCGCTCCGGGTCTTCTTCCCACCTGGAATGGGGCATGAGATCATTGGGTGGACGCAGATAGAGAGCACATACGCTTCTGCGAGAGTGGTGAGGATTGAGCGAAATCGGCCTGCAGGAAAGTAGGTCTGAAATGTGTTTAAAATGAACTACGGTCATAAATGTACCATCCGATCACTCACTCCTGCAAAGAATGGGTGTAGCTCTGGCGTGAGCCCTGAGTTGACTGACTTTAATACCGTGTTGTATGCGCTCAGGTGTACCAAGACTTACATATAGACATGGGCCATCCGCCTCCGCCAGAGATGCCCTGAAGGAACATCATGTAAAGGCGATCGACGTCCGGGCGTTCTTCACGATCAACCTGCGACACCTCTCAGAGAGTGGGGATGGCGGCTCGGTGAGGAAACGAACCTTGATGTTGACATAGTAATTGTTCATAATCTCGGCCGTCAACTCATCCTCAAAACTTTCATGTGCTAGCACATGGCACCCTTCATAGCAGACACATGAGTCCTTCATGCATCAGAGGGAAATACTACTCACAGTGACACGCGGAATATCCGACCTGTTCTCGACTAAGAAGCGTCCTCGCGCCCCACGAAGACAAGGACGTACAGAGAGAAAGATGGGTTTGTTCTCAGCCTTCGCTTTCTCAAATGCCTCCTGACCCCACTCATACCAGTCCACCTAGCGAAGGGAGGGGTGTCGGCGCATTCTCGTGGACGCCAACTGGTAGTACACCCACTGGGTTGTTCGCATGCTGGAGAAGATACGGACTCTTGGCATTAACCAAGTGGTTCGTATGTGTGGTCTTCATAGGCCCCTCTGTTTCCATTCCGCGTGTGTGGAAGCCTGCTCTCCACGGGGTCTTTGAACGGATTTGTTGGGAGATCGTGGTAGAAACGTGGAGGGTGGACACAGGTGGAAATGAGTGGACTTGACGACGCGCGCTCTTCCCGACGAGGTTTACAACAAGAGGGCAGCGACAGCTGGCCAGGATCGTGGTGACATGCATGCAGAGAAAAGCGAGAGTTGTGGGAGCGGAGGAGTTGCCGGGGTGATGACGTGAGTTAAGCCTAACCATGATCTAGGGCTTACCCCCGGATTCGGGCCGCTGAGCTCGTGAGTGACTTTGGGCAGCTTTGGGCCTCCGACCGAAGTGTCCGCCACGGTACCTCTGCCTCCACCATCTCGACGCTTCCGCTGTCGCTCCGCTAGCTCATTATACAGGCGGCGCATCTTCCGCCCTCTGTCTCCCGCGCACGCCAGCATGGCGTCCCTGCGAGCGAGCATCGAACTTCCTCTCGATGTGGAGTTCATCATCCTCGACCACCTCCGCTACGACAAGCACTCAACAATGACTTGCTCGCTTGTATGCAGAGCTTGGAAGGCTTCGTGTCAACCCCGCCTGTTCCAGGTGCTTAAGATCAAGGCGTCCGAAAGCGAGGGCACGCTCCATGCATTCGACCACTTCCTTGCCGCAACTCCCGAGCTCGGCTCGTTCATTCGACACCTCCACATTAGCGGAAATCTCACAAACACCGAATACCCATCGGAGCGGTGCCAGATGCAACACCTCGCGAGGACAAACCATTTCTAAGTACGCAGCTCCTCCACGATCTTCTCTCCAAGCTCCCTTCCCTCCGTACGCTGGGCCTCGCCCTCGTCCGTTTGACCGGCGGCGAGCTCAATCCCAACACACCACTATGCCGACCGGAGTTGGATGCACTTGATATCACCATGGGGAATCAAGTCAAGAGTGTGGAGGACATGGTTGCCCTCCTCAGCCCCATCAGCCTTTTCTCGCGCCTCGGCCAACTTCGCTTTTCGGCGATGTCCTTCGCAAGCAAAGACCCGGAGCTGGTGAACGCCGATCTCGCGCTCAAGCACTTCCACTCCATCGGCCCTGTTCGCATCGAGGAGCTCGACGTACTGAGCTTCCGGACCCCGTGGATTTCTCTGCTATATCCCTTTGTCCTTGAGAACCACACCCTCGAGCAAACGCTGCACACCGTCACCGCCTACGTCTCGGGACCGTGGTCCTACACCCGGCAGCTCGGACGCTTCCTCGCCGACGTCGGCCCCGCGCTGCGCTGCTTCAAGCTCAACCCCGCCTACAGCGCCTTCTACGGGCGCGAAGGTGAGCTCGAGTCACCTCCGCCGAGGCCGCGGTGCTCACCAATCCGATTTGATATTCGCCCTGCCTTCCTCGCAGACGACTTCGACCCGTGGCAGACGCTGAACCTGCACCGCTGCGAGAACTTGCAAACGCTCGTGCTCACGCTCGACATCCGGGACCTCGTGCTCACCCCGGCGTGGTACGCGCACGGGCAGGGCATCGCGACGCACGCGTTCGAGCAGCTGCTCGTCCCCGAGCGTCTCCCCGCTCTCCGTCGGTTCACGCTCCGCGTCTGGGTCGAGGACGGGAACCGGATCCTGGACGCGCTCGACTGGTCCGCGGTCGAGGCCGCGCTCCGCCGGCTGCCGACCCTCAAGACATTTGTCGTCGACCTCGCGTGGTGGCAACGGGCGCCGACGGAGGACTTGGCGAAGAAGATGCCGGAGCTGCACAGAACGAATGTGTTCCAACTCTGCGTCGCGCCGGTGAGTGCTGCAACCCTGGCCGGATGCGGGCACGGTCTGACCACGTTCGCAGGGCCCGGAGGCCAGATGGTGGAGTGGCCTCAACTGAGGGCTCTGGAAGACATGCATGGCTTCACTCATGACTGTTGCGTTTGATGCTGGACTTGCTCGGCCGGAACTTGTCGGATTGTATCGGTGTTGTTGTGGTCACACGACCATTCGAATGATGTACGCTGAACGCAGGAACCTCTATGTAGACATCTCAGAGCCTCTATAACACCATGTACAACATATATATTACGTCTGTTGAGTAGAACTTCCCGTTCTATTCGCCAGCCCGGTACATACTTGTTTCCAATCACAAACAGGGCCATTCTGCCGTGGTCACACGACCAAATGTTCAAAACTTGTAAAACCTCTATGCAGATGTACAACAGCCTCTATAGCACCATGCAACGACCAACGAGACCCAACACGACGACTACAAGAGTGTCTAGATGTGAAACTCTATACGCGCTTCTTGTCTTCCACTGCCGCCCCTTCTCCGACTTCCACCGACATCGTCACCGGCGACCCCCCTACCAGCGCACCCTCGTCCACCTTCCACCCCGCCGCCCGCGCCGCCTCCACGAACGTCCCAAACGACCGCTCCACCACCTCGCGCGCCGCCACCACCTCGCGCAGCCGCGCCTCGAACCCGTCGTCCCACCCGCCCCGCCCGGCGCCGCGCAACCTCGTGCGCGTGCGCCCACGCGCGCAGGTGGTCGCGCGCAGCGTGCCCCTCCTTGAGCGCGACGACCGCCCCGAGCCCCGCGGGCGCGGGCCACAGCACGTACCGGTCGCGCGCGAACGCGGCGAGCACGCGCGCGATCTGCGCGTCCGACAGGCCCCCGGGCGGGAAGAGCGCGTGGAAGGGCGCGCCGAGCGTGCAGTGCGCGCGCGCGGGCCCGAGGAGGCGCGTCGGGTCGGCGAAGATGCGCTCGGCGCTCGAGACGACCGCGGGCCCGGGGACGGCGGGCGGCGCGCTGCTGTGGGGCGTGCCGTCCTCTGTCGGCGACGAGGGTCCGCGTCAGTGCGGGAACGATGGGGGAGGGAGAGGGAGGCGGTGGGACGCACTGTCGAGGCTGGCGCGGAACGCCTTCCACGCGATGCCCGCGCGCTGGCGGTTGAGCGTGTGGAGCGCGATGACGCGCACCGCGAGCACGTTGAAGGCGAGGTGCGCGGCGATGAGCGCGGCGAGCACCGCGTACGTCGCGCGCGCGCTGTGGACGTACTGCACCACCACCGTCCCGCACTGACCTCCCCGTCAGCGCAACGCAAGACAAGACAAGATAGAGGGGAAAGCACGAGAGCGCGCACGCACCAGCATGCCCAGGAGCGCGAGCACGGTCTCCTTGCTGCCGTCCTTGGCGTTCAGGTCGCCGACGTCGCCGGGACGCGCGCCCGCGCTCGCGAAGTGCACCGTGAGCGCGGCCTTGGAGCCCCCGGCGACGGCGCCGCACAGCGCGCGGCACGCGCCGCTCGCGCACAGGGCGGCGATGCGCAGGCGGGACGTCGTGTGCGCGGACGCGTGCACGAACGGCGGGGCGGGCGAGAGCGCGAGGGCGGCGAGGTGTGGGGAGAGCGTGTCGAAGACGATCGCGGCGTCGTTGAGCACGTCTGCGAGGAGGCGGTACGTCTTGGCTTCGGGGGAGAGGGAGGTGCCGAGGTAGTAGCCGGCGACAATCGCTGTGGGAGTGGGGAGTTAGGGCGGCGAGGCCTCGGAGGGGGTGAAGGAAGTTCGTACTGGTTAGTCGGCTAAACACGTCTTGCAGGACAGTCAAGAGGATGGCGTTGGTCGCTGAGGCGGACGCATTTCCAACACCATGGGCTGAGAGAAAGAATGCGCAATTAGAGCTCCATCTGGTTTCCTGAGATGAAGTGCTGCGCACCTTGAAGAACCGCTCTGGAGCCAAAGAGTGACGCCAACGAGCTGCAGAATGCTTGAAGGGAATTCCAAATCTGGTACCTGCGGATGAAGTTCCATCCAACCTGAACACACAGGTTCGCTTTAGCTCACCAGAGGTAGTCTACTCGATAGCGTCAATAAAACCTTTACATATGTAGGATGGAGTTCACTCGCCATCCGACACCGTAGCTGGGTAGCCTTCAGGCAAAAATACGTCACTCAGGAAATCATTCCACGTCCTCCTTGGACGTTTCTGCGCTTATGAAGTCAGCAGACAACTACGCCAGGCGCATTCCAGTGGCGCACACGCACCTTGTTCGACGAAGGCTGCAACGACCTCGACTCGCTCGTGTGCCCGTTCGCCAGCTGAACGCCGCCAGAATACACGCCAGTCACCCGACCCGACCCGTCTTTCTCGCGCACCACGAATGCGGCGGCAGACATTCTTACTTACCCTCCTCGCTTCGCAATCACTAGCCTTGGTATGTCTGAGTCCCACCAGAGAGGAGAGGGGCAGAACGGATCAGCCTTGTCTCGGAGGAGGTGATCGCGGCACAGAGCAGGGCACAAAGTTGAAGCGTTGCAGTTTGAAGCTTGAAGCCTCGCAAATAACGTGATTACGTAATGAAAGCCTCGCTGCTCCCTGGATAAGCCGGACGTAAGAGAAGCGGTACACGCTCCGTTCAACACTTCAAACGTCAAAGTTGGCGACGTCGGTACTGCGCAGGACGGCCACGGCACACGGGACTCCAAAGGGAAAACCCAGATCGTCTAGTAGCGAATTTCGGCACTCCGCTGCCAGACCACCAGGGGAGCCCTGGCGAGCCCCATGCGCGTGGCGCCGCGCAGATCTCTCATTCAGTTAGGCATGGGCTAGTTCGGGGCCCTCGGGGTTGAAACGCGATCATCAGTACACTATTGCGCCCTTCTGGAGCCTTCCCCGTCCCGCGTTCGCCGTTTGCGAGGGGCGCTGATCGAGCTCGCCGGTGTTTATCTGAAGCCATACGGGCTAGCGCCTGCTAGCGTGCGAGGAGGGTAAGACCTCCGGCATTTATCAAAGGCGAACTCCAGAGGAACAGACCCTGGGCTGACAGGCAACGAGCCGTGTGGCCGGAAAACGAGGCGAGGCTGGCGAACGAGCGTGGGTATGTGTGTATCGAATGAACGAGCGTGTGGGCGTGTCGGACGGGCGAGATGGGAAAAGCAGCAGGCGGAAGGCGACGAGAGCGAATTAACGTGCATGAACAGCGCGTAGAAACGAGTTGCAGTGGGTCAGTACGTAGCTGCTATATGTACAGTGTGAGTACACAGTGAGAAATGCGCCCTTATTTCACTAATCGTTACAACGTTGCGTGCGGCGCGCGGCCATTTGCAGAAAGCAAGCAGCCCCACCATCGGGCACGCAAACCAAGGAGTGTGATCGCGAGAGGTAAGCAGGAGAGAGAGGAAAGAGGGTGCGCACGGTAACCATGAGGTGAGTAGAGGAGGGTATGATAGGTCTACTAGGGGAGATGACGGTAACGAATGACTAGCAGGAAGGGTAGGTAGATGAAAGGGTAGAGAGAGAGGGGTCGTAGTCCGAGATTACGTAGAGAGATGTTGAGACAATTAAATGATGCCTACAACTTGACGTGGCACTGGTAAAGAGGGTCGCTCGGGCCCTTCCATCCAACTGCACAGATCGAATCAGAAGATGTTTAAAAGGTCAGACAGAGGTCACGCACCACACTGCCAGCAGTCAATGAGGTTGGCGTAGTCGTACTTGCGCTTGACTTGGAGCAGCTTGGCGTAGTTGTCGCCCCAGTACGACTGCTCGTGGTTCGGCTCGTAAACATCGCCCTCGTTCTGTACGTGTCATCGTAAGCTCACACTCAAACCCGGAGTGTAGATGTACTCACGAAGTATGCGCCACTGCCCGGCGTCAAGTCCCGGAACTTCTGGACGTGCTGGTGAGCTGCTCATACCCGTTCGTGCGGTTTGCAAGCGTGTCGTTGTAGTTGAACTGCCACTTGATGCTCAAGTGCCAGATGGAGTCCCGCCACGCGGCGTCACCGATGTCGCACCGGGCGTAGCCTGGAAGTTGAAGGGTGTGCCGACAACGATGTAAGGAGACGCGAAGGGCAGCGTCTCCTTGATGACGGACGTGAGCGCGGCGCGACCGTCGGTAGTGTTGAAGAACTTCGTTGGAATCAAGCGCGTCCCAAGCTCAAGTTCGGGGCCGACGGCCTTGAAGCGAACGTTAAAAAAGCATACGGGCGTAGGATTCGACTTACGTACGGCCTGAGCGGCGGGCACCACTGTGTTGAAGAAGTCGAGGTACGAATCATATTGCTTGATGACGACTGAACCGTTACGGGCGTTCACAAACGCTGCAGCGTTGGCCATAGAGGCCACAGCCTCGGTGGTGTTGAGGTCAGGGTTCACGTGGATCAAAGTCGGCCCCTGTAAGAGCAGAAGGATTAACATTCATCGAGAATTTTGAGCGAGCGCACGTACAACAATGTGGCCACCCCAACCTTCGACGGCCCAGTGGTAAGACTCGTTGACCATGAGCTCGTACCAGTTAGCGATATCCGTCGACGCCTTTGGCGTGAACTTGAGAACAGCACTGTACGGAGGCTCAGCTTGGGTGGCGGTTTGTAAGGACGCTGCTACTCACGCCTGGATCGGGAATCTGGGCTCGACCTTGTGCGACGACTCAATGACAACACCGAACGCCGAACCACCTCCACCGCGAAGCGCGAAGAACAGGTCTTTGTTCTGACACTCGTTTGCAGTGCGGTAAATGCCGTCAGGCGTGACGACCTTGAACTGAACCTGTTTGATGCTGGCATAAGTCACAATGTAGGATGCGTATGGGCGCCAAAGAATGACGTACCACGCGATCAACCGCGAGCCCGTACTTGTTCGACAAGATACTGTGCCCACCTCCGAGCACGTAACCTCCGGAGAATCCAATCGTCTGGTGATAGCCGGCGATGACGGTCCGGTTGACGCTGTCGGCGAACTTGAGAACATCTTGGGTGAATGCGCCGGTCTGTGGGCGCAGTGGGCATTAAGCACACGCAGACGGGTGCATGTGGGAACGGCACACACCTGGACCGTGATGGCGTCGTAATGTTTCCCATAGCAGAGTTCCGGTGTGAACTTTGCGTCGTGCGACATCTGAAGGATGCGGGTCAGGGGACCTACGTGCTGCGGCGCGAATAGTTGTACGTACCTTACGGAGGCCCGTCATCCAGAGCGAGAGCGTGCCCTTGCCGCTTGAGCGACCCTTGTAGTCATGGCCCTTGTTCTTGACCGACAGACGCATTCCAGTAACGGCCGAGAACACGAGCGCGGTCTGCACGTCGAAGGGCGATGCGACCTGAATCTGTAGGGGCGCGCGCGCGTTTGGGAATGTGCAAATGCAAGACGCGCGCATGTACTCACATAATACGGAGGAATGTTGCCGAGTTGACAGTTGTGACCATTGATCGCGAGCGGGTTGGAAGCGTTCGCGGAATCGAGGAGACAGCCCTCTGTGGAGGTAGAGGATTGACAAGTCTCCCATTGAGGCTGTGGCAGGAGTATGTGTGAGCACGGAGATGATTTGAGCAGCGTACGCACCAGCATATATGCGCCGAAGTTGTTGACACGCCAGGTAGGGTCCGTGTAGTTGCCCTGGACGGCCGGCAGGCAGCCCGGTCAACGGTATTGCGCTTGCCCTCATAAGTGGAGAAGCAAGGCTTCTCGAAAGGGACCGCCTTGTGGACCCTGCCACCAAGAGTAAGGTTGAGAACGCCGATTGCGATGTCAAGACCGGTGGACGAGGTGAGGTCTGCGGCGAAGGTGACGTTGAGGACCTGGTCGGCGGCGGAAGCGGGGACCACGATGGACGCGGCAGCCAGAAGGGCGGAGAACAGGAGCTTCTGCGCGTGAACCATCGCGAAGAGGGAGCGGAGTGGCCTGCGTGGCGGGACGTTGGGCCGGGCTCATTAAATATTGACCCCGGGGCGCGAGAGAAATAATTTCCATGGATTGGGAAGGTGCATCGTCGGCCTTTCGATTCGAAGGAATCGCTTACGTTGCTAGCACCCAGGTACGCCTCCTCGACCGCCCCTTGCCGCCCCGCCCTGGACTAACGTGCCCTCCGCCATGCAGCCGTCCGTCGCCGCGCATCCCATGCGTTCCGAGAGGGTGCAGGAGTGCGGATGAGATGAAGCAGATGAGGCAGCATTGTGTAGCAACAGGGGCACGTTGCCCGCACAACAGTGAATCGATGTGGCCATGTCCCCAACAGTGCAGTCACGTGGCGTTGTCGACGATGCCGAAGGGTGCCGACAGTTATTTGATCGGCGGTAAGTCCGTCATATCAGAAGGGAATCTGCTAAGTATCTGGATCTCATTGATGCGGACGGTGCTGATGCCGCGCGAACGTTCTTCAACTCTCTCTGCTCTCGTCCCAGCATGGTTCCCCGTCCGCCATGTCTTGCATCTCCCCCGTCCTCCCCGGCGTGATAGTAGCGGCGCTCTCCATCACCCTCCTCGCCCGCTTATTCAAGCAGGATTCCAAGCCTTTCCCTGGGCCGATCGGTCTCCCGTTCTTCGGAGTCGCTTTTCAAATACCGGATGACAAGCAGTGGCTCAAGTTCCACGACTGGACTTGCCGCTACGGTGAGTGCGTTGATCTGCATACAACCGACCGAGGATTGCGGGCCCGCTGGAGAGAAACTCTCGCGTACCTTGGCGTCCGATGCTCGTCGCGTCCCTGGCCTCTCCGGCCTGCCTTCCCGCAGTCGGCTTGTCGCGTCGAGCTAAGTGCCGGATGCCCTCATGGGTTCATGACGGCATTGGTATACCGTACCTTCTGGGGCCGGCATCGGCGCTGCTTGTGCTAGTTCACCTATGCATTCCCCAAGGCGACGTCGTCGGCGTGACCGTCATGGGCCAGCCCACTCTCGTCCTTGGCTCGTTCAGGGCCGCCAACGACCTTCTCGACGCGCGAGGTGTGTCTGACATCTGTCGCCCCAAACATCGCACTCAAATGATCTCATATTCTCGTGACTTTGCCGACCTTGCCACTGCGATCATTAGGCGCAATCTATTCCGATAGACCTGACGCCGTCATGGCTGGCGAGTTGTGAGTGCACCCGTTATCATTCAGTCCAGCTGTCATTCCCTCCCCCGTTGGGACAAACTTCATCTGCGCCATTGGTGCTCTAAGCCCCCCTGATACTGTCGCGACTAGCAGAAGCGAGGGCATTCAGTACGCACCCCTGCAGGGCCAATATATATTGGGCAACGTTCCGTAAAACAAAACACCGGGTGGTAGGCAGCGACGGGTGTCCAAACTCACACACGAGGTTTGCTCCCTCCGTGTGAGGAGAACCGACAGCCTACATGGTGATGTGCGCTGTGCCCCCAAAAATTGTGCAAACTTTGAACCACCATTCTGGGCGGAGTTCGGACTTGAATCGCACCCGCGATTTCGGGCACGGTAGCCTTTGAATGCGCCTCCTGTGACGCGGAACGTGCTAACCATCCGACCTAGCTATTAGTACAGTGGCTGAGTCCCGCGCTTGTGTCACCCTCCGTAGCCTGTGAACCCGAATCGCTGACGTCTCTCCTCTCCGCGCAGGGTTGGCTGGAATCGCGGCCTAGGCTACGCACATGGGCCCGAGCAGGCCCGTTTCCGCGAGTTCCGCCGTCTGTTCCAACACGCCATCGGCCCCCGCGCGTGCGCGGACCCTGCGGGCGCCGTGGTCGCGATGCAGTACGCGGAGACGCGTCGGCTGCTGCTGCGCTTCGCCCGCGATCCGCGAGGCTTCTTTCGGCACGCGCGCGAGTGAGTGCAGCCCTTTCCAACTGTTCGTGTCATGTTTCGCGCGTCTGCAAGCAGGACGTCCGTTGGGCGCTTGTCGGCATTTGTCATGTTGCCGCGACCGCTGACGAACAAGCGCATCCAGGTCCACCGGCGCGCTTATCCTGCGCCTCGCGTACGGCTACGTCGTCGCGCGCGATCAGGCCGAGGATCCGCTCGTGCACGTTGTCGAGGTCGCGATGCAGGGCTTCGCGGGCGCGTCCGAGCCCGGCGCGTTTCTCGTCGACTACTTCCCCGCTCTCCGGCGAGTGCCCGAGTGGCTGCTTCGCATCCCGCGGGGCGAGCGTAACTTCAAGGCCGTCGCGCGGCGGATGCGGCAAGAGCTGGACGAGATGTACGACTTGCCTTTTGCGTTCGTGAAGGGGCAGATGGTACGTTCACACTCTCCTGGAAGTGCTCACCGTGCGTTAGCTCACGGCGTGCGATCGCAGGCACAAGGCGTCGCGCCGACGTCGTTCACCTCAGAGTACCTCGAGAGCAAAGGCACGCCCACCCCGGAAGACGAAGAGCTCATCAAGGCCGCCGCCGCATCCCTCTACTCCGGCGAGTTCTCAGATTTGACCACCGCACTCGATCGCTTACGAACAATGCTCTCCAGGTGGCGCTGACACCGTAAGTCCCTCCAAACCATTTCGTGCCTCGATTAACCCCGATCCCAGACCCCGTCGTCCATCAACGCCTTCATCCTCGCGATCACCCTAAACCCGCACATCCAAACGCGCGCCCAAGCCGAGCTCGACGCGCTCCTCGGAGCGCCACCCACCCGGCTCCCGACGCTCGAAGACCGCCCCGCGCTCCCGTACGTCTCCGCGATCGTCCTCGAGGTCCTGCGGTGGAACCCCGCGGTGCCGCTCGGGCTCGCCCACCGCCTCACGCGCGACGACGTCTACCGCGGGCGGCCGATCAAGGCGGGCACGGTCGTGTGGGCGAACATCTGGTCGATGCTGCAGGACCCCGCGGTCTTCCCGGAGCCGCACGCGTTCAGGCCCGAGCGGTTCTTGGACGCGTCGGGGCGGTTGCGCGAGCTGGAGCGGCACGAAGATCCGTCCGTCGTCGGGTTCGGGTTCGGGCGGCGGTGAGTGGATGGGCTTATGCATGCTGTTGCTAACGCACTAATGGGTATCTACGCAGCGTCTGTCCAGGGATGCATTTGCGATGAACTCCGTCTTCCTCGGGATCGCGAGCTTGTTGTACACGTTCGAGATCAAGAAGCGCAAGGACGAGCGCGGGGTGGAGGTTGTGCCTGAGGTCGACTTCCGTGGGTTCATCAGGTCGGTGTGGCGTTCGGTCCGCGTGTGTTTAGCTGGCCACTAATCTCCGATTCATTGCAGTCATCCTATACCCTTTGAGTGTGATATCAAGCCTCGCTCCGAAGGGGCTGCCTCTATGATAAATCGCCTGGCGGCGCAAGTATAGATGCGTTTTAGGAGCCAGGTCGCGTGAAAAGGGGAAACAGAGACGGTTGAGTGAGAACACAATGTACTATGCGGCTCTTCATGTTTTGTCTGTGCTATGACGGAATCATGATTCAATATCAAAGTATTCTAGCAAGCCCGAAATGTGAGGTGATATTGGTGGAACAGCAAAGTAATGTACCTGATCTGTGCGAATGGCACCGCAATGACTCGATTATAAGGGCATGGGACCATTCCGCTATGATGTGCGTGACGCCCATACGTAGACGCAAATGTAGCTCTGCCCTGGCATCTAGGGAATCTTTTCCTCCTTCCCAAATGACACTGCACGCTTTGCGGCACTCCACATGCGGAGCACCGTCCGCGTGTATAATTGGACAGTGTACTTGTGGAGGAAAGCCGCGATTGAAACGGGGGTAGTAACGCGCTTGCGCTTCGTGCACATGTATAATTGGACAGCGTCCTTGCAATGGAGGAAGGCCGCGATTAAAAGGGGGGTAACGCGCTTGCGCTCCCGCACGTAGCGACACTTGTCCAAGTAGATGTCTGCAGGAACGCAAGTCAGCCGCGGAATGAAACCGGGACCCACACGATCTCCTCACCGTCAAGGTCGGACATGCAAAACGCCTCGTCCTGCGCGAGTCGCAGGGCCCGCTCCCCGTCCTCGCGCCAGAGCTCGACCAGCCACCACGACGCGTCGTCGTCGTCGCCGTCGTCGCACTCGACGCGCCACCACCGCGTCGATCGCTCGCCCTTCGCGAAGGACCACCCATCCGATACGCCCACCACGCGCAGGGTGGGAATGGCCGCGGCGAGCTCCCAGGGGAACTCGGCGAGGGCGTGGAGGCGTTGGTGATCCCCGTCCCCCTTCCACCGGAACCATTCTGGGTCCGCCTTGAGATGGACGCAGACGAGCGGGAGCCGGGCGAGATCCTCCACGAGAGCGTCCTGGCGCGAGGAAATTGTCCGGTGAGCAAGGGGCGTACTCGGACCAGGAGCACGACGTACCGTGGGCGTCCACAACGGCGGCCCCCTGCCATAAGGATAGTCATCGTCATAGGGGTCGTCATCGTCATAGGGGTCGTAATCGTCACAGGGGTCGCTAGAGTCGACACAGAGCACGAGCGCACGCAGGTGCGGGGCGACTGCTGCGACCTCTTGCCAGAGAGTCCCCGTGCAATCAGACGGCTTAGCACCCCACGTCACGCATATCTCCAGGTGGAGGGAGTGCGGCTGGAGCACGTCGAGAACGCGTGTCAGTCGGGACGCGTATTCGCCCTGCGTGAACGAGATACCGTCCTCCATGAAATCCCAGAATATGGCGAGTTGCACGTGCGTCGCGCGCAAGGCTCGCCGTTTCAGCAGTGGAACCATGATGTCCCTGACCTCCGTGCACGGAACCGAAAGGGCGAGTCGGGGGATCGGCGCTGAGAGGTGCCATGTTGGTCGACATTGATCGAATTTGTCAAGCTCCTCTGGCAAGGGGCAGTAGAGATCAAGTTCCAGGGAGGTCACTTTGGGACAGAGGCAAATAAGATCCGTCGCAGGCTCAGTGACGTCGGTGAGGGTGAGCTGCCGGATGGAGGTGAATGGCGGGTAGCTGGCAATGTCGATAGCAATCGCCGGCTGAAGGTCCTCTAGATCGAGATCGTACAGGCGAGGAAAAGATCTGATGGCGGAGATGAGGGAGGGGAGGTGGGCGGAGAAGTTTCCACATCGTTGATATTGATACCTCAAACGGAGGCTTGTGAGATTAGGAGAGTGAATGCTTTGGATCGTCGGCAGCATTTTGTCCTGGACCCAGGTGCAAGAGAGTGTGCGTAGCTCGCACAGCTGCACAAGAGCCATAGAAAGACGCGGGTCGTCAGAATGCAGAGAAGAATAGGATATCTCGAGGGAACGGATGTTCTTGGTTGCAAACAAGACATCGGGGAGCGTAGATGCCTTTTCGCTAACATATATCACCATCTCACGGACATAACGAGCGTTGGTGCCGATATTCTCATGCCACCAGGAGAAAGAGAAATCCCGGCTTATCAAAACGGCCGTCCAGAGCCTTGGAGAGGAAATCGTATGGAAGTGTTTGCAGGTGAGCGACAAGGCGCAGAGGTCTCGCTTCTTGAGATAGGAGAGAATGATGAGCAGGATGTCGTCGTTGAGGAGGTTGATGTAGAGTGCCATGGCGGGAACCTGACAAGGAATAAATTAGAACGTCAACATGGGTAAGACTCGCGAGATATCACTTGCCCTGATGGGGAGATGAGTGCCGTCTAAGGGGTTTGAACAGACCTGCGACGTTGTGCTCTGAATCAGGAGCATATACCTGCCAAAAAGGATAGTTTCAGTTAGCACATATGCGCATAGAACATATTTGGATGGCATGTTACCGTACGTCGTGGTGGTATGTGGCGGAGCGCACAGGAACAGGAGGCAGCTTCGCAAGTGTGATGGTCGCGAGAGAAAAGAGCGGTGTTGCTCGCTGCTGTATAACAATGAGACGGGCCCGGAAGCTGAGTACTAATACTGTAGATAGGAGACGCGGAGCTCTGGACCCTGTCATGGGCGTGGCGGAAGTGAGGGATGCAGAATTTAGAGTCATACAATAAAGCCACAGCGAATGCTAAAAGGAATCAACGGTGCGCGTGAATGTGGTGAGCCAAGCCCATGCGCAACAGCTAGTCTATCAACGGATAATCCATGGAGCAAGTGTCGGAAATTCTGCAAGCGCGCTCCCAGCCACGCGTAATAAGGCGAGGTCGAAGGGTTCTGCTTGAGTACTAGGAAGTAGGTCGCGGCGGCGGGCACCTCTCGCTCGAGCTGGGCGGAAAGTGGGCGGTGGCGATCGTCGTCGACGTCGCGGCGGACCCGGGGAAGATGCGGACAGCGGGTGTGGCTTACGAGCCTGACGAACGCGGGGCAGCTGTGCGTCAGCCCGGACTACGTACTTGTATCGTGCGGGAAGATGGACGCGTTCGCGGAAGCGGTGAAGGGCGGCGTTGTGTGGCGGAATGAAGGGAGGAATACAAAGCGAATATCGTGAGCGAGGCGCACCAGCGGCTGGCTGAGCTGGTGGAGGGGACGAGCTTCGAAGGAGCAGTACCAAAGAAGTGAGATCTCGGGCCATCTTGTACTCAATTGTATGCCTATCGGTATTCGTCCGCTTTTCCTGGTCTGCCACAAGGTTGTTCACATTGTGTGCAGTTGCAGCAGCGGTGCGGGGAAGGTAATGTGAATGTTGTGATAACGCATGCCGAGCTGCATCATCGCTCATGGCCTGGACATCTATACGTCAACTAACATCCCACCACAAGGTTCACTCGGCGTTGACCAAGACACGGACAGCACGGGAGAAACAGCTCTTGCGTCCTTGCAGCTGAATGCTAGAGACACGAAAGATCGACATACGTTTGGAAACTGGGTCGACCCGTGACCGGCCTGACCGGTCGCGCTTGAAAGAGCGCTTCCAGAGCCGTGTCGTGTATCTAGTCTTGAGGTCGAACGAACAGAGGTGTAAAGGCATTCCATGGACATATTAACTGAGTATACCGGTACACGAAGCAAGCCGCGCTCTCTAAACCTTGAACGACTTCGGCACTTTCGGTGGGCTGAGCACGCTCGCTCTGCACACAACCGCGTCAGGACTCCGCCGGATGTGCTGGAAAGCCGAGCCACACACCTGTGCAGCACCGCGAACTTGTGCGCCTGCTCCTTCACCTGCAGCACCGAGCTGTCCCCCTTGATCACCGCGAGCACCTCCCGCGCGAGCCGCTCCGGCGCGTGCTGCCCGCCCCTGCGCTCGCTCGCCTTGATGATCGTCTTGAGGGCGCGGGCCGTGCGCTGGCGCTCGGACAGCGCGCGGGGGAAGACGTACGACTTGCCCGCGCGGCGGATCTCGTAGCTGCTCACGAGCGGCGCCGCGAGCGCGACCGCCTGGCGGAGGATCGGCAGCGGCGGGGCGTGCGTGAAGGCGTGGAGGTGGACGAGGGTCTTGGCGACGACGCGCGCCGCGTCCTGCCGCTTGCCGTGGCGCATGATGAGGTTGGTGAAGAACGCGAGGAGCGGGTCCTCGGCCGGGGGGATTTTGATGGACGAGAGCGGGAGCGTCCGCGGGTCGTAGAGCTGGCGAGGGGCGGAGGGGCGAGGGCGGGAGTGGAGGAGGAGGCCACGGGGACGGATTCAGGGAGGGTCGTCATTGTGCGCACTGCAAACACGCGCCGCGACGTTAAGCATGCTACGGAATTCCTGAAAGCCGCAAGCATAACTAAAACGGCGGTGAGCAAGGGCGGGCAGAGGAACAGGAATGGACCTGCCTGGTCGAAGTGGACGAGATGGCGGAGGACAAGGTATAGGCGCCCTAACTCGACGCGATCCCCGCGAGTACGTGTAAGCGCTCGAAACATAGGCGTCAGTGTCATTCGGATTCCAGGACTGAAAATCCGGTTGTATCGCTCCCTTCAGTTGATAGTGGCCACGGAGGAGCAGAAAGATGGGTATCTATAAGAATAATTAAGCAGGTGCGAAATGCGCCCGGGCCTGTTGCCTTCTAGATATCGAGCACGCAGGTAATAGCATGCAGACTATACGACGATGACGGCCACCAGTGCGCTATTATACACTACTATATCGCGTCTCGGAAGTCGTTATAGGGTGCGTGAAGAGGGTGGTGGTAGGATGGTGCTACTTCTGCAGTCCGAGAGAGTCCGAGTACTTGCGAGCGACCTATGTACATCCCAGGGCGTCGACTCCATCTGCCCCTCCCCCCAGCGAGCCAGCTCCGGCAGACAAATCACCGCGGGGACCGCGACTCGAGCGGCGTATGGCTCGTGCTGCGCGACCCGCGCCGCGCGTGCCCGTTCCCAAGCGCGTGCCCGTTCCCAAACGAGATCCGGTCCCTCCGCCCACCGCCTGAGCGCAGCGCGGTGCGCTCGTCCGCCTCCAGCTCGTCGTCCTCCGCCTCGTGGAGCGTGTCGAGTCCGACGCCGTCCCGCTCGCGCTCTATCTCGTCGTCCTCGTCGAAGGCGTTGAAGAGCGTCTGGGTCTGGTTCCGGTATAGCGAGCTTCGCCGGCCGTGTCCATGTACAGTTGGGCCAAAGCTGCCTCCGATGGGGGTTCCTGCTGCCCCAGACCAGCCGTCGATCGACATGCGGCCGTGGATGGATAGACGTGGATTCATGAGACCGCCTTCGAGGGCTGAGTGCGCACCGGCGGTCGTGTTTGGATCTGGCTTGCGGGAGAGTTCGAGCAGGTGGACACCAAGGAAGGTCGTGACAAAACCGGCAAGGAGAGATATGGAGTTGGCCGGGTCGTCAGTGTTGAAGCCCTGGAAGAGAATCACAGAGGCGACGATGGTGGCCGTGGAGAAACCGACGTAATACATGGGGTTGACACTAGGCACTACCGGTTGGTGAAGAGGTGGGGCAAGAAAGAGGATGATGACTTACACATTGGTGGAGAACGTGTCAAGAGCCTTGTTGAAGTAGTTCATCTGGACCAATATACAGCCCACCACGGTGATGCCGAACACGTAGGTGCTGAGAAGGGTGAATTGATTGTTCCCGTTGAGCGTAAGCTTGACAGCAACGCCGAAACCCTTGATCGCCATCACGGAAACTGAACCAACGAGGGAGCAAATGGAGATGTAGACCGTGGGGTTCGTCCGGCCGTACTTGGGTACCACAAAGTAGATCATCACCAAACTGAACACGAGCACCGTGAAACAGTACATCAGGAACCCTGCAGGGGTGTTAACATGTGTACAAGGCAGACACGAGAGGGGACGCACCAGGTTGCGTGGCATAACGCAGAATCTCGTCCACCGTTTCTACTTCCTTGTCCGGCGGCGCGTGAAGCACGATTATTAGAGACCCAAGTAGGCAGAGCGAGCATCCGAGGCGACCAAGGTGACCAAGTTCTTCATGCAGGAGAAAAGAAGCCAGAATCGCACTGTGCAGAGCACGAAATGAGGGTTTTGAGACTCAGTGCAAAATATGGTGCGACATACCCAATAATCACACTCAATGCGCCGAGCGGGGTGACCAGGATCGGGGGCGCAAAGGTGTACGCTGCGAAGTTGGCGACTTTGCATGCGAAAGTAATGTGAGATCGTAGTCTTCACGCGCATACAAGCGGACGTACCTTCGCCAATGATTACTGCATCCCTCGCGCTTTGAATATCTCCATCACGAACAAGCGTGTTGTTACTCACATGTCGTCATTCCTGCCCACCATATTGGGTTTTGAAAATATGCATAGTTGTCGGATGCGGAGGAGTATGCAGATGACTCTCCGGCCTGGTTCAGACCCTGCGCAAGGAATTTGGTGTGAGGGAGAGAGGGTTCCAAAGGCGAGATGCCGGACCTTTTTGGTGAGGATGAAGCTCGTACCGATGGCTAGCGAGCTAGAGACCGCTAGCGCGAGGCCGATGTACTTGTCTTCCCACATGGTAGGACGCGGCGCAGTTGTGTTAGACGAAGCGACGGTGGCGGAGAGGGTTCAGCAACCAGGATTGTAGAGGTAAGGAGCGTCGGGATATCGTCGTGACGAAAGGGAATCCGTGGACGGGGGACGTCGTTGGAGAAGAGAGAGGGGAGCGCGGGGAGCGCGTCGGCTGTCCGCCAAGGAAAAGGCGGAGGGGGACGAGGGGAACGAGGAGGGCGAAGGAGAGTGCGGGACACAGTACTTGCGGTATGCCACGCGTCTCACGCGTCTGGGCGGACTGCCCCTGCTCCCCCGGTTACGGCCCCGACGTCCCGCTGTGCCGTCCTGCGATCTCATGTGGCTCGCTGCCTCTGCCACGCGGCGTGTTCATCCTCTGCTCGCGATCCCTCGACGGGCCGTCTCCTTCGCGCTCGCCAATCGACCACGACACCCCGGTCTCCTCTTCAGATCTATGGCAGCACACGCGACTGTTGACACCACCTCCCGCCTGGCCGCCTTGCGCGAGCTCATGGCCAAGCCGGAGAACAGCGTCCAGGCACTCGTCATTCCCACCGAGGATCAGCGTACGTCGCGCTCTAGTCACCTCTCTTGCTAGGGTGCCCGCGATCTCACAGATCTACGTCAACCATAGACTTCAGCGAATACATTGCGCAGTGCGATGAGCGTCGGGCTTTCATCTCTGGCTTCACAGGCTCGGCCGGTGCGTATATGCCAGGTTCTTTGGAGGTTCTGCAGGCTTGCGCTGATACCGTGTGTCTTTGCCAGGTTGTGCTGTCGTCACTCCGCAGGAGGCTTTTCTATTCACCGATGGACGGTACTTCCTGCAGGCGGAGAAGCAGCTAGACAAGTGCGTACAGAGGAGACTTGCATATTCGTCACATACCGAATCGCTGCCTTTGCCAGAAATTGGACCCTCATGAAGCAAGGCCTCCCAGGTGAATGAAGTCCATGCATGCGAACTGTGTATTGGAAGTCTCATTCATGCCGCAAGATGTCCCCACATGGCAAGAATTCTTGTCAAAGGTAGGTTTCCATCGCTGGCTGCTAGAACGAGAACCCATATAACCCCGTCATGTTCAACAGAATCTGGGCAAAAACACACGCATAGGTGTCGACCCTACGCTGCTCTCTGCCTGTGAGTACTTACACCTCATCATGCACACGCTCGGTCGCGAATCCCTTTCAGCCGACGCGGAGACCATCCAGAAAGCTCTCGTATCAAAAGAGTCTGAACTCGTCTCCCTCTCCAAGAATCTCGTCGACCTCGTATGGCCCAAACGGCCCGCTCGCCCCGCCAACAAGGTATTCCCGCTCGACGTCAAGTACGCCGGCGCATCCCATTCGAACAAGCTGAAGCAAGTACGCGAAGAGCTGAAGAAGAAGGAAGTTGGATCCTTCGTGGTCAGCGTACTCGATGAGATCGCGTGGTTGTACAACCTTCGCGGCTCGGATATCGACTACAACCCCGTGTTCTTCGCATACAGCGTCGTCGATGCCAACAAGGCAATCCTGTTCATCAACGAGGGCCAAATTACTCCAGAAGGGCGCTCATCTTTGGGGACAGAAGTGGAAATCCGGCCCTACGACTCCTTCTTTGTCTACCTCAATGAAATGGGCTCGAGCTTGAGTGATGCGGTGCGTCTTGAACATTATTGGCATGACCCAGGTGCTGACGAACGGATCGCTGTGCAGAAAGTTCTTGTCTGTGACAAGGCCAGCCTCGCGGTCGCAGAAGCCATTGGCAAGGTTCTCATTATGACTAAACCAAAGTTGGGTGCGTACTCATGGCTGTGTCCAGGCTCGCGTCACCATTGCTCGCTCGCCCGTCAACGACATGAAGGCAATCAAGAACTCGGTTGAGATGGAAGGTGATGCTCGCCCCGTAGAATTGTATCGAAGGAAACCTGCTGATCACCCGCTCTAGGCTTTAGGCAGTCGCATATTCGCGATGGTGTTGCGCTTGTGCGCTACTTTGCTTGGCTCGAAGAACAGCTGCATGCAGGCAAGACGCTCAACGAGTGCCAAGTCGCCGACCAGCTCGAAGAGTATCGCAAGTAAGTGTAAAGACTAAACTTGCTCCTCGCTGCTCATATCAGTCTCGTTAAGAGAGAACGAGCACTTCATCGGCCTCTCGTTCCCCACAATCTCGGCGACAGGGCCAAATGGTGGTACGTGATACCTCAGCGGTACTGCTCGCCTGCATTTTGGTCCTGACTTGCCGTATGAAGCGATCATCCACTATGAACCAGAACCAGAAACGGCCGCAGCCGTGAAGAGAGATCAGGTGCGTCAGTAGTATTCCTAGCATGCCTGCATTTCTGAAACTTGCTTTAGATCTACCTTTGTGACTCCGGTGGTTCGTGTCCAATCATGTGTTGGCGCGCAACGTCTCGATAGTCATACCACGACATATAGCTCAGTACCTTGACGGGACAACGGACGTTACGCGGACCTTCGTACGTTCTTGATATCCATAACTCAAGCCTGGTGCTCATCTGACAACATTGATAGCATTTCGGCACGCCCTCTGCGGAAGAGAAGCGGTCATTCACCCGAGTCCTGCAAGGGCATATTGCGATCGACGTCGCGGTTTTCCCGAACGGTACGACTGGGTACCTCCTGTAAGTACTGTCTTTGATATTCTCAACATGTTCCGAGGCTGACGTGAGACAAGTGACCCCTTGGCCCGGAGGCCGCTCTGGGAAGATGGTCTCGGTACGTTCTTCAATGCTTCTAATATGCATTTTTAAATGTTGAAACGTGTTTTGGCGCAGATTACCGGTAAGTTTAGATCACCCTCGAACCATATCCAACCTCATCGACTATGCAAGGCATGGAACCGGTCACGGTGTTGGTACGTACTCGAGCATATCTCACGCATGTCTCCTTGAAGTTCATTTATAATTTAGGGCACTTCCTCAACGTACATGAGGGTGAGGATTCACTGACTCCTAGTCATCGGATAATAGTTGACGTCCTCCTGTCCAGGGCCTCATGGAATCGGCGTGCGGATCGGTGTGTGTTCTTCGTTGTACAAGCGCCTTCCACTCTTCACACTCGTGCCTCCGCAGCATACAACAGCACCCCGCTGAAGCCCGGAATGACAGTCTCGAACGGTCCGTGACGCCACCAATGTCGTGGCCGTTATCTTACGTGTATGAACAGAACCGGGGTACTACGCCGACGGCCGCTATGGGATCCGTATCGAGGATGTCGTCGTCGTCCGCGAAGCGGACACACCCAACAACTTCGGTGACAAGGGATACCTCCGCTTCGAGCGTTTCACCATGGTGCGTCTTCTTGACATGTTATTTTTCGCCTCACCGAATGCGTTTCGACAGTGCCCGATGGGCCAAAACCTAATCGACGTGGGGCTCCTCAGCGAGAAGGAGAAGCGGTGGATCAACGACTACCACACGGAGGTCATGGGGAAGATTGGCCCGCTGGTGAAGGGCGACGAGCGCGCGACGGCGTGGCTCAAGCGAGAGTGTGCGCCTCTTTAGGACATTCGGCTGCGGACCAAGAGAAACGGCGCGACTATGTAGGATACTGTTCTGCGCGGGCTATGCCGTGGTATGGATTCGGACGGACTATGGTGGGCGTGCCTATGCGGAGCGGCGGAGATATATAAGATGCAAACACGCTTCCTGAAGATCCTCCTCCCTCAGGCAGTCTCCTCGGACGAACGGTCCACGTTCGCCTCCCCTCGATATTTTACCTCGCCTCCGTGAGCACGATCAGCCCGTCGACGTCGGAGATCGTGCCCGCACGGATGTCCGCTTCGTAATCTCGCTCTAGCTCGTAGGGAATGCGATGATTAAGAGTGTTCACCTTTAGCACCTTCACTGCTGAAGAGCAAGTATAAAAGGCGCTGATTTCGAGTGTCTTCTTCTTGGCCATTCAGGTAGGCCTCAGGTCACGATGAACGCGAGCAAGTCCACTTTCCGTTGCCGCGACACTAGCCGGGCCGGCAGCACCCGTTGGATCGGCGCCAGTCCTCCAAGACTCGGAAATCTGCTCGAGGCGCGAAACAACTTGCTTCCCTCTTAACTCTGTCTACCTTCCCATCCATCCTGTCATCACGTATATGCATGGCACAAGGTCTCGAGCCCGTTCAAGCGGTCGTGGATATTAAGTCGCAGGCTCACTCCCGATCGCAATGTGAGGACGAAGCGATCAACTCGTTTAGAATGGGCACCAAGAGGTGTGATGAACGACAACAGAGATTTTCTTTCGTAATAGATCCAAGAGAGCGAAGTACATCCACCGGTCCCAACATATGTCTACCACACACCCCTTCAACAGGGTCCGCCGGGCAGAGCGATCGTCACCTCAATCCTCCTCCTCGAAAGGCCTCTCGATGTTGGCTTCCGCCTCTATATCGAGGCCCTCCGCCAGCCGCGCCAGGAGCGCGTCGATGTCGGTCGCCGCCGCTTCCCGTATCTCCGCCGCATAGTCGAAGCTGGCGTCGACGGCCGCGCTCGTGTCCCATCCGGGGGCGTCGCCGCTCCACCCGCCGCGCCGGTAGATGTAGTTGAGGAAACCGCGCCATACGGGGTCGATCGAGAGGACGCTGGAGTCCCCGACGACGACCAGGAGGGCCTTCGCGCGGGTGACTGCCACTGGACGCGAACGAGGTCAGTCCGGGTGCGGCGAGCACGGGAAGAGGGCGGCGTACCGTTGAACCGCCGAGGGTTGCCGACGAAGCCGAGGGTGAACTTGGCGTCGTAAGAGAGCAGATCCCTGCTGCTTCGAACGGTGGAAATGAAGATGACCGGGCGCTCCTGGGGGGGATGACGGACGAGGGTCAGAGCGCGCGCGGCTCATGAGTCTGGAGGTGAGCACAGCCAAGTGCGTACCTGTCCTTGGATCTGCTCCACGCTGCAGACAGTCACGCCGTCGATCTTCGACTTCTTGAGAAGCGTGCGGATCTTGCGTCCCTGCGCGTGATATGGGGTGATTACGGCGATATCTTGGGGCCTGTAATGTGTGAGTCACAGTCAAACCGTGTTTTCGCCCATGGGGAGGCATTCACGGCTCCGAATTGAAAAGTACTCACGAACGCGATGAGCGGAGCCACGCAGCAGCAGCTTAATACGCTCTACTGTTTCAGTCGCTTCAAGGATGTTGAAGTAAGACGGGGAGCTCGCTTCGCGCTCGTTCTCCCCCGAGACGTGCTGGAAGACAATCGGGAAGCGCGGGTTCGCCAGCTGAGGCGATCCGAGGAACGCGTCGGTCACTGCGCGATCGGCGCACGCTTCCAGGTCGTTGTCGTAGAACTGCTGGTTCGGATAGTGCAGGATTGCTTCGTGAGACCGGAAATTCTTGACCAACTTCACGAAGCTAAAGCGGACAAAGGGTGCGTTCGTCGGCTTTCCGACCCAGTGGACGACGTCAAGGATACTCACGCGCGGTTGGGGGCCTTGGCGCTCTTGTATAGCGGTCCTTCCATGATTCTCTCCAGATAGCTCGTTTCAAGCCCGAAGTGGCGAGCGATACTGGATCGAATCACCGGGCCAAGCTGCTTCGGATCGCCTGAGAGAATGACGCGGGTGTTCAAGCTCGAGACTATCTTGATAGCCTGCAGGACTTCGGGCTCGGACGCCTGCCCTGCTTCGTCGACAAAGATGTGCGAGAAATGACCGGTCTTCATGCCGATGTTGAAGGGGAACGACGCGTTGCCGCAAGTGGAGACGATCACCCTGTACGACTCGATTTTCTGCAGAGACGGCAGCGCGAAGTGGTTCCCTTGGAAGAGCGAGTATGGAACGAGAGCTTCGGGTAGAGTGATTCGCATGCGGTACACCGCGTTGCAGCGGAACATCTCGGCCGGGCTGAGCGCGACAGAGAGCCGCTGGGCGAGGAGGTCTGCGGCACTGTTGCTCGGCGCGCATGCTAAGATCTTCGCGTTGGGATCGCGATGGAGGACTTGGCGGATCGCCTCTACCACCGTGATCGTCTTCCCGGTTCCCGGGCTACGACACAAGGTTTAGTCTCAACCATGTGCTCTAATGGCGATGCTACTCACGGTCCAAAGATCACAAAAGGAGCCGCAGAGGGCTTGAGGTGCAGAATGGACTTCACTGCTTGGATCTGGGCTGCGTTGGAAGCCACAAGGGTGTTGAACGTTATGACATGACCGGCGAGCTGCTGAGCCGAGACCGTGTTTGGTACCCCTTGGTCTGCCATCTGAGGGAAAAGCAGTCGTTGACTGGACGGCGACGGCACAGACAGGGCTTGGTGTTGGCGTCGGATGGGAACCCGGTTGTACTCGAACCGGACGTTGTAGCGGGAGCCTCCATCGAAGGAGGAATGGAAAGACACGCAGATGTCTTCGTTGCGTACAGTGTGCACGAAACCTCTATGCGTTTGACCGCTGGGTCCGTTGCTCCTCTGCGCGAGGATTATATCGCCTAATGCCCCACATCAGCACCATAACGAGGACGCGGCTGTATATAACCCACCGACAACAACGCTTGGGCGTTTTTCAGCCAGTCCTGGAACACCCACGCTAAGCACCGCCTTAAGTTGGAATCATGGCTTTCAACGATGCTCCGCACTCACGTATAGAGTCGACCCTCTCTCCCAAACATCACGCTTCGCATGTCGTACATCCGCAAGTCCTCGCTAGAGAACAAGTCAGAACACGCCGGACGTGGAACAGAACGAACGCACATGGTGCGGGCTTCCTCGGCCCACAGCAGATGCGCGAAGTGAGCAGCGTGAGACTGCATCGACGGCGCATTGGCGAAGTACTTGGTCTTGAGTTGCTGCAGCGCTGCCTTTGTGGCGCCTTTAGAAACCAGGTCCAAGAGCGCTTTCGGGACCAGCGCTGGCGGAGCTTGCGGACCCAGGGCGCGGAGTCGAGGGCTGGCGGCCGCTCTCCTTCCACAGTCGCTTCTCCGCTCCGCCACGGCGCGCGCTTCTGCCGTACGTACTGGGTCGAAGCTTTGAGAAGGACATGGTCGTCCGCGTTGCCGATCGTGGCCGAGAGCTTCCGTTGCAGGTGGAGGAGACCGTGGTTGCAGTCGCGGTGGCTCTGAGGGTTATATTTACCACACCGGTGAATTTGCCGCGTTGGTTAGCTTTGAAGAAGACCGAGACCTCAAACGGCTTGAGGTTTGCCAGTATCCTTCCACGATCGCGTTGCGACGCCAAGAAGCTGTGTGTCTTGTTGAGGACATTCACGAGAGGCGCTGGGAAAGACAAGACGACGTACTGCGGCGACCGCTGCTTGCTCGTTGGGTTCAAGCAGGCCTCTATCTCTTGTATGGCAAGTCCCGGGACGCTCGGAGTGAGAACAAGGCGCAACTCCACGCCCGTCGATCCTTGTTGAAGATTCACGATGCCGAAATTCATACCTTCGGCGTGGGATACGCTGATAACTTCTCGGGAGGTTTGCCGGGCTTCAAATTCCGCTTTGTATAGGGCGATGATTTGCCTCTTGACGTGAAACTTGGATACTTGATGGGCTTGTACGCAGTCCGAGGGATGTGCTTGTCACAGATGCCGCAGTAGATAGTATCGGGCATAGTGGGACAGAAGGGAAGCACTTGCTGACCGGGGTGACGCTCTCTGCAGTGTGGAAGCCACATCGTTTGGTCCCGAACGACGACACGGCAAGTCGTGCACTGAAGTGGAACGCGAGCTTGGACCTCGTTCATCCGCATCTGATGCTTGGGCGATTTTGGTGGTCGCGATGACGGGCAGTGTCATACACATGATAGCGCACGGGATGCATAAAGAATAAATGCTGTGGGAGAGAGAGCACGAGGCGCCATCCGGGCAGTGACCGGTGAACACCTGCGCTGGGCAATGATTCTTGAGATTGAACGGCTTCATATGCAAGGAATGGAACAATCTAGAGACACGTGAGGGAGGGGTGGTGGAGGAACGAAGGTAAAATGCGCAACTTCCACTTCGCTCGCCCTCGACAGCGCATCCCAGGTGTGCTGCGGTAGTTGCTCTGGGGAAGAATAGAAGCTTCGCCTCGCGTACACTCCGAGTTTAAATGAGCGCCGAGAACACAAGGACGGTGAATGCATGGCGCCATCTGTCTGCTCACTTTATTATACAAGCACGGGGTTTGATAAGGATGTCGTCCAGACGCTGCTCGAGCTCAGATTTGAGGTCTAGAGCAGCATGTACCACAGTACTTGGAAAGGGCCACTCAGAAGGAGCGGCCCAAGCTCAGTCACTGCTTCCGTGAGTCACAGAGCGGGTGCCAGGAATGTCGAGTAATCATCCCATCCGAACGATTAGATATGGAGGAGATAGAGCGGGAGCTGGAGAACGCTTCGTCGACGTGCACCCACGCTCGCGAGACGTCCGTGCGGATTCCGGAACTCCGTCAAGCAGGTGTTGCAATGTCGGCCTTCAAAACCAGTCGATCTGTTATATCCGTACAGTATGATAGCAATGCGAGGGTATCAAAGGATGAGGGGAAGACGGCGAAAACAATGTGACGAGCAGACAGAGACATGACGCACAGTGAAGGCACCAAATAAACCTTCAAGCTCAACCCAAGATAACTTCGGCGTCAGGGTGCGAGAGCGCACCGAATCAGAAGCCCTCCGTGTACGCACTTTCAACCCGGCACGCCCTCTCGACCGCCTCCTCGCACACGCCCCGCGCGAGGAGCCCCGCCCCGACCGCGCGCGCGAGCACCTCGCGCACCCACTCCTGGCAGCTCCACTCCTGTCCCTGGTCCTGCTGCTGCTGCGCTTCGTCCTCGCCGGGTGCGCGCACGGGCGTGTCGCGCGCGACGCGCTCGAGGGCGCGGCGCGTCGCGATGCGCGTCATGCCGAGCGCGAAGCCCTTCGCGGCCGCGATCTCGGGGCCGGCGCTCTTCGTGATCGCGCCAAGTACGCGTACTGGGATCCGAGTACTCGGGCGCGAGCGGGTCGTACGCGGCCTCGAGCTGGATGTGCCGCCACGCCGCGGGGGGTGCGGACGCGGACGGGGTGAAGGCGGCGACGGGCCAGGCGAGGGACCAGCGCGCGTCGGCGGCGTGGTAGTGGGTGGCGGAGGAGGTGGCGGGGGCGGGGTAGACGACGAGGTAGAGAGGCTGCTCGACGTCGGAGTCGCGCGCGAGCCAGTCGTCCGGGGTCTGCGAGGCTCGGGGTGGCCGAGAGTGCGGGGATGGCTTGTGTCCGGAGAACTCGACCATAAAATGGGTATGGATGTGGTGGGTGATTCTGCATGGACGGGGGTCAGAACGTGCTACTGCGGTGGGGAAACGGGATTCAACGCGCGCACTCACCGATGGATGGGCGGGAGGTGTGCGGAGGTATGCGGGTGGGGAAGAGATGCGGGAGACGGGTTCGGGGAAGGTCAGGGCTGCTTTATAGCTCGCCGGGGTGCCGCTATCAGCGTGGTCAGACGTCACCCTGTCCGGGTCCGCCGCGAACAGTGACTAGAACATCTTTGTCACTCGTGTGGCCGACCGCACGCGGCTGTATGCCATCCCCTGAGCGTCTACGTGGCCACTAAGAGACTGTCGAAGGTTGAGTGAAGATGAAAGAAAGAGTCGCGCACAGGGCTTTGGACGCTTATCTGCGGATGGAGAAACGGGCGGGTCTCAGGAGGAGTGGACGGTGGTGCGCGGGATCAGGCAGAGGCTGGCCCAGGCTGGCACTCGGGAGTCGGCAGCGGCAACAGGCCTTCTCTCCGATCCCAACACAGGTCACATGCCACAGGCGCCTGTTGAGCCCAGAAGCAACTTGGAATGAGCCAGATCTCGAGACGAGACATAGAATATGTGCTAGCGAGGGACGGGAGTGCCCTGTTCAAGCGATGAGCCTCAGCATCCCCGCCAGCCTCGGCGGACGCCAGGTACCAACAGCGCATCCGCGATGCCCCGACTCGGGCTTTGTTCTACCCTGCACGCCCGTCAGCCCATATAGGGCCTCGCTCCGCCTGAGCCATGCGAGTGCGACCTGGCCAGGTTCACAGACGCCCGCCCGAGGCAGAACAAATCAGCGCGGACCACTCCGAAGCTGGCTGAGGTCGACGCCGCGATTCGGGAATCGTATAGGCGATCAACCACACGAGGGCGTGCGAATGTCGTACGCACCGGAGGGCGGCATAGCATCCACATCGTTGGAAAAGGTGAGGACTATCGCTTTCAGTGACGGCAGGTGTCTCGTCGTGGACACAACGGAGAAGACTTACGATGCGTGCTGATGGTGACTCCTCCTGTCGTCCTCGATGTACCTCAGGAGGGGTACTAGGCGTGCATGGTCTCGTGCTTCGCAGCGTCGCAGTCACTCGACGCACATTCATTCCATGGAGGTGCACGGTATTTCACGTATCAGAACCCCCTTCGCTCCGGAAGACCGCAGGGCGATGGAGGGAACGAATGGCGGGATAAGCTTGTGCAGCTTTGTCGAATCGGTAGAGACCGGGGACCTTGAGTCGTCGTTGAACGACAGCAGACGGCGCGACAGAAGCGATGCGTCTAACATTTGCCACATGTCCCAAGACAAGGGATATTCGGGGCTGTGTCGGACGAAGTCATAGCGCATGAAGTGCATATGTAGAACCTGCGCATTTTGAGACCAATCGTGTTCTGTGCGGCTGGTCGCCCGGAGCCATACGCCTTGACGCAAAAATGAGCCGAGGTGAACAGAAAGCCTCCGAAGCAGACCGTCGCGAAAGAAGGGATGAGAACATAGGGTGGAGGAAAGGAGAGTCGCGCGGCCGCCCCAGAGTGCTCGCCGCCCAGGGGCCGGCGCTGGTTGCGGGGGCGTAGTATTAGCGCCCAAGACATCTGAGTACTGCCGCAAATACTTATGCTGACGCATGATGAACTCGACATAATGTGCATATAGCTGGGTATGCTTCAGGCTTCTTCATGACACGCACGAACAGGCAAGGCCTGAGAACTGAGAACTGAGTATAGACCGGGGACGGGTATCAATCGCCGGTGCCGAGGTCGCCGTGGGGAGTCGCGTATTCCGAACTGTAGGTTGCTTCTTTCGCAAGGTACCACCACCGCCGACATGTCCGTAGCTGCCCACGCCCATTCTCCCGTTATATGCGCCCCACGTCGCTGCTTCGACCGGCCCCCGTGTCTGCTCTCCCCCCTACATCATGTCCTCAACGCTCCTCATCCACCACCTCAACGACTCGCGCTCCCAGCGGATTCTCTGGCTCGTGGTATGTCGGTCCCGCTTCTTCCTGGTTCCGCTCCACTCAGTCTTGTCGCCTTTTCGTTCAGGAGGAGCTTGGCGTCCCATATGAGGTCAAGAGATACGAACGCGGCGCGGATCGTCTCGCGCCCAAGGAGCTTAAGGAGGTCAACCCACTCGGCGGCGCGCCAGTGATCACCGACGGAGGGCGGAATCTGCCTGAGAGCGGGGCGATCGTGGGTGCGTGTCAAGACCCTCTTTTCCCTTCCCTTCTCCCAGGTCCCGCTTCTCGTGGAGGTCGCGAGGGAGCCAGGCCGTTCGACGCGTTACGTGGGGATTCGCTGATGGCCTGTATGCGTGCAGAGTACATCATCTCCAAGTACGGCGAAGGGCGCGCGCAGCCTCCCGAAGCCGGCATGCTCGATAACCTCTACTGTGAGCCCCCCTTCGCTTCGCGCGACGCGCCCGTCCCGCGCTCACACCCGCACCCCACAACGACCGTCCGGCAGTCACCCACTACTCCGAGGCGTCCCTGATGCCGATGCTCGTACAGCAGCTTATATTCAAGATGATCCCCGCCCAGGCGCCCTTCCTCATCCGCCCGCTCCTCAACGCGATCTTCAACAAGATCAGCGCGGGGTTCATCGAGCCGCGCCTCAAGCTGCACGCGGACATGGTGCGTCCTTCGCTCCCTCGCGCCTGCGAGCCCCGAACCCCTGGGGCCGCACACACCGGGAGCCGCCCCCGTCTGACGAACGCGCGTTTGTGCAGATCGAGAAGCACCTGGAGAAGTGCGGGGACTGGATCGCGGGCGGCAGCGAGCCGACGGCGGCGGACTACATGATGGTGTTCTGCTTGGAGGCGTGGGGGAACTCGTCGCCGTTCCTGCTCGGGCCGAAGACGAAGGCGTACGTGAACCGCGCGCATGCGAGGTGAGTTCGTAGCCCCGCTGGCGAAGGTGACCTTTCTAATGTTGGCGTCGCCGCTGGTTTTGCAGACCGGCGTACAAGCGGGTGAGTTTGAACTTTACTTTGTGAGTTGCTAGGGGTCCATGTTGACTGACGATTCGGCAGGCGCTCGAGAAGGGCGGAGAGTACAAGTACGCTGGGGATCTGTAGCTCAGCACTATGCGCCATCTGGGGACGAAAAACGTTACTCGCCTACGACTCTCTCTTCATATCACCAAAAACACACGGAAACGAACACAGCACGACAACGATGCAGCTACAGCCTGCAACAACGCGAACCACTCGTTCGACACAGGCTGTACTGCACGTATCGGACGCCTCGGAACTCCGCAAGACCGAGGAAACCAGTGATCAGTCGACATAAGCTCGCGCAGCTTTGTCGAGATGAAGGTCTGGAGTTTTGAGGCCGCGTTACGATACAGCGAGGCGGGGAGGAGTCATGCGTGTGTCCCTTGTCACTATATATTGGAATGAGTTCGGGGCTGACGACGAAGTGTGTTGGGGCGCGGTCGGCGTCTTCTCGAACGACTGAAGTACCGAAGGTGTACGCCTTGACGCAGAGATGAGCGCTTGAGCCGAGGCTTCTGAGGGGAATCGAAAATGTGCAGGGCGTGAATGTGTTCGGGCGGCCCGATTGCCGTCTGCCGGCGGTTGCCGCGACCGAACGGAATATTTGCAGTGGCGACATTGTAGCCTTTGTCCTACCTCCCCGACCCGCGAGAGATCTGAAGGCAGGACCGCGTCTGAAAGACATCAACCACCTCTCCGGTTATGTGATCACCCTTTGTCTCCACAAGGCGGAAACATCTATTCAGTACTATACGTGAGTGCGTACGAATATAGAATTCTACAACACATTCTCAAACCGCAGAACATAGCGCATCGAGCTCTACATATCGTCTCAGACGTATATACTACAAACACGCCACCCAAAACCGCCGCACGCCACGCTAATCTTCCTCGACGAACGGCTGCTCCAGGTTCGCCTCCGCCTCGACGTCCTCTCCGTCCGCGAGGCGCGCCAGCAGCGCGTCCATCTCGACGACCGCGGCCTCGCGCATCTCCACCGCGTAGTCCGCGTCCATGTCCACCGCGGCGGAGGTGTCCCACCCCGGCGCGTCCCCCGACCACCCGCCGTTCCGGTGGATGTAGTTCATGAAGGCCCGCCAGAGGGGGTCGATCGAGAGCACGGAAGAGTCGCCGATGACGATCAGGAGGCCCTTGGCGCGCGTCACGGCGACTGTGCGGAGGCGTGAGCGTGAGCGTGAACGGCGGCACGGGGACGGGGAGGTAGGAGGAGGGGGAAGCGGGGTGCGCACCGTTGAACCGCCGCGGGTTCGCGACGAACCCGAGGGTGAACTTGGCGTCGTAGGAGAGCAGGTCGCGGCTGCTGCGGACGGTGGAGAGGATGACGACGGGGCGTTCCTGGAGGTGCGTGTCGGCGCGTCAGCGAGCGTTTCTGCGCACGGGAGAGGGAGAGAGGGGAGCGCGTACTTGGCCCTGGATGAGCTCGACGCTGCATACGGTGACGCCGTTGATGCCCGACGTCTTGAGCAGGGTCCGGATCTTGCGCACCTGCGCGTGGTACGGGGAGATGACCGCGATGTCCTCCGGCTCTGCACGGGCAGGATCGGCTCTGGTGAGCACGAGGTCATAGGGAGTGCGCAAAGTCGATACTCACGGACGGGGCGCGCGCGGTCTGCGAGGAGGAGCTTGATCCGCTCGACGGTTTCCGTCGCCTCGAGGATGTTGAAGTACGAGGGCGAGGACGCCTCCCGCTCGTTCTCTCCCGGGATGTGCTGGAACACGACAGGGAACTTGGGGTTCACGAGCTGCGGCGAGCCGATGAACGCATTGATCGCAGCGGGGTCGCCGAAGACCTGCAGCTCGTTGTCGTAGAACTGTTCGTTGGGGTAGTGCAAAATCGCTTCGTGCGACCTGAAGTTCTTCACGAGCTTCACGAATCTACGTCGGAAATGGTGAGTGGTCGTCCGCATCAAGCGTAGGAGCTGCAGCACTCACGCGCGAGAGGGCGCCGTGGGACTGGTGTACACCACTTGCTCCATCAGCCTTTCCAGGTAGCTCTTCGCGAGTCCGAACTCGCGCGCGATGCTCGACCGAATGACCGGGCCGAGCTGCTTGGGGTCCCCGGAAAGGATAATCCGCGTTTCCGGGCTGGCGATCGTCTTGAAGCACTGCAGGATCTCCGGCTCGGAGGCCTGTCCCGCTTCGTCCACGAAGATGTGCGTGAAGTGCCCGTTCTGCATGCCCACGCCGTACGGGAAGGAGCCCGTGCCGCACGTCGAGACGATGACCTTGTAAGACACGAGCTTCTCGAGGCTCGGGAGGGCGAAGTGCCGTTCGCCGGGTGAAAGGTACGAGTACGGCATCAGACCGGCCTCCTGGACCCCGGCGGGGGCACGGAAGACGGCGTTCGCGCGGAACATGTCGTCGGGGCCCAGCGCGTCAGAGAGCCGCTGGGCGAGCAGGTCCGCGGCGGTGTTGCTCGGGGCGCAGGCGAGGATCTTGGCGTCGCGGTTCCGGTCGAGGATTTGCCGGATCGCTTCGATGACGGTGATCGTCTTTCCCGTCCCAGGACTATCGACCGTTGGTCAGTCTCGACTGGCAATTCTACACGCGCGTGTCACTCACGGCCCGAAGACAACGAATGGCGCTGTGAAGTCGGGCGCAATGTTGAGAATGGCCTTGATGGCTTGGAGCTGTTGCGCGTTCGTGGCGATCAAGGGATTGAATGTCGCAATGGGGCTCTGCAGCTGCTGCGCGGGGACCGTGTTTGGCACTGGCTGATGCTGCGCGAGTGGAAACAACAGTCTATGGGCAGACGTTGACGCGACCGAAATGGCTTGGTGCTGCCGGCGGATTGGGACTCTGTTGTATTCGAATCTGACGTTGTACCGACGCGCACGGTTGAATGAAGTATGGAAGGACACGCGGATGTCCTCCATTCGGACGTCGTGCACAAAGCCTTTGTACGTCTTGCCGTCGGAATCGCCGCTATTCTGAGCGTACAGAATGTCGCCTGGTAAAACATTAGGCATCAGCCTAAACAAACACAGCATCAAAGAGGATACCGTATGATCGTACCTACGACCACGCTGGGGCGCTTTTCGGCGAGCCCGGGGATGGCCAGGCTGCAAAAGGTCGTCAACACCACGGAACATCGTACGGGTTTCGACTTACGTGTACAGCCGGCCTTCTTGCCCGAACGATACGTTGGGCATGTCGTACATCCGCAAGTCCTCGCTACACCCGGAGTAAGTACAGGCTACCGGAAAAAAGCGACGAGGTGACATACATGATGCGCATCTCTTCAGCCCACAACAGATGCGCGAAGCGCGTCGGGTGTGTTGCGAGAGAAAGCGCTTGGGAAAAGTGCCGGTTTTGAATGGCTTGTCGCCCCTCGTCGGTGGCACCCCTGGATAAAAGCGCGCGGAAAGCCTGAGGAATGGCGGCTTGAGGAAGAGTCTTGGTCCATCGAGCCGACCCGGTGAGGGAGGGAGGCTTTTCGCCTTCGACGGTGGCTTCGCCATGCCGCCACGAAGTATGCTTCTTCCTGTCGTACTGCGATGTGGGCTGGAGAAGGGCGAGATCAGCGGCGTTACCGACAGTGGCGACCAGCGTTCTCCTCGCGCGCATGATTCCAGCATGGCCGCCCCTCGTAGCTATGAATCTGATGATCAAGACCGCCGTGAACTTCCCTCGGTGCCCATGCTTGAACTGGACGGGGAGCTGGACAGGCTGCGCTCGCTCAAGCGTTCTCCCAAGCACAGTCTTCGCCGAGACAGAGAAGCTAGCAATGGAAATGGTCTCGTTGGAGAGATGGGGGTATGGAAATGAAAGCGACGTACTGCGGGGACGGTGTCTCGCTCGCGACGTTGACGCGAACCGCCAGCTCGAGAACCTCCAATCCGGCGATCGAAGGCGTGATAGTGATGGCCAACGTCCGACCGCGCGACGCGTCTCCGACGGTGACCGTCCCAAAGTCGAGGCCAGCAGCATGTGATACGCCTAAGGCGCCGCGAAGCACACTCTCCTGCTCGTACTCCTTTTTGTAAAGCGCGATGACTTGAGATTTGATGTGAATGGTCGAGGAGGTATGGGTTTGCCAGTTGTCGCGCTCGACGAGCTGGTTACACAGAACACAGAACAGCGTGTTGGGGGAATTCGCGAGTTGGGGGACCGTCCGTGCGTGAGTTTGGCCTTGCTCGATGTAGTGCTTGACCCACCACCGCTGGTCTTGGAGTACGACTTGGCACGTGGGGCATTGTAGTTCAACGCGGACGTGTCTCTTGTTCACTCTTGCCGTGTGCTTGGGCGATCGCTCGTGCGCCAGACTGTTGCTTTCGCCGGTGGAGAGAGTGGCGCATGGGACACATACTGAGTGGAAGTCATGGTCCAAGGAGCACGTCGCTTCTTCCGGGCACTGGCCGGTGAAGATTTTGGCCGGGCAGTAGAGGTCGATGCGAAAAGGCGACATGGTGGGGAAAGCGGAGGGAGACTGTGGGACGCCGTCGCCGTCGCTGGGCTCACCAGTGGGGCCTTCGCCTGCCACGCACCTCAGCGTCTGCGGGATTGTGCTGCGGCAGTCTGCCTGCCAGGACGGCGCGAGAAGAATAGAAGTCGGGCTGCGCACATGCAGCTGCTGGCATCATGCAGCGCGAGTGCTTGATGACACCATGGCTGAAGACGACATTCATGGACTCGAGAAAGAGCTAGTCGCACCGTGAATGGGGACAAGCACGGGAAGGGAGGATACATAGCAAGGATGTCAACGCCAGTCTCCAGCGGACCATGAGACGAAAACTCACTCTTCCATCCAAAGCTTGGGTGATCGAAGTTACATAACGCGACGGAGCACGTTCAAGAAGATACGTGCGGAGGCAGGCGGAGGCCGCAGGAACCCAACGTGCGCTTACGTCATCGCCACTCACTCGAACACCGACGAGGTCCGTGATGGTAGACTGGAGTCGCTTCGAATGCTGGGTCCTATACAAGATGGCATACACTACATACGACAACACCGGCGACCATGTCCGTAGCTCCAACCTCGGCAGCAGCGCTCACTCGGCCTCTACGAACGGCACATCGACGTTCGCCGCGCCCTCGACGTCCTCGCCCGCCGCGAGCCGCGCGACGAGCGCGTCCATGTCCGCCGCCGCCGCCTCGCGCACGAGCGCCGCGTAGTCCACGTTGGTCTGCACCGGCACGGTCGTGTCCCAGCCCGGAGCGTCCCCGGCCCAGCCGCCGCGCTGGTGCACATAGTTCAGGAACCCACGCCAGAGTGGGTCGATGCTCAGCACGGCGGCGTCTCCCACGACGATGAGCAGGCCGATCGCGCGCGTCACCGCGACTGGGTGCGCGAGGGTTAATGGGTTCCGCGTGGGAGAGAGCGAAGAGACGTACCGTTGAAACGGCGCGGGCTCGCGACGAAGCCGAGCGTGAAGCGCGCGTCGTACGACAGCAGATCTCTGCTGCTGCGTACAGTCGAGACGATGACGACCGGACGTTCCTACGTGTAAAACTGGCGTCAGATTCAGCGCGAGAAGAGAAAGCTTTGATGCGCACCTGCCCTTGGATTTGCTCGACACTGCAAACCGTGACACCCTTGATGGTGGACTGCCGGAGCAACAGACGGATCTTGCGCGCTTGCGCGTAGTATGGAGTAATCACGGCGATGTCCTCTGGACCTATAAGCACAAGCGTTAGAGATGTGGCTTGACGACAACCGGGATGGTACTCACGAACGGGATGGGCGGTGTCTGCGAGAAGCTGCTCGATACGCTCCACTACTTCAGTGGCCTCAAGGATGTTGAAATACGACGGTGAAGTAGCCTCCTGTTCATTCTCTCCCGCGACGTTCTGGAAGACAACAGGGAAGTTCGGCGAGACCAGTTGAGGGGATCCAATGAAGGCGTTGGTGTGACCAGGGTCTGCGCAAGCTTCCAGCTCGCCTTCGTAAAATTGCTCGTTCGGGTACTGAAGAATGGACGGGTGCGAACGGAAGTTCTTGACAAGCTTCACGTATCTGATGGTGCAGAGAGTCGTTAGCCGAAATGCACGGGCAAGAAATTGTCACAGCGCGCAGACGAACGTACAGCAGATTCCGAGCGACCGGCGGCGCGTACACTGGCCGTTCTATGAGTCGCTCCAAGTAGCTCTTCCCTAGACCTAGCTCGCGAGCAATACTCGACCTAATGACGGGGCCAAGCTGCTTGGGGTCCCCAGACAATATGACCCGAGTATCGTCGTCGGCCATGGTCTTGATCGCGGCAAGGATTTCGGGCTCGGTTGCCTGGCCGGCCTCGTCCACGAAGATGTAGGCAAAGTGGCCTTTGCGCATTCCAATGTTGTACGCAAAAGGCGCATTTCCGCAGGTGGAAACGATGATCTTGTACGTGTTCAGTGTTTCGAGAGGTGGAATGGTGAAGAGATTATTGCGAAGATACGTATAGGGAAGAACGTCGGCAGGGATAGTGGAATGTGGGCGGTGTACGGCATTGCACCGAAACATCTCGCTCGTGGAGAGCACGGTAGCGAGCCTCTGAGCGAGCAGATCTGCGGCGCTGTTACTTGGCGCGCAGGCCAGGATCTTGCGTTCGGGGTGCCGACGGAGCACTTGCAGGATGGCTTCGACCATCACGCTCGTCTTCCCTGTCCCGGGTCTGTTTCGATGACGCCATTAGCTGAGCTCCTCCCAACCGTCCGGGAGACTTACGGGCCGTCGATGCAGAAGGGTGGAAGCCGCGGGCCCCATCCTAGCACCGTCACTACTGCCAGAAGTTGAGGACCGTTCGTAGCGATTCTGGTGTCGAATAGTTGTAAAGCATGCTGGGTAACGTCAACAGCCACGGCTATTCTGTGATCACCGGGGTCCGGAAACAGTAGACGCCCCGCGCAAGTCGAGAGCGCGAGCAGTGCTTGGTGCTTCCGTTTCTCGGGCGTGCGGTTGTATTGGAACCGGACATTGTGAGGCTCGCCGCCAGCGAACTTGCAGTGGAAGCTGACCCGAATGTCATGTCGACGGACTTCATGCACATAGCCTTGATGAGTGCGTCCCGTGGCGCTCTGCGCAAGGATCGTGTCGCCTTGCGGAGGTCAGAGTCAGAAACCAACTGTTGCGCGCGTGGAGATAGAGGCTCACCGACGACAACACTCGGTCGCTTTTCGGCCAATCCGGGCACGGTCAGTCTGACGGTATCGATCAATATCGCGCATTCGGGTGTTCAAGCTCTAGTATGAACGGACGTGTGCAATTTTCCTTCCTTGGTGAACCGTGCATCGGGGATATCGTACATGTGTAGGTCCTCCCTGTGATCCAGAAATGTGAACGTGGTACGGGCAAAGCGAGATCCGCGCTCACACTAGACGAATCTCTTCGATCCAGAGAAGTGCCCGGAAATGCGAGCAGTGGGAGTTCGTGTTGAACTTACCTTGCATAAAAAGAGTCTTCACCTGGTGCAAGATCTCCTTGTGGTCCGTGCTTGTGAGGATAGCGGCCAGTCGTGATGGTATTTGTGACGGAGGAAGTTTGCGTATGTAGGTGATAACATTGAGCGCCGGGGGACGCTCGCCTTCCAACACAGGACCTCCGCCCCGCCAAGCGACGCGTCGGTTCCTCACGAACGGCGCTGTGGGCTTGAGTAGTGTATGGGCGGTGGCTTTGCCGATGATAGCGCGCAGTTGGCGCATGACAGTAAACGTTCGTCCACTCGCTACGTGTTGGAACACGACCTCGAGGCGGCCGTCGTGCTTGCCACGCTGAGCGGCTTGCACAGAAACATCGATGGTGGTTTGCGCTTCGACGTCGAGTGGAACGCCCACTTGCGTCGCAACGGCCGTGAAACTGAACCGAATTGACCCCGTCGGAACCCGGAAGCGCGGAAGAGCAGAGCAGAGAAACGCACCTCGACGGCCGGTTTGTCGCGCCTTTAAACGTCTCGACCCGAGATATGACCAGCCCTCTTGCGCTCACCGACACGCGCAGCTGCACGACAGGGGGCTGCTGTCCAGCGGCGAAGTCGACAACGCCGAAATCTATGCCCTCCTCTCCATGCGATACGAAGACGCCCTGGCGATCCCTCTCCGCTTGTTCGAATTGGGCTTGATAAACCGTGTTCTGCGTGATGCGCTTGTGCGCGGCGCTCCGGAGGTGCGGGGTCCAGTCGGACTGAAGGATAGCGCGCTTGCATGCTAGACAGACGTTTGCATTGGCGAGGGACGCGTCGAGTGGATAGACCTCTGGAGACCTCCCTGCTGCCTGTGCTCGCGCTCGGTGGTCGGGGCTGGTGACGTGCTCTACCCATGTGGCGTTGCCGGTGAGGCGGGTGTTGCAGACGGGACAACGTACCGCAACGACCTGCCCAGCCTGGGACCTCGCTCCGTGCCGCTTGCCTGCAAGGTGCTGTGCGAAGATGTCGTGGACGCAAGTTATGTTGCAGAAGTCACAGAACTTGACGTTGTGCTGCAGTGGGCAGTTTTGTCTGGTGCATCCGCCGGCGAAGAGGTGCTGCGGGCAGATATGTGCGATCGCGGCCATGGTAGACGTGGACCGGTGAAGGAGGGGATGTGCTTCTCTGCCCACGGGCGGGATTGTGCCCACGGAGAAGCGAGCGAGCTTGCGTCCATGGCCGGAGGACGCGTTGTGCTGCGGTAACTCGCCATCCGACCCTCGGCGCCGTGAGAGTCGCTCGTGGCCGCAGCGACCTGACCTGCAACAACAATTGGGCCCGAGTCAGCATTCGGTATGCGAATGATGGGAAGAGCAACATCCCACCAAAGAGCCGGGATGCCCTCAACGGAGTGCTATCGGGGACGTCGGACGTACGTAGCGGGAACCGCTCCGAACTGATGCCAGCGCGCGCGTGAACGCGGAGATTGAATTGAGTTTCCATGTCTTTCCGAATGACATGACACTCCGCTCGAATATTAATTGTCAAGGCCCGCCGCAAACTCCGCCCAGCCTTTGCCTTCGTCCCACCAACTCCACGGGCCACCACCACCGCTTCGATCGTCTCACGTATCCTTCCATCCCGGCGCTTCTACGACGTAGGGCTCAGATCACAGTCTCATGAGTCGAGATCGCTCACTCACCTGGAGCCTGAGCGGCCACAAAGTCGTCGGCTGTAGCCGCGCGGAACAACAGCATACAGCTCTCGCCGAATGCTCAGAATCTTGCCCCCATGTGGAGTGAACAACTCGATTGTGAACATTCCGGTGTATTCGATGCGCTTGGAGTTAGGCTCGGTTCGGAATTGGACGACCACTTCGGTGGGTTCCCCGCGCACAAGGACCCTCGGCAGCCCTTGGTCGACGGTCATGAAACTGCGCCGAGAGTCAGCTGCGCAACGACGGCATGATGATAGTAGCGACTCACGGACAAGAAACCTTCCCACTCAACTCGGTGAACGCACCTTCTGCATGAGCAGCCCATCGAACTTCGGAGTCAGGCTCGTGACCACCCGCAGCACGCCGCTAGTCGCGTCCTCAGGAACAACGCTTCCGAACTTGACGCCCTCCCTGTGCGAGACGATGACGGCCTGTCGAGGGCGTTCTTTCCTTCCATTCGGCCTTGAAGGCGGCGATCGCCTCGAGGTCCTTGTGGAACTTCGTCTTCGAGTGGCCCTGCTTAGGCTCGGAAGAGGGAGGGATGAACTTCTTGCAGACGAGGCAGAAGAACTCGTCGTGGGCTGCAGGGTTGCAAGGACGTTCATGGCCGTGGGGACGTTCGGCGAGATGCGCGTCCCATTCCTTCGCGCTCGGGACGCTGACTTGACACTGCGTACAGTAGAGCTCGACGACGAGCTTGACCTGCCGAAGCCTGTCCTGATGGTCTTGGCATCTGACGTGAGATTTCTTCGCCTGCGGGTTGGTGCAGAGTACTCCACAGAATTCGCAGAGGAAATAGATGCAATGGGACAGTTTGCAAGACCCGCGCGGTAGGGGGCAGCGGCGGTTGAACACTTGGGAGGGGCAATACTTCTGTAGTTTGAGAGTCATGGCTGCGGGAGGGAAAGGGTGCGGACCAGTTGAGATAGGCGTGGAAAGCTATATATCATCCCAGCGCTGGTGCTACGGTAAATGCCTCGTACTAGGCCGTCAGGATCTCAGAAGTCACCTTGGTTGTTTTGGGTGGGCTGGACGATCAAGCGCTCACGGAAAAGACCACCGTTGTCTGAGAGAAGGTGTGCATTCACCACTTAACGAAGCAGCATGGAACCTCATTTTGACGCATGCAACTCCAGGTCCTGACTGAGTAATGATGCACGTATCGCTTCCGACGTCCTCTTACATTCCGATATAGCACTTGGTATACAAAGTCCACTCGCACACACGCATCTCACCAGTCCGCAGCGTCGCCCCCGTCATTCTCGTGCCACTCCATGGCACGATCAACATTCGCCTCCGCCTCTTCGTCCACCATCTCTTCCTCCTCGTCCTCCGGCCCGAGCAGCGCGACCGCCGCGCTCATCTCCGCCGCGACCGCCTCCCTGAGCTCGTCCGCGTAGTCGGCCTCGTCCTGCACGGGCGCGTTCACGTCCCACGTCGGCGCGTCCCCGCGCCAGCCGCCGCCCGCGTGGATGTAGTTCATGAAGGACCGCCACAGCGGGTCGATGGAGAGGATGGGCGCGTCGCCCACGACGATGAGCAGCGCCTTCGCGCGCGTGACGGCCACTGCGGGGGCGGAGGTGCGTGAGCTCGCAGCGCGTGTACGGAGATGGTACGAGAGGGTGCAGGATAGGAGAGGAGAGGACGCACCGTTGAAGCGCCGCGGGTTCGCGAGGAACCCAAGCGAAAATTTGGCGTCGTACGTCAGCAAGTCTGTGCTGCTGCGCACCGTCGAAAGCAGAATGACCCGACGCTCCTGCAACGCATGAAGGAGTGCGACTTGTGAGTGTCTCAGACCGGCAACAGCACCTGTGGCCACGCACCTGGCCCTGGAACTCCTCAACGGAGCCGACCTTGACGTCCGCGAGGTTCGCCTTCTGGAGGAGCCGCCGGATTTTGCGCACTTGCGCATGGTACGGGGCGATGACCCCGATCTCCAGTGCCGCTGCACGCGTGATCAGCTGGCTGGACAGACGCGCGAAGCCTTCTGAACCCTGGATGACTCACTGACGGGGAAGCGTCGATCTGCGATCAGCTTGGTGATGTACGACTTGACCTGCAGCGCCTCGTCGACGTTGAAAAACGAGGGCGAAGATGCTTCGCGCTCGTTCGTGCCCGATATCGCGTGGAAACAACGGGGAACTGCGGCGCCGCGAGCTGCGGCGACCGCAGGAGTGAGTTGATCACCTCCGGCGCGCCGCACACCTGGAGCTCGCCGTCGTAGAACCGTTCGTTCGGGAACTGCAGGATCGCATTGTGCGAGCGGTAGTTCTGCGTGAGCTTGATGTACCTGCAGAGAGCGCACGTGGTGAGATGAGAATAACAATCAAATGAGCGCAATCGCACTCACGCAGTACCGCGCCCACCATCGTCGCTGTACAGAGGACGAGCGAGAAGCCGCTCGAGGAAACTCTTGTCTAGGCCGAATTCGCGCGCCATACTTGAACGGATTACGGGCCTAGCTGCTTGGGTCCCCGGACAGGATGACACTAGTTGTTGGATGAGCGAGAGGCTTGATGGCAGTCATGACCTCAGGCTCCGCGGCCTGCCCTGCTTCGTCAATGAAGACATGAGTGAAGTGTCCCTCGGGGACGCCAGCATTGTATGCAAAGGAGGCGTGGCTGCAGGTAGTGATGACGACCTTGAATTGTATGATTTGCGATATTGCGGGAGGCCGTAGGCTCCGTCGCTCTGTCGTAGGGTGTATGGCAAGAGCTCTGGGGGCACTGTACTCGGGTCGCGGAAAGCGGCGTTGCAGCGAAACATCTCTTCTGTGGTAGCGTGATAAGACGTTGGGCGAGAATGTCGGCGGCGCTGTTACTGGGAGCGCAGGCGAGAACGCGGGCCTCGGGTTTCGCTGCAGAATCTGGTAAATTGCTTCGACTATAGTCACCGTCTTCCCGGTGCCGGGTCTACAAGCGCATGTCGTCAGACTCAATCGAAAAAAGGATTGTGAATAGATACGTGCGGTCCATAGATGATGAATGGTGCGTGTCCGGGCCGGAGGCTGACTATTGACTTCACGGCCTGCAGTTGCTCCGCATTCGTTCCAATAGAGCTGTTGAACGGCATGATCGGGGTGTCGTTGGGCCCAACCGGTGCTTGCAGTGGCTCATGCCCCGGCTCGGGAACAAAACGCGTTCCAGATGCGGAACCGTCGCGCGAAGCGCCTGGTGTTGTCGGCGAAGGGGAGTCCGATTCAGCTGAAATCGACATGGAAGCGTTTTCCGAGCGGCTGAAACGACTCGTGGAAGTTGACGTAAATCTGCTCAGCTCTGATACCATGTACGAGTCCTTTGAAGGACTCATTTCCGCCCGTTGATTGCACCATGATGTTATCGCCTATCACCGAAATGGTAAATAAAGAGAGGTATAGGAGAGTAGAGAAAGGGCCAACCAACTACGACACTGGGTCGTTTTTCAGACAGGCCATGCACATGCAAACTAAGCAGTGTGTCAGTGAATACGGTAGGTGAGTGGTGAAACTGACGACGTACGCATATAGTCGGCCTTCCTTCACGTTGAAGTCAACGTCCACCATATCATACATTCGGAGATCATTGCTAGAAGACACAATATCAGCCGATCACAACTTCACAAAGATATGACTAGAACATGTTACATTGTACGGTCCTCCTCGATCCACAACAGTGTCTGGAAGAAAAAGACATAGTTGTCCATCGAAAGGTCTTCATTGAAGCATTTCTCGGCCAGCTGCGCAGTTGCATCCTCGCGCGTGCCGTCCTTGAGAACGTCCACTAACTGCGACGGGATTGGGAAGTGCGGGAGCTCCCGCGCCCACTTGGTGCGCGGACGATTGGGGGCCTCCCCGGACCTGACCTCGAGGTCGTTGACCCACTTCCCTCGCCGCCGCCGTTCGTACGGTGCGACAGGCCGGAGGAGGGCGCGCTCGTCCGCCTCCCCGACGACAACGAGCAGCCGGCGGGCGATCACGAAAGGTTGGCCGCGAGTCCCCTGGAACGTGAACTCGAGGCGCGCTTCGTACCGCCCTAGTTGCCCGTGGTTGAAGTGGACCTTGAACTTCAGTGGACGCGCCGGCGTCACGGCGACGGAGGATTCGTCGTCCGCGATCACTTTGAACCTACGGCTCCGGGGTCAGCGTCGCGCGAGGAGGCGTATCTTGAGGTGGATATAGGGGACACACATAGCGGCATGGTTGGGAATGCGGGACTTCACCTCAGTCCCGACGAGGGAGATCTCCTTGTACACCTCCGTGGAGACGTCGACGGAGGCGTCGACCCCGGCAGTCGCCTGGTCCAAGGGGACGAGCCCGAAGTCAATCCCGGACGCGTCGGCGTGGGAGACGACGATGCCTTGCTTGTCTTGTTCAGCTTGTTCGTAGGCCGCGCGGAGGGCAGCGAGTCGCAGATGTTTTCGATGGCCGTCGGACCCGAGGTGCTCCCGCCACGAGTCGCTGTGCACGACCCGTGAGCAGACCACGCACCGTTTGAGAGAAGCGGGGAGTGTTTCCAGTTGGGATGTTTGCTCGACGTTTGCCTGGTGGCGGGGTCCCCTCTCATGGACCGCCCACCTGGACTCGGGGGAGCATACTGCGACGCATACTTCGCACAAGCGGGCGTCGTGTTCCAGCTCGCAGGAGCTGTCTTGGCAGCCTGGCCCGTAGAGGACGTTTGGACAGAAGTCTTTTTGTAGGGTGGCCATGGTGCTAGAGGTATGTCTAGAGGGACGAAGGAGGAAGAGGATGCCGATAGTGGCGACTCACACCATCCGACCGACAGAAGCTTTAAACCCGCGCCCAGATGGAAAGCTCGTTACCGCAGCACCTGCAGCCACTGGACGCCCTCATCCCACTGCCCAGGCCCCTCAGCATCATGTTTAATTGGACGGCTTAGACGCCATTAAGTTGGAAGACCGAGCGTTGCGGTAGAGACAGCCAAGAGAACGACTGCGTAGTAGCATTGAACGGTAGAGGTGTGATGATAACACGCAGTAGGAGAGCTGGATGTCTAGCCTTGCTGCGTCCGGCCCGTAACGCCCGGATCATGTAAACGCTCGCTACTGCCGACATTGCATTATGATGTGTGACAATCCCTCAATCTACTCTCGGTCTCAGGCGCGCTGGATATAAGGGAGGTTTGCCCACGCCTCGTAGCTGGCGGCCTGGAAATACCCAGAGCAGGTCAGATCCGGCGCACAACGCCCCAACGAGCGCACTCACCTCGTCATATGTCTTCTTGACACTCGGCCACTCTTTCAAGTCCTCCGTGTACTTCCGAATCCTCGCAAACTTCGGTTCCGCTAGCGCGTCCAAGACCTTCTTCCCATCCCCGACCGCATACTTTCCGATCTCGTTCTTCAACGCCATCTCGCTCCGCAGCAGGAACGGCGCCATCGCGACGTCCGCGAGCGAGAACTCCCCGACCGCGAAGCCCGTGGGAGAAAGGCGCGCCTGCAGCTCCTCGAAGAAGGCGAGGTACGCCTCGATGGTGACGGCGCCGAACAGGAAGCCGCGGAAGTGCTCCATCCCCTTCCCGTCCCACAACGTGATGAAGAGCCGCATGTCGGCCTTCTTCAGCGGGTCGGCGGGCACCAGTGTCGTGCCGGGGTGGAGGTCTGCGATGAACTCGGCGATCACGAGCGACTCGGGGATCTTGCGCGACTCAGGAGAGGGCGAGGCGGGGTCGGTCGCGGGCCCGCCGTAGCTAATAGACGGGATCTGCTCGGGCGCCGAGTAGAGTCAATGGTCCGCACGGGGTTGAGCCGATGGAATCTGTTACCTTCCCTGTCGGGTTCACTTTCTCAGTGTACCATGCCGGCTTGTCGCCAGCCGGGAGAATATACATCGTGTACTTCGCCCCGACTTCAGCGAGGGTTATGGCTACCCGATGATTGTACGGAGATTCCTGTCGAGCGGTGTCAGAATTAGCACAAGCTGAGTGTTAAGCTGATATCGGGCGTACGTTGCGACCATAAAGAGTGATCTGTTCGGGCATCTTGTAGAGAGAATGGTCCTGGCGGAGTAGGTGCCAATGATGTTTGTGCGATGTGCTGGTGAGGTATCCTGAGGCAGAAATGAGCTCTTCCGCCCGCTATATACCCGCCTTGTGGACGCTGATACAAGAAGGATGCGTACCGCTCTCATAATCGTCCCGGACGGATTGGCTAACCTGTATACCGATACCGGGGGTATATCCGACATCCTCGGTCTTAGCCGAAGATTCTACGCCACTGGTGTGGACTGCTGGTAGAGCAAACGAGGTATTCCCCGATACCGTCGAGGCTTGAGGCGGATCGATCTGCAAAGTAACTTGGTCAGCTTGTATATGCCGACGATGGGGATGAAAAAAGCTACCGGGCACCACGCTGGCGGTGCAATCGACGTCGGACGAATACGATGATCTGAACACCCCGTCTCACTAGCACTTCCCAACAAGCCTCGTCTCTGTGGGATGGCGTAGGTCACAATTCAGTCCGGAAGGGCGCAGGGTTCAGACGGGGCGATACTCGAGCCCTTTCTCCGCTGCAAGCATCCAGCACTTACTAGTACGCACGACATGGTGCTCTCAACAGTACCGCCAGAAGTTAATGCGACATATCTGGCGCATGAGGTAACAATACTGGTCATTGAAGGGTACGATCAGCAACTTGTCCATGTCACACAACGGGGGCAGCAGAGTCCGCACAAACTCGATGGTACTGAGCATCGAACCGCTTGGCAATAATCTAAAAAACAAGATCACTGTCAGAGACAGCCAACAAAACGATCACGGTTCATACCAACATACGTTAAGAATATGTCATCCCATGCATTAACGTACATACAAATTCGTCTACTGCCCATACCTGTTCCCCTTCTCTGATAAAAATACAGCTACCTACATGCGTTTATGTGTATACAAAACTTCTATACGCGCAGCGATCGCGTCAAGAGCCCTACAGGGCTCTTGGCTCACGACAAGCATGTGCGCCCCTCCACTCGCAGCCCGCCCCCGCTCACATGCGCGGCGCACGCTCCCCGATTCCGAACGTGTCGTCGAACGGCGAGCGCGGACTCGTCGGCGACCAGTCGAGCCTGTACGCGCTCGGGGGTTCCGCGGCATCTGCGCCGTCGCGCCCCCACGCGCCCCTGCGGGCTCGTCCCACACGATCGGCGACTTCGCGATCGAAGACTGCCTCTCGTGCCCCGGGCGCGCGGGCGCGGGCCGCCGGTGTTCCTCGAGGCGGCGCCAGGCGCGCAGGTTCGCGCCGCGGCGGCGGCGGTTCCAGGCGCGCGCGAGGAAGAGGAGGACGAGCGCGAGGACGAGCCCGGCGGCAACCGTGCCACCGGCGATCGCGCCGGCGTGGCGGGACGCAGAAGAGGAGGAGGAAGTGGAAACGTCACCGGCGGGGCGGGGCTCGGAGGAGGGTGTGGACGCGGTGACGGCGGGGATCGTAGTTCCAGATGAGACGGTGTGGGTGCAGGAAGAGACGGTGCCGGGGGAGACGGTGAAAAAGGGCGAGCGTGCGTAAAAGAAATCGTTGATGAAGAAGTAGTAACGCCCCGCGGTGACATTCGCGGACGTCCATGTCCAGCGGCCGTCGGCTACATTGACCCGAGTCGCGAGGGTGGTGCCAACGTTAGTGGGAATATCGCTCGAGGCGTTCGTGGGCGAGAGGTGGATGCTGACGAGGAGGTCGGGGCCAGTGTAGTTCCAGCTGATGGTGTCCGGATTGCAGGCGTCGATGGAGGGGATGGAGAGCCACTTGAAGGAGGGGAAACCGGACGTCATGGTCGATGCTTCGACACTGTCAGTGCACCGGTTGGGTGGTGGTTATGAAGGACGCCCAAATGGGATATGAAGGATAGGTGATCGATTGCGGCTCTTCATATATGCAGAGAGTATGAGCAGGGGTGGAGAGGAAGGAGTGGGGAATGACGACTAACCTCCGTGGCCAGGACCCTCGAAATGGTGACTGTCGAAGATGCGACGGTGGGGACGGGGGTCGAGAGGGAGGTCGAAGCAGTGGGGGCGAGCAGAGGAGGGCCGCGCGCGGGGATGTGAATGGTCGGCGTGTTAAATACGGGGCGAGGGAGCTTCGTTAGGGACTCCACCCCACGACTGTCAGGTGGCTCCCGGCCAAGCTCCTGATTATCTCCCACCCGTTGGCGGCTTCCTGCGTGAAGACGAGGCCTGAAGCTTGTCGAAGCCTGGTTATCTCCACGCGCTATCTCCCGACTGCAATCTCCAAGAGCGCCACTGCTCTGATCTTGAGTGCAGGGCGCATTGGCATCAGCACGGCCGGGGTATGTCAGGGGACTAAGTAGAGAAAGAAGATCAGTCGCGCGACCTTATTCCGAGATGGCGAGTGTGGCAGAGCGGAAAGAGCAGGTCGCCAGATACAAGCGCCAACTCTGCCCTCGTCTTCAGCCGCCAACGCTTCAGCAACTCCTCCGTCGCGGCCATGCCGCTCGTGAGCGCGTCCATCGACGCGTTCCTCATTCTCGCCATCGCCGTCCTCATCCCCGCCCTCGTCCTCTTCCGCCACCATGCCTCGCATCGGGCCTTCAGCTTCCGTGATGCGCTCGCCCTCTTCGTCCTCCTCCACTCCCTCTTCGTCCTCTACGTCCTCGTCGTCCGCTGGCCGCCAAACGTCTTTCAACGACTGAAGATCCCACTAAATGCGCACTCGGACCACATTCGCGCCCTCCTCCTCCACCGCGCGGGACTCGCTCGGGACGCGGCTCTGCCGCAACCTCTCGAGTCGCTCCTCACGCGTCTCGAGTCCTTCGACATGCGCACGCTCTACGTCCGGTACGTTCCTCACACCTCACCTCATCTCGCGCATATATGAACCTCTTTCGCGCACCGCCGCAGCTTCGGGCAGACAGTCCTCCAGGACTGCGAGTACTGCAATCTCTTCAACGAGTTCGCACTCTACGCCGCGCCTCAACTTGCACTCGGATACGGCGTTGAGGGCGCCGTGGTAGGCCTGGTCACCGCCGTCAGGAGCGGTCGCGAGCAGTGGCGGCCGTATGGGGTTGCTGCGCTCGTCGGCGCCGCGCTCGCGGAGGCATTCTGGCTCGCCACCGCGCCAATAGACATCCCGCGCGACGGATTGGGCGTGTTCATGGTGAGTGCTTCCACCCACTTTTCCCTTTGCGGCACGGAATTTCTTCGTCGCCGTAATGTGCTCGTATAGTGCGCTTCCGATACTTGAAGTGGTGAGTTGCACCTGGGGCACATTGGCAGGAGTATGACGGTTCCTGTGCCTGCTCATGCCCAGAGGTACCTCTTGATGCACCACGCAGTGCTACTGTCACTATACCATTCTCAATGTGGTACACCCCATGCACGGACGCAGGTTCAGAAGCAAAGCTCGTAGTGCATAGCGTAGGCCATTGTTTTCGCTCATGCACAACGAGCATATTGAAATGGGTGTAGGGCAGGGCATGTCAGTTTGTACATGGCTCAGGACGTTCATTAATATGAGCCGATATGAGCTATGAACTTATGCCCTGTGAAATGTTTGTCTGTACACCTCAAGTGCCAAGCGCGAGTTTGCCTGCCCTCGCAAACCTTTTCCAGCACCTCCCTTGGCTTTCTCTCGTGTCAAGGTCGTTAATTAACCAAATACTCTTGCACAGTGGCACGACAACCTCCGCCTCTTGCGGCTTCTCTTGTTCCTCCTACTGCCTCCGCTCATCCTCATCCTCCCCTTTCCCTTTCCCTCCGCCGCCACCCTCCAGAGCCAAGCCCTCGCACCCGCCACTGTCGACGCTCTTGCCGCCGCACAAAACACCCTCGCGGACACCAAAACGCGGCTGAACGCCCTGCGTTTCCTCAACGCCGCCGCGGCCCGCGAGCCCGCGCTCCGTGCCGCCTCCGCGGCGTTTTGGGACCGCCAGCGGGAGGAGGGCGCGATCGCGCGGGCGGATCCGTACGTGCGTCAGGCCGCGCGGGACCTCGGGCGCGGGTTCGCGACGGAAGGCGATGCGGACGCGCGCGAGGTCGGGGGCGCGAACGGCCCGATGAGGGTGCGGGTGAGGGCGTTCGCGCGGACGGTGATGGAGCTTGTCGCCCCTCCGCAGGCGGCGAAGGCTGCCGGAAATGCACAGTGAGTGGTGTGTTGTGTTCGACGATGGTGTTCTATGGACTATCGTGCGTTTGTCATACCCTAGAACCGTGTAAGTCGGTGACTCCGTACCTTCGAAGTACAAGCATCGTCTCGTTCATGATAGTGTATCATTATAATTTCGCGCTGCTCGTCCTTGGACTCATTCCGGCTGTAGTACCTCTGTTGGAGCAAGCGCTCCCTAAGGATGGATATAAGTATGGAGCGAGACCGGATCAGCGTCAGACTTTGTATATAACAGTGCATCATTTCTCGTCCGCCAACGTCGCCCATCAACCCTGTCTTGACCACTACTGACCACGTCGAGTTGACCTACCGGCACAGGCTCGTCATGGTACTGATTACAATTTTCATGCATCACCATCTCCAAGCTTCCAATATCATCAGGGTTAACATCGCACTGGACGCCGACGTCTCTACCATCGTCGACGCATTCCTGGCAAAGAGTCCAGGTGTTGAAAGAGAGTCGACGTTGCTGAGGAAGGTATGCAGCCTCCACATCTCTCGCTGCATTATGTAGGCTCATCCAGGCCACCAGCTCCACCAGCCGCACTCCGTCGGATACCAGGGGGCTGATGCTTTGGATGAGCGGATCGCTTTGCAAGGCTTAAATAACGTATGCGAGCCCCTCAACGGGCGACGCACCATCCGGTCATTCGTGGAGAGAGTGCAGGAATATGAAACCTTCTTCATCGTCATCGTTCTTCCGCCGCAAAGTGAGTGGCTTGGTCGATCTCAGATGCCTTGCGGGCTAACGGGCGGCACATCTCGCCAAAGGACCAACCATTGTCGACTCACTCTCCTGGGCGAGAGAACTGCACTATCGGCTTCGTATGTGCCATGAGAACCCATTCGAGCCAGATACGCATGTGCCGCGCGTCCGTCGTGAGATTATCGACATCTTCAATCGACGCGGCGACTGCGACCTCGACACCTTGTTCGTGCGCGTCGAGTACGACCGCGCCTGGACGTCAATCGAGAAAAGTAAAAGGCACTTTGTGATTTTCGGCCAACCGGGGATAGGCACGTCTTTCGAACTCACATCCCGACGTGCCGCTTACCGTTTCCACAGGGAAGACGATGTTCCTGATATTTTGTCTCCTCAAGGCGCTGCGCACCAGGACGACCGTCGCTTTCTCCATCGCCCCAGACGAGGTCATCCTTTTTAAGGCGGGCAGCGTCGAACGTTATTCCAGGTTGTGCGACGTTCCGACTGACGCCCTCGCGCTCTTGGATGCGCGCATGGGTCCTGACCGCTACGTCGGAGGTATTCGATCGCGCGCCGTGATCGCCACCTCTGAACGGGACACACTGAAGAAATTTCAGAAATACATGAACCCGCTAGGCTGGATCATGCCAGTGTGGACGGTTGAAGAACTGGGTTGGTTTGGGTGAGTGGCTTAAAGTGATCCCATAACCGGACGCTCACCCTTCCTAGTCCTGGCCGGGAAGGGCATTGGTCCGTGGTCCAGCTCGCCAATGTACTGGGTCCTTGTCCCCGCGTCTGCCTGGAGCCCGTTCGGAAACTATCGGGCAACATTCTACGAGATATCGGAGAACGCTTCCCCAAGCTGACGGTCCCGGAGGACATGATATACGGCCTGGAATGGTTCTTGGAAGAGGGGCGCTGTCCCTTCTCACTTCGCATAGATGGGTTCGACTCTTTCTTTTTCTACAGAATCAGCCGTGACCATCGGAACCCGGTAGAGGGCTTTTGGAACACTCTCACCCTCTGCATCCCCACGCTCCCACTACACCTAGCAGCCGCCCGCACGTTTGACGCAGCTCAGCTTCGGTGGCGGCAAAACCTGGCAGCAACCGCGCGCGCCAGGCTCTCGGGCCTTGACCCCTTCTCAAATCGCTTCTATGAGACCCAGCCGCTCCGCTGCCGCATCCTCCCTCAACGGACGATCCTCAAGCTCAAGTCGCTGCGGCCGGTCTACCTCGACCACCTCGTCTACCGAACGGTGGCCGACGCAGTCGCGGCGGGCCCACGCGGCAAGCTCGTCGTCCCCTCCGTCGTGGACGCCGCGCCCTACCTCGCCATCGCGGTCTCGCGCGCCAACGGCCGCACCCACATCGTTTTCCTCAGCGAGGCGGACGCGGGAGGCACCGTTGCGCTGGACGGTGCGGACCTCAGCGCGGCCCTTCCCCATCTTTTCCGCAAACGGCTGCCGCGGAATGCGCGCTTCTCGTTTGTCTACCTCGTCCGGCGGCGGAAGGACGGCAATGCGCTCGCGCGGCGCCGTATCGCCGCGGGCCCCATCTCGGTGTCGTACAAGAGGCGCGTCTTCGGCGTCGACGTGGGCTACGCGGTCGTACCGAGCTCGGTGAGTTTCCTTCGGCCTCGAGTTTGAATGGGACCCTCCGTGCTGACTTCCTGTTAGTGATGTCCCCCGAGGATTCGGCTCTCGATCGCATGACTGCGGTATCTATGCTTTGTGATTTCGCGTCCCAGCGGACCTGCTCTTTATTCAGCGCTCGCACTCTCCGCCGAGAGAGGTCGGGGGCGCGAACGGCCCGATGAGGGTGCAGGTCAGGGCGTTCGCGCGGACGGTGGTGGAACTTGTCGCCCCTCCGCAGGCGGCGAAGGCTGCCGGAAATGCAGTGAGTGGTGTGTTCGATGATGGTGTTCTATGGACTATTGTGCTCTTGTCATACCCTAGAGCCGTGTACGCTGGTGGATGTGTCATAGTTGTAATCGCCAGGACGTCGCGCGGAGTTTCGCGAGCCTTCCATATTGTGGTAGCGTACAAGCAGAACTTCAAATGGAAGTGCATAATCGCTCCTGACTAGTCTGCTACATGTGGTATACTATAGCTACTTAGAATTGGGTGGGTATTGGAACATGCTGGCCTGAGACTCTGTCAGCACGGAACACAGGGAAGGTCAATTCCGAGACACACACACCAGGGACATGCTCACTCGCCCAGCCGATGGCAGAATCCATGAGTACCGTCTCGTTGACGCACGGCACAGGGACACCAGGAACTTGCTCGAATGGGACATTTTGGTTTCTCCGAATGAAATTGTGCAGATCTCTCGCCCAGGCGACTCGCGAGTCGACGATGGTTGGTGCTTTGGCGAGATGTGCCGCCCGTTAGCCCGCAAGGCACCTGAGATCGACCAAGCCACTCACTTTGCAGCGGAAGAACAATGACCATAAAGGAGCTCTCATATTCCTGCAATTTATCCACGAATGACCGGATGGTGCGTCGCCGGTTGAAGGTCTCGCATACGTTGTCCAAGCCTTGCGAAGCGATCCGCTCATCGATAGCATCAGCCCCCTGGAATCCGACGGAGTACGGCTGGCGGAGCTGGTGGCCTCGATGAGCCCACATAATGCAGCGAGAGATGTGGGGGCTGCATACCTTCCTCAGCGACGTCGACTCCCCTTCAACACCTGGACTCTCTGCCCGGAATGCGTCGACGATGGTGGTGACGTTGGCGTCCAGTGCAACACTAAACGTGACGGTTGTGACGACGGTGCTGTGAGGATGGAGTACGAAGATGGGCACGCGCTTTGTGACAGCAATCAGCAAAGGGTGGATTGAGAGAAGATCAAGAGGACTGCATACCGTGTTTGTCGGTAAGCTATTGTTTGACTTCGGCAATGTTTGACCGTGGTGGTTCGGAAACTTGGACTCCGGTTTGCACTGCGAGCTTGGCGGCGACGAGGCTTGATGGCCTTCGGCATTGCTTGAGTGTGGTGGTTGCAAGCATTGAAAGGGATGGCAGAAAAGCATGAACCAAGTCCGTGAATGCTGAAGCTGAAGGAAGTACATCTTTTCTTGGATTATGGGATCCAAGCGGGTGAGGTTGACAAGTGGAAGACGAGTTGGTCTGCCTCTAGCGCCGAGCGGCATTCACAGTGTGAACGGGTTTCTTCCACACTCAGGTTAGGTTCAGTGGTCGGACTCCTATCTAGGAGTCACGTTGTTGGTCGAGGGGGGAATAGTGCAGCGTCGACGGTGTCGGCAGTGCCGTAGGCCTGGAGGAGGTCGACATCGATGTGGGGGGAACGGCAACATAGATGGAGGAGGAAGGACGCAGTGGAGAGCTCGGAAACTTTCGCGATTGGCCCAACGCCCGCCGGTGCTGATTGTGTCGGACTTGTAAATAGAAGAGAGAGGAGGGAGTGAGGGGAGATTTGATGAGCTCGTGAAGGGGCCGTCAGTACCATGTCGGGGGCAGTATTCGGGCGCGTTGTTGGACAGCCTGCGGTCCCGGTTGGTGGACTCTGAGTGCTGGTGCGGGCGGGAAATTATTTGACGACGGCGAGTTGAAAACGCCGGCGCGAGCTCGAGGCTGGAAGACCCGCGGCACTAGGTGAGGGTATTATGTGCGGTTGAGATAGGCAAGCTCGAGGCGGTCGCGCGAGTGGAACACACTCAGAGTCTGCCCCGTCCTTCAGGCGCGCGCTTCCGCCACTGATTACACGCGTTTCCTCCCGCCGTGACTCTCCTCCTTGCACTCCCACCTGTTCGCTCTCGCTGCTCTCGTCTCCTCAGGTGGTCGCTCTCTTTTGCTCTCTCCCGCTCATTCCACTCTCTTCGCTCCTTTCTTACACCCCGCATCGGCACGCTTCCCTTCCCGCCGTTGGCCCGCGGACTTGGAGTTGCGGGCCACACGCGCCCTCCGTCCGACGCCCGACGCTCGGAGCACCTACCCACTGCCGGCAAGCCTTCACGCGCGCCCGTTGTGGAATTTGAGGGAATGGTGAGTTCATCTGCCGCTTGATGTGCGTTTTGCGACCCGTCCGCGATGCTGCACGCTTGCGCAGCATCTTGGGTGACCGCATAATTGTAACGATCGAAGAATGGAAATTTTCAGGCCAGGCCAAGCCTCCGACGCCGTTCACGCAGTGTGTTGCGGTCGCGTGAGAGCGCGGGAGCGAGGGCGAGGTCAAGCGGGGCGCGGACAAGGGCAGGCGCACGCGCGCGGGAGAGGAGTTGATTAGGCGGGTACGGATGACGTAGACGGGTAGTGTAGAGGCGCAAGTGTCCCCGTTGGCTCGCAGAGCGGGAGAGTAAGGAAGGGCGGGGTGAACCGTGACGAGGGAGCCTGAGGCAATCGCGTGCGGAGGCGGGGATGCGGAGGCGGGGATATAAACTGTGCACACTACATAATCAGTGGCGATGATCGTATGCCAAGACGTCCTTTAAAGCTTTACGGGTGCGCGCCGACGCTCGTAAACGGATACTTAGGCGGAGCAGGCCATAACACAGCGCTTGGCTCAAGGGTGATTTGTCAGCCAGTCATTCAGATTCCGCTCGTGACGCCTTAGATCTCAGACTCCTTACGTCCTTTGGAGTAGAAACATTGTTTCATTCATGCTACATGATGGGTGACTTTGTCGTTATGACTTCGTGCTGCTCGTCCTTGGACTCATTCCGGGCTGGTAGTACCTCTGGTAACAGTGGACTTAAACCAAGCGCTCCTATAAGTATGGAGCGACGGAGCGGCGTCGGGCTTTGTATATAACAGTGCATCATTTCTCGTCCAGGTCCAGCGTCTGCCCATCAACCCTGTCTGACCACGTCGACTTGACCTACAGTCTCGTCATGGTACTGATTACAATTTTCACGCACCACTATCTCCAAGCTTCCAACATCATCAGGGTCAACATCGCACTGGACGCCGACGTCTCCACCATCGTCGACGCATTCCTGGTAAAGAGTCCAGGGGTTGAGAGAGAGTCGACGTTGCTGAAGAAGGTATGCAGCCTCCACATCTCTCACTGCATTATGTGGGCTCATACAGGCCACCAGCTCCGCCAGCCCTACTCCGTCGGATACCAGGGGGCTGGTGCTCTCGATGAGCGGATCGCTTCGCAAGGCTTAGACAGCGTATGCGAGACCTTCAACCGGCGACGCACCATCCGGTCATTCGTGGAGAGAGTGCAGGAATATGAAACCTTCTTCATCGTCATCGTTCTTCCGCCGCAAAGTGAGTGGCTTGGTCGATCTCAGATGCTTTGCGGGCTAACGGGCGGCACATCTCGCCAAAGGACCAACCATCGTCGACTCACTCTCCTGGGCGAGAGAACTGCACTATCGGCTCCGTATGTGCCACGAGAACCCATTCGAGCCAGATACGCACGTGCCGCGCGTTCGCCGTGAGATTATCGACATCTTCAATCGACGCGGCGACTGCGACCTCGACACCTTGTTCGTGCGCGTCGAGTACGACCGCGCCTGGACGTCAATCGAGAAAAGTAAAAGGCACTTTGTGATTTTCGGCCAATCGGGGATAGGCACGTCTTTCGAACTCACATCCCGACGTGCCGCTTACCGTTTCCACAGGGAAGACGATGTTCCTGATATTTTGTCTCCTCAAGGCGCTGCGCACCAGGACGACCGTCGCGTTCTCCATCGCCCCAGACGAGGTCATCCTTTTTAAGGCGGGCAGCGTCGAACTTTGTTCCCATTTTCTCGACGTTCCGACCGACGCCCTCGCGCTCTTGGATGCCCGCATGGGTCCTATCCACCACGTCGGAGCCATTCAATCTCGGGCCGTGATCGCTACCTCCGAATGGGCCACACTGAAGAAATTTCAGAAATACATGGACACGCTGGGCTGGATCATGCCAGTGTGGACGTCGAAAGAACTGGGTTGGTTTGGGTGAGTGGCCTAAAGTGATCTCATAACCGCACGCTCACCTTTCCTAGTCCTGGCAAGAAAGGATACTGGTCTGTGGTCGAGCTCGCCAGTGTACTGGGCCCTTGTCCTCGCGTCTGCTTGGAGCCCATTCGGAAAGTATCGGGCAACATTCTACTAGATATCGGAGATCACTTCCCCAAGCTGACGGTCCCGGTGGACATGAGGGTTGGCCTGGACGCGTTCTTGGACGAGAAGTCCTGTCCCTTGTGCCCAATGGACGGGTTCCACTCTTTCTTCTTCTATAGAATCAGCCGTGGCTGTCAGAACCCAGTCGAGAGCTTCGGCAACCCTTTCGTCCTCTACATCCCCACGCCCACACTCCACCTAGCAGCCGCCCACGCGTTTGACGCGGCTCAGTTTCGGCGGCGGCAAAACGTGGCAGAAACCGCCAAACTCTCGGGCCTCGACCCCTTCTCAAATCGCTTCTACGAGACCCAACCGCTCCGCTGCCGCATGCTCCCTCAACGGACGATCCTCAAGCTCAAGTCGCTGCGGCCGGTCTACCTCAACCACCTCGTCTACCGAACGGTGGCCGACGCAGTCGCGGCGGGCCCACGCGGCAAGCTCGTCGTCCCCTCCGTCGCGGACGCCGCGCCCTACCTCGCCATCGCGGTCTCGCGCGCCAACGGCCGCACCCACATCGTCTTCCTCAGCGAGGCGACGGCCGCGGGCGCGGGAGGCGCCGTTGCGCTGGACGGGGCGGAACTCAGTGCGGCCCTTCCCCAGCTGTTCCGCAAACGGCTGCCGCGGAATGCGCGCTTCTCGTTCGTCTTCCTCGTCCGGCGACGAAAGGACGGCAATGCGCTCGCGCGGCGCCGTATCGCCGCGGGCCCCATCTCGGTGTCGTACAAGAGGCGCGTCTTCGGCGTCGACGTGGGCTACGCGGTCGTACCGAGCTCGGTGAGTTTCCTTCGGCCTCGAGTTTGAATGGGACCTTCCGTGCTGACTTCCTGTTAGTGATGCCCCCGAGGATTCGGCTCCCGATCGCGTAATTGCGGTACCTACGCTTTGTGATTTCGCGTCCCAGCGGACCTGCTCTTGATTCAGCGCTCGCACACCACCCGCCGAGACCGACTCCCAAGTCCTCTATCCTAAGTATCTCACGTAGCCACATCCCGCCTCCATTCTTTACGGAGTCGCCGTAATGTACGTCATATCCGCAGTGCAGCAATAGCACATCATGTAGCATACCGCCGCCCTACGATCCAGCACTCATTTGCTTCCCCGACGCGTTAATAACATCTTAATCCACGGCAGCTGCACTCGGTGACTCGGGGACCGAAGTGATTGTACCACGCGGGTACCAACCGGCGTTGTCTCACGCGAAAGCCAATGCGAAGGCAAAATGTGTGATGTGCATATCAGGGTGATGAGTATGTGGGTGTAAAGAGCGATATGGTACTTTAATGGGGGCGTGTAGACGCGAAGGCGATGACGGCCACGATGACGGGGACGGCGGATTTTGGTGGAATGGTGGAAGAAAGGGTGGGATACATATACAACAGGGGGATGAAATGCGACCGTCGGAGATGGAACGGGCGGAAGGAAACCGGAGGTGGATGCGGTATGAATGGCTAGGTACGGAATTCCGACCGACAGAAGCTTTGAACCTGGGTCCTGCGGCACCTAGACGGAAAGCCCGTTACCGCAGCACCTGCAGCCCGAACACCTCATTCCTGGCCCTTCAATATCATGTTGGTTGGATGGCTTGGAGTCATTATGTAAGTTGGAATACTGAGTGTTGCGGTAGACGAAGCCAAGAAGACGAATGGGTGGTAGCATTGAACAGTAGAGGTGTGAGCCTAACATGCAGTTATGCAGATTGAGCTGAATGTCGAATGCTAACGAACGTCTGGCCGTAACGCCCGTAGATAAACGCTTTCCCTGATACTAGATCCATATTAATCCCTCAACCTACTCTCGGTCTCAGGCGCGCTGCTGGAAATACACATACCAGGTCGATCCGGCGCACAACATCCCAACGAGCGTACTCACCTCGTCGTACGCGTCTTGACACTTGGCCACCTTTCAAGTCTCCGCATACCCTTGATCTTCATACTCCACGACACGTTAAAACTATCCGGATCCGCAGCCTGCTGACTGCCGCACCTGGGAACTCGGGTAGCGAAGCGAACGTACCTTGCGGGGATTAACCGCCGTCTCACGCGAAGGTTCATGCAGAGGCAAAACGTGTGGTGTGCATATGAGGGGCGACGAGTACGCAAGGGCGTTACTGTAGGCGTAAAGAGTCCGTACGGTACTTCAATGGGGGCGTTCGTGCGAAGGACGACGTCGACGTCGATAGTGGCAATGATGACGATGATGACAAGGGATGACGGAGTTCAGGGGGATGGGGGGACGGGGCGAAGGGTGAGATACGTATACAACAGGGGGACAAAATGCGACCAGCGGAGGGAAAGCGGAGGAAGGTGCGGTGTGAATGGCTGGGGATGGTGGGGAGACCGGGACGGGATCTGCGCCCGGGACGAAAGGCGGAGGTAGGAGTGATGAGAACGAGGGCGGCGGCGACAGGGAGGGGGTGGGAGGAAGGGTGCTGGGAGAAGAGTCCATGGGGGATACCTTTTAGATATAGATAAAGCACGAACGACGCACACACCAGGCACCCCGACACCCATCCCAGGCCCCGCTAACCAATCCCAGCGCCCTCATCCCCATCTATCCAACAGACCCAACATCCATCCGTGCTTCCAACGATCCGAGAACAGACGTGCGTGCGAGAGAGAAGAGACAGCGAGACGAGCGAAGATGATCGTGCACAGGGACACTGGAACAAAGGGAAGCCCTCGTCAGCATACTCTCATCGCACGGACGCAAAGCACTCACCGTCGACAGCGGTACAACACTGGAGGCAAATAAAGACGCTAGCCCAGACGGACCTAGTACCGCTGGGGTGGCGGCAAGTCGGGCATGATGACGTGCATCTGCTTGTCGCCGAAACTCGACTTGTGGTTCAACTCCGGCAAATCCACCTGCAGTTCCTCCCTCGACCGCTGGCGGGCGGTGGCCGAGGAAGACGCAAGGGTGCTGGCGGAGCTCCCTCCGCGCACCATCGGAACTGCGTGGCCGTGCGAGGACGAGGACGCGGACGCCGGCTGCGGCAGAGGAGGAGCTGAGGCGTCGAGCGCAGGCACCGGCTTGCGCGCCGCGCCACGCCGCGTGTTCGATCGGGACACGCCGCCCGTCTCCGGGGGCGAGGCGGGGGACGCGGGGGACGTAGGGGTCCTTGGTGAGTCCGTAGAGCGACGCGCGCGGTACGCGTACTCCGCAGTGGGCGAGTCGACAGAGCGGCGGGGAACGGGCGTCGGGCTGAAGTGGCGGGTGTCGGTGGAGGACTGGCGCGAGTTGGAGCCGCCGTCGAGGCGCGAGAGGGCCATCGCGCGGTGGTTCTGCGCGCCTGCCCCGGTGTAGGAGGGCGCGCGGTTGCGGCCATACGAGCCCGAGGTGGCGATGGGCTCCGGGAGCGCGACGGCACCGGAGTTGGACGAGCGCCGCCTGCCGACGTACGCGAGTGGGGGCACGGTCTCGACGTACTCGCCGCCGCGCGATGCGCGGCGTGACTCGAGCTTTTTGCCGTCCTCGATGTCGGTGAGGGTCTCCTCGGACGTCCCCCGCACGCCTGCGGGGAGCCGGCCGAGGCCCGTCGCGGGGGCGAGCATCGCGGCGGTAGATTCGGTCTTGCCGTGGTGCTTGTGTGCGACTGCGTCCATACCGGACTCACGGGAGGAGAGCCCAGCCCATTTTCCGAGCTTGCCGCCACCCACAGCGTCGTCTGCGCCACCACCGCCCGGACCGCCTCCGCGGCGCGAGCGGGTCGGACTTCGGCGCCAGAGACCGAAGTAGATGTAGGCGGCGACGAGGGCGAGGATGATCACGACGCCGCCGACGACTCCGCCAACAATCGCCCCGATGTGGTTGGTACTCGAGGAGGAGGAGGCAGCCGCGGCCGCCGTGGGGGAGTTGGTGGGAGACGAAGTGGACGAGGATGACGAGGATGACGAGGAGGTGGACGAGGATGTGCCGGACGACGCCACGGTAAGACATGAAGTATCCGCACCTGTCTCGATCAAAAATGGAGACGAGGTGCCGGTGAATGAGGTGGCCTGGGCAGAGAGAACGTAGAGGCCTGGCGTGAAGTTCGCGCTGGGCCACGTCCAGTTGAGGGCGGATGCCTGGATGTTGGAGCCAATGACCGTCTGGGCGACATCCCTCCTCCTACCGGAATTCCCCAAGCCGGTGCGTGGGGTGATGCTTGACTGGATCGACATGGTGAACGTGATGTCGACGCCCGTGAAGTCCCACTGGATGGTGTCCTGCGTGCAGGTATCTACAGGGCTTGGGACCACGGTGAACTGGAAGGGGTTGAGGGATGTCATCGTGCTCGACGGGGCGGAGCTTGAGGAGGTCGCTGTGGTGGTGCCGGGGTCCGTCGGCGACTGTGTGGTCGTCGAGTCGGAGGTGGTCGAGCTGTCCTGGGTAGAGAAGGAGATAGGGAGGGAGGGCGTGGGGGCGTCGGTGAAGGAGTTGAGGGAGGAGAAGCGGGTGCCGGGAAGATTGACCTGCCGCCGCACGACCGCGTCTAGATGAACCATAGTAGGCGTCAGGGGTCAGCTCGCCGTCATGAAATTCAAGCGGGACGGATGCGGGGGTAGGGGACGAGCGCGCTGGGCGAACGGAGAGCAAGGGGACAGCCGAGACTCACCAGAGGCGGAGGCGTACGCTGCGAGCCTGATAAGGAGGGCGAGGGGCGACGCCGTCCACGTCCGGCAACCGTCGTCCGCGGTGCTCGAAGGAGAGTTCGGCGGAGGTCAAGAGACGGGGGGCCGCGTGGGCGGGCGGACGAGAGGTCCTGCTGAGTGCTCGGCGGCAGTTCCCCACATCAGCGTCCGCTTCAACTGCCGCCCGCCCGCTTCCCCCCTCGTCATCATCCCGCGCGTGCCGTCTGCCCACCCCTGTGGCCAACGCTCTCCATTCCTCGTTCCTAGTCCAGAGCCTGCTGATGAGGCGCATGTTATGAGCTGTGGTATGTGATTATACAATGTGTTATCGTAGGTCTACATCGTGCGAATCGGTCTGCGAGCGTGTGGGACGACAAGATTTGCATGAGAGCTGGTCAGAGCAGGGAAAATGCAGCGATGCGAGAAGCCTCCCTCGGCCTGTCACGGGTGCCGGAACTCTGGCCTTCTACCAGCCCTCGTATCGCCCCCGCAGCGACAGAATCGCCCACTTCGAACGCCGTTTGGGCGGTTTGCGGTTGTTTCTCGATAGTCCGACCTTGCGTATCTTGGAGAGTCTGCAAGAGTATGGGCGTCAGCGGTAGGCACCATCCCTCAGTAGGCATTGTGCGTGCATACCTCCGCATCGCCATCGTAGCACCGCCGAGCGAGCCCATAACGCGACCGCTGCCATGGCATAAAATGCATATGGGTGGGCTTCAAAGTGGCTTATCAGCTGCGGACGTCAATTTCGTTAATATTCGTGCGAGGGATCTGCAAACGCCGCAAGCAGCATTGACACCTACGTTCATCCCGAACAGACCTGCCACGAACGTGCCGATGCCAATACCCATAGTGATGATAGATATCTTAAGGTCCAGGGCGAGGAGAGAATTACGATTGGAGTCCAGGATGAGCTCGACAATCTCTTGCGTAGACTGTACGTTGGTCTGATCCGCGCATGTTAGTATCACATCAACGGCGAAGCAACCATGCACAATAGATCTCCCCAACGACCGTCGCAACGCGTCTGACGAGCAGGCGCACATTGACTGACATCACTTCCAGGTGGTCATCCACGTCCGAGGGAAATTTCGCTCAACCTGACTCTAAAGTCACGACGCCCACAGGTGACCGTGACGCTTCCGTGAAGATCCCGAGCGCCCAGCATAAAAGCCGGCAATGCAACAACACCAGAAGCCGTGTCCGAGCAGGTGGTATTGCCCACAATGACGACATGGGCCCATGCAAAACCCACGCCGATAGTATTGCTCACCTGGATGGTCTCTGCCTCGTTGACGATCTCCTCCACCTGCTTCGAGAATGACTCCAGTAAGACCTCTAGCTCCTCATGATCATTGTGTGGCCGCGGAGTGCCGGTCTGCTTGTCACTGAGGTACATAGCGGCGAGATCCTCGTCTGAGCGAACCTGATCAGCGTCGGAGCCGCGTGGGGTGGCCATGAGAGCTCACCTTGCTCCAAGACTTCCTCTAGTGCCGATTCAACCTGAGCAAAGGGAGACATGAGCGTGCGCCGTGCGACGAACGTGCTACAACGGACATACCAACTTTGCACGATTCTGGAAGCTCGAGAGGCGCCTCGAGTAATGGAGAAGGCGCTTGAAGCGGTCGTGGTCTATGTCATCTTCGAGTTCCGCGAGAAGCCCGCCCACGAGATTGCGAATGAAAACCATCTCGGCCTCCAGCGCGCTTAGAACCGACAGGAGTATAGATTCCAGTGCACTAAAAGCAGGGTCAGCAATTATCATCACACCTGAGAGGGTTTGTCATGGAAATTGGCAGAATGAACCACATAGCCGGTATCTCGACAAGCGCCCGTGGGCTCGAATTCGCGAGTTCGTCAGGCAGCAGCAAAACGCAACATATGCGCTAGGCAATCATCGCAAATTTGAGACGCATACGTGCGCGTCTTTGTCCATACCAAAGTGCATGCAACGATGATCGGGGGCTTGAGCCCGCCACTCCGGACTTTTGGGGAGGACTTGGCTCACGCGTGTAGAGAGGAGTGGAGAGCGAGGTGGCGAGGAACACTCACCGGAATTCATAAGGCAGGCCCGGGGTCTTCGCCCTCAGATTGTGCTAAACAAAGGCGGAATGTTGAGAAGGGTATGCATGTTCGAGGTAGATATATGCTCTCACCTCAAGGTGGTAGAGGAACACCGAGTGCAAGCGAGAGTCTGCAGAGCCATAGCTGTCAAAGAGGACCACGGTGTCGGCCTTGACGAGGGCACGGACATGCAGGATATTAACCTGCCGCGGGGGAGATGAGGCGGTTGGACCGGGAACTAGCGCAACGAGCAGGCAAGTGTCCACGTACAAGGATGGCTTCTTTTCGCACCAAGATCGTAGGCACGAGGTTCGGTATCCTCGAATCAATCTTGCGGAGATCACGAGGCTGCCCGCTGACGGGTCAGCGACGTGCGGACGTGGGGGCATGATTCAGACTTACGTTCAGCCGATGCTCCGTACACAGGTCCGCCTTTTTGAACTGTCCCAATACGGTCTTGACGTTTCCTTGAGACGTAAAAGCGCGACGGGGAGCAGACGCAGTCGGTGAGACTGCCGAGAGAGAGGGGGGGAGCACGCGCAGCTGACCTTCTGCATCCAATATTGTACCTTCGGGCCTGCCAGGGTTAACGAACGTGGGGGAGGAAGAGTGAGGAGGGCTCACATCGTAACATGAGGTCCGCTGGCTGCCTACCCTTCATGGCCTTCTCCCACAGGGCAGCTTGGACGCCTCTTCGTGGCTGTCGATGACATCTTCTTCTGGGTCATGGTATCGGAGGTGGGCGAAACGTTCCCGCCAGTTGCTCGAGTAGGACCGAGCGGACGGAAGACAGCATGAAGACCCGAGTAGTGAAGGGCGTGCATTGTCGATTCGGATAGCCGGGAAAAAGGTGCGTGGGCTTGAATGGAGACTGATCGAGGAGCACGTTCTGCGGGGAAGACGGAGCCAAGGGCAGGTGGAAGGGAGTGTGAGGTGCGCTCTGGGGCCGCGCGGGGGAGCGGGCATGCTACATGGCAGTGTGCCAGAGAGCGAGAGAGCGCATGCATGCGCCGTGGACAGAGGCGAGAGAGGTGGAGGGGGCCCGTGCTGGGGACGAGGAGGACGCGCTGTCTGAGAGGAAGACCCGGTCGCGTACGCGTTGCGGAGACGCCCATCTGGACCCATGACCACACAGGGCCGCTGATGTAAGCGCTCACGCTCCGGACCGGAGCTCCGCAAGTCGGAAATTGGACAGCGCTCGCTCACCGGCTTGGCCTCTGCTTCCCACCACATTCAATAGCGGACGACTCTCCTCCGCTCCAGGTCTACGCTCTGCCTCGGCGTTACCGTCTCTATTCTCCGACCAGCCTATCTCTCTCCGTCTGCGCCCCCTATTCTGCGATTATTGCTCGACGTGCCACCCCCACCTCGCCCATCCCCCACCCTAGCCACAAGACGGTGTGTCTGAAGAGATTAGCCGTGCTGCCTTGATTTGCTGATGACCCCTGCCAGTTAGTCAATGTTCCTCCCGGTTTTAGGTCATTCTCGCTGCTCTATTCCGTCACCGCGCATCCACGGACCACGGCCGTGCTCGCCCCGAAGCCATGTGACACAAGCCTAGCCCCCACCCGCTCGTGCCCTCCGCGGGGACGCACAGGCGCACGACACGAGTCGCTTCTCTCCCTGCCACCTGCCTCCCGTCCCCGGGCCCCAGATTGGCGCATCGCCCACATCAATGCCCGTGCTGCTCTCGGCTCCCTCTTGCCCGCCACGGTCCCAGTTTCGAGCCCACGAGTGCAGCTCGTTCCTTCCCGGGTTCTACAGGCGTTCTCCTTCGGCCACCACTACATGAACTCACCTCCCGCGTCCCGCCTCGTATGGGTGTTCCCTTTGCCTTTGCCTCGTCCCCTGTCCCCCACTCCCCGGCCTCCCCGACCATGCACGAAGTCAACCGCCTGCTCCAGGCCGCCGCTGCCCTCTCCTGTTTGCTCCGCGACGCTGGCGTTCCGCACGCCTTCCATGGCAGTGTCCTGACCGCCGTGCTGTCCAGAGCACCGCTCGCTGATGTACGTCACTCGCTGTACGCCATAGTCCTCGCCCGCTCACACCTCACGTAGGAGATCTGCTGCATCGTGGAAGGTGGGACCGTCCACCCATTCCGACGCGTACGGCAGGCTCTCGCAGGGAACGAAGAGTTCTTAGTGGTCGCCTCGCCGTGGAGCAACCGGTGAGCTTCACCGCGTGTCTCTGTCTGTCGTGGCTGCACGACTCGCATTCACGAAGCTCTAGCTTGCACGTGAAATACACCCGGCTGATTCCACCCATCGACGTGAGTATTTGGCTCCGCGGCGCATAGCGACCCTGCACGCTGCTAACGCGGACATGGATTAAATCAGATCGAAATCCTCCCCGCGGGGGAAGACGGTCCGCGGAAACTGGATGCCTCTACGGCAACGACACTGGGAGGCGTGCCGTTCCTGACCGTAACAGAGTTCATCCGCGCCAAGATTAAGGCGTGGTCGATGTATGTCTTCTACGTTCCCTTCGTTCGTTCCTGCGGACGCTCAATGTTTGTCTTGCAGACGTGGGTTGGAGCGAGACGCACAAGACATCGTGTTTGCGCTATCGCGGCACTGGAACCGGGTCGATCTGAACCGCATCCCAGAGCAGGAGATGAACGAGTTTGCAAAACGCTTCCCTGCGGCGGGGACGCCATGGCAGGAGCTGAAGCGGAAATACGGCATGTGCGTCTATGGCCTCGTGCCGTCCGTTCTTCTCCTGCCCCACTGAGTCTAACTTTCCAGGCGATAGCCGTGCACAAAAGTATCCCCACGGACGGTTGTTCAGCTAATGTTGTACTTGTATATTTAGTGCGTGCTTCGCGTACGGCAGCGTCAGGCTCGCCGTGAGGCCTACCCATTGCGTCATCCATGTCGCAGCCTTTCGACCATCCCCGGTCTGGCCACACCGCGGATCCCCAGCGAAGGTGCGTAGCCACGTTCAGACTCGGCTGCGGGCCCCGGCCGCCCCCTCGCCATTCGCACCCCAATTCGCATGTGACGGGCTGAGCTGCCGACTCCGCCACGCCGCCCACACTGCGGGGCGGGCCCCAGGCGTGCTGCTGCGCCCGGTCTGGACCAATGTCCACATCGCTGGGCGCCGCCAGGAACGGCGTCGGGGCAGGCAGGCGCGCGGAACAAGCTTCCAGACTCCCGGGAGTCCGCCTGCGACCCCGCACGCGGGGCTCTACGGGCGCGCAAGATGCTATCGGTCCCTGGCGCGGACGCTGCTCGGGGGCGGGGGGCGCGGGCGCGGGCTCGTGATGACCAGCTGACGCGCGGGTCGTCGAAATCGCGGCGCTGGGAGGGATAGACGTGCCGCGAAAAGCCTATCGGTGAGAACATCGCCGGATCGCGGGGGCTCTCGTCGTCCACAGCGATCAGATAAGCCGGAGGAGGGACATCGTATCGCCCGCCGGTGCTGCCACAGGACGCCTAGAGGGCGTTCATGGATGGGGGAAAGAACGTCTGTAACGGCGGGTTTGTATGCGCGTCGGGCCGGTGAGCGAATCGGTGGAAGCGAAGGCTTTGGAGAATTCGTATTTTGCGCAGGACTGGGCTGCCTCATGTTGTGAATCACCGGTCAGACAGGGTCGCAGACCGGGGTTGTTCGTGGAGGTAACGTGCTTCCGCGGCATGACTGGCGTCTTACGAGTCACTCAGTTCGAACTTGTTCAGCCTGATATGGGCCGTATAGCTTCACGGAATCAGTTGACACCTGCGCAGTACGTCTCTTACGTCTTGCCCAGGCGTGCTAGCCCTCGTCATCCCAGCTTCTGATCTGCGTCTCCAAACATCGGCTAGTATTCTTTCTGGCGTTTGGAACCTGATCACGAGATGTCCGTTCGCTGGAGTATCCATTTAAGTAAAATTGACATTCCATTTCCGCTATCAAGGGACTGGTATCTGCCACAGCAGTGAGTGTTAGAAGTCGGCGGCTCGGACGAGGTCGGACAAGGGTAAAGGCAATCGATACCAGGCGGTTGGTCCCTATGGGCACCGGGAGGCGAGTACAGACGGACGCGGGGGAGAACGAGCATCAGGAAAAAACGACCTGTCACAGGAGTGCTCCGGAGACTCCAGAGCAGTCCGATCACGGGTAGACAAGTGCCATTTCTGTAGCCCCCATAGCTCAGCCGGCACCCCGCAGGCGCTCGAGAGACACAGCCGCCTGCTCGGCGAGCACTCCAGAGCAGCTCTGAGCATTGTCTTGAGAGTGCTCTGGAGATCTCCTGAGCGCATCCGTGCTGGGCTATTCCTAGCGCGGGTACCCGATACTCACACACATATAGCACATACTATATATTCGGCCTCGATAAATTTTATTGGGGGACAGCCCAGTGTATAACTCGTACATATGAATAGTGTAGTTGCGGCCAGGCCAGGGTCGTCTCAGTCTCAGCCGTGCGTGGTCATGGTCAGCACCCACTCATCGCACCACAGAGAGAAGACAAGAGAAGAGAAGAGAGAAGCGGGAGGAGAAACGCACGCACTTTATCGACGCCGTCCTCACCAGGCGTCGGGAGCCCGCTCCTTGCCTCCTGCAGCTTCCGCCAGCGCGCCTCCGCCGGGCCTGCGCGACTTTCTTTGTCTCGCGTGCGGCGACAGACGCGATCAGGCTGCTGTCGAGCCAGCTCATGAGCCGCTTCCGGACCACCTCGTCGACCTTGGTCGTCAGCATGCGCGCGGTCGCGTCGGAATATCACCAGGCCAGGCGGAAGTGACGCATCAACGAGCCGTCCGCACGAGTCGAAGATGTGGCTGGGGGAGAAGGAGATAATCTCGTCGCAGAGGTGGGTGAGCACTTTGAGCTCGGACGCGAAGAAGGTTGTGCCCGGGCGCACCGAGGACCAGTCCTGGTGGGGGTTATGATCCCAGATTTCCAATTGAGTCGCACACGATGCGCGGGAGCGAGACGGACTCGCCGAAGAGGACGAAGGAGAACATGCCGCTGAGGATCGGGCAGAGGTCCTTGATCGAGCCATTGGTACTGAGCGGGAGGCTCAGCACACACGCGTGAGGGAGGCAAAGTAGTGGGGGCACGTACGAGCGGGATAACGAGGTCGTTCATCTTGATGTAGTCGAAGCGGATCTCGACGGCACCGCCGACCTCTTCCTCCTTCGCGGCGACGAGCGCGCGCGTACGTTCCACGCAGTCCGCTTTCGGTTTTCCAACATCACAGGCGGCTTCGGCCGCGCACAGAGCGGCCCACAGTGCGGGCGCGACGTCCTCTCGTTCGCGCGGGGTAGGATACGCGTCCAGTTGACAGTGGGGACTACACTGAGCTGCCGTCCTTCTTTGGTAGCCTGTTCATGGAATGTTCCATCAGGCAAGGGATGTGAGGCAGATTTGGGCTTACTATACTTCTGGACGGCGAACCTTGGGAGGAAACAAAGAGAGGTGGGGGTGGAAACAGCGAGAAGGGATTGAAGACGAACGCGAGAGCTGCGCAGCGCGCCGTTGGCGGTTGCGGCTCAGAGGTCTGTGCGTGGGAACAACCTTCCACCGATGGTTCTGGTGGATACGACCATCTCACGCCGTCAAACTCGCCATTGGCGTTTCCTAAGTCCTCAGTTACCGGCTTCCTTAATCTGCCATTCCCACAGCTGGAACCAACAGGCCTTCCCTTCACCTTGGACACCCGCATTCATAGTGAACAGTTCGATGTTTACACACAGCCCACGCCGATTGCGGGGAATCATATGAGCGTGAGTGGGTTTCGCGCACAACTCGCGCGTTATTGCTTGTGTGGGAGGACGATATCGAGGACTCTCGTGCCACCACTGCAGCAACATAGAGCTCGAGCGGACCTGGCTGTGGCTCTCGAGGTGTCATGAGCAGCCGCTGCTACTCTGGAGACCTACAGAGCACACGGCGATACTCGAGGGACCTCGACATCATTAGTCATTACGCGAGGGTGCTCGAGCGCCCTCTCGGTCATCACTGGCAGCAAGTGAGCGATCCCGAGTCCGGGCCGGGGCTCTCGTACCAAACGTTTTTTCCTGATGAGGTGGTGGTGAAGGGCAAACGCGTGAGGCGAGTGCGGGACGAGGGACGATGGCTATCTACATGATGACTAAGCACAAGTAAGGTACGACCGAGCTTGCCATACACGTGAGCAGATTCCAACAGTGAGCTCTTCATGCACACGACAAGAAATGCCGAATATTCGGTGCCCGAATAGGACCTAGAACATGGTACTGTCACGGTACCTGTCACGATCACGATCTTTGTCTGGTCCGCGCCGGACCGGACAAAGAACTGGAATCCTGGTTGGAGCACAGTCTGTGTCCGCCCAGAGTGACGAAAGGAGTCGTGCTCTGCCCCCGAACGCGCAAAGAACATGGTGAGCCCACTTAAGCTGTCTGAGTCGTGGATCCAGTCTGATATGCGCGCCACTGAGAAGCCTGGTCTGTGGCAGACCAGGCCATGGGCAGGATTCATGGCCTCAGCCTCGTCGGCCACAGACCGGGCTCCGCATTCGCCCACAGCACTTTTTTACGTGTTCCTGTGTGGTTTCCCCACAGGGTGTGTGATGGTAATGAAAATATGTTTCTTAGTACACTACTACATGGTGACAAGAGCGGGGCAGGCAGTGGAAGCGAAGGATGGGTGGCGAGGCAAACCAGTGAGGCAGCGGGGACACGGTCACGTCGCATCCCTGCAGCCGCACGAGTCGAACGAGCGCGCAAAGTGCGGGTGGGACGTGCTCGCGCGAACGAGTCGAACGCGCGCGCGAGCGGAGGAGGGCGAAGCGAAGCGGAGGGGACAACTTGACGGTTGACTGGCAGCGGGACGCCGTGCTGAGCCCGCGCGAGTCAGACAAGCGTGCAGAGCACGTCCATTAGGAGGCGCTCGCGCGCGCGCAAGCACAACGCGCACGAGAGCAGGGGAGGGGGAGGAGGAGGAGGACAAGGAAGAGGTAGGGGGCCGAAAGTCTCGGAACTGAACATGAAACTGGGTATGTGGCCGACGAGGCTCAGGAGGCCATGAATCCTGCCCATGGCCTGGTCTGCCACAGACCAGGCTTCTCAGTGGCGCGCATATCAGACTGGATCCACGACTCAGACAGCTTAAGTGGGCTCACCATGTTCTTTGCGCGTTCGGGGGCAGAGCACGACTCCTTTCGTCACTCTGGGCGGACACAGACTGTGCTCCAACCAGGATTCCAGTTCTTTGTCCGGTCCGGCGCGGACCAGACAAAGATCGTGATCGTGACAGGTACCGTGACAGTACCATGTTCTAGGTCCTATTCGGGCACCGAATATTCGGCATTTCTTGTCGTGGCAGCTGCTTCAGCGGATACGCGGTGTTACGGTCGCTTTGCGCGCCTGGATTATCGCGGGCACGGACCGCCTCCGGACCGCTTCGATTAGATTATCACGCCCTAGCCAAGGGCAGCAGCAGCTCGGAGCAGCCACTGCTAGCGTGTGCATCGTCGCGGTCTTTGTATCTACCTCGTGGTACCCTACGGTGGTTTATCTACGTATAGAGGCTGGGGAACCACCCCAGCTTCGAGTTGATGCGTTCACCACCACCTCGAGTCGTGCGCGACGCCCACCTCGACGCCCAGTCCAGAAGCCCGGAAGCCGTATCAGGGCCGTTGATGATGATGATGATGATGATGATGTATTCATGCCAGAACTGTAAGTATCTTCGTAACGCTAAGTACGAGCTTTCTCAGAGACGGCTGGTATCCCGCATTCGGCGAACTACAACGGGGCCACGGCCAAGGCTAGTGTGTGGCGGGGTACATCAGCAAAGTAGGTGCGGAAACGATAGCGTATGATCGTGCACTGGGGCATTTGTAGCGTACGATAGTTAGTGCTAGCGAAGACGATAGAAGGTAGATTAGTATCCAAAGAATGCAGTAACCCGTATTGTACGGCCTTCTACTTCTTCCGCTATCAACTGATGATCGATTCTCGCGGGCAGGGCTATCAAGTCTGAGTGCGCGCGCGACCGTATATCGGTCATCTGCAGCGCATGAGATGATAGTATCACACTATAAGAGGTCAGAGTTAGCGGAGGAGATGACAGATAACTGCAGAACACTGTCGCCTTCCGTCGCACACAGGGGCGTACATATAATCACACAGGTAGTATGATCCAATCGCACGATAATCCATTCGGGTTAAATACGAAACAGCCGGTGTTCTACACAACGGACACATGAGCAGAATAAAGAACTTACATGGTCGGCGATGTGGCCGAGCTTGAAGCCTCTCTCCCAGCACGTCTCCCCGAATTGAGGGAGGGTTCCCTGCCATCGTGAGTACTATCGGAGTGGTCAGTAATGTAGAAAATTCGTATCGAGAGATCGCTTACCTGATAGAGGAGTCAATGTGGAGAGCGCGGAAAGGTCGGTTGAGCGTGGCAAGATAGACAGGTCGGGCATGGAGGGGCGCCATGGGCGCGAAAGGGTGAATTGGTTGGGCGCGGGGAGGTGGTCGCCTTGAGCGTGGATGGTCGCGTCGGGGAAGGGGGAGGGAGGCGGAAGAAGTCAGCGGGTGCGGCCACAGGGAACGCGGAGGAAGAGAGACGCACGCAGGAGAACTGGAATGCCTTCACGAGCCGGATCCCCTCGACGGAGCGGCCCACGGGGAGGTTGTTGATCGTAATTTGCTTGTCCAGCTCAACCGAACGCACAATCAGCCGCGATTCCCGGACGTGTGCCGCTCCACCAAGGACGTACCTGAGGGCACCCTACAGGGTCGACTCTGATGAGAAGCCCACAGAGGGCGATCCCCTCGTCCTCGATGAGGACGCCGTACTCGTGGGACATGGACATGTGGGCCGACTCGAGACCGCCTTGCTTGCGCGGGGCAATCACCCAGATCGGTCGAGGCCGCTATGGACTTGGTGGAATGAGCGGCTGCAGAACAGATATCGGTAGAGGAGGAAGAGGAACACAAACCAGTGAGCCGCTGCTCCTGCCGAACGGGCGGCTGCTCGGGGCGGACGCGTCGCGCGCGTTCAGCAACGCCTACCGGAAGCGGTCGCGCGCAGATCTAGCAGCAGGAGGTCAGGATAAGCGGGCTCGACCATGCGGGTCACCGTAATATCCTGCTCGCCTGCCGCGCTCGGACGTTCTGAAGACATACCTGTACACCATGCTCCCACGGAGCCGGTGGCTGCCGCACCTCCACATCGCCTTGAATCCCCGGTGGCAAGTGAATGGTGTTGGGTCGCTGGCTTGCATGGGAGCGCGCGGCGCCACATTGAAACTGTCGGCAAGGCTGAGGAATCAGGCCTCACAAGTGACCGACCCGTGGCCATGGGCGACGTACTCAAGCGTATCTTTGTACCCGCAGTCTTGAGGGTGTGGGCTTTCGCCGGTGTGGGTGAGGTGTTCAAAGCCATGTGTCGACACAAGTGTGTACGTGAGCGAGATGCTGAGAGCGGGGAATGAGGAAGAACTCACCGTGTCTTGATACATCGCGCGCGAGTGTGAGTGGCACATCGTGCTTGGGGGATGATGGTGGTCGCGGATAAAGCCCAGTAGGCGCGCAACCCAGCACACGCGCCCGTGTCTGGAAACAATAGGGAGGCCAAAGCAGGACGCCACTGCGGCGCCTCCGTGACTATCAGCAGGAAATCCTACGTCTCAGGGTCATTCTCCACGCTGACGAGAACCGTGTACTTGACCTACCCGGCGGCCGCTCTTCGGAGGTGCACTGGGCCCTGCTGCCCGAGCGTCTTGATCATCATCGCCTCACCCGCAATCAACTCATGGTGCCATCTGCAAACAATGCGCCAGATCTGACGCTTCCCAGCCAGCTCTCGAGAGTGAGATCGCTTTCAACGTCAATCTTCCATCGCCTAACGTAAACGGCCTTATCTCAAGACCTCTTCCCAGTCGCATTGGTAGAGCTTCAAGCTGCAGAGGTCATAGCTTGTCGAATCATTGGATATCGAGGAGGATGGGGCCCGGGAGCAGAACATTACTTATTGGGAGTTCACTGGCAGCTGGGCCGAACTAGGCTCGGCGTCGCTTGACGGGCAAGGTCGTGCACGACTTGCACCCGACCACTGCCGGCAGCGCCCCAAGTTCCAACATGTTTGCAGGACTGTATTTGCGCTAGGAAGCCAGAGTTGGTGGAGTGGCTGCGCGGTGACTCGGTGAGGCCGTATACTTATATCCTCGAGGCTCACGGGCACCGCGTTCTCTGCCGCGCGCACCATTCGCGCGCTCACGAACCAACCGTATAGCTCAATGCAGACTTCTCATGCACCCCGCGCGCGCCATGGATCACCCTTGGAGGAGCGCATGATCATCTACTATCATCAACATATCATCGACTACAGCTTTTTGTCTAAACTACTAGTGCCTGTAGTAGATCCATCATATCCTGTATGCGGCCACGGAATGTGATCAAATGTCATATCAAAGCCGAATGAATATCAGCTGCTACCGTTCTACTGCCATCATTTGTCGCGCGGACAATAGACGACCTGTCCCGATATGGCAGTGTCGCGTGCTATCGGGCGCTACCGTGAAAAACACCTTTTGCTGATGTAAGTATCATATATCAGGGCCGTAACGGTCATAATGATGCGGCAGCTTGTATCTAACGTTATGAGAGACTCGTTCTTCCAATGTCTCCTTATCGCCGTATCTACTAGCCATACTTGTACAAGGTTCTTTACAGGAGAGTCAGCACTCAATGTATATGATCATCTCACTGCCTAGCGGAACCACGTGGGAACAAAGTTCGACGATCTATCACGCCTACCCTTCAGAGCAGAAGTCACAGTGACTTAATAGCACGTGATATGTCACGCAGGACGCGTACCCCTTCGGTGTCGCGTCCTATGGCCTGCTCGTCGTCCTCGACTGTACACCGCTCCTGTTCCTTCCGCCACCCTCCGTTTCCACTTCAGCTCATGCCTGTTGCCGTTGCTACACCTAAGCCCTCGGGCGGGCTCAAATCGTACTACCAGGCGAAGATTGAAGCCGCGGAGCTCGAAATCAACCAGAAGACCCAGAACCTCCGCCGTCTAGAGGCACAGCGCAATGCACTCAACGCGCGAGGTGAGAGGCAATGTTTCTTGCCCGCGTGCATACTCTGAGTTGAACTCCCCAATAGTGCGGTTACTACGCGAGGAGTTGCAGTTACTCCATGAGCCCGGAAGCTATGTCGGGGAGGTCGTCAAGGTCATGGGCAAGAATAAGGTGCTGGTGAAAGTGCAACCCGAGGGGAAGTACAGTACGTCGCGCTCTTCTTATGCTCTCTATGGGTGCTCATGCACGTCGTGAAGTCGTCGACTTTGACTCGGAGATCGACGTTGCCTCTCTTACCCCTTCACTCCGCATCGCCCTCCGTTCCGACTCTTACACAATACACAAAATCCTGCCCAACAAAGTAGACCCGCTCGTTTCGCTCATGATGGTTGAGAAGGTTCCGGACAGCACGTACGAGATGGTTGGTGGTCTCGACAAGCAAATCAAGGAGATTAAGGAGGTCATCGAGCTGCCCGTCAAGCACCCCGAACTCTTCGAGTCCCTCGGTATCGCCCAGCCCAAGGGTGTCCTCCTCTACGGCCCGCCGGAACCGGCAAGACCCTCCTCGCGCGCGCGGTTGCGCACCACACCGACTGCAAGTTCATCCGCGTCTCTGGCTCCGAGCTCGTGCAGAAGTACATAGGCGAGGGCTCGCGCATGGTGCGCGAGCTGTTCGTCATGGCGCGCGAGCACGCGCCGTCGATCATCTTCATGGACGAGATTGACTCCATCGGCTCCTCGCGCGGGGAGAGCGGGTCCGGCGGCGGGGACTCGGAGGTGCAGCGGACGATGCTCGAGCTCCTCAACCAGCTCGACGGCTTCGAGCCGACGAAGAACATCAAGGTCATCATGGCCACCAACCGGATAGACATCCTCGACTCGGCGCTGCTCCGCCCAGGTCGCATTGACCGCAAGATCGAGTTCCCGCCGCCCGGGCCTGAGGCTCGTGTCGCCATTCTCCGCATCCACTCACGCAAGGTACGTGACCCTGCTTGTTCTCCCCCACCCTCCCCTTTCACAGCGCCACTTCCTCCCACAGATGTCGCTCCAGCGTGGCATCAACCTTCGCGCGCTTGCAGAAAAGATGGGTCAATGCTCGGGTGCCGAGGTGCGCGGTATCTGCACAGAGGCGGGCATGTACGCGCTCCGTGAGCGGAGGCAACATGTGACGCAGGAGGACTTTGAGTTTGCGGTGGCCAAGGTTTGTCGTTATTTGCTTCTGTGTTACGAGACGCGTCTGCTGACACGGCAGAAAACAGGTATTGAAGAAGAACCAGGAAGGAAACACCTCGGTCAACAAGCTGTTCTCGTGATTCACGTACGCAACATACCGGACCCCACTGTGTATAGCATTGTTCTATTATCATCCCGTAATCCTGTTGCTCGGGGTGATCCTGCTGTTCCAGCTTTAGCCACTGATGGTCATGTCAGACCAATGAGGCACTCTTGGTGTTTATATCTTACCTTTCGGCGCTTCCGGTCCAGGTGGCAGTTTGGTCCCCGCGTCTCACTGAATAGCCACCGGACGTTGAGTATCGAGAACCGGTGACCCACTTGTCCCAGGAGCCCCAAGTTCAGCCTTTTCTGTGCCGCTGACGCGATTGTCCTCCATGGCAGTGCCTCACGATCATTTAGACGTGCAATATTTCCAGATCAGGGACTCATCCTATGTTATGACGTCATGAAAGGTCAATTCTGTGTTGCGGTTAGTGTCCTGTTCTCTCGCGCCTGGCGCGATGCAACATGCTCGGTGCTTACAGTATCGCAAAGTTCTCGCTCATGAAAACGGCGATGCTCAGTGGTAGTGTCGGCCCGATATTTGCCCCTATCATGGAGGTAGGTCGTCCCACCGTCTTGCGCGACCTGGAGTTGCTCCCGCTGCATATCGCATCTGCACACCGCGGCCAGTGCCTTTGCGCAATAAAGCAGCCGCGATGACGAGTACGGGAGTTTGATCTCCGTGCAGGCAGGGGCTGCAAACGCGGCTCGGAGTGGGAACTGTTCCCGCAGTTCTGCCGTATGCGGCTGCCGCTCTGAATTTGAAGAATGTACAGTCGGGTGAGCTACTTGGTCGTCCAGCTCTAGTTGTAGTGTTGTTGGGGGGCTGCAAGCCTCATACCTGCGCAAATGAAACTGACGAAATCTCAACAGATGAGCACTCACGGATTGTCGATGTCTACGCCTGCGCACCGATTCGAAGACGGGCTGACGTCAGATGGTAAGTATACGGATTCGATGTACATCCGCATCCGCTCAGGGGTTGTCGAAGCCGGCTGCGCTTGCGCCTCCGCGCTTCGGATGACCTCGTCGTCCGAGCTCCATTCTTAATCCCGGCCTACCTTGCGGCCCATATAAACAACTCGATTTCGACGCGACACTTCACCGGACTGCCCCACCTTCGCTCATTCAACCACTTCGTCTTCACACCAATTCGCGCCACCTTATTCAAGCCTCCAAGTCAACTAATGTCAGCCGATATAACTACTCTACTCCCCACGATCCCTGTCGTGAGTCAAGCTCTCTGTCTCGTGCCACCCTCCCTCACTGAATGTACTTTAGCTCGTGACGGCAACCTGTGCTGCACATGTCTCTTTCTGCGTCTGGTATTTCAGCCGACGCCCATCACCTAAGGCCCCGCTCATCGAAGCTCCTGCCCACTCGTATTCCTGCACCCAACCCAAGCAAGACGTCCCACCACAGCCGATACCATTGAATGCCGACCTTGGGGAGGGATCCACCGCCTCCTCGATATCTTCAAGTGGACCGTGGACCCCATCGTTATCCCGTCCTTCGTCATGGCATCTTCCAGCCCTCGTCCCTCTCGACTCCTTCTCCGCGGAGAACATCAAGTCAGTCTCCGACATCATTTCGACGCCTATTATCAGCGTCGCCCGCATGGCGGTCCCCGCCTCCATGCTCAGCATGGCCGGCATCCCTCCTGAAGAAGACGAGTCCAACATACCCGACACCACGACGTTCAGTGAATCCACGATCTCCAGCGACTACACGACGTCCAGCGACTTCACGTCCTCCGCCTCCACCCTCGTCCTCAACACCCCGACGCCCGCCTCCGTCCCACACATCTCCATCACCGCCCCCACGCCCAACCTCAACAGCCCCGGCTCTCCCCACCCAAGAGTCCGTCACCCCGGCCCCCACAAGCGCACGCACCGTCGCTCCACGACCGCCACCCCCGGACTCGGCCTCTCCTGCGCACCCGCCCCAGCCCCAGCCTCCCCGCGCGTGTCGCCCTCGCACGCGCACCTCCCGACGCTCAAGTCGATGCGCTCGCGCATGACCCTGCGGTCCCCAGACGCGGCGGCGCCCCGCCGCCTCGCGCGCCCCGCGCGCCCGGAGAACTCGATGGCGGCCGAGGTGCTCGTGACACGGTACGAGAACCCGTTCAAGCACCGGAAGCGCGCGCACACCGCCGCGCCGCCGCGGGAGGTCGTCGGGAAGGTGGAGGTGGAGGTGGAGGTCGCGGAGGTGGAGGTAGAGGTGGTGGAGGTGGAGTGTGTGGACGTGCCGTCGCTCACCCGGGAGGGCGGTCTTGCTGCCGTCGGCGCGACCAAGACGAAGCGCGGTGCGGTTATGACGCGTTGCCGGACCGTTGTGGCGGCGCTGATGCATCGTGAGCTTCGGGAGGTGGAAGAGGCGAGCGAGGAGGAGGGGACGAAAGTGCAAGTGAAGACTTCTCACGTGTTGGGTCGTTTGTCGAGGCGGCACAAGACGGAGGAACCGGAGGCGGCGAACGTGAAGGGGTCGATAGTCTTCAATCGTCGACTCACGACTGGTCGGAGGTGACGATAGATGCGTATGTATTCATAGAAGTTAAACTGTGTGTATGAATGCGAAGCAGTCTTACGAGGGTTACGACACCACCGCTTGATGCTCTGTGTGGCTGACGGATGCCTTCGCTCGAAGTCAATCAACGTTGTCGTAGTAGTTCTAATTTATGCCGTGAGTCGGGTTCGAACGCGCGACTTTCGCCAGCGCTTTTATGAGCGCTGTTAAGGGTGAAGCGCGTGGGACTTGGCACGGTTCTTGATTAAAACTTCGTCAGTCTCAGACTTCGTTCACTGCGTCCAGAATTTCGCCTTAGCCACAGCTGAAGCTTCAGCGCTTCAGCACCCGACTTCACCATAACCGCAGGTCGAGTTGCCTTCTCAGGAACAACATCCCACCGGTCCGCGGTCCAAAACGAACCAAACGGAACTCGTCGAGTTCGTGTAGAAGAATGTCTTTCTAGCGCCGAAAAGCTCACTGGGGTCCGTGTGCCCTGGGCACGCTGGCAGCTACCGCAGCACACGGGAGGCCAGGCTTCTTGCGCGTCTCATCTCGAGTGCTCTAGCCTACTATGACTTGGACGGTCGAAGGCACTCTCGACTGCATAGTACCCTCCTCTCGCTAGTGTTCCCTAAGCAGACCCTCCTCATACCTCCTGCTCCCCGTCCCTATCATGCCGCCAACGTCAAAGTCCATCAGAAAACAGTGTCCAGAACACTTGTTTACTGGGCAATGCTCAAACATCGCTTCATGCGCCTACAAGAAACACTCTTACCTATGCCGTCCGTGCGGAAGCATCATCGAGATCGGCTCAAACCCTTCATTCGAAACGCACAACATGGTGGCGAACCACATCAAACGCATTGCTCTGAACGAAAACTACGACACTTGGTTCTGTCCGTCCTGCTCTGATAACATTCCGTTGGATGAGCAGCACTGGAGAGATCATATCTCCAAACCCGCCCATCCTCAGGTCATCCCTCAAGTTCTCATCCCTCACATATCCGAACGTGTTAATTACTGTTTTCCCTGTACAAGAATCATTCGCGACTCCTCTTGGAAATCCCATAGCAGCGGTCAAGGGCACTTGAAAATGCAAATCGTTGCTCTCTATAAGACTCAGTACGAGCAGAAGCTCAGCTTGGCCAACGTTGTAGAAGTGTCACACCAAGAAGGAGTCAACTTCGGACTCATTGACACCTCTGTTGCTCATCACGGCACCCAGGTCCTCGTCAAGCTCACCACGCTGACTCATGGACTGGCTTTGAGCAGTTTGCGCGTTACCAGAGGCGTCGGGCAGCAAGATTCTCCTCAGTGAGTTATCTCTCCACGTCTGTATGTCCTGGCGTTGAGTTCCCTTACCGGACAGCTTTCATGTCCCATTCATCGTCTCCCTCGGGAGCACACTAGGGATCAATCAGTCCATTGAAATCCCGGTGACTCTCAAAACCAGTCAACGCGGCAAGTTGATCGGTGTTCTTGTCCTCGTCGTCAAGAACACATCGAACGGCAGCATAGTGAATGTCCCTGCGAGGAAGTTGACCGCAGTCGTCGGAAGCGCCGCGGACCATGACCTACTGAAGGCATCGACGACGTACGTCAAACCTAAGCGTGCACGTTGGCGCAAGGAGCTGGAGACTCTGGAAGGCGAGCGTCCGCCCGCTCTCGATTCCGCCCCATGGGTCCGGTCTCTCCCGCAAGCGCCGATTCCCAAGGAACTCTACGATATCTTCGCCAAAGGAGCAACCCGGGCGGCCTTGGAGCAGCTTCGGAACGAGTACTTTCATGGCGAGTTGTCGATCAATTCACATTCCATCTGGTTCTCTCGGTTGCTTTGGGCAGAAGAAGCGCGCACCATGTGAGTGAACTAGTATGCTCCATGTTTCCGTTAGTGTCTGAACAGCGCTTTAGCGAAGACTTGCGCTTCTACGATATGCACGCCGTCACGTTAGAGAAGGAGGAGGAAGGTCGTTTGTACACGTATGTAGCCGTTTCTTGCGCATGCTGCACGTATATTGAAGCACGTCTTCAGGCTGGCAGTCCCGGGTCTCTCGGAGAAACGGCCCAGCGTTGTCTTCGGTGCGTTCGTCACCAACTCCTCGTGCGCTGAGTGGGGGCCGCTGACAAATCCGTTATGGGCACAGGTGATACTGTATTGGCACAGAGGAACGACCGGTCCAATGGTCGGACATACAAAGGCTTCGTCCACGGAATCCAGCTCGACCACATCCGTGTTTCCTTCCATTCTTCATTCGACGACACTGCACGCTATAATATCAGATTTGAGTTCAATCGCATCACTATATGCCGACAACATCAAGCACTCACAGCACCATCGGTCTCGAGCGAACGGCTTCTATTCCCACTTCTGGGTGACCAAGGCGTCCCGAACACGATGACGGATGAACAACTCCAAAGCCCTATTGCGACGTTCAATCCCCTCATTTCGACGAATGTTGCTCAGCTTCAAGCAATCAAGTCGATCGTACGCCTCAAGCCCGGCTCGGCGCCGTTCATCATCTTCGGACCGTGAGTGTGTCATTGTGGCTTGGGAAGCGATCTGAATTATCGTTGCTGTATAGCCCTGGGACAGGGAAGACCATCACGATGGTCGAAGCCATCCGCCAGGTCCTGGACCGAGACCCTCATGCGAAAGTTCTCGCTTGTGCCCCTAGCAATAGCGCCGCGGATCTCCTGGCCCAGCGGCTCTCCATTGCGTTCTCCCCCACTGATATGTTCCGATGTAACGCCATCTCCCGCATGCGAGTCACCCTCTCGGCAGAGCTCATGCAGTATTCCCTTTTTCGAGGACACCGCTTCGCCTTGCCTTCCCTCGAACAGCTCAACTCGTACAAATTGATTATCTCGACGTGCGGAAATGCCTCATTCCCATATAACGTCGGTATAGACACTGGTCATTTCACCCACATCTTCATCGATGAGGCTGGCCAAGCCTCAGAGCCCGAGGTACTGCAGGCTATCAAGGCAATTTCTGGGAATGATACCCAGGTCGTTCTTTCCGGCGACCCAAAGCAACTCGGTCCAGTTGTTCGGTCAAGCATCGCGCGTCACTTCGGGCTCGGCAAAAGTTACCTCGAGAGGCTGATGGAACAGCCCGTGTACAACAGCGACACGGCCCCGACTCGCGCGTGAGTGTTTAAGCACACATGCTAGACCCGAGTCCCTTCGAGCTGACCGCCTCGCTTCTTACTAGCTTTGTCAAGCTCGTGAAGAACTTCCGCTCGCACGACGCCATCTTGCATTATCCCAACCAGCAGTTCTACGAGGGCGACCTGGAAGTCTGCGGAGACCCAGCCGCGATCAACGCGTTCATCGGGTCGCCGCAGTTGGTGAACCCGGCCTTTCCCGTCGTCTTCCAGCATCTTCCCGGAGAGAACCAGCGCGAAGACACCTCGCCGTCTTACTTCAATATCCTCGAGGCGACGGAGGTGATGGAACGCATCAAGTCCCTTCTCGCAGACGCTGCGCATCCTGTTCGTGAGTGTAGTCTCTCTTCACTGCTTATACCATTCATGTCGCTCATGCTGCGCTGCTCTCAGGACCCGAGGACATCGCGGTGATAACGCCGTATCACGCCCAAGGTCGCAAGATCCGCCTCCTCCTGAAACAATCGACCATCGAGGGGGTTACGGTGTGCAGCGTCGAGCAGATCCAAGGGCAGGTGCGAACCCGTCTCCCCACGATGTCAGTGTTCAAGCTGACGATCTGTCGAACCGGTCCAGGAGCGACCCGTGATCATCGTCTCCACCGTGCGCAGCAGCCGAGACCTGCTCTCGTACGACGCCAAGTTCACATTAGGTTTCGTGGCGAACCCGCGTCGCTTCAACGGTGAGCTCTTGGTACTCTACCTGCACGCAGTTCTGACCAGGTCCTCTCGCGCCTTTCCGCCTTCTAGTCGCCGTCACCCGGGCCAAGGGTCTCTTGATCGTCATCGGAGACTCGAACGTCCTCTCGATCGATCCAATCTGGCGCGGCTTCCTGAACTACGTCCATCGGCGCGGCGGGTGGAGCGGCGACGCGCCGGAGTGGGACACGGCCGCGCCGGTGGACATGAACGCCGACTACGCGGCGGAGATGCGGGAGGCTGCCGCAAACGACATGGACGCTCTGTTGGCTCGACTTGAGGATGGACCGGACTTGGAGGCTGAAGCCAACGTCGAACGGCCATTCGAGGAGGAGGATTGAGCTGGGTAGAGTATATTCTGTTGATGCTTTTTGTGTTTTGCTCACCTCGCATGGCAGGATACGTGAAACAAGCAGGGAAATGCGACGAACCGGAGGCGGCAAACGTGAAGGGATAGCCTTGAATGGTCGTCTCGCGACTGCCAGCAGGAGGTGACGATGGATGCGTATGCATTCAGAAGCTAAACTGTGCGTATGAATGCGAAACAGTCTTACGAGGGTTACGACAACACAGCCTGATGTTCTGCATGGCTGACGAACGAGGGAGTCTCTGGTGCGCCCTTGCCAGGCTCATGCCTTTGCGCGAAGTCAATCGAAGTTGTCGTAGTAGTTCTGATTCATGTCGTTAGCCGGGTTTGAACGTTTAAATGCCTGACTTCCACCAGCCAGATAGAGAGATAGGAGCGAAGCGGTCGTTGCTAATAGTATTGTTTCGCATTGGTAGAAGTTGCACATATCTTGTACTCCGCGTCCCGATGACAAAATTCCTTCCTGTTTCCCATGGTTAATTTTCTGACATGAAGAAGCAACAAAACGAGACAGTAACCACATCGCGATTTCGCCGCGCGTCCACCATAGATGATCGAGCATGATCATGTGACCTGCTCTGCGACAGCGAAGTAGTGGCGCCTATCGTCAGACGGTCTTCACCAGCCACCATGTCATCACGCCGCTTCGCCCAGTCCCTCCTTCGCAGCAGACCGCTCGTGCAAACCCGTCCCCCACTCTTATCACACGGACGGAGCCTGCACTCGCATGTTCTTCGCGCGCGGCCCACAGTAGCGCGCCGAACATCCCCCGCGGTCGTGGTGGCGAAGCGTACGCGACCCTTTCAACCCCCGTCCTGACACGCAACTCAAGTCCTCCCGGGCACGTACAGGATGGGCGACGTCGACGACCGCGACCTCCTCCGCCGTGAACCCGGCCGAGTCCGAGGCGATGCAGTGTCTGGAGGAGGGCACGCAGAAGCTCGAGGAGGGCGACGTGCAAGCGGCGAAGGTGCGCACCCAGCCTCCGCCCTCCGCCTCGACGGCGTACTCACACCCCGCACGCGCCCACATAGGAGCTGTACCGGCGCAGCGTGGACATCAAGAAGACGCCTAGTGGGCTATTCAACCTCGGCGTGACCCACTACCACCTCAGTACGTCCCCACCGTCCCGAGCGAGGCCGCCGCGCGCGCTGACGCAGACGCGTCCTCTCCGCCAGAGGAGTTTGACGACGCCATCTCGGTGTGGAAGGAGTCCATCGCGCTCCAGCCGTCGAGCCCGGACGCGCACACCAGTACGTCCCTCCCCTCTCTCCTCCGCCCGTGCGCGCGCGACCCGTCTCACGCCCGCACCCGCGTCCACGCCAGACATCGCCAGCGCATACATCGTCTCGCCCGTGAGCCGGCCCGACCTCGCCCTGCACCACCTCCGGTACGTCCCCCCTTTCTGCCCCTCTCCACTCCCTCCTCCTCCCGTTCCGCCCCGCTTCCCCCACTCCTGCTCTCGAACCACGAGCCGACCCGCGCCCTGCACCCCACAGCGTCGCGTCGAGCCTCGCGCCCGGGGACGGCGAGATCGCGTTCAACCTCGCGGCGGTGCTCGAGGCGTGCGGCCTCCTCGAGGAGTCGCTCGAGTGCTACAACAAGAGCAAGGAGTCCGGCGTCGAGCGCGCGGCGATGCACGCGCGGAACGTGAGCGCGAAGATCCTCGGGAAGAAGATGAAGGAGCTGGCCGAGGCGGAGGGCAAGGGCGACCGCCGGTGTAGAGGCTGCGCACCGCGCTCCAAAAGCGCCCGACGCAGACGACATTGCATAGAGCTTCGGCGCATGTACTTTACCCTCACCTGCTAATTTACCGCAAGCCCTCGCACGCCGACCCCGAGGCGTTGAAAGAAGTCGTGTGTCCTCGTGAAGGCGAGCGTAAAGGAAAGACGTACAAATACACATACATAAAAAGCAAAAGCACAGCGTCCCTCCTCGAGCAAGAACGAACGGACGAACGCGAAGCGACGATAGCTACTGTAAGTACTCCCTCGGCAACGGCGGCACGTCCGGGATCACAGTCCGCATCGGCTTCACCATCTCCCCAAACCCGCCCCCGCCCCCGCCCCCGCCCCGCCCGCTCAAGTAGCTCGTCTGACTCTGCCGCGTGCTCCGCGACCCGCCCGTGTTCTCGCTCGCGCGCCGGTCCCCCCACGGGCTCCCCGGCGGCCCGCCCCCAGAGCCCCCGGTCGGGATCGCGCTCGCCCACTCGGACCACGCCGAGTCGCGGACGCGGTACATCTGGCTCGTCGCCGACGACGGCACGGGCGAGTCGAGCGCGCGCGCGCCGCCCCACGCGATGCTCGCCTCTGAGAACCGCCGCGCGAACTCGGCGACGCTCGCCCCGTCGAGGTCCGTGCCCGGCGAGCCCGGGTACACGCTCGGGTTCGGGCTCCGCGGCTCGCGCAGGCCGGGAGCGGGGGCAGGGGCGGGGGCGAGGTCGAGAGCGCGCGCGCGGCGACGAACGAGGCCGGGATCCCGTACGCGTGCGGGGGGAGGGGCAGTGGGGGCCGCGTCGGCGTCGGCTCGACTTCGTCCGCGGGGTCGAGCGCGGGGACGGGCTTGCGGACGATGGAGGACGCGGTGCTGGCGCGCTTGGAGGCGCGCGCGGACGCGCGGCCGTTGGTGGTGGCCGTCGTCGTTGTGCACGTCGAGGTCGAGCGCGTCGACGCCGCGGACGGCGAGCGTTCTGGCGCCCGTGGGGGACGCGGCGGGACGACGGTGTCGAGCCGTGCGAGGGCAAGCGCGCGGTGGGCGTGGACGTCGAAGTCGCCGCGGTCGGGCGCGTGTCCGTGAGAGCTTCCGCTCGGGAGAGACGTCCGTGCGCGCGCGGAGGGGGAGTGGTGGAGGAGCGGCATATCGCCCAGCGCAGTCGATGCGGTGATCGCGGACATGCGCGAGTGCCGCACGGGGCGCGGGACGACGAGCGTGGGGAGCGCGGGCGGCGGCAGCGTCAGCGCGCGCGCGAGGCTGGTGCCCGGTGTCGGGTCGATCTCCGCGGTGAGGTCGAGCTTGGGCACCGGAGGCAGGTCCCGTTTCGAAGCCGAGGCGGGGACGGGGGAAATAATGGTGTTCAAGAGGTCGACGCTGCCGGCGGAGGGCTTGCGTCGGTTCGGCTCGAGGCGGGGGACGCCGCGAACGGAGGGCGGGCGGCGGTTTGGCGCCAGCGGGGGCAGCGGGAGAGCGACGCCGCCTGCGCGTGGGGGCGAGCCGTACGATACCGTTTGCGGGGGCGCGTCCGGAATACTTGGAGTCGTGCGCGACGAGGCGTTGAAATCGCCTTCAGATGGTGGAGAGCTGTCACGGCTGCCCACTGTGCCATATTTCTCTGGGCCGAACGACGATACGCGCGAGGTGCCGGTGCTGAGGGAGTGCTGGCCATGGGTGGGGAGAAAGTCATCGTGTGTCTTGCTGGCCCTCGTTGACAGCGGCAGTATGCGGGAGACTGCCGCAGGGAGGCGTTTGGGAAGAAGATGCGGCCAACGATACCATACGATGATGGCTGAGAGAACGATGATGAGACTGGCCAGAACGCCGACGACGGCACCGGCGACTGTCGCGTTGGAAGTGCCCATCGTGAAGGGAGCGTACAAGAAACGGGGACTGCGAGCGGAGCGGGACGGTAAGTATATGCACCTCAGACGACGAAGATATTTGGGGTGACGCACTGGAGTGGGGCTCGGCGTTACACAACACTGTGTATACGAAACACTGCGGACGGCGCTCAGTCACCGAAGAAGGGCAGAGTGGTGAAATCCGGATAGTGTGGATGGTGGGAGTACCTGGCGTGCCTCTCCTCATATGCCGTTCGTCAAGTCGATCCTCGCAGTGTTCCTTCCGCCCAGAGGCAAGTAAAGGATAAAAGGAAGCGGAAGATGGTCGGAAATTCCTCGAGGGGGGCGCCAGGATACAAACAATAAGAAACGGCGGGGCGCACAGGCGCGAGAGGAAGTGGACGCCGCAGATGAGGCCGCGGGAAGGAGACCGGGGCGGGAAGGAGAGAGGGCGAAGGAGAACGCGGCTTGCGAGCTCTGCACTGTCCACGTAATGTATGCGATGGAGCCCGAGATACTGGGAAACGGAGGGCGGAGAGTGGGCTGATGCGTATGTACCGCGGCGCGGTGCGCCCGGGGAGGTGTGATGGGCCGTGCGACGTGGGGACAGTGGGGAGTTGGGACAACCGCGGAGGTGGGGCCCGTCGAGAGGCCGTGGCTTGGGACGGCTTGGGCGGGTACGTGTGTGCGCTGAGAGCGGTCGTCAATATATGCGTCCATCCATGGCCCGACACGGTGAATGTGGCCACGGCGAGCTTCGATCCATCGTTCGCCCTGGTAGGAAGGCTGGCGACGAACAATGCCAGCGGTGACTACGCACATGGGATTCGGCGGGATCAGGGCGGTGGTGATCATGATAGCGAGCCGTCATCTGTCCGAGAAACTCCAAGCGCCGTACTGGATCTCTGTGCATGGTGACATGAAGCTGACATGGTCTCTCTTTGAGACGCACGACGCTTCGTCTGCGGGGTTCCAAGTGGACAGTGTGCTGGGGATGCGCACCGGAGCGACAAACGAGCAGCGTCTGGCTGGCTTCGAGGTCGCCATGGGCGCAATGAGGTGGGAAGGAAATGGAAGGAGCACAAGAAGGCGCTGCTCGTCCACCCAGCCTTTCCTCCGCGGGCGGGGCCACGGTCCGGATCACCGCTGCGGGCCGCGGTAGGTCACGGCGATTACACGCCTGCGAGATTCCGCGAGCTGAAAACCAATACGGATGGCACAATGTAAACACTCGACTGCCGCATAGGGTCGACTACAATGACATCTAGGATGAGCACGGTGGCGGTCCACATCCATCACGCCCGCACGGCGAGCATATAATCATCTCGCTTCCCGGCTCATCCTCGTTGTTCGTTCAACTGCCTTGAACTACCATCGTCACCCACCGGCGGACCTCAGCATGGCAAAGATTTCCAGTACAACGCCGGCCTCTCTTCTCCAGCCGCCTCCACCAGCACCGTCAACTCTCTCACCGAGCCCACGCCCGCGAGCAGCCCAACCTGCCGCCCGATCTCGTCACACCCACACGCCAGCCTCTCGTCCATCGTTCGCCCCCCTCGGCAGGTAGTCGATAGGGCCCGACCGTGTCCCAGCGCACCAGCCGGAGCACGACCTCTTCCACACGGAGCGGCGCGAGCATCGCGGCAAGCTGTGTCTGTCAGGTCGCGATATCGGAATCGGAAGACGATCCAGATTCGTCGAGCACGCAAGCAGCGGGATGACGACAGCAACAGCAAGGATCCAACGGCCAAGTGTCAGGCCAGCGATGCGATCCATCATCAGCCCAGCGTCAGCACTAGAAGGCGATCCATTGCACTCACCATCAGCCCTTCTGCGTCGAGCTCGCACCCCGCGTCGCACCGCACCGCGAGCTCGAGTGCGCGCAGCCTCGCCGTGCCCACGCCCGCGCTCACCACCTCCGGGAGCGCCGCGAAGACGTCCGCGCGCGCGAACACCACGAGCGCCAGCCTCTCCGGCCGCGCGTCCGCGAGCGCCGGCCCGAGCATCCACAGCGTGTCCGCCGAGAGCGCGTCGACGGCGACCGCGCGCACCGCGCGCCGCAACCCGAGCATGTACAGATCCGCGACAGTCCCCGCGACGACGCGCGCGAGGCCGTCCCACCCCCCGCGTCCGTGCCCGTCTTCCTGTATGCGCGCGTTTGCGGCGCGGCACCACTCCATCGCCGCCACGCGCGCCGGCGGCGTGGCGGCGTGCCAGTGCTCAGGTGCCGGCGTCGCCTTCGTCGCGCTCAGCGCGAACTCGGTGACCGCGGGGAACGCGCGCATGGCCGGACCCAGCACGAACGCGCCGCGGAGCGTGCCGCAGTACGTGTCCGCGAGCGCCAGGCGGTGGACCCTGGGGAACTCGATGGCTGCACCCAGCTGAGTGTCCGCCGGGTCGGCGCAGTGGACAACGGCCAGGTCGACGTCCTCGAGCGTCTCCCTGAAGGGTGCAAGCAGCAGCGCTGCTGGAGGGTCCGGGGCATGGGTCCGAACTTGGCGCGGAGGCGGCGGAGGGGGCGCGCGTGCGGACGATCGCCGCCCAGAGCGGCTCGGAGACGAAGGGCGCGTGGAGGTCTTCGAGGTGCGAGAGAGTTGGTGGCGTGCTGGACGGGGACACACGGGGGACTGCGGTGGCGCAGGAGTCGGATGGGGGCAGAGATGGTTTTGGGACGCAGCTGATGGCGATGGCGGCGCCCCAGTCGAGTTCGAGGCGACGGATGTTGAGCGTATGTCGGAAGATGTCTTCGAGGAGCTCTTCCACAGAGGCGGGTTGCCCGCACCCCTCCACACGTGCCGGAGCATGAAAGGGCGGGCGCGCGAGCGAGCACCTGACGACGACGTGCGTCACCATGGGTGCGCGGGAATCGGGCCTGTTCAGGCGGAGCGCTGCATGGAATGCGGCGAGGGAGTGGGCGCGGAGGATAATGGGTCCCGCCGCGAAAAGCGGACGGAGGCAGAATGTGTGGAGTGCGCGGCAGGTCCTGCTGAGCGTCGCCACTGCACGGCGTGGGAGGAGGGCTAGGATGTCAAGGAGCACGTCGATGTTGAGGAAGGCGAGGGTGCCCGGCAGGCTGATGCTTGGTGACGGCTCTGCGGACATCTCAGATGTGTAGAGGTCGAACGTCGGGTTACTTCTGTGGTCGCAGTAAATCAGTCAGTCAGTGTCCCATCCGTCGTTCACAAGAGAAAACGCACGAAAGGTTCGGATGGTGAGTGTCGGCGAAGAAGGAGGCCACGAGCAATGTTTAAAAGAATCCGGATGGCGCCCAGATGGCTCTCCCCTATAGGTTTGCGACCGATTGCCGTACGTGTAGAATCTAGGTTCTGTTGATTTTCCGATATTGCCGTGCCTCAAGGTTGTGCTGATGCTGGGAATAAATGTCCAATTGGCATCGGCGTCTTCCACTGAGGCCAAAATGCTTACGACATCCTCGTATAATTGAAGGTGATGGAGTTTTAATGGTGGACTTGAAACTCCAAAGCGAGCTGCACACCTCTGAGTCACTATCACCATCTGTTTCATATACGAATTCTCGAGCGTCCGGGTTTGATAGAATTGGTGGTGATGCGGAGTTCCCGATCTTGTCGGTTGAAGAAGACGCCTAGGATGTTTTCTGGAGACCGGATTGTGTGTATGTGATGAACATGAGTTCTGAACGTATCCAACGCTCTGTTCCCGTTGACATACATACTCATTCTGCGTTCGACTCCCGCTAGCCCTGGATTCTCGCAGCTGATCAATGATGTGATCGTCGGACACATTTGGGATATGGAATCAATGAATCATCTGTCACTCCACAAGCAACAGAACTTGCCTATGTAATCCACCGCGTTTGAAGGAGGAGCATAAAATTATGAGCCCGGGTTGAACGCGACGTAGTCGAGTGCGCACAGTGGGAATGGCGAAGGATGTATCATGTTTGGATCAAGAGGTGTCCAACTGGAAGTGGCGGTGTTTGGACGTTTTTTTTTTTTTTGTATCCTCGTTTATTGCCCTCGAGGGCGGAGCCCTATGGTAGGCATAACATACAGTAAGTTCGTACGTAGTGTTTCGCGTAGCAATGGATAGCGTCGTCGTTGCATATGCACCCTCGGGAGCGATCCCGAGGGCACAGTGGATCGAGAAGTGCCGGCGGGCTTCAGCCGGCGTGCCTGTGAGCCTTATAGGGCTCGGGGTGTGTGTTTGAGTGGGGGATCGAGAGAAAGGAAAACCGGAGCAAGTATAGTATGGGTACAGTAGCGCTATAGTAATGAGAGGGTGGGGCGGGGTGGGTGGGGGTGTTTGGACGTGCTTGGGCGCACTCCGAATCTTTGGCGCTTGTACATTTCAGACGTCTCTGAGACTCCGACTCTCGCGTGCCATGCGGACGTGAAGACGACAAGGAACTACATTTGCGGACCAATCCAGCCAAGCTCCTTTGAGTAAGTTCTATGCTGGGAAACTGTATGTTTCAAACATGATTTTCCTTCACTTCGATTTACTGTGTTTGCGTCAAGGCCTTCCGCTCGCACCACATGTCGCCCGCCTCGTTTACCTCAGTGTTCACATCAGCAACACCAAGGCTAGCCTCCGTCCGCTCACGGGGAATTTCAGCATGGAAGGGCTCAAAATGATCGAGGCCGGGATCGAACCGACGACCACCTGTGCGCACTTATGTAAGACAGGAGTGATAACCACTACACCACTCGACCATAATCGGTCGTCGCCCTTGCGTTTTACAGCTCGAGGAGTTGGAATCATGAGCTTGGTTCCAGGACGCAGTTCACTCTGGGTCAGTGCGCTGTCGTTTCCCAGCCCAGGACGAGATACAAACTGAAGACGCGGCAGCGCGTCGAGGAGGGCACGGCCTCAGTGGGCGGTCCCAATGATTTGGGAGCCCCGGCAGTCCTTGATACGGGGTCTGCGCTATCCTCGAATTGCGACCCTTCCGATTCGTCTTCGTCCTCGAATGGTGCCCACAAGCCAAGATGCTCAAGCGGCAGCGCTGCAAGCGCTCTCGCAGCTTAGTCGTTCTGGGAATCCATCAGCGCACTGCCCTTTCACGGCCTAGAGACCAGCCACGCTCGCTCACCCGCGCACCGTCCTCCCACCCCTCCCTGCTCTACGAGGCGCTCCAGCCGTAGCAAGAGCGACCGCATGCCCTGTGACATCCGCGCGACGCCCTCTCACAGCCGCGCGCCACTCGGGAAGGGCCGCTCCACGGGGGCGGACGGCGGGGGTGAAGCGGTCCCCGAACTGAAAGCGTGGGTGGGGAAGTTAGGCCCAGAGCGGCGAGGTTCGTGCAGTGCACCATGGGTGCGTCTGCGGAGGGTAGTTAGGACTCGGCGACGTAGAGGTAGCCGACAGACGGAAGTGGGTGTGAACATGGGACAGGTCTTCATCCGGGTAGGGAGAGTCTAGGCTTTTAATCTTGATTTATAAAGGGCGTAGAGGTGCGGCAGGGGTGCGAAGATGCGGTAGAGGAGAGTGAAGGTTGGCGGCCGTAGAAAATTGAGACGGCCTCGAGGTTGCAGGGAAGGCGGAGTTTCAGTGTGGAACGAAAAGCAGAGTCGTCGAGGACTCAGGAGAACGAGGTTGAGAACTCTGAGAGAATGCAGTGAGGACATCGTAGGCCATTCGCTTCGAAGTATCCTTGTAGACTGTGCACCAGCAAAATGCGATGGTTTGTTGGTGCTGGTAGTATGTCGCAGAATAAATTTGCTTTGGAAGGACAGTATTCAGAACAGCTTGAACGCCGTCTGTGAAGTGAGCGCGCAGACTCTCTGCGGCGTGTCGATGAGAGAAAGTTTCGAGGGATATCGCCCTAGGGCCTAGGTCAGCCAGTATGGGTGGTCGGCGTAAAAGCGATATCAATACAACCAGCGAAGCTGAGCTGCTGCTTATTGCAGTTGAGAACCGTGACGGCCACAGTGGAGTATGTCATGACTCAAAGAGAGCAGGTCTGAGCGTGCTCGAAAATCAAGGCAAATATATCAATAGTCAAAACATCATGACTGTAGACAGGACTTACGGTCATTTCACACGCAAGCTCGGGATCGAGAGTAGAGCCGCGTTAACGTTGGCATGAGAACAGCCTGGAGGCGAGCCTTCGGCGGCAGTCCATACAATGGGACCCCGGAGGCAGCTCTAGTGACAGAGGTCTTGGGCGACCAGTCGCAGCGCCAAATACCTTTCTCAACGAGATCACAAAGTAAGCAACAACCACCTCAGCAGACGAAAGACCTCAAAGTTACGTGTATCTGATACTCCCAAGTTAACGTCTCGTTGAAGGCTTCTTGCATAATTGGCACTTGCAAGCACGGCCTCGATGAACCCCTTTTCTTGCCATCGACGCACTGTTTTCCCCATCCGAGGCACGCCACGCGTCCGTTTCTATATACAAGGATAGACGGCGCGGGCCACCCGGTCTTCCCTCGCCCACGGAATGACGACATCATGCCCCTCGCCGTTCAAACGTTCAAGATTTCCTCCTCCACCACCTTCTCCAGTCGATCCGTGCTCACCTCCGCCAACAATCGCCCCTAACATCCTCGCGACGTCATGGTGTTCTATATAGGCCACCCGCGCGCGCACCACGCCTCCGAGGTCAAGCATATCTCCATGTACCACGACATGCACTACGCCGGCCACCGGGACCTCTTCGAGATCTGCGGCCACGTATTCGAGTGGGATGACCACTGCGTCCCGCCCGAACTCTGCGAGAAGTGAGTCTCGCGATTATCTCGTTCTTCGGCGATCTGAACGCGACGTGTAGGTGGCGATTCGAAGGCGACGCTGCGTGCGACGCTGCGGTGCGCCAGGTGTTCACGCACCCGGGAGAGACCGTGGGCAAAGATCTACTACAGGTCATGCGAGACTATGCAGAGGTAAACTCTGGCGGTCCTCGGTCGTCGCCGGTGCATGCATTCCTGTATGAGATCTCGCAGGCTCCTCCAGTCGGCCTCGTTGCGTCCGAAGACGAAATCGAGACCGCTCAAGAGCTGTTCTTGGACGACTCTGTGCAGATCATGCAAGCGTTGTTGCACTACAGTCTCGCAGGCGGCCTGGCCAGGTAACAGAGTTCATTTACGATTCCTTTCACTTCGCTGACGTAGTCTCCACAGTCCCCGAATTGTTAGAACACTGGAAGCTGTATCTTACGTCCTCCCTCACGAAAAAAAGAGTTGCGCACGACCTCCGACGACGCTTGAAGAGTATGCCGCACAGATACCGAAGTCATCCTCGGACCGAACGTTCAACAGGCTCGTGGAAACGATGCAGTTCGTCCTTGACGTCATGGCATGCACGGCGAACCCAGAGCCTCCTGCACACAGGCTCGCCTATCTCCTACCCGGCGGGCAAGGGTGGGCATCGATAGTCCGCGTGCGGATCCTTCACTCCGTTGCACGCTGGCGTGTGCAGATGCGCTGGGAGCGCGAAGGGCGCACAGTCGCTCTGCAAGACGCGATCCCGATCAGCCAGCAGGAGACGGCAGCGACGTGCGCACCCCGCTCTCATGTACGCGGTCGCTGGCCAGCCTAACACACCGTTTTGCGGACTTTCGAGCTTTTCCACCGTCCCGATGTGGTGTCTCCGACGCCTCCACGTCCCGCCCACCCCCGCGCGCGAACGCGCCTACCTCGCGCTCTGGCGGCACGTTGGCTTCTACATGGGCGTGTCCCCCTCCATCCTCCTCCGTCACTTCGCGACTGTGCCCGCTGCGGAGAAGTTCGCCGTCACCGTCGCGCTCAACCTCTTCCTCGAGGAGCTCCCGGCTGAGCCCACCGCCCCACCGCAAGTGCCCGACGCCCCGCGGGCCGACGCTCCCGATCCTCGTCGCGGTCTCGAACCGGCCCCCGCTGCACACGACGCTCGCGTTCAACGTCGCGCTCACCGCGCACCTCCTGGGGGCAGCGCTCGCCGCGCGCCTCCGTCTGCCCCCTGCGACGCTCGCGACGCGCGTGCGGATGCACGTTGCGCTGGCGGTGCAGCGCGTCCCGCACGTGTTCGCGACGGTGTGGCCGCGCGGGGGTGGATCGAGAAGCGGCGCGCGGTGATGCGCGAGGGGATGGCGCGGAGCGTGCGGTACAACTTGGGCATGCGCCGCACGGCGTTTCGGCCGCGGACTGAAGGCGAAGGAGAGCTCGCGCCGGGGGTGGAGGAGTTGGAGAGCGTGGAGAGGGAGCCGGAGCGGGGGCGGGTGCTCCTGAGGATGTGGAAGGAGATGCTGGCAGAGATGATTGCCGTGTGCGCGGTCGCGGGGCTGGCGGGACTGGGGGTGTTGTACTTCTGCTGGTGTGTTTGGCTGGGTTGTCGGTAGAGTCGATGTATGGGCATGCGTCAATTGTCGCAAGAGCGCTCGAGGGGCGCTCATCTAGCTTCCATCTCTCTCTCAGTTCTCAGACCCCCCACCCCCGAGCCCTCCTCCTCCTAAGTTACTTCGACGCTGTTCGACCAAAAATCCCTCGGCCGACAAACCCGATAGTGTCATACGCATATATGCAGCAACAAAAGGCCTCGCCGAACCCACACGAACCCACATGCATGCCGACGACGAAGAACCCAGTGCGCGTGGGTTGACACGCAACCACAAGCTCATACGATCAAGAGCTCAAGAGGGCTGACGGTACGCGCATTACCACACGCCTGTCGCGCACACCCTCGCGGTCATGCTGCCCCCGGTACGGGCCCGGGTTCTGGGGGACACCAAGGTCGCAGTGGTGGGATATCCCGCCATAAACCTCGTGGCTTCGGAGTCGGAAGAGAGTCGTTTGGAGGTAAGCTGTACGCTGCCTGTGGTGCGCGGATCCTCATTGCGCGACGCTCTGTCTAGGTCCTCGAGGGCGCGTATTCGTTACAATGCAGGCACTGGGACACTGCGGACATCTATGGGGATAGTGAGGAGTTCATCGGAAGTGGCAAGTCCTCATCGCCCTTATCAGTTTCGCGCGATGAGATGCTCATGTATCGTATAGGCTGGAGAAGACGGGCAAACGGGAAGACATATTCCTGGCCACCAAGTTCGGCATCGTCCTGGATTCCGGCGGGATGACATGGTCCGTGAACGGGACGCCCGAATACGCTGAGCAGCAACTGCAGCGGTCGCTAGAGAGGCTTAGTGTGGAGTACGTTGATCTATGGTACCTGCATCGGTGGGTACGGGCTTGTGCATACTATCACCGGCGTAAACTGAATGGCTGTCTGCGCTCTACAGAACCGATGAACTTGTCCCCATTGAGGTGAGGATATATGCATATGCGAGGGTTCAATCGTTCATCGACGGGCCGACGATATGCATCCAGGTCACCGTCAAGGCCATGGCGAAACAAGTCGCGTCAGTACCCCCACGCTCGACCCATACCCTCCTCCTGACCCCCTCTTCTCCCAGAGCCGGGAAAGTCAAGCACTTGGGCCTCTGCGAGGTCACCGCGCTCACCCTGCGCCGCGCGCACGCCGTGCACCCGATCACCGCGGTCCAGATCCAATTCTCCCCGCTCGCGCTCGACATCGAGCACACCGGCCTGCTCGCCACCGCGCGCGAGCTCGGGGTCGCCATCGTCGCCTACAACGCGCACTCGCGCCTCGGTCGCGGGCTGCTCTCTTGCAACGTCGTGCGTGTCCCTTTTGCATCCCTCCCTCCGTCCTCTTCTGCGTTCGCCGACCACATCCCCGCCTTCTTCGTCGTGCGTCTCTCTTTGTACGCACAGCGCCCCCTACCCCCACTCCTCCCGTCCATCCCTCTTGTTCTCCCTCGATAGCAAGCTGACGCCACCACCAAGGGCTCACAGAAGTCCCTCGAGGACCTCGACGCCCACGACGGCCGGCGGCTCGACCCGCGCTTCTCCGCGGAGCACTTCCCCGCCGTGCTCGCCGCGCTCGACGGCGTGCGCGCGATCGCGGACGCGCACGGCGCGACCCCGTCGCAGGTCGCGATCGCGTGGGTGCTCGCGCAGGGCGAGGACGTCCTCGTGCTCCCGGGTGCGACCACGCCCAAGGTCAGTCTTCCCTCGCGGTGTCGCGGCGGTAGGGGGTGAGACGGCGGCTGACGTGGTGTTCGACGCGCAGAAGATCAAAGACAACATGCGGGCGGCGAGGATCGAGCTCACGCCGGAGGAAGTTGACGAGATCCGGGAGCTCGCGAAGACCGCGAACGCGCCCAGAAAACAGCAGCCATACGGACCGCTCGAACCAGTGCCCGAGACGCCTCTGCTAGACGAGAGCGGGGACTGTGTAGTAACCTGACAGCCAGATGTGTTTTGCGGTGGTGCTGTCGACATATCATGTTTTGTACCTTACTTTTCTCTGCGCATAATCAGTAGTGACCTTGTAATCTTCACCGGGCTGTCGGTTCGGCAGCGCAGCCAAGAGGAAGGAAGAGGTGGAAAGGCATCTTGATCTAGTAGTATAGACAGACATCGAAGTAACACGAACCAGCTATCGATACCAGATTCAGTCCGTCCGTCGCAACATTTACAGCTTCGTTCCCCTCCGCGTGCGTTCGTTGAGACGCCCCGTCTCTTTTGTCGTATTCGTCAACATCGTCATAAATATCTCTTGTGCCGTGCCGTATCCAACGCTCACGCTCATAGACGGACGATGAGCTGCTTGATACCCGACATCCACAAGCCGATGTCGTCGGTGAGCGAGCCGCGCGTGAGCAGGTCGATGTGGATCCCCATCGATGCGTCCCGATCGTGCGCGTCCATAGCTGCAGGTAATACAACATTGGTACTTGTACATGCTGTGACGTGGAAACGGCGAACGTACCCCTCGAGAGAACAATGAGCTGCTCGCAAACCGGCTTCGACAGCGTTTCACAGTTGAGCGCGTCGAAGAGAGGGTTGATGCGCCGCTCGAGGTCGTCCACCAGCCTGCGCTGCTGGGGCTATTATAACGCGGTCAGCAACAACCTCAGCATATCGCACATGATTCGAGACTCACGGGCGTCACCTGCTTCAGCTGCTCGAGCTGCCCAGAGATCACCTGGAACACCGGCCGGAGGTCGTCCGGTATGTGACTCCGGTCACCAGGCGCTGCAACGCAAACGAACTTATCAGCACCAACGTCTCTACAGGCTGCATAGCAAGCCACTCACGATACTTCGGGGCCGGTGGCCCTGGCTTCGCGCGCGGGGGAGCAGGAGCCCCTCCAGGCGTGCCTCCGCGAGGCGGACCTCCCGCGGGAGGCGGACCACCCATAGGCGGCGCACCAGGACCTTGCGGGGGCGCGAACTGCTGCTGCTGCTGCTGCTGCCCTGGTGGGGGCCCATATGGACCAGGCTGCTGCTGCTGCTGCTGCTGCTGTCCCAGTGGGGAGCCGTAATGACCTGACTGCGGCTGCTGCCCGGCGGGGGCGCATATGGGCCTGGGGCCTGGGGCCCGCTCGGGGGGGCGTACGCCATGTGCCCGTGTGGCGGCGGCGGCGGCGGGGTCTGCCCGGGGGGGCCCATCCCGACGTATAGGGGGCCCGTGGGAGGGCGCATCATATTCGGGCCGGGAGGCCCTTGCGGAGGGGGGCCGGGAGCAATGCGCTGAGGGGGCACGCCCATCTGCGGAGGGTTCACGGAAGGAGGACGGGCCTGGGGAGGGAAGGTGGCACCAGGGGGCGGGGGACCGCGTTGACCCTGCGGAGGCGGACGCTGCTGGACGCTACCGGGGCGCGGGGGCGGAGCCATCTGTCCGGGGGGAGGAGACTGGCTATATGGCATCGACACCGGCGATGGGGCATTCGGGAAGGGGGAGGTGATCGCGGACTTCTTGGGCGGGCCGCCGTTCGCGGGGGTGCGACGTGCAGACATCGCTGGGGCGTCGTTCCAACCACCAGCGTCGCGCTTCGGTGGGCCGGAAGGAGGCGGCGCGAGAGGAGGGACAGAGGGAGTAGAGCCGCGCGCAGGTGGAGGAGGTGGCGGGACGGTGACCTGAGGCTGACCAGGACCACGCTGGTACGGGTTGTACGCGGGCTGAGCGGGCTGGTGATGCTGCTGGTACGACGCTTGGGGCTGGTAAGACTGCTGCGGGACACCATACGGGTTTGTGCTCTGGGACATCATCGATTGTGTCACTACGGGTTGGCTGGGCGGCACGTATGGCTCATACATGGAGGTCGTCGACGGTGCCTGGCCGATGGACTGAGCCTGTTGAGCGGGCGCGTACGGGCCGTACGCATACGCGTGCTCGTGGAAGCGACGGGCGCGGTCTTTGCTGGAACAGAGGGAACAGCCCCGAGAGAGGCGGTCCGAACCGGCGCTTGGTTAGCGCCCTTGAGAAGGCGATCCCGGCCAAGGGTGAAGTCGTATGGGGAGCCAGGGGCACCGTTGTAGCGGCTGGGCACCAGGTCAAGGAACGCGACCGACTCAGCGACGAGACCTTGTGACGCGAGCAGGTCCGCATACTCGAAGTAACGGTCGTACAAGCCGGAGAGCTTGTAAGTCCGCGTCGGGACCTCGACCTTGAGGGTGAGATCGTCGTCGGAGTAGTTGATCGCTTTCCGGAAGACAGTGACCTTCTCGATGAACGTCTGCAGCGCAAGTGCATGTGCAGTGTAAAGGGAACCGTCGAGACTGGCGTCAGAAACGAGGTGCTTCTCCTCCTCAGCAAGCTCCTCGATCCAGATGTTGACGAGGCGCTCCAGGCGACCGGCGGCAAGGTAGGTGAGAGTTGCATGACGGCGGAGCTCAGTACCCTTCACAGCGGCGTCAGGGGCACCCGAAGACTTGACAACGTTGGACTGGAATTCGAGACGCTGGCCGAGCTGCTCCGCGAGACTGGAGAATCCTCTTGGGCGGCGAAGGTGCAAACGACGACAAAGATCTCCTGCCACTCCAGGAGGTCCGCGTTCTGGACGATGTCGTCAAGGTCATTGGTGACGATCGACTGGAAGAGGCGAAGGTAGGGGAATGTAGTGGTGCGACGCTCGAAATACGCCTTCTGGGTGCGCGCCAGAAGCTCAGGGCCGCCCTTGACTGCAAGTAGGATGGCGTCGGCGAACCGGTCGGCGGAAAGACAGAGAGAGACCGCAGACTCAAAGTCGCCCAGAACGAGCGCTTTCGTAACCAGGCGGTCGGTATCCGACTCGTCATTAGGGTAGATGCGGAATGTCATGTCCTTGAGCATCTCCGACGCGGCGGAGGATGGGCGTGAACCAATCGTAGCGGCAACGGAGGAGTCAAGAGGGTAGTTGTGGTGGGGGATCTGCATGCTGTCGTCCTCCGCGTTGCGAGCTGTACCGATGCTTCCGAAGAAATCGGCCGCAGCGTCACCTTGAGGAGTACCGATGAGGTTGTCGTCGTCAAAGATGCTCGGAACGGTCGTGGTCGACTCGCCATCTGCATGGCGCGTCGCGTTCGTCATGTCCGACGCAGCACCCGCGCTCATCTCGGAGGGGGTCTGTTCCGCACCCAACGCGCTTTCACCTTCTTCCTCAGCCTCCTCTTCCTCCTCCGGTGTGGCCTCCCGTTCCGGCTCAACAAACGACACCACGGGCTCGTGCACCTTCATCTCACCATCAGCATCCTCCTTTTCCAGAGCGAGATTAGCCCGGTCCGCCGCGGCCTTCTTGAGGTTGGAAACCGCCTCAGCGACACGGGCAGCGATCTCCTCCTTCGAGAAGCCAAGTAGGGTGATGAGCTCGTCCCGAGAGTTGGCATTGAACAAGCTGAGTAGTGCCTTCCAGGTTGCAGAGCTCTCGTCGGTCGTCGTTTTCTCCTGCGCGAGGGTCTGCAGACCGTCTGCGTCGACCGAGGACTGTAGCTTCTGGGCGCGCTCGACAATCGTGGTCTCGGTGGCGACCTTGCGGATGTGCACAACGCTGCTCTGATTCTTGCCTTGGGTCGAGGGGAGGTTGGAAATCGTGGTGAGTTTGCCGCCGAAACCGAAAGAGCTTGCAACAGGGCGGCGCAGCCACCTCGGGGGGTGTTTGAGGGAAAGAGTGGCCTGGTTCGCGCGAGAGAAGCCAGGGGCATTGAAGATGTCATTGGCATCCACCTCTGGAGCCACCGCGGGGAGCTCGTTCGCTTCGTTGGTCGTCTGGACGGAGTGGATGCCAACGGTGCCATCGAAAAATGCGGCGGCAAAAAGGTCTGGGTTGCGCGGGCACCAATCGACCTGGAAAGCCCAGTTGTCGGCGGAAGGAAGCTCCCCGATGATCTCGGACGTCTGAGGGTTCCAGCAGAGGGCGCGGTTGTCCTTGCCGCAAGAAAGGAGGAGATCCGAATCCTGCTTGCACCACGAAAGCGATAGGACGCCCTTCTCGTGGCCGGTGAGGATCTTTTCTGGTGCGCGGGCATTGCGCAGATCCCAGACCATGATGACGGGGGAAGCGTCGTCCTCCGACGAAGTGACGAGACGCGTAGGCTGGGGGCGGGATTGGCGATAGCGAGTGCAGGAGGAAAAGTGAACGTACGATGTCGGGGTGCCATGCAACATCGCTCATGCCTCTCCGTCCGCCCACCGCGATCCCAGGCGCACCGAAGCCCTGCATCCCACCCATCGTCCCGGCTCCTCCGCCGTAGGCCAAAGCCGCAACTTCGCGCTTGCCACGGAGATCCCAGACGACCGTGTAGCCGGAGTTGCTGGCCGCAGCGAGCGCATACTGAACATGGTGATTCCATGCGAGTGCGGTGATCTCGTCGAGCTTGGTGGAACGCGTACCCGGGGTGTAGGGCTTGCTCGGATCCTTGAGATCCCAGACGTAGATTTCGCCGTCGATGGAGCCGGACGAAACAACGTTAGGCGTGGTGGGGTTAAAGTCAAGACCGCGCACTGGGCCGGTGTGAGTCTTGTTGCGGAAGATGGGGGTGCTACAAGTTCGCGTGCTTAGATCTACGAGACCCGCAAACGAGATTAAAGGACAGGCAAAACACTCACTCGACCCCCGCGACTATTTGGTCCGGGTCCCAAATGTCCAGCTCGCCGTTCTCCATGCCCGCGACGACGACTCCGCCCGGACGTTCGCCATTAACATAGCCCCACGCGAGGCGATTGAATCTGGTCGGATATAGTCAGCTTTCCACCGCATATAATCAACTGCCCAGCACGACCGCAGGTAACTCGTGCGCACCGTGATGTTGTCGTAACAGAGCCTTTGGGACCGGATTGCCCCTCGCCTCCGAGGTCGTACTGATTGCGGTCGAGGAAATCCGGGGCCCATATTTCGAGCTGGCCGTTGTTGCTGAAGGACTCGTCGAGTGCGCCCGCGACAGTGCCGGTCGCCAGCAACGGCAGCGCAGGCGTGGGCGACCAGGCAAAGGTCGATGTGCGGTGGATTTCCTTGAGTTTCATGAGAGGGGAGAGGGGAAGTTGAGAAGGCAGGATACTGATTTCTCCGAGTCCCATCCACGACGCGATGGCACCGACGTGTCATCACGTGCCACATCAGCCCCATCAACATATCATGGCGCTTTCCAGACTTTGCAAGTACCGCCATGACCAATCTCGTCGACATGTCTGGCTGCATCCAGACACACACATATATGTGTCGTGGAACTTGTGCTACATCAGATCTCTCTGTTTCCACTAGAGGTCGACGACTGCCGCCCAGCGACCCGCGGAACATCCTTGAAACGAACGTCCAGTATTGAGTGAGCCCTCATTAGATCTTGCAATAAAATAGTGGCTGCGTGAAACAATCGCCTCGACTCTCAAGTCCGCGGAACTTATCGAAACTGCACTGACACATAAACTACTCAGTCGTCAGCTTACAGCTGAACCACTGTATTTTAATGAAACATCGGCATATACTCTCTCAGAGTCATTTGAGTGGGTCACTCACAGCAATGATATCAGCGCATCAATACTTTTAAGCGAGCGTGCGACGTTCAAGCAGCTTCAAGTCCTGGCCGAACCGGTCTTGAACATGGTCACCTCCGCGCAAGTCTTTGATCGAAACATACATCTGCCTGCATCCAAGACATGGTCGTCTAACACGTATCGAGAATGCATCGCAAGTGGTTATCGAGGTGCGCGTTCCATGTGAACAAGGCGGGTCTGCGATTAAAGTTGCTTTTGCTACAGGTTGCGGCGCTGTAGGGATATGATTGTAATACTTGGTGGCAGGAACTCCATAATGACTGTCATCTGCAAAGTTCACAAGAAGCAGAAGAAGAGGAGAGAACTCTAGATACAATTTCGACGCATGAGAAGACATCCGACGATATCCTATGTGTAGTCTCTTCGCAAGCTACTTCTAAGGCTCATGAATTCCCTAGCTTCGGAAGTAGCTACACTACGTTTTCTGATGTGATTAATCCCACAATAATGGAGCCATCAGCATCATTAAGAACGAGTTAAGTATATTGTCGGCGACAGAGCGCAACCAAGTCTGGTTCCTCCTTGCCGTACTCACACAAATATTCATTCCATTTGAGAGGTCTTCAGACAGCCCTGCACATCCACGAAACCCGTCGCGAAACTCGAAGGACACCGAAAGCACTAGCTCCGGCGACGATTGTTAAAAGCAGTCCATCGCATCTAGCTGCGCTGCATGAAAGGGTTATTCGCGCCCGCGAGGAAGACGCCCCACGAAGCGCCAACGTAAATTCACGAACACGTCCATACGGATCAGGCCGAAGTACGCCAGAGCACACTCACCTCCGCCCACGTGTTGCTGACAGTCGGATGTACCTTGAGGCCCTCGACTCTATACTGTGCCATCTGCGCAAACTTGGGCTCCTTCATCGTGTCGACTTCTTTCCGTCCCTCAGCGAGTACTTGCCGATCTCGCGCTCGAAGAGGACCACGCTGCGCAGGATGAACGGCGCTACGGTGACGTCCGCGAGCGAGAACGTTACTGCCCGACCGCGAACCCAGGGGGGCGAGGCGGAGGAACGCGTCTACGGAGCCGGAGCCGGTGAGGAAGGACCAAAACGCGAGGAAGCCCTGCTACTCCCAGATCGCGATGAAGAGGCGCATGGCGACGCGCTGCAGGGGGTCGGAGGGGACGAGGCGCGCGTTGGGGTAGATGTCTGAGATGAACTTGCAGATCACGAGAGACTCGTGAATCTTGTGAGACTCTGGAGACGGGTCTGCCGGGTCCGTGTCGGGACAGCCGTAGGTGATGCAAAGGATCTGAGTGAGGCATGATGACGAGTAGAGAGGAGAAATGGTGAACAGATTGGGTGCCCTCTCAGTGCTCGGAAAACCAGTTGGGTTTATGGTGTGCATTGATGTCGTACTCCTTGTGTTCAGCATCAGCTTCCTTGAGGGCGATAAAGACGCGATGGCTGAAGACGGAGAACTGAACAAGGGATCAGTACCAGTGAAAGGCCGGTCGGGTCGCGGCATAATTTGTGACCATAAAGGGTGGTCTGTTCGGGCGTGTTGAGTACAATGAAGGTCTGTCACGACTCGTCAAAGTTGAAGAGGCGGAGAGGCTGAGGTAAAGGAGTAGCCCAGTGCGCTCCCTTTATGCATGCATTCGGCGACTTCGGCACAGTGAATCCGACAGAGCCAGATGAGCTGGGGTCTCAAGATCTCAAGTTCGAGGCCAGCCCAAGCGAGGTTGCTTGAGGTTTGGAGCTCTCGCTGGCTTTCGTGAGGTTGCAAGATGCAAGTACAAGTCGAGCGCCAGTGACGGTGCCAAGGTCTAGATAAAAATTATCGCTAGTATCCTATCAGTATAAGTACTATGCTCGTACTGACCAGCTGTGGTTCGCATGTACAACTTTGGACATGGCGATTTCAGGCGTTGTTCCCACAGAATCTGGCGCCAATTGGACTTCGATCACAGACCAACATCACGAGCAGCTCTATCGGCATCCAACAGGGCGTGGGTCACAAGCAAGCAGATTCATGCCATCGTTGAGCCTCTGGACGATAATTATATAATAGGACGAGAGCAGTAAACTTGGTGTATCGACAAACAGGGAACGCAAGCGAAAGCGCACGATAACGTAGATGACCACGGCCAACCGACCGCCTCTGCTTCCATCTCGACTGTAACCTTCATAGCACTTCGAGCCTCCCCCGTTCAAGGAGTTCTTCGGATGGCCAACCTCGGCCTTACGCCATTTCCCTCCTCATCCCCCGTCCACGCCTTCCCCGTCCGCGTTTCCTGAAGCCACCACGCCCATATGGTCCACCCATTCCATCATCGCCCTCCGCCCCGTCACCGTCCATGCCCCTTCCCTCGTCACTCTCCCCCATCCGGTCACGAAGGGTCCGGGGACCCGCATCCTCCTCCGTGCTCTCAGTGATCGTGAGCCGCTCGAGGAGCGACCCCCCGCGCTTGACCGGTGGGCGCCCGTTCGCGTGGTGCCCCATGTGTGGCGGCGAACTGCGCGACGGAGGCGGGGGCATGTCGATCGGGCGGGGCGGCAGGTTCGCGTTCATGTGCGAATACGGCCGCGAGTGCGACGCCTGGTGGGCCATCGGGGCGGGTTGTGGTCGCGCATCCGAAGGGTGGCAGGAGAGATAGGTGCGCGAGGCGGATCTTCGTTGCGTACTGGCGACCGGTGAGGGCGATCTTCGTACGCCCGTGGGGAAGGGGCGATCGACGCGGGGTCATTGCCGAGGTTGCGCATGCGGTCGGGGTGCATTTTGGGAGGCGCGCGCTCGGGTACGGGCATGTTGTTGGGACACCGTCCACTCGAGTCTGGGAGGGAGGCCCGTCAGGAAGCCTAGCTCCGCCCCATTTACGAGACTCAGGGGGCCGAAGCGGGTGTCCCGATCCCCAAACCTATTTGGGTGGGCGTTACCGTTGCTGCATTGGATTAGTATATCATTTACCGTTTCAGATGACGAGAACTCACTCCCAAGAGCTTGATGCGCGAAGGCCTCGCTCGCGTTCGTTAATCGACGAACTTTCCTCGCGGACAACTTCCCGGGGTGGAGGGTCCGGCGTAGACAGCACAAGATCTTGTCACGAGGCGGACCAAATCGCGTCTAATGACCGTCAGTCTGTGCGCATATCACAGGGCATCGTAACACACCTTGTGCGGAGCGCCAGAAGAGCGACCCTCGTTGGCCACAGGTGGTGGCCCGCGACCACGCTGCGAAGGCGCGTCAGGATGAGAATACTGCGATAAGAAGGGAACTCATACAATTTCGTGGGACGTCATTGACAAACGCCTACCAAGCCCCTCATCGTTCGGGGGCGGGGGCGGCCTGCTGACCGGCTGTTGCAACTCATCTGAAGGAGGGTAACGCGCCTTCAGACGTACTGTCAGATCTAGCCAACGAGATGATATCAGAAACACGCACCTGTCTGGTGTCATACCCATTATCACCTCTACGCTCCGGATGATAGCCGCCATCATTTCGGCGCTCTGACCCATGGCCGCGACGCGGCTCGAAATCATGATGATTGGGTCGAGGGGCATGCGAGGGGCCGTCCGGAGGCAGTTCATCTCGGGAAGCACCTTGAAGAGGGTTCGCTGCTACCGGTACATCGTTCGGTCCCGCGGAACGTCCCCAGCGACTGGGTGCAGGCCGGTATGGGCGCTCCTGCGAACAATTGATGAGGGAGGTATCCGATATGGGGTCAAAACACATACTTCTGCTGGGGAAGATATCGGACCCTGACTGCGACCAAACGACCTTTCCGGAGGGCGATCAGCAAAATCTCGAGGGCCGTCAGGACCACGTCGCGCCACAGGACTGTGACCAGAGAAGCTGGAACGGCGCGGTGGTGGCTGGTTATCCCATTGACGTTCTTGAGGCTGATCGTACCGAGGGCCCCGTCCAGCGGAAGGCAGAGGCGCCTCCATTGCCGGTACATTGGAAAACCTCGTGGATCGTGGCGATTGAGGCGGCGGAAAGGGAGGCCCTCCAGTGGGGAATGTAGTGTCTTTGGTCATGGCCTTGGGAGCGCGGGGGACCACATCCGGTTGGGTCGTGGATGGCATACGGTCAGCATACATCCCACCTGTGCGTGGCGGGGCGGCCCTAGGCGGCGGAGGCATATCAACGTCCATGGGGTCTGTTTGACGAATGGGTGCATCGAAGCGACTTCGCTTGCCCACCCTGCTGTCGGCCATCTTCACGTCGTCGACAGACGGGGGTAGCGGTGGACCGCCAACGTAGGCTGCAGTAGGAGTATACACAGAACTCTCCGTCGTACGCGCTGGAGGTGGAGTGCGGGCCCTTCGAACCTGAGGATCAGAGTCCCTTCGCCAAGAATGTTGATCTCGGGGAGCGAAGTCGCGTTTGCGAGCTGTGTGAGTCGGTAAACATCCGGCAGAGACATCACCACCGCGTTCACTTACGAGGAGCATCCATTTGACGCGTGTCCGCTGTATATGCGGGAGCGTTTTGAGGAGGTACGTACGAATGGTCGCCACCACCACGAGGACCGACGTCGTCATTCAGGCGTCTCCGCTTGGCACCTTCCGGGTCGAGATTCATAGCATCACCATCTCTACCTCTCCGTGCAGGGATGCCGTTTGAATCGCGCATTGGATCACGATCGCGATAGCGACTAGAGAGCGGTGGACCATCGTCGCGTTCATAACGCGCAGGCTCCTTTTTACTTGATGACAGTTCGGAATAGGCAGGTACCGAGAGGGATCCTGGGCGCCTTGACTGTGTTGAGTCCCGCGTGTTGTAGGGCGGCGAATGAGGTCCTGCAAGAGAAGGAAAGAAGGGTTCGTAAAAGACGCGATTGAGGTGATGACAGGAATGGAGAAGGGAAATAGGGGGATGTAGGAGAGTCGGCAGATCCGTGATCGAGGGCTTCCCGTTCGTATATACAAGAGGTACTCGGCAGGCGCAGAGAAGAAGAAGGGAAGCTAAACTCCCGAGGCTTCACCAGACAGTCGGACCGCGTATGTCTTCCGCCCCGGGAGGAGTGTGGCGAAAGACGGGGGGTGGAGGATGCTAACAACGTACTAGTTGCTGGGAACTCGTCATTCGGGTGGCGGAAGTTTGAGTCTCTGGTGGAGGGACGCGGAGGTGGATCAAAGTCATCCTTGCGGCGCCGAGGTGCTTCCAAGTCCTCTTTGCGACGCGGTGCAGGTTCAAACTCTTCTTTGCGGTACAAGCGAGGCTCAATGTCGTCCTTTCGTCGGGCTCGCGGTTCGACGTCTTCTTTTCGGCGAACCGGTGGCGCGATCTCATCTCTGCCTCTAGGTGGCACCTCGAGGGTGCTTTGCTGGCGCTTGGTTGGCTCGTAATCCTCCCTTCGGATCAGCCGAGGCTCGATATCATCTTTGCGGCGAGCCGGAGGGTCGAAGTCGTCCTTGCGTCGCTCAAGCTCGTCTTTTCGGCGACGAAGAGGAGGTTCTATATCGTCCTTCCGACGAACGCGCTGCTCTTGTGAACGGGCCAAACCAGAATCGGATCCTCCTGTGGAACGGGCTTGCTGATACTCGCGAGGTGAATCCCGCCACATTGTGTGGTCTTGCGCCGAAGCGCCTGGAGAGAACTCGCGAGGAGCTCTATGTTCCCATTGGGGACTAGTTGACCGAGTCCTACGCCTGGTATTGGCACCGGATGGCGAACGGGACCGGGGTTGCTGGTAGGAGGCCGTGGAGTAGAAGGGCTCGCCGCCACGCTGTGCACGCCTATCAGTAGCGCCGGACGGAGGGGGCTCCGTTTTGTAATGACCGCGTCCAGATCTTGCAGACCATCCTTCCTCCCGAGTCTCCTCAGACCGTCGCGAGGAAGTCGTAGTGTCACCGTTCTCGCGGGTCTTCTTTGGAGAGGACAGACCGGAGGGAGGAAACACGGGCCTCTCCCACTGCTTTGCCTGGGTCTTCACGTTGTAGTAGTAGACCTCTCCTGTTTCCTTCATAAGGACAGGTTCCCAGTCAGGAGGAAGAACGTCGCCAGCTCCTAGACCTGGCGTCGCCGAGTTGGAGCCATTAGTCTTGTGCCTGTGGATCCACGCACTGGCCAGGATGCCCGGCTCAGAGGGGTTCTCGTACAAGGGCGGGACGAAGACGGGTTTGGCGGGAAGAGCATGGATGATGGGGGGAACAACAGAGGGCTTGCCTGCAGAAGTTGGGGGTCGTGGCTCCCTGGTCGGGGAACGCGAGGCGCGCGCTCGAGAGGGCGTCCGAGAGAGTGTGGCGGATTGGCGCGAGGGTTCGCGTCTTGGGGGCTGAGCGACGGCGGATGAGGGCTTGGAATGTGAAGTGGAGGGGTGTTCAACGGCGTGCGTGGCGTAAAACTCGCGCTCGTCTTCGTCGTCGCCGCCTAGGGACACGGCATCTTCTGCGTCCTCATCTGCGAACCCTGAGTGCTCGGGGGGATGCTGTCCTTCGTCATCATCGTTGCCCCAGTCAAGACGTTCGCCTTCGTCGTCGGCCATCGTGGGTGGCGGAGGGGGGAATGGAGATGGGACGAGCTGAAGAGCGGTCTAGTCGAAGACTGGGACTGAGCGCGGTGACAGGACCCTCTAAACTCCGACTGAAATAGTTGATCTCTCTCCCACGCGTAGCTGGGCGTCTACCCCCTCCTGCGGTCGTCATTACTTACACTGGTGACTGCCTTAGTACCGACCTTCCACTGCTGGGATCGCCACTGTCCTTCTCCACCTTTCTCTGCACTATCGGTGGGCTCCCCATAGCCAGCACTTGGACTTTGGTACCATTTCTGTCGGTCCACAAGCATCCTACCGCGCAAGCATGGATGTCCTCCCAGTAACTTCTCCGGCACCGGGCATGCACCACGGTATGCACCGAAATTCTCCAACATCGTTCAAGCTGCCTCCTATATTCCGAAGGATACACCGGTTTCAGCAAATGGTGCGTCACACAGCGCTGAGGCATGGCTACTGCGCGAATGACACAAGGTGGAAGTAGGACTTCGAGCAAGCCGCATGGCAGTTGACATACTTGTGTTTGGCTCCTAAGAGAGTGTGAGTGAATACCATGATCATTTCCGCGTTACCGAGCTCAACTTCATATAAGTTATCGCAATGTGTACTTCCATAAACGTATGTCGCGTTTCCAGCTGCCCGTAGCTTTGCCTGACGTTGACTTGTAGAAACGAAGAATACTTGGGCACGCGACGACCCCGCTATCCTCATTCTCATTGGAGCATGTCTATGCGGTGAGCACAGTAGACCCTTTCATGCGTATCGTGATGTTCAGACGGTCGTAGTCTCTGCAGTTGCATGGTCGGTGGTATACTCATACAGCATCCGCCAAATTATCATGCTCGCGTTTCTCATGATCCTCCGTGATTTCCTCCTCGTTGGAATTTTCAACGCCACCCTCCTCTGGTACGAGACAATTTCTCTGTGGCGTTCTTGACTTATGCGGCTGCGACGCAAGGTTCTTTTCGAATCGCGTTCTCCTTTCACCCCCTTCGCATTCAACCCCCGGAGACGCGAGAGTGGAATGGGCATACGCATTTGACGTACACACAAATGCGTTCTTCCCATTTTACCTGTCGCTGTACCTCGCCCAACTATTTCTGGTGTCGATCATCCTGAAGAACAACTGGGTTTGCTTGTTCATATCGAACACGCTCTATCTCGCCGGGTGAGTGTGTATGATATCATTAGCTGTAGCGATGAGCTTACCGTTACTCAGGTTCGCGCAGTACATCTATGGTGTGTACTTGGGGCTAAATGGTGTGTCTGAAGTCCGCTTGGCATGTTCTGTCTCTCACGGATTGGATTGTAGCTCTGCCGTTCCTCGTTCGCACGGAGCTACTACTTGCGCCGCTGCTCCCTTTACTCACCGGGTACATAGTATCTCTACTTGGGTTCAATGTCGCCCAGCACGTGTTGCCACTATACTTCGGGTCATGACACGTAGCAGCGGCCCACTGCACGTTCGTACACATCGTCCTAATATTATTGATCCAATGTGTTATAATGTGCGTTGTAGTCATGCCGATATAAGGTATTAGCCGCGCGTAACACATTGAAACTCCGCCGCATGGGCGTCGATGGCACCGCCGAAGAGGCCTCCACCGCCCTCCACTCATCCTCTTCCTCACTGCAGTCCTGCCCTCCGTCCACGGCCCTCGTTCACGACCCAGCGACGAGAAACGACCCCATGATGACTGGGACGCAATCTCAGATTCAGAAGGCCATTGGCCAGATCCAGGACAAGACAGCCATTCCAGAGATTGACTTCACCCAGCACCAACTCGAGAATGGCTTCACGATCAGTACCCAGGAGCGTGTCGTCAAAGAGGTGAGTCTTTGAGAGACTACTTCAGAGTGTAGCGAGGTGTACTGAGGACCCACCGTCGTCGATAGGTCCAGGCTCCGGCCATGAGCATCCCGACCGATGCCCAGTTCTTCTCCAAGTCCGACCCCACAAAGCCAGACGTGGCGTTCTTGAAGAACCACTTCTACCGCGAAGGACGCATATCGGAGGAGCATGCGTTGTACATCCTGGAGAAGGGCACCGAGATCCTCCGTAGTGAGCCCAACCTCCTGCATGTAGATGCTCCCGTGACCGGTGCGTCCTCCCTCTTGGACTCCATCGCCCCCTTCGCACGCTCTCTAACTTCTATTCTTCCTACCTCGACGCTGTGGCGACCATGAAATTTAGTCTGCGGCGATATCCACGGACAATATGTGCGTACCTCGTATCTTTCTCTCGGCGCCGCGCACTGATGCGCCCTTACATCGACAGTACGACTTGATGAAACTGTTTGAGATCGGCGGGAATCCGGAAACGACCCGTTATCTCTTCTTGGGAGACTACGTTGACCGGGGATATTTCAGCATCGAGGCGCGTCATATAGTTCACTTCGACTGTTTCATTTCTGACGCCGGTACAGTGTGTATTGTATCTGTGGTCGCTCAAAATCTGGTACCCGGAAACCCTCTTCCTCCTCCGTGGCAATCACGAATGCCGCCACTTGACTGACTACTTCACCTTTAAACTCGAATGTATGCGCTTCCACTTCTCCATCGAACTCGCGAACCCTCATCTCATGGCACCACAGGCAAACGCAAGTACTCCGAGCGCATTTACGACGCATGCATGAACTCTTTCTGTGCTTTACCACTCGCTGCGATCATGAACAAGCAGTTCTTCTGTATCCACGGCGGTCTGTCTCCTGAGCTCAATACCCTCGACGATATCCGTAACGTCAGTGTATTGCACTTATCATCGTCAATTGCAAGGACTAATGGTGATCTCTACGCAGATTGACCGCTTCCGGGAGCCGCCTACCCAGGGCCTCATGTGTGATATGCTCTGGTCGGACCCGGTCGAAGATTTCGGCCAAGAGAAGACGTCGGATAGTTTCGTCCATAATCATGTACGAGGATGCTCGTACTTCTTCACGTTGGTGATCCCATCTTGACACCAAGGACGTAATCGCTGAGATTTCCCTAGATACCAAGCCGCATGCCAGTTCCTGGAGAGGAACAAGCTACTCTCGATCATCCGTGCCCACGAGGCGCAGGACGCGGGGTTAGTCTATTACGAATCAGTGTTTGTCGTGACGTTGACATCTCGTCAGATATCGTATGTACCGGAAGACACGCACCACTGGCTTCCCGTCCGTCATGACCCTCTTCTCCGCTCCCAACTACCTTGATGTCTACAACAACAAGGCGGCTATCCTCAAGTATGAGAGCAACGTGCTCAACATCCGCCAGTTCAACGCGACCCCACATCCCTACTGGCTCCCCAACTTCATGGACGCATTCACGTGGAGTCTGCCGTTCGTTGGAGAGAAGAGTGCGTGTTGTACTTTTCCACCACTCTGTCCTACTCATCATGTCGTTCAGTCACCGATATGCTGTTGGCAATGCTCAACTGCTGCACGAAGGAGGAGTTGGAGGAGAGCTCATCAGACGAGGAGACTCTCATCTCCCCCACCCCGTCGGAAGATCCCGGCGAGCGTCGCAAGGTCATCAAGAACAAGATCCTTGCCGTTGGACGTATGGCACGGGTTTTCGCCCTCCTGCGGTGAGTCTTCTTTCTGTTCAAGCCCCCACAATAATGACTCATAAGTATGGACAGTGAGGAGTCTGAAAAGGTGTCCGAGCTCAAGAGCGTGTCTGGCTCCGCGAAGCTGCCGTACGGCACGCTTGCTCTTGGAGCGGAGGGCATCAAGGATGCCATTACCGGTTTCGAGGACGCGTACGTCACAATACGGACTTTTGTGACGTCACCCACTCACCGATGTCTCCCTTCAGCCGAAAGTCCGACATCGAGAACGAGCGTCTGCCGCCCGAGCTGTACGACCTCGAGACTGAGGAGGGCAAGGCGCTCATCTCGTCCCAGCCCGCGACGCCGGCCGAGGAGAGCGCAGTGCCGATCTCGCCCAACGGTGTCGTCGCGGCACTGGAGCAGGTCATCTCGAACCCGTCGCCCGTGATCTCGGACGCGGGCCCGTCCCCGGGGACGCCGCTGTCCCCTTCGTCGCCCATCTCTGGCGTGTCACCCTTCCGGCGCGGGCACGGGCGGCAGGCGAGCCTGGGGACGACGATGACCTCGCCGTCGACGCGCCGACGGAGCCTGGAGAGCACGATGAGCCTCATCCAGGAGGCGTGGGATGGCAAGGCGCCGCTACAGGACGCGGAGCTCGTCAAGCTCGCGGACTCGATCGCGGAGAGCAGCACCGGCAAGGACAAGGGCGACTCGGGGCGGTCCACGCCGAGCGCGGCCGCGGCCGCGAGCTAATCACGTGTCGTGGGCGCCGCCGCCGTCGCCGCCTGCCGTTCTGGCCTGTGTCAGGGATGGACCCCGGGAGGAGCGCGGGGCGGACGAGGGTGTCCGGTGAGAACGGGCAAGGTAGTTCCTCTGCATTGTGTATATCCTGGAGGCCGGTGTATATTTCTATTCTCCGATCAACGCGTTCCTCTCATCACTGGCCTGCTGTCATAGCACCATGACCATGAGCAGTGCCACATCAGTCAAAAAGCTCGACGGGTGTGCATTGCTGTGCGTCGCTTGCAGTGGCACGGCTGCCGGCTGGGTGTGGGCGAGTGCGTCAGGCGTTCTTCGGGATTCGTAGATGAGAGGGTTACAGCACGGACCCACGCCTAGTTCACATAGGGCTTAGCGAAGACCTTATCGACTCGGTCCGGGGGCTGCGCATCGCTGAATTGCGTGCTGTGGTGCACGTGGTTGGCATCGAAATGACGGACATACACAGACGAGGCCTAAGTACAGTGAGACTCGGCCCGGGTGCTGTTTGCTCAGGATCCTTTCCTTTGAGCGCGGAGCGTCGGCTTTGTAGAACGCACCCGAAGTGAGAGCGCTGCCACCACGGCGTAAGTAGGTAGGCTCGCTGTGGCTATTCAATGATCTTACTGCGTGAGCGCGCAGCTGCTTGGGGCGTACATATATAAGTGCTTGCATGATCAGAGCGCACCTCGCGCTCTCCTCACACTCCTGCCACATGATCACCAAACTCCCCGACACCATGTCAAACACCAAGTCCCCCTACAACGGCTACCCCGACACCCGCGACCGCGCCTCTGGCCCGTCCTACCCACACGAAACCGTCCTCTACCCGCCCACAGAACCTCCGCCATCCTACAACGACCCCCTCGCCCCCGCCGCTCGGAGCGCTCCGTCCTCCCACAGCCCCGCGCCGCTGAACCCAACGAACCCCTACGTCACAGCACCCACTCACTCCCCCTCGCCCTCCTCCTCTTCGCACGCCCCCGCGCCGAATCCAACGAACCCCAACGTCCTGCCCTCCTCCTCCCCCTCCGCCTCCTTCACCCGCTCGCGCAACCCGGCGATGCCCTGCGGGCCCTTCGAGCCCCTCACGGTCCTCTGCGCCGGCCCCGCGCTCGCCGCGGGCTTCCCCGCGCACCTCCCGCCGAGCGCGACGGTGCCGCACCCGTTCGGGACGCACGACGTCGCGGAGGCGGACTGGGCGCGCTTCCTCGCCGACCTCGCGCACGCGGGCGCGCGCGGGGGTGAGCCGGCCCTCCGCACCGCGTTTGCGCCGCCGACGCCGCCGGAGCAGGGCGCGGGAGGGGGCTTCGGGCTGGGGCGGGGGTTCGGGCGGGGACGAGGCGGGCGCGGCGGCGGCGGGCTGATTGAACGTGAGTACGCTGCTTGCGCTCGGTTGTTTCCGGTGGTGAGGGGAAGGGGCTGACACACACCCGCGCCCGCGCAGAGCTCGGGCAGCTCGCGACGCAGCTGGGGACGCCGAAGGACAGTAAGAAGGGCGCGGACTCGGTCACCGAGGTTCTCAGGGAGTGGAACAACGTACGTCCCAGGCTTCCTGCAGTGCGGCTCGCTGGGGAATCTCGTTCACGTAGCGCGCCTCTCGCAGAACTTCTTCCACCACCGCAACATCGATGCCGCAGTGGTCCTGGACGCACCGCCTCCCCCACCGCAGGCTGCGTACGCCCAAGAAGATTCCCGCAGTGGCCATGGCCGACTCGGACGGGGACGGCGCGAGAGCGCGCGAGACCGTCGGTCCGGGGGACTCATTGGGCTCATCAGCTCTGCGTTAGAGACGCCGAGCTCGGCGCCGCCCTCCGAGCGCTGGGTGTTGGTGTTGCGGTACTGGCAGCCTGGCGGGAGCTATGTGCAGCAGCAGGGATATGCAGGCGCGGGAGGATTTTCGAGGACGTAGGTGAGGGCACGGACGAGGTATTGGACACGAAGGAAGCTCTTGAAGCATGTATTGGGTATGATATACCACTAATACCGATACGCACGATATGAGAAAGTACGCGGACGTTGATCGAGAAGGCCGCTACATACAGCCAATGTACAAGCGAACCCACAGCACCTACTCCGGGACGTACGCGCGATACGTGACAACCAGCCGCCACTTGCTGTCCTTGCCCATCGCCGGGTCCCTGTTCCCATTGCGGTCCTTCGGCGGGCCTTGGGAGATCGAGACATGGATGCACCGCGGGTGGAAGAAGAACTAGCGCAACGAGCCGTCAGCGCCCTCCGCGCGAGCTCGAACGCGAACGCGACCTACGTGGTTCCAATGGTCGATGAGCTGCGACACTGGCCCCTTCTTGTTCCGCTTCACGACGCTGTCGATGCCCTTCACGATGAAGAACCCTGCCCGGCCGCGGTTACTGCAGTCAGCGCGCCGCCGCCCGCGCCACCGCCCGCACCCACTCACCAAAGATGATGCCCACGCCCGGGAGCGCGAGCGGCGCGAGGCCGGCCACGACCCGGTTCATCGGCGATAGCGACCCCGCGAGGCGGACGTCGTGCACGAACCGCCGCCAGTCCTGCTCGTTCACGTCGTGATCTACGAACGGGTGCGGCACCGGCACCGCCCCCACCGTCCCGAGCCCGGGCAGCTCCGGGGGCGCGTAGTTGAAGCCGCGGTCGAGCGTTGTGCCCTTGCCGACCAGGAGCAGCAGCGGGAACGGCCCGTACGACGGCCCGAGGGGCGGTGAGCGCGCAAAGCTTTCCGGAGGCGGGTCGAGGAGCTTTTTGGGGGCTTTCCCGGGTGCGAAGTTCTTGACGTGGCCCATGAAGCCTTTGACGTTGTCGCCGGAGAGCGGAGGGCCGGGCGTGCCGTCGGGGGACGGGGCGTACGCGGGGGAGGGGAAAGACTGGGAGCGCGCGGATGTGGGCGAGAAGGTTGGGGTAGAGGAGGACGGTCCTGGACGGCTGAAGTACGAGGGAGGAGGGAGCTCGGAGTCGGGCGTGTTTGGCTCGGGCTGGAATTGAGGCTTTTCGAACTCGTAGGGGTTCTTGAGCATCGGATCGCCATCGATCATTATGGAGGAGCCCGTTGGGTGGGAGGCGGAAAAGAAGCGGGCGGGAGGAGTCCAAGGATGATTTGTGGGAGGCTGAGGCTCGGGGAGAGGTTGCTATATAATGGCACCGGGGAGCCCTGCACAGCGAGAGCGCGTTATGAACCCATACGCGTGTTCATGCCGCACAGACCGAGGACAGTCATACGAGTACACTGGTCCGGAACACAAGCGACTGCGAACGCTGGGTGACGCTCACAAAGCGTGGGTGGGGCGACAGGGAGGTGTGCTGACGGCTCCGCAGCCCTATGGACCTCAACGAATCTGAATTCAGACTGGTTAACGCGCGCCCAACCCAGTCCCAAATTTGGCGTGCGCAGCTAGGACTCTGGGTAGCGCGTCGCCGCACCTAGGTGCCATGACCATTGGGCGACTGTTAGCGCCAAGTCATTCGCAGATGCAGAGCATATACTCACCTGCTAGCGGCTACAACCACCGAGGTGAAATGTTGGGCAATGAATCCCAGCCAATAAGTGAGCGGGGCTCCGTACCGTTTCGGCCGAAAGCCGTGGGTTGCTCAAGACGACAGCAGGCTACAGAACACAGCATCTTTGCTCGCTTCCGGATGGTGTGGAACCTCGGGGAAAGATATCAGTGTACGGCCAACACAGAGCTGGTCGTGTCAGATGGTGGAGACCACGTGGAGGGTATCAAGGGGCGCGCCGGACGTGCGCCATGTTCGTGGGCTCGCACCAGCAGAGCTGGATCGTCAACTGTCGGGGTCGTTGACTAAGGGCCGCACATGGTGTGACGACGGCAGTGGCCTGACACAGGATACGAGCAAAGTTTACGTTCATGGCTGTACATGCAGAGGTCGGCCGTGAGCCAGTGCTCGCATTCGCGCTACGCCGACGGACTCACCTGTATATATGCGCTCCATTTGATGCAGGGTCCCTCGCCCTATTGAGGTCGGACAATGGCGGCGCTTCAGACGGCGAGAGGATTCAGGATCGGGCGCCCTTGAGGATCGTCGCGTGGACGCGGCAGAAGCCTCGAACTTGCCTCGAGCTCTTCGGGATTGAGAGATGTGGTGATAACCTCGCCGCGAGGCACGCGGGACAATGGAGAACGGACGAGGACGGAGGAAAGCGGTGCGGTTGTTATGGAAAGGGAGTATGGACGACTGACGACTGAGAGACAATAAGACGCGTGTTTCGGAGGGGGCGAGGTTTGGAGGCGTGTCTGGGTGCGTCTTCGTGACCCGGAGCATGGCGCAACCTGACTGGGTTGAGCATAGTACGTGGAGAGGTGATGGCGTGCGGCGGGGAAAGTGCGGGTCTCCCGGGAAAGGGCCAGTGCGTCCGGAGAGATTACGTTGGGAGTCGCCGGACAGTCTCGCGAGGATGTCGATGGAGGAAGCACGATAAGTCCGCGAAGACGTGAGTGCGATGTGGTCGGAAGGAAGAGCAGCAATCGGGAACAAGGCACGCGTGGGCAGCGAAAAGCCGGGCCGCTCTAGCTTCGCGTGGCGTTGTGACGCAATGGGCACCTATAAATTTATAATCAAAACAATGGGGCGGTTATGGGCCGCTATGCCTTGATGTGGAATTAGCCGGCAGCCAAATAGACGTCAATACCGGCGTTCAAGTCCTGTTACCTCATCGACGCGGGCCTCCGGCGTCTATCGGCAGGCTATTGTTCCAAACAGGACGAGGACTATTGTTCAACGCAGCAGGCGACGGAGAGTGCGAAGACAATGAGGCCAGCGCACAAAAGGGTGAGTGCCCGTCCAAGGATACTAAAGCCTCCTGCCGGACAGATCCTCCCCTTGTCTTTCGCCCCGTCGCCTTTGCCTTCTCTGCTTTGAGCCAGTCTCCTCTTTGACGACCAATACAAGCCCCATTCCATTTACGAACTCTACGATGGCATCCCGTGAGTACTCATCTCTGCAGTAGCAGCTTACAGGTACTAATCGTATCTCATCATATCAGTCTTCGCCAGCAACCGGATACTCCCCAGCCTGAAGCGCCGTGGTCGCACTCCAAGCAAACCTGACGCAGCGTCGCCCTCCAAGGCGAAACCCCTGCACATCCTACCCAACGTCACGGAAGAGGACGAGAGCTCGAGTCGCATCTCTTGCTCATCAACCAACTCCCTCCCTCTCAACACGAAACAGCACGCCTCACGACATGCGAGCACTAGTGCCACCCTGGGCGCCCGTCCTGTGCACGAAGCACGGAGAACGGTCGTCTTGACCGGTGTCGAAGGTCTGACTTTCGACGACTTCTTCCCTCCATCAAGCGCTCCCCGCGCCCGCACCCCTTCCCCGCCACCGCGCCCAGAGACTCCCCCGCGCTCCGCTGCTCCATCTACAGCCTCGTCCGAGACCTCCCTCGATGATATCAACCTTCGCTTCTCTGGTCTCGGCATCTCTCTCGACTTCCCCTCGCCCCCATCTACCACTTCTACGTTTGCCTCGCTTTCAAGAAGACGCGAGGTGTCCCCAAGCCCTTCAGTCGCTAGCACCGATACCTGCACCACCACCAGCCCGAAGACTCCCTGCTCAACACCACCGACCTCGGACGACGACGAGTCGCCCATGCGCTCTCACCTCAAACGCGCGCCGACCTTCAGGTCTCAGCGCGCCTCCGTCCTGTTCATGCAGTCCATGCCTGACCTCATCGAGGCGCCTCGCAAGGCGTCGATTACATCCCTTGCCTCGAACGTCTCCGAGGAGGTCGACTGGATCGCGCAGGACATCGGCGACGTCTTCACGCTCTCCACCCCGCTCCCGCCCGCCTTCCCTTCCGAAGACTCGGACCATGCGCCCGACGCTCGCGCGCGCCCGGACTCGATGCCGCCCCCGCCCCGTGCACGCGGCCGCTCCTCAATCTTCAGCAAGCCCCCTCCCCCGCTCCCCCGCATCTCGATCGTCGACAGCAGCATGAGCCTGCACGGCCCGTCCGCGCAGCTCGACCCGACATTCCCGCTCCGCCGCCGCTCGTACCTCGTCCCCACGCGCCCGCCGCCCCCTCCGCCAACGGCGCCCAAGCTGTCCGAGATGGAGCAGGCGACAGAGGATCTGCTCGCGGAGCTGGCAAATGCTGCGCTTGGCGCGGGCTTCCTCGGCGTGGAGCACGAGTGCCCGTCCCCGCTCTCGCTTTCGGTCCCCCCGTCTCCAAGCAGCCACTTCATAGTCACCACTCCCCTGCCCATGACGCCAACGTTTGGAACGCGCCCGCCACCGCGCTCGTCAATCCCGGACGACGTCTTCTTCGGCCTCGCTGAGGTCGAGAGTCCCGTCGAAGTCGAGCACGCCGAGCTCACGGTCCCGCAGTGGCCGACCACGCCCATGAGCGCGAGCGTGTACTCGCAGACGTCCGCGCCGGCTTCGCCCCTGTCCTCGTTCGACTTCGACCTGGAGGTCGACATCGACGTCAGTGCCGTCGTCAGTCGCGAGGAGGACGCGCCCGTCCGCCGCGCCCCGTCGTCCGGCAGCGGGAGCTCGGAGCGCGCTCTGCGCTCGCGTTGGTCGACCTCCACCCTTGGCTCGCTCGCGGAGGCCTCGTCCCACTCGTGGCTGCCGCGCTTCACGCTCTCCCCCTCGAAGCGTGGCAAGGGCAAGACCGGCTCGCCCTCGCACTCCCCGTCGCCGTCGCACGCACACAAGTCCTCAACCTCGTCGACCGCATCCGCGACCTCGCCTCTGCAGCGCAAGAACGCGGTCAAGGGCAGCGCCCTCAAGCGTTCGATGGAGTCCGACCGCGGCGTCACGGTCGGCCGCCGCGACAGCCGCTCCTCGCGCATGAGCGACACCGCGAGCGAGAGCGGGGAGAGCACGGCGTCGACGGGCAGCTCCGGGCTCGTGCGCAAGCCGATCCCGATGGCGCTCCTCGCGATGTCCGCCCCCCAGAACTCGATGACTATGTGACTCTCGCTCGGGGGCGGGCACTCCGCCTCCCTCATCTCGCCTCACGACCTCTCATGACGTTTCCGCTCGCTCGCCCCCGGGTTCCTGCTGCTGTCCGTCCGAACTGTATCCATAGCCACCACTCGTTGCATCCTTCATCTTTCGTTATCCGGTATCCCGTCTCTAATTATGTAGCATTCGTCCTTCATGACCCACCCCATCTCTCTCACATTGTAGCATCCCAAGACCATCTTCGTTCTGGCGCCGTGGTTCGCCTCTCATCCTCCCTGCACATATTTATCCCCTCATCTCGTCTGGCACCTGCTTTTTTCTACCTTGTAGTCATTAATTGCGCTATGGCCGTCATTTCGCACGCCGTACATATCTCCCGGGCGCCCCCCCTTTAGACTGCCCGGGCTCGCACTCTCGTTTTTGCTACCGTAACGCGTCGACTGGGTCGAACTCTTATGTCACTCCTAGTAATGATAACGTCGTTCCGGAACCAACTATCCTGCTCAGTGTGCGACGTTGGACCTCGGCCGGTTTTGGGGCATTCTCCTGCAGCGCTTTCGAACTTGCGCGAACAAACAGCATCGACAGCTGTCCTGACTGATCGGGTCTCAGACCGTTAAGGTCATCTAGTGAGTATAGTTGGTCGGTGCACATACACACGGCCCCTGAGCTTGAGTAGAACACGGCAGTCACGAACGGTGAAAATTGGGCGAAGATGACAATAGCTTATAATAAGACGATGACTACACTACAACATACAAGAGCGTACTCTAGACAGTCCACCTGGAGAGAAGAGAGACGTCAGCTGCCAGGTTCGAACAACAACCGAAAGCGGTAGAAGGATCAGAAAAGCCGATATTTTCATTTTCCTCCCACAGGGACTCCCCCACTCCCGACCCGCCGACATCAAGACGACGAGGGCAGGCACGACTCGCGGCCGCAGAGCGGAACACGAGCGGGGATGGTGGAGTGATATGAGGGGACGTTCAACGAATGGATGAACTTGTTGTCGTCCCGGACGGAGCGACGTAGGAGATATCCACTCACCTAGAGTACCAAGTTTCTCCCAGCAATTCATGCGCCCGGCCACATGAGCACACTGTCGTATCTGAGTGAAAAAAAAACAAGTCAGCACAAGATCGTCGACGAGGAGAGACGAGGAGAATATCAGAATTGAGAGTTTTGGTATGAGGTTGTCCACCAGGAGGTTGCCCTCTCTTTCGGAAGCAGAACTGAATGAAATCATCACAGGAGGCGAAGGCGCACTCCTCAGAACGGAAGGTGAACTTACCTAGAGCATATGTGAGGGTCGGGAACGATCAGTGAAAAAAATGAGGAGAGCACGACGTCGCGTTGGCGAGCGTGGCTACGGGCGCTTCTTATGGGTCCTTGCAAACTGTACAGTTGGAAAACTCCGCTTCAAATTAGGCGGCTATTTGAAAAAGCGGAGCTCTAAAATTTCCGCGACTCGATAGCGGGACGCGTTCGCGCGTCACAGCTCTTCTCACCACGTCTCGGACTTCCTCCTTTCTTCCTCTGGCCTTGAAACCATGAAGCTGTTCAATGGACGTACCTGGTGAGCACCCACTTTTGACCAAAGGGCAATGAAGATAGTTTTTCCATAAACATCCGAGTTGGCGAACATTTCATGTGCCGCACTCATCTAACATGCATCACCAACTGAGCCCTTTTTCTCTTTGTGTATCGTTTATCATACCTGATAACTGATTATCGCTTTTCACAGACCGTTCGATTACCTTTTCAGAGACAGACACGCGTATGGGGTGTTGGGCCTTCTCGCTACGCCACAGTCGTGGTTGTTGATGATACCACCGAGATCAGTCGGAGCCCAGCGCGCTCCGTGCAGTGTACGGAGTATCAGAGATGATGGAAGGGTGAGCTCTTTCTACACTGCCCTCTGCCTTCTTCTTCGCCGTCCGTGATGAATACATCAAAAAATTGACAAGCATATGTCCGAACCGTACATGTAGGACACTGTATGTTCTCTGAGACTTCCTCCTACCTTGCCTCTTGCCTCTGAGGTGCTCTTACTGACAACTCTTCTCCAGGTCGATGTTGGGACCTGACTTACTGTTATCCCGGTCGTGTTGTTTGTATGTAGTTATGCAATTAAAGTTATGCGTCCTTTTCCCTCGGCCCGTACGCGTCTGTACTTCTGAATTCTCGTAAGTACAACAGCATACGCAGTGAGCCACCAAAGGGTCAAGGACATGTGTCGGGGCAGCTGGACTGGTCGCTTAGTCGCTTAGGATAGACGCCCAAATCCGTGAATATGACATCCGACTCCGCACTGGTCCAACCTCCTGTTCCCCTCCCCGCGCCCCGCCCCCACCTTTACGCCGTCCTCCTCTGCCGCCACTCTCCCGTTCATGACCGCTTAGACAAGCCTGTAACGCACCACCATGACGACTCTCAACAATCCTCTCGTTTCGAAAGCGTTGGACGGCCACGCCTTCTCGCACAGCTCAGACACTTCTGAAGCATCGAACACCGTGTCATACTACGATGACTCGCGGTCATCTACCCCCGACTCCGCGTTGGAGATGACGTTCCGCAAGGGCGACCTCAACTGTACGCTCGATGAAAAGGCCGCGCTTCGCCATGGCGCGGACGAGAGGAACGAGGACCCCGTCGCTGTCGGCGTCGCCGGACGGCAGCCCGAGGAGGTGTACGAGCGCACCCTTAGCTGGTGGCGACAGGGTATTCGGCGGGCCATTCTGCGGAACGTCGAGCGGGAGTCGCCAGTGCTGGCGAGGATGCAGGTGAGTTCAGCAAGCCTGGATTCGTGCGAACACCGTCGCATGTACGCATTATTTTTCCCGTGCGGTTTGGCGTCTGTGCTACAACCGTGCTGTGTACGTCCGCCGCGGGGCGCTCATGCAGTCAAGTAGTTTGTGTTGCCGAGTTCCGTCCATCCATGCTAGAGACGATACAGAATGGTGCTGACATGATCTTTTCGCCAGGCGAAGATTCGGCACCCTTTCCTGGACGCGTACTTCGTGTACACCTCATCTCTTGGTACACACACGTTCTTCATGGTCATGCTTCCTATCTTCTACTTCTTCGGCGCACCGAAGTTTGGTCGAGGGTAAGTGCTTCTTGTGGCCGTGTCGCTCACCCTTGTGAAAATGAACAATAACAGGCTTCTTCTGATGTTGGCTGTGGGAGTCTACGTCTCGTCATTCCTCAAGGACTTGTGTTGCGCACCCCGGCCATTCGCACCCCCGGTTGCACGACTCAGTGAGTCCCTGCGAGTCTCAGGGTCCCCCGTCTGACACGCAGCTATCAGCGATTGGGAACCATCACCTGGAGTACGGCTTCCCTTCGACGCACTCCACAAACAGTGTCTCCCTCGCCCTCTTTTTCTACACCCTCCTCCAGCACGTCTACCATCCTGATGGTCCCATCTCGCAATTTGGTTACAACTGCATCATCGGCATCCTATGCTTCTACGTGTTCTCGATCGTCTTCGGGCGACTCTACACCGGCATGCATTCGTTCACGGACTGCGTTGGCGGCGTGGTGCTTGGCGCAAGCATCTGGGGATTGCACATCCTCATTGGCGAATCCGTCGACGCGTGGTCGCGTGAGCAGGGCTGGATCGGTGCGTTCGCAACCACTATTGACGTGTCTCCTCTCTGATAAACGCATGTAGTCCCCGCCCTCATCGTCCCCATGTGTCTGGTCCTCGTCCACCGGCACCCGCAACCCGTGGACGACTGCCCGTGCTTCGAAGACGCCATCGCGTTCAACTCTGTCATCATGGGCGAGTTCGTGATTCGCTGGTGGATGGACAACTACGGATACGACGCGAGCTTCTTTACGCACGCCATGCCTGGCGCGTCGTGGGCGACATACCAGGACTTTGCGACCTGGTGGGGCACCGCCGCGCTCAAGATGGTCTTTGGTGTCCTTGCGATCTTCGTCTGGCGCATTGTCGCGAAGTCGTTCTGCCTCTCCGTCCTCCCTCCGATCTTCCGTTTGTTGTCCCACCTCGTCACGCTGCCCCACCGCCGCTTCTACACACCCGCGACGGACTACACCACCGTCCCGCCAGAGAAAGGACTTCGGCCGATCCCGTCCGTCATCGACCTACCGCGGATGATGGAGGTCGAGATGGACGACGTCGCGGCGAGCGGGGCGCGGGCGAACGGCACGTACGGTGCAGTGAAGCAGCGCGCGATCGCGCGGGGCGGAAAGAGCGAGTCCGAGAAGCAACACCTGGGGCGGGCCCCTGACGCGACGGACAACCGCAAGAGCCGCCGTGAGCTCAAGCACTACGACGCCGATGGTGCGTGTTTCTCCGTGCTGCGGTGACGGCGCCGAACTGACGCGGGCACACAGTGCTCACCAAGGTGTTCGTGTACTGCGGCATCGGAATGGTGGCCACCGGGGTCGTCCCGATCCTGTTCGAGGTGCTGGGATGGGGTGTCAGGATGTCGTAAGCGCCTCCGACGAGAAGATGCGTGCGGGTGCGTCTCGAAGGAGTGCAATCAAGAACCCGGAGCACGGCGGCAGCATGGCGATCTCACTGGCTGCGCGCGGTGCGGGTGGTAGTATCTGGGCGGCAGCGCAGGCTGTCAAACGATGCGGGCGCTGATGCATTCGGGCGCAGAGACACGGAACATTTGCTGCGTGGGGGAATGTTCTCGTCCATGGGTTTGCGAAAGATGACTGGTGGTTTGCAATCTCGCGCTTCGTATATTTAAACTGACTGGAGCTTGGATCTGTATTCGTCTACTAGTGTAGCTATTTAGTCACCCTCGGGCTCGTGTATACCCTCTGTATCGTGCTGTAGCGGTGACAATAATGACCTCTTCGACAATCTGGCGGGTTTGGGTGCATGCGTCCAACGTGAAGGTATACGTGTAGGTACCTCATGTGGCGACTCTGGATCTGAAAGGTGCTGTTCGAGTGAGGAGAAACCGAGTTACCATCGCCTCTAGATGGGCGCGATGCACGGCGTGTTGCTCCGAGTTCTCCCGCGCGTGCTTGATGTTCGAGATTTGAGTATCCGTTTCCCTCGGCCGGGTGCTGCGCCAGTGCGGCGCTGAAAATCACTAACCCCAGATAACTGCTCTGTGCTTTGGAACTAGGGCGCATGCCCGAAGAAGTGGGACAGGAGCATGCTCATTGCCATGAACGTGGCCGCAGCCTTCGAACCATCGAGGACGGGCTGTCAGGGCGACTGCGCCGGTCGCGGACGGAGGAGGCGCGGATGCCGTCGCCGAGCGACGCGTACGCAAGCCTTGCACCGATCATGAGTCAGCACCAGCTCCTCGGCGCTGGGGTTAGGGCCCATTGATACTTAGGGGATACAGTTGTATGCTAAGCCTGCTTTCGGAGATTCAAAATGTCTTGTGTGCCCCCTTATCAGATAGTCTTGTTTGAGATCCCGCGCCGAGGAGAGTGCCATTCTGGACAGTTCTGCCAACCATATTACGTCAGCAAGGGCGCGCAGGCGCATGGGTTGGGTGAGAACCTTGTTCTCCTTGCTCAAAACTCCAACGCACACTCACCTTGCCCTCGTACACCATGCTTACCGACAATCCGATCCAGCAATCTCCCTACGGCTCCTACAACAACATCGAGGACTTCCTCAACCTCGACCTCTTCAACGGTCCCTCCTCCAACGGCGCAGGCTCAAGTGGCTCGTCCCCCCACTCGTCGCCATCCAACTCCTTCTCCGGCCTCCCCCCCACTCCCCCTTCGAACGAGTTTTTCTCCCTCCAAGACATCTCATACTCCCCCAGCCCCTTCTTCTCTCTCGCCCAGGATGACGACCAATCCAAGCTCGCGTCCCTCCTTCCCCCCGCCACTACTGCCGCAGGCTACGACTTCCTCGCCCAATACTCCCACCTCACCCAGATGAGCAGCCCCGACTCATCCGGCTCTGGCTCCGGCTCTGGTTCGAATTCATCGGGCGAGTCACCGGCAAGCATCGACCCCCAGCTGATGAACACTCCAGCGGCTTCGAAGGCTGCGAGCGACTTTGGCGGCGAGGAAGAGGAGGACGAGGACGATGATCTCGACCTCGACCTCGATAGTATGCACACGATCCCCGAGGACTTTGTCGTTCCCCAAATGAAGGTCGGCGGCAAGGGCAAGACGAACCGCAAGGGCACCGTGCGCGACGGTGGTATTGTCAAGCGATCAAGCGCCGAAAGGAAGGAGAACATGCTCTCCACCACGTCCGTCGATCCCGAAGACTGGCGGCCATCGCCAGAGGAGTACAAAAAGATGTCCTCCAAGGAGAAGCGGCAGTTGCGCAACAAAATCAGTGCCCGCAACTTCCGTGTCCGCCGAAAGGGTATGTTATCCTTTGTCTTGCAATTTTCTCGCGCGTGCTGACCTCGCCCGCAGAGTATATCACCACGCTTGAGGGCGATATCGCAGAACGTGACCGGCTCATCGATGCGATCCGCACCGAGCTGGGCTCCATGAAGAGCGAGAACGTCGCCATGCGCCAGGAAATTGACGCGCTCAAGAGGGCGCTTCTTGAGGGTCGTGGACGCGCGGACACGCCCGTTCTCCCGCCTCCTGGCCCATTGCCCCCCGTTTCGGCCGCTGCACGTTCCTCTGCTTCCTCGCCCGCCCCTGCCACTCCCCGCAGTCCCCTCCTCACGCCCAACACCCAGAAGGACCTTCCCACGTCGCCCCGCTTGGGCGCCCGCGGCTTCTGGGGTGGCGCACACGGCATGGGCAGCATTGGCAGCTTCACGCCCGTTCACACCACCCTCCTCCCCGAGTGGAGCAACATCCTCAGCGGCAAGCCCCCGGCCGGTCGCAAGAGCCCGTCGCTCCAGGAGAACATCAACCCCAATCTCAATGGTCCCACGGCCGCGGCGCTCGCGGCGCTCCTTGCCGCTCGCAAAGCGGAAAACGCGGAGAGCCAGGAGAAAGCGAGGGAGCAGCAGTTACCGCAGCAGCACATGTCGCTCAATGGTTTCGACGCTTTCGCGGACGTCAACCCCTTCACGCTCAAGTCGATGGATGCGTACGTTCCCGTTCGGTTGACCTGTGGATCTTAGTATTGACCAAACACGCAGTTACCGCATGCAACTCTGGGGCAAGATGGCCCAGCAATACCCCACACAGCGCCCTCAGCTTCCCGGTTCGCAGCCCTCAAGCCCGAGCGGTCTTGCCAGCGTCCTCCGCCCACACTTCTTCACCAAGGGCTCGTCCCTCGGTATTGCCCAGGACCTCTCCGGCAAGTCCCCGCTCTCCAATGTTCACGCGTACCCGACACCCCCGAACACCCCACCTCTCCGCGCGACCGCCCCCACTTCCAAGCCCGCGGACTTGCCCACACCCCAACAGGCTGTCCTCGCGACAGTTGCGTCGCAAACGCTTGCGTCGAAGCTCGGCTCTGCGTTCTGGGATGCGTTCGCCCGTCCGTCAGGCAGCGTGCTCGGGGCAAATGGCTCCGGCAAGCTCGAGTGGGACGCGGACAAGGTGCGCCGTGTCATGGAGGGTACCGCAGTTGTGCGCGTCGTCGACGTCGAGCCCACGTCGGCGCCAGCACAGCCGCCCCGCGCGGTCCCGGTGCGGTCGACAGTCAGCCAACGCGACGAGTGCGTGGCTTGCGTCACGGACCTCCTCGCGGAGAGCATGGCGACGCTCAGCATCGGCCGCAAGTAAACGGTGCACACGACTCTTGAAGGACTTCAAAGATGACGGTGGATGTAATATCTTGATCATTTTCACGCTCTCTGTCGCTCGCGCTGACGAGCGACCTCACCCTCCTTATTGTCCATGTTCCTTTCCCCACCCCTTGTCCTTTAAGTATTTTCCGTTTAATGGTTATAAAGCCAAATAGCTCGTAGTCCCCCACCCCGGAATCCGTTGCCTTCCCCTCCCCTCCCCGCTCTCACTGCCTGTATGCCCCTTCAATCTCTCGCCCGTCCTTCGACGTCGTTTTCGAACTCACCCCCACTCCCCTCCCTCGTCGTTCTGTGTCCATATTATCTTCCCTTAGTCCGCCCGCCGAAGGCCACCGCGCAGCTTGCCTGCACGCACACTAGCCTGTGCGCCCCGCGCGTTGTACATATCGTCTCGTCCCGTTTCGCCGTTGTGTCGTACGTAGGTTACGTGTTTTGTCGTGGCGAGCTCGGGGCCCCGAGCGTCGCTTGAAATGTCGAATAGTCGAACTTCTGTATGAGTAGCTGCTCTCAATACTAGACTTGTCCCTGGTTATATAACGGTCGACCTACGCGTGTGTTATTTCTCCAAGAAACCACTCTGAAGTCGCTTCCTTGGTCACATGATTGTGAATCTGGGACGCCACTCTGCCTGAACGCCAGCTGCGTTTATGGTCTTAGTCGAGCACACAGCCTCCAGATGTAGGCCCCTATCGGCGGGAAGCCGCATAATGCATTGTACATAGACACAGCTGCCGCACCTGTGTACACGTATGCGGGATACAAATAACAGCATATATATATGGTCTTAAGCTCAAGCCACGTTGTATTTCACATCGAGTCGAGCAGGGGAGGGGGAATGCCGCACTGAAGTCGCTTCCATCGGCCTGTGAGGAGGTTCACACCCGGCCCAGACATCGATATACCCAAAAAATGAGCAGCAAGAATTGAAGGAGATACATTACCGTACGTGCGGTTTCCGATCTGTGCAAGCTCTGGACCTTAGGGTAGGCGTATGTGGTGGCAGATGCTCAGAGTTCAAACGTTCAAGAACAGCCTCACATGCCTGCCACGAACCGCAAACCGCAAACCGTGTACCACTATGTACTGCACGGGGCGCGCGCAGGCTTTCGCGCAGCGTTATCGCCCCCCGCGCGCCGACGACTCCAACCTTGTTCTGGCTCTTCGCACGCGACTCGCGATGGCATGATGGCTCCTCAAAAGGAACATTCAGCGTCAGCGTTATCGGTCACTGAGTTCGGACTTGGTCGAAATCGTACTGCACCGCCGGCATCATTCACAGGCGCGAAGTCGCGGAAATGTCCCTGGTATTGCAGTCCTGGTGTTACAATGAAACGGATATTTCCTAATAGCTTAACATTTACTTCTTGGCAAGCATGGCTCCAATGCGCTTCTGGAACGCCTCCGTGACGAACGCCTGCGAGGGGGTAATGAGCATGTGGGACAACACACGGACGAGGAAGGAGCGGCACCTCGTCGAACGTCGCCTTGAAGCTCTCGCGGGCGAACAGGTCGTCGATGTACTGCGCGAACCGCGCGTACTTACCGTTCTTGTCGGTCAGCGTCGCCCACACAGTCTTGGCCTCGTCGGGCTGGAAGGTGCCGATGCTGTTGAGGAGCGAGAGGCGCGCGCGGGCGAGGAAGGGCGTGATCGCGATGTCCGCCATGCTGTACTCCCCCGTGGCGAAGCCGGTGGGGGGCAGGAGGCTCTGGACGTACTCGACGCCCTTCCAGACGTCGTCGAGCGCGCCGTTGCGCATCTGGTACGCGTACCAGTGCGGGACGAACTTGGTGGAGACGCCCTCGATGAAGAAGCGAGCCTGGGCGCGCGCAATCGGGTCCGCGGGCACGATCCCGGACGCGGGGTAGAGGTCGCCGACGAGCTCGACGAGCACGAGCGACTCCGCGATCTTGGTCGACTCGGGCGAGGGCGCGTCGGGCGCGACGTCTGGGCCGCCGTACGCGATCGCGGGGACCTGCGGGCGTGCGGAACAGCCGGTTAGCGTTATTAAGATAGGCAGCATGCCGCGGTTGCGCACCTTGCTAGCGGGGTTGACCTTGGGCGCGTACCACTCGGGCTTGTTCGAGAGATCGATTTCGAAGCGCTTGTGCGGCGCCTTGGCCTCAGCGAGGGCGATTTCGGCCTGCGCCAGGCGCGTCAACACGCGGGTCGAGATCGTGGTCAGTTGGAGTCGCGCTCACCCTGTGGGCGTACGGGCAGATCTAACACATAGGGGAGTCGTATATCAGCGCATGGGTTCGGGAGTCGCTCAGATAGTCGAGAAACCGACCTTGGCGGAGTAGAGGGTGATGGACTCAGGCATGGTTGTTGTCTGTAGACGACGGAGGGGGTAGGAGAGGGTTATATGGGGGCGGGTGATTACGCTATCCACATCGTCGGGGAGCGTGATCGAGGTGCGGTGGGAGGCAGATGGCGTCATGTGCGTGAGATGCTGGCGATCGCGTGCGATCTTGCTGACTGAGCCCTCCCCGGCCGGCCGCAATCATCCGGCTGCGGCCTTTCCATGCGCCATTTTTGCATTTGCTTCCGGCACTCTAAGGCCCACCGGTCACTACTCCGGCGTCGCTCCCCCACTTGAAACTCGGACATGGGTCATTTTCCGAGCCCTCGGAACATATCCCGAATGTCGCAAAGGAGAGTTCAGAATGTCAGACACCGTCCAACCCGAAGTCCCGTCGAGGCTTCGCCCGAGTGTGGATGTCAGAGATCCATGTGAGCATAGTCCAGTGCGCTGATGGCCACGCTTTATCGGGAATCACATGAGGCATGCAATAACATCAATGTGAAATGACGCAGCAAGGCGACACTCACGCAATCAGACTCAGGACAAGACAATTGCAATGTGAAATGAGCGCCTGGCACGCGTTCAGTAGAGTTCCAAAACGAGGACATGGGGCGTCTGTTTGCCAGCTTCAGCAGCAGCCGTCGTGTCTCTTCTTGAACGCTGGCTTTGTCCTCCTTCCATACCCATCGCAGGCTTGCAAGTCGACATGCATTCGCTGCGGCAGGAGATCCTCCCTCCAAGTGGTGTTGAGTACGCAGCATGTCTCAAATTCACCTCCTCGACGCTCTCGACCGCGTCTTCGTCTTCGCAAACCGGTCGTACTCTCTTCAACGTCGTGGTGGCGCGTGCAAGCCTCTTGCGCATATTCGAAGTTAGAGAAGAGCCCGCTCCCATATCCGCGCAAAAAGAACACGAAAAGGCACGACGCGCGAGCGTGCGCAAAGGCACCGAGGCGGTCGAGGGCGAGGTGGAGATGGATGGGTCGGGAGAGGGCTTCGTGAGCATGGGTACGGTCAAGGTGAATGCACTTCGGATACATGCTCTTGTCCCGTCGACAGTGCATGAATGCAATCTTTTGTATCCTGTTCCCTCCCCGGTGGCGAAGCTTGTCCAACAGTCCGGTCGCACGTCCAGCTCACAGAACCACGGGCTGACTTCATTCGTCTTTCTCACTCATAGTCTATCGGCCAGAATGGCGTCGCCCACCCCCAGACCGTCACTCGCTTCTATCTCGTTCGCGAGCATCGCCTTCATGGTACCGTCACGGGTCTCGAGCCTGTGCGGACTGTGCACTCCATCGAAGATAGGCTGGATAGGTTGTTGGTCTCCTTCAAGGACGCAAAGGTACGCCTCTACATCCGCGTCGCGTTGTCTACCCACTTTCGTGGTACATTGGGATGCCTTTCACTGCAAGTGTGCTTTGTTCGGACCCTCTGTCTTCGCGCTCGTCCCTCTATACTTCGAGAGTGGCATAGCCTGCCTCGTAGTCTTCCCTTCTCACCTTCACTCCTTTCAGATTGCTCTTCTGGAATGGTCGGACGCAATACATGATGTCCTGACCGTGTCTATCCACACATACGAGCGAGCCCCGCAGTTGGTGCGTGATATCATTCGGTTCTTAAGAGCGTATAGTCATTCGCGTCAACGCAGATGGCACTAGACTCTCCTCTCTTCCGTGCCGAGCTCCGCGTCGACCCTCTGTCTCGATGTGCCGCCCTTTCTCTCCCCAAGGACTCCTTGGCCATCCTCCCCTTCTACCAAAGTCAAGCTGAGCTGGACCTGATGGAGGTCGAAGCGAACCAAGCACGCGACGTGCCCTACTCTCCAAGTTTTGTCCTCGACCTCGCGAATGACGTTGACAAGCGGATCCGGAACGTCATCGACTACGCGTTCCTACCGGGTTTCCACAATCCGACGGTTGCCGTTCTCTGCCAGTATCAGCAAACATGGACCGGGTGAGTCACTACCTCTTACCTCTGGCAAAATACGATATCCTGCGGGAAGAAAGGCATGAGACAGCCTTGGGTATGCTTCATTTCGTCTGCCTGCCACTTGCCTGCCCAGAGAGAGGACGGTGATCCCCGTAGGCTCTTTTTGACGCCAATGGGTCCCCTCGAGCCAGGACAGGTGAGTGGCAGTCAGAGGAAGTGTTTTATTACCCTTAGCGGTTGCATGTCTATCTTCCCGTATGATACTGTGCATTGCCCGAGAGTACTTCTCTGTGGGGACCCGTCTCAACGATCTCTTCAGACGGCTGAAGGAGTTCAAAGACACCGTCAGCCTGCACATTTTCGCGCTCGACCTAGTCACGAACAACTACCCGGTCATTACCTCCGTCGACGGCCTCCCGTACGACTGCTTCGCCGTCACCCCCTGCGCGACCGCCACCGGAGGCGTCTTCATCCTCGCCGCCAACTCCGTCCTCTTCGTCGACCAGTCCGGCCGTCGCGTCCCGTTCGCCGTCAACGGCTGGCCCCCACGTGTCTCCGACCTCGCCATGCCTGCCCTGGGCCCCCTCGAGCAGACGCGGGACCTCCAGCTTGAGGGCGCGCGCGTCACGCTCGTCGACGACCGGACGCTCTTCCTCTTCCTGAGGGATGGCTCCGTGTATCCGGTCGAGCTTGTCCAAGACGGCCGGACGGTGACCAAGCTCACGATGGGCAACGCCCTTGCGCGGACGACCATCCCCGCCGTTGTGAAGCGTGCTGCCGAGGAAGAGTACGTGTTCGTGGGAAGCATGGTGGACCCTCGGTGCTGCTGAAGACGGCGCGCGTGCAGGAGGAGATCGTGGAGGAGGACGTGGATATGGCGGGGCCGGCGGCGGTGGTGGACGCGGAGAAGGATGATGATATGATGGATGACGACGAAGGTGCGTGGTCTACGATCTTGCTCTGGTGCGGCCGTTGCTCATTTCGGACGGAAGATCTGTATGGCCCATCGGAAACCAAGGATAATACCAACGGGGCTGGGGCCACGAATGGTGTCGTAGACTCTGTCCGAACTCGGACTGTCGTACACCTGTCGCTTTGCGACGCAATCCCTGGGCATGGTTCCATCAACGATATGGCGTTCGGGTACGCTCGTAATGGGGTGCGTCTGCTTCTCCTACGGGTATACGCGCGCATACTGATGCGGAATGTGAACCTCCAGGATCGCAGAGTTCCCGAACTCATCGCCGCTACTGGTTCGGGGCAACTTGGTGGCTTCCACCTCTTCCAAGTGAGCAGGCAACCAAGCTCGTTTCAGAAGACTCTGACAGCATTTGACAGAGAGACCTGCCTACACGCGCAAAGCGCAAGGTCCACCCGGTTGGAGGAGGGCGCGGGATATGGTCTATGGCTATCCGTCGCCCCTCCGCCTCAGTCAACGCAGACAACGACACCATCATCATCAGCACGGACGCCAACCCCTCACCGGGAGTCTCCCGCATCGTCATCCGCAATCCCTCCGCGCAGTCCGACATGAACATCAAGCACCGACTCCCCGGCCTGACCCTGGGGCGGCACCCTTCTTCCAGGGGACGGCCATCGTCCACGTCATGTGGGTGTCGGCGAACCAGATCCGCGTCCTCGAGTCCGACGGCACGGAACGACAGATGATAAAAGACGCGGACGGGAATGTGCCGCGGCCGCGGGTGCGGTCGTGCAGCATTTCCGACCCCTTCATCCTCATCCTCCGCGAAGACGACACGATCGGACTGTTCATCGGCGAGCCCGAGCGAGGCAAGATCAGGCGGAAGGATATGTCACCGATGGGAGACAAGGCGAGTCGCTGATGCAATACACAGCTGGACTCACTTTACTAAGAGGTATATCGCAGACATCTCGCTATCTTACCGGGTTCTTCTACACCGATACTAGTGGGGTGTTCCAGTCATTCGCGAACTCGAACGTCCCAGGGGAGGCACCGACGTCGACATTGCAGAGTGCGATGAGTGCAGGCACGAGGACACAGTGGCTGGTGCTGGTCAGGCCGCAAGGTGTAGTTGAGGTAGGCGGGGCGACGGGTCGGCAGCAAACTCTCCCCATTGACAAAGCGTTGCAGGTCTGGACACTGCCGAAACTCACTTTGGCCTTCTCTACAACCCTCCTGGCCACCCTGGACCCCGTCTTGACCGACACGTACGATCCGCCCGCGCCCTCGCTTCCGCAGGACCCACCTCGCAAGGCCCAGGAGCTTGACATTGACCAGATGGTCATCGCCCCTCTCGGAGAGTCGCAGCCTCGGCCACATCTGATCGTCAGTGAAATGAGCCGCTGCGCTTCGAAGTGCTGACAATGATCCTCTCCCATAGGTGCTGCTGCGCTCTGGGCAGCTGGCGATCTACGAGGCCGTGGCCGCGGCGCCCCCCACAGACCCTCTGCCCTCGACGCGATCCTCGACGCTCCTCGTGAGGTTCGTGAAGATCGCTTCGCGCGCGTTCGACATCCAGCACCCGGAGGAGGAACAGAAGTCTGTGCTCGCCGAACAGAAGCGCATCTCGCGCCTCCTCCTTCCCTTCGTGACGACGCCCTCGCCAGGGCGGACGTTCTCGGGCGTGTTCTTCACGGGGGACCGCCCGTGCTGGATCACCAGCACGGACAAAGGCGGTGTGCGCGTCTTCGCGTCCGGCCACAACGTCGTGCACGCGTTCACGACGTGCTCGCTGTGGGAGTCCAAGAACGACTTTTTGCTCTACTCAGAAGAGGTCAGTCACGCGCACGTCGACACGTTCCTTCTGTGCTGCGGGGGCCTGCGAAGGGCCTGGATCGCTGACTGGACGATGCACAGGGCCCCAGCCTGGTCGAGTGGATGCCGGACGTGCAGCTGGACGCCCATTTGCCCGCGCGCTCCGTCCCGCGTGCGCGGCCATACTCGAACGTCGTGTTCGACGCCTCCACGCAGCTCGTCGTCGCGGCGTCGAGCTTCATGAACCGCTTCGCGTCATATGACGAGGACGGAAACGTCGTCTGGCAGCCGGACAGTGAGCGCAACATCTGCACGCTACCGCCCCCCTCCTGCTGACCCTCGCTGCAGGCGCCAACATCTCTTATCCGTACTGCGAGACATCGACGCTCGAGCTCATATCGCCAGATGGATGGCTGACGATGGACGGGTGCGTCGCATGACCGTCTGCCGAAGCGGGCCACCTCGCACGGGCGGGGGATGCTGTGCTAACGAGCGGTTTAGGTACGAGTTTGCCGCGAACGAATTCGTGAGCTGCGTGGTGTCCTTGCCGTTGGAGACGATGAGCACAGAGTCCGGCATGAAGGACTTCATCGCGGTGGGCACCACCATCAACCGCGGAGAAGACCTCGCCGTCAAGGGCGCGGTGAGCATTTTCACCCTCGGATAGGAAGAACGTTGACTCACTGGGCGGTGCTTCTATTCCACCTCCTCTATGACGTCCTCGGCGGGAACGGTGACGCAGGTGTACATCTTCGAGATCGTGGACGTTGTTCCAGATACGAGCACAAAGATGGCCCGGTGGTGGCGTTTGAAGCTGCTCTGCCGAGACGACGCTAAAGGGCCCGTCACGTGTCTATGCGGAATGAACGGCTACCTCGTCTCTTCCATGGGGCAGAAGGTGCGTGTTTGCGCACGTTTTGGCTTGATGGCACAGCCCCACCCGGCGGCACACTCTAACCTCCCTTCATAACTCTTCGCAACCCAGATCTACGTGCGCGCATTCGACCTGGACGAGCGGCTCGTCGGCGTGGCCTTCCTGGACGTTGGGGTCTACGTCACGTCCCTGCGGGCGGTCAAGAACCTGCTCGTTATCGGCGACGCGGTGAAGAGCGTGTGGTTCGTCGCGTTCCAGGTCCGTCCCTGCTGCTTTCTGCGCACCTCGCTTCGCTCCGGCCCTTTACCCCTCCCCCGCGCCACCACGCCCTAGTATCCTGTCCCGTGACGGGCCTGGCACTGACACCGTGCTCGCTTGGCTGTGCAGGAGGACCCGTACAAGCTCGTGATCCTCGGCAAGGACCCCCAGCGCGGGTGCGTCGCTCGGGCGGACCCATTCTTTGCCGACGGGCATATGTCTATCGTGACCTGTGACGAGGAAGGCATCGTCAGGATTTACGCGTACGACCCTCGCGGTACGGCCCCCGTTCCCCGCCGCTGCTGCAGCCCGAAACTCATATCCTGCTTTATTCGTATTGGCATCGTGGCGTTTATCGTGACGCGTGGCATGGAATGGCGGTCGGCCCGACAGACCCCGAGTCGAAGAGCGGCCAGCACCTTCTGCGACGGACCGAGTTCCACGGACAGACGGAGTACCGGAGCTCGCTGCTCATCGCGCGGCGAGGCAAAGCCAACGACGGCGAGCTGCCGCAAGCCCGGCTCGTGTGCGGTGCGTCTTCCGGTTCCTTATTTTCGTCCCCCGCCCCGTTCCGCTGTCGCTGGCCGTGCGCGGAACCGGATCTCTTCCGCCGGCTGCTGTACGATACACGGTCGGACGCGCGGGGGCCGGGCACCCTAGAACGCACGAACGTGAACGCTGACGCTGCGGCCCTTTCCGGCTCGTCCCGGGACCGCAGGCGCGGCGGACGGCACGCTCTCGACGCTCACGCCCGTCGACGAGGGCGCGTTCAAGCGGCTGCACCTCCTCCAGGGCCAGCTCGTCCGCACCGTGCAGCACGTCGCGGCGCTGAACCCGCGGGCCTTCCGGTGCGTCTCTTCCTCCTCCCTTGATCAATCACCATCACTGTCACTATCACTATCACCCTGCTCCCCCCACGGCCGACGCTGACCCGTGACTGTGATTGTGCACACGCAGGATGGTGCGGAACGAACACGTCTCGCGGCCGCTCGCGCGCGGCATTCTCGACGGGAACCTGCTCGCCACGTTCGCGGAGCTGCCGATCGCGCGGCAGGACGAGGTGACACGCCAGATCGGGACCGACCGTGCGACGGTCCTCAAGGACTGGGTCGCGCTCGCCGGCGCGTGGTGAGGCCCGAGACGACGACGCAAAAACGGACGGAGAGGACAGAGGACGGAGAAGAAGGGAAAATGGGCGGACGCGTAGGGGAGAGTGACAGGAAGAAGGGGGACGGAATGACGAGGTGTGAGGGGTGCGTGCCCCGCTCGTTTGCACCCACCCGGCCGTGTTTGTTGTGCGCTGTGTGCGCCCGCAGGGTTATCACCATATCGTCTGCGCCGTATCTGCACGGCTCCGCCCGAGTCCGAACCGACGCCGAAGCGGCAGCCGATGCCAGTGAGTACGTAGCCCGTGTTCCGGCGGGGGCGCCCACGCTAGAACCCCAGGCTACCCCGGCTGCAGCCAGCTCCCTCGCGAGCCGGGGACGGTGCGGGAGGGAGTGGGGAGGCCCGGCTGCCAACGCCTCGGGGGCGTGCCGCTGCGCGCCAAGGGGATCCGGATGCGCGCGGGTTCGCGAACGCGAAGGCAGAGTCCGAGGGTCGTGGGGGGCGCGTGCCTACTCGACGGCCGTGCCCTCGCTCCCGGGTCAGCGACGACCGAGGCAGTCGGTTGTGGACGCTGATCCAGGTCCCAGCGTGCCCGTTACCTCCGGCCAGAGGAACAGAATCCAAGGAAGCGGTGTGGGGTGAGGGCGGCCAGCGATCTGCCTCTCCCCGTTGAGTCGTTCGATCGGCACGATCGAGTGGGGGCGCGTTTCGAGTAAGTACGTAGACTTGACCCGACTTCGGCCTCCATAGCTTGTTGGCCGCCTTCCTCCGGGGCGCTCGCAATCGCACATCACTCTGTAGGGGAAGCAGCTTCGCCGCGTGGCGCCCCACTTTCCTGAAGAGCCTGACGCGCGGGCGTATGTCGGGCGATGACATAAGTGCAACTGGTGGCAACCACTGGGGGGCTTCATGAGTGCGCACGGGGCGTGAGGTATGAACGCGATCGGGGGAGAAGGCGGGGTCGATGGCGCGCAATGGTCGTCAGTAGGCCCCAGGTGCGCACGCTCTCCGCGGACGCGGTCACGCCCGCACGCGATCTGCCCGGGGGAGGCGTGCCATGAGGCGCGGCCGCGTGTGCGCGCGGACGGCTGGGATGCGTGCGGGCGTGGATCGTCCTGCCTGGCGAGAGCCGTGTGCGCATCTCCGCTCGTATGAACCGCACGGACTGTGCGTCGCGTTTCGGCCGGGGGGGTGTGGGCTATAAGACGCAGGGCCGCGGGCCGCCTGCGCTCCTGACCTCTCCGCCCCCTCCTCGATTGTCGGGGCAGCTCGCAGCCCGTTGGCTAAAACGCTAAGCGCGCCCGTCCCCGACTCCGACCCGCCGTCCTGCTTTCTTTCGCTCCGCGTCCTTCGAGCCCGTCTCCGTCTCTTTCGCACCCGCACGCGCCGCTTGCCCTCTCCCGCTCGTTTTCTTTCTTTCGCGACCGTGGCGGACCCCCTCGCGCGCCCCTCGGCCTCCTTATGCTCTCCGCATTCGGCTTCGACACCTCCAAGAGCGCCGGCCGGACCGTGAACGCGATGTCCTCCTTCTCCGCCCCGGGCGCGGTCGCTGCAAGGGTAAGTCGCCCTCAACTCCAATACCGCCGGCCGAGCAAGTCGGGTGACAACCCTCCGCCCCCCGCGTTCCCCTTCTCCCTCGCCGCGCTCGCCTTCGCGCGCCCCGGCACCGCCCCACACCACCCGCACCACCTCCCGCAACGCGCGCACGAACGCCAACAGCATCAGCCGCCGCCGCCGCCGCAGACTTTCTTCACCGCAGCAAACAACAACACCACCGCATCGAACGCGCCCCCACCGCCTCCCGCGCGCGCCGCGACGTTTCCGCCCGCGACGCACGGCGGGGGAGGCTACCATTTGAAGAGCGCGCCTCAGCTCCCTCCCGCGCCCGCGACGAAGCCGGGGCCGTACCGGCAGCAGAGCTACCACACGCAGGGGTTCGAGGTGGAGCGCAAGCAGCCGCTGCAGCTGCAGATCGGCGCGCAGGCGTCGCAGGACCGGCGGCTCGCGCTCGTCGGCGCGGGGGCGGGGGCGGGGGCGGGGCAGAAGCAGGTGCAGTGGCTGGGCGCGGGGGCGGGGGCGGGATCGAAGGAGAAGGCGCGGGCGTACGGGATCTACCCCGGGCTGGAGAGCGACGTGTACATCTACCAACGCTCGATCTCCGCCGCGTCCGCGGACGACGAGGGCTTCTTCGCCGCCTCGCCCGTCGACGAGTCCTCAAGCGACGAGGAGGAGGCGGGCGGGCTCGACGTCGGGCCCCGGCGACGGGCTGATGGGCGCCGTGCGGACATTGTTGGGCCGGGCACGGCCACGTTCGCGTCCGTCGAGATTTCGTCCACCCGCGCGTCGTCGAGCACCGAGACGCTCGAGAGCACGCTCCCCGCCCGCGTCCGCAAAGACTCGTTCTCCCGCGCGTTCCCCTCCTCCTTCCCTCCCCCCTCCGCACACCTCCCCCGCCTCCTCCGCCCCGCCCCGCCCGCCCTCGCCCTCGCCCGGAGCACCTCCCGCGCCGCGTCCCACCCGCCCATCCCCATCTCCGTCGCCCCCGCCCCGCCCGCGATCCAGCTCGCGTCCGCCCCGGTCGAACACTCCCCCTCCTCCTCCGACGCCTCCGACTCCGAGACCGTCCCCGACGCCGCCCCCCGCCGCAGCACGAGCACGGACATGGTCGTCGACGTCCTCAGCGGCGCCCCGCCGCAGTGGGTCCCCCGCCTCCCCCCCTCGCTCGCCCGGAGCGCGACGCCGTTCCGCAGGGAGAGCGACAGCCGCGTGCAGCACTCGAGCGGCGCGACGGCCTACGGCGCGCACGCGCGCAGCACGAGCTCGGGCCAGGTGCACCCCCAAGCTGCTTCGTCTTCCTCCTCCAACGCGGCTCCCCCACTGCTGACCTCGTCGGGCTCGAGACGCGAACGCGAGCGCAGAGACTCCCGGACGCCCGCCCCGCCGCCCCCCTCCCTTTCCCTGTCCCAGCACCGCCCATCGGACCGAGATCGTGAACGGCCTTCCGACCGTGACCGCGACCGCGACCGCACGAGGGACAGGGAGCGCGACCGGGACGACAGCCCACGCCAAGTCGAGCCCCGCGCTCCCCCGGGGCTCGTCGCGACGGCGGCTGATGCGCCCCCGCCCACACCGACGGCGTCCCTCCCCCTCCCCGTCCGCCCGCCGTCCGCCGCCGCCGGGCCCAGGAACGCGCCGGGCCTCGGTGTGGGTGCGCTCGCCCGCGCGCCCTCGACGTCGCCCACCGGCCTCGGCCTCCTCCACACCGCGCCCCCCGCCGCGTCCGGATCCGGATCCGGGCTCTCGAGGCGGTCGAGCTCGCGCCGGTCGCCGCCTGTGGACGCGGGTTCGAGCGTGGCGCATGCCACCGCTGCGGGAGACGGCCAGGGTGGGGCAGCGGGGGCTGGAGCGGGCAGGTACGCGGATTCGGTCGCGTCTGCGCATCTGCCGCCGCCGCCGCCGTCGTCCTCCCCACCTGCGTCCTCGTCCGCCTCTTCTTCCTCCGCCCCACCGGCCTCTGGCCCGTCTTCCCGACGGGAGAGGGAGCGGGAGCGGGAACGCGACCGCGACCGCGAACAAAGGGCACCGTCTCCCCCGCACGCGGCTCCAGCTCCACCCACGGCTCACGCGCAAATCTTGCCGCCAGCGCTGTTCCCCCCTCCCCCCGCGGCTTCGGCGAACCCGCCCGCCCCCCCAAGCACCTCGGTCTCGAGCAGCAGCACGCTCCAAGGCACGCCGCCGCCGCCGGGCCCGTTGGCGGGCGGGCTGGTCGTCGCGACCGTCAACAAGCGGTCCGTGCGCTGGACGGAGGACCTCGTCTGCCCGTCCCCGATCCCGAGCGACCGGCGGCGGAAGGGGTGGTTCAACAAGCGCGGGGACCAGCTGTGGACGAACGACGGGCAGTACAAGGTCCCCGAGCCGGGGACGGAGTATCCGCTCGAGCTGGCGGTGAGTTTCCCTTCGCTCTCTTTCTCCCCGCCGCTCCATCCCTCCCCTCGCGCCATCGCTCTCGTATCGCACGACCCGATGCTCATCCGCCCTTCACCCCAGCACTACCCCGAGCCGCTCACGGGCTGGATGAACGAAGAGGGCGTGCGCATCGACATGCAGCACCGGCTCGTCCCCAAGCAGCCCCTCCGCCCCGCGCTCAAGCGGCCGCGCCAGATCACCCTCTGAGCTCGCCTCTGCAGCCCTCCTCCGCACGGACGCACGTCCCAAGATCACCGGTCGCGTCCCGTGCTCGCCCCCTTCATCTCGCACCCGCAGCCCGGCACGCCCCCGCCGCGCGCATCTCATGTCCCCCCGCGCGCGCGCACGGCCCGTCGCCATATCCGCGCCGCTCTCTCCCACCGCCCGACCGCTCGGCCGGGGGTCTCGACGCCAACCCTCCGCCCCGCCTGCGCCGTCCGAAGGACACTGGACGGCCGCCGCGGGGTGCGGATCGCCCCGCTCGAGCCGTCGCACCCACCCCACCCTCGCCTTCGCCTTCGCCTCCATTTCTGCTTCCAGTCCGCCGTCACCGTCACCCGCCTTATCCTATCTTTATTCGTCAGAGGTGCTTAATGCGCCTCAGGTCAGTCTGCACCCACGCACGCGCCCTGCTCCTCCCGCCTCTATCTCCTATCCCTATCCCTATCCGCATCGATGTCGCTCCCCTGCTATCGCTCGCACTACTACTTACCGGTTACCACCGCTACTACACTCCCCACTTCGCCTTCGCCTCTTCCACGCTTCCTTCACGTTCACGCTCTTACGCCCCTCCGTCACGAGTTGCTACGCTGTACTTCACGACCCACGGAAAAGCGCCCCCCTCCCTCCCTCCCTCCCTCGGCGGGGACGGGGGGCGCCGGAATGTATGTAAATTATGTGCGGTGTCCGTCGCTACACACGCTACTGCGACATTGACAGCGGACGGACGGCATCGTGGACGAGGAGATACTATCAGCACCCCTACACGTTGTGAACTTAATTAGAGCACCGCCGCCGTCCCCTACTCTCACGATGGATGCTATCAAAAGTTTTTTTCTTCGTCGCTCGGGTTGTGGTCGTGTGCGTGCCGTGTGGGTTGCCCGCCCGGATAGCAGGTCACAGTCCTGCTCCCAGGCGTCGTCGGCGACTTGCGTCTCAAGGAAATGCCGATGCGTTCGATGGAGCGGTCTATTCTACACATACAGGTGAAAAGTACACGTGGCAGATAGCGATACAGCGTACGACGGCGTAAGCAAGACCACCGTGTGCAGCAGCACGGCAGCAAGACAGTCCATATGTACAACTACAACTCGGACAGCCGGCCCCGACACCTTGCAACCACCCAAGCGGTCCTAGTCCGAGTCCGACGAGAGCTCGATCACGTCCTCGTCCAGCAGCGTCCGGCTCGACCTCGACCCGCTCGGCCCCGACGTCGACCGCCGCAGCCGCTTCGCCAGCGGCGGCGACGGCGACGGGCGCGCGACGGCCTTCCCCTTCGACGCGCGTGCGGCCCCGCGTCCCTTCGGCTGCCCGCGCAGGTTCGCCTCCCACCCGTCGCCCTCGTCGTCCGCCGTGCAGGACTCGATGTCCTCCCGCTCGGCCGTGAAGTCGTCGTCGTCGTCGTCGTCGTCGTCGTGGCCGTCGTCCATTCCGCCCCACGGGCCGTTGTCTCGGACGACGAAGCCGTCGAGGCTGTCGCCGTCGCCGCCCTCGTCCTCGTCGCGGCTGTCGCACTCGGCGCGCCCGAGGTCGTCGTACGTCCGCTCGTCCTCCGAGTCCCGCACGACGGACGGCGCGCGCTTGCGCTTACGCCCGGCCGAGCCTGAGCCTGCGCTCGGAGGGGTGTCGTTCGCCGCTGCCTTCGCCCTCGAGGCCTTCGCGGGCGTCTTCGGTGCCGTCTGCCCCGGGCCCTTCTTCGCCGCCTCCTTCGCCGCCCCGCCGCCGCTCTTCCTGCGGGACGCCGCCACCTTGCGCGGGAGGACGAGGTCGAAGTCGGGCCCGCGGCCCGCCTCGATCTCCGCCTGCGCCCAGCGCGTGAACTGGCCGGCGAGCGCGCCCGGACGGAGGTACGTGTTGATCGTGTACGCCGTCGGGCGGTAGGCGAACTCGAGGAAGCCGCCGGCGAGGAGGCGCATGACGAGCGTCTCGGTGTGCTCGCGCGTCAGCTCGTTCTTCCCGCCCGCGACGGCGTCGACGTCGACGTGCGCCTTGCCCTTGCCGCTGCCCTTGCCCTTGCCCCCGCGCCCGCTGCCGCCACCACCGCCGCCGGAAACGGGCGTCTCCTTGCCGCGCGCGAGGTCGTACAGCTGCGCCATCGTGAGGTCGCGTCCGGCGGCCTGCGCGACGCGGAGGAGACGCCAGGCGGCGAGGCGGGCGGCGGCGCCGAGACGATCGAGCAGCTCTGAAGGGCGCTGGCAGTTGTCGCAGTGGCCGCAGCGGGCGCGCGCGTCTTCGTCCTCGGTCGTCCAGCAGTCGTAGGAGAGCTTCGAGGATTTGTTGAAGTAGCTGCGGGCGCGCGCGGACGTCAGCCCCTTGTGCGGAAGGAACGTGAGGGGAAGGAGGGGCGAACGTACTTCGCGAACTGGATCTTGCGGCACTCCTCGAAGTCACTTGCGAAGTCGATGATGGACAGCACTGCGCAGTGCGGGTGGGCGTGAGCGGCAGTGCGAGGTGGGACAGGAGCGGCGGTGCTCACCGGATCCACCGCCGTGTGATTCCGCGGTCAGTCCTGCGATGCGGAAGGCGTCCTGAGGGCGGAAGTACAGGATGCAGTCGGCGTCTTTGCCGTCACGGCCCGCACGGCCAGACTCTTGGTAGAACCCATCGAGCGATTTCTATTGATTCAGGTCAATGTACGAGCCACGTCAAATGCACGGCGAAGACATACTGAAACCTGCGCATATATCGGAGTCAGCCACTTGAAATGCTTCCATGAAGGCGACACCACGCACCGTATGGTGTATAACGAAGCGTACATCTCCCTTATCGATCCCCAACCCGAAAGCTGCGGAGCGTCAGCGGACTGCGTATGGCTTGCATCGTTCCAATGTGTACCTATGGTCGCACAGACAACCTTCACTTTCCCATCCCGCCACCTGTTGTGCAGGGCCTCCTTCTCAGTGTCTTTGACATCCGCATGGTATACGCCTGTCTTGATCTTCCCTTCGCTGAGTTCCATCAGGGACTTCGCGACCTCTTCCGCGTCCTGTGCGGATCATGAGCCGATGCATTGAACATTGATGCAGTAGATGAGCAATGATCGACGTACGCTCTTCGACAGACAGTAAACAATGCCTGTGTGGTGAGGATGGTTTTCCAATATATAATCCCGCATGACAAGAATACTCTTCTTGGACTCCGATGGCTTGGTCAACACAGTGTAATGCAAATTCTTCCTATACAATGAAGCAGAGAATAGGACTGTGCCGTCGCGGTTCGCAGCTACGTGCACGCCCAGTTATTAGTTGGTTGTAATGGTTATTGCGTCAGACTTACCCGTGCCTAAAGTCAACTGTTGGGGCAGACGGAGAATGTGCAAAAGATCTCGAAGGACAGGAGCGGGACAAGTTGCCGAGAGAGCCGTGATAGGTACTTTCTTATACATTTCTCGAAGAACACCTAATTTGCCATAATCCGTCCTGACAATGAATCAATGAATGAGAACTGTGAGGGATTTGATTTGAAAAGACGTACCGGAAGTCGTGGCCTAATTGGGACACGCAGTGAGCTTCGTCGATGACGAAACGGGCTGAGGATAAGTACGTAAGTAGAGCACAATACATGAAGACTGTCACAGTACACACCGAGCCTGTTCGTGTCGGCAAGCTTTTGAAAAACAGACTTCAGGAGATTGCTCTTGGCGATTTTCTCCGGCTTTGCAAGACATGGATCAGATTAGTATATGATGCAACAAGAGCACACTCACAGTGACATATAACAGCTTGATATCAGAGGGGTCTGAACGGCGTTCACTCATCTCCTCCAGCTTACGAAAGGTCAGCGTCTGCTCGGGTTTCGGCGTAGTGCTGGTGAGCATAACAGCATTCACTGGGACTCGTTTCATGAGATCAAACGCAGAATGAGGACAAGGCACAGTTACCTCCTGCTTCCCGCAAATGGAGAATTTGGTCGTGAATGAGGGAAAGCAGTGGGGATATGACGACGGTACACCCAGCGACCATGAGAGCTGGGAGTTGGTATCCCAGCGACTTCCCACCGCCTAATTTACATCTCAAAGAGCATCGAGAAGTGAGCAGCAAATGTGCTCACCTGTCGGCATAATAACCACGATGTTCCTCTTGTCCATGCATGCATTGCATATACTGAGGTATGGCTGGTGTTCGTACCACGTATGCGCTACATATAAAAAACGCTCACCCTGCTTGACAGGACCTAAACTCCTGAAATCCAAACACCGAGCGCAGTCTCTCACGTAACGCAGGGCTCCACTCAAACTCTGTCCTGTAATCGATGTCGGCGATCGCTTTGTTCTTGCCTTTGTTCGAACTGAGGTACATGTCGGCCGTCTTGATCTGCTCCATTACGACTTTCTTCCTCTCGCGCAGTGTATCAAGCAACATCTCAAGGGACTCCATTTGCGCCTCGACGTCCACAATCTCCTTGTCTAGCTCTTGCAGCATCTTATGGTTCGAGAGGCGTCCATTCGGCACGCTACAACTAGAGCTAGGACGATGTATGCGAGAGTCCTGCAGCGACTGTTTCATCGCAGTCTGTATCTCGGCTTCCCATTTCTGCACACACGGTATCAGCATACCATATACGAGCTCGAAGGTTTGGAAACTGGAGAACTAACCTGTTTGAGCTTCTCATTCTCGTCGAGATCATGGATGATATGACTCATGGTGGGTCGTCCCGACGTCTGAGGACGGACTGAGGCAATGGAGGACGACGGGGAGCTGTCACAAGTACACCGTTGGGAAGAGCTAAGGCTAGGGACGCGAGACACGACAAGTTGCGACACGGCGAAGGACTAGACATCACGTGCTGGCGGTGCTCAGTGCCACTGACGCGTTTGCATTCAATTTCAACTTCTTCACCCACAACCACGAAGACTCGCCCCTGCGATCTGGCTTGACGCACGCACACTCACAATGGCTTTTGGGGAGGTCGTATGCGGCTCTCCGGGGAGCGGGAAATCAACATATTGTTACGGCAAGCACCAGCTCTTCACCGCTCTCAACAGACCCATCGCAATCGTGAACCTCGATCCTGCGAACGAGAATGTGATATATCCATGTGCAGTAGACATATCCTCGCTCATAAAGCTTGAGGAAGTCATGCAAGAGTACGGACTCGGTCCAAACGGCGGCATGCTCTACTGCATGGAATACCTCGAGACCAACTACGATTGGCTGGAAGACCGCCTCAAGGAGCTGGACAAGGACGACTACGTGCTCTTCGATCTTCCGGGTCAAGTAGAGCTCAGCACGAACCATCCGAGTGTCAAGAACATTATTCGCCGGCTGACCAAGAGCGGCTTCCGGGTATGCTTTCTTGCTCCTCTCCTCTCCTTCGCTGACGCGACCCGCCAGACCAGCTAGCTGCCGTACATCTCTGCGATGCCCACTATGTCACCGACGCCGCCAAGTACATATCTGTTCTCATGCTCTCCCTGCGCGCCATGCTGCACCTCGAGCTCCCCCACGTCAACGTCCTGTCCAAGATCGACCTCATTCGGCAGTATGGCGATCTTGGTGAGCGCATGCCACCCATGTCCCCAGGCTTCTGTATCTAACATCCGCGCTTCCTTGGAATCGTGTCCTGTGTCGTCTCGTCAGACTTCAATCTTGACTACTACACGGAGGTGCAAGATCTTTCTCATTTGGAAAATCTGCTTTCGCAACAGACTCCGCGCTATGCTGCGCTCAACATGGCGATATGTTCGCTCATCGAAGACTTTTCCCTCGTGGGGTTCGAGACCCTCGCGGTTGAGGTAGGTTCTCTTCCACATTACTAAGGCCCTGTTCACTTCTCCGTTCGAGTCTGAGTTTGGTCTGCCAATTAAGGGAGCGCCGGAGAAGCCTCTCCCTCGGAGTTTACTTTTTTTGGCAGACCAAGCTGGACCTCGATCGAAAACCAGGTAGTTTTTGTTACGCGAACTTGTACGGCTGCGTTCGTACATCTTTTCCAGTAACGATGGCCTCGTTCTGCGGGCGAGCAGTGTATGGAGTTCCGCGCACATACGAAGCGAGACAAATGGATGAGTCAGCGCGCTGTGCCGCGACGCATCAGACGGACTTACATGCGCTCGCAGGGGTGCGCGACGACTCCATACTCTGATTCAGCTGTTTTTCCCGCTCCGAGCCAAACCGAATACCGCTGTCTATTCGGCTTCAGGCGGAACTCGTAGTCGCTACTGCACGAGATCTCAAAAGCACGCCTATCGATCTGGCCGTAGTGTTATCACTTTGCGCGGGGCTTAAAGTGGTATTTCGAACATACCTGTCTTTCCGACTGTAGCCTTAAGGATAGGCGTGTTTTCGAAATGTTACCAGTGGTGAGTCGGAGTCGGCCGCTCCGCAGAAAACGGAATACGCGGGGACGTTCAGTGGCGGTCAGAGGCCGTAGGGCAAGGGAGCAAGGGACTCGGTCTTCGTGGATACCTGCTTCTTGAACCGACCGCTGCGTCATTACTCGAACACAGGCTCATCAGTACTGGAACGGGGACTGAGCTATGATTTCTGTTCTGGCATGCTGACGTATCCTCTTGCCCGACAGGACAAGGAATCTATGCTGCACCTCACCCGAGTCATCGACAAAGCCACCGGCTGCGTCTTCGTGCCTCCGGCCGCAGCAAGCCAACCCGCGGACACCATCGACACCTCCTCCCTGCCTGCGTCGCAGCGCCCCAACACTTACTCGCTCATGACGTCCGCGGCGGGTCCGATCCGCGGCCCGCGCTCGGACGCACGGGACGTGCAGGAACGTTGGGTCGACGCGCGCGATGAGTGGGATGCGTGGGAGCGCGCGCAGTGGCGGCGGGAGGGCGAGCAGGTGCAGGAGGAGGCTGCGCGTGCGCAGAAGCAGGGAAAGATCAGGGAGAGGACCGCGCCCGGCGGGGAGAAGTCGCAGTGAGTGTACGCGAGGTCCCATTTGTAATTCTAACCCGCCGTTGGAAGCGGACATGCTAGTGCTCCCGTAAGCTGACTGAGCAACTGGTGAACCGACCGGTGGGTAGTGGTTAAGGATCAGAGGCTTGTATGCGGCGCACCGCCCATCTGCGGATTCTCGACAGCGCCGACTGCGGGGCGCCGTCCTCATGCACATGGTTAAGCAACCGAGCAGGGAGCCTCTATGACCCGGTCACAGCGGCATTGACCGAAGTCGTCGGTGATAGGCGTTGCTGCGTTAGTGCTGCGTTAGGGTCAGAGATGGACCGAGGAGTCCGACGGTAAGGTGTCTGGTAATTCGGCTGACGGTTGTGCCGAGCGACTCCTGGTTGGGTGGACACTGTGGTATAAAGGTTAGGTCCAAGTTCGAATGACTGCATCCTATTATTCCTTCTTCTCAACTCAAAGTCTCTCGGCTAGAACACGTACCATGCCCCAGCAAAGCCAGATCGTGTTGTACACTCGCGAGGTCAGCACTATTATCACTACGTATCCTTGGCCAACCAGACTGAATCTCGTACTCTAGCAATCGCCTTTCTGCCACCGGGTGCACATGGCCCTCGAGGAGGCCCAAGCCGAGTTCTCTTCGGTCTTCATCGACTTGGCCAACAAGCCCGCCTGGTTCCTCGAGAAGGTCAACCCAATCGGAAAGGTCTGTAGCGCATCGATTGCTACACCCTCCCGACTCACCACCAACTCTGCACAGATCCCAGCCATGGCCTACGGCCACTCCATCGGAAGCCCAGAGGACCCGTCCCCGGACAGCACCAAGCTCGCCGAGTCCCTCGTCCTCGTCCTCTTCGTCGGCGACCTCTTCCCCTACAGCGGCCTCGTGCCCGCCGACCCCGCGCTCCGCGCCCGGGCGCTGCTCTTCGCGGTCGACTTCGAGGCCCGCGTCCTCGACGCCTACAAGGGCTTCTTCTTCGGCGGCGCGCCCCCGCGCACGCTCCTCGACGCCTTCGCCGCCGTCCAGGCGCGCCTGCCCCCCGCCGGGTTCGCGGTCGGGACGTGGTCGTTCGCGGACGTCATGGCCGCGCCGCTCCTCGTGCGCATGGTGCTCCTGCTCGAGCACGAGATGGGCACGTTCGCGGCGGGCGAGGGCAAGAAGACGCTCGCGGCGCTCAAGGAGCCGGGGTTCGCCCGCCTGATGGAGTACATCGAGGACCTGAAGGCGAGGCCAAGCTTCAAGGCCACCTACGACGAGGTACGTCGTGCGCGCGCGCGCTGGATGCAGCCTGCGCACAGTGGGATCATAGAACGTGTTTTTCTTTTGCAGGGGGCGAATCTCGCTGGGTGGAAGAAGAATCCCGCTGCTCTCCGTGACTGATGTGCCGAAGGAACTCGTTCGGAGTTGTAGTTTCTGTGGGAGCGTATGTAGTACGTAGAATGTAGTGGGGGCGTATAGCATCGATTGTTGGCGAAGTCTGCCTTATGTAATTATAACCTCCACCGGTGGTCGCCCTCCCCATCGGACCCAACAGTGCACACCAGGCGTATGCGGCCTTGAGTGAGACTTTCTCCGCGTCGACGGCGGTGGCGACCCCCGGAGCTCGCGCGTCACGAGCAGGAGAGGCAATCTTAATGCGTCATCACAAGGACTGTCGAAAACGGCTTAATCGCGTACGTCAAAGAAACCTAAATTTGATTTGTTTCCAGAGAGCAAGTATGAATACATTCCGTGGATTGATGCTAGATACTTCCAACCCCACCTTATACTCTATCCAGTCCGTTCAAGACGCCCACTACGTGATGACGGTCGGCTTCTCGCGTTCCAGGAACTCGGGGAGCTTGCTAATCTCGAGTGCGACCTCGATGAGGCCCTTGAGACCCTCCTGGGTGTCTTTCGCGAGCTCCTCCGCACCCGCGTCTGCAGGGACATAGCGCTCGACATACATGCGCACCGTCGCGCCCTGGGAGCCAGTGCCTGAGAGACGGAAGACGACGCGGGACCCATCCGCGAAGGAGACGATCTGGCCCTGATTCATAGACACTGAGCCGTCGATGGGGTCCGTGTAGTCGAAGTTGGTCACACGCGAAACCGAGAACTCCTGGCCGGTGCTCTTGGACTTGTGCGACGTGCTGGCGAGCGAGCCGGCGGAGATGTGCGCATTGAGCGCGTCGACAAGCTTCTTCGCGCCCTCGGACGAGACCTCCTCGTAGTCGTACCGCGAGAAGAAGGAGCGGCCGTAGACGGCATAGTGCTTCTGCAGGAGCTCCTTGATGCCGACGAGCTCATTGGGCGTCTGTTGGTTGGCGTACGCGATGATGTTTAACCAAGCTGCAGGAGTGTGAGCAGACCGCCATATGAGTCTCGAGTGGTCCACTCACCAACGACGGCCCAAACACCATCCTTCTCCCGGATATGATCCGAGCCAGTACCGAAGGACTCCTCACCACAAATGGAGAGGCGGCCAGCGTCCATGAGATTACCAAAGAACTTCCAGCCTGAAGAAGCATTGAGAACCACACGCTCAGGGCGGAAGGGGAGATCATCGCACGTACCAGTCGGGACACAGAAGTACTCGAGGCCCTTCTTCTTCGCGACATACTCGATCTGCGCAGACGTGGGCATACTGCGCGCGAGACCTTTGATACCGCCCTTCTTGAAGTAGGGGATCGCCTCTGCCCAGTCGGCGATGATTGCGACAGAGTCCGACGGTGTCACGAACGCGCCCTTGCCGTAGATCATGTTCCGGTCACCGTCACCGTCGCTGGCCGCGCCGAACTGGATGCCCTCCTTCTCGACGCGCTCGACGAGCTCGTGCGCGTACGTCAGGTTCGGGTCGGGGTGGCCGCCGCCGAAGTCGGGGAGCGGGGTTGCGTTCATCACGGACGAGGCAGGAAGACCGAGCGCTTCGACGAGGATGGCACGGCCGTACGGGCCGGTGACTCCGTGCATGCCGTCAAAGAGAACCTTGAAGTCATTGGAGTGGGATTGGAGGAAGTTCTGGATAAGGGGGAAGTCGAAGATGGACTGGAGGAGCTCGACGTAGTCCGCGACGGAATCGATGATCTCCACGTTCGTGGGCCCGTAGGTGAAGAAGCCCTTCTTGGAGAGGTCGATGGGGTCAAGCTCGATGACCTTGTAGGTGGAGATGGTCTTGGTCTTTGCGAAGATCAAATCCGTGACGCCCTCGGGAGCGGGGCCGCCGTTTGAGACGTTGTATTTGATACCGAAATCGGCGTTGGGGCCACCAGGGTTGTGGGACGCGGTGAGGAGGATACCGCCGTAGGCCTTGTACTTGCGGATGACGTTGGACGCGGCGGGGGTGGAGAGGATCGAGTTCTGACCGATGATGAACTTGGACACACCGTTGGCGGAACCAATCTTGAGGATAGTCTGGACGGTCTCGGGGGAGAAGTAACGACCATCGCCTCCGATGACGAGGGTCTTTCCCTTGCAATCGACGGCGTCGAAGATGGCCTGAATGAAGTTCTCGGTGTAGTGCTGCGATCGCGGGGACGCTTGAGCTAGTGCCGTAATGAGAGAGGATCATGGACGCACCTCCTGCTGGAAGACCTTGACCCTGAACGTCCATCAGCATCTACTCCCGCAGCCTCCCCGCGACGCATCGAAGCCCACGACGCGTGTCCGGATGCGCCTCCGTGAGGGCGATGGAGCAGGACTGATCGTGGTCGATACGCATCAAGGCGGGCGCTCACCTCTTGCGGAGACCAGACGTGCCGGGCTTTTGGCCCTCGAAGGGCTTAGTGGAGATCTCCTTGACCTGGTAGGACATGGCGGCGGGAGAGAGAGAAGGAGAGAGAGGTTGGGGAGCAGAACGGCGCGCTGGCCTTCTATATAGCCAATCGCGGGGGACGGCCCAATCGACGGCTATGACGCACGTTGCGCGTCTGCATTTGGTGTCCCCCGTCACACTCGCGTCCTGTCACACTCTTCCGGGATTGTGACAAATGTGACCCGACGCGGCCAGATCCTACGACCTCGCGCTCGTACGTACACCCACAGACGATCACTCGCGCCAGTTCCTCTCCGTGCGGTCGCTCCTCGGAGTACCCTCGTGCGATCCCCGCCCCCATCCCCGTCCTCCTGGGCCCCCCTGCCACTGTGATCCTCGTGAGGGCGGCCCGCCGCGCGATGGGGGCTGGTTCCAGGGCGACGTCGGTTGGTATGCTCCTCTGCCGCGTTGCGCATCGCCACCGCCCCGCGTCCGGTTATGTGGCGCGCCAGGATACGCGTACCCCCCGCGAGGAGCTGGCCCCCGCTGGTGAAAGTCGCGGCCGTTGTACCCTCCGCGCCCGCCACGGAAGCCACTCCAAGGAGCGGGGCGTTCGGTCCGCACGACTTCTGGTGCGTCTTGGACACGTCTGATGACCTCGCGAACCTCCTGCTCCGTAGGCTCAACGTTCGGGAGGTCTTCTGGTCTCAGGTGAAGGATGCGCGTGTATCCCTCGTGGGCGAGGGGTGGGCGGTACTGTGATTGGAATCGTCGGAGCACTTGCAGCCCGAGCTCCGAGTTCGTGATTGTGGGGTGTCCTGTTCCTGTTCACAGCTAGTATGAACGTGCGCTGAAGCTTCGTAGATAACGCAACTCACTACTACAAAGTCTCGCGGCGCAGACCTGTAAACAAGGCGGTCGGTGAGTTCAAATCCAATTGAGCGGAGGCGTATTCGAGGTACGCGCGCCACACATACCTCATACGGTGTGTCGAACACGATCACCCACACGTCCGTTTCCGGTACCTCTCTCGCAATGTTCACCCAATGTGCTCGTTGGCTGTGATACACCGACGCGGTGACGTTCTGTGAGCTGCGTGACCCGCCGTCAATTAACCGAGGCAAGCCTACCTCTCGTCAAAGTTCGTCCGATCGATGCAGACAGATAAGCCATCCCGTAACGTCCGCCTCGCGAGCGCCTCCACGCTTCGCCGATCACCGAGCTCGTCCTGGTTGCACCGGCGGAAACGGGGCAGGTGTCTCTCAAGAGCCCCGGCAAAGGTAGACTGCAGCATATATGCCTGTTAGTGAGGAAAGGTATAATGACGACAGATAACGAAACGACCTTTCCCGAGGCTGTAAGACCAACAAGGATCAAAACAACTTGCTTCTCCTGGTCCGCTCTGAAGGTCGAAATAGTGGATGTAGGTGTATGCGCGGATATCGAGATTGGAGTGTGCTTGTCCTCGGAGTCTCCTTGGACTCCACGATATTGCCCATCGAAGTCATTCTCCGGTTGCGATTCGCTGGGACGGCTTGTCATTATATTATGTGTAGCTCAAGTGCCAGCTACGCGTTCAAATTGGATGCGGTGGGCACACAGCGCGACGAAGAGGATGAGAAGATGGGGGTGTCGAGGTCCAGAATTGTGACGCGTCTGATCTCAGGATGCGCGCGTAACATCACACGGTCAGGTGATCATACAACCAAGATAAGAAGTTCTACTTATCCGGGATAACCTTGACTCTTCCCATCCCCTCACAGATCTTAGTTGGCCTTCAGGTCGGGCCCTGCAAAGCCGCCGCGCTATCTCGCGGGCTACGAGGGTGGTAAAAAGCACTTACTGGAGATATCAGGCGCGTCCACCTTGCCTTCTGCCATCATCATGACTCGAGTCCAGCTTGCTGTCTGGCTCATCGCTGTCGCTATCGGGTCCGCTTCGCCTCTCGAGCAGGTCGCGTTCGAAAGCGCGAGATGGAGACCGACACCGCTGCCCGTGGCCAATTCGACAAAGTCGTTCTGGATTGACAGCCCAGGCGCAAACCCTCTTGCGAAGGTGGGCAGCACCGGCCCGCTCACGCATTCGGCCGATGTATGCGTCATCGGCTCAGGCATCTCGGGCATGTCCGCGGCGTACAACTTGGCGAGCGAGCCCGGTCTGAATGTTGCCGTCTTTGAAGCACGCGATTTCTGTTAGCTCTCCCTTCGTTCACTTCCGAGCGAAACGCTGACACACACACAGGCTCTGGAGCCACAGGTCTGCCGACTGATGTCACTGCGCCTCCCTCGCGTTCAGACCTTCTGCAGGTCGCAACGGCGGTCATTTGACGCCTTATCTCTTCCAAGGCTTCGAGAAGATTGCGCTCGAGTATGGAGCAGAACAGGCCAAAGTCGGCTTCGAGCTCGAGCAGTACACTGCGCGTACGCTGGTCAAGCTCATCCAAGACGAAGGCATCGCGGACGCGGTCGACTTTATTCACGGCGGTCACACCTGCGTCCTGATGTCCGAGGTGGCCCTGAACCGTCGCAAGGGCGACTTCAAGGCGGCGGCAACGGCAGGCACGAACCTGAGCAGTGTAAAATGGCTCACCGAGGGAGAAATGCACGAGGTACGTCCCCTACCTCGGTTTGTGGGACATGCTTGAGCTAAAGGCAAACGGTTCGCAGAAATACGGAACGCCCCACCCGGGCTTCACCTTCGACGCGTACAACCTCTGGCCGCTCAAGCTCGTCACGCAGTTCTACCACATTGCCAAGCGCCATCTCGAAGCGTCCTCTGGTTCGCTCTCACTTCACACAAACACGCCCGTGGTCCAAGTCTTGCCTTCCGGAGACAAATGGGAGCTCGTCACCCCACGCGGATCGACGACGTGCAAATACGTGCTCCACGCAACGAACGCATACGCCGGGCACCTCCTGCGCTCTATGAGCGGCGAAGTGGGAATCGTGCCCACCCGAGGACAGGTCGTGGCGGTCCGCTCGCGCAACACGGGCATGAGCTCGTGGACGGACACCACCGGGGAGTACTGGTTCCCGCGCCCAGGCGGCGGCGAGACCCCGCTAATCATCCTCGGAGGCGGAGGCCACGTCTCTGGGGTGGTCGACGACTCGGTCGTCGAGCAGAACAAGCACGACTTCCTCGTTAAGTTCCTTCCTCGGGTATTCGACGCACCGGAGTACGAGCCCGAGATGGAATGGGTGCGTCGCTGAGTTGCTGAAGACTTGCAATGACGATGTTGACAGCGGCATTGTCAGACGGGATTATGGGATACACAAGCGTTGGTGATCCTTTCGTAAGTCTCGATGGAGATCTTCGCGCATCGGATGCTGATTACGTGCAGGTCGGCCCTCTCGAGCCGCTCGAAGGCAGTAGCTTCAAAGGGCAATACATCTCTGCGGGTTTCTCCGGACACGGTATGCCTAGGACGTTCGCTAGGTGGCTATTGTTATCCCGAGCGTAATTAAGCGCATGACACTGACAACTATCGTCAGCGTGCAAGCAGCAGTGGAGATGATCTTGGCCGATCTTCACGAAGAAGAGTGGAAGCAGCCCGAGTGGCTTCCTGACAGGTTTCTCACACGGAACAGGATGTAACTCTAGTATGGCTCGTATTCCAAGTTACCAAACCACCTTCGGCGCATTGGATTCGCCATCGCGGTCCACCTAGTACACTCAGAAGTAGTAGGATAACCATGGCATGCGCTCAAGAGTAGCTTATACAGTTCGATTGCTTTAGTTTACAGGTCGCACAAAACTTTGATGTATCTTCTCCACATGCTGTGCATCAGTGTGCACGTCTCCTCCCGTCGCCTATATCTTCCTAAGGTCTCATTCATCGTGTGGTGGCATCTGACCGTGCACTAAAGCATCGTCAGCTCACAAGCTTAGCGTTCACTCGAACATCCACCCACCAGTCTCAGCCGCCTCGAACGCCGCGTCGACGCGCTCGCGCTCTACAATGCCCGCGTCGACCGCGGCGCCGAGCAGCGCGCGCACCCACTCCTGCCCGTCCCAGCGGCCGTCGGGGAGCATGACGGGCGTGTCCCACGCGAGCGCCTCGAGCGCGCGGCGCTGCCTGTGGGCGACGACGCCAAGCGCGAGCGGCCGCGCGCGCGGCGCGTGCGAGGACGAAAGGGTGCGCGGGCCCCAGAAGACGTACCGCGGCTGCGGCGATGGGTCCGTCTTGACGTTGTAGGTGTCGAGCTCGATGTGGCGCCACGGGCCGTCCGGCGACGCCTCGCTGAGGTCGCCGGCCGCGTCTGGATCTGGCTTGTCTTTTCGCGCTGGCCCGGGGCTCGAGGGATCGGGTGGGGAGGGCGCAGGGCGCCAGGAGAGCGACCAGTGCAGGTCGCGCCAGGTGGATGTTGGGTGAGAGGAGTCGTAAGGGGAGGAGGGTGGAGAAGAATTGGGGACGCAGAGGCGGAGGTGGAGAGAAGGGATGTGGGCGGATGGACGAGTAGGTAGAGCGTGCGCGGCGCATCGCGATCGGGGTGTTGCCAATCCATATTTATGGGAGAAGGGAGGGAGAGGCCTGCGCGGCCTTGGTCGGGGGCGATCTGAGACATCACGTATGCTTGCGCTTCAGGTTGAAGTGATGTTTTGCGCACCATTGCAAATGTCGTGTAACCTGAGAGGAGCGAAGGAGGAAAGGATATATACACCGGGGGTGCTCCGGATAGTTGGCAGTGGGGCGCTGGGCGGCGATGCTGGCGTGACTGAGGGGCGAAGACGAGCGAGACCGAGATGGTTGCGTTTATATAACGCGCGCACGCTTGGGGTGGCCAGTTGCCACTGTAAATCCCCTGCCTGGCGGTGGCCACGGGTGTCTTCTGCCGGCTCTCCTCCTTCATGCGCGCGGAGAGGCAACCTTAGTGTCTCTTCTACGTTTACGAGCTGCGGGCGACCTAGAGGACATTGCAGTGGCCTCCGAAACCGATGAATCGAATGACAGCTACCCGGACTGGAGAACCGCATGCCGCGGCATATGCATACCTGCTGATTGATGATGAGTGAATGTCACAAAAGGAAAGGTGTGGATCACAGGATATCCGGTGTGTGGGTGAGCGTGCCAGGTTCCGAGGATACAACAGTCTTCTGTGGTGTGCAGAGGTATAATCGTTCTCCTCGGCGCGGCGCAGGCGGGATTCCAACGTCGCACCGGCCGGTGGCCAACCCGCCCGGTCGACACAGCCCACATGCCTGTTGGAGAAGTGCCAGTGGCGAAGCAAACGCTGTCTCGACTCATAATATTATAGAGAGAGACCAAAGAAGCTTAGAGTCTCCGATTTCCGCATGATGCACAAAAGAGGCGCATCCTTTTGACAGTTCGTGGATGGAAAAAGAGGCTGTGTCTCGGAGGCACGGTTTGGTATATGTACATGGGCGCAGAACCCTAACCTGAAATCCTCGACGCTGAGTCTCGGGCGCTCGCTGCTTCTCGACCTCTGCTTTTTACCAGTACGTACTTATTATCACAAAGGCCTTCAAAAGCTGAACTACGCTCTACTCGGGAACAAGAGACGCATAGCTTCCATAGCTGATCCTCGAAACCATGTTCAAGTTCGATTTTGACGTCGAAGAGGACGATCTCGACCCCTCTGCGGCCGACATCTTTGGAGCGCCCAGCTCGCAGACCAGTCCACGGACCAGACAGTCGACACAACCTCCGAAGGAAGTCGACGAGAATACCTCTGGACACATTGGTTAGAAAATCCTTTCGTTCTTGTCCATGAGCTGATCGGGAGATTTCAGATGACATCGCTCCCCCCGTCTATCTCGTTCTCTCCGATTTCTATCCCTATCACCTGAGCGAGGATGTAAAACTCGCACGCAGAGATCTCTTCGACGCAAGGTTGCAAATAATCGCATCCGACGATTCAGAGGGGTGCAAGTGACGGGCCGTCAGACATCGACTTCCTCGACGCTCCATCAGATCTTGTTCCTGGTGTGTATGAAGGCGGGCTCAAGACATGGGAGTGTAGTCTCGACCTCGTGCATTGCATCGCTTCAATACATGGCGACGGTCTTGCAGGCTGGCTACGAGGGAAACGTGTGGTAGAGGTAAGTTGATTTTTTAAAGGCCGAGTCTTTAGAATACATTGACCAAGAATCGAGACTAGTTGGGTTGCGGAACTGCCGTCCCTCTCTTTACTTACTGCACTCAATATTCTCATCTGGACCTCCACAAGGCGACGGCATCGAAGTTACGGTACACCTTCAAGACTACAACGAGATGGTCCTCCGTCTCGTAACACTTCCAAACATCGTCCTCGCATGGTGTAAGTCCATCACCCCCTCCCATCTCCGGACTCAGCCGACCTCCTTCCTCCCTTCCAGACATGTCCCCAGCTTCCGCATCCTTTCGTGAAGCCGCAGGCACAACTCCGGATGTCGATCACGGCGACAGCGACCCCTTACCTCCAGCAGACCCGAGCATACCGGCGAGCTCGCGTTCAAGCCCGCGCTCCTCGCCGCGTTCCGCGCGTCCCTCGCCGCACACCACGTCTCCCTCTCCTTCTTCTCCGGGGGGTGGGCGTCGTTCGACGTCGGCGCCGCGGCCGGGCCGTACGACCTCGTCCTCACCTCCGAGACGATATACCGCCCGGAGAGCCTGCCATCGCTCGTCGCGCTCTTGCGGCGCGCGACCGCGACTGGTGCGGCGTTGGAAGACGCGACGAGGCTACTGAGCTTGAAGGACCATGACGACAGAGGGAAGGAGATGAGCGCGCTAGCGGGCGCGCCGTGCCTGTGCCTTGTCGCAGCGAAGCTCGTGTACTTTGGCGTGGGTGGTGGGATGAACGAGTTTGTGCGCGCGATTGAGGCAGAGGGAGGGGCGAAGGGGAAGGTGACGACCATCTGGGAGACGGACCGCGGGTGAGGAGGGGCGTGATGCGTGTTTTGTGGGTTTAGGGACTTGCGTCAAACGTCGCTCGCGTATACGCGTATAGGGAGTCCTCGGCCATTCGTGCACGGAACAGAGTCGATGTTCGACCCAAGTTCGATCACTGGGACTTGGAGTTGTTGAATTCCCTTGTTACTGCATTAATCCGAATACTAGGCGTGAGAACTGAGAACTGCCATCCGCATAGAACGAGCGCCGCGCGGAGAGGTCTTGATCCTCACCATGTCCAGCCATGAGCACGATTCTTCACAGCCCACCGAACTCGAAGGCGAGGCACAGTCTACACTGGGCACCCCGACGCTTGCTCTTCGGGAAAAGCTCTCCGCTTTCCGCTTCACCTTCGACTCGACCCCTTCCCTCCGACGATCTGCGCGGAAGCGGACCACAATCACCAAGTTCGAGGACGATGAAGCCGACTCTGTCCTCCCCAGTCTCGTCCCACCCGATATAAATGGCGTCGGGGCTCGGGCTACGCAGGCCCCGAAACTCCAAAAGCGATCGTCGTCTGAAGCTGGCGTCAAGTTTGAGGAGGACGAGCGAGAGACTCCAAAAAAGAGGGGTCGCGTGGCCTCTCTGGCCACTGTCAAGGGCAAGGCAAGGCCGGCTGTAGCTCCTCCAGAGAAGTATGCGCACCTTAACGGGGTTCCGGATCATCTGGGGGAGATTCCGGACAGGCTCGATGGTAAGCGCGCGTTGCATTGTTAGAATGCTCGTCTGACGCATCCTTAGTCATGTTTTGTGGTATAAAGTGCGCCGCGAGCGAAGTCAGGACAAAATCGTGGCTTGCTGACGTTTCACTCCATCTCACGCCAGTCCAGGGCAAATGTCAGCCACGACCGGACACCACTACGCTCACCGGTCAAATCACTTCTGGCGATGTCTCCACGGCTCTGGTGATTTGTAACCTCTCAAGCGAGGTCATCCCCATACCCTGACGCACTCTTCTACGCAGGATTCACAAATAGACTGCTCAAACCTGAAGAAGACGGTATCCTGCCTGCCGAGTTCGGGTTGGGTCTGGTAAGAGCCTCTCACATGTGCGGTGCTGCATCCAGCTGACGACTCTTGTAGACAAACATAGTGGACCGTCCTACTGCCCAAGTGAGTACGCCATCATGGAACTCCCACTTCGGTACCATACCCACGTACTCCTTTGCAGGCCGCCGAGTTACACGCGTCTGAATACGCGGCGGGAGTTCCCAGCCTCTTCGCCAAGATCTATCGGCACAGACCAAGGGTCGTCTGCTTTGTTGGCAAGGGCATATGGGATTCCTTCATTCGAGCCGTCGTGCCGCCACCGTCGACACCGCCTGCAAAGGACAAGACTCCTGACGTTGGTATCGTCTCTGCAACGGATGGAGAATGGACGGAGACAAAAGTCAAAGTCGAGGTCGAGATCGAGTTTCCCAGCAAGCCGTTGACGAAGGGACAGACTAAGTCGAAGGCAAAGCCCAAGTCAAAGGCAAAGCCCAAGTCGAAAGCACAGCCCAAGTCCGAACCCGGCTCGCCATTCGACTACGACCTCCAGCCGTACAAGGTAGTGCACGTCGCAGGTACGGGGTCCCTGTCACCCCTTCTACTGCGTCTCACGGTCATTCCTGTCGCCCTCCAGACGACACCACCGTCCGCGAGACTCTGTTCTTCGTTATCGTGAGCACCTCGGGACTCGTCGCGAGCCATCAGGTACGCGCAGACTGCTCATCGTCTTGTGTATCATATGCTAACGGTCCGCTCGATACGCCCGCCGCGGTACGACAGCTCCCGGAAAAGACCAGGCAGTTCACGCTGCTGAAGCAGCGCGTGGACGCGCTCAAGGCCGGCACTTTCGACACGTCGTCCATGGCGGTCGTCACCGTCCTGGCGAGGAGCCCCCCATAGGTCATGGGCGGCGCACGCGGGTCGGTGAGCACGGACCCTGCAAGGTATGCATGCATTGCCGGACCGCGGTGCTCGCGAGAGTGTGGATGCCGTACTTGGATCTGATCGCGCGAGCTGACAACTTCCCCATCTATTGCCCCTCAGGCTTCAGCGCTTCATCCTTCCAGCGTCGGCCTCAATGTCGCTATGATGCTTGTGGTTATAGCTGGCGCGCGCATATTTCACGGACGATTCGAGCGCCCCTAACGGCTCGCAGCCGCTCTTATCTAGTGGAGGATTTTTGTGGTACAATATAGGCAATGACGCTTGGTCAGTAGGATCTGATGCATTGACCGACCCGTTTTTCCCCCTCTCACCGTTCAACACCGCCCGCTTGTGATCTGGTCCCAAGAAGCCGCATCTCACAGCACACGCAGTGACTAGAAGAAAGCACAAACGCTGCGACATGCTATTTGGCCGCAATGCTAATCTGAGACCAGGCTCGGAAGAGGTACAGGACGACGAAACCTACTACACTAACAACTACGCGAAGCTCAGCTAACCAGGCCTGGATGTGAGTAACAATGTCAACGCGCGTATGCCAGCCCACTATGGGAAACCGGCTCTCCGACGGAATATTCTACCACGAGAATTAGGAGGGCGAACAAGAATAAGCGGTCACGACCTGCCGGACCGATGGGAAGCGCTACCAGACCCTGACGCGATGACGACGTGCAAGGAAGACGATGATGCGTGGCGAGAAGCGGATGGAGCATGGTGATTGTGATGCGTGGGAGGTTGCACGACGGCGGATGGATGGAGTGGGGTGGACGTGAGGGAGGGGAAGTGATAGCGCTACATGATATCCGACCGAATATGACGAAATAATACACTGGTGAATATAGGCAGCTGAAGACCGGACGTATGATAGAGGCATGATGGAGATGTAACGTTGAGCGTTAACGGGTGAGGAAGTTGTGCAAGGAAGTTGTGAAAGAGATAGAGGGATGTTCGCAGACGGTGACCTGGTCGGGTCGACGGAGCGCACAAATCCGGGAGGACCGGTCAATTGTCGAAGGCGAGCTCAACACGGCACAGGGGGCAGGCAGGCTTGATGCGCAGGGCACGGCGGAGGCATACTTCGTGGAACCTATAGTGAAAAGTGTCAGCGCTCCGTGTTCGCCGTTCACGCCGTCGCTCACGCGACCAAGCGGGGACTCGGTCTACAGCGTGCACCTGCGCTTATGTCGCGTATGACCCCAACACGAGGGTGTGCACATGTAAACATTCTGTACTCATCGACGCCATCGATGGCACGCGGACGTTCCGCGTTCCAACGACCAGTCTCCTCAGCAAAAAAGGAGAGGGGGTACTCACGGATGCTTGCACGTGGGGGCCAGAGCCGCGCGCTCCTCGCGTCGGAACTGCGACTGACATATAGTGCAGGACGACACGGGTACCCCAAGGAGCGCCATCTTGACCTTCACGCGACCGTCTTTGAGCACCCGTCGCCGCGTGACTTCGACGACGCCGGTGTAGGGCACATTCCCGCTCTTCCGAGGCTTGGAACGTGGGCCGGCAGCCGACCCGATGACTTCCGAGACGAGGAGCAGGTCCTGTAAAACATGAGGTCAGAATATGCGCTCGTGGCGGCGTGGAGGCATGTGGGGGAATGAACGGAGGCTTTTCGAGGGTGCTGGAGGCGTGGAGGAGGGGATCGAGGCGGGGGACACACCTCATAATGACGGCCGTCGACCGGGCCGTCGAACACGCGTGCAGCGAGCACGTCCAAGTCCGTGACCGGAAGGAACCTGCTGGGAGCGCCCTCCTCTGCGGGTTGGGCGTCTTCGAGTATACTTCCACCGGACTCGGTACGCTCCATTTCGGACACCATCGGGCTTTCAAGCGCTGGAACAGAGCGGGGAACCGTCTGCGGCGATGGGGGCGTAGCGCGAGTAAGTAAAGGCGTAGAGGGAGCGGGCATGAACGTCTGAGCGTGGGGCGGTCGTCCATAGTTCGCCTCGGGCAGGCGAGCGACGGGATAACCGTCTGGCACCCGCTTCACAGGTGTGGACACGACAGGCTCCGCTGGGACTGAAGGGAGGGGTCGTCCTGGGTAGTGCGAGCTTTGGCTGGTATGGCTCGAACTTGCGTCAAGAACGGCTGGGAAGGTCACTGGCGCGCAAACTGGCGCTACAGGGCTGAGTTGGTCGGGGGTAGCGCGACCTTCCTCTGCTGCAATGAGCTGTTCGGTCGAGGCGCTTGGCTCCAAGATGACGGGCCCCGGAGTAACGGTTTCTTGAACCTCCTCTTCGACCTCATTAAGAACCCAGGTAGCGGCGAAGTCAACGTCCTCGTACGACGCAAGATCGGAGAGCGGCCGCGCTTCGCACGAAACGATCGCCCTTCGATGGGAAGGTGGAGGTGTCGCCGCGCGCCGTCGGCGGAGATGAACCTGGCCGTCTCGTGGCGCAATGGACAGAGGCTTGGCGACGGGGGCGGCGACCTGGTATTCCTGAGAATAATCCGACAACCTGCATGGTGTTGGAACGGATTGATGACGAAGAGCGCTCTTCTCGCTTCTTGTCAGAATGGAGATCGATGGGTGGACTAGAGGAGAAACGACGGGGGAGGTCGGAGTAAAAGGTCCACCGGAGGTCATGGCAAGCGGTGAAGAGGGAGGTTGTGCAAGTGGAGAACGACCTGTGGGTGATGGGACTTTCCACACGACCGAAGGTGTGGGTCGGGGTGTTCGGGGTGTGATTGGGGTTCCCAGAGAAACAGCTGAGGAAATCGGCGTCGCTGGAACAACCGAAGGAAAAGTGACATGGTTCGCACTCGGGGCAAGCGTTTGCGTCTGGATGCGCGCCTGATTGGTACTGGCTAGCCTTCGCAACAGCGACTTTTCAGGGAGATACGGTCGTGCTGAGGTCGGCGTCGGAGGTGGTAACATGGCAGGTGTCAGGGTCCTTGGGGTAGATGGTGGAGATGAAGTTGGAGTGACGAGGCTATCAAGGATGCCTGGACCTGTTCGTGGACGAAGAGGCCTGTTTAAGAAGGCAGGGTAGGACCCCTCCGATGTCGGAGAGGTAGTGGGCGACGGAAGTAGTGGGTGCGAAGACGCGGAAGCAATGGGCGAATCGTTCACCGACTCTGGAATGGAGTGAGATGGAGAGGTAGGGGCGGTAGAGGCTGAAGTCGATCGCGAGCTGGGGGTAGAATGAGAGGAGTGTGTTGAATTTGAAGCCTCGACGCTGACCACTTCCCATCCTTCGGCGACGGAAGAATCCGACGACGATCTTGCATTTGACTCCGGGTGAATGGCAGGGATGATGGGCGTATTGGGCACAGAATGTGAACGTACATGATCCCTTTCGCGCTCCTTCCCCTTGAGAGATCCGAAGAGTCTCTTAACGCCAAAACTCTCCCGTCGCTTGAGCGTCTTGTTCGGTCCGAAAGTCTCTGAACTTGACGCGGGTCCCTTGTCGGCGTTGTGTCCATGTCCGATGGCTGTGCTAAGGGAGAGAGTGACGTTGCTTGCCCAGGCGCTTGACATCTTGAAGAACGACGTGGAGCCGTGTGGCGATGTAGGCATGGTGGACGTGGGACTGGCTGATTCGGGGCTCTGTGGTTTGAGCAGTAGAGTAGACTTCGAATGCGACATGATCTTGGCCATCGAGGGGGAAGAGAACGGGTGCAAATACGGTGACTTGCCCTTGGTTCGTGTAGACGACGGACTCTCCCGGCTCAATTCCGAGACGTCGTCGTCGTCAATGTCCTCTTCACTCTCCTCGTTGATGCTCTGGATGTCTCCGCTGTTGAGGGGACGGTGGGAACCACAATGATGGCAGAGTCGAGTACGAGGGTCGACAGGTTCCTCCGCAGAACCTCCAACGAACGCTGTCAGGGCCTCTTCTGTTTTGCGCCGCTCAAATTCGCGTTGAACTCGCTCTTCAAGGGAGAGACCGAGCCTTCGATCCGCGGACCAGCGCTGACGGGGCTCCCAGGTGAATTCTTCAAAAATATCGGTAGCAGTGGCGTCGGATGCGCGTGAAGGGGAGTAGGGGGATGCTGGTGGGGATGGCGAAACTTCGGCAACCGCAGAATCCGGTTCGGGGGAGGGAGTCCGCGGCAGAGGAATGTGGACGGCATGAGGAACTGCGGGAGGAACGCGGACCGCGTGGGTGGGAGAAAACAAAGTGGTGGTGGACGGCGACGTCAAACGGTACGGAGCACCTGGCGACGGCTCGCAGGGAGGAAGTCCAGATTGAGGCACATCTGGCTGCGGGACAGGGCGAAATGGAGGAGGTTGAAGGAGAGGCATGTCCGACAACACGGTAGAGACTGGCGTTACCGGCGAGGCATCGCACCGCGTTGTGGTCGAGGAGACTGCCAAGGGTGAGGGCGCAGCAGAGGTCGATCGCGCAGGATGGGGTGGGGGATCTACGGACTTGGAATGCATCATGGGGGAGGCTGCGGGAAATCCATGAACGACACTTGCAGCGGCCGAGATGGGCATAAGGGTGGAGGATGAGGTAGGTGATGGCATCATAGGCCGACTAGCTTGCGTCGATGGTTGGTCCGATTCCGGCCCAGTAACGCACTGGTCTGGGAGAGAAGACAACAGGGGAGGAACATGGGACTCGGCAATGGCATCCTCGAAAGATGGGGGTGGGTAGTCAGGAACAAGCTGGGCTGAAGAAAAATGAGCAGGATCGAGCAAAAAGACGCATATAACTCACACTCTGGCAAGAGCTCAAATCTTCGCGACGTCGAAGGAGAAGCGGGAGGCGTCGAGGTCGATATGGCATGTTTCCTTGCCCGAACGACTGGGGCTTGATGCAGTTTTCGAGAGGAAGAAAGGGGTACCGCAGTGGTGAAACGGGGCTCCTCCTCATCTCTCTCCTTGTTCGAAGACTGCTTCTTCCTCTTGGTGGACTTGCGTATCCTGCCGGCGTTCTGAGGCGGGACAAGAGTGAGTTGCCCATGGTGTGTAACAACATGGGTGAGGAAGGGGGCGACGTCCTGTCGTTGGCGACCTGGCTGTGAAGAGGACATTGGGTGACAAGCGAGAGAAGAGACCAACGTGGACGAGAACAAGATCGCCAGTCATCGTCCGAGCGCGAAACTCGTGCTCAAGTACTGGGAAACGCCAAAACGCGGTCGCAGCACGAGCTCAGACGCGCGCGGCACGCCCTCACCATACGTCATGCCCCACGTTACGCGCGCACGTGCCACATGTCACACGCGACGCGACGCGTGCAAGTTCGTCCTGCTCTCTTCCCTATCCCTCCACTTGTGTTTCCGCCACCGTGCCCCGCGAGCCGGCAGTCATGCCTGCACGCACCCCGGCTCCATTTGACCTCGAATCTCTCCAGTCCGCCCTTCCTAAGATCTTCGATCAGGTCCAGAACACCTCTGCCAACCACCAGAAGAACTATGTCGCGCTCTACAAGCTCCAAAATGCTGCGGCAGCCGTCCAGACCCCGGTGCAGAACGGCAAGAGCTCTATGCTGACCGGCGAAAAGGCGTTCCATGAAGCTTGCCAAGACATGGTGCTCCGCATGATAGAAGTCAAGAAAGGTGCAGGTGTTGCCGACAGAGTTGTCAAGTTCTTGGTCGGCTATGCTAAGTTCATCACGGATAAAAGTGCGTATTTTACACCAGTCTGCTTTCCTGCGCGTACAGAAGGATTCTTGTGATGCATATGGTCGCCAAGATCGTATGCATGATGAGCTTTCCTGCGCTACGAGATCGTTCTGGCATGTTTCTACCCGGGCCCCTGCCATGCATCACCGCCATGTGTGCATCAGGAGGCTATACATATTCAGGATATCTTCTCTGTGTGCAAATGAAGAGGTCAGGGTGTATGGCGGAGATCATTGCCCCTATGAGATGATTACACGGCGCAGACTATACATTGTGGGCTTATGTGGTCTATGGGCTTATGCGTTGCGTCTATACCTCTTAAATTTAGTATACTGACGCCGCCGCTAGTGAACGAGGAACGCGCCAAAGTTGAACTCGATGAAGACGAAGAAACGACTACCGAGCGATTTCTGTCGTACATTGTCAAGAACTTCTTACCGGGATGTACGGCCAAAGACAAGTCCGTCCGCTATCGCTGCCTGCAGTGCTTAGCCGAGATTCTCCCCCATCTCAGCGGCCTCGAGTGAGTGGCATATCTTCAGCTCTAAATTCTTTTCACAGACTCACCACTCCAGTGAGGACCTATATGCCAAACTTCGTTCCGCTCTCGTTGGTCGACTATCGGACAAGGAGTCGAATGTGCGGGCGCAAGCTGCTGTCGCTCTTGCGAAGCTGTCATTTAGTGAAGACGTCTCGGAACTGGAGGCGGACGAGACCCCGATCGTTGAGATGTTGGTGGACACGATGACATATGACACCTCTGTGTGAGTTCACCCACCACTCCTAATGCTGCTGTTACAAACCTTGCGCTCGATCCGTTGTCCACCAGCGAAGTGCGACGATCCGCGCTGCAGTCTCTTCCCCTCAGCCCGAGTGTGCTTCCCCACATTCTCACCCGTACTCGCGACGTCGATCCAAGCATACGTAAAGCTGTCTACGCCCACGTTCTGGAGAAGTACTGCACAGTGTCGGAGAAGGCAATTGGCTTCACCCATCCCCGTATCCTCACTGTCGCCCAACGCGAACTCATCGTCCGCAACGGCCTAGGCGACCGAGAGCCCACCGTGAAGTCTGCCGCCGGGCAACTCCTCGCACACTGGGCGGAGATCGTGCGGTCGACCGGCACGAAGGAGGAAGAAGATATCAAGAAGGAGGTTGGCGGAGAGGAAACTATCCAAGACCTCCTCGTGTTCCTCGGCCTCTTCGACTTATCGGAAGGGACCGTTGCGGAGGACGCGTTGAGCAGCATCTTCGACACTCGAATGGACATCTACGAGCGTCTCCAGTTGCCAGGTGGGTCACCACCCTCCCCATATACACATGAACTAACCTCACGCAGAGGACTACTGGGTCAACCCAACTCAACAGCGCGCACTCCTCGGGCGCGTTTTCGTGGAGAAGTGTCGAGATAAAGAAGGGGACGATCACTCGAAGATGGAAGCGCAGTTGCCGCTGACGACAGCCATGGCGTTCCGCGTTCAAGACGCATATAACGTGCTCGTCCAGCACATCCAGGCGGAGGAAGCGCTCGACGAAGACGAAGAGGACGAGGAGGCACGCGAGAAGCGTGAAGAGCAGCGCACAGAACGCGAGTCTACGATCGGTGAGCTCCTTCGCGCGGCCGTCAATTGCGACTATGGGGACGAGATCGGCCGGCGCAAGATGTTCCAGACGGTGCGCGGCATGCTCGCACAACCCGTCCTACCGGAACCCGTCCTCGCTCGCGCGCTCGATGTCCTTCGCGAGATCTGGCCAAAGGAGCAAGACCTCATCCGAGTCGTCGTCGAGATCGTTCACGAATTGCGCGATCCACCAGAGGACGAGGTTGAGCCGCGGCCAGATGGCGACGAGAGCATGACAGAGTTCGGGAGCCCACGTCGGCCTCGTGCTCCCCAACCGGAGCGGAGGGTTGAAGATATGTCGCCAGAGGAGAAGCAGCGTGCAGATGAAATCGACTCACGGTGCTTGTCACTGTGTGTCGTGATGCTGGAGCGTGTTAATAGTGTGAGTTGTTCCTCTGTCTCCGTATTTCTACTTGGTGCTCATAACTTTGAGCCCAGACCTTTGAAGAGAATTCCATGCTCCAGGGCGTTCTCAAGGAACTCATCGTCCCTTCCGTTAAGCGAAAGGAGATGGTCCTCCGCGAGAAAGGCCTCATTGCACTTGGTCTATGCTGTCTTATCGCCAGGGTACGTTACATTCCTTGGTTCGGTTAGCACGTATTCAAATCCTTTCCAGAACATGGCCCTTAGCTCTTTCCAACTCTTCCTCGGTCAAGTGGCCTCCTCCCCTGAAGTCTTGAAATACCGCGTCCTGCAGATCATCTTCGACATCCTCATGGTCCACGAGGACGCCTTTTTCAGCGAGACTAGCGGGAACAGGGACAACGTTATCCAGTTCCTCCTGCAGCTTATGGAGAAAGAGGACTCGGACCGCATTCAAGCTTTGATCGCCATGGGGCTGTCGAAGCTGATGCTTTCGGGCATGATCGCGGACGAACGTGTGCTCCAGACACTTGTTCTCGTCTTCATCTCACCGGAGACTGTCGATAACCAGGAGCTGCGGCAGTGCTTGTCTTACTTCTTCCCCGTGTATTCGTACTCCAGTGTTGCCAATCAGCGTCGTATGCGTGACGTGAGTTTTCATTTCACAAGAGACAAGCGGCATCTGCTGATGGCACACTTCACAGGTTTTTGTTCCCACCTTCCTCCGCATTGCCGAGGTATATCACAACTGGGAGGGCGAAGATCCAATGATCACGCCAGCCCAAGTCTCTCTGATGTTCGCAGACTGGACTCATCCAGTGCATGCAAAGTATATTCTGCCCAGCATCTCCTGCTCTCTCTTTCTGATTGTAGTTTATAGAGACGCAATTGGAGGCAAACACCGTGAAGACGCTGAAAAGGATCCTATCCAGCTAGAACTCGCTGCGGACATCGTCCGTGAGCTGTTCAGCGCCGACATGGAGAGTGAGTGGAGGCGATTCGCAACAATGTGCGACCTGCTGATCGCATCGTAGAGGAGGACAAGAAGGCGCTCTGTCAGATGCTCGGCAAGCTCCACTTGCCCGACGAGATCGATGATGACAAAATCCGAGCCCTCAAAGTCCTGGTCTCCAACCTTCGCACTGTGAGTCACTCTTGCAGTTCTCAACCTCATCAACTCTGACGCTTCCGCAGCGCCGCCCGCCACGGGACACCACGTCGAAGAACGCACTAGCCAAGTTCGACGCCTCGCTGGCGAAGAAGTACGAGAAGCAACTCGAAGACTTCAGCGAGGACGACTTGCGGAAGCTCGAGGAACTCAAGGACATGTTCGAGTTCCTCGACGACATCATCCCGCTCGATTCGGACGAGGATGAACCACCGAAGAAGGGCAGGAAGCGGTGCGCACTCTCTGGTGGTTTGGGCTGCTTGTGACTCACTACAATGCAGGCGCTCCATGAGCGTGGCGACGACTATCACTGCGACTACTAGTACGACTTCCCGTTCTCCATCGCCCAAGACGAAGTCGAAGTAAGCACTGCAGACATCATACATATCTAGATGCTTACCGGTTGCTTTCTCCAGACGGAGACGTCTGTCAACGTCCGACGACGACGCCTCGGATGACGATCGTTCCACGGCTGCGAGGGACTCGCCAGAGGCTACTCCGGTCGCTACCCGTTCAATGCCCAGAAGGAATGCGTGGGTACCTTCCGTTGTGGTCGAGCGTAAACGTGCTGACTTCTTATTCGTAGTGCTGAGAAGTCCAAAAAGAAGACGACAGCGCAGATCAAACAGCCCATCGTTATTAGCGAGGACGAAGAGGAAAAAGAGGAGGACGGTCCCGACGGCGGCGATGACGGTGACGGTGATGATGACGAAGAGGAGGAAGATCGTGTGCCCACACCGAAACCCAAAGCCAGGGGCCGACCACGGTTCGTCGCCGTCTCTGCTGAGCTGTCCATGTGGGACTAACGCCACTCTGCGACAGAGCGCCACCCCCAAAACCGAAGGCCCCCAAAGCAAAGGCACGCCCGAGCCCCATTGAGGAGAACAGCGACGACGACGCCCACGTGGGTAACGTCACGAAGGACAGCATTATGGACTCGTCGTCAGACGAAGACGACGACGAGGTCGACAACATTCTCTAGCCTGCTTGCCAGACGATCTACGGTTGTGTATCTTATACCATGCTCCTATGTTGTACTCTGACGTCTCGTTTTGTACCCGGGCACAACTTGTTATCTCACTCGATTGCTCACTTTAACAATCGCTCCACGTACGACTACACACGAAGCGTCCTTCGAACACGCTCCTACTCGATGTTAAGGACGATCCCGCTTTGCTCAAGGACCGCCACCTTGACCGCCTGTCCCACCCGCGTCAGCTCATGCATACCGTCAACCACGCGCACCACCAACGGAGCGCACTCACCCCGACCAGCTGCAGATGCGTGAGCGTCAAGATCATCTGGCTTCCCGGCGTGAGGAACTCTGGCATCTCGACCGTGAAGTTCTGGTGGAAACTGAACGGCGGCGCGGGGTCGTGCACGGGCGCGAACGGCCCGCTGAAGAGCACGGTGCCGACGCCGGGCTGGCCGGGGGTGACCGCCGCGCAGTCGTTGGAGGGGCAGAATTGAAGGCCGAGCACGACGGCGACCTCGACGAGGTCGCTAGATGAGTTCTGTCGGAGCCTTGGTCAGTGTCGATCAAGGGAGGGACGCGCGGGTTGGAGAGGCGGGCCCGCCCGTGCGCGTGAGGGCTGACCTCCTGCTGGACGTCGACGACGATGGTCTCGCCAGAGGTGACGGTCGAGCCGTCGGCGGGGGAGATGATGGTCGCGCTTTGGGCGAGGGCGGAGAGCGCGAGGGAGGCGAGGACGAAGAGGGTCTTCATGGTTTTTAATGTGAGTACTATCGAAAGTAGAGAAAATGTCGAGGTGAGGTGGTGCTGAGCTTGAGTCGCGAGGGTTCGACGCTATATAGCATGCTCAAGGCTGTGTGTACTCCATGCCGCATTCTAAGCGAGCGGGATCCTCTCGCCGCACTTAAGGGCAAGCACGTCGTCTGGAGCAATCCCCGAGCCCGACGCACCTGCATGACCGTTTGAAGTGTGAGTAAGAACACCGTTCCGACACCGGGAGAAGACCGGCGTTCAGTTGACGTCGGGCCTGAAGCTTTGAAGCGCCATCCTATATCTGTCCACAACGACAGAGCGCACCTGCAGCTCCCATGCGTCGGAGCCTCCAATACGGCTTGTTGGCCACTATCGTCACGGTACCCCCCTCGTGATCTCGGCGTGTCCATCCCGGGGCTTTTCTGTGCCGGCCGTCGTTTCCAGCAAAGCTCACCGACCAATGCCATCGCCGTCTGCGGCCTGTGCGCGGTGCCTCCGACTCAAAGACAGTCTACCCGGTCGCGACCAGGCTTCAATGCACCATTCTCCGCCGCACCCCCACAGAGTGGCTCGCATCCTTCGCGGGCTCTGCGAGGTGCACCTCCTCGCGTAGCAGCGGTCTGTGAATGCGCGCCGGGAAAACGAGGACGGCGCCGACGTCCGCAGCGAGGGAGCAGGAAGCCGGTGCTTCCGGGTCGGGTTCTGTGCCTTCGGATCTGCCGAGCAGGAGGACTTGGAGATGAGACAAGACGATGTGCGTGGCGGGTCGATGGCCTACCTCCCAGCCCAAGATATGAACCTACGACGCGCAGACGACGGTCGGTGGCGGCATCGCGGGAAGCTCAGAGCTGTGATGGTGCCTACTTGACCGGCGTCACTGTGCTCTATAAGCTTGGACCACTTGCATTGGCTCATTATAGTTACAAATTATTAGTTACGGCCCTTGGGTTTGGGAGCCTTGGGGCTTCATTCAGGCCAGAACCGGCGGGGGCAATTCGGAGGTAGAATGTAACGGTGTCGCTTGTGTCGAGCCGACCTCAGTATCGATCGCGGCTTCCACCACCTTTTTCCCACCTCGATCAAGCGGTCTTTGATGGCCTGTAGGATGTCGGTCGGCAGTCCGAGCGGAGGGACCAAGGGTGAATAGTCGAGTGTGTGCCTGGGAGGACAAACCGGAGGTTCTTGGATCCACGTTCTGCGATGAGTCGAGCGAGGAGGTCGCAGCAGAAGCAGCTCTTCTTGCTGACACCTATGCGATCTCCTCGTTCTAATTGAAGAAGGTCACGTCGTGAATTGGCGCCGCGGTGCGAGAAGGCTCGTACCTCGAGAACTTCCTTCACAGATCCGACCTTTTCGACAGCTGTCTGGAGGGTGTCGCCGGCCGGGTTCTCATGCATGGACAGTGCGCGCGCCATGAGCCAGATCGGCATGCACGCTCGCAGTCTGGACGCGTTTGGCTGCACCGTTCAGGCTTTCTGGAGCTCTTCAGTGTCGATGTTGAATTTCTTCTGCTCCAAGACGGCTTCAATGTCCTTCCGAAGACTATCAACGAAAGCTCCCGGCGCAGCATCCAGCGGCGCGAGAGGCCCTCCAAGTGCAGCCTTTTCGCTCGCTCGATTATCCGACGGCGCAAGAGTGTCCACAACTACAGCCGTCACTTGAGGAGGTCGATCGGCGACGACAACTTCATGAAAACGTCTACGATATCATCGGGATGAAGAGAGTCTTAAGGTGGCGGAAAAGTACGTCTTCGTCCTCCCCGTTATTGGGAGATGCCTCCGCAGCTGAACATTATGGTTGAGCTCAGTGTGGGATTTGGCGGATGGGAGGCGGGGCGAGTCTCACATATTCATCCCCTTCGAGGAACGACACCTCCCTTCGAGGGACGACTCAACTCCTGAGGCAGGAACATCGTCGCCTGAGATGGTCGTAAGGGATACGTCGAGTAAAGCAATGGACGCGAACGCACCTCGTTCAGATATCTGACCGGCATTCGCTGGTTTCTTGTTCCTCCACGGATGATGGCTGGCAAGGGTGTAGATGAGCGCGGATGTACACAAAACGAAACCACAGTGAACGTACCTCCAGCTGAGAACACCTTACATTGCGCGTGTCATCCAATTTTTTCTTGACGCTGCCTGAGACGATATGTTTGAGGACACCGCTCTTCACGAGATACTTCAGCAGCCACATTGCACGCTCGAAATCCAGGAATATTTTATAGTGACGGTTTTCTCCTTGACTGCCTTCAAAACTGTCTCCATGGTGTTGACGGATTTCCAAAGCAACTGGGCCCAGCTCGCAGCGTTCTCTCTCGTGACCAGATAGGAGTCGTAGCCCGGGGCGGCTGGACGAGACGGATCCTTGTAGAGTCCTCCGCCTTCGAGGTCTGATTGGAGGACGCGTGGTATGGGAATGAACGTGTCAGTCGGGATGAACAGGGTGTCGGTGGCCTTCATCATCTCGTTGTGGATGAAAGCTATGGGATGTTGTCGTTCATCGTTGTCGTCGAGAAGGTCCCACATGTTTCTACCGTTCTCGATACGGAAGGCAAGCTTGACACAACAGCGATGGGCAATGAAGGCCAAGAGAAGCGTGCGATGGAATGGGGCCGGAGTGCAACCGATGAAGAACTGGGTCACGTTCACAACGTCTCGTACGTGACAGCGAAATCTCTGAGAACGGTGTTCAGCCCGTGGTCGTCAAAATGCGGCGATATACAAAACACGTACTTACTTCTGTATCCCGAACAAGACATCATACATGACTTCATAGCCGTCGTCCACACAGCCCTCAAAGGGACCGGGAAAGGTACGGGAGGCGTCTGCGCGCTGGGAGACGTCGCGAGAGAGAAGCGCACTGATCTCATGGCGAGTTCTGCGGCCCGTCAGGGCGATGACCTTGGCTTCCACCCGACCAGTCGTCTCATTCCCGGTGGCCAGGATGAAGGAGGTGCTATGCCACACGCCAGCCTTTTTGTCATATGTCTTCTTATCGTATGGTTTGACGCCAGGTACCTTTGCGGGGCGAGCCAAATCAAAGAAGGTGGTGATGAAGGCGATGTGGGATCGCAGGATGTGAGGGGGAGTGGGTCCGGACGAGTAGCCGGTTAGTATGGATATCAAGTGAGACGAGGATGATGTGGTCGCGGACATCTCGATCTGCTCGAGCTCTTCCCCCAAGCTCATTGGCGGCAATCAGGTATGCGTGACGGTCACGCCACTGTCCAAATGCAATGATATCTGGCGGAGCACCTGGATTGGCGCATGCTCTTTTCCAACTTCTACCAGACCTCTTTACAGTTGTTTTCTCATGAGTACAGTCTCTCTTTCCACCTGTTGATGCTCGCCTGCTCCCCGGAAAGCGGTCAGTACAGGCCCGGGAACACGAACCACGGCGTCCGCTCGGCCCACTGATCCCACTCGCGTCCGAACCCCTTCCTCAGCACCTCGTCCTCCTTCCCCATCCTCCGCAGCAGCATCGTCGCGATCGTCAGCATGAACGCCGTGCTCCCCGCGGCCGCGAGCCGGCCCGCGAGCGACGTCCCAAGCCCGGACGCGACGAAGAGCGAGCGCGGGCTCGCGTGGAGCGCGACGCTGCCCGCGACGATGAGCACGAAGCCGGAGTAGCCAGGGTGGCGGACGTAGGCGTACGGGCCGGAGGTGATGAGCGCGTGGTCGTCGACGAGCGCGACGGGCCAGGTGAAGAACCGGCCGAGGGCGCGGTGGCACCAGATGCGGAGGGCGCCGCCGGCGGTCGCGAGCAGGCAACCCGCGACGGAGAGGCCGTCGAGGCCGAGGGGCGCCGCGGGTCGCGGGAGGGAGGAGGAGAGGGTGGAGGGGAAGGTGTCTGTGATGATTAGGGCGGCTTCGGTAAGCGCGAGGCCGCACATGGACAGCTGTAGGAGTGTTACAGTCGTCCACGGCAGACTTAAGAGCTGGAAGTGCTTGCCTTAATAGCTGCAAGGACGGGTATCGTGGCCGTGTTGATGTCCGTCCTGACTGCTCGGTCACGCTCATCTTTCCGGGGATGGGCCCTTGGGGGTGTGAAGCCAGAGTAGGTGAAGAAGGCACTGGAGACCAATAGTGGGACCTTCAGTAAAGGCGTCGTTATGATGGGGACGGCGAGGAAAGACATTGTAGGCGAAGAACGGTGAGTGGGGGGAGCAGAAGGTCAAGTGGGACGTGGAGACATGTACCCTCTTCATTTGCCACGGATGCTATTGATACGACAAAGTATGTCACGAGACGAGCCGGACGCGAGTGTGAAGCTCAAATAAGGATAGTCTTCGCAAGATCTGACGTCAGCTATTAACGAGTTTGAATGGCGCTCTGGGTGCGGCAATCTAAATCTATCATTCTGGGCTGCGAGCGTAGCTGTGGGGATTGAGGGGGCACGACTGAGAGATTGGCCAAAGGAACAGCACCTAGGTCGCCGACTCGCCGAGGGTGCTGGGAGAGCTAGAGGCATTCGTGCTGTTAACGGTGGCGTGACGGTCACGTAGACCTGATCTGCGCACCGAGTCCCGACGTTCCATTCCCGTCTCGTTGGTGGATATCCATCATAAACCATGTCAGACTCTGCCCCCAGTTTCCGCGCCCTGGAATCTCAAATCGCCTTCATCACCACCGTTCTCCACTTGGCTCGTCCCGCCGTTAGGGTCAAGTTCTACAACAAATCAACAAGGACATATAACAAGATCAAAACCGAAATCAAAGTCGGCGTATGGCACAGCACCTCCTTTATCCTGGCCACCGGAGATGAGAACGATCCGGTGGGAGCCAAGGGTGTCGCCATCACTGGCCGCAGAACTCGTGAAGAGATCGGTGTGCTTCTCTCTCGCAACCTCTCTCAGCGCGCAGACGCCACCGCCCATCTCTCTCCTGGCCCATCTTCTCCCCCCTTTCTGGGCAATAGAACCCACGGTTACCAAGCCATGCTTCATATTTTGCGGTGCGAGCAGAAGTGCGTTCTTTCTTGTGTATCATAGCGGTTTGACGACGGTGGGCCTGACCGCTGTGGACAGGGGATTCAAAGTCAAGCCTGAGCAACACATTCAAGACGTTGTGAACGTGGCCCAGTTCTACGTCACACGCACTCCTGGTCCTTTAGACGGCGCGCATCGCGTCCTTCTTTTGGCTTTCATTGCCCATCGTTGCTGTATCAAGCTGGCATCCCGTATCGAGCTCGGCAGAACCATGTGGCCTGGCCTTGACAAAGTCCGAGACGATGAACGACTACATCCCGCAGCTTTCATTTACAACAAGCTTCTCGATGCCACGACCAAGTTGCCAAACATTCAGACGGGAACAGTGGTTCCCATGCCAAGCTTCTTGCAATCACACCTCGAAGATGGAGGACTCTGCATGGATCCCTCTCGACCAGCCGCCTCAGACTACGACTCCTATCCGGTCACGAGGGAGAACGCGGCGAGCTGGGCTCAGCTCCTTTGGAATTCCGTCGACACCATGGAGAGAGTATTGAAGGCAGTCAAGGAGGAAACCGTCACTGCACAACTATTCCTGGATTTCGAGCGTGCAATGTGGTTGTTGAAGTATCTCGTTGGAAGCGGTGTCCTCGAGCATATCGTCGCAGGCAGCATCAAGGAAGAGTTGAATAGGGCGCGCAAAATTAAGTATTCTAACCTGGAGGGTACGTAAGTCGCGGTAGCGCCTTGTTGTACAGCCGCGCTGATCTCCTCCATTCAGGCCTCATCTACGGGAAGAACCAGCATTCAACGAGCGCCGGTCAAACCTTTGGACAAGGTGTGTTGTCGTCCGGATGGTATAGTCGATGCATCCGTTATGACAATCTCAGGCGACGATGTTACTGCCTCAGATTTCGAGTCTGCCCTCGAACTGGAGCAAGAGGGTAAGACTCGCCCCCACCTTCCACTTTCTGGATCCCTCGCTGACTTTCAATCATAATATTTAGTTGCGGAGGCGTTCTCCGACGATGGGGAGGGTGAGGACCCCCTCGTCCGGCATCTCAAGGCTCTTGTCATCCCCGACGACATCGTCGACATTTTTATGACGCTGTCGTCGCCGGTCGACCATCCGCGCGTGGAGGCTGTACTTGTGAACGATGGGTATCTTGCGCCATTGGATGATGCATCGGGACCTTTCATTGACAGTCTTCGGAAGGACATCGAAGCCGTCTTGAAGAGGGAGGGATTCGACATTGAGTCTGCAAAGCTCCAACAAGTGTTGGACGATGCAGTTGAACGCGTCAATACTGCAAGCGTGCATGCCGAGTCTGCGCTCATGGCGCGCGCACTGTCTGTGCATGAGAACCCGGATTCGGCGACACCCTCCGCGGAACTGTCGAAAGAGGCCTCGGATCTAGTGAAGGAGGTTCTCGAGGTACGAGTCCTTCTCGCACCCGCCGGCGCTAGATTCACGACGTTGACATTCTTGCAATTAGAATGAGGAGATTGCCATAGGTGTCGGAAAGAGGAGCTGCTTTTGCTGCGACCTCCTCTCTCAACTGATCGCACACCGTGGATCCACGAACCTCGACTTTGTTCTCCCAGGAACGCACCCAACCATTTTCCCTTGGCACCCTCCGCCCGGGTTGTCGACCGACATCCTGCAGGCTATCAAGGACCGCTTGATCGAGGCGATGAAAGAGGTGCTGGGAGCCGCCATCAGCTCGACTCAACCGACACTGCGGTTGGATCCGCCGAAGCCCATGATGGTGGAGCGGTTGAAAATGCTACCATGGATACTACCTTGAGCAGCCATTGGTATGTACCACGAGGAAATACGAAGGATCAAGCTTGTTGAGCAGGCGGTGTGATGCGGGTCACCTGCGATGCTATCACTGACCACCCTCTGTGCGTCGCAGGTGGAAGCGCACTCTCTCGGCCAGACGACATGCCATCGACTCCCTGCGCATATCTTTTCACTCCACCGAACCTGACGAAGCACCGGCCGCCTCCTGACCTCCTCTCCCTCGTCGCGCGCGTCGCCACCGTCCTCGCTCTCTGGGAAGTTAGCGTGTCACGGTGCTCCTGTTTCGTGGCATGCGCACCAGCCGCGCCGCATAGTACCATGGTTCTCCTCCTGGTGTATACGTCGTATCGCTGTACCATTGGTTCGGCCCTTCGTCGAATTAACATGTGTACAATGGTTCGAACGCCTTATTTGTCAAATACCGCGCAGGTTCACGACGACTGCCATCAAGCGACCGACTGGTCAGCTCGGCATCGCGCTCCAACAGTTCAAGGGCACTCTCACCGACTTCGAAGCCACTTGGAACGTCCAACAGCCCGCGTCCTCCCAGCGGTCCAAACCGCTCGCACACCGTTGTCAAAAGTGCGAAGGGCGAAGACAGTGCCCGCGATAGCGAAAAAAATAAGTACAGAACAACGACGACCTCCAGTCACGATGGATGTCCGGGCAAGCAACGCGATCACCAGCCACTCCTACGAATCATACCGAGGCGGCGGGGCAAGCCTCTGCTCGCGGAGCTCCTCCACGACGGCCCGCAGGCGTTCGACCTCCTCCCGCAGGACCGACACCCCCCCGCCGGACGTGGCCGACTGGCCATCCTCCCAGTCCGTCTCCAAATGCGGCGCGAGCGCCCGCCGGCTCAGGCCGTCCGGCGAAATCGAGTCAGGGTCCAGCCCGGCGGAGGCGTTTACGACGTATTTCTGCGCCTGGTGTGGCCTGGCAGCTTCGCGCGCTTTCGAGTATCGTCCGGCCGTCGGGGGCGGTGGCGCAGGGCGGCGGTTCGGCACGAGCCTGGGTGGGGAGACTCCCTCCGAGACTTTGGAGACGTACGCCGGGGGACTCCCCGTCGCGCTTTGGGGCGACTGTGCGGGAGAGCTCAGGAGTGACATCTGCGCCTCGACCGAAGACTGGCCGTCGGGAAGGGGGTACGGTTCGGTGCTGAGGGGGGACGGGTGGGGCATCATGGATGGTGGCAAGCTACCTTCGGAGTGCGCTTGCGAGAGTTGCGGTGTGGCGCAGCCGTTTAGGTCGACAACGACGTCGGAGAGGGGGCGTCGCCGCCGTTGGAAATACCAGAAGGGAACGCCCGCGACGACGAGGACCGCGACGCCGCCGACAACACCGCCGACGATGGGGCCAACGCTGGACTTGCCATTGTCAATCCCGGAGTCCGTGCTTCCGGCGGAGCCGTTGAACGGAACGTTGATGAAAGAGCTGTTCACCACGTTCAGGGCGAGATGGGCGTACATTGCGCCCAGTGCAGGCCTTCGGAGTTGAGGTCAATACTTGTAGCGCGCATACAAGGCCGGTCGTAACATACCCTGCCGCGCCACTCATGCCGGCCCCTGTCGTGCACTGATAGTCGTCGGGCATCGAACCCACAACACCGTTGTAGGAGGTCCGATTCCATGCCCCGGAAATCATGGAGTCTCTGGTCGATGTGTCGCTTTCGGAGAGAGTGGCGCTAGTGAACAAAAGCCAGGCTAAATGACATCAATCAAAACAAAGCGCAGCAGAGGTAGTAAAGATGATATAGAACGTACATAAGCTGCACGGGCTGTTTGGTGTCGAAGTGATAGGGAGTCCGTAGGTCCCATCTGACGGAACGGTGTTCAGAAATGATTCATGGAGGGAAAACAGCTGGGGGGCTTCACCGTTGGTCTGAAGTAGTGACTTGTAGTACTGCGTCTGGCTAGCAAGAAGCTGCGGAGATTGAGCTACAGAGACTCTGTCCGGGAAACGCAGAAGCGGTACTGACTGATTGCGGGACGACGCCTGTCCCCAGCAGCACATCGGGGTAAAGGTTGTACATGAGCGCCCATGAGCCCGAGTTTCCGTACTGTCCGAGAATACGCCCGCTAGAGTCGTTGGACGTCGCAAGGGACGTCCATGTCTGGACCATCGCTGTCACGTTGCTCTGAACAATTCCGGTGAGAAAACAAGCAACATGACCAGGTGAGGAGAGAGACGTACGTCGTACATGTTTGCGTCGCCGAGCGCGCCGAACACGCGACTGATCTCAGCCATGGCCTTTATTGCGATGATACCTTTGATCGCGAGGTTTGTTGTGTTGGCTGCTTTCACGCCATCGGCAGACACTCTGAGTAACGATCGGTCATTCACTTTCTGTCGCCGCACAAACAGAAACAACACACTGATTGGGTGTGAGGACGGCGTTGTTGTTCGACACAAGGTAGTCAGCCCACTTCTTGGCAAGATGGTACTGCACAGACGTGTAGCATTAACGCGAGGGGAACCCAGAGAAATGCTGAACGTACGTTCTGCGCGAGCAGCGTGCCATCGCCAGAAGCCTTGGCGTGCGCGTACATCATGATCAGCATGTTCCCGGTCTCTGCAAAAATATAAGGTCAGATGGGGCCGAAAGAGGACCGTTGTGGTCACACCTTCCACGCCTTCGGACTGCCCTCCCTGACCCCCCGAAGCGATGGGGTACTGCAAGCCTGAGCAAATCAATCGGTTTTTGAGTCCGCGACAGTCCGACGATGGGATCGCGTACCGAGATCTTGTACCGCATAAGGAAGCAACGTCTTCTGTGATTGTGACTGCAGCAGCGGTTGCAGCATGGCGCCAGCGAGCGACGCATTCAGATACAGGAACGCCGGAAACGAGGCGTACATGCGCTCGACAAGGTTGATACGCCTAGAATAATCGTCCACAAAATGAACAAGATGATCTGGCAGGCGAGAGGCGAAGAGGAACTACGTACGACGAGGTGCCAACGTCGCGCATGAAGACCATCACGTCCGACGCGTTCACGCTACCATCTGCGTTCTGAGAAACGGTGATGTCGAGACTTGCAAGCGTCGGACGCGTGCTGAGCGACACCAAGTCAACGTACTCGGACGAGATCTTGCCCGCGTCTCCCGTGATTCTGTCGTCTAGCGCAATCGCGCGCGCGAGAGCATCCGAATAGCCGGTGGTGAACGCGTCGATCTGCGCGGATCACGTCAGCAGGGTGCGATTGTGGCTCAGTACGCGGCACGTACCACATCGGCGGCAGACGAGTATTGCGTGGTGTAGTAAGGGACTCGGTCTTCGGTCTCTCCGGTGGGTGTCACATACAGGATAGTCGGATTGCGGAGGTTCCCCACCACCCAGGACACAGGCTGCGAAGTCTTGCTGATTGTGCCCAGGTCGATGGCGAGGCCGAAGACGAGATGATCCCTGTAACAAACGAGTTGGCGACTTGAATGGCTCAAACATCAATCATGCAACCTACAGCCCATCGGGTGGTTGGGTGTCCAAGACAGTGTTGGGAAGACGGCCGTCGGTCTTGAAGTTGTCGTGAACATTCTGATCCTCTTCGATCTGCCACGAGAGGCTCGGTACCTGATAGGCGAGATGAGGTCAAATATCCGGCGCCGACGCGCGAGTCGAACTTGGTAGCAACTGTACGCACTGCTGCTGTCGCGTAGAACGCGCGTCCGTCCATCGCGCGGTCGCTTAACTCTGTGAAGGGTACTGGGGTGATGAAGTCGACTTCGTGGTAGAGGCTGCTGCTCGTCGTCACCGAGGTCCAATTCACCTGGCAGGTCGCAGCGCGTCAACAAACACCCATGTGGCGATGTCAAAGGGACGCACGGACGGCTGTGATGTCGCTGTATACTTGCACGGTGTGGGCTGCGTTGTCATTCGCGGTCGCCTCCAGGGCTACGTATGACAGAGGAATGGACTGCCTAACCCAGTCGGAAGGCTTGGGGCGCGTAAGACGTGTGAGATGCGTGAAAGACGACAGCAACGTACCTCGAGAGGGGAAAGGAAGGTGACTGTGAGGCTCATCGGGCCCGCTTGCATGGTGTAGATACTTCTTGTTGGAGTGACTTGCACAGCAGTAATGTTTGCCAACGCCGAAGAGTCGGGGTCGTCGCCCATCCAGACGTACATTGTCCTGTCGATTCGAATATAGCCTCTCCAACCCAGGTCCGGGCCCTGCCCTTCATGCTCGAGAAGGGAAAACATCCGCAAAACAAACAAGGCGTACCGTTTGAGACCAGAACTTGGCCCACGAATTGGAGATTGGTGCCGATCCATTCGTCGAGTTCTGCCAGGCGTTGACGTAGGGAGCGCGGACTGCAAGAGGGATGCTGGCAGGAGCGAAGGAAGCAGCGTGTACGCTAAAGCAAACGAAGAGCGGAAGGACGGCCAGAAGGAGAAGAGGCAGCATACTGAGCCTCACGAGCACCTGGAGGAGAGAAAGGATGTCGGCAATGATCAGCATGGGTAGCATATCCTCCCCTCCTCGCGACATCCAAGTTCTAACTCCATCGTTTCTGGCGCAGCCTGATGCAAAGGAAATCTGGGTTTGATACCGGATGTCCGACTCCCAAGAGCCTGGAAACTCAGAGCTTGACCAGAATGCCGGACTAATCAAAGTGAAGGGCGCCGGCTGGCAATGAGACACCTGGCACTCCTTCAAGCTCGCCGCCGTTGGCGTATTCGTTCTATAACAAAGACCTTAGCTAGTGAAAGGAGGAGATAAGGGCAGAGACAATACGCCTGCAGCACTGCTATGGTTCTCTCACAGCGGTCAACAGTGTACTTCTTCGAACATGATGGCCGCTGCTTTGCACAACTGTTGGTAACCGAGGAATCACACGTTCACCTGTGCAGGTACCCATGTACGTGTCACGTACTCGGATCTCTCGGTGAGGCCCTAAATTAGCTCAGTGAATTCCAGGATCGAGAACGTACCCGCTGCGGGAGGATGATACAGAGGCAATCGAGCAAGGTTCAGGCCAAAAGCGCCTGGATGTCCACGTCTTCATCTGGCGCCTGTGCGAGACACGAGAATCTGATCGACTCAACTCGAGTACTGTAACTCAGTATACTCAGTCAGTACTCAGCAACGTCGACGCCAGCCGCTACTAGCACCGCTACGCACGTACGCAGTACTGAGGGTGTGACATCGATATCTGGATTTTCCAGGAAACTTGGGGCACATGGACGTGGCAAACCGTGACACTCCTGGACATACAGCTGCGTGCAGAAAGCTTGTCCAGGCGCTGAAAAACGCGACGCGCGTCGCGAGAAATGGGAAATTAAATCGAAATGGTCGAAAAATCGCCAACGGTGACGCGAGCGCGTTTCTTCTCCCCCTCTCCCTCGTTAGATCCCCCCGACGTCCATAGAATGTTGAAGAGCGCATCAGGCGCGTGTTTGGGTATGGTATGACGCTTTTCCGCGTCCTCAACGGCCAAGCTGACGTGTTTCGCGGCAGACTGTGGTCTGGTGGTGGTACACGACCCGTCTGCCACCTTGCCACCCCTCGAAACGTGTCTGACGATGTATAGGAAGCTGAATATATTCTTATGGGTGAGTTCTTGGGCGGTTTGACGTCTCCTGCGCCACACCGAAGACGTCATGTACTCCCCGTGACCGGAGCCTACTTCCAGAATCGTGGGCGCAACCACATGGTCCCTGATTCCAGACGGCCTCTCAAGTTTCGCATAAGTAACAGGTGCCTATTGAACAGGTGTCGCTCGGAGGGCTGGGTGAACACTCGAATGGCAAGGCGAAACTGGAAGGCATGTACATCCTACAAGTACTGTACATCCCCCTCTATCTATGGGTTTATGAGAGCCCTCCAGCTCGTTACCACCCAACCAACTGTTCCGCGTAATGAGGACTTGAAGCATCCTCGTGACAATGAAGCTGGGAGCACGAAGCGAGGACGGCAGCGCCTGTGAGAGCGCGAGCTGCACCGTGAACCACCACGGACTCATCACGAAACGCGCGCGAGATAGAACGGGCACGATCTCCAAAGCGCTCGTTGATCACGGCATGAACTGTTTTCGTCATCGATATAACGCATGATCATGGTTCGTCGAGTAGACGAAATGTGATCAACTATTGTCTTGAGCTGAAAATTTTCAATCATTTTGTAATCTACCTGACAATTATTAGATCTGTCAATGTGCAAATGAACGCGGGGACACTGAGTGCAGAACATTAGATGATCAGTAAACGACCATTTGACGATCGGCTGCTGATCAAGCCCCAGTGACTGGGAAGTACCAGATACCACGTGATCTAATGCGCGTCGCAGGCTCTTCAGGCAGCGTCTGCCTGGTGCTTCAAGACGGATTCCTCTTCTCTGTGCCTACATCTTCGCTCTTCTACTCTAGAATAGCCCCCAATCCTTTCACCAATGGATGAGGCATTTCACACGGACTCTTGATGCGGCCAAAACCTGGTCGATGTCGTACTTGCAATCAAGTATTACAGTTTACGATTGCAAGTGCTACTACAAGCAGCATGCTCGCGCGCGGATTCATCTATGAGATGCAGAAGAGGCTTCAACGAGCTGAGGCTGACCGAGACAAGGACTGAAGTGCAGACAAAACCGGCAGAACAGGGCGAGAGAACATGCGTGAACGAATACCTGAGGGTGTGATTATGAGAGACAGAGGGCGTGGAACGGCAGAAGATCTGAATCATTGGCAGGGAAGGGCCCAGCCAGCGCTCGACCATGGCGGCGACGTGCTCCTGCTGGCGCTGCGGCGCCTGCGTGAGCGCAGCGGATTTCTGCGGCGGTTCGTGCGGCCAGCCCTTGAGCGTACGCGCGTACGTGAGCGCATCATAGAACACCTCAAAAGGCACGAGAAACGCCGGCTTCTGGCTCTTGTGCTGCGGCTGCGCGATAGCAGGCTTGCAGAGGCTTGCCCTTCCCGCACGCATGGGGCGAATCGCTGGGCGGCGCGGCCGGCGCATGCGCGTGCGCGGGGACGTGTAAACCCGGGCCCTGCGATAAGGTCGGTGAGCCGGGGTCACCGCGAGAGGAGAGCACACGGGGGACTCGACGTAGCGGAACTGTGGGCCATACCGCGCCCAACCTCGTGCTCCTTCACACTCGCGGAGGAAGTGGCAGCGATCGCGAGCCTGTTGAGAACCCACGTGGTGCGATGGACACGACCGCGATTGGGGGCCGCGATGAACCACTATCCCGCGTATTGTTGTGGATATATGAAAGGCACGGGCGTGTCGAGGGAGGAAGGGTGTCGGACATGGGAGACCACGAACTATTCGAAGCACAGAGTTTAAGATTAGAGGAGGATGGCGAGCCGCGAGCACCAGGAAGACGCACCAATCACTCCCAGCCTCCTTTGCAAAATGGCCCGGGACTTGTTCAAGCTTCGCCATGAGAGGTGTAGCCGAGAAGCTAGTAACCGAGAGCAATGGGTCAGCATACTGTAGAGACACAACTCCTGCCCTTTCTGAAGGACTGTGGGCGCATAAGTGCTGGTGTTGCCAAGGCCACCCAAGGGCATACGCACGCACACGCCGGGCACAGCACAGTGACACGGGCATGCAACCACCGATATCCTCACGAGACGTCTCCCAAAACGCAAGACTCACCGGCCGGCGGCCAATCATCCTCTTCTGTGTATGCAGCTCGTCTGCGAGGTCCATATACCACTTTCCATGTGACGCACACGATCTGGAACGCTCGATTAGGCTTCGGATACTGCATATACACACGGTGTGGATAGTGAGGGTGAGAGTCGGAGAGGAGCCGTTCAGAATAACTAGCGCCTGCCCGCGCGCGCGACGCGACACGACACGGACTGGCGTGCGCGCTTAGCCAGCCCCGCTTTCTCCTTCATCTCATGTCAACGTTCGTTCTATACGCCAATAGCTGCACTTCTTATCCCCGTCCCCAACGAAATGCCAAGCACGTTCTGGGGGAGTTTCAACCTTAAATCTGCCACTGTACAGTACCTCAGCCTCACGATACTCTCCACCGCTGACGACCCATCCACAGCTTTGAATTGATTCCTCTCCATCCCCATCCTCCCTCTATACCACCATCATGACTAGCACCTCATGCACACAAGGCACCTCGGCCTGAAAAGCGCACTGCCGATTGTGCGGCTGCCTGCTTCCGGCCACACGCCCAAACGGACTCATACCAACGGCAACACGACTCACATTGAAGCAGCCCATGTGGAGACATCATAATTCGTCGGTTTCTTTGAGTACGCCTTTCATTCTTTCTTTGGCGTCTTCCCCCTCTTCCCCCCTTCCTATCGTATCCATCCAACTACGTCCGCGCGCATGCTATGTAAAGATGCGCGCAACTCAGACGACCCGGACTTCCAGCCTCCAGCGCTCGCCGGCGCCGCCCTCCGTACCCTCGAAGTCGCTATCGCGCATGTCTTTCACCACGCCGCGGTTCGACCGCCTACCGTGCCCATAGGTCCGCATCAACATCCTCATCGCACGGTCTCGCCTCGTCCTCGCGCGCACCGCCTGTCGCCCAAGATCTGCGCTCGCGCTCCGCCGTTTCACACTCCCAGCCCCGTTCTCTTTCGCACTATTCCCCCTTGTCTCTTACCGCCGCATCTCCCCATCAATACCCTCGCTCAAGCCACCCTTTCGCCATCGACGACTTTCAACCCTTAGCGCGACCCCCGGGTTGCCCTGCACATCACCGAGCCATCGTCGAGTATGGCAGAGACCTGGAAGTATGGTGAGTAATACTTTATCTCTTGCATTCCGAATCACTGCACAACGTCGTTCAGCCTCGCTGTCACCGCCATGAAAGGCAACACAATGTTCCAGTACTGCGATGTCTTCCCGGTATGTGCTGGTTTGCTCATGCGATCTTTCCGCCTGTGAGCTGACGAGTGACGACAGAAAGATCTTCTCGCCCGTTGCGGAGGCACGCGACGATGTCATGGGTGCTGACCCAGAGGCCGCCTTCGCTGTAATGATAGCGATATGAGATTGTTATGAGTCACCATTTCTCTCCCTGTCGAGATGTGTTGTGCTCGTATCGCTCACCAATGCACCCTTTTCCCACCCGTTCAGCTCGAAAACCGGGATCGATCCGCTGAAGCACCGGCCTACGAGCATGGCACCCCTGCTCGCGCGCACCTTCCGGCTCCCGAGCAACGCCGTCATCAGCGTCCCAATCAACCTGCCGTGAAAAACCACAAGGGCGTGGGCCGGCTCCGCCTCGTCCTCGCTCTGCCCGGCCGGCTTCCACCAGCGTGTCACGCGCGCGACGAACTCTGCCGTCGGCTCGAGATTCGTTGGGTGTCGCTGCGCTCCGGGGTGGACTCACCCTGCCATCGAGTTGCCCATGAACTACCCGGCGGTGCGCGTGGCGTCATCGTTCGAAGCCATCACCATCCGGAGTGGGTGTGGGTGAGGCACAGGTGCGGCTCACCCGTGTTTCTGTCTGCTACAGTCTCCCTTGTCGTCGTATCTGAAGTTCATAGCACACAGTCATGCCCATTAGATTTCCCTGCCTCAGTTAGAATAACCCTGCTGCTGTCGCCCCAGTGTCACTGTTATCATCTGTCTCTCGCTCGTTCGCATCCATATTGTACCTCCCATGCTTTATAGACCTGAATAATACCGGATTTTGCGCATATATGGGTGTTTGTGGTCGACCGGCAACAGCGAAACATTTCGGCACATCTGAATCGGTCTTTTCAGGTCATTGCACCACCCGGAAATGATCATTTTGAAGTGAGCTCATGTTCATCTCATCCCTGTGCCACGAACTAGCCATGGTCATATCGTACCTCAGCATTGATCACTGCACACCTCGTCTCAGATCATCTATACACCCAAGGACGATCAGGCCAGATTGTCGCTCTCAGAGAACATGTTCATTGTCGAACATGGTGTCCCCTGCAGATGATCTGCCCCGTTCATCTCGGCCCGAGTGAACGACCGGCCCTGCTCAGCCCGACCCGGGTGGACGACCGGCTCCGTTCTATCTCCCGCATACAAATGATAACTGTAGAACTGTTCCAAGCCCAGCCATGATAACGTCCTATCGTTCATCCCCTTACAAATGTTCGTCACTGCTCATCATCCCAGTCTGGGATGCTCGGTCCTGTTCTACCATGACGATTTTCTGTCATAAATTGACACTGTCCGTTCGACAAAGAAAGGGATGATCTCCGCAGACTGTACATGACCTACCTCGACCATCTGTAGTTCTGGTCCGGGCGCGTTTCGTGATGCTCTCCCAATGTAGTCACAAAAATCTGGGCATACAAACGTCTTACGCCATAGATCACAGCGACAGTATAACTACGCTGCGACGACAGGGGGGACACATGATATCAATGGGGCACTCACCGAAGGCGGCATCCTCTCTTGAGCACACGTACCCGCCCGCTCCTGCACCTCCGCCAACGCCATCTCGACAGTCGCCATAGATGTGACAAGTTCCTTGCATCGCAGACGCATGCTTCATGGGCACGATTTCAGCCTCGGGGTGGCTCAAGGGGCGCCAAGGTGACAGACGGGGATAAGATCGTCGCGTACTACCACTAGACTACAGTCTGCCGCGAAACACGTCAGCTCGGCCGTTGAGGACGCGGAAAAGCGTCATATCGTACCCAAACACGCGCCTGATGCGCTCTTCAACATTCTATGGCCGTCGGGGGAATCTACAGCTGTTGCCGAAATGATTGCCCGACCAACTCCGATGATACGCGAGCGGCAACACGCACGAACACTCCGAAAAATTCGGGGAAAATCGAAAAAGTCCCACCGCGCGTGCGCGACCAGACGCGAGCTCCACAAAAAATTCGAAAAATGATGGAAATTGGGAGACTGCGAGGGCGAGGCTGCCAGCACACATACATTACTATTTCTACTTGTTCCCTGCTCGAGCGCTGCATGTACATGCCTTTGCAATCCATGGACGACAGAGATACTGTCATCGTGCTGGTCGGCGCTATGGCACTAGCAGACCTGCGGCAGGCCCATAATTTCAAGCCCCCCGACAAAGGAACTTACCAAACTCCATAGTTCTTGTGTGTGCAGTGAATGTCGACAAGGGGAAGACCGTTTGGGCCGGGAACAGTTTCATCTTGGGCAGCTATCAAAGCAGCTGCTGAGACGGGACGAGGACCGAGACGACTTGAGACGACGTACCATGGCTCCGCGAGAGCCCAATCGTAGAACTCAGCACCTGCCACCATCCACCAAACCCTGAGGCCTGAGGCCTGCACCATCTGGCACCCGCGCGGTGATCGAAATGCCATTCAATGTGAGGGCGGGGAGGATGGAGAAGCGTCACCTGCAGGCCGCTCAGCCAAGATCCTCTCCACAGCATGCTGCCCGTTCAAAACGCGTTCATACCGCCTTTGAACGGTTCGCTTGTCCTTGCTCGAGCCGTCCGCGAACACGAGCTGTGGGGCCAAAGACTGGGAGGTGATCTGAGCGTGCCACTGATGCCGAGCGATCCCGTCGCGTTCAGCTGGCTCCTTTCACAGCTTCTTGTGCGAAACCCCGAGTCGGACGAGGATACGGCGGGCAGCGGCGAGTCTATTTGACGCCTTCGTGGAGGTACAACAAAGGGTGGGGGAGGAGATATCGTAAATCCTCGAGGACCAGGGGCCGGGGAGCGACGAATCCGGCGGTTTTGAAGTTACTCTAATGCCTTGTAGTCGTCCTTTCGTCGTCGCATGGAGCGTGTGGACACTCCGAGAGCTTCAGCAAGGTCGACTCACGACCGGCTTTGAATCAACCGAGTAGATCGCACCAGCCTCGATATCTTGCGAGATAGAGCATCCAGGCATGATAGGGAGTGAAGCAGAGACAAATGGAGTGGATTGGAGGGCACAAAGGCGTTGTACGGAGGCTGCAGGCGACGAGGACGATTTTTCGATTTTTTCGATTTTCTCGTGTGCGTTCGTGCAGCTCGCGTGTGATGTGCGCTCGCGTATCATCGGAGTTGGTCGGGTAATCATTTCGGAAACAGCTGTAACGAGGGAGAGGGGGAGAAGAAACGCGCTCGCGTCACTGCTGGCGATTTTTCGACCATTTCGATTTAATTTCCCATTTCTCGCGACGCGCGTCGCGTTTTTCAGCGCCTGGACAAGCTTTCTGCACGCAGCTGTATATACCAGTCAGGCTGGGCGGACTTGACAGCGCGGCGACGCGACAGCAATTACTCTCGATTCTCGAAAGGATCCAAGCGGCGGCAGCGGTGGACGATTCCACCTCGCGAGGCCCTCTGTGGATGTCGAGTCAATCGTGCTGCGCGGGGGCAACCAAGGCGCTGTCTATATGACATGTACATGAGAGGGCGCACGGGGCGCGGCCTATGATACAAATCGGGGTCTAAGCTGGGGCGCAGGTGCGTGGCGCGCTTGCTTGGTCTAGTAGCATAGGAGATGCGCACATGCACAGAAGAAGATAGGGATGCTGGCGGGGACGGCGGAGGATGGGAAGGGCCCGGGGGTCCGACAGCGAGGATGAGATGTGGGGATATGGATGTGAGGGCCGGATGGGATGCAAAGTCCACGGAAGGTACGTACACAACACGGAGAGTAGTGGAGGCGCTATCGACGGAAGGGGGAAAGCGAAATGGGGGCGTAATATATAATACAAGTAATCGCTGGCTCGGGCCCGCCGCACGCCGCGCGCGGGCCCCCGACCAACTGACCAACTTCCACTCCACCGGGACTGGCATCCGAACGAGAAATTGACCCACGGGCACGGGGGCCCAAAGCGTCCAGCGCGGGACACCGCACCTCGCCGCTCACAGCGGCCGCCACCCGTCGCCTGCGGGCCACTTGAGCTCGTCCCTCTCCAGCACCATCCTCCGCCCGCCGCTCCCCTCCTCGACCGTGACGTCCACCCCGCCCTCCCTCCACCGCCGCGCGCGCTCCTCCACCGACATCCCCATCGCCCCGTTCCGCGCGCGGCCGTCGAGCCCGTCGGCGACCGAGTCCTGGTCGACGCTGCTGTCCGCGTCGTCGTTGTCCGGGCCCGGGCTCGCGCAGTCGCCGACGCCGTCCGCGTCGCCCATGAGCCCGCGCCGGACGTCGCCCTCGCGGCGGAACGGGCCCGCGCCCGCGCCGTGGTGGGGCACGAACCCACGGCGCGAGAACGCGCCTTCGGCCTTGTAGCGCGCCGTGTCGAGCGCCGGCTGCGCGCGGAGTGAGAGCGAGGTGAACGTCCGCTGCAGGCTCCCCAGGGGGCTGTCGCTCGGGTCTCGCCCCCGCTCCTTGCCGTCGCGCTGCTGCTCGCGCTCGCGCGAGCGGTGCGAGGTGAGCGAGAGGTGGCGCGACAGCATGAGGTGCGAGGGCGAGCCCGGGCTCGGTTCCCGACGCGGGCTCACGACGTCCGCGAAGGGGGAGTGGGTCGCGTCGAGCGGAGATCCGGAGGGCGAGATCTGCACGCTCTCAGGGCGCTTCCGGCGTGGGGGAGGAGGGACCGGTGGGGGACTGGCCTGGTGCATCGACTTGGAGCGGCCGACGCGTGCGTTTCCAGAGATTGTGCTGAAACGCCCTTCATCGGCGCTCACGCTTGAGGCGGCGTATGTCGACGGCTTGCGATCGGGATGCCGTGGGGGAGGTTCGTTGGGTAGGTCGGCGAGCGAACGGGGAGGGGTACGAGATGGGGATACGGTGGGGGACGCAAAGCTGCGCCGTGCTGGGGGCTCGGGAGGGAATGGCGAGGGTAAGCCGGGGGGAAGGGTCATACGCTTCTTGTTGAACGGAGTGAGGGAGGCGGTGGCAACCTGCTCGAACGAGTGTACGGTCCCCGCACCGACGGTAGACGCGGGAGGACTGAGGTTGCGTCGAGGGGGGAGAGAGGGGACGGTGGTGTTACGGACATGGAGCGACGGAGTTGAGCTTGTGGTCGAGGACGCGGAGCTGCTCGTGAGCTTCGTGGGGGAGGTGCTCCGCATACGCCGTGGAGGGACAGCACTGCTCTTGAGGACCTCCATCACGCGCTCCTGCTCGAGCCTTTGCTCCGCCTTCTTCAAGCTCTGAGCGATGCGTGTGGCTTGGAGCGACTGCTGAATCAACGTGTTCGATGTGTTGTTGGAGGAAGCACTGCGGGGGAAAGCCGGTACAGGCGGCGGAGGATCCCGCGGCATGTTCATGGCGTTTGCGCTCAAAGACGCATGACGAGGGGGTGGGAGCACGGGAGGTTTCCGAGGAGGTAATGGCGGGACTTTGCCATCCAGTGATGGGCGCATTCCGGGAAAAGTAGAAGCACCTGGAGGAGCGGATTGCGGTGGTGGTCCGTCCTGCGACACTCGTCGGTTGAGGAAGGGATTGGTGGGCTTCGGAGGCAACGATGGCGGAGGGGGTTTCGCAGAGACAGTACCATTGGTGTGAAACGGATTGTTGTCCGAAGGGATCCTAGATCGCGTTCCATGTGGTGAAGGAGAACGCGATGTGACGTCCTTTGGATGTGCTAGGAGATGCAGTTGTCAGCTTACGGACTTTGCGTACGACCAGACCGCAGAGATGACAAGAAACCGCAATCACATGAAGGTCGAGGGTCCCACAGCCTAAACTGTAGCCGCAAGGCCATCGCCTCAACGGTGGGGTCTGCCATGGGCGTGCCAACGAGGGATACGCCCAGGGCAAACGACGCACATATCTCGAGCACATGTTCAGAGCGTCACAGATTTCCAATCGACGACTCTCTTGCTAGCGCCTCGCCGGCGTATGTACGAAGCGGTCATACCCTAGCACGGTAGCGTCTCACGCGAGGAGGAACTAGCGTGGAGGGCACAAAGGCCCCGCAGTGACTGGGCCCATGCGCTGCGCTTCTCACGTAATGAACCTGAGAAGATTCCTTCCGCGTAGGCCAACGGAAGATCCGCCCGCTGCATACAGTGGCTCGGAAGGGGAGGCTAGGGCCTTGAATGCCCTCGGAGTTGCACAGAACGAGAGCAGCAGGCACGCAGAGACACGGACCTTGCATGAAAACCAGCGCTGGGTCCATCTCCCTTCCTCCGAGGACGTGGTACACAAGGCGGAGGGCGGCGAAAAACTGGCCGGCGGTCATGGTGTCCGCGGGGGCCAGATCCGGAGACCAGAGGCGCAGGATCTGGAACGGGATGAGCAGAGGACGACGAGGGCACGCACGCACTCACCGCATCGATGGAGGCGGGGGTGAGGGCGGGGTAGCGGCCGCGGAGCCATGCCCTGGCTTCGCGGACCCCGAGCTGGAGCTTATCGTAGTCGACGGCGGGCGGGGGCTGCTCGACGATGTCGTGGAGGGACGCAGTGTAGGCAGCATACTCTGCGTCGTTGAGCGCGGAGACGTGGAGGGTGAGCGGACGCGACATGGGGCATGCCGTGGGCGAGGGGGGCGGAGAACGAGATGGACTGGGCGCGCAGTGGGCTCGGCGGCACGCGGCGGGCGGGAGCGCGGCAGGCAGACGCGAGGCCGGCATCGGCGCAGGCGAGCCACCCGCCTTGGCCGCCCGCCTGCCGCCCGCCGCCGACTGGGTGCGCACTGCGCACGGCCGCTACTCTAATCTTCCTTGACTGCTCAGCCAAGGTGTGCACAGGAAAGTACGAGACTCGGGGCGAGCCCCTGCAACTTGCAAGCCGCAAGCTTTGATCCCGCAGAGCCTCGTGGCACCGCAGCGCGGACACTGGATTCGGGTGGCAGATGTCGTGCTCGGGGGTCAAAAGAGATACACAAGGCGAGCGCGGTGCAGGAGAGGTCGTGGTGGTGGTCGGACAGCGTCGGAAAATCAACCTTTCAAGTCCCATGCCTGCGAGCCATCGTCGACTCTGATGGCGAGCTGCACGCTCCTGCCTTTCAGCACCCCCGTTGATCGACGCGTTTCTCGTTGCCCTCGCGCCTTACGCACGCCGTTTCCTCGCCTCGTGCCCTGCTCACATGCTCGAAGCCTATCGGCCCTTGATTTCCAACCTCCGGTCTGTGGTCAATAGATCACCGCAACTTCTTTTGACAATGATATGCAGTTGGATGAGCACACCATCACTCACCACTCACACCTGTGATTGCCGGTGAATCCTGGTGCTTATGTTTCAAACAATTGAAACAAACTTGGCGGCTCTTCAAGCATAGCCATTCCCTTCCACCGTACCCCAGTCTCTACACTCAGTAAGTGGCCAGAACGCACAATCTGATTTCTGATGCTCTTGTTCCATCGTAGATCCAGCGTCGCCACCGACATCACGGCCCCACGTGCACAGCGCTCAGCCCCTTCGCGGGAACGCAAAAGGCAATTCAGCGCGTGCCCACCACTTTAGCGGACGGGGCTTGGATACGGACCACCAACACCCCGCACAAACCGCTCTGCAGCGACCCTTGCGCCGCCGGTGGAAACACTCGTGAGTGTACTCCTCCCTCAACAAACGAGTCAACGTCATGAGCCGGCAGGAGGCGGGCCGCAGAGCAAGCGACACCCTGCCGCGCACGATACTAGACCCGCACCATCGTCACCTTTCAGCCGTTGACCACCACGAACGCTACAGTCCACATGTCGGCGACCAGACAGGCTTGCACCCATCCGACCGGCCCCCAGCTACCGCACCATCATCACACAGTGCACCTGTCGATCGGCCAGCGACATGGAGCCCCCACCCCAGCGAAAGGCTCAGCAGTTCAACAGGCCCATGCGCACCCGAGAACCGCACATCGCCCACCCTCATTCTTAGTCCCTGGCCACGCGCGGGCCCCGACCCCACCATCAGCGGGCCATAGCGTGCGCGCCCGGACGGCGTTGAGTATCCGCACGCCGCTCGCTAGGCATATGCAGCTAAGCTCCCGTTCCAGATCCGGGCCTTTGTCCCTGGCGATCCTGGCGTCCCTCGCTCAATGCACAAGACTCCAAGGCTAGGGCGAGCGCAGCACTCGGACGCCGTCTCCGACGAGGTCTCGGAGCGCAAGCACGACGGCAGTGAGCTAGCTGGTGAGTCCTTGGTCATGAGATCTGAAGTGCGAGTACACGCGTGTGCAGACAAGGGTTTCACCGCGAGCGTACACCTCGGCGCGCCCTTTCGCGGGATAATTCTCGCGAGCGCGCCCGCCGTCGTCGCGCCGATCGCCTTTTCGTCGATCGACGCCGTGCGTCTTCGCTCACGAGTCCTGAATATTGTATCCGTCCACTTTAGCTCGCACTCGGGTCGCCTCGCGCTTCCAGCCGTCGTCTGGCTCTCCGACAGCAACCATTTCTCCGCGACCCGTTGGTGCCGTGTGTCTGGCGTCCGATGGCGTGCCTCTTCGGTGCACGGACTCCTTTCACGTCGGAGCTTGCACTCAGGTCCTCTCAGGATAATTCGCGACAGGAACAGCGCTGGATCACCGCGACCGAGTCCGGGGTGGAGGGATCCGCCGCCGGCTCCATGCCCAATGTCACGATCGTGGCTCCGCATGCGTATCACCACGATGCGGCCGTCTCGGACGCCAGAAGTCAAACCTGAGGCTCGCTGCCCACTCGAAGTCCCAGAGCAAGCGACGACATCGCGAGTCCCAACGCGGGACGAAACGACAAGCGCCACGCGGCAGCCGTGCTACCCGCGGCCTGAGCGCGAGCTTTGCGCCCGGATTCAAAAAACCTGACGGCTCTGCTTTCTCGCCGCCGGCTGTGAAGTACTTGCAACAAGCAGCCCGCACGGCGCGAAACGAAACGAAACACCGGGCATCCCGGCGGCACGGGAAAACGAACGGGGCTGATTGTGTCGTATTGTCCCCCCCCCCCCACGCGCGCTCACCGACTTTGATCGCGCGCGCACGTAGGCTGTAGCTACCAGGTGCTGCGTTGTTCCGACCCAAAGTTCAAATTCTCAAACGTTCACGGACGGCCGCGAATGTGCTCGCGCCGGAGGACCACGGGCGCTCATCGCACGACGCTCGTCGCACCATAATATATTTCGTGGTCGGACTAGAGCTCGACGATCAGGATGAACTTTGCACGGGCGGGCGAGGGCGCGCCACGTCGTGGAAGGGGTCTCGCGCTCTGGTTGCTTCCGTCGTTCCGGTCTGCGTTTGCCTCCGGAGGTGCGCCAGCGAGCCTAGAGCGCCCCCCGCTCTCACGATTCTTCAGCGCGCGCGTTCTCATCAGCCGACGGCCGCCACGCCACCACCACCACCACCTGGCACCACTACACCACCACCGACCTGTACAATGTGCCAGGGGCTCGAAATTCGAGAAGCGTTCGCTGCTCTGCGAGGGTGCGAGCGGGAACACCAGCCAATCAAGTCACGAGCGCACGAGCTGGCCCGGCCTGCGCGTGGCCCTGAGGGACACGTGGCGTTAGCGGCGGCGGCGTTCCGTATCGCCCGGGAGGATAAGGCAGAAAGCCGCGACCGGCGGCGCGACGCAGCACGACGCCCGCCGCACCCCGGTCACGGGACGTCGACCGCGTCTGAAGCTCTGTGGATCTGATGCACTTAATGCACATTGCACGCACGCGCGGGCGCGTTCTCGATGGAACCGCGCGGGATTGGTGCGTCGACCCCCGACTGGAGAGCCTAGAGGGCCAGGGCGCGCCCGCAAGTGCGGAAACGTGGCCCATTCGACGTCCGCGCTCGGGGGTTGCGCCACTGGTGTGCGCGCGATAGATGGCGGCGGGGGTCGTTGGAGTTGGGGGTGGTGATGATGATGACGACCTTCGCACGACCGTCCGCGTCCCGTCGGATGGCGAGAGTCAAGGCTCAAGCTTTACATAAGGGGAGCGATCTGCCCGACGCGCCGGGCGAGTGCGCACGATCTGGCTGGTGTCTCAGGCCGCAGGCCTCTCAGGCGCGAGACGGGCAGGGCGTTCAGTACACGGCTGCCCGCCCGCCCCAAACGCGGTCCCGACCAGGTACCAGCCGCCCACGTGGTCGTCTCCAATGATTCGTCTGACTCTGTGCGACCGACCTCAGAGTCAGACTCCAGATCAACTGTTGGACTCAGCCTCCCGGCGATCCCGCCGTCCACGGTCCAGACCCCCTTGCCAGACCGCCAGCGGGCAGCGGGCCTCGGGCAAGCCGTCCCAGCATACCGGAAGCAGCGGACCACGCACGAGCTTGAGGCCGCGAGGCCCCGATGGAACCCCCCACGCGCCGCGCCGCGTCGTTGCGTGCGTGCGTGCTCCGAGTCGCCCGACGACCCTGCCTGCCCCGCGCGCGCGATCGTCGAATCGGACATCTCGCGACGGGCACCCTGCAACGTGGCCCTGGCCGCGGGCGCGGGGCTCGGGGCGAGCACCTGCGCCGTGTGCGCACGGTGCGGCGAGGCGAGCGTGCGCGCGTCCGACCCGTCCGCACTAGAACGCGTCCCAAGCTCCGCGGCGAGCAGGAGAACGTCGCGCGGAGGAACGACGTCGCTCTCTCTGCGTCTCTCTGCGTCGGCGCGGGTGCCCCCGATGCGCATCAAGCATCTGCATCTGCATCAGCAGCGACGAAGCTTGTCTGGTGCCGACCTCAAGCAGCGCCGCGGCGCACGGCGCGACGGTCGACATACCCGAGCGGGCCCGCGCTGCGAGAAGACGTTCGGGGGCGGCACATTGCCGCATTTGCTGCCTCCCTCCCGGCGGAGGGGGGCCTCGTGGCGCCCGTACCGGCCGATCCCGAGCGGGTATACTCAACACCGACTCGCCCCCCGCCACGGGCACTGGAGTCTGGCGGCATGGGCAGCCGCCGGTGGGAGTCCCCGCGAGACTCGAGCGGCGCCGGAGTTCTAGACGTCAATTGAGCATCTATAGTGGTGAGAAGGCCGGAACGGCCGAAGCTGCCGGTAGGTACTGCACGTCGGATCTCTGCCGCGTATCGCGCCCCCTTCTCGAACCTCTCCCGACCATGCGCCCCCTGTCGGTCGGCGAGGGCGCGGGGGACACTTACGGGAGGCTTCGTGAGCCGCCTTCCATTGGTATCAGACTTTGGAACCCGCGTGCTTTATTCCACGTGGTACCCCCTGCTCGCGGAAGAGTAATACGTCATGCGCACTCGGGAGCGCTCTGCGTGCGTCCGCAACACACACCCGTTGCTGCAAACGTGTTCTAGACGTCCCTACGCACATATGCTTGACCGCGCGGGGCTGTCGCGAAGCCACGGGCGGACAGCGCCCGTTGGCCCGGTGCAGCGTCCAAGGCGTTGGACCGCACATGTGTGCGCGCTAAGCGTCGCAAGAATCGCGTCATGTCTTCAAGCTGGCAGGGGAACAGGATAGAACCGCGGATGGCCTTGCGACGGCGGTAGAGCTCAAGAAAGATGCAGAGAAGATCGCACGGAGGGGCCAGGAGATTTTTGCGCCGCGAGCAGAAGATACAATCCATCTTGTCGACAGGTAAAAATACAGGGACATACTGTAGCTTCGAACCGCCGCCGTGGCTCCAACGTGCAAGCCGCAAGGCTCCAGGGGTTCCAAAGGGCGCAGAAGGCGCCACGCGCTCACCAGACGCTTTGCGCCGGGCCCGGGCTGGAGGGGATGCTCTGCGGCATCGCGGTCGGCCGAGGGGCCTCCCGGACGGGCTCCGGCTCCTTCCTGTACTCGATCTTCTCCACGCGGACCTCGCCCTCGATGAGCTGGTACACGTAAGTGACGACGACGGGGCCCTGGATGTCCATCAACGCGAACGAGGGCGTGGCGTCGCTGCAGGGGGGATGGGAGGTCACCACCACAACCCAGAGGGCGATCCGCACGGGAGGACGACGACGCACCCGTTGAAGCTCCCCGTCCACGCGCCGGTGGCGGACCCGGGGTTGACGAAGAACCGGCCGTCGTACTCGACCGCCTGGAAGCTGCGCGGGGGGGAAGGGGGGCGCGCTCGCGTCCAGCGCTGACTAGCACTCTCGGCCGGGGCGGGGGGACTCACGTGTGCGTGTGGCCGGAGACGAGGACGTCGACGTCGAGCTGGCGCGCGACGGCGTTGAGCGAGTCGAGGTCGCCGGTGGGCACGGACTGGTGCCCGTGCACGACGCCGATGCGGATGGGGGCGTGCGCGACGGTGACGGAGAGCGGGAAGGAGCTCTGGCGCGAGGGGGCGGGGGTGAGCGGGTGGAGGCGCGGCGGACGGCGGCGCGCGGCGCACCTCGTCGTAGTCCCCTCGCACGGCGTGCACGTCGGGGGAGACCGTGCGCAGGTACTCGTACGTCTCGCGGTCGCAGACGTTGCCGGTGCAGAGGATCTGCTGGATCTTGCCGGGGACGAGGAGCTTCTTGAACTTGGAGGGGAGGTCGTGGACGCGGTGGGGGATGTGGAGGTCGCCGATGACGAGCACGAGAACCATGGTGGGGGCAGCAGCGGAGGGGAGTGCGGTCGAGGTCGCCGTGTCCAACAGCGAGCAGCCCGCGCCCGGCGCCGCCGCACCCACTGCAGGGCCGACAGACGCCAGGGGACGAGGGGCGAGGGCCAGCCACGTGGCGTGTATGTCATGAGGGTGCAACAGGCGCCGGGGAACATACTGCGGGGGACACGTGTGCTGGGCGTGCCGAACCACCACCACGTCGCCCCTGCCCGTCGATCGAGCACTCAGCAGGATGGCCCACAGTCTCTCGGAGGAGTGCACGCAGCTGAAGCGGAAGTACGACGGCTGCTTCAACGCGTGGTTCGAGGGCTACCTCGAGCCGGCGGTGTCGGCGTCGGCGACGGCGGAGCAGCGGAGCCAGTTCTCGCAGGAGAAGGCGGCCGAGTTCGAGCGCAATTGCGGGCGGCTGTGGAAGGAGTACCGGGCGTGCGTGCAGGTGCGTCGGTCGGGGGAGAGGTGCATGTGCTCACGTCGCGCTGACGGGCTGCGGTGACAGAAAGCGGTCCAGGACAAAGGATTGACCGACCTCCTCGACCAGGCGCGGAAGGAGAACCCTCTCAGGGACCCCCCGGGTCCGTCATCAGGCTCGTCGGGCAAGTCGTAGGAGCTGCTTCTGGCGCTGGGGGTGAGTTCTGGTTGGCAACGGCGGCGATGGCGCTCTGACGAAGTGGAGGACGGCAGAGACACGCCTTGTGCTCAAACGGACGCAGGACGGCGTAGCTTAGTGATGGTGATTCATGTCCTCCTCATCTCTCGAGGCGTGGTGTCTGATCTGTCATTGTCGGCGACAGTTTTGCTCTCGAACCCCGCTCTGAACGATAACGAACCTTGGCCTGAGTGCGTCAAAGAGAATCGCGAATGGGCTGCGGTGAAACGAAGGCAAACGAGCGGGGCACTGCTGGACTCGCCGGCGGTGGAGGCGACATACGGCAAGCGAAGGCGAGAAGCGGCCGACTGGCGCGCGCGCTGCCAGAGGAGCGTGCAAGGAGCCGAATACGCTCCCGGGCCAGCGCCTGGCGTGCCGCGGAGGGAGATGCGTACATCCGAACGTCGCCCGTGCTAGCTGGCTCCCGTCGTCCCTGGCGACTCGTCGGCCGCGCCTCTCGTCCGCTCCCTCTCGCGTTTGGGACGAGGGCTGCGAGCTCGACCCTCCCTGTCACCCACACGTCTCGCCTCCAGCCGCCCCCTCAGTCGCCAAGCGACATGTCCACCGCGCAATCTTCCGTGTGCGTTCCCGTCGGCCTCACCGCTATGCGAGCAAGAACGGGTGAAGAGTGGTGAAAGGTATTGTGGGTCCACCGCCTCAGGCCACCCCCCGCTTAAACCGTTATCTCATTAGCTCAGGGCTACCTCCCGCCAGGCTCCACGCGAGCGTAAGCTCGTCAGTCATCTTTCCCGCGCCCCCCGCGTGCGCGAGATTGGAGTGAGCCCAGGCAGCCAACCACACGCTGCGCCGACGCCCCCCAAGTCCCCGTCCCCGCCGTCCCCGTCGCCCCCCTGCGCCGCCAGGCTCGGACCTGGACGTCGCACACCCCAGGCCCTCAGCCAGCCAGCCACTCCCCCGCGGTCTCCGCCACCAGCACTTGGCCGCAGCCCCGCACCGCGCCTCCGCCAGCCAACCACAGACCATCACGCCCCCGCACGTCCGTCATTGGCTCGCGACCCGCCCGACGCCCGACGTTTCGCCCGTACGGGGTGCGCGGCGGGCGCATGGAAGACCCGCCCAGGGCCCGGCCCGCTAGTAGCAGATAGCGGGAAGCACTGGGCCCGCCTCGCGCACGCGCCCGAGGCCAGTTGGCCCTTTTTCGCTTAAGCGTGCGTTGGCAGGGAGCGCCGCAATCAGGTCCTGCCGGGTGCGGAGGCAAAGCTCTGGACCGCTTGGTGAGATCTCGTTCGCCCGTCTGCGCCCCCTCCTGAGCTCGACATCATGAGCGGGGCCCGTGTGGAACTACGAGACAAGGCGGCATTTGTGGCAGACGTGCCCGCCCCGGGCCTGGACGTACGGCTGGCCGACTCGTCCGCGGCCGTTCTGCAGTCCGGTTCCAGCAGGCGTCGCAAGCCCATGCACGATCCACACGCCGCCCCTCCCTCCCCGCTCCCACGCGGAAGGCCCCTCAACCACCCCGCGTTCGATCCGCCCACATACCCGCGCGCCGCGGGACGACGACGACGACGGGCCGCAGGCCCATTTCCGCCCCTCCCGCGTCCCATCTGCCTCCGCCCTCCCAGAGTCCCACCGTCGCCGCGCGCCGCCCCGACGGCTGGACGCGCACGCGCACGCACCCGGCCCACGGGCCACCGCGCCTCCCGCGAGCGCGGTCGCGCGGCTCGCCCCGGCCGGCGCAGGCCCTCCCGTCAGACTTCAACCTTCCGCGCCCAGACTCCTGCAGAGCGCTGCCGATGGCGATCGCGCCGCGCCCGCGAATCCATTTTGTCTGGTCTGCGGACATCGATCGCCGTCCGCGTCCTCTGCTTCCGTCCGCGGCGACGGCCCCACGACCAGAAGGGCGCGCGGGTCCATCGGACGCGACGCGCGCACGCGAGCGTCCCCCCCCTTCCTGGAGGCCTGAAGCTGAAGCTCGAAGGCCTGACGTACGGATCCCCGGGCCTCTGGGCCTGGAACAGGGCGGGGGGATCCGAGGCGCGTCGTCGCGTCGCCGTGGCGCGTCGCAGCCGGCGCTCTGGCTGGCAGGAAGGCAGTCCAGGACACTGAGTCGGAACGGGCACCGAACTCTGGTTCAACAGTGTCAGAAGGGCCACCGAACCCTGGTTGGTGGCAGCGCGCGCCTCAGGCTAGCAGCCCAGCCGCCAGCGAACCCTGCGCCACGCGACGCACGCGCGCCCCGAACGATCCGCGCCCCGCGCGCCGGGTATGGCCTAGCGCGCCCCCGCCGCGCGCACTCACGCACGTCCGGGGGGAACGTTCAACGCGCGCCGAACGCTGAACGCTAACGCGCAAGCGCTGAACTTTCACGGTCCTCGCTCCCGTCCTCGTTCGCGTGGCCGCGCGCGCTAGCGCCCCGCGAGAACGGTAGGGGCGGGCGGGGCCCCCGCGTTTTGCATCCGTCGCTGGGCTTCAGCTTTGCAACTTTGGAGCCTGCGTGGGCTCCGTGCCCAGGTACGCAGTCGCTCGCCGCCGCCGCTCTGGGGGCTGGAGAGGCTGTCGTCGCCTTGGGCTTTCGATTCGGACGGACGGCCCCCTCCCCCGTCCGCGACGACGACGACGGCGCGGTGGTGGTGGCGGCGTGTGCTGGTAGATCTGTTCCGGCGGCACCAGCTGGAGCTGGACTCTGGAGTTGCAGTGGACGAGCGACGGCAGTGCGTCGCGGCGCGCGCGCACTGACATACCCGGGCTGCGGTCGCTGACGTCGTCGCGGTCGCTCGCGCGGCCCCGTGCTTCTTCTCCCGCCTGATCCCCCCGCGCGTCCAGGCCCGTCCGTCCGCCCGTCCGTCCGTCCGTCCATAACGTTACGCACATTCGATTCCGACCGCGACAACGACAATGACGACCGCAACGGTCGCGGCGGGATCGGGGGGTGGGCCACCACGGTCCCGGGCAGCGCGGCGCAAGGCCTCGCGGACCAAGGTGCAGCTAGGTGCAGCAGATGCGGTGGCGTAGCAGAAGCCCGGTGCAGAACGGCGCGCGGCGCAGATCAGCGCAGGACAGCCCCCGGGATTTCGCGCGCGCGGAGTCCAGCCCCTGCAGCGTCCGCGAGCTCCGAGCCGCACTTGGAACTCGGAACTTGGAACTTGGAGCTTGGAACTTGGCGAAGACGACGGCCGCGGGAGGCCCCCGCGCACGCACGCTGCCGACCGGCGTCGCACACAACCCACATCGCGCGCCCCTGGCGTCCACCGCGGCCTGCAGCACGCGGCGTGATATGCGATATGCGAGATGGCGCGGCGCGATCACGCAGAGAGAGTCTGAGATGCGCGATGGGGCGATGGGGGGCGCGAGGCCTGAGGGGGGCCCGCCCGCCCGCGTGCGCGAGCGCTCGCTCGCGTGGCGCGCTCGTGGTCGTGGCTAACCTTGTGCCAACGCAGAAAGCTTGTCAGAACCTTGCATCGCCCTCGGCGCCTCCCTCGCGCGTCGCGACCGGTAACCCAGGGATCCCGTCGCGCGTCGACCTCGCTCTGTCTGTCTTTCTTTTTTTCTTTCTTTCTTTCTCTTTCGCTCGCTCGCGCACGCGTGCGCCCCGCGCGGTACCGGTTATGTCGCGCGGACCCTGTAGTTGCCCTCCCGCACCTCCCGCCCCCGCCCCCGCCGCGGCATCTCCACGGCCACGCGCGGTCAGTGGGGCCCCCCTCCCGCTCCCCCCGGTACCTGCGCACGCGGTGGTTGCGGTCGCGGGCATGGACCGAACGCGCCCCCCGAACGCGCGTCCATCTGCCGCGGCCCTCCGTTCTTCTTCTTGTTCTTCTTCTCCCCCCCACCCGAATAGATGCTCTGTTCTGTGGCGTCGCAGAGCACGCACATGCGCGCGTGGGACTCGGGGGGAACCGCGGGGGTGGCACGGACCTGCATTGCCGGATCCAGACGCGCTGGGCAGGGCTGGCGCCGGGTGGCTGCTGTGTCAGTGTCAGTGTTCGCTGTGGTGTGGTCCACCCGCCCCGCCCCCGTCCGAGTCTGTCGTGGGCCAGGCTGATCGAACTGGTGGGCTCGATTCGGGGCGGGCAGGTGGGCGGGCGCTCGGCCGAGGGTGGTTCGGGGCTGGAATGCTAAGGCGAAGCTTGGTGGACGCGCGTGCGCACGCGCCTCGAGGCCGCCAGTCCGGCGTGGGCTCCTGAAGTCGATCCGCACTCCGCACGGCACACGCATGGAGAGAGAGAGTGCGGCCAAGGACATTATATATTTTGTTCCGGGCGGTCTAGCGGTACAGTCGGGCTGGTTCCAGGTCGGGGCGGGGAATGGTACATGTAGCGTATGTGTGGTGGGGCGCGGGGCGTATGCGAGATGTGCGGATGCCGAGTGAGCGTGCTTCGGAGAGATATAGAGATAGAGAGACGGAGAGAGAGGAGAGCGAAGCAGATGCGACGAGTGAGAGGGAGGGGATAATTTACGATACAGTGGTTAGAGACACAGACACGGCGCCGGGGATCCAGATGAGACCAGGAGGGAGAGGGAAGGAGAACCAATCGCGCCCGTCGGCCGAGGGTGGTAAGGGTGTACAGTATGCGGGCACGGACACGAAGACGAAAGACGAAAGTATGGAGGCAGAGGGAACGGTCCAAGAACGAGACGCGAACGTTGGGCTGGAGCAGCACGGGGGAGCGGGGAATCGGGGTCCGCGGCGGGGGCGCTGGGCGACCCGCGCGCGCCCGGTGCGCGCGCGTTAGGGTATGGCACGCGGCGGCGGAGGGGGACGGCGCGGCGGCCAGCGCGCTACGCGGTCATGCCCGCGGAGAGCATGGGCATGGTATAGAGCATCGTCGGCTCGATCACCTCCTGCGGGTGCGCGTCCGGCTGCGGGTACGCGGGCACGCCGTAGCTGTAGTGCAGGTACGGGTACGCGGGCATGCCGTGCCCCGCGTCGGCGGCGTAGTAGAACGCGTCCTGGTGCGGCGCGTAGCTGAGGAGAGGGCGTCAGCGCTGGACACGGTGTGCGGGGGGAGAGAAGGGTGCGCACTCCATGCCGTGGTCGGAGAGCGAGGACTCGGAGGGCTGCATCGGGGGCACCTGCGGGAGCGCGATGTGCGGCGCGCCGTCGGCGGCGGCGCTCGCGAGGTTGACGAGCATCGGGTTGTGGTGCATGCCGTGGGCGTCGACGCGCATGCCGAACGCGTCGAGGCGCTGCTCGGGCGTGAGGAACGTCGGGGAGCCGAGGCAGCGCACGGGCCGCGGGGCGTGCACGGCCGCGGGGGCGTGGTGCTCGACGAAGTCGTGGAACGGCTCCGGCGCGGGGTGCGCCTCGGCCGCGTGCGCGTAGGCGGAGGACGAGGCCTCGTAGTAGTCCGCCATCGCGGCCTGCTCGGCGGCGAAGCCCTCGTGGTGGACGTTGTCGTACCCGAACGAGGTCGGGATCGCGTACTGGGCGTCCTCCCACTGCTGGGAGGCGAACTCGGCGGGGGACGCGGTGGACTCGAACATGTGGGAGTCCTGCTCGGAGTAGAGGAGGTCGGGGGTGGACGTGCCGGAGTTCTCGGACTTGGCGTGCGCGTAGTGGTACGGGGAGGAGTCGACCTCGGAGGGCGGGTAGGACGGACCGGCGGGCTCGGAGCACTCCGAGTCCGAGCGCAGGCGGCGGTCGCGGGGCTGGCGGGAGGCGTTTTGTTGTGGGCGCGCGGGCTTGTCCTCCTCGACGTACTCGCAGATGTAGCCGCGGGCGAGGCAGCGGTTGCACGCGGGGCGCGAGCCGCTGCACTGCGTGGCGGGTGGCGGTTCAGAAGGAGGTGGGTGTGACGAGAGAGGAGAACTCACCTTGGCTTTCCGTTGGCGGCACTTGTTGCACGCCTTCTGGGTGCGTCTGTTCTTGAGGGGGGTGGGGGAGCGGAGGAAGATGCAGGCGCCGTCGGGACCGGGGAGGGTGCCGGCGCGGTAGTGGTAGTACTCGCAGCCCCAGGGAACGTCGTAGGGGATGAGGTTCCAGGAGTCCTCGGAGGCGACGGCGAGGTCGAGGCTGGCGGGGGAGTAGGGCTCGATGGGGGTGGAGGGGGAGGAGTTGGAGGGGGAGGAGCGGCCCGAGGGGGAGGGGCGGTCGGGGAAGTAGCCGTGGTTGGAGCAGTGCTCGAACATGATGGTGAGGTCGGAGTCGGGGCGGGGGTGGTGGCGGAGATGGGCCATGGCGGGCGGGCGGCGGGAGAGGTGGGCAGGGCGGCGGGGGGCCGAGGCGGGCGGAAAGCATCTTTTAACTCGACGGCGGTCGTGCGCGGGGGAGCGTTGGACGAAACGAGGGCGCGACAGGAGCGCCGAGATCGACGGCAGGATCTGCCCTAGGTCGCAATCGGGCAGGAGAATGTTCTTCGCCGCTAGATGCCCAGAGCCTATCACGCTCCCTCCCATCGAGATCCCCCGGCGGAGAACCCCGGCGCCAGCTCCCTCCCTCCTAATGCTCCCGCGCCTCTCCCCGACCCCCGCGCGCCTGCCGCCTGCCGCCTGCGCCCTCCCAGCGCTCCCTCCCGCCTTCTCCCCGAGCGAGTCCCCCCCAGCGACCACCCCCCCGCTCGATTGCACGCCCACGCCCTCGATGCCCACGCCGATCGTCCTGTCCACTGCCAATAATTGCCTCGCCCACGCCCCCGGCCCGCACGGCGCCCGCCCCCGACACCGACGACCCCACCGCCCCCGCCCCCGCCCCCGATCCCTGCTCTCGGCCAGCACGAGCTCGAGGAGCGCCCTCGTCCGCTCGGGTTACATTCAGGGCTCCTCACGCTTCCTTCGCGTGGCCGCCACCACGCCCGCCCGTCCAACCACCTCCAGCCTCCAGCGTTCTCCCTTCCAGCTCCTGCGGCTCCCTCGCGCACCGTGTCGGCCCCAGGCGACGCCACGAGCCCCGACCGGTAGCCCTCTCGACCGCGCCCCCGCTCCCAGCCACGGTGCAGACGGTCTCTGGGGCGCGCGATCGCCCCAGGCACTCGCAGGGTGCGTCTATATGTGGCGCACTTAAGCCATTCGATCGCCCACGCTCGACGGCTCGGCCTCCACCACCGGCACGCGCACGCCCCCGCCCCGCCCAGCGTTCGCGCGTCACGCTCGACGCCGTCGCGCCGCGTGCGCGTTGCGTTTTGGGTTTCCATTGCACGGCGCGAACCGCGGCCCCGCCGGCAGACGGCAGACAGGAGACGTGCGTCGTCGGGCCCGCGCCGCGTGCGTTAGCGTTAGCGTTGGGCGGGCGCTGCGGCCTGCGCTCCACGCTCCAAGCCTGTCACGTTTCCCGGCGGCAGCCAGCACGGACGTCTTGCAAGCTGCCCGCGTCCAACTACGCGCCGTCGCTGTCGGGCGCGGGCGCAGGGGCTGCGACGCCGGAACGGCCGCAGCCCCACCAGGCGCGGCGGGCAGGTACGCATCGATGGAGACTCGACCGCCACGCTCACGCATGAGCACGCGCACGCGCACATAGACAGCAGTGCCCTCGAGGGCGACATGCAATATTACAGACCGGATCGGTTTCCAGAGGCTACAGGGTGTGGACCCGACGGCGGGGGGTTGGGCGTGCTGAAACGCGAGTGGGGGGGACGGAAAGGGGCGGTGGAGGCACGATGCGGCGAGTGGGGGAGGAGGGAGCGGGAGAGGGGCAGGGCTCGGGCGCAGGATCGCGTTTGAGCTCGGCAGGGATGAGATCATGTCGCGGGGTCGTGCAGCACAGCGAGCAGATACCGTTCGTCTGCGCGTGGAGATTGAGTATCGAGGGAGAGGGGGCGTGTGGAGTACGCGCAGAGAGGGCATGACGCGCACCTGGGCTGATCAGAATCTCGTGGCGTTTCGTTCGTATCCTCATGAATCGGATCTCATCCTAGGGTGATAAAAGGTTGGATTTAGAACGTGGGTTTGTGCTCCTTCGCAACGGACACGGAACAGGACAGAATATGAACTTGCAGGAGGAGGACACGGACACGGGACAATGAACGCAACCGAAAGAACTTACCGTGTCCGACTGGCCGCTGGTGATCTCCTCAAGACCGACCTGGACGCTCTGGACGATGCGCGCTATCGCGCTCGCGTACTTCTTGCCCTGCTCGCCCTCGAAGACGACGCCAGAGTGGCGGATGATCGTAACCGGCTGGCCTCTTGACAGCAGCATGTAGCCAAGCACGGACCGGTGGGAGGTGAGGACGGTGAGGGTCTGCTCGAGCTCCGGGGGCATCACTAGCGGCTGAGACGCCGCGGAAGAGGAGGCTGCGTGTGGGTCTGCCATTGTCTGCGTCGCGAGCATCGACATCGGGGGAGAGGGAGGCGTGGACGCGCTGCTGCAGGAGGCTCGCGTCGCCGCCGCGCACGCCTGTCGGGGCGTCTGCTTATCTAAGCCAACCTATGGGCTCTGTGCAAGGGCGCGGGCCGGCGATCGCCGAGCCCCTGTGGTGCGCAGCGATGACGGCGTCGCGCTCCTGGCCCTCGACGCTGGCCGGGCAGCTCCAGTCCACTGCCCAAGCACTCGTCCTCGATCTCGTCCAGCAGCTGAAACGGCCGCAACGCACGCTATCCCTGGGCGGAGTGCCCAAGGCACCACCCCGCGCCGCGGTGCACACAAACGAATCACTGCCCCGGCCGGGCGCGCCCCCCGCGCAATATGATGCGCTCCTCCCGTCGTCGCGTAGAACGTCGAAACCAGCCCTGGTGAGAGCGCGAATTATATACTTGGTGTCAATCCACCCGCCCTGACCTGCCCGACCCTGCCCGCTCGGATGTCTTGTTCGCCTCCCCCTGCCACGCCGCGGGGCCAGGCTCTCGTGCGCCAGCCCGTCGGCGTGCACGCGCGGGGATCACTCATCACGTTTGGGTGCCCGGGCCTTCGAACCGCCCTCTGGCCCCTCGGGGGGCATGCGGGACTCACCACTCACTCTGGAGCTGCGAGCGTTCGCGCAGGCAGAGGACTCCACCGCTGTCCTTAACCATGCGGAGCATAGCACAGGGATCACCGCCAGGCGTCCGATGCACGGCTCCACCCTCGGCCCGTCTCACGTAGAACGCGAACACAGACGCCAAGCCCCGACGGCCCAACGCGCTGTCCAGCGTGGCGGAGAGAGGGAAGACGAAGCGTCGAATCACAGCTGGTCGCTCTCCCATTCGCTCCGCGCTGCGCTGCCCAAGAGTCCAAACCGCCCACGGCCGAGTCGGACTCGCAGCAAACGCGACGGTGCGAGGTTGGCCCGGGTCCAACAGCCGTTCGACTGGTGGCTAGCCGAGCCCGCTTCCATCTGGCGCCTAACCTCGCCCTCCCGCACCGACGCACCGATCCAGAGAGGTACGTACTTGCCCGTTGATACGACGACGGGCCTCCCGGCGCTCATCCGGGCACACTGGTCTCACCGTGCGTATCGACTCAGTCCTGGTACGCTCCGCTCGCTGTGCATCATTGGATTGTGGCTGACGGTGGCGGCACGAGGCTACCGTTCGGCCCCCCAAACCTTTGCACTTCCATTACACGACCCCCAGCCACGGCGCGGGCATCATCTGCCATATCCCAGACTTACCATCCAGAATGAAGTTTGAAGGGTCGTCCGCCCTTCTAGATCCACAAACCGTGCTCTCGCAAGACGCTACCACGCGCGGCCGCACCGCATCTCCGAGCACACATTCCGCTTTTTCGGATCCAGCCTCTCAGTTCGACAGTCGCCAGCCCGGCGGCGACTCGAGACGCCTGCCATCGCACACAGAGACGACCACTGCATGTGTTCTGCTGGCTAGAAGCCCCCTTCCCCCAACCCTCCGCTGGAGATATACGGCTAGCCGCGACCTCCAGGCTCGCCGGGGGCCGTGCCACCGCGGAGCGGCCCATCAAGTGGACTTCGAACCCGTTCGTACCTCCACCTCGGACGCCCACCGCACTCCGACGCATCTCCGACCCCCCTGCTTCCCCCGCCGCCCTCCCAGCGTCCGAACCACACCGCAGCCCCGCGGATACTCCGCGACCCCGCGCCGGCGTCCTACTAGAAGCGCAAGAAGGTGAAGGGGTGCGTGATTGCCCGCCGGGACCCGCGCGGCCGTGACACCTCGGTGCACCCACAATTCGCCCAGCCGGTGGTTCCGCGGTGCCCCTCGGGCCTCGGCGCTCGCGAGCGGCTGACGGCCGACGGCCCTTGTCCTCCGCGCACGGAGGCGCCTGGCGAAGGCCGACCGGCGTTGTTTAGACAGATGCGCGCCCTCCCTCCCTCGCGCCGTGCGCGGCATCTGCGAGACGAGCCCCGGCCGCCGTGGTGTGGTCGACGGAAGAGAACCAGGTGTCGCGTGGTCGCGATGCTCGCGTGCAGTCCTGTCGCCGTGCGCGGAGCGCCACGATCGCAAATTGGGCTCCTTCGGTGACAGCGTCGCGAGCTCGCGGGGTGCTGCACGCACGCACGCAGCACCGCCCCGGGGCCCGGACGCTGGAGCGCAGGGGGAGGTGGTGCTGAACAGAGGTGGCGGCGGCCGAGCGAGGTGGCGTCAGCCCGCTCTCCGAGAACCTCGCACTGGCAAGGCTGACTGTGCCGCTCACGTGTGCGGAAAGAAGACGCTCTCGGTGACGGCTCGCGACGTCGGGATTCGCTGCTTCCCCCAGTTCGGGCCAGAGCTTCCCACCTCGCCCTCGACATTTCAACTGGGGGGACGTGCCGGGGGCCTGGGGTGCTCACCAGAGGAACGTAAAGATCGCCACGCCCCGCCTGGAACGCGGCGCTCTGCAATACCGCTCTCCCGCCTGTCTCGCGTACGCACTCCCGCCTGCACTCCGTCCTGGCAGCTCACCCTCGATGTTGGTGGCTGAGAGGCCGCCGCCAGCCTTTACCTTATCAGCGCCTCGCCACATTCCGGTGATGCGCATCCCCAGGTCCCCCGCGAGCGAGCTCTTGTCAAAATCACACACCCAATTCGTCACCCAATTCGTCCTCGGGCTGTGGGGGACGGCTTGCGTCCGCTGCGTTCGCAGCCGACGTCGCTCGCACTCGACTACGCCACCCTGGGCGTCTTACGTTCGTTAGGCACCGTGCCACGCTCGCGTCTCCCCGACGCAGCTCGAATCGAACGCCTTCTCGTGATCGACCTCGCCGCCGTCCCGAGTCTCGCCCCGGCCGCATTTACCGACGAGCGACATGTATCACGGACGGGCTTCGCTCGCGTGATGCGTCGATCAAACAAGCGTCGCGCTGGCATGTGCAGACAAACCCGAGCCCCGACCCACATCTAAATGCGTGCACGGACGCAGCTGGGTGTCCACTTCCTCCCGTGCCCCCCATGATTAATGCAGATGAACGACCGCTGCCCCGTCGCCCGCCTCGACTCTGGACCCTGGCGCCGTCCCCCCCTCGCGCAATATACGACGCGCAGCCGCAGCGCCCGCCGGACTCAAACACCGCCAGCTGCGCGACGCCTCCAGCCCGTCCCTTCGCGTGCGGGCGCGCATGCGGCCCCTGCGATCGAGGCGATCGGGCTCCCCGCGAGCTTCCGGAGTCCGAGTCCAAGCCCGAGTCCGCGCGTCGCACGGTCCGACGTCGCAGGGCTGCCTGTCCGTCGCCCGGGTCCGCTCGCGAGGCTCGGAGGCTTTGCGTTTGCGTGGCGGGCGACGGGACGGTACCTGGCAGCAGCAGCGCGGCCCTGCGTGGCGCACGTCCGCATGCCGGGTGCGTCTAGACGTCCGGGGGACGGCGGGCCTGGATCCAGCTCGACGGGGGGAGCGCTCGCGGTCGCCGGTGACGTTGGACGTCGGACGTCGGACGTCGAGAAGCGAGACCGCGAGGGGGGTGTGCGTGCTCGGGGAGGGGATGCCACGCACGTAGGCGCAGACGACATCCGCACTTGTGGATCCAGCTGTGGGTCCTACCACTTGCCGGAAGCAGCAGGTCGGACGCGACGGTCTGATCGCGCTCGGGGGGAGCGGCGGGCACGGCGAACTTGGGTCGCCGGCAGGGGCTGCATCGCGTACGGGAGGGTCGTCGCGCAGCTCAGATCCGCGAGCGCGTGTGCTCGCCGGTGCGGCGAGCCACATGCGCACGCGCACGCACCGCGACCGCGACCGCGCTGGCAGGAACGCTCGGGTCGAAACCGCTCTGCAGCTCTGACGCGGACGGCCACCGCAGATCTGGCCAGAGCGCAAAACCAGCGCACGACGCCGCTCCCCGAACTGAACGTTCGAACATCTGGGCCCGCGCGTCTATCATGACGTACGTTAACCCCCTCCCCCCCGCTCCTCGCCCCGCCTCGCCCCTTTGCGCACGCGGCGCCTTCTCGCCGCGAGGGGGCCCCTGCAGGATCCCGATCGTCGTCGTCTTCGTCGTCGTCGTGGCCCCCGCCGCCGCCACCGTCGAGAAGCCCCCCCCCCGAGGGAGGAGTGAGGTCATTGCGCGCAGGGCCGCGCTTCGGTGTCGTGCGGCCGCAGGTTCGCGAGCTGATGCGTGCGCATCTCGCGAGTGATGTGCGGCCGGGCCGCCGCGCTCCGGCGCGCGCAGGCGCAGCGCGCTGCGCTTCGAGAGCTTCGCCGTTCGGGGGAGTGCTCTACAGTGCTAGGTTAGCAGGTGCAGAGACGGAGCGAACAGCACCTACTTTGGCAGGGATGCCGGCAGGTCGGCGAGTGCTAGTGAGCGTTCGCCGGGACTTGCCGGGCCTCGAGAGTACGATAGGCTGTGCATGTGCGCAAGGACACACCGACGGTCGTTTTGTCAACGATCGGCGTGCAAGTATCACAATGCACGATCAGGAGGCTATCGTCGTGACCGCGTCGATGTGTCACAAATACTTCCACTGAGAGAGCAACCAGCCCGGCGATCGTCCTCGTCGTCTGAACGATTTGCCTGTGCAGCGATTCAGATCGGAACGCGGCTTTCACCGTCAGGTTTCATTAACGACGGAGGGCCGATCTGCCACAGATACCACCGCAGCCAGCACGATGCAGCCGCAACTTACCGCCTGACATACGTGTCAACTAAAGCTCTGGGGAAGCCGGCTTATCGGTGCTTCAGCCCTCGAGCGCGCGAGGGTCCTGCCGAGGTGGAACGCGAGGCATCCTGCCAGATGGTCGTGACGCTGAATAAAACCCGATGCTAGATGATGCAGGACGGGGACGTCAACGATCAAGCTTAAACATTTGATGGAACTCACCGGAGCACAAAGCACTGACGGCACCCGAAGCGCGAATGTGCAGAACCGCGTCGTGTGGGTTGCCATATCGACTGCCGCCGACATTCAAAACGAATAAGCAGCGTAGGGCGCCAATTGAGATGCACATTGCCGGCATCCAAGGCTTGCAGTCTTCTCCAGTGCGCCCGTCGCCCCATGTGTCCGACGGGGTCGGAAGCCAGTGTCGTCAGGGCTGTCGTTCGTGGGGAGGACGCGAATCCGGGCATGTTGGAAGACCGCAGCAAACGTGAGAGCTTCGGAGCGAACGGAGGGGTATGTCGCGGCAATGCGACTTGCGGGTACATACCGATAGCACGGCGAATTAAGCGATGTACAAAATACAGCGTGAGCAGTAAGATAGCAGCGGCGAACACACGCACCCCGGCCCCGCACCACGCCCGCGGGGGTATCAGTAGATAACACGAGCATCACGCCCCCATACCACCACCATACGCCCGTGCCCGACGGGCCGAGAACGAGAGCCACACTGTCGCGCTCACCGTGGCGTCCAAAACGGCCCGTCCTCAAAGTCCTCCACTCCCGGCCTCCCCATCCCCGCGCTCGCCCGTGCTTGCGGTAGCGGCGGGGGCGGCCCGGTCGACTTCGGCGCCGCCTGCAGACTCCGCACGCTCTGCCTGGGCCCCATCGGCCTAGCTCCCGGGCCGGCGCCGACGGGCCCGGACATCGTGCGCTTGTGGAGGGGGATGATGGACTGGTTGAGGAGCGCGGCGGCCGCGGCAGCGGTGGCGGGCGGGCCCGGGGGGAAGGAGCCGTCGTCGTCGAGGGGGGCGACGAGGTCGAGCTCGAGCACGAAGTGGCCCTCCTTCCAGCGCTCGGGGGAGTCGTGCGCGCGCGCGAACTTCCAGCCGAGGTAGGCGTCGCAGGTCTTGCAGATGAACTCTTGGATCGTGTACGCGCCCGAGTCCATGAGCTGGATGCTGGGCGGGTCGAGGGAGACGTTGCGACTGTGGTCAGGCACGGGCGGGTGCGGAGGTAAGGCGGGTGGTGTGGGGAGGTTGTGGGAAGGCGCGAGGTCGCGGAAGAGGCGTCGGAAAGCATCGAGGGTTGCGAAGGATAGCAATAGAGGAGAATGGAGAGGGACGCCACCGATCGAAGATGAGGTCAGTATCGGTCGCGCAAACGGTGGACGAGTGGGGTTAGGGGACATGGGGAGAAGGGGGACGAGTTGTGTGGGGTGGAAACATGGAGAATGTGCAACGCAGAGAGGGGGTAGGTAGAGAAGGATTGAGAGACGCACACTTCAGAGAGGAGGACACCTTTGCCGGCGTGTCCGCGATACGCCTGCATTCAGCCGGAGTAGCCGGTCAGGACCCAGCCAAGAGATGCGAGGATCGCAGCAGGTATGGGGTACGCACGGTAGACACGATCCGTGAGGTGTGGGCTATTCGTATACCGCACTCGAGACATGTGTATATGCGTGGAGGGCCGACGTAGACGGCGGAGTCGACGACGTCGGCTGGGATGGGCGGTAATGTGGGGGAGCCGCTGTATTTTGACATGGGGCAAGCGCGAGGCGGAGGTCGAGAGTGGTCGAGGGCCTGGGGTGGGCGAGGTGGTCTATGAGGCGGGCAGAGGAGAGGATGGGAAGTGCGCCGGGCCTGATCGCTCGCCGGGCACAGGCGAAGCATCATTTTCCCAGGGATGGCGAGAGGGCGCTTCGGACGCCGGCGAGTCCGGACGCGTCTCGACAGCCTCGGTTTCTCCGCGAATGTTGCGCGCTGGCCACCGCTGGCCACCGTAGCGGTGAACAGCGAGCGGTGGCCATCGACGGAGAGGCAGAGGAGGAGGACGAGGGCGGGCCGATGGCCGCGCCCATCAGCTGCCGAGCGATCACCATCCACTTTCCCATCCGCGCAGACGCGTGGCGGACTGCCTCGGGCCACAACACCAGCTGCCTCTTTGGGCCAATCGAGATAAGACCTCCTGTCTCCTTTCCACCTCGTCCTCAATGCCCCCTCAGCGCATCTTCACCGGTCTTAACGTCATCCTCGACGGACAGCCTCGCCCCGCGACTGTGATTGTCGATGCCGAGACGGGGAAGATCACCCAGGTACGCGACGGCACCAGTGCTCGCACCGACTTCCCAGACACCACCGATGCGGACTGGCTTGACGCCGCAGACAAGTACATCCTCCCAGGCATTGTCGAGTAAGCACCGCTTTCCCGCCCCGCCCAGGTTTAATCAGCCCCACCTTGCCTCCCACAGCGCCCACGTCCACCTCAACGAGCCCGGGCGCACCGACTGGGAGGGCTTTTGGACGGGCACGCGCGCGGCCGCGTCCGGCGGTGTGACGACCGTCGTCGACATGCCCCTCAATTCCATTCCGCCCACCACAACGGTGGCCAACTTGGAAGAGAAGCGCGCCGCCGCCCGTGGCCAATGCTGGACTGATGTCGCTTTCTGGGGCGGCGTCATTCCTGGAAACCAGGTGGGTATGCTGTTCTCGATGGTCCACCTACATGCACTGCCCGTGGGTTAGATGTCGCATATAGCTGCGGTATTCGCGAGAAAGCATGGGACGTTGCGGTCCTACCATCCAGAAAGTGACATTCACTCATAACAATCAGCGATGCCCCCTTCTAGATCCGCTCGACACTTGAATGAGACACGATTATACGTGCGCTCCAAATGCTGACCACAGTGTTGCTTCACAGGCACACTTGAAGCCGCTCATTGACGCGGGTGTCAAGGGCTTCAAGTGCTTTCTCATCGAGAGCGGCGTCGACGTCGGTTACTTCCATCCGTCGGACGCGCCGAAACTCACCCACGCAACGCCCGCCACAGGAGTTCCCTTGCGTAAACGAGAGTGACCTCCGCCTCGCAATGGACGAGATCAAGGCACGCCTCCTCCCCCGCACCGCCGCGCCGCCGCTCACCGCCATTCCGCCCACAGGACACCTCCACCGTGCTCTGCTTCCACGCCGAGCTCGAGACCACGCCCGCGCCCGCGGCCCCCACAGAGCCCGCAGAGCCCGCAGACCCCACGCTCTACTCGACCTTCCTCGCCTCCCGCCCGCCCTCGCTCGAAGTCGCCGCGATCGCGCTCATCACGCGCCTGCACGCGCAGCACCCCGCGCTCCGCCTCCACGTCGTCCACCTCTCCGCCGCCGCGGCGCTCCCGCTCGTGCGCGCCGCCCAGGCCGCGCGCCTGCCGCTCACGGTCGAGACGTGCTTCCACTACCTCGCGCTCGCCGCGGGCGCGGTCCCGCGCGGCCGCCCCGAGTTCAAGTGCTGCCCGCCGATCCGCGACGAGGCGAACCGCGACGCGCTCTGGGCCGCGCTCGCGGACGGCACCGTCGACTGCGTGGTGAGCGACCACAGCCCGTGCGTCGCGGCGCTGAAGCGGACCGAGGACGGGGACGTGATGCGCGCGTGGGGCGGGATCAGCACGCTCGGGCTCGGGCTCGGGCTGCTGTGGACGGAGGCGCGCAGGCGGGGGTTTGGCATTGAGAGCATCGTGGAGTGGCTGTGCGTGCGCACGGCGAGGCATGCGGGGCTCGCGGAGAGGAAAGGGAGGATCGCAGAGGGGTTCGATGCGGACTTGGTGGTGTGGGACCCGGACGCGACGTTCCAGGTGCGTGTGCGCGGGAGAGGGGTGTGGGTGGGTGCTGATGGGGCGGGTGGGACAGGTGACGAAGGAGTCGCTGAACTTCAAGAACAAGCTGACGCCGTATGAGGGCCTCGAGTTGACCGGGAAGGTGCTCAAGACGTTCGTGCGCGGTAAGATGGTCTACAACGCCGCGGAAGCGGATGGGTTCAAGGGGCTTGAGCCTGTGGGCGTGCTTCTCTAGCCGGAATGTGAAGTGTATACTGAGAAGTATGATTGTAAGATGTGTTCGGTAGATGTGTGCACTGCATCCTTTACTTGGTCGCTCTAACCGTCGAAATCGGCCCCTCCGAGGGCGTTAAAAGAGGGAGACTGGCCCCTGTTTTTTTGGCTCTGCCTAATCGACATGCCGCCGCGAACCCTGAAAGACGAACCGAACGTGATGAACTAGCCCAGTAAATAATGTCAATCGAAGTGTTCGCCCAGAAAACACGACCAGCCAGCAATGCGGGTCACGGAGGACGGTACCTGTCTGTAGTATGAATGGATCGATCGTTCTGTTGGGATATGTCGCGCCGCGTCGGCTAAGTTCGGGCGCCCCTACGTTTCAGCCACGCGAGAGAGCCTTTGATCGCCTCCGAGATTCGACGGACAGGAGCAGGTCATGATCGAGAAGAGCTGACGGCCAAAAATGATTGGGGCGTTCGCGTGGCCACGATCGAGGTGGAGATCGCCGCACAGCCCACCGTCGAGCCGTGCTCTATGGTTTTGTGCCTCTTTTCTTCCATGAAACGTCGGCACACATGCCATGATTGACCCTATCTTTACTGGTAACTGGCCACCCGCATGAGTGGCGGCTCGAAAGTCGGTTTGCGCCCGCGCGCGAATCGTCGGGGAGCACCCACAGCGTCCTACATCTTCAGTACGCTCTCGCGTGCCCGAAGCACCCCCTCGGCCTCTCACATTTCCGGGCGGGAAAAGACAGTTTGAACTCGGAATTCGATGTGACTTCGCATGCGGACGGGTAAGCTACTTCTCATGGCCCAATCCGTTCGCCGCTCCCGCCTTGTACCAGCATCGGCCATTCAAGAGCGCGTCCCCACCGCCTGCGTCTGAGCGAGCCGCGTCAAGAATACGGTCTGGACTTTACGGGCGATTTCCTACAACCGCAACGCACGTCAACAAGCGTCCCCGTGCACCCGGGTCGCACTCGCCTCGTTCCACACCGTCCTGGTGCTCTTGCGCGCCATGAGGTCCTCCTCGTACTTCCGGAGGCGCGCGAGCCTGTCCCCGTCGAGCGCAGCGAAGAACGCGGCGATTTCAGCAGGCGCGGACGCGGGCGGCGGGATGCTGAGCACCACGCGGAGCGTGAGCAGCAGCGGGAGGAACGCGGCCTCGGCGATGCTCCACTGCCCGGCGACGAAGCCGCTGTCGGCGGGGAGGAACGCCTGGAGCTCCTCGAGCATCGCGACGAGCGGCGCGGCGGGCCCGCCGCTGACGACGCCGAAGAGGCACGGGCGGAAGTGGGCGTCGGCGGTGGCGATGAAGAGGCGGACGTGGGCGCGGGTCTTGGGCGGCGCGGGGAGCAGGCCGGCGGAGGGGAAGACCTCGGCGAGGAACTCGAGGATCACGACGGACTCGATGAGCTTGACGGCGTCTGGGGAGGGCGCTTGGTCTGGACTCAGTTTGGGGCCGCCGTAAACCAGACAGGGGACCTGGGTGGGGTGATGTGGGTGAGTATGGGGCGAGGGATGCTGCTCGGAAGAAAGCACTTGCACGGCCGCGAGAGGTGACTTTCTCCTGATACCAATCGGGTTTTTCGACTAAGTTCAGGTCGATTACGTCATAGCTAACACCGATCTCCTCCAAGGCGATAGCCACTCGGCGAGGGAAGGGCGAGTTCTGGAAGGATGGTCGTCAGGATCCTCGGGCAGCGCATACGTGGGGATACACTTACAACTGCAGAATACAAAGTGATGCGTTCCGTGTTGACAGACATGGTCGTGGAGTTTGGCGAAGCTGGTACTGTGGGACGCTGGGAATAGATTTCAGGCTTCGTCGCCTCTCATGACAGGTATTTATACCTCCTTCGTCCTGTTCCCCGACCCGGAGTGGGGCTGCCTCTGCTGGTCCTGAGGCCTGATGGCTTTTGTGAAGGCTTTTGTCGAAGCAGACGCAAAAGGCACGGACTCTGCGTATTTCAAAACAGGATCCAAGCGCACTGGCCCGCCTGAAATGCTGTGGTCGATGAATCCGGTGTATACAAATGGCGGCAGGCGAGGTGGCCCTTTGTCAGCGGTCGGCGGCTTTAAGCAGGCCACCCGTCAACTCACTGGTGACAACCACAGAGTTTAAGTGCGAATACAAATGAATGGCGTTGATTGCATGTCCACATGGACGGGAAGGTCGCGCCCCCGATAAGAGCGATTTATAGTTTGGGACAGTCAAGTCTTCGAGGAACTCAAGACGCTCCCATTCACTACGACGGGGTGTATTGTTCGTGTGAACGCTTCTAAAAAAGACGACGTCAAAAATGGTGACGCTCCCTGCCGTTGAAACTTACTGCACTCTGTAGTAGGAGAATTTGAGCGACTCGTGACTCTATCGGCGGTATGTTTGCTCACATTTATTCAATCCCTTGCCCGACGTACGAGGGCGTGGGTATGCACGTGCGCGGGCCAAGTTCCCCCAATCGAAGCAATCCCTTGCCGTGGGTGTGCGCGCCGCGCGGAATTGGAGCGGATTGTAATCCGTGAGTTGCGTAATAGGTGTTCTAGAGCGCCCTTGCGTGCGCATGCGCGCATGTATGAGGAGTTCTGCTGATTGGAAGAGCTTTCAAAAGGAAGCACCAAGCAACAAGTTGTGGGATAAACAAGCAGGAAGCAGACGTACACAATCGAATAGCAGACAATTAACAGTGGTGCGTCGGAGCCACCATCTTTCTGGGAGCAGGCTTTTCTGGGAGCCGTTAGGCTATAAGGATTAAAATTCCACGTGCAGTCAGAAAAAGCACTTCTATGGGTTTCTATGGGCGAGAGAAACCCTTACTTGTATTTCTCTCGGCTTTAATGTGGCACTATGTAGAGAGATGGTCGCCTCGGCGTGTGGTCAGAACGGTGGTAGCTTGCCACAGTGGTCGGCGTTTCACTTTCGTCGGCCGATCCACGTGGTGCGTAAACATGAACAAACAGATAGACTAGCAGCCAACTTCGTCCACCTCTCCATTAACAGCTTGCACATCAATTACTCTACTTCCGTTCAACAACATATGAGACCCAAAACTATAGAGGCGTCCAGGCAGGTGAGGTGCACTTCCAGGAACACTCACTGCATTGTCGAATAAATGGAGCGCGCGCCCCGATCATCGTCGAATCATTTGCCAAGGTACTGTCGTCGAATTGTCGAAGTAATAGCTCTGCTAGTACTTACTGTGTGTACTCTTCCCAGGCTTGATCCACGCCTCTGGTTGTTCTGTTGGCTTCTAAGAAGCAAGAATGGCCCCTGGGACTTGTATCTTCCATTCATTCATCAGAGAGTCGACGCCAAATGCCATCGGCTGGACGTACACGAGCCAGACAGTGAGGTAAGCCCCGAGGTCCCCGTACCGTTTGTATGTACTTGGCTTTTACATAAGGTGCATCCTCGGTGTGCGAGAGTTTGCACTTCTCCTCGCAACCTCTCATTCCCTTCAATCGTCATGTCTATCCTGATCACTCCAATCGTCGTGACGCCTCTGATGAAGGTCCCTCTCCTCCTAGCCACCGCAACATATTCGTACTACGGCATGACCCCTCCTACGCAACCGCCGGCCAAGGAGGAGATGGAACGGATGAGTAAGACGGAGAACACGCCCATCACCGCCCCAATTCTTGCTGGTGTCAAGGTAAGTTGCAGTCCCTACTCCGTCCTGCGCCAGTCTCATGGACTCCACATACAGTACGGCTTGTGCAGCCTCGCGGTTGCCGAGGCGGCCGCGATCCTCGTGCACGCCTTCCCTTCATACGTCCCATCAAGCCTTGCGGATTCCTTCCCAGACGCCCTGCCGCTCGGCATCGACGGGCTCGCCCTTGGAGGCTGCCTGCTGGCCATTGCAGGCGGCGGGATCCGGTCGTGGTGCCACCAGACCCTCGGCCGCTTCTTCACCTGGAATATCGCCGTCCGCGAAGGCCACCAGCTTGTCACCGACGGGCCGTACTCCCTTGCTCGCCACCCCAGCTACCTCGGCTTCGTCCTCATGAGCCTGGGCAACGTCGCGCTCCTCGCCAGCCCGCGTTCGCTCTTCATCGCTTCCGGCGCGGCCGACGGCTTCGTGGGGCGCGCGTTCGCCGCCACGAGCGTGGTGTACCTGGCATGGCTCTGCAACCGGCTTCTGGCGAGGATGAAGGTGGAGGACGATGTGCTGAGGAGGGAGTTCGGGGCGCAATGGGACGCGTGGGCGAAGAAGACGCCGTATGTCCTTATACCTGGGGTATACTGACAGGTGCGAGTTCGGGAGAAAGACGGTGAGCCGGCGACCCACTAATGGCCCGATTCAAAGCCCTCATACTGACCGGGATACCTCCAGAAGTGTACCGGAACAGGTATTCAGAGATGGAGGGAAGCATGAGGCCGAGTGCGCACTCACGGTCCTGAGAGTACAGGCTTCGAATCTCACAGTATGTCACCCTTGTCCTGTTGGTTAGGGACACTGCTATGCCCATATTACTTCCGCATCCCCGCGGCCATAACATGAGTGAGATGCTCAACTGTGCCCCAGGAAGACATTCCACAGCATACGTACCATGTCCCTGCCATTGATCCCTCCATCGTCCACTGTCCTCACCGCCAAGTTCGCCCTCTTGCTTTGCCACGTCGTCTACACCTGGCAAGGCATGACACCCCCAACCCCCAAGAGCGAAGCAGCCGACCCTCAACCAGCCAAGTTCAAGTACCTCGCCCCCGGCGACTTCTTCACCAAAGCCCCACGCCTCTTTGCCGCTGTCGCAGTGATTGTGAAGGTGCGTGCCCGTCCCGTGAACCGCGCCCAAAACCCTCCACGCGCCCATCACCCGCATCTCTTATCGCACCCACACAGATCCTCCTGTGCACGACCCCGGCCGCCGAGGCCGCTTCCATCCTCCTCCACGCCCTCGGCCGCGGCGGCCGCGGATCCTCCCCGCTCCCGCCTCCATCCGTGCGTGGCGCAGCGTCGGCCGCTTCCCTCGCCGCCTCGCTGCTCGCCGCCGCGGGCGGCCTCACGCGCGTGTGGTGCCACCGCACGCTCGGCGCGTCCTTCACCTGGCAGCTCGCGGTCCGCGACGGGCACCAGCTCGTCACAGGGGGCCCGTACGCGCTCGCCCGGCACCCGAGCTACACCGGGTGGGCGCTCATCGCGCTGGGCAACGTGCTGTATCTCTTCGGGCCGGGCTCGTACTTCGCGCGGACCGCGGTGGGGAGGTCGGCGGCGGGGAGGTGGGGCGCGCGGGCGTTGGCGGTGCACATGACGGCCGTGTCGGTGGCGCTGTGTGGGCGGGCGGGGAAGGAGGATCGGATGATGCGGGAGGAGTTCGGGGAGGAGTGGGGGCGGTGGGCGAGGAGGACGCCGTATAGGCTTGTGCCTTGGGTGTACTGAGTGGAGGTGAACGGAAGGCGTGTATATGGACCACAAAGGGGAGGGGGCTCGAATAGATTGCGTAGGAATGGTTGTTATACATTTGCAGAACCCTGCTACACGGACATGGGAAAGGCTTCTAATCTACGTTGATGGGGTTCCAGGTGACTGCGCCGGCCTGGCCGCGGTCGAGCGCGTCGAGGCGCTTCATGTCTTCGTCACTGAGCTCGAAGTCGTAGACGTCGGCGTTCGAAACCACGCGGTCAGGGTTTGAGGACTTAGGTAGGGGCACGAACCTGCCAAATATGCGCGTCGGAAAACAGCTCATGAGGGATGACCATTGAAGTACATACCCGCGCTGTAGAGACCAGCGAACGAGCACTTCAGCCGGACCCTTGTTGAGCTGAAAATAGGAGTGCGAACATGAGGTGGAATGAATGACTGTTTAGACTGTACTATCACTCACCTTGGCGGCAGTTTCGAGGATCACAGGATAGTCCCACCTTGCACGAATGAGGGGGGTGTACGCCTCAATCACGATACCGTGCTGGTTGCAGTAGTCTACAATCTCCTTCTGTTGGCACAAAGGGTGGAGCTGAAGCGGCGTTAGTAGAGGGAGCATGGCCAATATACCAAACGACGCCTACCTCAATTTGGTTGACGTCTGGCATCTCGTATCCTGCAATGCGGATCTCCTCCATATGTTTCACGTTGCTGAAATAGGCTGTAAGCAAGCCTCGAGAAGAACATCGACTGAACATGGGCGCGCACTAGTTCGAGACTCCGATGGAGCGTAGCTGGCCGGCCGCCTTAGCCTCCACCAACGCGCGCCAGGACCCGAGCCGGCGCTCCTTGTCAGACATGGCACTGTGCATGAGCATGAGGTCGATATATGCGAACTTGAAGTTGCCGAGCGATGATACGACTGCGGCCTTGGTGCGCTCGTAACCGTGCTCTGAGTTTCCTATTTTGGAGGCTGTAGGACGGCGTCAGCTAGGTGGTTCGTTTCGGCTCGGGTCGGAGGATGCACACGTACTGATAAACACCTCCTCGCGGGGCAAACCACTATTGCGGACGGCTTCACCGACCTGCGCTTCGTTGTAGTACATGCGCGCAGAGTCAATGTGCCTATGTACACAAAACAATCAGTCGAAATGCATTGGTTTGCATGCCGATCAACCTACCTGTACCCGCGCTTCAAAGCCGCAAGGCACGCGGTCTGGGGGTCTTCATTGCGGAACACACCAAGTCCCAGTAAAGGAAGCTCGATTCCTAGATATCGGTTTGTCAGCATTTCAGGCTCTTGGAAGTCGCATGCATGTACTGGGCTCACCGGAACGAGGAAGGTGTACAGTCGAGTCAATCATCAGCCTTGACATGTTGTTTGAGGAGAGCGAGAACAGGATAGGTGCAAAGACTACGGATTAAGGGCATCTTATACTAGACGCAGTGTGGGTAAACGCTCCTATCGCTGACATCGCTGACATCATCACCGACCCACATACATCTCCTGATTACCCAAGTACTGCAGCTGTTGCCATGGACGCAGCTAATTCCAGACATGATGCATGACTGGTGTGTTGGGTGAGCTTCTGGGGAGGAATTTTTGTGCGAGAGAGGAGATGATGAAGATGGATTGGTCGACAACGGACACATGGACGTTGAGAGCAAGTCCCAAGCGGGCGTTTAGCTGTCATGGGCGACGCCATGTACCGGCGCCTGGTACCAAGCATACAGACACCCCTCTTTCTGCTACTGCCACCATGCAAACTCTCTATGTCTCCAATATGCCACTATCCAATCATCAGGATAGCGGCAAAACGCTAGAAATATTGCTTGTCTGAAATTTTGTAGTGAGTGCCTCAGACTTTGCATCCAACGTCTCGTTTCCCCGACATACTCCCGCCTTTCGTCTTTGGTTCGGACCACTACTACAGGTGATGGTAGCTTTTTTTGCCTTGTATAACAGCTGCATAGACCGTTCATGAACGGCTACGTCAAGGTGACGCTAAGATGTGCGAAAAGCCTGCGTAGAACGCTCTCGCATGCCCTAGACCATTTCCGCCCACGCTAGCCCCACGCATCTGGTCTTCGTTATCCAGCCCTATTCACGTGCTTATATACTGATATTTCCCTCCATCTCAGCCTATCTCAGCCTATTCACTGCTCTAAGCTACACCAACACCATGGAACACCTGGGCATTCAAGCCACCGTCCTTACCCCGGCATCCGGGGAGACATACACCGACGCCCTCAAACGGCTTTCCGACCTCTCTTCGCTCCCAGCTGGATACATCATTCAGCCCGAAACATACGCCGACATCCCCCCAGTTCTCGCCCACGCTGCATCCCAGTCTCCACCCCTCGAGATCGCGGTCAAGTGCGGCGGCGCGCACTCGTCCACCTGGGCAAGCACCGCGGGCGGCATTGTCATCGACCTCGGTAAACTGAAGGCCGTCACGCTCGCGGAAGACAAGAAGAGCATCACCGTGCAGGGCGGCGCGCTTTGGGGCGACGTATACGAGGTCACCGCAAAGGAGGAGGTTGATGTGGTCGGATCACCGCTCTGGTTCGTTGGGGTCGGAGGGTTCACGCTGGGAGGGGGCTATGGCCCGTTGAGCGGCGAGTATGGGCTCACGATCGACAACATGCTCGCCGCGACGGTCGTGCTCGCGGATGGGCGCATCGTCAAGACGAGTCGGGAGGAGGAGCCGGACCTGTTTTGGGCCATTCGCGGTGAGTCTCCACTTCGAGTCTGGATCACTTGTGTCTCTCTCCTGCCCGCGCGCCAAGACTGAACGCTGCCTATATTCGCTGGGTAGGCGGTGGTGGACAGTTCGGCATTGTCGTCGAGTTCGTTTTCAAAGTCCTTCCTTCCGTCGGGCCAATCTCGGCGGGCTTCATGGCGTTCCCCGGCTCGGCCGTGGAGAGCCTCGCCAAGACACTCAGCGTATGTCCGTTCCTCTTGTTGATCCGTGCGTTCCGGCAGTTGACGTCAAGCTTGCGCTCTACAGGAATGGCAGAGCACTCAGTCCGGTGCAGAGAGGTTGATGGTCCAATTTTCTCGCGCACCACCACACTTTAAGGTAGATATTCATGTGCGTTCTCTCGCATCTCGTCTTCCTGACGCCCTCTTGTGTTCCTAGCCCGGCGTCGTAGTCATTCCCCAGGTCTTCCACGATACCGACGGCTCCCGCGCTACCACCGTCCTTGAACCCCTTATGAACGGCACCCGGGTCGCGCCTGTGGTCGCAAAGGTCGGCCCCACCCCGGACATGAACACTCTCTCGCATGCCGCAGACGCTGGAATGGCGAAAGCACCGAAGCGACTTGTCATTCGCGGCGCGTTCCTCTCACGTCTCGACCCAACCCTTTTCGTGGAGACCTTCAAGCGCTGGGCGGAGTTCACCGAGACCGAGGACGTCCGCGCGTCTGGAGTCATCTTCGACATCACGAGCCCCGCGGCTCTGGTGAAAGTGCCGAAAAATGACGCCGCGCTCGGAGTACGGACACCGCACTACTGGGCTGCGGTTCAGGGAAGGTGCGTGTTCATGTTTTCCTCCTCTGGTCCCGTGTGTTGAAGCCGATCTAGGTCCACCACGGACGAGTCCGTCCCAGCTGCGCGCAAGTTTGCGGATGAGCTGTCTGAGTTCATGCGCGAGCGGAACGCAGAGCTGTCGGGCGAGAAGCTCCCGTGGATGTATAGCATGTGCCACGGAAGCGAACGGCCGGAGGACGTGTGGGGCGATCACCTGGAGCGTCTGCGGAGGCTTAAGGCGAAATATGACCCCAAGAAGGTGTTCTCGAAGGGCGTCGTCATCGAGCCTATCTTTGACTGAATGAAGGATTTGAAGGCAGTGTTCACATACCAGTTGTACAGTATTTGAATAGAATAGTGTGCTATGTGAGGTTCTTGTCTCTGTTGCTGACTGAATCTGCAGGTCTAGCGTACACGGACGGAACTGAACATCTCATCTGATTCCACCATCGTCTCTACCGTCGATCTCATAGTAACTTCTGTCGCCACGAGCTGAGCAGTTCGAGCATCACCAGTCACCAGTCGGGGAGCACAGCGATATTGATCTCCCAATCCATAAACTGCATCGGGTTCCGCTGTGGCGTCAGAGTGTCCGCCCCACTGCCCCACTCTGCGTCTGCCGCGACGGTCTTCCCGTGAATGCACGTCGCGGCGACGACGACATGCTTCACCTGGCTCGCCTCAGGGTGCGTGTTCTCGACCATAAACTCAACGATCGGCCCGTTGTTGTGCTGATCCCCGATGCATGTCTGGTCAAGGACGTTGACGAGCTTGACGAACCCAGAGATCTTGGCGTCGTAGGCGGTGTAGCAGAATTGCTCTGTGACGGCGCAGGCGCACGCGGCACCCCGGCGGCGGTGGGGCCCCGGATGGACGGGGCAGGGATGAGGGACCTTGGGCCCAACGCCGCAGATGTGGACGAAGGTGCCCACTTTGAGGGGCGACGTGGGCGGGATGATGAGGTCGTAGACGTCGCAGAAAACCGAGCGTTTTCCCTGGGCGTCGAGGATTTTGTTTTCGTAGCGGAACTGCATTCGTGCGAAGAGCACGACGGCGGATGGGGGCGACGGCAGAGGCGCCTGAATGGCCAGAGCCTGAGAAGTGGTTAAAGTAGACATGGCGGAGGGTGAGTATGCAGTTTTTCCTCAAGACGGGCCGTCCTGATTTATACTTGCACTTGTGTAGGGGGAACCGCCACGGCAAGCTCTCTCGTCGCCAGCGGAAGCAACACCAAGGAGAGTGGTGTGGCAGCAGCCTTCAGCGCCTTGTCTCTGAGGAAAAAAGCGAAAGTCGGCTGTGGTACAACCATTAAAACAGCTTGGAAGGGACATATCAAGGCCTGTGGTTGACTTGTCTGCTGCTGCGGCGTTTGAAACCGCAGGTCTTGTTGACCTACTACAAATTTGCTCGTGAGTTGGCCGTGCGCCATATAGCGTCTCGTATCGTGCGTTGTCTCAAAGATATGAATGGGGATTTCTAGCTATTGATACATACATTGACCTTTAACAAATTCGATGTGTGGATAGTGATGCGATGGGTTTCAGCAGGCACTCAAGCCGTTCAGCTGGTTAATCCCTCAACTCTCCCTCTGACCGTCTCACCCACCGGGACAGACCAGATCCCCGACTCCCCTTTCCTCCACCGCTGCACCAAGCTCATCGCCTCCACAGGAGGCACGCTGCGGTCCCTTGTCCCCACCGTGACGTGCAGCCTCTGCTTCAGCTCTGGTCCCAGCCCAGACGCAAACCGACGTGTCGCGGCCAGGACCTCCGCATTCGGCAACCCCTCAGCCGCCTTCAGATCCTCGACGGTAAACGCCATGACGCGATCGTCCCACACGAGCTCACCGAGCTTGAACTCCAGCGGCACCGCACCGCCCCCCGCCGCTATCTCGCTCACGAACGCCGCGCACGCGTCCCACAGCGGCTGGTCCCCGGGGAGGTTCTTGGTGTGCGCTAGCGTCACATGCGGCTCGTCCTGAACCCGTCCGTTCTCAACGAGCTTCGTCCACATCGTGCGCGCAGCCCGCGGCACGTCGCCCGCACGCACCGCCGCCAACGCCGCCTCGACGATTGGCTGCGGCTCGAACTCGCCAGAGATCGCGTAGTAGCGCACCTTGCCCCTCTGCTTGGTGGGGCCGAGCGGCCGGCGCGCCCGCGGTGACCTTCGGGGCGTACGCGCGCGCTTTGGCGAGCGCCGCACCCATCTTCTCCGCGTCCGGCTTCTCGAGCCCAAGGTTGTCTGCGATCGCCCCGGCCGCGCGCGCGACTGCGTCTTCCAGCGTGTCCCGCACGTCCATGTACACGACGTCGTCCGAGTCGATGCCCTCTCGTGCGGATGCCAGCGGCTCGTGCTGCCGCATGAACTGGTGGAGGACAGCCTCGTGCGCGCCGGGGTCCCCAGGGATGAGCAACTGGTGGTTCGCGCCGCGGGCATCTATGCGCTCCGCGCATATGTGGAAGACGGCGTCGCGCGCGGACTCGGCGCCAGTGCCGTCGATGTCGTCGTCGAGCGGCCAGTAGAGCGCGACGAGGCGCGCGCGCTGCTTCTTCGCGGTGCCGAGCAGCTGCTCGCGGTGTTGCATCAGGTGGTTGTTGCGGTCTGCGATGACGACGTCGTGCGACTTGAAGGCCTTCTCCACTTCCTTCACGAACGCGCCGGCCTTAGACTTCGACTTCTTGCCCGGGATGTCGTCGGCCTGGACGTGTCCAAACCCGAAGAGCGCCTGGAGCGCGACGGCGACAGTCGTCTTGCCTGTGCAGCGTCAGCCTCGGTGCAGGCAGCGAGGCAGGCGGAAGACTCACCAAGGCCGGGGATGGCGATAGGCACGATGATCACCTTCTTTTCCTTTTCCTTCGGCCTCTTCTCCTGCGCCTCCCCGCCGAGCCCACCGTTAGCCTTCGCCTTCTGGCCCTCCTCGGTCTCCAGCCACGCGAGAAAGCGCTCCCGAGTCTTGATGATCCCCTTGCCCTTCGTGAAGTTGTCGAACTGTGACTTGTTCGCCTTGATCTCCCGGCACACCCAGTCGACGTACAGCCGTGTTTCGGGCCGCCTCATCCTGTGCTTCGGCACGTTCTGCGAGTCGGGGCTGTGCGTCAGGAGGGACTTCGTGACCTCGCGCCACTCCCGGTACATCAGGTACGGCTCGTCGAACTTGACCTTGAAGAAGAACGACGCGCCGGCGGGGTACGGACCGTTGGGCAGCGGGGTGGTGACGCGTGTGCGGACGACGAAGCCTTCAAGAGGTTCGCCGTTCCAGCTTCCGGCGCGCGAGATCTCCTCGGTGAAGGATTTGACGGCAGGGATGGTGGGCAGGACAGTGGACGCCGTGACGATGAAACCCCAGGTTTGCGCAAAGGCATCGACAACGTCTTGGGGCTGGGTCTGGAATGCACCAGTGCAAGCGTTCAAGCCGTGCAAGTGCAAACCCGTCTTCTCAGCGGTATAGGGTAGCACGTGCTCTTCGAACGAGTCGTCGCAAAGCTGGGATAAAAGTGATCAACAGGTTATCAGGAGAAGAAAGATGTATTGCATAGGTAGGTGTGGCAACCTTCGCCCATATTCACCCATAGTCCATAGACGAGATGCGCCTATGCAGCGTATCCCCCACTAGAGGAGTATGGGCAAGAAAAAGAGAGCAATAGACTGATGGATGCCGAAGGTGCGCGAAAACTCACCTCTGCCACTGCCGTCCAATCCTTCTCCCACAGCGTATGCGCAAGGTCCTCCTCGGACTTGCCCACCGACTGGAGGTGCGTGTGAAGCCAACGTTGTCCGACCTGCGCATGACTTTCGTTTGTCGGGGCCTGGCCACTGGGTACAGCGCCGAGCGAGTGCTTGGACGTCACGACAAGCTTGGTGGGTGTGAGCGCGGCGATGAAGATGATGCAGCCATTGGACTTGAGAGTGAGGGTATAGGGTGGAGCAGTATGTTCTTCGAGGACATTCCACTACATACAACGCAATAAGCACGTCTCGTTAACGGCGCTATGAGAGGTGAGGGACGTACCGTGTTCCAAGGCACCTCGCCAATGTTGAAGAACTTGTCGTATCCCCTCACCACTATCCGATGCATCATCTTCTTTCCCTTCTTGATATCCTGAGTGAAGAGCCCGCGAGCGAGAGTGGGGAAGGGGGTCGGAACGTTGTAGTACTTGAATTCGTTCATCTTCCAGCTTCGAATGATGATGCCGGGGTCGGCAGGGGCTTGGTAGTCGCTAGCTTTGACAAGCTTCGGGTCCTCCTTCGAGATCTGCTTGAGCTTTTCGACGAGATCCGAGTCATCTTCGTCGAAGAGGAGCTCAGAGAACTCGTCGGCAGTCTCTGAACCTGAGATAGCGGGCGGGGAAGCGGCTGGGGTGGCGTCTTGGGTAACTGCGGCCATCTTGCACAGATGAGACAAGTGGTGAGCAGACCTAACGGATTTTGCTGAGCTCTTGCGTATGGAGGATGTTGGGAGAGCGAGAGCAAAGAGACGTCTTAGATATACAAGAGTGGTGATGTGGAAGGATGAAAGCGTGGTTGTGGTGATTATATGCGTCTTTGCTCTGACTCACGGCGGTCGAAAGGGAGTCACTTCATTGTCATGTTGTGGTGGTGGCGGTTACGAAGCGACGTCGAGGCTCTGCTCAGCGGCACCGGGCGCCTCAGGGCGAAAGCGTCGGTCCGGGATTCTCGGAATCCGACTTACTCTCCTGCCTTCCACCCATCACCGGTCACCACCTCACCTCTCCCTCCATCCCAACTTGCACAGCGCGCGCAATTCAAAACCACGGCATCCCTAAGCTTTCGTACACCTGCCAGCTTCTTCCAGCGCTGCAGCAGTCGCCGCACGGCCTAGTTGCCTTGCCATCGAACCTTCCGATTCCTCTCTTCACCCTGCCGCCGACTTGGGCCTGGCCAGGCGCATACGTTGTCCTCGATTGTTTTTGGTTGTGCTATAGCGTGCTGTGATGGATGATGAGACCGCAGAGATTGAGCTGGTATGCGCTTCACGGTCCTCAGCCATGGACTATTATGACATTGCCCTGCATAGCTTGAGCAGAACCTCAACAAGACGAGACAAATATCTCAACGCATGACCTGTGAGCGCGTTTATTACGACATCGATGATACCCATACGAATCATTGGGTAGCAATCCTGTCTAGTTTCGACACTCGTCTCGTGAAACTCGAGAAGTCTATTCTGCCCTTGTACACTTCCACACAACTTCTCACAAGGCGGTCAAATAGTAAGCAAATCACGTCGTCAACACTTCTCTCATGCGTTTACACAATCTGCATCTCAGACATTGAGAACACTTTGCAGAAGATAGACGAGATCGCAAGTTACCATGAGGGTGTCGCTGCAGAAGAAGCATTGATCTTGCGAGGGTGACCACGTCTCATGCTACCTGATACAGCACAACGCCTCATCATTCCTTCACACAGACCACAGCCCGGTCAGCTGAACGCATATACCGAGGTTCTTGAACGCATGAACGCTAGTGTCGCGTTCAACAGTACAGATTCTCGCGACAAGGTATGTCTCATGTTCTACCGTGCTGCATTGCTCTGATATCTGTTCTCTAGGCTCGTCTGGTGGAGACTGGTGCTAAGAAGCTTATACAAATGTACACCAAGATCGTCGCCGAGGGCTCCTCCGGCGTACCTCCAGGCGGCACCGAGTTTACCTCCGTTCCCTTCCCAGCACAACTCCTCGTGACTCTCAAGCCTCTCGTCGTTTTCCTCCGCACACTCCCCTTACCTGCCACGCACCCCTCCCATCCGGCAGCACCAGGAATCCAGTCGGCACTGAAAGATGCGCAAAAGGGATATGGAGATATGCGTGGGTCGTGGGTGCGGAAATGCCTGGAAACATTCGGGAAGCGTGTGGTGGACAGGGCAGAGACTATTGAGGGTGTGGCGGCCGGGCGCGAGGTTGGCGTCTGGACAGAGAACATGCTTACGGTCGCCGAGGTGAGTGCTTACCCCTGCGCAGCCTGACAGTGTCTGATCTCGACGGACGCAGGAGGAGTACAGTCTTCTTCTCGAACTCGCCTCTCTCAACACACCCAACATGCTCGCCTCAACATATGCGGCGCTTATCTCCCCGTTAACGTTGCTGTTCACTTCTACCCTCGGTTCGCTCGGTTCGCTGATCAAGCGCAATCTAAACAAGAACACATTCCTCGCTCTCTCCGCCTACTCTTCCCTTACTGCCCTCCAGCTGCGTTGGAATGATTCCATGTGCCGACGCGCGGACCGGAAAGAGAACGAGCTGAAAGAAGGCCTTCACTCGATTCGCGCGTCATGTTTGCGAAGCTTCCCGGAGTTCCTGGCTGACATCAAGGTGGCGGGAATGGGACCCAAGGGAGGGGAAGTGGGAACCGGGCTTGCCGAGTTCACAATCACAGTATGCCGCCCATTAATGACGACTTTGCCTGGAAGCTGACAGCCACTGCTTTACAGACTGTAATATACCTCGAGCAGCTCTTGGTCGTCCAGGAGGGTGCTTCCGCGGCGCTTTTAACACTAGGTGACGGAAATTGGAAGATGGGGCAGGGTACTCAGATTGGGAAGACAAAACCAGGAGAGGTCGATGAGAAGATGGTGCTCGAGCACTTCACGTGTACGTCCTCGGGCCTCTCTACCGCGTCCCCACCAACCCTCCCCCCAGTCGACGTCGTGCAGTCGACGATCCAAGCTCTCCTCGCGCTTTCACGCATGAACAAACGCCCAGCATACGGCGCGATATTCTTGCTCAACAACGTCTCCTTCCTGCGCACCCAGCTGCTCGTCGAGCGCAATTCCATCACGCAGATCCTCTCGCGCCCGTCGGTGGAGTTTCTAAACACCAACTTCCGAACCGCCAAGGCCGGCTACTTCGACGCCAACTTCTCGCCCCTCCTCCAGACGCTTGTCGATGAGCGCGACAAGGGCAAGAGTGCGGTCAAGGAGAAGTTCACGCGCTTTTTCGACCTGCTCGACGAAGTCTCGGAGCGGCACATGGTTGCACGGGTGCTCGTTGACGATCCGGAGGGTCGCGCGACGGTCGCGGACGAGGCCGGGAAGCTCGTCGTGCCGTCTCTTCAGCGGTTCATCCAGCGTAATCTCGGGAAGGAGTTCAGCAAGAGTACGTTCTGTATCGTCGTCTTTATGTGTAGTGCTGATGTGCACCTCGTCCAGATCCGCAGAAATGTGTGTCGTATATTCGGCAGAAGACCCAGGCTTTTACTGACAGTCCTGTTGATTATCTTAGACATCAAGATGCCTCCAGAGGACGTCGAAGCACTCATCAAGGGCTTTTACACGTGTGTTCCCCTCTGAGTTGTGTCACATGACAACGACTCACCTCATTCATAGTGGTGGAACGAGCAGTCTACCCATGCCTCCGCCGCAGGAGAAGTTGACCAACACCCTCCTCCAGCAGGCTGGATGGGGCTGGTGAGATGCTGCATTGACTTCCACGCGGTGATGGCTGCGGTAAGAGGTTTTGGAGTCCAGAAGCTCAATTGCGCTTATGTACAACACGGATTAACTTATGCTATGTCTCTGCATCTCCTGAGATTACGGCGGGAAGGTCTCTCAAACCATCGTGTTTGGTTTACGGAGTAAGCTTACTAAGGGTCAGGAACCATCAAGACATGTGGCTGCTGTACTTATCCTGGCGCTACGTACCGTGAGTGACTGGTGGATTCATTGCTGCCCCGCTTGCTTAGACCCGATGTCCTTGTTTGGCCGACAGATAAGCTTTGCAGCCCTGTACACATGCCCTCGAGAAGCCTCCAGACGCTGTGAAGTCCGAAAAGAGCTATCGTGTTGTTAGATGGCCGCTGTCGTGAGAGGACATCGTTTAAGTGAGGCGATGCTCTTCCCTGCAATGGATCTGCCAGCAGGCCCTTCCTATGTATATAAAGGATAGGTGCTGTTCACCCCATGCCCCCTTGCACCGCCTGCCTTTGAACATGCTGATCTTCCAACCTTTAGTCGTCAGCACTCCACTGCTCAAGATACCCCTTCTAGTCGCTTACGCCACATCCATGTACACTGCGTGGACCCCTCCAAAGACAAAAGCGTTGCCAGAGATGGTTCAATCTGATGTCACTCAGACGGATTTTATAACCCGGAGCATGAGAGTGCAGGTCGCCCTCGCGACACCCTGCAAGGTTCGTCTCATCTCCCCCCGCAGCCCCACGCCTCGCTCATCCACGTCGCACTACCTCCTCTGCGGCTTAGCCGTGGTTGAGGCGTGCCTCCTCGTGTCGTACCATGCTCCCCAGAACTTTGTTTCGGACAATATCATCGCACTCTTCGGCCGGGGCCTCACGGCATCCTCCCTTCAACCATCCCCCATCTCCTTCGTTGGCTTGGCCTGCGCTACGTTCGGAGCACAAATCCGCATATGGTGCCATCAAGCCCTCGGGAAGTACTTCACGTGGAAGGTCTCCGTACATGACGACCACAAGCTCATCACCGACGGCCCCTACGCCATCGTCCGCCACCCGAGTTATCTAGGCTGGCTCCTTGTGGCCGCCGGGAACCTCACGTACCTCTTCGACCCAGCTTCGTACTTCGCCGCTTCAGGGTTCGCCGGAACGACAGCAGGAAGGGCGACGGCAACGTTTGTGGTGCTGCAGGCCGTGCAGTTGACAGTGGGTCTGTTGGGGAGGATGGATCAGGAAGACAGGAAGCTGAAGGAGACGTTTGGAGACCAGTGGAGAGCATACGCTGCGCACGTTCCTTACAGCGTCGTTCCGTTCGTGTATTAGGTGCGTGCGGCTCGGTGGAGGTGTGTTCTGGAAGCTATATTGATTTATATTCTCCCACTGGCAGCACGCTTTTGGACCGTCATGTGTCACGCGGTTGCGACCAGTCGTGGGAGCTGATGCGCCTTGTACCAAACCACCTCCGCCGACGCACAGCCGCCCCGCCCAGCGCACCATCAGCACCCCGCCGCACGCGTCCCCCGCGCATCACGCGCACCCTACCCTTCCACCGCCGACCGACGTCGCGCCGCGAGCTCGACCAATGACGCGCCCTAGTCCTATAATTAAGCTTCGCCCGACCTTCTGTCGATCATGGCTACCTTTCCTCCATCTCTGGCCCGCATGCCCACCGCGCTGCTGTAACTTTTTGCAGTATGATTTCGCGCCCCGTATCTTGCTTTGTTTTACCCCATTTTCCTCCTTTCCGCCTCGGCCCTGTCTCCCTCGTCCGGACTTCGCATTTTCAGCTCCTGTACTTATTCGACTCGTCTTCGTGCCCTCCCTACAGCCTCATCCGCCCCCGTTCGCAGCGCAGAAGTCCCTCGCATCGCCCTCGCGCCTCTCCCCTCCCCCAGCTTCCGTTGCACGCACGCTCCCTCCTCGTCGTCTCTCCTTCATGCTGATCTTACAACCTTTGGTCATTAACACGCCGCTGCTCAAGATACCCCTCCTAGTTACTTATGCCACGTCTGTGTACGGAGGAATGACCCCTCCAGCAAAGCCGTCGCCAGAGAAAGAGCCATCAAGTACCTCACAGACGGACTTCATCACCCGGAGTGTTCAATTAAGTTACGCCCTCGCGACGACATGCAAGGTGTGTGCCATCGCCCGAGTCCACAGCCGTACACCCCGCTCATTCACGTCACAGTGCATCGTCGGAGGACTAGCTCTCGCAGAAGCGGCGCTCCTCGTGGCCCACAGCACTCCCCCCAACGCCATCTCTGACAGCGTCATTTCTCTCCTCGGACAAGGTCTTTCCGTATCGTCCTTCCGGCCCTCCTACGTGTCCGTCGTCGGTCTCGCCTGCGCGACGCTCGGAGGACAGATACGCATATGGTGCCACCGCTCCCTCGGAAAGTTCTTCACGTGGACCGTCACCGTACAGGACGACCACGAGCTGATCACCTCCGGCCCTTACGCCGTCGTCCGCCACCCGAGCTATCTCGGTTGGCTCCTCATGGTCGCCGGAAACCTCACGTACCTTCTCGACCGGTCCTCGTACTTGATCGCCTCGGGATGGGCGAAGACGACCTTGGGAAGGGCGGCGATCGCGGTTTTGGTGTTCCAGGCCGGGCTTGTGACTCCGGGTCTGATGGCGAGGATGGACCGGGAAGACGAGAAGATGAGGGAGACGTTTGGGGACCGATGGGACGCGTGGGCTGAGCGTGTTCCTTACAGCGTCATTCCTTTCATCTATTAGGTGCGTGCGAGCTTTCGAATTATGGTCTACGATCTGACTGCGCCGACGCGCTGCCTCAAAGTGTCGAGGTCGCACGGGATGGTTTCCAGTTCCCCCGATGCGTATTTTCGAAGCTCGAGAAGATATCATGTAACATATCTAGTCGTGCTCTGCCTTCGCTTCAATGGATGTGCCGCAGGCGACTATCGCGCGCTCACGTCTTCCTCAGCCTCATGCAGGATCAACCTGCAAAGGCTGCGCATCTGCCCTCAGCAGCTGGTGACATATTAACGCGGCTGTTCGGTGGTATCCACGCCAGCCTGGCTCGGACTGACGTCGCGGCATGAGCGTCGACCGGCGCGGTGGAGTCCCCGGTGCTCGTCGCGTATACCGCCAGCGAGGGAGGCCAGGTCAGGAGTTGAGTCGCAGTTGATCGATCATTCTGAATGTCGGGGTGACCGTCACAGCCAATCGTGGGTGATCCCAGGCTGTTGGGCTGGGGCATCACACCGTCCGCAACCTTTGCTCCACAAGCTTGGACTGTCTCATCGCGATTGCAAATAATCATTCAAGGTCCTCGGGCCCGGGGAGCGAACTCGGACTCCGGCGTCTGTGCTACCTTTGCCGCCTCCCCAGCCTCCACCCGCGCGCAGGAACCTCATACCTGCCCGGGACATCAAGCGTTTCGGCAGGGAAACCAGTCATCCCACATAATGGATGATGGAGGGAGGGAGGGACGCGTCGGCCCGCGACTGGGGAATTGACCCTAACCGTATTCTTCACCTCGACTCGTGTTCTCAATGGCAGTGCTCCGGCAGAAAGACGATTTATCCAACTAACAAACACGAAGACGCGTTACCAGCTCGTCCGATCAAAACTTTGTGCGCTCATGAAGCTATGGGAAATGATGCTAACATGTTCTAGAACGCACATTTGACTCAAATTTGGCTGCAAGTAAGCATGTTCTCCGCGAGTCGACAACATTCATTTGGCTCAACTCGTATTTAGTTGCCCTTCAGAATATCCGGCCACCTCTCAAGAAGAGCCTCCTGGAAGATTTCGAGTCAGAACAGGCTCGTTATAACTCGTCAAGCAATTCTTGACGTACCACATCCCACGACCTCTGCACGCTCGGCCGCGCGTCCAGGTCCTCAAGGTATTTTCTCAGCCGCGCGAACTTAGGCTCTTGAAGCATTTCCAAGTACTTCTTGCCGTCTCCCTTCGCAAGGCCGTTCTCCCAAAACCACACCGGCAGCTTCAAGAACGGCACCATGACGATGTCCGCGAGCGAGAACGTCCCCGCCACGAACCCGGTCGGGGGCAGCCGCCGCTGCAGGTCCTCGAGCCAGACGAAGAGGTCCTCCGTGGGCCGGGGGCCGGAGAACACGCCGCTCCACACGCCGAGCCCATGGTGCACCCAGTCGAGGATGGCGAGGCGCATGTCGACGCGCGCGAGCAGGTCGGCGGGGACGAGGTGCGCGGCGGGGTTGAGGTCCGCGACGAAGTCTGCGATCACGCGCGACTCGGAGATCTTGCGCGACTCGGGCGAGGGCTGGTCGGGGGGCACGGACGGGCCGCCGTAGGTGATGGCGGGGATCTGCGTGTGGAGTGAGCTGGGGCGCGGGGCGGAGATGATTGAAGAGAGAGGGCGCATCCACCTTGCCTACGGGATTGACGGACTCGATGAACCACGCCGGCTTGTTGGTGACATCGATCACATGGTGCGTGTAATCCACACCCGCCTCATCGAATGCGATATATGCGCTTATACAGTAAGGCGAGTACTGAGCATCTGCATTAGCCAGTCTTCGTCAAACTTGTCGGAACCACGGTGAGACGTACCCCATGGCCGTAAAGAGTGATTTGCTCAGGCATTTGGAAGGAGGTCAAGATAGAATCTCGAGGAGACGTGCACGGCCTAAGACGGCGCATGATGGGACGTCTTATAGTATGCGTCAGCACCGTGCGGGACTGCGGATCAACATCATGAATGCCTCTGGAACGAAGGCACGTCAGCAACATGCTTGTTCAGCAATTATGTTTCCCAGCTCCCCGGAAATCTCCCGTCCGACGTCGACAGACGAAGATTTGGAGGATTATCTGTCAAGGTGCAGTAGCGCAGCCACGGTGTTCACGTTGAACATCTGCATGGAACTCAGAAAAACCACCACCCCTGCTTTCATCGTCGGATGTAGAAGAGATGGGCGGCGTAGGGGGTTGGGAAGAGAGTCGAGGGAGTGCCAAGACCAGTACTGGTGGTTGTTCAGCCCGAAGAACGGTTGAAAACCTCGGCCTCAAAAGCGCCTAAAGTTTGTCACGGCCGAGCAGAATGGTAAGCCAACCCTAACCCTCGTCGTATGGCACTTCCTTACTCGCGACCAGTCGGCGTGTCCCCGCACTGGAGGCTATGCTCGCGGTCCGCCTGACTTGAACAGGTCATACCACCGATACCATGGCCGATCAAGTAAGTGTCAGCCTGGGGGGCTCATCTCGACATTCCTATCTTGTGCAGAAGGGATCTTCTCTCTCACCCTCTGTCGCCGGCCTTGTCTGTGCGACTCTCGGTGGACAAGTCCGTGTGTGGTGTTAACGGGCACTTCACGTGGAAGTTCGCGGCGCAAGTCACCCACGGGCTCGTCACCGTATGCCGTCGTTCAGTACCCGCTTGGCTCCTTGTCGCCGCCGGAAACCTCGCGTACCTCCTCGACTCGGTCCGGCCCCATACTTCGTTGCCTCCGAATGGGCTTGTGCCACTGTTCAAGTCAAGCGAAGTCGGCGTGGATGTTTGGAGAGCGGTGGGGGGCGCACGTCCCTATCAGGCTTGTCCCGTTCGTTAACCAGGTGTGTACAGTATTATGGGCGTATGGTCTCTCATGCATCTCACTATGTCAATCAAAGGCCCAGCTACATAATGTCCATCGAATGGGTGGTATCATGCATTCGGTACCAGTGTCACAGCTTAGTCGACCACTATGCATCAATGGGACGCCACTCCGCGACCACTGACAATTCCAGCAGGAAAAAGTTTCGCTTTGTCCTACCACAACAACAAATGTAGTCATGTCGTGCATTCGTATCGACCACTGTTCCCTTTCGATCCCAAGTCATAAGTCGCGATCGGCCCCAAGAGCCACATCGGACTGACACTTGGTCCCCCATGTCTACCTCGACCACCCTTCCTGTAACTACCCCCGCACGCCTACCCAAGCATGCCCCTCCTATTGCGCTCTACGCCAAATGGAGGTTCCGCTACACAAACAAGGTGGTCGACGCGCAAGGCAAACGCTCCGTCGTGCTGGACGTCTACGACCTCATACTCCCCCCTGCCACACCTCTCCGCATCGGCTCCTCTATCCGCGTCTTAGGCATCGGCCATAAGCTCCCCGGGCCGTGCCCCGAGCATTCGGACGCGGAATACCGACGCAAGCCCTGCGCCTGTCCCTCGAAGGGGTACAAGTACTCCGCGTACGACGCGAAGGTCGAGGGAACCGTCGTCGGCATCCGCGTCCTCACCCACACCTTCGTCGGGCATCCTCCACTCGCCGGGCCGGTCGCCGAACTCATCGTCGAGAACACGCGTGGGGAGGCGCGCGAGGTTAGACGGGTGGTCGTGGCCGCGCCGTGCGTTTGGGGGAGGACCATCGCGGCAGACGCTGGGTGGACGGCCGTGGCGGAGACTTCGACGCCGGGACGGCCGCCTATAGAGTTGATAGAATGGGACGCTCAGGTCGCGTCGTGGTGACCCTTGCACCAACTTGTGGCTGGAGTTGCGCTGCAGGCCAACGGATAGTCGTTCTGTGCTACGTACTACAACCGAGATTTGATTGGTGATTGAAGGACTTTCTTGATGACCTCTTGCCATATATTGCTACTCTAAAAGTCTTATTACAGCCGCCGTATGGGAACGATCTCCAACAGCAGACCAACATAGATAGTTGTGTACATGGTGATCAATGTCGTCATCGTGACTCTGGAGACGCGTCGCATTACAAAGTGACGGCTCGTGACGGCACGCGGCTCTGCGCCTGAGTGTGACTTTGGCTTGCGAAGGCTTTGGACGAGCCGACGTTCTTCCCCCGATCTTACCCTTGCCCTTGTCTTGGAGAGTAATCACGGCCGCGTTCTCTCCACATCCCCCTCTCCTCTCTGTTGTGTGATTATTTCGACTGCCGCGCCGGGTGTTAGTGGAGAAGCTCGACTTGCCCCCTTCGCGGTGAATGGAGTGTGCCAACTGTGAACTCAGGCAGCGACAATTCTATTGCGAGAACTGTCTCAGACAGCAGTGAGCACCTAATAATTCTCCTCGGGGTACTCGATGGATGACATCTTGCAGTTTGCTTTCCTTCCGCCTACAGACCCAGCATGCCGCAACGGACCGAGATGCTCGCATTGCCGATGCACAGAGATCCCTGGCCACCGCAGTCGAGCCCGCACGGTTGAGACGTGCTGAACTGAAGAGTCTCGAAGAGCGTGTCCAGGAGGTTTGGGATGGAGTGAACGGGCTGAGGTCCACAAACGATCAACGTGAGCATTCTCCTTCCTCCCCCCGCTCCCAACCTTCATCTCGGTGTTACACAGTTCGAGAACGGATCCATAATTTAAGGGGTTCTCTTGCCACTCGTCGTCGGACTCTTGCGAATGCTTCATCCCTCTGCAACACTCAATCCTCTTCCGCCTCTTCAACATCTTCATCTGCGTCCCCACCGCATGCTTTGTCCAGCTCTCCTCAGATTCGCAGGGCGAGTTCATCCTCCCACTCCTCCACTCCCCCGCCATCCGCAACACGGCCCACGTCCATCTCTCGCCCGCTGAGCTCCAACTTCTTCACCGCGTCGTCCCCGCAATCCGCACGATCACCCCTCTCCATCGGAACCAGCCCCCCGCAGAACTTCTCGCGCCCCTCGTTTCTCTCCGGGGCACACACAAACCCGTACGGCTTCGCACAGGGACGGACGATCTCTGGGAGCGCGCCGTATGGCACACCGATCTCGACGCGGGGCATCGACCCGGTCGCACGGCAGATCGAGGAGCTGCAAGCGCAGATGACCGCGCTCTCGGACACGATCGCTCGTGCGCGGTCGGGGCTCGTGCAGGAGCTCGTCGAGGTGTTCAGCGTCGTGGAGGTCGGCGGGCGCCCTCCTCTGGGCGGGAAGGCGGGGACAAAGGGAGAGTGGACCATCGGGGGGCTTGTCCTCCCCGTGCCGGGAGATATCCGACGTGAGTGCAGATCATACGTGCCTGCTCAGTTCTTGATCTTGTTGCGTAGGATATCCTCCCGACCACATCAACGCGGTGTTGACGCATACAATCCACTTCGTAACGCTGCTTGCGTTTTACTTGGGCATCAAGCTTCCCTTTGAGATCGTGTGGAGTAGATCGTCCATCCCGCCGACTACGGGCAAAGGCAGCGGACTACTCGGAGTGGGAATCCCATGGATTGGTGCGATTCGAGGTGCGGAAAATGGTGGTTGGGCGAGGTGAGCGCCATAGTCTTCCCCCGCGTCCCACGTCCTGAATCGTCCGCAGATGGTCCTCCAAACAGCCCTTACACGTCACCTCCGCACCACCCGCACCAGCACCCTCACCCACGTCCTCCCCCTCACCATCTCGTCCGTCCCCCACCCGCTCAGCAACCTCGCCAGCCTCCTCCGGCGCGCCCACCTCCCCCGCCTCCCCCACACGCCCCTCCGCGCTCAGCGCGTCGCTCGCAGACTCGCACCTCGCCGACGGCCCGCCCCCGAGCGCGTCCTCGCCCGGGAGCGCGTTCACGAGCGCGCTCGCGATGCTCCTCTACGACGTCTGCTACCTCGCGCACACCCAGGCCGTCGACGTCCCGCTCGCGCACGCCGGCGACGCGCTCGGCAACCTGTGGGCCGTCTGCTGCTCGCCGGAGCTCGGCCGGCGCGCGCACGCGACGCGGCCGCTCCTCCCGCCGCCGACGCCGCCCGGGTTCCCGCTCGACTTCGCGCAGCTGCTGCAGGCGACGGCGGCGACGCCCGCGCGGGCGAGGGCGCGCGGGACGAGCGGGAAGGGCGTCGGGCGGGAGGTGCGCACGGAGCGGATCGTGGAGGAGGACGAAGGGTGGGACCTGCTCGAGGCGGACTTGGAATAGTAGGTGCGGTCGGTGACGGACGTCGGCGCTGTGTGTGGAGATACGCCCGGTCGTGGTATTGCTGTATCTCTAGCTTTGTGAATCCGGGACCAATAGATACAAGAGCGTTGTACAATAATTGTAAACAAACGTTCAGATGGAAGGCTCATTTATATCCGGTTACACTGAGCTCATTTGTCAAGCCCGTCCGACTATCGCCTTGCTTCCTTTATTCTTGGGAAATAAACACGATGGAAACACGCAGGTATCCACGAGGGTATGAACATTGACTTCATGCGGCTACGTGCGCGAAGCCGTAATAAACAATTACGTGCACGCTCACTACAAGGCTAACCCCCCTTCCACATGCATCTCGCTTGAACTTGAAGGACGACTAGAACCTGCGCACACATCGGCCCCTCTTGGGTCGCCGTCCGAAAAGCTGCCCGTCGACCAAGTGATCTGTGTGTCCACCAATCCGCGCGCCGGCCCTCCCCGCGGCATGCGGAACTCCATCGACCGCGCCACGGCCCGGTTCGGGCTCGGGACCGTCGTCAAGTACGGCGAGGGCCCGCCCGCGGACGTGCGGTTGCTGAGCGCGGACGCCCCGGCTTCGTGGAGGTCGAGGATGAATCGACAAGTGAAGATGACGGTCGCGCTGGGCACGTCGGCTCAGGAGAGGCGCAATGCGGCAAGGGCGAAAAAAGGACGAAAGACGCACGCGCTGGTCCATCCGATTAGGACGAAGACGAGCTGCGATGGCTCGTGAGCAAAGACTGGGGAGCTGCACAGTGGATGGACGCACTTGGATGTTGTTGATGAACACGAGGCTCATCAGGTTGGCGACGAGGAGCGCGCTGCGGTCCCAGGCGGGCATTAGGGACCTCGCGGCCGCTCGAGAGAGCTCGGTACGCACGAAAAGTATGTTGTGCCTGGGCGGGGGTGTGTCGATCAGAAACGGAGAGTCGAGACGGTTGAATGAGGCAGAACGCGGCTCACCGTCGTTGAAGAGGACGGACGTAAGGGCGAACTGGTGCGACACCCTGCCACGTACACGCACGGGCCAAGCTCGCTGCCAAGTCAGGATGAGCACGATGAGATCGGCGAGGATGCCGCCTGCACGCCCGACGGAGATGCCTGGACGCGTCCCAGCGAGGTCAGAGTTTGGTTGAGGGAGAAATCAAGGACCTGCAACGAACCACTTCACGGGCGTATCAGCATCTGAACCTCCGAGCCAAAAACAAAGACGGACGCACGCTTGCAAGGGACCCGTCGATGTCGCAGTGGAATCGCATATATTATGAAAAGGAGACGGATGATATGCGGAGCTCACTGCAATTGCCCCATACTGAAAAGGGCGTTAGAAGAGTATCAGATCAGACCCGAGAGCTGCTCACCAGTGAAGGAATGGCGTTCAAAATGGCGAGGAAGCCGACCATCCCAGTAATCCACTTCTTGCTACATAGCGCGAAAGCCCTCAAGGCGGAAAACACTACGCCATTTGTCAGAGGGTGTGCCCTGTGAGAACGAACAGTGATAGGTCACCTGCAGCTGCCGTTAAAACACTGGCGTCTAGCACCGAGTCCAATCGAGTGATCACGTTGCATCTGTTGGGGGTCGCCGGTCAGTAGGGACATCATTCGCATGACGGCGCCAACCTCGTACCCCTGGCAAACTAAGATCAACATCAACCAAAAGTCCAGCCTCGTCGCTTGCTCGTCGCTTCGAAGAGATGGAGGTACGCACAGCAGACGCCTTCCCCGGGAAAGGGAATAAGTTGAGCATGGTGACCACCACTGCCGCGAGCGACACATATCGCAAGACGAGATAGAGTATGCTCGCGCTGGAGACACTCCGACGCCAAATGTAGTGGATCTCTCGGTCGAGAGTGAGAAGGTAGTCGTAAAGAACCAAAACTAACAGGCATGTAAACAAGTCAGTACGCCGATAAGCTACTGAGATGAGGTGACACACCTAGCGATGCGACAGAGAGCCACGAGTCCTGGAGGCTGCAAGTGACATCGGTCAAGCACGGCCAATGTAGTGACTCCACTGATACTTACTCGCTGAGCGTCAGGCTATGCGCCGGGCGGGAAGACATGATCGACTAGCCCAGGCTTGAGCCTGAGAGGGACGACGACGAGGGGAGAGGAGCGCTGAATGCGCGGAACTTTACCCACTGTATACATATGACAGGTTTTGTTTCCCACCTACGCATAGATCAGCGATGTCAATCGACTGGGCTCCATGCGGCTTAGACTGACCTGTGCATTCACGTAAGTAGCACCCCGACATCTCCGGGCTCCCACAGAGACCGGTCATTTTGGGCGGATCGCTCACCTCAGAAGATCCTATCATGTACGGACGTCTACTGGTCTCAACCTGCGTCAATTTTGTCCGAATTTTCAATGCCGCAGAATCGCCCCCACCGAGCTGCCAGAAGTAGTGAAGGGTTTCTGAAAGTCTGATGTCAGTATGTCGACGTATTGCAATAGAAGATTGAGTCCTCACAGCTCCCCAATCACTCTCCCAAGTGTCGCGCTGGCCAGATCGAGGAGAGGGGCATGCGGTGCAAGCGGGGTAAATGCGTCGAAGGAACGCAGTGATGGGCGTTTGAAAACGACGGTAGCAATAGCTGCCGTCTGGTGATCTGTCGAAGACAACACCATCAACGGCGCGGTCAGTATAAGCTTCAATGCCCATGGGTGGGACGACACACGCACCCTCGCTATCGCCATTCGCAAGCCGCACTACCGACGATGGGATTGCAGCAGGCTCCAAGTCTCGTCACTCGTCGGTCAACCTTGCGCAGTGTGGGAACGGGGGAGTGGGATGTGGACATGCCAGACGAGAAACTCATAGTGTAGGCATACCGGGTTCGCGCTCGCACTCCTCGAGGTGCCCTCTTGTGCGCACCAAACGGGCGAATGAGGGAGGAGACGTCCCGTCCATAGCACCTTCCTACGCACCGCGCGCACAACACCGGATCCCATCGTTGTAAAGGTAGAAGATATCAACCAATTGACTGAGCGTTCATGATGCGGCGTGCGTCTTGCAGTGCGAGATAGTGGAAAGACGTTGCATGTGTATCTCAAGCGTGTGTCGAGGATACCCTGAGAGAAGATGTGGCCGTGACCACCCAATGGGTCTCGTCACAGCCTACTGCGTCACGGCCGAATTGTCGCAGCGTGACGCTATCGGACTCGGATCGATCCCTGTGTAGTGTAGTCTGCTTATGTATCTCATCTCATCCCAGTATGCGGAGTAAAGCGAGATGATAACAGTCCACGTTCAACGGCGATCGTCCTTGCATGTTGGAGCATCTTCGCATGAAAAAACACACAATAATAATCAACGTTCAGCGCCCGACGTAGCATTACGGAACGAGACGAGATAAATTACAAGTGCATCGATACTGCGTAGGGTCTTGGTAGTGAGCGCAATTTTCGTAGCGGGATCAGCAAGCGACGTGCTAGACAACATCTATGGGTAAGTGTCTGTGGGACGGGCGATATTTAGACGTGCATATGGGGAGCGTATGGCTTGGAACGGTGATCTGAGTGGAGATGAAGCGAGGGTATGTGATACTGATAGCAAGAATAGAAGCTGATAAGTTAGGGTGAGATGGTAATACAGCGCACGGGCGATGCGGACGCTCAGCGAGCGAGTGGAGTTCTAAACACAGGCGCGAAGGACACTCTACCCGGGGATCAGGCCGTCCTGGATGCGGTCCCACTGACGCATGCACGAGTACCCGTCGTAGTCTAGAGGGCCAGACCAGGTCAGCGACCCGGACAACACGCTCGCTCGGCGCAGAGTGGAACGCCACGCACCAAAGTTGCGCGCCACATCGCATTTGCACTTGCCCTTCTGGAACGCGAGCGTGCCGCGCGGGCAGTGCGTGAACGGGTTGTGCTCGTAACCGATGTCATTGAAGAAGTGGATCTGGTTCCGGTCCAGGAAGAGCGAGGCCGCGAGCGAGTGCACTGGCGCGTCGCCCCAACGCTCATAGTAGAAGCCGCCCTTGCTGTCGAGGTGTTCGAAGAACTTGGTGTACGCCTCTGAGCGCCAGAAGTCCATGTCTGCAATCTCAAAGTTCGACCAGACTATACGTGCGGGATCAGTCGGATGAACAGGGAGTAAGGAAGAGGGGAGGGAGACACGTACAATGACAATTGTTGTAGGAATTGCCGTTGTCGTCGGAGATGTAGCCCATCGCGTTGTTCTTCGCGACGTACTGTGGGTTCTCCTTTGTGAACTCCTTCACCGCGTCCCATAGCGTCGGAATCGTCGCGCCGAACTCGTACATCGTAATGGTGAACGCTTCAACATCAGGCATCAGATTGAGATGGGGCGGCGCGGAGACGGAGAACTCACAGTACGTCTTGTTGTGATCTTCCATGAAGATGAAAGGGTCGTAGGTGATGTCGCAGTGAAAGTGTACATCGGGCTCCACACGCCAGTACCATCTGTACTTCTGCATCTCCGGGTGCCGGAAGAAGAACTGGTGCACAGGTGTGGAACATGAGCGACGTCAGATGGCAACGAGAGGTGGTACTGACACCTGAGTTGAAACGGCACATGTTCCGGTATGAAACGGATCCGCCGTAGATGATGTTGTCTTTCTCCATCTGCTCGCGACCAGCCTTCGCCTTATCCTCATCGATCCAGGATGGCTGGAACCAGTGGTCCCTCGGGATCTGTAGGAATGTCACCTCGCCATGGATAATGTTTCGCATGAGGCTGAGGGTACGTGTTAGCGATCGGTCCGAGAGTGCACGGGGCGAACAGCTCAGCGTGCAACGGACGACGGTCTCGCGCGTCCCCACCCGTGCCCGTGCCAAGCACGGATCAGCGTGCCCGTTCTCGCGCGGGGCGGCTACCAAGGACTGGGATCACAGCCACCAGAACGCTTGATTGGCTCACAATCGCGGCCCGTTCCCGACGTGTCTGGGTCAGCACGGGGGCGAACGAGCGCGAGAACGCGCGCGGATATCGCGGGGCCGAAAGATTGCCCCGGCCGCTCGCGAGACCAGCGGTCCCCTCAGCCCGTCGCGCGGGCGGACAGGGGACGCGGAGTGCACATGCGCATACAGCGAGAGATGTACTCACGTCTTGAACTCGTCTGTGAACGGCTCTTCATTCATGAACGTCCAGGGGTACCGCGCGCGGCGGTTGAATCGATCCTCCAGCCTCCGCACGCTCCGCAGCGCCATCTCCAAATCCGTGTTGCGCGCGAGCATGAGCAGGGTCGCGTTGGCATGGCGCCTCAGGTGTTGGTCGGGCGGTGTGGCGGCGTCCGACTCGGGGAGGGGTATGTAGTCTTCGAGAGGGTAGACGTATCCGGACTTTGCTTTTCTCCACGGCATTTGCGAGGCGATGTTGCCTAGTGAGGTTGCGCGGCCGTAGTCTTCATGGGTGACGCTGAGAATTGCGTGCAAGCCGAACTGGAGGGAAGTACGGGGTTGGAGCAGGCGGAGTGAAGAAAGATGAGAGAGGCTTACGATGATAAACACCGAAAGGGCGATATAGCGCGTAGTTGTGGTGAATTTGATGAGCATCGGGGCCGTCGAGGAGGGCGACGGGGAGGGAGGGAGGAGAGGAAGACAAGGGGCTCGAGGTAGGAGTGGGTGGCAGACTGCAGTAAGGAGGGCATTGCGTTAGGGGCACGGGGATAAATGAGACGGAAGGCGCTGTTGGTGCGCTCTAGTGTCAAACCTTCTCCGGAGGTGCGCAGTCGTCGGACATCCGCCGCAGCCACCGGCCCTCGCTCCTTTTCGGGTAGCCATCTGTTCCATGGGACCTGGAATCGGGACTCGGGGAGCTGGCAGACACCATATGGATCATGTCTTCGCTGTAAACTGCCCGCTGTGAGAACACAGGTGCACCGTGCGCGCAGTCCCTCCGTCTTGGCTGCTGCGCAGCAGGTCCTCCAAACGCTCGTCCCTCCGCGACGTGCTGAGGAGATCGATCGTGCGGCTGTACGAGTCGACATGCACCCACCCGTGGCGTTGCGATTCCTCCGTCTTCAAGTTCGCAGCTCCAACCCGTGTGGAATGCGGTGAGTGCCACGAATCAAGTGTTGCTGGCAACCGCCAAGGCCTCAACAACGGTGAACGCCGGCTCCAGCTCCACAGGTGAACTTCTTTATGCAACGCGCATCTTATAGGAACCTCTCCGTTGTTTGTCAGTCTCGGTGACAACTCGGACTCCGATTGATAGGAATTACTATAACTGGGATCAGTTATTCACATTCCATGAAACTCCGCTGCCTCCGTCTTGGCGCACTTGAACCGTTCCGATGACCATTTTTTGCAAACGGCGCACGACGTTTGCAATTGTAAGAACCATTTGAAAACATCCGCGCGCGGTGGCCCTATTAATAGCCTGTCATATGTAAACGGTCAATTTGATTCCCCGGACTCTCCGGACCGCTAGCGCTCCGCAAAGCCTCATCGAACTTGACCGCTTTTACATGACCTCACTGCCCTACGCTATCTCTTCCTCACTTCCACCCAACATTGAGCGCTGAGGATGGCTTGCCAGATCTTGAAGCACATTCCCGGTATGGGGCTCTTCGGTTCTCAGCACTCTTGGGCTGGCCTCGTCCAGTACTAACTATTTTGCAGCGCTCCCCGTAAAACACCCTCTTGCTCTTCATCCTCCTTGAGTGCGAGTTCATCCAAGGCCGCAGGACTGACGGTGGAAAACTCATTCCCACACTAGACGGTACCCGCCTTCGTGGGGCGTACCATTCAAAGTTTCGGTGCTGCTAAAGACGGCGCGGGCACACGAGGAGATCGTGGAGTAGGACCTGGAGGAGGCGGTTCCGATGGCGGTGGAGATTGTTGGACCACGCTGAAGGTACTCTCTTCACAGTCTCTACTCCTGCACGATTATTCCTCAGCCCGTTCGGAAATCCTTTGCCGCCAATAGGACGAGGGCATATCCATCCAGAGTGGAGCCACAAACAACGTGTCCCGACAGTCCCGTCCGTTTTGCGACGCGGTTCCTGGACGCGGTTCCATTGGCGACGTGACGTCCAGCGATGTTCAAAATCGGGTAAGCTGGTCTTTTCGGTGGGTATATGCACATATATTCGTGCGAGATGGAGACATACAGGATGATAGAGCTGCAGTCCTCGCCGCTGCTGGTTGGGGACAACTTGGTGTCTTCCGTCTCTTCGAGTGAGCAGCGATAACCAAGCTCGTCCCCCCACAATCTGACGGCACTTGATGTATAGCGATATCTACCCACCCACCCGCTCAAAATGCTACCACATGTCGTTTTGTGCCGATGACGCGCACGAGTCGTGTAACTATCACTGCACTACCTCGTCAGGCCTACACGACGCTTGATTGTGCACTCTCCACTCCCACACGCCGCCTGAGAGTGAAGGGCTAGGCATCCAGATCCACGACGGGCTATCGTGCGAGTGGTTCAACGGCCTCTCTAAATGGTGATTAGGCGAGCACCACAGTCTCCCCCACGTCCCATGTCCTGAATCGTCCGTAGATGGTCCACCAAACGCCGTTACACGTTACCTCCGCACCTCCCGCCGCACCAGTACCCTCACCCACGTCCTCCCCCTCGTCGTCTCGTCGATCCCCCACCCGCTCAGCAACCTCCGCAGCCTCCTCCGGCGCGCCCACCTCCCCCACTTCCTCCACACGCCCCTCCGCGCTCAGCGCCTCGCTCGCGGACTCGCACCTCGCGGACGGCCCGCCCCCGCGCGCGTCCGCGATGCTCCTCTACGACGTCTGCTACCTCGTGCACACCCAGGCCGTCGACGTCCCGCTCGCGCACGCTGGCGACGCGCTCGGCAACCTGCGGGCCGTCTGCTGCTCGCCGGAGCTCGGCCGGCGCGCGCACGCGACGCGGCCGCTCCTCCCGCCGCCGACGCCGCTCGACTTCGCGCAGCTGCTGCAGGCGACGGCGGCGACGCCCGCGCGGGCGCGGGCGCTGGCGCATGGGACGAGCGGAAGGTGCGCACGGAGCGGGTCGTGGAGTGGTGGGATATGCTCGAGGCGGACTTGGAGGATTAGGTGCGATGCTGGTCGGGGAGAGGTTGATGGACGTCGGCGCTGTGCGTGGAGATACGCGTCGTCGTGACATTGCTGTATCTCTAGCTTTTGGGATCCCGGACCAACAGATGTAAGAGCGCTGTACAATAATTGTAAACCAACGTTTAGATGGAAGGCTAGGTTATATCCGCATACACCGACGCATGTATCCACGAGGGTACGGCGGTCCAGTTTATAGGACCATGTGTACGGAGCCGTTCGCGTGCCTATAAACAATTGAGTGCCCACTCACTACAACTTACACTCCTACGCATCGCGCGAACAACAGGGAATCCCATCGTTGCAAATGGTAGGTAATATCAACCAAGTGACTGGGCGCGAGTGCGTCTTGCACTGCGAGGTGGAGGCATTTCTGGGAAGGGGTGCGATGCGTATCTCGGGCGTGCGCGGAAAGTGGGAGGGATCCTGTGTGCATAGGAGGGCAGAGAGAAAAGGTGGCCGTCACTAGCTAGTCACGCAATAGGTCTCGTCACAACCTAGTGTGTCACTGCCGAAGCACGAGGGCGCTAGCGCTAGCGCGTAACCCCGATATTGCTATCATCTCATCGCAGTACGAGATTCCACATCAAACGGGGATTACCCTTGCATTGTGCAGCACGTTCGGTTCAAGACAAGACCCACAACATCAGTCAACGTTCAACGCCCGTGGCATTGCGGAAACGAGCATAGGGTCTTGGTAGGGAGCCCAATTTTCGTGGCGGGATTAGCAAGTGATATCCCAAACAACATCTATAGGTAAGTTCCGTGGGATGGGCCAGGGCCGCGGGTAGGGGGCATAAGGTATGCAAAAGTAGGGCTTCGAGTGATCTTGGTGGAGATGAACGAGGGTATGTATGTGACAGTGTTAAATCGTGAGAGTAAGAATAGAGGTGATAAGTTAGAGCGAGATGGTTAGCAAGAGCTAATCGAAACCGCGGGAGCTAAGGGCACTCTACCCGGGGATCAGACCGTCCTGGATGCGGTCCCACTGAGGCATGCACGAGCGCCAGTCGTAGTCTAGAAAGCCAGACCAGGTCAGCGACTCGGACAGCACGCCACCACTCGGCGCAGAGTGGAACGACACGCACCGAAGGTACCCGCCATATCGCATTTGCACTTGCCCTTCTGGAACGCGACCGTGCCGCGCGGGCAGTGTGTGAGCGGGTTGTGCTCGTAACCGATGTCATTGAAGAAGTGGATCTGGTTCCGGTCCAGGAAGAGCGACGCCGCGAGCGAGTGCACCGGCGCGTCGCCCCAGCGCTCGTAGTAGAAGCCGCCCTTGCTGTCGAGGTGTTCGAAGAACTTGGTGTACGCCTCTGAGCGCCAGAAGTCCATGTCTGCAATCTCAAAGTTTGACCAGACTTGCGTGATACGATCAGCGGGATGAGAGGGGAGGGGAGGGAGACACGCACAATGACAATTGTTGTAGGAATTGCCGTTGTCGTCGGAGATGTAGCCCATCGCGTTGTTCTTAGCGACGTACTGTGGGTTCTCCTTTGTGAACTCCTTTACCGCGTCCCATAGCGTCGGAATCGTCTCGCCGAACTCGTACAGCGTAATGGTGAACGCTTCAGCATCAAGTTTCAGATTGAGATGGGGCGGCGCGGAGACGGAGAACTCACAGTACGTCTTGTTGTGATCTTCCATGAAGATGAAAGGGTCGTAGGTGATGTCGCAGTGGAAGTGTACATCGGGCTCTACGCGCCAGTACCACCTGTACTTTTGCATCTCCGGGTGCCGGAAGAAGAACTGGCGCACAGGCGTGGAACGTGAGCGACGTCAGATGGCAACGAGAGGTGGCACTAACACCTGAGTTGAAACGGCACATGTTCCGGTATGAAACGGATCCGCCGTAGATGACGCCGTCTTTCTCCATCTGCTCGCGACCAGCCTTCGCCTTCTTCTCATCAATCCAGGCTGGTGGAACCAGTGGTCCCTCGGGACCTGCAGGAATGCCACCTCGCCATAGATGATGTTCCGCATGCGGCTGGGGGTGCGTGTCAGCGAACATTCCGAGAGTGCGTGCGTCACACAAGAGGGGGTGTGGGCGCGCTTCAATGACATGCTCTCTGACCCTCAGACGGCGACCGGACCGTAGGGGCGCACACGAGTGCGCTCCAGCCTCTCCAGCCCTACGCCTGCGCCCTCTTCTCGCCCGCGCGGTCACCACCCGCCGATTGGCTCAAATACCCGGCTCGGCTCACTCCGGCGGTGTTCTCAGCAGGCGCGGAGAGCGAGCACGCCCGCAGAATGCAGTGCGGGGCTGGGCGATTGCCCTGGCCGCTCGCGAGACCAGCGGTCCCCTCAGCTCGTCGGCGGGCGGACAGGGACGCGAAGCGTATATGCACGACGGCGAGAGAGGCACTCACGTCTTGAACTCTTTTGTGAACGGCTCCTCGTTCATGAACGTCCAGGGGTACCGCGCGTGGCTGTTGAATCGATCCTCCAGCCTCCGCACGCTCCGCAGCGCCATCTCCAAATCCGAGTTGCGCGCGAGCATGAAGAGCGTGGCGTTGGCATGGCGCCTCAGGTGTTGGTCGGCCGGTGTGGCGGCGTCGGACTCGGGGAGGGGTATGTAGTCTTCGAGAGGGTAGACGTATCCGGACTTTGCTCTTCTCCACGGCATTTGTGAGGCGATGTTGCTTAGTGAGGTTGCGCGGCCGTAGCCCTCATGGGTGATACTGAGGATTGCGTGCAAGCCGAACTGGAGGAAAGTACGGGGTTGGAGCAGGTGGAGTGAAGAAAGATGAGAGAGGCTTACGATGATAAGCACCGAAAGCGCGATATAGCGCCTGGTTGTGGTGAATTTGATGAGCATCTGGGCCGTCGAGGAGGGCGACGAGGAGGAAGGAGGGGGGATAGGAAGGCAAGGAAGCAGGAATATTGGGGGGAGGGCATTGCGTTATGGGCATGGGGATAATACGAGACAGAGAAGGTGCTCTTAGTGCCGCAGTCGTCGTCCCTCCGCAGCCACCGGCCCTCGTTCCCTCCCTCGCCGAAAACTGCCCACTGTGAGAACACTGCAGGTGCGACGTGCGCGCACTTCCTCCATCTTGGCTGCTTCGCGGCAGGTCCGCTAAACGCTCGTCCTGTGACACTATTTCTGGAACATGGCGCAACATGGTGCGTAGGCGATCGATCGTGCGGCTGTACGAGTCGACATACACCCACTCGTGGCGTCGCGATTCCCCCGTCTTCAAGTTCGCAACTGCAATAGGTGTGGAATGTGGTGAGTGTCACGAATCAGGTGTTTCCAACCGTCAAGGCCTAGCTTCTTTATGCAACACGCACCCACGCCCCTACAAAAACCCTCCGTTGTCGGCAAGCTCTGCGAGATAATGCTCGCGGCGCGGATGCACTCAGTACGAAGATCAGAAGTCGGGCGCATTTCACCTGGTGCAGTTCGGGTGCAATAAGAAGCGCTAAGCACTCGACCAAGGCCTCGGGCATGGTGCTCGCGCATCGCATTCGACAGGGGTGCAAGCACGGCCTCGACACGTCTGTCTTGGGCTTCGACGTAGCGCAATTCTGCCCCTCGATAAACCCCTGGATGCTGCTTGGAATCCTGCGCAAACAGGGCTTCAGCACACGACTGATAAACGTTTTGGAGCATTACGTACACGGACGAACAACGGCGTACCGCTGGGGCGCGCACGCCTCGGGAGCCTCCGACGCCGCCGGGGTAGTAGTGCAAGGTTCACGTTCAGCACTGTCGCCGCCCCTCGCGAACCTGTACATCGGACCCGTGATCCATCGGCTCTGCCCGGTGAATCAATGCAGAGCGGGGGATACCCATTCCCGCAGTTCTTCGTGGACGACGGGATGTGGTCAATCTCGTCGAGCAGCTTTCACAGCAACACGCAGTTGCTAGTGTACCTATACAAACAGACGCTGCGTGAGTTCACGCGTGTGGGACTCGTGATCGAGAATGAAAGAAGTGTGCCATTCACGAAGAAAAGGACGGATGCAATTCCGCCCCTCGACCTGGCACCCTTCACCGGGTCGGACTCACCTTTGCGACCGGTCGAAGTGCTGCCGCACCTGGGCTTCTATCTGGACCACAAGCTAACCTTCCATCACCACGTGTGCGTGTACGGCGCGCGCGCAGCAAGCACGGCCCAGTCCTTGCTCATACTGAGAATTCAATTTCAATACAGGGACAGTCGGAGGACTCACCTCTCGGTCCTGGATTTTGCCCCGCTCCACACGGAGGTACGCCCGGGCGCGCGGGTGGTAGACCTGTTTGACGGACGACTCAAGTGGCACCTTGAGCACCTGAGGAAGAGCTCGGATGAGCTTGAGGCCTGGGTCGAAGGTCAGCTGAAACCACACCTCGAAGAGTAATGGCGGACAAACGCGCTGTGGTCGTCTTCACGGATGGAGCTGTCTGCCCAAAGCCACGCTGCCACAGTGGCGCGGCGTTTCGAGCGCATCGGTCAGGCAACTTAGCTTCTCCTAAGTACGGCGCGGGTGCATTGCGTGCGGAGAGGCGACGTTGTACGACATCGTCGTCAACCGAGATGATGGCGCAGATAATTGGTCAGCATTTCGAACGTGGCCATCTTGGACATAGAACCGCGATCAGTTATGAAACCACATAGCCATCACATCCATGAAATTCCGCTGCCTCCTTCTTGGCGCACGTGGACCATTCCGATGGTAGACAACGCACGGCGACATACACATACGCGCGCGGTGGCCCTATTACATAATAGCCTGTCATAGACGGTCGATTTGATTCGACCCCAGCGAGCGCTCCGCCAAGCCCTACCGAACTTGACCGCTTTTACGTGCCCTCACTGCCCTACGTCAACCGCTGCTATCCCTTCCTCACTTCCACCCAACATTGAGCGCTGAGGATGGCTTGCCAGATCTTGAAGCGCATTCACGGTACGGGACTCTTCGGTTCTCAGCACTCTTGGGCCAGCCTCGTCCCGTACTAACTATTTTGCAGCGCTCCCCGTAAAACACGCTCTTGCTCTTCATCCTCCTTGAGTGCGGGTTCATCCAAGACCGCAGGACTGACGGCGGACAACTCATTCGCACACTGGACCGTACCCGCCTTCGTGGGTGTGTCATTCAAAATTTCGGTGCTGCTAAAGACGGCGCGGGCACACGAGGAGATCGTGGAGTGGGACGTGGAGGAGGCGGTTCCGATGGCGGTGGAGATTGTTGGACCACGCTGAAGGTACTCTCTACACAGTCTCTACTCCTGCGCGATTATTTATCAGCCCGTTCGGAAATCCTTTGCCGCCAATAGGACAAGGGCATATCCATCCAGAGTGAAGCCACAAACAACGTGTCCCGACAGTCCCCTTCGCTTTGCAACGCGGTTCCTGGACGCGGTTCCATTGGCGACGTGACGTCCAGCAACGTTCAAAATCGGGTAAACTGCTCTTTTCGGTGGGTATATGCACATGTATTCATACGAGATGGAGACATACAGGATGAGAGAGCTGCACTCTTTACCGCTATTTGTTGGGGATAACTTGGTGTCTTCCGTCTCTTCGAGTGAGCAGCGATCAATAAGCTCGTCCCCTCACAATCTGACGGCACTTGATGTATAGCGATATCTACCCACCCACCCGCTCAAAATGCTACCACATGTCGTTTTGTGCCGATGACGCGCACGAGTCGTGTAACTATCACTGCACTACCTCGTCAGGCCTACACGACGCTTGATTGTGCACTCTCCACTCCCACACGCCGCCTGAGAGTGAAGGGCTAGGCATCCAGATCCACGACGGGCTATCGTGCGAGTGGTTCAACGGCCTCTCTAAATGGTGATTAGGCGAGCACCACAGTCTCCCCCACGTCCCATGTCCTGAATCGTCCGTAGATGGTCCACCAAACGCCGTTACACGTTACCTCCGCACCTCCCGCCGCACCAGTACCCTCACCCACGTCCTCCCCCTCGTCGTCTCGTCGATCCCCCACCCGCTCAGCAACCTCCGCAGCCTCCTCCGGCGCGCCCACCTCCCCCACTTCCTCCACACGCCCCTCCGCGCTCAGCGCCTCGCTCGCGGACTCGCACCTCGCGGACGGCCCGCCCCCGAGCGCCTCCTCGCCCGGGAGCGCGTTTTTTTGGTCGTCCTCGTTGACCGCCCTCGAAATGGCGTCATCAGAACAAATGCCCCCGAGGGCGGGCGGCGACGTCTGCTCCCTCGCGCACACCCAGGCCGTCGACGTCCCGCTCGCGCACGCCGGCGACGCGCTCGGGTGGCCAACCTGTGGGCCGTCTGCTGCTCGCCGGAGCTCGGTCGCCGCGCGGACGCGAAGCGCCCGACACTCCCGCCGCCGACGCCGCCCGAGTTCCCGCCCGACTTTGCACAGCTGCTGCAGACGGCGGCGGCGGCGCCTGCGCGGGCGAGGGCGCGCGGGAAGGGCGTCGGGCGGGAGGTGCGCACGGAGCGGATCGTGGAGGAGGACGAGGGGTGGGACCTGCTCGAGGCGGACCTGGAGTAGTAGATGCGGTCGGCGAGAGCTTGACGGACGTCGGCGCTGTGTGTGGAGATACGCCTCGTCGTGATGTTGCCGTATCTCTAGAGTCTAGATCACAGAAAAATAAGTATAGGAGCGTCGTACGATAATTGTAAACAAACGGGCTCAGATATATCCGCATACACCGACGCATGTATTCACGAGGGTATGGCGTGGAGTTTAGAAGACATGTGTACGAAGTCGTCCGCGTGCCAATAAAAATTGAGTGCCCGCTCACTACAGCTTACACTCCTACGCATCGCGCGAACAACAGGGGATCCCATCGTGGCAAAAGGTGGGTGGTACCAACCAATTGACTGGGCGTTCGTGCGTCTTGCACTGCGAGATGGAGGCATTTGTGGGAACGAGTGCGATGTTTATCCCAAGCGAGTGCAGCGAAAAGTGGGAGGGATCCTGTGTGCGTAGGAGGGCAGGGAGATGGGGTGGCCAAGACTAGCTGGTCACGCAATAGGTCTCGTCACAACCTAGTGTGTCACCACTGCCGAAGCACGTACGAGAGCGCTAGCGCTAGCGCGTAACCACGATATTGCTCTCATCTCAGTACGAGATTCCACATCAAACTGGGCATTTTGCAGCACGTTCGGTTCAAGAAAAGACCCACAGCATCAATCAACGTTCAACACCCGTGGCATTGCGGAAACGAGCGTAGGGTCTTGGTAGGGAGCCCAATTTTCGTGGCGGGATTAGCAAGTGATACCCCAAACAACATCTATAGGTAAGTTTCTATGGGATGGGCTAGAGCCACGGGGTAAGGAGCATAAGGTGTGCAAAAGTAGGGTTTGAAGTGATCTTGGTGGATATGGATCGATGGTATGTATGTGACAGTGTGGAATCGGGAGAGAAAGAATAGAAGGTGATAATTTAGAGCGAGATGCTGAGCATGAATCGTAACCGCGGGCATTAATGGTACTCTACACGGGGATCGGACCGTCCTGGATGCGGTCCCACTGGCGCATGCACGAAATCCCGTCGTAATCTAAAAAAACAAACAATGTCAGCGACTTGGACCGATCGCCCCCGCTCGGTGCAGAGTGGAACGACACGCACCAAAGTTGCGCGCCATATCGCATCCGCACTTGCCCATCTGGTACGCGACCGTGCCGCGCGGGCAGTGCGTGAGCGGGAAATGCTCGTAAGCGATGTCATTGAAGAAGTGGATCTGGTTCCGGTCTAGGAAAAGCGAGGCCGCGATCGAGTGCACCGGCGCGTCGCCCCAACGCTCGTAGTAGAAGCCGCCCTTGCTGTCGAGGTATTCGAAGAATTTGGTGTACGCCTCTGAGCGCCAGAAGTCCATGTCTGCGATCTCAAAGTTCGACCAGACTGTATGCGTGGTAAGATCAGCGAGATGGGAGGGGGATAAACAGAGAGGGGAGGGAGATACGCACAATGACAGTTGTTGTAGGAATTGCCGTTATCGTCGGAGATGAAGCCCATCGCGTTGTTCTTCGCGACGTACTGGGGGTTCTTCTTTGTGAACTCCTTCACCGTGTCCCACAGCGTCGGAATCGTCGCGACGTACTCGTACAGCGCAATAGTGAACGCTATAACGCGTCAGATTGCGGTGAGACGGCGCGGAGACGGGGCACTCACAATACGTCTTGTTGTGATCTTCCATGAAGACGAAGGGGTCGTAGGTGATGTCGCAGTGGAAGTGCACATCGGGCTCTACGCGCCAGTACCACCTGTACTTCTGCACCTCCGGGTGCCGGAAGAAGAACTGGCGCACAGGCGTGGAACGTGAGCGACGTCGAATGGCAATGGAAAACGGCACTGACACCTGAGTTAAACGGCACATGTTCCGGTACGAGAGGGATCCGCCGTAGGGGACGTTGTCTTTCTCCATCTGCTGGCGATGAGCCTGAGCCTTCTCCTCATCGATCCTGTCTGGCTGGAACCAGTGGTCCCTCGGGACCTGCAGGAATGTCACCTCGCCGTAGATGATGTTTCGCATGCGGCTGGGGGTGCGTGTGAGCGAGAGTGCATAGATCGGACAAGAGGGGCGTGTGGGCACGCTTCAATGAAATGCTCTCTGACCCCCACGCCTGCGCCCTCTTCTCGTTCGAGCGCTCGCCTCATATACCCGGCCCGGCACACTCCGGCGGTGTTCTCGGCAGGCGCGGACGAGCGCGAGAACGCCCGCAGAATGCAGTGCAAGGCTGTCCCCTCAGCTCGTCGCACGGGCGGACAGGGGACGCGAAGGGCACATGCGCATACAACGAGGCAGCTACTCACGTCTTGAAGTCGTCTGTGAACGGCTCCTCGTTCATGAACGTCCAGGGGTACCGCGCGCGGCGGTTGAATCGATCCTCCAGCCTCCGCACGCTCCGCAGCGCCATCTCCAAATCCGTGTTGCGCGCGAGCATGAGCAGGGTCGCGTTGGCACGGCGCCTCAGGTGTTGGTCGGCCGGTGTGGCGGCGTCGGACTCGGGGAGGGGTATGTAGCCTTCGTGAGGGTAGACGTATCCGGGCTTTGCTTTTCTCCACGGCATTTGGGCGGCGATGTTGCTTGGTGAGGTCGCGCGGCCGTAGTCTTCATGGTGACGCTGAGGATTGCGTGCAAGCCGAACTGGAGGGAAGTACGGGGTTGGAGCAGGCGGAGTGAAGAAAGATTAGAGAGGAGGCTTACGATGATAAACACCGAAAGGGCGATATAGCGCGCAGTTGCGGTGAATTTGATGAGCATCGGGGCCGTCGAGGGGGACGGGGAGGGAGGAGGGAGGATGGGAAGAGAAGGAGGCAGGAATGGGTGGAGGGTGTTGAGTTATAGGGATAATACGAAACAGAGAAGGTGGTCTTAGTGCCGCAGTCGCAGCCGGCCCTCGTTCCTTTCTCGGCTGAAAATTGCCCGCTGTGAGAACACAGGTGCAACGTCCGCGGCAGGTCCGCTGAACGCTCGTCCGTTGACGCTACTTATTTTTGGACCACAGCGCAACATGGTGAGTAGGCGCCCGCTCATGTGGCTGTACGGGTCGACATACACCCACTCGTCGCGTCGCGATTCCCCCGTCTTCAAGTTCGCAGCTGCAATAGGCGTGGAATGTGGCGAGTGTCACGACTCAGGTGTTTCCGACCGTCAAGGCCTAGCTTCGTTATGCAACACGCACCGAGCAAGGACCGGCCGGGAGAAATAGAGTTGGTTGAGCTGGTGCGTGAACATACCCATTGCGTATATGCCGATCGGGATTGATTGCCGTCGTCTGTCTGAGGTCTTTCTTTGCTGAACCACACAACTGATACATCCATCAGCCCTTTGTGGTGCGCACTCCCCCCGCATGATTGTTGAAGAGCCAGATGTTGAAGATGAAATTACGGGAATGAAGTGGTAAGTCGTCCTTTGACGCTGAAGAGTGCGGCGCTGAACGAGCATGCCAATGCTAGTAGACTATACCATGAATCATTTGCCACCGGGAACACACTCGCATGCGCATGGAGACAGAACCACATGCCCGGATGTTGACTTATCTCCCCCCAGAGGTGATCAAGGTTCTTCCGGGTCTATCAGTCGGGACTCGGAGTAGTGTGCTACATGGCCTTGGCGGGGCCGCCGGCTGTCTTGGCAACCTCTGGGCCAACGTCCAGCCTCCGATCGGGTCTCTCTTCCCTTCAATTTCCTTCGATAGGACCCGACACATGTTGGCTGCGGAGAGAGTTGTCCCGCCGCCTTCGTTCCCGCTGGGTAACTACAAGCTCCTTCACTACCCATAGGCTTATATTCACGGGATTCTTTGCCCAGGCCTCCATATCAAGATCGCGGCGGAGAACGCCGGCGGGGTGTGTATGCCGGCGGCTCAGTCGTGCTGTATTCAGTTGCTGTGCTTCAAGGAAGCGACGATGGCCATGCCGCCAAGCTGCTCACCTGCAAGAACCCATGTGGCTCTGTCTCTCACGCGCCGTTGGAGAATCCATCAGCCACGTCTGGGCGTATGCGTGTTGTCCTACCGGCAGCTTCGGAGGCCGAGTGTATCTGCAAACCGTTGTGTTCTGGGTGCGTTCACAGCGTCCCTCTCGTCCGCTATCTACTCGCTGACTCTCCTGAAAGCTGCTCCTGGACGATAATGAGCTCATTTGAGGGTGTCAAAGAGTTCGGGGGCTCATCACCCGGCTGAATTTGTGCATGCGATGGAATGCAGGTGTGCGGGGCCCCTGTTGACACCTAGATTGCATGCTAATCATCAGAGTTGGTTCAGAAGCAGACTAGGATGAAATGTAGCCAGCGTCTCATGGAGACCAGACGACCTGCACAGGGACACTATCATGCTCGCCCTTGTGACGCATCCTCGAGAAGTCGAGGGTCGCTCACAAACCACGCACCTCCCCTGCGCTTGCACCGGGCAGCCACGCGGTTACGGGCGTCGACCGACTCGAGCACACGAATCCTCTGGAACGTCAGGTCCCCTTGTCGATAGCGCGGGTGTATAAAGCCTTACCCCGCACCCCCCTTGGACCCCAGGCGACTTCGACATCCCGTCTTCGCTCCAGACAGACTTTCACCAGTCTCAGTCTCTTCCGCTTCTCCCCGCAGCCACCGCTACCCAGCCCACGGCACTTCCCCGACCCCCTCTTTGAACCATGTTCGCTTTCAAGAAGGTCTTCGCGTCCGTCTTCCTCGCGGTCCTCTGCGCCGGATCTGCCTCCGCGGTCCCTTTCCCCGCGAGCTCCAAGTTCGCGACCCACCGCACCCGTGAGATCTCCCGGGACTTCAAGCTTGAGACTTACCACCCCGAGTCCTCCTACGAGGTGCGTCCGCCCCATGCCGCCGCCCCGCCCTCGTCAGTCACTCATGTCGCGCTCTCCCCAGACCTTCGGTGCTGGTGTCGACCACCCTCTGTCCAAGCGCGCCGACGCCTCGATCGAGGACTCCGCGGTCGCCTTCATCCAGTCGCGCATCAGCGGCCTCGCCGCCGACGCGATCACCGTCAAGTCGTCGCACGAGAGCGACGCGGCGGGCCACGTCTACGTCAAGCAGACGCTCGCGGGCATCCCCTTCGCGAACGCGGTCGCCAACGTCGCCTTCAACAAGGAGGGCAAGGTCGTCGCGTTCGGCTCCTCCTTCGTCTCGACCCCGAGCTCGTTCGCCAAGATCTCGACCGAGCCCTCGGTGCCCGCCGCGGACGCCATCTCCAGCGCCGAGGACGCGCTGTCGGGCGCGTTCAACGCGGAGGAGTTCCCCGAGCCCACGCTCGAGTGGTTCGCCAAGGACGACGGCTCGATCGTCCTCACCCACGTCTTCCAGGTCCGCAACGAGGAGGCCGGCACGTGGTACGAGGCGTTCGTCGACGCGCACTCCGGCGACCTCGTCTCCGTCACCGACTTCGTGGCCAAGGCTTCCGTGGGTTCTGCGTCATCCGTGCATCGTTGTAGGAAGCTCACATGCGTTGGCAGTACCGCGTCCTCCCTATCACCAAGGAGGTCCTCACTGAGGGCCTCGAGCTCGTCACCGACCCCCAGGACACCTCTGCCTCGCCCAACGGCTGGCACACGGGCACGGACACCCAGGGCAACAACGCCATCGCCTACAAGTCCTCGCAGAGCCAGACGACGTCCCAGTCCGGCTCCGGCCTCGTCTTCGACTACGCGGTCAGCACGAGCTCGCAGCCGACGACGACGGGCAACGTGAACGCGGCGCGCGTGAACGCGTTCTACATCGTCAACTCGGTGCACGACATGACGTACAAGTACGGGTTCACCGAGGCCGCGTACAACTTCCAGGCGGACAACCTCGGCAAGGGCGGCAAGGCCGGCGACCGCGTCACCGTCTCCGTCCAGGACTCCGCCGGCACGAACAACGCCGACTTCTCGACCCCGCCCGACGGCCAGTCCGGCGCGATGCGCATGTTCACGTGGACGTACACGAGCCCGCGCCGCGACGGCGCGCTCGAGAACGACATCGTCATCCACGAGAACACGCACGGCGTCTCGAACCGCCTCACGGTGGCGGCACCGGCCGCTGCCTCCAGAGCACCGAAGCCGGCGGTATGGGCGAGGGCTGGTCCGACTCGATGGCAGAGTACGTCCCTCCCCATATCGTGACCGCGCCCGACGCTAACCCGCTCCCCTCCCGCAGCTGGTTCCACAAGACGTCCTCGTCCGTGCCCGACTTCGTGATGGGCCAGTACGTGATCGACGACTCGGCCGGGATCCGCAACTACCCGTACTCGACCTCGGCGTCGACGAACCCGCTCCGGTACTCGTCGATCAAGACGCTGAACGAGGTGCACAACATCGGCGAGGTCTGGGCGAACCTGCTCCACAACGTCTACGCCGCGCTCGTCGCCGCCCACGGCTTCTCGGCCGCCGCGCGCACGGACCCGAGCGGCAGCGCGGGCAACGTCGTGTTCATGCACCTCTTCATCGACCAGCTCGCGCTCCAGCCGTGCAACCCGACGTTCGTCACCGCGCGCGACGCGTGGATCCAGGCGGACGCGAACCGGTACGCGGGCGCGAACAAGTGCACGCTCTGGAAGGCGTTCGCGAGCAAGGGCCTCGGCACCAAGGCCGCGAGCTACAACGACGACAGCACGCTCCCCTCGGGCTGCTGAGCGCCGCGCGCGGGGCGCTGGGTGGATGGTGGATGTGGACGCATACCCCGACTGATGTACTTCGGCTTCTGGATCTGTCATTGTATGGGTAGTAGTAGTGACATGTATTGTAGACCACACGACCAACGCAACGATGTTTCTTTACCTTCCATCTACTCGGACGGCTGCGTTGACGGCGTATACCATCGACGTCCTGAAGCCTCGACGACGAGTCTCAAACGCGAGATTGTTCTCCAGGCCTCAGTGCGGTCGCAGTCGACTTGGCGTCAAGCCTCATTCTCTTTATTGTGTGTAGGATTAGAGCGCACTTTGAACACGCCGAGACACAGTGGGCGGATGATACGATAGATATTTTTAACGTTGTACAATATGTTCACAGGAACAGCATCAGAGGATCGACCAAAGCCACGACAAGACGAGGTGATGATAAGGTAGGTGCAATCCAGCGCAGACTGCAGTGGGAAGCAGGCCGAAGCAAACCGGGCGCGGCGGTCTAAAGTGATCACATCTCATTCAGTCAAGTACTGTCCACGATCAGGCGGGCGGCGAGCAGCGTCCCATCTTCCAACATCTGAAAGCGATTACGGGCGGCGGGGGGATGGGGAACGGGACGAGGGGAATGGAAGGGGACGGGGGACGGGGACGAGAGCAGGTACAAAGCGAAAGCGAAGTGCATAACTAAGTGCATAACTCAGGGTTGAGACGAGGCGCATGAGACGTATTGGGTCGTGTGTGGGCGATGATAGGATGTGATGGTAGATGTGGAGGATGCAAGATGCAAGATGCTACGATCAGATGCAGGCGAGATGTATAGTACAAAGGCAGGTGTGATGGAAGGCGGGTATGTGTTTTTTGCATAGTGGCATAGTGGTAGCAGCATCGGTACAACGGCGACCTACGCAGGCATCGCGCTCATCCTCCGCGTGATCTTCGTCGACGTCGAGCTCGTGCTTGACGCGGGTGAAGGCACCGAGTTCTCCTTCTCATCGGTCTCGCTCGCCGACGAGAGCGACGGCAGCCTCTGCAGCTTCAGCAGCGTTTCCTTGCTCGACGTCGAAGAGCGCAGCTTTGACGGCTCGAGGATTGATGCCGACATTCTCCGCTGACTGGCGGGGGCTTTGATGGTGCTGGGAGTACCGCGAGCCGAGGGTCCCGCAGGAATGCGTGTGGGGGTTGCGGACGACATGCCAGAGGTGGAGTTGCGCGCAGACGGCGGGCCCATCGCCCCAGTCACCGAGGCCTTTGTCACGGGTGCAGTCGTGCGGAGAACAGTGCTGCGGCTGAGGGGTGCCTTGCTAACGGTAGAGGGCGTTTCGCTGCCACGGCGTTCCTTCATGACGCTGCCGGTGTCGGAGAGAACAGACGGAGGGCGAGAGGCCACGCTGGGCGTGCCGAAGATGGAGGATTCGCGGCGTTGAGTGGGAACCTTCGCAGTAGAGGCAGGGGTGCTGCCGGCCGTGCCACGGACGCTGATGCGCCGCTTGAGCTAGAGTACACAGGGTCAGCAGAGAGCTCATGAGTAAGACGGGGCGGCACTCACCAGTTCTAGCTCCTGCTGCTTCGAGTCGAGAGCGATGTTGAGGCCAGTGATGTCCTCCTTGTCCTGGCTGCGCTGCTTCTGGAGTTGGACGAGCTTGACCTCTTTGTCCGCGCTCTCCTGTTGAAGCTCGTGCACTTGTCTCCTCAACTTATCCAACTCCGCGTCGAGGCTCTCTGCACGCTCACGGAGGCTCGATGCGTGCACATCGCTTTCGGCCTTCTCACGAACCATGACCTCCATGGCCGCGCGGGCCTCGACCTCGCGCGCGACGACATCTTGCAGCTTGCGACTCTGCTCGTTGACAATGCGCGCGTGCTCGCGCTTCGCCTGGGCAAGCTCGCTCTGTGCCGCATCCACGTCGTTCTCTTGCTCCGACTGGCGCTTCATCAGCTGCGCGAGTTCGTCTTCACGTTCGTGGAGGCGGGCTTCAACGCGCGTGGCGCGGTCGAGTGCGTACTTGTGCTCCTGCTCGAGTGCGCTGACCTTGTCTTCGCGTTCGCGGAGGGAGATGGTAAGCTGCTCGGCGTGTTCTTGCTCGGCATCGAGCTGCTGCTGGAGCTGCAGCCAAAATAAGCCCTAACCCTAAAAAGGGCAATGAACCACGTACCTCGGTGTACTCCCGCTCGAACTCCTCCTTCGCAGCCCACACCTCCTGCATCTCCATCTCGAGCTCGTTCTTGCGGTTTTCCGACTGCGTCCACTCGACCTCCATGTCCGAGATGCGAGCGTTGAGCGCGTCGAGATCGTCCTGCAACGTGTCCCTTTCCTTCTCCAGCTCGGTGATTTTCTCCGTCTGCGCCTCCGTGCTCTTCCACTGCGCCTCGAGCTCCGCCTTGAGTACGCCAAGCTCCCCGTCCTTCTGGACGACCTCGTCGCGCGCGTCGGCGAGCTGGGTCTCCGCTTGTAGGTGTTCCGCCCGAAGAGCTTCGTTGGCCGCCCGGAGTGCCTTGCGTTCTTCATCCCAGGCCGCCGTCGAGAAGTTCCGGGACCGTTCCGCCTCCTCCATGATTAGGCTAACCTCCATCGACTGCATCTGCTCCTGCGCGCGCGCAATGCCTGCCTGGAGCTCCCGCTCCGCCTGGTCGCGGTTTGCGAGCTCCTCCTTAGCCGCAATGAGCTCCGCACGGGCAGCGTCGAGCTCGCTGCTGTCCGAGCTCGCACTTGAGCTCAAACTGGCGTCCCGTCCGCGCTTCTCCAGAGCGGCCTTCTCGCGCTCGAGCTCCTCGATGCGCCAGTGCAGCTTCCGGAGCGCCATTCCACTTGCTTCGTCCATCACGCTCCGCTCCACGTTCTCCTCCCGGCTCCGGTCCACCTCGTCCTGCAGCGTGTGCACGCACCGCTCGAGCTCCGCGACGCGCTTCCGCCAGCTCCGGATCACGTTCTTGCGCCGGTCGCATTCCCGGAGCGCCTCCTCCAGCCGCGAGTTCGCCATCCGCGCGAGCTCGTCGCGCCCGCGCAGGTCGATCTCGTACTGCGCGCAGAGCTCCGTCTGGAGCGCGAGCTGCGTGCGCAGGTGCAGGATGATGTCCTCCTCGCGCGATGCCTTGCGCGCGTGCGACGCAGGCGCTTGAGGGGGCGTCGTGGGCACCCCGGTGCCGGGGGTGTAGTACGCGGTCGCGTGCGCCCCGAACGGGTCCTTCTCCTTCTTCGGCGACTCGGGCCCGGCGTACACGACGACCGCCCTGTTCGAACGGTCGTCGATGTCGGCCTCAGGAGGAGAGCTCTCCTTCTGCGTAGGCGGGCTCTGGAGCATCGAGTGGAACACCGTGTCGCTGTATGCGCGGTTGCGGTTCTTCGGGCGAAGCGAGCCGCGGCGAGACTTGGATATGTCGGGGCCGAGGATCGGGGAGGGTTTCGGGGAGTCACGACCGCCACCGGAGAGAGATTGAAAGACGCTCTGACCGAAACTAAAGGACTGACTGCGGTCGTGCCCCCTGGTAGGTGTGCTCGACCTTAACTCCTCCTCGGGTACGATGCGGGCGGCAGTAGCGTCTGTGTCGTCCGAGGTTAGCTCGATGGCGTTGTTGAGGAAATGGGCGTCCTTGCTGATAGGGATCGGAGGCAGCTCAAAGTCAGACGAAAGGTCGAAGATGTTGGTGTCGTTCGGAGGGGGAAGGGGCTTGAGAGACGAGGGCGGCGGAGGGGAGAACACATCTTGGAGGGGGGGCCGGATAGGTGTACTGGTGCTGTTCCCTTTCAGCCTCGCCGCAAACGACGCTGGGGAGGGCTCGCTCGGAGTCTCGCTCATATTCGAGACGTCCGGTGTGATATCCCTCACTATGTCGCGAGAGAAGAACCGCACACTAGCCCCAGTCCCCGGCGTGGTCCCGTCGCGGAGGATGGACTTGTAATGGCTATCGGCGGAGGGCGTGACCGGCGTCGGCATGAAATCCTGGAGAGGGCGGATAGATTCTTGCGACTCGCGAGGTAGGTTCGAGTCTGTGGAGGCGCGGCTTATGGAAGACGCATCAGAACCTATACGGGTGGATGGTCAGCATCTCAACGTCAACTTGGCATCCAAAACGTGTGGAATGAGGTACAAGGTAGCCGACATAGCCGCCAGAAGCTTGCGTACGTCACGAATACGCATACAATTGTGTCGTCTCGAATCGTCGGAACCTCCACGCCGTCGAAAAACCATTGTCCCCTCACTCGAAGCTCCCGTCGTGAAATAGAAAGAAGGATGTACTCACTTGAACTAGTGTGCATCGACGACTTTACCTTTTTCAGTCGAGGGATGGACAGCTTCAGAGCCAGGGAACCATGCTCCTCGCCATCAGCCTTCTCCCACCGCTTGAAGAGTGCTCTCTTGCTGCCGAATTTCGAGGGCGATGGCGGCGGGCTGTCTTGGGGGAAGGGGACATCCTTTGGGTCGTGGAAGTTGGAGAGGTTGGGGTGTTGGTTGAGGACAGCAGACATGATGGTCGGCTGGAGGTGACTGCGGTCTTCGTCGCCGCGGTCGAGGTCAAAGTGTTCCTGAGCAGAGGGAGTCTCGGGACGCTTGAGGGCACCGCTGATTTTAGCCCACATGGTGTTGGCGGTAGTCTTGAGGCGAGTGTGTCGAAATGTGGCGGTTGGAGCTCCAATGTCGCAGATACACAGATGTCGGAGAGAAGAGGGGAACTTATGGAGGCGCGGAGAGCGGAGACATCAACGTCGCTGGAAGCAAGCGTGGTCGAGCGTCAATGTTCAGTTTCGCGAACTACCTACGCGCACCTCACGTGATCGCGCCCTGGGGAGCCCGGCATCTTCGGCCCGACTTCATTTACACATGTACAACGGTGCATACATGCCCATTGTGCACAGGCCGACGCAGGAACCAACGCTATGCACTATGTCGTTTTCTCTGTACCAGAATCCGCGACACTAGAGTCCTTTGGCGTGCACGTTTGACAGGTTTATTCCCGTGTTTCCCAACGCTATGCCCCAAGCTCCGACTGGATTGCGAGCATTCTTCCACCAGCGATCAAGTATGCATGACAAGCCTCCTGCTGCGTGTTTTGCGATACTGTGCATCAAAGTGGTGCACAACGACAACGAATCAGACGAAGACGAAGAAATGGGGGCATAAAGGACTTGGTGGTACTCTTCGACATTCCCCAAGACGCAGGTATGAATTCGTCCATGCATCGCAGAGCTCGCCACAATCGTTTATTCTAAACAAGTGGTCCAAATTCCATAGTATGTTACAATGCACGTAAAATGTGCGCACTCATATGACTGATCCTTTATCGTACACAGAACTAACCCGTCACTGCCATAAAACCGATGTCAAAGGTATGTAGATGCATAAGCGTGAAGCCAAGCGTCTGAGACTGCGAGAGGGTGTCCAAACCACGCCAGCCATGCACAATGGTGGTATCAATAGTCCAGTTCCTCGATCTCCTCGACGCGCCGAACGCGCTCCAAGTTCCAGGTAGCGCCTTCGAACGCTCGCGTCATGACATAGCCAGCGTGCAACTGCACCAAACGCAGGTTCGGGCAGTACCTGTTCCACGGGATAATGATATTGCGCAGCTCCTCCTCGATCGTGTCGAAAGATTCGTCGTAGAGTGAAGTGGGATAGTCAGGCCGCTTTGTGCCAATGGGCGGCTGATGATAAAGTTGGAGGGTATGGAGGTCGGGGAAATTCACAAGGAACTCGGGGGCCAAGGAGACCAGAAAGTCCTTGAGCGCATGGTCGTAAGCACCGAGTAAGGGGTAGAATAAAGAGCATATACTCACCTCGCTTGGGCCGGCGCCATCGTAAAGCACCTTCAGCCGCCGAAGGCATTTGAAGAGCTGTGCTGCGGCAGACAATATCTCTTCGTCCCATCCCTTGAGCTCCACGAGGAGCATCTTCAGGCGAGGACAGCTGTACCCGATCGACGACATCGCCATGATGCCCTCGCGCGCGGCCACGCCGCACTTGAGCAGGCCGATCGCCTGCAGCGGGCGGACCCCCGCGACGAGCTGCACTGTGTCCAGCGGGGCACACAGGCGCTCCAGGCCGGCCGGCAGCGCTTCCGGTGCGATGGGGACCTGCGCGGGGACGAAGATCGGGGTGGACACCGTGCGGAGCGACTTCGCCTGGACGCAGAAGTGGTAGAGGTGGGTGTCGGGAAACGCGTGCTCGACAACGAAGAGCGACGGGCGCTCGACTACGGCAACAACACCTTTCTTGACGTACAAGTGTTCGAGGTTCGGCGGGATGGCCCAACCTCGTGCCGGTGCGTCCCACACGCCGAACACAGAGCGGAAGACGTCTGCGGTGGAGTCGATGCTGAGGCGACGCAGGTTCTGCGCGACGGCGAGAGAGAGCGCGTATGCAAGGTCGTCGACTCCTCCAGGGACGTTGGGAAGCGAACGCGTCGCGCGTCGGATGTTGTAGAGCGTCAGGTCCGTGATCGGGAGCGTCGCGTGGTTGAGCGCGGGGTGCGGCGAGCGGGAGCAGATAGCGCAAGTGTCGATGCGCAGGGCACGGAGGAGGGGGAGGGAGTGGACGAGCTCGAAGTGTTCGGGGAGAACATACATGTTCGCGAAGGTGAGCGACGAGATCTTCGTGAAAGTCTGTATCTTCGCCCATAAGGCATCGTGGAGGGAGGGCGCAGCGAAGGAGCTGTCGACGATGTTCGCCGGACGGTCGCTGATGGGTCCGCCGGCGGAAGGATCCCCGGAGTCGTGAAGAACGCCCCCCGCGATTGAAGTTCCGTCGAGCTCCACGAGACGAGCGCGATGGCCAGCAGGAAGACGGGTGACGCCAAGAACGAGAGAGCGTACATATGGTTCCATTCCCGGTAGGTCGCCCCAGACCTTCAATTCAAGTGCAGCATGCTTTGCCTTGTGCCAGACGACGTCCCGGTGAAGGGCGCGAATGGTCAAGTGCCGGAACTTGCGGCATGTTACGCTGATGCCGTATAGATCGATTGCAGTCGGGAAAAGCTCGAAAATGTCGAGCCAGATTTCGGCGGGTATCCGTTCGAATGCAGGATCCATTGCCGTGTCGAGCCTGGGTATGGGGACTAGAAGAGTGTCAGGGCAAGGTCAAAAATTCAGCCATAAAATGATACGCACAGCAGTGGGTGGGGATGGGGGGTGAGCGGAGGTGGGGGAAGATGATGGGAGGGAGCAAGTACGGCGGACGCGCGCAGACTGTATGTGGAGTGTGGCCCACACTCCGGGGAAGTCCCGAGACTCCGGTTTTACCGTTTTTACGGCATGCGTCCCGAACGCCGGTTCGGATCCCCTCTTTGCAGGTTTTTTCTCCAGCGCTCCGATTGTATATGCACGCCCTTTCCATTTCGGAGCACAAATAATTAAGTGAGTAACCGAAGCATCCAAAGATCATTTTCAAACGCCTCTTCTGAATTGTCTTGTACAGTACCCGAGAGCCATCCGAGAGGCTCACGCTTATGACATCAGTTGGCGACGAAGCCATCGTGGCTCAACTTGTGCGAGTCTTGAAGCTTTGAAGCTTGAAGCTTGAAGGACAATGGTACACACGTATCCAGCGAAACGTCACCACAACATGCTTTTTGTGTTCATCTTGTGGTTGGACAAAAATTAATTATGCTCATGCATTGACATGTCACAAGGTCTGAAAGACGAGTGCGTCAGTCCGAAGCACTCTCCGGGCACCTTTATCTGTCGCATGAACTGGTGTGCAAGCTAATGGACGGCCTTGCTCAGACTCGCTCCATGCGGCCTTGCAGCCGACTAAGCGCGTACAACGAAGTCGGCGACACCGGAAGATCACCGAATGTACGTGCTTCTTATGCACTCGCCCTCGGTCAGACTGAACCCACAAGGTCAGGTCAATTACATCTCCCTCCCCCCCAACACACACTGCTACGCGTGCCCGCTCTTCAATCGCTCTATCCTCGACCGTTCTAACCGGTCCTCCGCCTCGAGCTCTCGCATCGCCGCCGCGGCCCACCCGTAGAACCCGTGGGTATCGAACACCTCCCTCAACCGTTTCTCCGCGTCGGGCCACGTCCACTCCTTGTCCGCATGAGACGGGTCGTGCGAGTCGGGGAAAGGCAGGAGCACATCGCCGTCCTCAGCCTCCGGGGATCGATGTATGCGCGACGTCAGCAGCGGCATACGCGTCGTGACCGCCTCCCGCATCTTATCCGCGAACTCCTTCACCTGGAGACAGAGGGCGCGTGTTGGAACGTTGGTCGCGAGGAAACAGTTTTGATAACGGGGCTCACCGTCTGTACGCCCAAGTAGTGTCGCACTCCAAACACGGTCGCGGTCGCGCCGACCCCGACGGCGAGCGTCGCGACACCGAAGGCCCCAACGCTTAGCAAAGCACCATTCGCTCCCTCCTCGACTATAGGTGTAGATGCTGACGGCAGTACCGGTGGCATCGTGGAACGAGGAGCGGGGGCGGAAGAGACTGTGCGTGTCTTCGAGGCCGGCGCGCCTTGGGCTGCGCGACGGGGCGGTGGTGCTTCAGCCAGTGTCCGCGCGATAGCTGCAGCTCGCTGGCGTCGCAAAAGCATGATGGGTAGCACCATTGCGGCGGCAGAGAAAGACACCTAGCACAGAAATTGTAGGGCGCTGTCGCGGTAAAGAAGACGTGCAGACGCACCATAGCAATTGGTACCCATTTCGAGATCGGTGTTTTGCTACCGCCAAAGACAGCACTCAGATCCGAGGGTTCGGGGCGGGGGTCGGGCATGGAACGACAGCGACGTGTATTGTAGAGACAGACGGTACTCCAGGAGGAAGCAGACAGAGGGGGTGTGAGTCTGTGAGACCAGGAGAGCGCGCGCGCGGCTCTACAAGTGTCGCTGCCGGGCCGCCGGCTTGCCACGCACGCGTCGAGTCGGATTCGACCCTGCGCATGGCCTTCCGGATCCGTTCAACCCGGTTCGCGCTCTCCCGGCCTTGCAGGTCCCTCCGTTGAATCTGCAGAATGCCATGAGGACAGGATCTACGCGATTGTGCGCCTTCACACTGGCGTGAGCCACGTACGCCTGTCTCCTGATTCCTGAAGCATCCTCAGCGGAGACTTCCGTTCGCAAGGCACGCACGTCTCGCTCTCTCTCAAAGGTCCCCGTCGGTATCATCTCGCGTCCGGAGTCATCCTCAGCGCGCTATCCCTCCCCTCGTTTGTTACCGTCGTCAGAGGCTTCGGTCGGCGCGAGCGACTGCAACAACGAGCGCGGGGTGTGAGGCCTTGAGGTTGTGTTCCGCGCGCACAACCCGTCTGCACTCTATTAATTCCTCGTACTTTTGTGGGAGATGACGAACTGCGTCAAAGCCTCTTCCGTGCGCTTCCGGGGGGCGCGATGGTGATGCTGTAGGGGAAGGACCTGTGTGGGAACAGCCTCTAAACAATTGTTGCAAAACAAAGCACGGCCGCAGCGAAGTAAGGTACTCGTTCTGGGAAGTCAACTAGTCACCGACCAGGCTGGCAGCGCTTCGCGGGACTAGATAAGCAAAAGGTTTCCTTAGCTCGCATCACTGTCTGGGAACAAGGATCGGGATGAGTCGAGGGCACCAAGATCGCTTCGGAGAGAGGTGCATAGAGAGAGATCAACTTGTCGTTGAGCATAGCGTGCCGCAGGAGGCCATATTCCGTCTCCCAACAAGCCATACATGACAAAGGACGTTGGAAAGCCGAACGGAGTCGTGTACGGACGTAAGCCGCTGACCGTCGCCAGCGATTGGTAACATTCAGAATCGACGCACGCCAGTGGCGTATACTTAGTAGACCGCCTGTGGGGGGTTGTTAGATCGAGTTGAATGACTAGGGAGACATGAACATACCGTCGTCGATTCGCTGCGCCCACTCCATGGAACCCTCGCACCCAGTTCACGCGGGTGCTGTGGGTGTCCCGGCACAAACTTGCGCGGCTGAGCGACCCTCTCCTCCGACCTGTTTGAGGTCGATGAAGGGTGGTAGAGAGCTTGGGATGACGGGATATGTATACAGAGTGGGAGTTGGCAGGCAATTGGTCCAATCAGAGTTACCGACAGTGTTACATATATGTATCACGTGTCACATAGCCGTTACCTCCGCGGTGGAGGACACGCCTGAGACGCGCCCCGCCATCTGACTGCCTTCCATCTACCCCCGTGGTTGTCTCATCCATCGCTTACGACCATGGCAGAACGTCTGAATCCGAACATGCTCTTTGCCAACTTCAACCAGGACTTCACGTCAGCTGCTCTCTCAACTTGTCTCTCGCTCCTCCTGCTGACGCTCGCCCACTCCAGATGCATCTCGGTCGGGACGAGGAAAGGCTACAGCATCACCAACTGTGATCCGTTCGGTCGTGTATATACACAGAGTACGTCTTTCTCCTTGTTTGAGTTACTGTCCCTCACTTGGTTGTCCAGATGACGGCGCTCGAGGGACTGTCGAGATGCTCTTCTGCACATCTCTCCTGGCATTAGTCGGGGCAGCGGACCAGCCACAGTCGAGCCCACGGAAGTTGCTGATAGTTAATACTAAGGTACGCATACGATGATACTGGACATACTCAGCACTCGCTCTGTTTGCGACGTCTTTGCCGCCGCGGCCACCTATGCAACATATGCGAGTGACAGTGCATACCCCTCCGCACATCGCAGTCGCCAACCCGTTGCTAATGCACTCGCAGCGGCAATCTGTCATTTGCGAACTTCTTTTCCCCTCCTCCATCCTCGCCGTCAAGCTCAACCGCAAGACACTCGTTATTGTACTGGAAGTTGAAATATACATCTACGACATCTCAAACATGAAGCTACTACACGTCATCGAGACAACACCAAACCCTAACGGTACGTCTCACACTCTCACATGCCCCCAGCCTTCCAACACCCCCCATAGCCATCGTTGCCCTCTCTCCCTCTGCCGACAATTCCTACCTCGCCTACCCGTCTCCTGTTCCCTCGCCTGCGCTCTCCGCCGCGTCACCATCCGCCCCGGCTGCCGCGCCGCCCGCGTCCGCACCCGCAACGGGCGACGTCCTTCTCTTCTCCACACGCTCCCTCACTGTTGCGAACGTCATCCAAGCCCACAAGTCCCCAATCTCCTTCCTTTCCCTCAACAGCACCGGGACTCTACTCGCGACCGCGTCTGACAAGGGCACAGTCATTCGCGTGTGGTCGGTACCCGGCGCGGAGAAGCTTTACCAGTTCCGTCGTGGGACACGCGAGGCGCGCATATACTCGCTCAACTTTAACCTCGTCTCCACTCTACTCGTCGTCTCGAGCGCGCATGACACCGTACATATCTTCAAGCTCGGCCAGGGGCGTGCACAAGGCGTGGCACCTGCGCAGAGTCCGGCGAGCCCGGCGGCAAGCATCGACAGCCGGGAGGGCTCACAAGGGTTGGACGGCGGGTACGAGGCCTTCGTCGACAAGAAGAAGGGCAGCAGTGTCTCGTGCGTACCCTTTTTCCGTCTCTGCATCGTGCAACGCCACTCCTACCTGACACCCGACACGCCTTCTCACTGCGTCGCACTTTCAACAGTTCGACGCTCCGCCGGCGGTCAATGCACTTGACCAAGAACCTGACCGCCTCCGTCGGCGGCTACCTCCCGAACACGCTCACTGAGATGTGGGAGCCTTCACGCGACTTCGCGTTCCTGCGACTACCGACAAGCGGCGCGCGATGTATCGCCGCGCTGAGCGGGTGCGTCCCCCTCCTGCCCAGTCCGCGTCATGCCTGCTCACCGCGCGCACAGGACGATGCCGCAGGTGATGGTGGTCTCCTCGGAAGGTTACTTCTACTCGTATAACATCGATCTCGAGAATGGCGGCGAGTGCTCGCTCATGAAGCAGTATAGGTGGGTCTCTCCCCCACGACTGCGGCTGCGCTAACGCTGACCGCCCCACAGCTTGCTCGACTCCAACGACGAGACAAATGAGTGACCCCCACCATGCTCACCGCCACCCGTCTCTCCTCGCGCATCTCTCGGCCTGTGTAGCTTCAGAGTGGGGGATCTTCTATCACGCTTCGCGCATGCACCAGTCTCGGCCGTCGCGCTTTCATACTTGTATTATTTACTTAGTCGGGTCGCATGCGCGGCTTGGGTTCATGCAACTTTGCAGGCTGGAATACCCCTGGAAATTGGTATATTGCCGCTGTGCATTGGTTGAAGGAGCAAAAGTCGCGATCCCGGACGGTGCGCTTGAGCGCGAGGCCGGTGGGCGACGCGTTCTACGCCGCCCTCACAACCAATGCGCTGGGAGTATTGGTGGGTAGGTGCGATGTGGGAGGAAACAAAAGGCGATAAGTACCCGTTCGGCCGGAGGCACGCCTCCTCACTCAGCGCTTACATATTTCATCCACCCGTCGCTGCCACTCGTATTGCCATGGACGTCGACAATCTCCCTCTATCTGAACTAAGAGCCGCCGTCACCTTCCTCTCTGCCGTCCTCCACTACTCCCGTCCGGATACGACCAAGTCTAGGAACCCGCAAGATAAGGCGAAAGCGAACATAAGGCAAGCCGTTTCCACTCTCTTGACGACTGGCGGCGAGTCGGACCAAAAGGGCAGCAAGGTCTTCGCTGTTATAGGCTCCTTGAAGCGCGATTCGATCACTGCAATCCTCACTTCACGCAACCTGTCACCGTGGCGTAGAACACCAAATGAGCCTCGTATTCCAACTTCAGAGACCTTTGAGTCGGATGCCACCAAGGGGTCTGAAGTTCTACAAAACGTCTTGCAAGGAGAGCGAAAGTACGTGATCTTGTTGTCCTCCAATCGATTGCGAAACGCTGAGACCCGTTATTAGGGACGCCGACAATTTCAAAGGGCACATCCAAGACGTCGTCAACATGATCCACTACTTCATGAAGGACAAGACCGATTTCTCTCATATGGCTGCCTCTGAACTTGCCGATGGTGCCAATGCGATATCCCTATTCCTCTTCATCGTCTATCGCTGCCGCTACAAGCTGCTTTCACGTATCCAGAACGGACGCAGCATATGGAAACTTGACGATGACATGCATCCAACGACCTACATCCACGCCCAGCTCAAAAAGGCGACAATAAGTTCCATCTCGATTCCTGAAGACACATATGTCTCTCTGCCCGGCAAGCTACGGTCGGCCCTCGAAGCCGTGAACATTTCCAGGGATCTCTCTCATCCTGCGAAAAACCCGGACCACGACTCGTACCCGGTCACGGCAGAGAACGCGGCGACATGGGCGCAAGTGTTCGAAGATTGCCTCAACACTATGGAGACGCGCCTCGAAGCCTTAGTGAATGGCGAGAAGAAGAAGAAGGAAGGTGGGGCGGAGGCACGTGATACCATCGCCCTGTATGGTTCGATGAAACGGTTGAAGTCCCTCCTCGATAGCAACGTCCTCCATTTTCTCCTCACCCCGAACATCAAGGAGAAGCTGGACAAGGCGCGCAAACCGAGTTTCTCTCAAGTGGAAAGTAGGTATCCGTTCCAAAGTTGACGTCGCACAATCGCCTTCATCCCATGTAGAACTCGTCAGAAGGACAGTCCAAGGCACCGGGGAAGATGACGCTCGTTCCGAGTCCGATACAGGTGCGTATCTGTGACTCATTGGTAGTGTGACACATTGCTTATTATACACCTCAGATAAGGACATCCCGGGTTCGACGGCAGATGTTGACACTGACAAGGATGACGAGGAGGGTACGTGTCGCGCATGATTCGCGTTTACACGGACTCCGGCTCACTGTCAACTTATTCAGCCGCGGAGGCGCTTCCTGACGATGACGAGCCGGTCGGAGACCACCTTACCCGATACCTAAAGACTCTCACCATGGCCCTCGATATCACGTCCATCATCCTCTACCTACCGAAGATATCCCCTGCTCCCCCCTTGACCGCCATCTATGTCGACGACGGACCGCTCGAACGGTTTAATGTGTGGCCTTACCTAGGCATGGTCCGCGAGGAGATCCAGAAGATCTTGGCGGAGGATGTCAACGTTTCCGCGGATGACCTTAACAAGACGTTGAACGATGCGGCTTCGCAAGTCAACAAATCAAGCGTGCATGCGGAGGCTACGCTCATGGCGCGCGTGTTGTCTGCGTTTACGAAGGGCTCACCCCCCGAAGAACAGGCGTCGTTGGCGAAGGTGTCTCATGCAAGGTGTGCTCTGGCGCTGTCGGCGGAGCTCACCGCTCACTTTCTGTGGTATACAGGACAAAACCATCGCTATCGGCGTTAGCAAAAAGTGCTGCTACTGCTGCCATCTCCTTGCTCGGCTTGTCACGGAACGACTGGGTGGAGTGCAGCTCATTCTCCCAGGCACTCACTCCATCGTTGTTCCTTGGCACCCTCCGGATGGACTTCCTATCGACATACTGAAGAGGATGACGGAGAAACTGTTTCAGGCGGTGAGGGAACGGTTGACAGATGCCACGGTTGTTCCCAGTTTGACGCAGACGACGCCGCTGCACTCCAGTGCCGATCTTCCTGAAGAGGACGAATTATTGGAGATTCTTCTCGCAGCCCGGAACATGTAAGCCCCGAATACGAAATGCCTCTGCAGATATCAGAAGGTTCGACTTGCATGTACTAGTCGTAGTTGAGCAGCATTCGACGTTGTCTCGTCTTCCGTTCACGTTGAGTGACGACTCACGAGCCACAGGGCGCGCATATACCGATCAGCTGTGCCTCTGTCTCACCCACACCCGGACTGGCCGCGCATCGGTCTACGGGATCAAACAAGTGGGATCGAAACCATGCTTGCTGCAGTACGAAACATGCTTGAGGCTCCTACGCGCCGAGCGGAGTCCGTTCGGGCTGAGAGAAGGCGATTGAGAACTTGTGCGTTTGGATGACCTTCGGGAGGTGGGGATGACCTCCTCGTCTCCCTTTGCCAGTACAGACGCGTGCGGCACGGCGGAGGGGAGAAAACGGCCGCGGCCGCGGCAGAGGGCGCAGAAGGAGGTGCACTGAAGATGGGTGGTGGGGTATATATACCCTGGCATTGGCGCTGGCAGCGTAGCGCCAACCTGCGCTCCATGGAGCGCTGCGCCTTGCGCGGCTGCAAGCTCTCCGCCAGACCACCATGGCCGCCTACTTCTTTGCTTCGCCCGTGGACGTCGACATCAAGCTCGAGGGCGAGGATGACCGGAAAAAGATCGAGATCAAGGCAGAGAAGGAGAAGATGATCTCTTGCCCCGTTTACTACGACGGCGAGTCCGTCTCGGGCGAGGTGCGCGACTTGCCCGTTCCTCTCCCCGTCCCGTCCCCCGTCCCCCTCCGCCACGCCTCATGACGCGCTGACGGTCGGGTTTACTCGCCTTTGCGCCCGGCTAGGTATCAGTGCGCGTGCGAGACGGGAAGAAGCTCGCGCATGAGGGCATCAAGGTCGAGTTCATCGGCAGTATTGGTGCGCCGTTTTGTCACCGCTCGCCTCTGCGCCATTGTCTGACCATGAGTGCCGCAGAGCTCTTCTATGACCGGGGCCACCATCATGAGTTCTTGTCGCTATCACAAGAGTTAGCGGCCCCGGGGGAGATGCGGCAAGCGCAGACGTTCGAGTTCCTCTTCAAGAACGTGGAGAAACAGTTCGAGAGCTACCAGGGCATCAACGTTAAGCTTAGGTGCGTCCAGCCCGTTTATCTGTCTTCATTCTCACAGCGAAGTCCTTCTACGTGCTAGGTACTTCATCAAGGTGTCGATTGCGCGAAGAATAGCGGACGTGACGAAGGAGAAGGACCTCTGGGTACACTCGTACCGTATGCCGCCAGACAGTAACAACTCAATCAAGATGGAGGTCGGCATTGAGGACTGTCTGCACATAGAGTTCGAGTACAACAAGTCCAAGTGCGTATCCCCTTTCACGTTGGCTGTATGCGGTCTGGTGACACCATTCTCGCCATTCAGATACCACTTGAAGGACGTCATCGTCGGCAAGATCTACTTCCTCCTGGTACGCATCAAGATCAAGCATATGGAGCTTTCTATCATTAGGAGGGAGACTACGGGGTCACCACCGAATCAGTACAACGAGAGCGAGACCATTACCAAGTTCGAGATTATGGACGGTGCGCCTATTCGAGGTATGTTCTACTCTACTTCTCTTGCATCTCCCCCACCTCCAAAGCTACCTCACACGCCCTGTATCACGATGATGTTCGTCGGGTTGGTGCTCAACCTGATCACCAGGCGAGACCATCCCTATCCGCCTGTTCCTTGGTGGCTTCGACCTCACACCAACGTTCCGCGACGTGAACAAGAAGTTCAGTACACGATATTACCTCAACCTCGTCCTCATCGACGAGGAGAACCGGCGGTACTTCAAGCAGCAGGTTCATACGTCGTGCTTCTCATACGCTTGTCATTATTGACCAGGGTTGCTTTGAACCACTCAGGAGATTACGATTTTCCGGATACCGGAAGTAAGTCTCATTCCCCTTGTCTGGTGCGAGCTAGAACTCACCAACACCTTTGCAGAACTGATGTACTATATACATTATTGCATGCAATCGAGGTTGCTTCAGAGGACGGGGATAGTGATACACAGCGGTGAGCACCGTCTGCATTAATATGAAGTACATTTCCTGCGCACACCCCCGACCTCACATTATCCACCGGATGACCTTGTGCACTTCTTGCCGTTGCCTCACCATCTTCACGACCTCTTGTCCCCACACCTCTGCCGGGTCCTTTGTATCCAGAGCCACTCGGCAAGACAGAGCCCCGGATGGACATGCTCAGTGAGACGAGGGTGGCGGGGTCCCGCCGGCCGCTGGGGAATAGGATGCGGGGGCAGGATGGATGAATGTCTTTGAGTCTCGCGGTTAGGATCAACATGAGCTCCAGAATGGTAGATCGCTCACCGTGTTCGAATGTCCGAGTGGTATCTGAGTGCGCCCGCCGTACGCTAATGTGCTGCGTACGAGCTCATCACCAGCGAGTGCACGCAGGGCACCCTCGGATGCCCGTGCCCTTGTCGGACGATGTCGGACGCAGCGTGCGGGAGGGGGAATGGGAATGGGGACTTGCGCGCGCATGGATGAGGTTGGCGATCGAGGAGGGCTGGGTTCAGCCGGTGACTCATACGATGTCGCTGCCCGTCCCGTCTCGATCTGCTCTTCTCGACCCCTTAGACAGCCATGCCCTCCGAACGCAAACAATCATCGATACCGTCGCTGAGGGCTCATGTCTTGCTGCTCTCAGCTGTGCTTCAGTCCTCCCGTCCCACCGGTGTCTGGTTTCACGGCCAGTGGGACGAACGACACAAGGTCGACATGTCGCATAGTCTCTCTTGGCTCCTCGCCCCGGGAGACGAGGCCGATCCTAAGGGGAACAAGGCCGTCGCTGTCATTGGCAACATGGATGGCGGCGGCATCACTGCACTCTTATCTTCTGGCACAACTCCACCTCAATCGACTACTGCGTCTAATAGTCCTTCTGATGCTGGTTCAACTTTCAATCTCTTACCGCCGAACCCCTCCAATGGCAGGCATCTTCTGGGCTTGGGCTCATAGCCAGACTCCCGTAATTATTACTCTTCTTTCCACGTAGACAGTCGATGCTCACCTGCATGGTCAGAGCCAATCACGAGTCCGAGAAGCACCTACAAGACGTCGTGGACATAATCCAGTACTTCTTGACTCGCCCGGAGGGATTCGATCTAGCAGTAGACCTCGCATCCCTCTTCGCCTTCGTCACCTACCGCTGTCGCTCCAAACTCATTGCTTGCATCGACCACGGCAAAGACATCTGGAAGTTCGATACTCCACAGCATCCCGCGCCTACATCCGCAACGAGGTGGAGAAGGATCCACCGTACATCCCCGTGGGACGTTCATCTCCATCCCAAGTATCTACGGCATGTCGTCACAAAGGTGGGGATAGAGGACATCAAATCCCCGTCACCCTCAGCGACAGACGCCGTTCACGACTCCTACGCACTCACCCGCGACAATGCCGTACTATGGGCAGAGCTACTCAAGGCCACCGTCGACGGCATCAAGATTGTCTGAACGCCACGAAGACGCTCCGGGACACGAACGATACGACGCAAATCAGGCCCACTTACGACGGGCTGGAAGAGAACATGAGGCTACTGAAGTGTCTCACAAAGAGCGACCTCCTCAATCACCTCATCACTACAAATATCAAGTACGACCTGGACACAGCGAGGACGGCAGGCACGTTTGCGGGCTGCTGTAAGCTGGAAAGTGAGTGTTTATCGTTGAACCGACACCATGCAATTGTCCTCATCAGATATGGACAGATGTCATTCGCGACGGCATCGAAGAGGGTGGTGTCTCTGTCTCGCACGTGGACATCGACGCGGACTTCGTGGAGTATGGTCCGTGTCGTGTGTCTTCTTTGTGTGGGCTGTGCTGACTGTCGAGTTTGAACCAGCTGCGGATGCGTTCCCCAGGGGAGGCGAAAGCGTGAAGGATCACCTCGTTCGAAACCTGGAGACTCTCCTCTTCCCCCTTGACATCCGGCAGATCATGTACCGCTTCTCAAAAGCCCCTCCGTCCACGACGCTGAACGCGATCCACGTGAACGACAGCCCTCTCAGTCTAGTGGACATCTCCTGTGCCGACGATGTGCTGGAAGAGCTCCGAGCAGCGTTGAAGGCGGAGAGAGTCAGCGTCCCCCCAGACTCACTCCGAAAGGTGCTAGGAGCTGCGGTTGGCGCAGCACAGCGGGCGTCCCTGCACGCGGAAGCTGCCCTCATGGCGCATGCGCTCTCCGCGCACGAGCACACCGGGACGGCGTTGGCGGGGCCGGAGGACATCGTGGACCGGGTGAAGGGCCTTCTCGAGGTAAGATCTCGTGCAGCCAGCGGTGACGCCGCTGACTTCACGCCGTTGTTATGTATACAGGATGACAGAATCGCGATCGGCGTCAGCAAGAGGTGCTGCTTCTGCTGCAACCTCCTCGCGGAGCTCATCAACAAACGGCCATCTGGTCGACTGAAGTTCGTCCTCCCAGCGACCCATTGGACTGTGTTTGCTGGTATCCTCCGGAGGGTCTTCCCATTGAGATCCTGGTGGCCTGAAAGACCGATTGTTGGCCGCGGTGAGGGATAGGGTGATAGTCGCCCAAAGGGAGGCTGACTCGCGACGGACGAGCCCGTCGGACTCGGACTCCGAACCGTTGCCAGACGTGGATCCCATCGCACTAGATGAGATGATAGATGCGGAGATGGAAGCATACCGTTCTGAGAGAAAAAGAGCCTAGTATCCGTTGAGGAATGTGTTTGTAGGATGTTGGGGTACCTCTCGCATGTACGAGTAGTTGGCAATGATCAAGGACGAGACTCGAAGCTGAGGCTGAGAAGATAGGCATGCATCAAGAACGGCATCTTTGTATGATATGCACCGTCCCCGACCGCCCATTCGCCCACCCTGCGCGAGGTGCACCCCGGCGTCGCTTCTCCGCCACGCCATCCGCCTCCCACAGCCCCTGGAACGCCCGCTCCCGCTCCCGCACCTGCTGCGCCGCCGCAGTAGCGTGTGCCTAGAAGTTGCTGCCCCCGATTGAGCCTGCTTGTAGTTTGACATCCTGCTTGTTGGGCGCCTCGTGCAGCAACCAATACCGTGTTTCAAAGTTTCCTTCAACCCGACGTCGGTGACTCGCTCCAGATGGGGCACGAGGGTCGCTTTGTCGACGTGTAGGGGCCGTGAGTCATTGTCGTCTGCGTTGTAGTGCGTGATGAAGTCGTCGTCGGTGAAACGGTACTGTCGACGCGAAAATGTCGAAGTTCAGCCCAGAGATCGCCGAAAGCGAGCCTGTGCAAGTGGTCAGTGAGCGGTCGCGTACTGTCACACAAGTCGCGGAAAAACTCACCGAGCACGGGCGATATCCGTACGCGGGAGTTGTCGAACGCGCAGAGCTCCGTGACGTCCCCTTCTCGAACTCCTTCCCCAGCAGCTTCACATCGCTCGGGTCTCGGTCGAGTACACGACCAGGATGCCCCTCGAGGCCACGCTGAGCTGCATGCGCCTCTAGAGCTGATACACGAGAAAACGGGGATGTCTGTTGGGATGTTGCCGATCACGTCTGCGGGGCGCGCGTTGGGAGCGGGGAGGAGGACAGACACACCGAGTGCCTCAACCTCGACAACGCGCGAGATCCCACCTCGGCGGGTTGAAGTTGACAATGGCATGCCACGGCGCGCCGATCCGCCCTCCGAGGTCTCGCGCGTTCGCGGCGAGACTCCGCATGCGACTATACGCATTTTGATCTCAGTCTGAACGGAGACGTAACACGTCCGGGATAAACGATTGAAGAAAGGGCGAGGTGGATGACATACCGTGCATGCAATCATCTCCGTCCTTCTCGAGCAGACGCATGACCGCGTTTGTCTCGCCAGTCAGACTGACGATCTCTGTCCCAGCTTGCGGGATCTCGGCGGTCGCGCCTTGTCGTACATGCCCGTCTTGGTTCTTGGCCTGTGCTGCACGTAGGGCCCCACCGATATTCTGCGCAATATAAGAGTGGGGCGATGCTTTGAACGAGGGCCTCTGGAGGGGAAGATGGAAGAGAGTGAGAAAGGATATCGAGTTTTGCGCCACTGAAGTTGAGCGCTTGAGAGCGAAGGGCCCACTTGGGCTCGAGGTCTCACTGTGCTCCATTCACTCGCCCCTCTCGGTTTCTCACTTCGGACATCCATGCCCTCTGAACAACTTTCTCTCAGGGCTCATGTATTGCTGCTCTCATCTGTGTTCCACTTCGCCCGCGGCCACCGGTTTCAGGCACCGCAACGAGGCGGACGAACAGGCCTGGCTTGACATATGGCACAGTCTCTCCTTCCTCTTAACTCCAGGGAGCAAGAGCGATCCCGCAGCAAGCAATGTCGTCGCTCTCACTGGCTCCATGGATGGCGACAGGATCACTGCTCTGCTATCCTCCCACAACGTCTGCCCATCTGAACGTACGGAGGCTTCAGCCGTACCCAGCCTAAGGTCGACGAAACTTTCAAGCTCTTTCAGCCGGATGCTTCCACCGGCAAGGAGGTTCTAGAGGGTGGCCTCATATCCAATCTGCCGTGCGTCATGATTTTTTTCCACTTAGACAGTCAACTCAGTTGCGTTATTGCTAGTGAAGAACGCGAGTTCGAGGGGCACCTACAAGACGTCGTGGACATAACCCAGTACTTTTTGACTTCCCCGGAAGGCTTCGATGCGGACATAGCTCTCATGTCCTTCTTTGCCTTCGTCACCTACCGCTGCCGCTACAAACTCATTTCTCGCATCACTAACAACATCTGGGTGTTCCCGGGCCGTTCACAGCATCCTACAGCCTACATCCATGAGAAATTGAAGGACGCTCCACCGGCCATCCCTTCTGGAATATCCATATCCATTCCAGGTGATCTACGGCATGTCCTCGCAGAGCACAGATCGACGGACTTCCGTCTCCTTCGGCGACAGATTCTGCTCATGACTCTTACCCTGTCACTGGCAACAATGCCGTAGCATGGGCAGAGCTACTCCAGGTCACCGTCGACAGTGTGAAGAAACTTCTCGAGCGCATGAACATGCCCCAAGCAACTTCGGCGGGGGAGGAGATTGTTGCCGCGCACCAAGATCTGCACGACAACATGAGGCTCTTGAAGCATCTCATTCAGTGCGACCTCGTAGGCTATCTCATCACTGATGACGTTAGGCGCGAGCCGGGCGAAGCGAGGAAGGCAAGTGAGTTGTGGAGCTGTTCCAAGCTGGAGAGTGAGCATTTACTATTGCATCAACGCCGCACAGTCCTCATCCAATGTCGTCAGATGTCATCCGGGACCGCGGCAAAGACAGCAAGAGGACAGTTCCCACTGGTGGCGTATCCGGTCAAGGTGTGCCATCCGTCTGCGCGACACGCATTCACGACCGCTGAGGCCACGATGTCTCTGCCCCACACGCGGACGCCGGCGTGGCCGCGCTAGAGCATGGTCTGTGTAGGCGATGTGGCCTAACCTAACTGACTCTTGAACGTCGACGTCTGATTCGGCGGCAGATGCATTACCTGGCGAAGGCGTGAAGGAACACCTCGTTCGAAATCTGGAGGCCGTCGTCTTCCCCCTGGACATCCAGAAGATTATGAAACGCTTCTCGAAAGCCCCCGCCTCCACAAAGTTGATGGCGATTCACGTGGACGACGGCCCTCTCGATCCACTCGACGTCTCCTCCTGCCTCACCGATGTGCTGGAGGAGCTTCAGACAGTTTTGAAGGACGCCGACGTCGACGTCCCACTCGACTCGCTCCAAAAGGTGTTAGACGAGGCAACCTGGAGAGCACGACACGCATCCCCGCACGCAGAAACTGTGCTCATGGCGCATGCGCTGTCTGTCCACGAGAACACCGAATCGGTGTTGGCGTCGGCATCGGTCTTGGACCCGGTGAAGGACGTTCTCAAGGTGCGCCCTCGGGCACTCCAACCCTTCCCGCCGCTCACCTGAGGCTGCAACTAGAACGACACCATCCCGATCGGCGTCAGCGAGAACTGCTGCTTCTGCTGCGACCTCCTCGCGCAGCTCATCGCCGAACGGCAAACCAGTGGCGTGAGGTTCATACTCCCGAGCACCCATTCCACCGTCTTTTCCTGGTACCCACCGGAGGGCCTTCCTGTCGAGATTTTGCGGGCGATGAAAGACAGGTTATTGGCGGCGGTGAGGGACACGTTGGTCGCCGCGAAAGAATCCGTCGAGAAGGCTGGTTCGCTACGAACAAGCCCGTCGCACTCCGACTCCGAATCTTCGGTAGACTATCCGTCGTCTGAACGTAGAAAGAAGACGCTCGCGGCTGTGAAGGATGTCCAGAGGCGGCACCGTCAACCGGTCTGATAGGAAACAGTTTCTCGCATGTATTATAGTAGTAGATTCTCGGGCCATGCGAACGATGATAGACCGCCTGCAATTGCGTATCTGCTGGAATTAGTGCTTAACATGATTTCGGTTGGCCAACGTTCAAGATGCGTGACGTGGTCGAAACAGACTACGCGTGAGTGCCCCAGAGCAGACTTATGGCTCGGAATCTCAAACTACAGGATGCGTAAACATCTGAATTTCTATGGAGAATACAAGTCCGGTACAGTACGTACAGACGAACTCCGATGAGACAAAGGACAGTAGTGATGCATAACTTTGCGGGGGTATGTACTATGTATGTACTAGTGTGCGAACATGGCACGACAGAGGAGCCGGACCAACAGGACAACGAAAGGAAGGCAGTGGAGAGTAGCGGACATCAGAACGACATCGGAAGACAGTCCTCATGCAACCACAGGCGACGACCGACCCCTCACTCGTCCCCGCGCCGTGCGAGGAACACCCCCGCATCGCTCTTCCGCCGCGGCATCCCCGACCCGCGCAGCCCCGCGCTCGGGAAGCCTGTCACGGGCGTGTAGGCCTCCGCTGGCTGCCCCGTCGCCGCAGAAGGGGCCGCGAGCTCGGCCCCGACACCGCGCAGCTTCCGCGACGCGAAATCTCCCGGGAAGCCCTCGAACGCCACCGAGAGCCCCGTGCCCGGCGCAGGGGAGACAAGCACGCGGTCGCGCGCGGCCGTGGGCGGGGAGACGATCATCGTCGACGAGAGCGGGCCCTCAGCGTCGATGTCCATGCCGGGGTCGACGACGAGCTCCGCGGGGCGGCTCTTGCGCCGCTTCTTGCGCTTCTTCTCGCCGCCGCCGACGGCGCCATCCAGCTCGGGGGCGGGGAACGAGTCTTCGGCGTACGGTGAGAGCGGGGAGTGCACGTACGGCTGCTGCGCGAGGTGCGGGTGCCCGGCGTAGCCCGCAGAGCCCCCGGTGCCGCGCGAGCCGCTGTCGGTGGACGAGGAGCGGGTGTCGGAGGTGGTGCGTGTGCCGCCGGAATGCGAGGAGCGGCCGGGCTTCGCGCCGCGCGGGGTCGCGGCGTAGGTCTCGCCGCCGAAGTCCGCGCCGTCGCCGTCGGGGTCGTCGTCGGCGAATGCGTCCGGGTCGAAGTGCTGCGTCGGCTGGCCGTGCGCGAACGGCCCGAAGCCGTCCGAGTGGGACTGCGAGGACGTGACGGAGCCGGTGCCCGTGCCCGTGCCGGAGCCGACGCTGGGCGAGAACGGGGAGAACGGGGCGCTACCCTGTGAGACGGGTGTGCGTGAGCCCAGGCACACATCGGACGCTGGGGAGATGGGCATGATGAACGGCAGAGACGCACCTGGAAGCCCTCGAACTCCTGCGCCCCAGCAGCCTGCGCGTCCAACGCGTGCGCGACCGCGAGCCGCTTCAGCTCCTTCCGCTCCCGTCGCCGTCGCCGCCGTTCTTGTTTCTCCCGCCGCTCCTCCTCCTCCCGCGCCAACGCCTCCGTGTTGCGCGCCGCGCCCATCGCCGCGATCGCCTGCGGGTCGAGCGGCGCCGCGTCCGAGTCGAGCGTGCTCGTCGACGTCGTCCTCGGCCGCACCTCGTCCTCTCCCTCTCCCTCCCCGAACCCCCCAGAAAATGACGCCCGGCCGCGACTCGTCCTCGGTCGCGGCGGCTCCTGCCCCTCCTCGTCCGACTCCGGGAGCTGGATCGCGGGCGCGCGGCCAAAGAGGTCGTAGCCGAAGACGCGGATGTGCTTCGGCACCCCCCTGCGCTTCTTCTTGCGCCGGCGGGCGCGGTCGCCCGGGTTGGTGTGCAGCGAGAGCTCGTCGGGGTCGACGAGGAGGCCCTCGAGCTCGTCCGGGCGCGCGCGGGGCGGGGGCACGGCGTGCGCGAACGGGCTCGCGAAGCCATGCGAGGGCTGCTGGTCTTCGGCGTCCGAGTCGGGCAGCTGGGGGCCGGAGTGCTTGAGGCAGGGGAGGCAGCTGGAGAACGCGGCGGTGAGCGAGTCCGACCACGAGAACTGGACGTCGGCCATCGTGGTGGTCGGGCTAGAGAATGGGATGGGGTGGATGGCGGCGATCCAGGGTGTTAGACGGGCAGAAAGTGGAGGAGAGGGAGTGGGAGGAGGAGCCAAGGAGGATGGGTGGTGGTGGTAGCTGAGACAGCTCAGAACGCTGGGATGAGCCTGGACGAGCGGCTTGGCCGCAATCACGGCTCCGGCAGACTCCCGGATCCCGCTCCCGGCCGCTTCCATCTTTCTCTACCGCCGTTGGGTACTCGTGAGCTCGAAAGTCGACCTTCGCTCCCATTCGAACAGGTCTATCATGTGTAGATGTGCTACCGGTTCTAGGAAGCGTAGCTATGCCAACCCATCCCTCGACGTCCAGGTGTCTACCCCTCCAGCGCCACCCAATCCGCCGTACACGGCCACAAAGCTCGAAACTCGCCAGAACTCCCTGTTGTCGAGACTGAGACAGTCATGGGCTGGGGCACCAAGTGGTCCAACACTCACGTCACAGACGCTAGACCAGACTCCACACCCCGGCGTCCAAATACGGGGAAGGACTGCGAACCGCGCGGTTTGCAAGTCTATATTCGCATCACCTCGTCTTGGAACCAAGCCTAGAATTCGAGAGGCGAGCGACCAGGCTTCAAGTGCACGAGAAGCACCCCTGCATGAAGGCCATGAGCAACACTTCCTGTGTGATCCATGATACATACAGCATTGTGCTAGGCGTCGATCCAAGATTTTGTCTTGAGAGCGACCCTCTCGGTTTAGAAACGCATTCTAATCGTCCCCTCCAGCGTCGACATTACGCACGCTTCCCGGAGTTGCCTGATGCTGCGCAAGAGTGACCGCCGTGTCAGCCTCCGGACCACCTCCACCAGCCATCCGCGCCGTCCGTGCTTGTGAGGCAGTCGAGCACTCACCTGCCTCAGCTTCGCGAGATGAATCTTGAGCGACTCAGCGTAGTTCTCGAACCCGAGGGTGACCATCGCGTAGAGGATGTCCTCGCCGCCGATCGTCTTGCGCTTCTCCATCTGGCACTTCTCCGCCGCCTCGGAGGTGATGAAGGAGATGAACTCGGACACGCACTCCTGCACGCACTCCTTCGCCTCCTTCGAGATCTTCGCCGTCCCCGGCACCGCGCCCTTCATGATCCGCGACACGTTGGCGATCTGCCGCGCGACGAGAGCCCGCCGCGGCGTGAGCGCGGCGCGCACGAGCACCGGAAGGGGCACGCACCGGGAGGAAGCGGTCTTGCTCGCGGTACTCGCCCACCTCTTGCTCGGTGATGGGCACCGGTTCGACGGTCTCGGGCACGGGCGCGGGCGCAACGACGCCGGAGCCGTCGTCTTGTGGTGCGATGGTCTGGGGAGCGATGACTTGCGGAGCGATCGCGGCAGGCTGGGAGAATTCGGTCGACATGGAGAAAAGCTGGACGGGTGCTAGAGAAGAGAATAGAGCTGAAGCAAAACGGTGAGGGGGAGGAAGAGGCCACGAACAAGGCAGTTGGACGAGCAGAGGACGCGCCTGGACGCGTTCCCTCGGTGCACGCAGTGAGATGACGTTATTTGACCGATACCAGCCCTTGGGTTGGCCCTCGCACGCGCCTTCAAAACCCTCAGTAACTCCCTTGTACTATTTCGTGCGCGTTGACAGATGCCACAACGTCCTCTCTTCCTCCGTCAATAATAACTACGTCGTCTATCCACCGCCTAAACCGACATCCTTGCGCGCGCCGCGTCCCAAATCCTGTTCCTCTCCCCAGTACTCTGCCTGCGACCGCGTCCGACAAGGGGACAGCCATCTGTCTGGAGCACGTTGACGATGTCGGGGTGGAGGAAACTTTGAAGCATCGTGTCGGCCACTGCAGCGGTGCGGGGATGGCACGGCGGACAGATGAGCGGTCGGTAAACAGCGTACTAGATAAGTATCAAGTACGTGAACTGTCTCCCGTACCCCTACCAACTCTCCGTTCTCAGTCTCGTCCTTGATCATTGCCTAAGAGCGAACTAGTCGTACATGCGAGAGGTACCCCCAACATCCTACAAACACATTCCTTAACGCATACTAGACTAGGTTGTGCCGACGATTAAACTCTGCCCGCCTCGCAGCCATCCTATCGAATGTGGCGGGATCTTCCTCTGGCAAATCGGAGTCGGAGTGCTCCGGGCTCGTCCGTCGCGAGCCAGCCTCCTCGACCAATCTTTTGGCGGCTGCCAACCTATCCCTCACCGCCCCAACAATCGGCTTTCATGGCCTGCAGATCTCGACAGGAAGGCCCTCCGGAGGGTACCAGGCAAATACAGTCGAATGAGTCGCTGGGAGGATGAGCTTCGCTGGACCGGGCAACCGATTGGTGATGAGCCTCGCGAGGAGGTTGCAGCAAAAGCAGCACCTCTTGCTGACGCCGATCGCGATTCTGTCATCCTGTACAACAACACGAAGTCAGCGACGAGCGTCGCAGACCGCGCGAAATCTTACCTCGAGGATGCTCTTCACCCAGTCATAGACGCCCTCAGGCGCAGATGCCATGTCCATGTCGGTGTGCTCGCGCGCGGACAGCACACGCGCCATCAGCGCAGTTTCTGCATGCAGAGACGCCTTTTGCGCAGTGTCGACCGCGGCGTCGAGCACCTTCTGGAGCGAGTCCGGTGAGACCTCGACTTTCACCCGCTTCAACGCCGCCTGAAGCTCTTCTAGCACATCGCTGACGGAGGAGGAGACGTCCACTGGACTGACAGGGCCGTCGTCCACGTGGATCACGGTCAGCGTCGTGGAGGGAGGGGCTTTCGAGAAGCGGTACATGATCTGCTGGATGTCCAAGGGAAGAGGAGAGTCTCCAGGTTTCGAACAAGGTGGTCCTTCACGCTTTCGCCTTTGCAGGGGAACGCATCTGCAACTGATTCAAACGTCGACAGTCAGTGCGCCTATACACAGCAGGCACGCCACACAGACCATCTTCTACCGAGACCGCGTCTGTGTCCGGGTCTGGGACAGCGTTTCGAATAACATCTGGAAGATCGGATCTGACATGGACAATTGCATGGCGTCGGCTCAGCGGTAGAAACTCACTTTCCAGCCACAGTAGCTCGTGGACATGCCTGCCTTCCTCGCTCTGTCCAGGCCGTCCTCGATTTCCCGATTGATGAGGTGACCGAGAAGTTCGCTCTTGGTGAGACATTTCAAAAGCCTCATGTCATGTCGCAGCTTCTCGTAAGTGGGCACAATTTCTTCCAATTCCCTTCCGAAAGCGTCTCCAAGGTGAGAATACCTTCTTTGATGCCGTCGACGGTGACCTTGAGTAGCTCTGCCCATAGTACGGCGTTATCGTGCGTGAGTGGATAGGAGTCACCGTGGTGACCAGCTGAGTCTGTCGCTGAGGGTGACGGAAATTCGACATCATCCACCGCCACCTTTGTGAGGACATGCGTAGATCGCTTGGGATGGAGATGAACTTCCACGGGGAATGTCGGTGGACCCTTTTCCACCTCCTTACGGATGTAGACAGTGGGATGCTGTGGAGCCTCGAATTTCCAGATGTTTTTGCCGTGGTCGATGTGAGCAATAATTTTGGAGCGGCAGCGGTGGGTGATGAAGGAGAAGAGGGATATGAGCTCGACTTCTACATCGAATCCCTCCGGGCGAGTCAAGAAGTACTGGGTTATGTCCACGACGTCTTGTAGGTCCTTCTGGGACTCGCGATTGGCTCTGACCATGCAGGTGAGCATCGACTGTCTACGCGGAAATAAGAGTATGAAGTACGGTAGTCTGGCCATGAGCCCAAGTTCCAGAAGCCTACCGCCATGGCGGAGTTCGGCGATAAGAAGTTGAAAGTTGAACGAGCATCAGGCGCAGCAGGCGGGGTTGGAATGGCACCAGCCGATAAAACCGCAGTGATACCGTCACCATCCACGCTGCTAATGACAGCGACGGCCTTGTTCGCGTTAGGATCGTCCTTGTCTCCGGGAGCCAAGAGCAAAGAGAGACTGCGCGACATGTCGATCCTGCGCAGTTCGTCCGTTTGGTTCCGTGACCAGGCACTGGTGGGACGAGAGAACTGAAGCACAGCGGAGAGCAGCAAGACATGAGCCCTCAGAGAATTTATCGATGGTTGTTCACGTTCAGAGGGCATGGGTGTCTGAAGTGAGAGACGGGTGAAGGGGGGACGTCGACGCGGCCACGGAGGAGTGGCAGCGGTTGAGCATCTGGAGCGTCGACGCGTCTTGCAAGGAGCGCTGTGCCGCTCCCTCCCTCCGCGACAACTTGGTCGACGGCCTAAACGTTTGAACCTCTGCGCTCTTCGCGGCCACGCCCCAATCCACAGTTGGTCCGTTTCCTGCTAACGGTGAGTGCAAACATGAACCGTTTCGTTAATCACGTTCACTCCAGGAATACCGCACTCTCCTTGGGAACCGCATACATACATCCGTGCGGCGGGCCAACCCCAACCTTGATATCTCGAGCACTCTCCCACCCACTACACAGCGTACGCGGCTTATAACACACACAACCGAGACGTATCCGGACGCCCCACCCCCTCGGACACGCCCGCCATGTCGACGCCCTCCACCACCTCTCCCTCTCCCGAGCTCACCTCCGGCTCCCCGCCCTACCTCATCCGCACCGCCCTCCTCCCCCCACCGCGCTCGAAGCCCGTGCGCACCCGGTCAACCCCGCAAACCGCCGCGCGCAGCTCTCGCTCGGCGACACTGTCGGGCTCACGCGCACCGGCGTCCACCTCTGCCGGCTCCCCGCGGGCGCGACGAGCACGACGCTCCACTGGCACACCCACGACGACGAGTGGGTGTTTGTCCTCGACGCGGGCGGCCCGGCGCGGTGCTCCTCGTCTGGGACGAGCCCGACGGGTGGGAGGACAAGGGGAAGCGGGAGCGGGCGCAGGAGGGGGTCGTGCCGAGGGAGGAGCCCGTCCGGACGGGGGACTTTGTGGGCTTCAAGGCGGCGTGAGGCGGGCGCACGCACTGCGCGCGGGCGGGGAGGGCGAGGTGGTGTACCTGCTCGGGGGAGCAGGGAACCGCTGGATGTGACGCATTATCCGGCCGAGGGGAAGCGGGCGGTGATCGACCAGGCGGGCGGGCGCAGTTGGACGGTGGACGATGCGGACGTGAAGACTTCGGCGAGGCGGCCTCCGAGCGGACTAGGTGTGTAGGGTATCCGTTCTTAGCATATTAAGCAGATCTACAAGACTTGTCCTTGGACTCGGGCCTGCAGATCAGTGACTGTGAGGACGTGCACGACTGACACGTTCCAAGGGGTTACACCACTGGTACATGCGAGTCGAAACTAGGCGTGAACGTAAGACGAGACGCATGCTCAACTACTAAGACTAGTACACGCAAGTCGACACTTCTGATATCTGCGAAAATCGGTCCCAGGCCTGTCGCGCTCGGGACTTACATGCCCCTGGCTGCGAGTAGAACCTTCAATAATTCTTCAGTCGAAGGAAAATCGAGACAGGGGGGCGGTGGAGGAGTCTGCGTCGGGCTGGGAACGGCCGTGGCGTCCACCAATTTCCACCTCGTTGCGACAAACAACCTCTCCCTCATGCGCTTGAGGACGTCGATGGGAAGTCCTTCCGGAGGGTACCAAGGAAAAACGGTGGAGTGGGTTCCCGGCAGAACGAACCGCACTTCGTTGGATCCCCGTTCGGCGATGATTTGAGCGAGGAGATGGCAACAGAAACAGCACCTGTGGCTGACGCCAGCAGGAAAAGTTTCGCCCTGCGTATCACGACAAGTCAGTGGTCGTTTCCGTCGATAGCGCCGGGTCGTACCTGGAATATGTCTCTCATCAGGTGCAACACCTCCGTCGACGTCGACTGCTCGTCGAGGAGTGGGAGCGCCGCGCTATTGGGGTGCACGGATAACGCACGAGCCATGAGCGCGGACGCTGGGTGCACGGTTGCGACGCTGACTTTCGCAGCCGCATCGTCCAATGCCTTCTGCAGTTCGGTCGTGGCAACGTTGAGTTCCTTCCCGGTCAACACATCTTGTACTTCCTTCAGGATGTCGTCGACGAAAGGCCGTGCATTCAATGGCACTCGAGGTCCGTCGTCGATGAGGATAGCGGTCACGGGAGGTGCGGGGGATGGTGCTGGCAGTGCGAGCATGGTGGATACGATGTCGAGGGGTACGATGAGAGCCTCTAGGTATCGAACGAGATGGTCTTTGACATTCTCGCCATCTTCAGGAAACGCATCCACGGCTGCATATGTGAACAATCAGTTATTTGAAGCCGTCCCAGAGGAAAGCGCGTGTGACACATCCCTTCTTCATTCTGTGCGGGAGCCTCTTCGACTGAGCTCATGATGAGCAACATGTCGTGTGTACGGTGGCCCGGATATACCTACCTGCGCCGCCGGATTTGTGACGAGCTCCGGTCGCTTCCATGATGAGCGCTGGACAGAAAAATTAGGTTATGGAGACGTTGCGCGACATGGGTACGCACTTTCCACCTCTGAAAGCCTAGTTGTGGATCCCCGTTCACGCGCATCGTCCAACCGCTCCTTGATTTCGGAAGTGATTATGAACTTCAGCACATCACTCTTGAGGAGTGACTTCAATCGCATCATCAGACCATACAGGTTGTAAAACAACATGCGCCCTTCGAGTCCCTCCGTTACGCCTTCCACCACGACCTCGAGCCGTGACTGTATAGTGTCGACACAGTTTTTAAACAGCCCCGCCCATGTCGCCACGTTGTAAGTCGTGACCTGGTACGAGTCGTAGCCACTATCTCTCGTCGGGCGGGATGGATCCTTGCAGAGTCCCACTGCTTCGAGGGTCGAACACATACTGCGGGAAGCGAGACAAAAGACTCATAGGGGACCCAGACGCCATTTGGACCATTCTTCAACGTTTCGTGCATGTCGTGGATGAACGTCGTCGGAAGCGCTGCCTGGTCGCCGAAACTCCAGATTTGTCGGCCGGCCTTGAGGCGAGCAAGGAGTTTGCGGCGGCAGCGATATACGGCAAATTGGAAGAGATGTACGACCTTGAGTGCGACAGAAAGAGCGTTCTGGGCAAGCTCGTCCGAGGGCGTCATGCAGTACTGGATCACGTTTAGGACATCCTGGATGTGCCCTTCGAAAGTGTCGGCATCCCTGATAACAGGACTTAGCGTTCTACAGCCAGTGACATGCATGCAAAAATGACACGTACTTCCACTCTGCTCTCGCAGGGCTGCAAAGAATCTCAAACCCCTTGGCGGAATCCGACTTGAGTGTCGTGAAAGTCGGAGGCGCGTCGAGGTGAAGCGGCGAGGCGCCACTACTGGAAGTGATCAACACGGTGACGCCGTGAGGATACATGCAGCCTGTGACGGCTACGCTCTTTCCCGCTGCAGACGGCCCTCCGCCGGTGTTCAGGAGGAGGGCAAGGCATTGCCATATTTTAGACCTGACCTGCCCTTCTTTGGTGCCAGTCCTCAGGAGGTGGTACCCGAAGGTCGGGCGAGAGTTGGCGAAGACAGTGGAGAGAAAGGCGATGTAGGCCATCTCATCGAAATCAGAGGCGTCGTGCTGCATTCTGGGTGTTCGCTGGGATGGGTCACGAGCTGGCAAGGGAGTATAACAATCAGCAAACCGCGGTTATTCCAACATGAAGACGCCTACGTGTCAAACGCGATATGTATGCTGTAGATGCAGCCCTCTGGGTCATGTGCGAGAGGCCCGGTCCAAGCTGGGTTCATGACTCAAGTCGCTGGTTGGCAATCCGAAAGTTGTGACTGAGGGTGAGTCGGGATGCGAAGACACGTGCTGTCTCGGCAATGGCCGGGCTCGCTTTGAGGGACGACGCGCGCATCCTCACGCGCCGTTCCTCCAACGCGCACCTTCGCGCCCACCCTCCCTCCTCCCTCCCCTCTGGTCTCCGCCCCTGGACCTCCTTTCAGATATTTTTCACGACCTCTCTTCCTCCCGCTGCCATGTCCGGAAAACGAGATCTTTCTGGCTACAACTATGCTGCCATCTCCTCTCTCGTCCTGACTGCCGACCGCTCAAATCTCCCCCGACGAGACAAGGAGCCCGATGGTGCCCCGACGACGCTTGTCGGCCGTATCGACCCGCGCGAGATGGGATCCCGGGTCCAGCGCGAGGCGCCGAAGGACATGGAGAAGAAGAAGAAAAAGGCGACGGACAAGCAGGACGCGTCCGAGCGGCCGGCGAAGCGCAAGGCCGCCGACGCCGGCTTCGGCTACACGGACATCATCGAGGCCACCGAGGACGTCGAGGGGCTCACGTACCGCCCGCGGACGGCGGAGACGCGGGAGGTGTACGAGCTCATCCTCTCCAACGTCCACCGGGCGCTCGGTGACCAGGCGCAGGACGTGGTGCGGAGCGCGGCGGACACCGTGCTCGAGACGCTGAAGAACGAGGGCATGAAGGACTTCGACAAGAAGAAGGAGGTCGAGGAGATCCTGGGGTCGGTCTCGAACGAGGCCTTCGCGCAGTTCGTCAACCTGTCGAAGAAGATCACCGACTACGGCGCTGAGGACGAGGAGATGGCGGACCCGGACATGGAGCGCAAGGAGGCTGAGATCGACGACGAGATGGGAGTGGCGGTCGTGTTTGACGAAGAAGAGGAAGAGGACGAAGACGAGGAGGGCTACGAAGTGAAGGACGAGTCTGACGACGAAGCCGAGGAAGGGGACGGAGACAACGAGCCGGCGCCGGAGACTTTGGAGGGTGACGACGAGCTCGTCATCGGTGGGTCTTCAGCCGCAGGCCAGGGAAAGGCACAAGCGAACAAAGACAAAATCTCCCCCCACTCTATCGACGGCTTCTGGGTTCAACGGCAAATTTCCGAAGTCTACCCCGACCCCGTCACTGCTGCCGACAAGGCCACTGCCGCGCTCAGCCTCCTCGGCTCAGAGTCGAGCGACCGCGACTGCGAGAACCAGCTCATGGACCTCTTTGAGTACCAGCACTTCACTCTCGTCACCAAATTCGTCAAGAATCGCGACGTGATCGTCTGGTGCACCAAGCTCATGCGCAGTGACGCGGACAAGCGCGTTGACATAGAGGTGGCCATGCGCGAGAAGCAGCTCGGGTGGATTCTCAGGGAACTGGCCGGGGACCGTAAGACAAAGACGCGGTCAGATGCCATGGACGTCGACGACAAGCCCAAGTCGAGGTCCCGAAGACCGCGACTCTCGCTCCTGGTTCCACTGTGCAACCCAAGGCGACCGTCGACCTTGAGGGCATGGCCTTCAGCCAGGGCGGGCACCTCATGTCCAACAAGAAGTGTAAGCTCCCTGACGGATCGTTCAAGCGCGCGAAGAAGGGCTACGAGGAGATCCACGTTCCTGCCCCCAAGTCGAAACCCACCCACGACTCCGAGCTCGTCAAGGTCGAACAGCTTCCCGGGTGGGCACGCGAAGGCTTCAAGGGGTACCAGCACCTTAACCGCATTCAGAGCAAGGTGTACCCCATTGCGTTCGGTACGGACGAGCCCATTCTGATGTGTGCTCCAACCGGTGCGGGCAAGGTACGCACACTATATGTGGCTATATGTACTTTTTCTGATCTTTCATGCAGACGAACGTCGCCATGCTGACCGTCCTCAACGAGCTGAGCAAGTATCGGGACGAGGAGACGGGTGATTTCGATCTGGACGCGTTCAAGATCGTCTACATTGCGCCGATGAAGGCCCTTGTCCAGGAGATGGTCGGCAACTTCAGTTCGCGCCTCGGCGTCTTCGGTATCAAGGTCGGCGAGCTCACTGGCGACTCTCAAATGACGAAGCAACAAATCTCGGAGACGCAGATCATCGTCACGACGCCGGAAAAGTGGGATGTCATCACGCGCAAGAGCACGGACACGAGCTACACGAACCTCGTACGTCTCATCATCATCGACGAGATTCACTTGTTGCATGACGACCGTGGCCCAGTGCTCGAAGCGGTCATTGCGCGCACGATCCGTCGGATGGAACAGACGAATGAGTACGTGCGGCTGGTGGGTCTCTCTGCAACGCTCCCCAACTACCAGGACGTCGCGACGTTCCTCCGGGTCGACACCACGAAGGGTCTCTTCTACTTCGACGCGTCCTACCGCCCCTGCGCCCTCCAGCAACAGTTCATCGGTGTAACGAGAAGAAGGCCATCAGGCGGTACCAGGTCATGAACGAGGTTTGCTACGAGAAGGTGCTCGATCAGGCCGGCAAGAACCAAACGCTCGTATTTGTTCACTCGCGCAAAGAGACCGCCAAGACTGCGACGTTCATCCGCGACATGGCGATCGAGAAGGAGACCATCACGCAGTTCGTCAAGCCCGAGGGTGCGACGCGGGAGATCTTGCTTGAGGAGACGAACAACGTGAAGGACCCCAATCTGAAGGACCTACTCCAGTTCGGCTTCGGCATCCACCACGCCGGCATGTCGCGCGAGGACCGTGGGCTCGTCGAGGAGCTCTTCGCGGACGGCCACTTGCAGGTCCTCGTCTGTACTGCGACGCTCGCATGGGGTGTCAACCTCCCCGCGCACACGGTTATCATTAAGGGCACGCAGATCTACAACCCGGAGAAGGGCCGCTGGGTGGAGCTGTCATCGCAGGATGTGTTGCAGATGCTCGGTCGCGCGGGTCGTCCGCAGTACGACACGTTCGGCGAGGGCGTCATCATCACGAACCACTCGGAGCTGCAGTACTACCTCAGTCTGCTCAACCAGCAGCTGCCGATCGAGTCGCAGTTTGTTGCAAAGCTCACTGACAACCTCAACGCGGAGATCGTTCTTGGCACCATTCGGAACCGGGACGAGGCCGTTCAGTGGTTGGGATACACCTACCTGTACGCCGTTCCTCTGCAATCTCATTGGTGCAACACTAACCGACACTTCTTAGGTATGTACGCATGCTCAAGGACCCGGTGTTGTACAGCGTTGGCGTGGACTACCTCGAGGGCGACCCGACGCTCGTCCAGAAACGCGCGGACATTGTGCATACGGCAGCGGCACTGCTGGAGAAGTGCCACCTGATCAAGTACGAGCGGTCGTCAGGTCGATTCCACAGCACGGAGCTCGGGCGGATCGCGTCCCACTACTACGTGACGTACTCGTCCATGGCGACGTACAACCAGCACCTCCGGCCGACGATGGCCCACCTCGAGCTCTTCCGGGTGTTTGCGCTCTCGAACGAGTTTAAGCTCATCCCGGTGCGACAGGACGTGAGTGCTTTTTTGTGTTTACTTGGTGGTGGGGTAATTAATGTGCGGTGTAGGAAAAACTCGAGCTGGGCAAGCTACTCGAGCGTGTTCCCATTCCCGTCAAAGAGGCGGTCGAGGAGCCTGCGGCGAAGATCAATGTGCTGCTTCAAGCGTATATCTCGCAGCTGAAGCTCGATGGCTTCGCGCTCGTTGCCGACATGGTCTATGTCACTCAGTCAGCTGGCCGGTACGTCTTTCTCTTTATTGGCCAAGTGCGTTGCTAACAACTTGATGTAGTATCATGCGCGCGATTTTCGAGATCTGTTTGAAGCGTGGGTGGGCCGTGCCTGCCAAAGCTGCGCTCGACATGTGCAAGATGGTCGAGAGGAGAATGTGAGTCTTCCTCATGCATGAATGTTCTAGAACCTGGTTGCTGATACTGCGTGTAACAGGTGGGGATCCATGACGCCGCTGCGCCAGTTCAAGGGCGTTCCCAGCGAGGTCATCAGGAAGGCGGAAGGCAAGCAGTTCGTGAGTACTTTTTTTGACGCTGTGAGAGACCTTGCTAATAGAATATATGCAGCCTTGGTACCGCTACTTCGACTTGGTGAGCGTCGTCATGGTCTTATCTTTGTGTATGTTCTTATGTGTCGCACTACAGAGCCCTCCCGAAATCGGCGAGCTTCTCGGTATCCAAAATGCTGGGCGCCTCGTACATCGCCTCGTTCACAACTTCCCGAAGCTCCAGTACGTGCTTCATTTCAATTCAACCGGGCTACATGTTGACTTGTACCCAGACTCTCCGCTCAGGTCCAGCCCATCACCCGGACCCTCCTCCGTATTGATCTCACAATCACTCCCGACTTCCGCTGGGATGAGAAGGTTCATGGCACCTCAGAGTCGTTCTGGATCATCGTCGAAGATGTGGACGGCGAGATCGTTCTCTTCCACGACAAATTCATCCTCCGCCAGCGTTATGCCGAAGACGAGCACTACGTCACACTCACCGTGCCGATGTTTGAGCCAGTCCCGCCCAACTACTACATCTCCATCATCTCCGACCGCTGGCTACAGTCGGAGACGCGTCTCCCGATCTCCTTCAAGCACCTCATCCTGCCCGAGAAGTTCCCTGTCCCAACACCGCTGCTCGACCTCCAGGCGCTTCCGCTCTCCGCGCTGCACAACAAGGAGTTCGAGAGCATCTACTCGTCCGCCATCGAGACGTTCAACAAGATCCAGACGCAGGTCTTCCAGGCGCTCTACACGACGGACGACAACGTCTTCATCGGCGCCCCGACTGGCAGTGGCAAGACTATCTGTGCCGAGTTCGCACTCCTCCGGCTCTGGAGCAAGCGCGAGCAGCAGCGGGCGGTTTGCATTGAGCCGTACCAGGAGATGGTCGACCAGCGCGTGGAGGAGTGGCAGAAGAGGTTCGGGAACCTGCAGGGTGGGAAGGAGATCGTCAGCCTGACGGGCGAGACGAGCGCGGATCTGCGTCTGCTCGAGAAGGGGGACCTGATTGTTTGCACACCGAACCAGGTACGTCCATCACACTCGCTTTTCATTTCACGTATTGATCAATGCGGTTGTAGTGGGACGTTCTGTCAAGGCGATGGCGCCAGCGCAAGAATGTGCAGACCATCGGTCTGCTTATCGCCGATGAGGTTCAGCTTGTCGGTGGGGAAGTTGGCCCGACCTACGAGGTTGTCATTTCGCGGACGCGATACGTTTCCGCTCAGACGGAGATCAAGACGCGTATCGTTGCATGCGGTGTGTCGCTCGCGAACGCCCGGGACCTCGGAGAGTGGATGGGCGCACCCTCGCACGCCATCTTCAACTTCCCGCCCAGGTGAGCCCAGCGCGTCCCCTACTCGTCGCACAATCTAACGTTTCCACAGCGCCCGTCCGTTGGACATGGACATCCATATCCAAAGCTTCCAGATCCCCCACTTCCCGTCCCTCATGATTGCGATGTCCAAGCCCGCGTATCTCGCCGTCCTCGAGTACTCCCCCAACGACCCCACTATCATTTTCGTCCCTTCGCGTCGCCAGTGCCGTCTCACCGCCGACGACATCATCACGCACTGCAGCGCGGACGACGATACCTCGCGGTTCCTGCACGTCGATGAAGAGACCCTCGCACCCCACCTAGAGCATGTCACCGATGCCGGGTTGAAGGAGACATTGAAGCATGGTATTGGGTACTACCACGAGGCGCTCAGCAAGCAGGACAAGCGCATCGTGGAGCGTCTCTTCCAGCACGGTGCTATTCAGGTTCTCATCGCGTCCAAGGTATGTAAAATGTCGTCAGAATTCTACTGTATGCTGACTGTTTTCCCTCAGGACACTGCATGGTGTCTGCCCGTGTCCAGTTACATGGTGATTATCATGGGCGTCCAGTACTATGAGGGCAAGGAGCATCGATACGTCGACTATCCGGTCATGGACGTCCTGCAGATGATGGGCCGTGCCTGCCGGCCAGCTGTAGACCAGAAAAGCCGCGCAGTGCTCATGTGCCAGCAGACACGGAAGGACTTTTACAAGAAGTTCCTTGCGGAGGGGCTCCCCATCGAGTCCCACCTCCCCACCCATATGCTCCATGACTACTTCCTGGCGGAGATTGCTGTGAAGACGATTGAGAACAAGCAGGACGCGATGGTCTGTCCGGTTTCTTAGGACTAATTGTATGCGAAGTTGCTGACTTCTCGCTCGTTTAGGACATCCTCACATGGACGTACTTCTACCGGAGGATGACGCAGAACCCCAACTATTACAATCTTCACAACGTCAGCCACCAGCACTTGTCGGACCATCTGTCGGAGCTCGTCGAGAGCACGCTTAGCGACCTCGTCAACTCGAAGTGTATCACGATTGGTGAGATCGCTTTATCCAGTTTGCTGCGTTTGCTGACTGGACTTCCAGAGGACGAGATGGACGTCTCACCGCTGAACCTCGGCATGATTGCTGCCTACTATAACATCTCCTGTAGGTGTTTGTTGCGTCTGGATCGGAGTGGTACTAACATATGATCGTAGACGTCACTGTGGAGGTGTACACACTGTCCCTAAAGGAACGCACGAAGCTTAAGGGTCTCTTGGAGGTCGTGCGTCGTCAGCCGAGTTCGAGTCCATCCCAATCCGTCGCCACGAAGACGTTTTGCTGCGGCGGATTTACGACCGCGTTCCCGTCAAGCTGACAAGGCGGACTTCGAGGCCCCCACTTCAAGACCTTCCTCCTCTGCAAGCGCACTTCTCCCGCCTCACGCTCCCGCCCGACCTTGCTGCCGACCAGGTGCTTGTCCTCGAGAAAGTCCTCAACCTCCTGTCGCATGTGTGGACGTCATGTCCTCGAACGCGTGGTTGAATGCACTGGCGCGATGGACTTGTCCCAGATGTGTGTGCAAGCCTCCTGGGAGACGGACTCCCCGCTGAAGCAGATTCCCCACTTCGAGCCTGAGGTATGTCGCCATCTATCGTCTGATTGTGAAGACGGGGTGACTGACTTGGCCTGTAGCTTATCAAGCGCTGCAAGGACGCCGGCGTTGAGACCGTCTATGACGTCATGGAGATGGAGGACAGCAAGCGCAACGAGCTGCTCCAGATGGATGCGCGCCAGATGTACGTGGCCCTGGGCTCTGCTGGCTCGCTCTTGTCTGACAGGCCCGTTCCAGGCGCGACGTCGCGACGTTCGTCAACTCGTACCCCACGCTCGACGTCAGTTACGAGCTCGCCAAGGGCGACCACACGGCCGGAGCACCAATCCAGATCCAGGTCTCGCTCTCCAAGGACGCGGATGAGGACACGGACGAGCCCGCGAGGACGACGAGACGGTGATCGCACCCTTCTACCCAAGAAGAAGCTCGCGAACTGGTGGGTCGTCATCGGCGAGCCCAAGACGAAGCAGCTGCTCGCGATCAAGAAGGTGACCGTGCACCGGAGCCTCGGCGTCCGGCTCGAGTTCTCGCTCCCGCAGGGCGCGCACGCGCTCAAGCTCTATGTCATCTGCGACTCGTACATGGGCGCGGATCACGACATCGACTTGGACCCGATCGACGTCGCCGAGGGCGAGGACAGCGAGAGCGAAGAGGAGAGCGACGAGGAGATGGAGGAGTAGAGCGCTTGGCTTGGGTGGGTCTTGTCGCGATTGCGCTCGCGCAGATGTCTTGTTGTGTTTCTGCTGCTTGTCTAGAGCCGGACAACTGTACCTATAGTGCTCGGATGCGACGGGCGAAAATGTATTACTAAAGCGTTGTAATGGACTTGTCTTGACTCTATATCTTCGCCTTGTAACAGACCGCAACAATATGCACCCGCTTATCGCTGTCGGCGGTCGAAAGGAGCCTGAGAGAGACAGATGTGCGGCGTTTGCGGGATTTTAGCGATTCCCCTCCGCAGTGGTGGAAAATGTTGGGTTTGATCTGTTTCAGGTCGCCCAATTGCATGGTTTCCTGGGGACTCAAGCAGCGGGAAGTGACAGCTGGGCATCGATATCGTTGGGACGAGTAAAGTCGATTCAGTCGCACCAGTGTCTGTCCGACTCTGCGGTCGCTTGGCGGGGAGTCATGTCGCGAATTTGCAGATATGAGCCTCCGCCATCTTTTGGACACAACGAGATAAGGTAACGGTCTGCGCCAAGGATCCGATCGGCTTGGGGAGAGTCGCTACTTCAATGGCTGACTATCATGCGGGATTCGAACCGGCGACTGCGGAGTCCGGGTTTTGCCACGCACGGACCTTGGCCGACTGGAACACCGTCAGCGGAATGACTTTGATGTGGGCGTCGCCTCGTTGCGTCCCGCGAAGTCACCGCGAGCCAGCAAGTTGCAACGCAGGGAAGAGAAGGCCTGGCTTCTCCGAGCCACACGTACGGGACTACACAGGCTCCAGCACGGCCGCGGCTTTTTCGGGAAGGGACCCATCGTCTGCCCAGGGAACGTTGTGCCTGGCTCGACGCCTGTCTTATTGCTCTAGCCTCCATCACCGGCCCGGAGACCTCCCAACGGTCTGCAAGGGAATGGCGAAAACAGCGCAGGTCAACCAGGCGGTGCAGCGGTTCGCGCAAGACATGGGCGCCACACTTCACTCGCTCAGAGAATCCGCAGCTGCGTTCTTACCACCCCTCCTCCCCCTAACGTCTTACTCACCCTTCTCCCACACGAGAGCAAGGACACCTCAGCCGACAACCCAGGACAGTTACACACACAGCGGCGGAGGCGGCGGCGGCTGCCCCTGATTTCGACTTGGACCCGCATGGAGATGCCATCCCATCGCACGAGCGGGGAGGAATGGCGAATATCCCGCACTCCGTATCCCGTCACTCCGACGCCTGCCTGCCCGCCCTGTATCATCAAGGTTCCCGCTCAGATAGCTACGGCGTCTCCGCGCCGACATAAAAGCTACACGCCCGTCGCCGACAGACTCTCTGCCCTGTCTCAGGCATCCTCCACCCCCGCCCTCGCTCGCGATGCCTGGCTCTGGCCCTTCTGCAAACCCTGGCGACTCCCTCGCAGGAAAAGACCATGAGCTGCAGATCCGGTTCGTCCACCCGCTTTTCTCGCCGCTACCTATCTCCTAAGCCCCCTGTGCAGCTACCGCACTCTCTCCATCCATGTCGACACCATGACGGATGAGAAGAAGGCGGCGGTAGCCTCAGCCAAAGGCAACGATCCGGCTGCCTCCATCCGCCAGATTGACGTCCACCGCATTCCCGTCGACGAGGTCTACACCCGCTTCTCGACGTCCCCGACCGTCGGCCTGGAAGCCTCCGCCATCCAGCGCCGCGCCAAAGATGGTAAAAACGTCATTTCGCCCCCTCCCACCCAATGGGTGAAGAAGTCGCTCAACTACGTCTTCGGCGGCTTCAACTTCCTCATGTGGATCGCTTTCATCGTCACTGTCGTACGTATCATTCTATTCTGTTCCATTCTACTGTGGATACTCATCCGTCGCCCAGCTATCCTACAAACCCCTAGGACAGCCCCCGGCAATCTTCAACCTAGGTGTTGCCTTTTTGCTAGTATGTTTGCGCGCGCAGTTCGACCTGCGAGATGTGCGCGCTCACTTGGCCGTGCGTAGCTGCTCGTGATCATCGTCTCCTCGACGTTCTACGCGCTGGTGGACTGGCACGCGTCGCGCATCATGAACTCGATCAAGACGCTCATCGCCGATGAGGCGTCGGTCATTCGTGATGGCCAACACCAGAGTATCCCCGCTCGTGACCTCGTCGTCGGTGATGTTGTCACGTTGACCATGGGCGACCGGGTTCCGGCGGACTTGAGGCTTGTTCAAATTTCGAGCGATGTCCGCTTCGACCGCTCCCTTCTCACCGGTGAAAGGTACGTCGGCGCCCTTGCTTTGTGAAAATATCATCTCAGTTCTGTTGCAGCGACATGATCCCTGGCTCTCTCGACATGACCTCCGAGAATGCGCTCGAGACCCGCAACCTCGCGCTCACATCTACTTTCGTTGTACAAGGAAGCTGCACTGGGTCGTCTTCGCCGTCGGCGACAAGTCCGTCATGGGCCGCATTGTCGCCATGTCCGGCGCGACCAAGTTCAAGCTGACGACGGTCCAGAAGGAGGTCTGGTTCTTCACCAAGATCATCTCCACTCTTGCGCTCGGTCTCTTTGCGCTGTCGTTGATTGTCTGGGCCGGATGGGTGCGCAAGGCCTACCCAGGCTACGCTACCGCCAGTTCCGCTATAATCAACTCCATCGGCTGCTTGACGGCGTTCGTACCCCAGGTACGCAGGGAGTCGGAACCAAGTTTTTTTTTCATGCTGACCAATGCACCATAGGGTCTGCCTGTTTGTGTCGCGCTCTCCCTCACCATCGTCGCGAGGCGCATGGCCAAGCGCAACGTCCTCGTCAAAAACCTCGCGACGATCGAGACCCTCGGTTGCATGTCTGTCCTGTGCTCTGACAAAACCGGCACTCTTACCGTTGGAAAGATGGTACGTCACACCGTTTCTGGGCGAAAGCTGCTTCTGACTTTCGTCAAACAGTCCGTTCAAAACGTCGCCTTTTTGGACTCCGAGCACTCGATCGAGGAGATCAACTCCAAGCACTCGGATCCTACTTTTTCGGCGCCCCCGCCGCTCTCCGCGCCATGCACATGATCGGCCGTCTCTGCAACGGCGCCAAGTTCGACTCGGCCTCAGCGGACCTCCCGTCGAGGAGCGCCAGGTGAAGGGCGACGCTACCGACACAGCTGTTCTCCGCTTCTCCGAACCCTCACCGTCCCTCGCTCGGCGTCGTACGAATAAGCTCTCGATCGTACGAGAAGTTATTCGAGATCCCTTCAACTCGCGCAACAAGTGGATGCTCAGTGTGGTCGCCGCTCGCCCGGGGTTCACGTCTGACGATGGAGTTGGCCGCTGGATGCTCGTCAAGGGTGGGCCCGACGTCCTCTTCCCGAAGTGTTCGATGGTCATGCGCGCAGACGGTTCGACGCTCCCCTCAACGACGAGCACCGCGCGACGTTGCAACACCTCCAGGAGCGTTGGAGCTCCGAGGGCCAGCGCGTCCTGGCGCTCTGCCGCCGTGACATCGACGCGCTCGACATGGACCCGAACGCGAACGCGAACGATACCGAGCACTTGATGTACGCCAACTTGCACCAGCTCACCTCGTCGGCCTCGTCGGCATCCGCGACCCGCCCCGTACGGACGTCCCCGACGCGGTTCGGATCATCCGCCGCGCCGGCGTGCGCGTGTTCATGGTCACCGGCGACTTCAAGCTCACCGCGCTCGCAATCGCACGCCAGGTCGGGATCATAACGGAAGGGAAAGTCGACGACGTGCAATCGATGCGCAAATCCGAGGTCGCGCGCCGCTACGCGGGCGTGAGGGCCCCTGCCTGCCGACCCGGGGAGGACGACGGCCAGCGCGCGCTCGTGCTCACGGGCGACGACGTCGAGACGCTCCATCCGCGGACTGGGACATGGTTGTCGGCTCGTACACGGAGATCGTGTTCGCGAGGACGACGCCGGAGCAGAAGCTCCGCATTGTGGAAGAAACGAAGGCGCGCGGCGACAACACGGTCGCGGTCACTGGCGACGGCGTCAACGACGCCCCGGCTCTCAAGGCTGCCGACATCGGTGTCGCGATGGGCTCTGGTTCTGATGTCGCGAAGGAGGCTGGTGCGTGTTGCCGAGCGTACTTGCGGTGGTCTTGACTGACGTCCTGTCGCCTAGCGTCGATGATCTTGCTCAACAATGACCTCATGTCCGTCACGGTCGCGATTGAGATGGGTCGCCTCGTGTTCGACAACCTCAAGAAGGTCATCGTCTACCTCATGCCTGTGCGTTTCATGCGTTCCAAAATGGCCATTCCACGCTAATAATCCATCGTAGGCCGGCACGTACACGGAGTTCGTCGGCGTCTTCGCCAATGTTTTCCTCGGCATGCAGATCCGCTCTCTTCATACCTCCAGGTCTGCTTCTCGATCACCAACGACGTCGTCATGTCGATCTCTCTCATGTACGAGAAGCCTGAGTCTGGTGCGTAGTCTCTTCGAGCTCGAATGCACTCTGCTCATCGCCTCGACAGACCTCATGCTCCGCAAGCCTCGCAATGCGCGTACTGATCGTCTGACCAACTGGCAGTTCTTCTTCCACATCTACCTCGTGTGTAATTTCCTATCGCGTGGACGCATTCCGTCTAACGACTATTTTAGTTCATTGGCCTCATGATGTGGCCGTGCGCGATGGGGATGTGGTTCCTCTGGATGAAGCAGAACGGCCTCGGCTTCTACGACGTCTTCTTTGTCTTCAATAAGTGGCAGGACGGCTACAAGGGCTTCACCATCGACGAGCTCAACCACCTCGTCGCCGTCGGCCAGTGTATCTAGTACGCTCCGTTCCGCCTCCCTGTGTCTCAGCCATGCTGATTCCCGTGCGCGCAGTTACGTGACCATGGTGTTCATGCAATACGGCGGCCTGCTCGCGGTTCGCAACCGGCGCGTGTCGATCCTGCGGTCTAACCCGCTCTGGGGCCCGCGCCGGAACCTAGTCGTCCTGTGCGGCATGCTCGGGACGCTGCTGATCGCCGTCGTGAACCTGTACGGGCCCGGGCTGCAGAACGTGTTCGGGACGACGCCGATCCCGGGCATGTTCTGGGGCATTCCGTTCGCGTTCGCGGCGGGGATCTTGCTCGTGGACGAGGTCCGGAAGCTGATTGTGCGCACGTACCCGAAGGTGAGAAATATGTCAGTGATGACCGTGTGCGTGTCTGCTGATTGTTGGATGTATCCGCAGTCCATTGTCGCCAAGGCCGCGTGGTAACCCTTGCGGAATCTTGGGCGCGATTTGTGCTGTCCGCATCCGATATTTCACCCCTTTACACATTAATTGCTGTGCTGGAGTGAGCCTTGTCTGGTAGACGTTGTCGTCATCATCCGCGCATCCGTTATACATGTCCCTGGACCTGTACAGTATCATGCCAATACATCTAGGTATCGCCTCCATCCTCGTAGAAGTAGAACCTGAGCGGTTTTTCTGGTACATCTGTTTAGCGGTAACACAGCCAAGATGACATGCTCATACTGTACCCAGTGGTCTTGGAACTTGGGGTAAGAACTCTTGGCACCAGGCCGGAATGCATCACGTGACAAGCCATCGCTTAGCCCTGTTGCCAGGTGTTTGTTGATGTGCACTCTTACGACGACCATCATCAACCCTTTCAGAACCAGGACCCCCAAAGCTGTATAGACCAGCCGCCTCAAAGCGGGGCCCACCTGGTAGGAATAGTGAGTCCTTGATATGTCCGCTTGGAACCCCAACGTACTTAGTGTATCCCGCTCCGCGCCCAGACAGGGGCGAGGCTGGGCAAACTCTCCCAAGGGGCACTCTACTCTCGGCATGGACATTCTTACAGACTCTATCCGCCCTTCGCGGCTCGGAATATGGAGTTGTGCCAAGGCTTGTCGGCCTGGCTTTGATTATCTCCACCCTAGTCTCCGTGCGAGCCTCGTCATTCGGAGCGGACTTCGGGATGCCAAGCTGCGGCTCTGCCCTTGAAATGCCGATATTCGAGTCGCATATAAGACTCGTCCATTCGGAGATGACGCCCCGTATCGCCTTTCCCCACCCTACAACCACATACCTCCACACGACATCATGCCTGAGATCCCCCCACGTGCAATCACTGTCTCCGCCGACCCTACCCTCGTCGACTCTTCTGGCAACATATCCCACAGGAAAGGGAATGACAACTCATCCGACACGGGAGCACCTCCTCCGTACCAACTTTCAGCCCAACAAGTCGCTTCAGAGCTCGAGGTGGACATCGAGTCGGGCCTCGAAGACGCGCACGCTCAAGAGCGCCTACAAAGATATGGAACCAACGAGCTCGCGGGCGGCGATGGCGTCAGTTGGGTACGGGTGCTGGTGTCGCAGATTGGTGAGTATTCGCTCGCGCTCCCATCATGGAGGATGACTGACGACCTCTGCAGTGAACGCGATTATGTTGGTGATGATCGCCTCGCTCGTGGTGTCGCTCGCTATCAAATCATGGATTGAGGGCGGCATCATCGGTGCGGTCATCCTCGTCAACATCGTCGTCGGGTTTATGCAGCAGTACTCCGCCGAGCGCACCATGTAAGTCGTTAGTTTTTAGCACGAGAACGGTCTTCCGACAGCGACCATCGCAGGGACTCTCTCCGATCACTCGCGTCCCCGTCCGCAACAGTCATTCGCAACACGCACAACGTCGTCATCCCATCTGTCCAGCTCGTCCCTGGTGACATCGTGGTTCTCACAACTGGCGACGTCGTTCCAGCGGACCTCCGACTCTTCGACGCGATGAACTTCGAAGCCGACGAGTCTCTCCTCACCGGCGAGTCCGTCCCCGTCTCAAAGCAGGCTAACGTCCGGTACGACACCGTCGTCCCCCTCGGTGACCGTCACAACATGGCCTACTCCTCCAGCACCGTCACCAAGGGCCGCGCGCAGGGGATCGTCACCGCGACCGGGATGCGCACCGAGATCGGCGCGATCGCGGCGAGCCTGCAAGGCCAGGGCGAGACGCGCGTGCGCAAGGTTCGCGAGCGCGAGGATGGGAAGAAGCTCTTCCAGTACTACGTCTCCGCGTACGCGCTCACCGTCACGGACAACATCGGCCGGTTCTTGGGCGTGAACGTCGGGACGCCGCTGCAGCGGCGGATGAGCCAGCTCGCGTGCGCGCTGTTCGGCATCGCGGTGCTTTTCGCGATCGTGGTGGTGGCGGCGAACAACTTCGTGAACGAACGGGTTGTGATCATCTACGCGGTGTCGACGGGTACGTGTCCGGACATCGCTTTTTGGTGCTGCGCTGACGGGCGATCCAGGACTCTGCATGATCCCCGTCTCTCTTGTGGTCGTCCTCACGCTCACGTTCGCTTTGAGCGCGAAGCGGATGGCGGAGTACCACGTCATCGTGCGCAAACTCGACTCGATCGAAGCGCTCGGTGCGGTCAGCGACGTGTGCTCCGACAAGACAGGTGAGTTCGGTATGGGACGCGCAAGGATATTTACTCATCCGCACTCAGGTACTCTCACGCGAGGCCGCATGGTCGCACGGGTCGCCTGGGTGCCCACTGTTGGAATGTGGACACTCAAGGAGTCTCGCGATCCGTTCAACCCACACGACGGGAAGCTGACGTTCCACGAGGGGAACCCAGTCGATCGCATCATTCCAGAGTCCGAGAGCAGCATGTCTGCGGATGGCATGGAGAAGCTCCTCGAATGCGCCGCGCTCTGCAACGTCGCGGCCATCGCCAAAGAACACACTGAAGAAGGAAGCGACGAGAAAGAGGAGAAGTGGGCGGGGCGTGGGGACCCCACGGAGATGTACGCACTTCGCCTTGGCCCCCATCTACTCTGCAATCTCTGACTCTTCACTTAAATCCAGCGCCCTCCAGGTGTTCGCTCACAGATTCGACCGCGGCCGGCCCTCGCTTGTGGCGCAGGGCCACGAACAGCTCGCCGAGTACCCGTTTTCTTCTGACCTCAAGCGCATGACCGTCATCTACCGCCGGCCCACGCAGAAGGAAGACGCGCCGCAAGATGACCCGCCAGGGCGCGTCGCGCTCATGAAGGGCGCGACGGAGCGCGTGCTCGACGCGTGCGTTTCCATACACGCTCACGACGGCGCGCGCGCAATCAAGGGCGCGGACCAGGACGTGGTGATGCAGAACGCGGAGGCAATGGCCGAGCAGGGGCTACGTGTGCTTGCGCTCGCGGGGCGTGAGTGGACGGGGCCCGCGGAGGGCGCCGAGCGCGCGGAGGTGGAGAAGGACATGACGTTCTACGGGCTCATCGGGATCTATGACCCTCCAAGTGAGTCTCTTCTTGGTTTGTGCGTATCGCGTGCGGTTACTAACGGAGCACGCTAGGGCCCGAGTCTGCGCCCGCGGTGGAGGACTGCAAGCGGGCGGGGATCGTGGTGCACATGCTCACGGGCGACCACCCGAGCACGGCGACTGCGATTGCGCGCGAGATCGGGATCATACCCCACGGCGACCTCGCGAAGCTTCCCAAGGGCACGGTGGTCGCCGCCTCCGATTTCGACAGGCTCTCTGACGAGGAGGTGGACCAGATGGAGGAGCTGCCGCGCGTCATTGGGCGGTGCTCGCCCGAGACGAAGGTGCGGATGATCGAGGCGCTGCACAGGAGGAAACGGTTCGCCGCGATGAGTGCGTGCGTCTCATGTAGCAGCGGCTATCTTGTGCTGACAGTCTTCCAGCCGGTGACGGTGTCAACGACAGCCCGAGCCTATCGCGCGCAGACGTTGGCATTGGGATGGGGAGTGGATCCGACGTTGCGAAGAATGCGTCGGGTAAGTGCCTTTCAATTTACTCCACGTGCTCATTTCTCATCTCACGACGCGCAGATATCGTTCTGTCAGACGACAACTTCGCCTCCATCATCGCCGCCATTCGCGAGGGCCGCCGTTCGTACGACAACATCAAGTCGTTCACCCTGCACCTCCTCGCGGGGAACGTCGCCCAGGCTATCGTGCTACTGGTTGGCCTCGTGTTCAAGGACCAGGAGAACCTCTCCGTCTTCCCTCTCAGCCCCGTCGAGGTGCTCTGGGTGGTCGTCATCAGCGCAGGGCCGCCCGCGATGGGCCTCGGCATGCAGGCCGCGACCGAGAACATCATGCGCCGCCCGCCCCACAACGCCCGCCGCGGCATCCTCACCACCGGTCCGTCCCCCTCGCGCACCCTGCGCCCCGCGCCCCGCTCACCTCTTCCCTTCCCTCCCCTCTCGCAGAGGTCCTCGTCGACATGGTCGCGTACGGGATCATCCTCGGCGCGCTCTCGCTCGCGTCCTTCGTCGCCGTCGTCTACGGCTTCGGCGACGGCGACCTCGGCGCGGGCGACTGCAACGAGTCGCGCGCGGGGTGCGAGGTCGTGTTCCGCGCGCGGGCGACGTGCTTCGCGACCGTCTGCACCCTCTTCCTCGTCCTCGCCTGGGAGATGACGAACCTGCGGCGGAGCCTGTTCCGCGGGCGCCCGCGCGCGGCGACGACGGCGCCGTGGACGCAGTGGATGAGGGACCTGTACGCGAACCGGGTGCTGTTCTGGGTGAGTCGGTCTCGTCATTGCGCTGGGGTCGATGGAGTGCTGACGCGCGTCGCAGTCGGTCGTGCTCGGGTTCTTTGCGACGTTCTTGGCGATTTACATCCCGGTCATCAATGACGTGGTGTTTTTGCACGCGCCGATCAGTTGGGAGGTGCGTGTTTGGAGGTTGCGTTGGGTGGACTGGCTTGCTCATTTTTCTTGGTGCAGTGGATCATCGTGTTTGTGGCCATGTTCGTGTTTCTGGTCTGCGCGGAGGGATGGAAGCTTGCGAAGCGAATTTACTACCGCCGCGAGGACAGGGAGTACAAGGAGAGCATCGGAGATGTCAAGATTGCTGCCTGAACGTGCCGGCCTGCTCTTTCCGGTGGCATAAGGTACGAAGTGAATGGCCGAAAAATGAATATTAACATGTTCCTGTATCACTACTGTATACACCTCGATCGTTATACCAATATGTATGTGTTCCCCCCGACGTACACCTCTCGCGCTGGCGCAGGTGCCCCTCATGAACTACCTTCGGCGCCAGTGTACAAGGATAGTGGACACTGCGCTTGAGAGTCTTCAAAGATCTGTGCGCGGCACATTCACAATGCTTTGGAAGCCAAAGACGTCCACTCTATCCGCTTGTAGACGGACACTTGGAAAGCCGGCGAAAGCTTGCAAGGGGCAGGGGCGGTTCGCCCGCGCCACGTCACCGCGGCCAGTCGACCTCCGCGCCGGGCTCCAAGAAGGCCTCACGCGGCGGCCCCGCCGTCGAGCCCGCCACTTTCGCGCGCGCGAGCGCCCCCGCGCTCACCGTCACGCCCGGGAGGCACGGCGCGGCGACGGTCGCGAAGCGCACGGGCCCGCCCGCGGCGGGCGACGCGCGCACGAGGAACTCGACGACGCGCGCGCCGGGGCCGTTCGGCGCGCCGGGCACGGCGGCGGGGCCGGGCGCGAGCGCGACGGACTCGACGGCGCCGAGGAGGTCGGTGTCGGTGCAGGAGTACGCGCGGTGCGCGGGGCGGGGCGGGAGCGCGGCGAGCGGGAGGAGGGAGGAGGGGCGGGCGGACCAGTGGGAGGCGGAGGCGGAGGGGGGCGCGGGGGTCGTGGGGTCGCGCGCGCCGGTGGGGAGGAAGCGCGGGAGGGGGGCGGGAGTCGAGGAGGGGGGTGGCGCGGTCGTTGGAAGGTCTTCGTCGGTGTCGTCGTCGGTGTTGTCGTCGTCCGAGCCCAAGCCCAAATCCGAGCCCGAGTCCGAGCCCGAGTCCGCTGCGTCTGTATCTTCATTTTCTGACAGATCTGGACAGGGAGGGGTGTTCTCGTACGCGAGCGGCCAGAGCGCGACGATTCGAACGAGGGACCCCACATCGAGTGGCACGGCGGGCGCGAGGCGGAGGTCATATAGGTAATGGTTGGGAGCCTCGTGCGCACTAACTGGCGCGCTGTCCGTCCAGCGCGCATAGAGGTCTATCGCCACTGGAGCGGAGAGAACGGAGGCGGGGGCAGCGGCAGCAGTGGTGGGGACGCCCATGGTGGTATGCGCGCGGTACTCAAGAGCGTTCAGGGAGTGGGGGAGGAGGAGAACTGCACGGGCGACCTCCGCGATTTATATTTGTGGGGACAGGGGCAGGTCCATACCAAGCGCGCGGTCTTGATCTTCCAGACAAAAGGCTACGCCACGCGTCCGTTTGAACGAGTGGCGACGGGCGGCATCCTCCGGCGGTATGTCGGGCGATGGGAACACGAAGATTGGCGTCCACTGCAGGAAGGCGGACGACACAACGACCGCGTGAGGGTGACGTACTCGCGTGCGCCCTTCGTTGGATTTGATCTCGATGCTAATCATCGGTGCCTTGCCTGATGCGATTCTAGGCAGGCGGAATGGGATCCAGAAGAGTCTCTGATCATCAGCCCTCTTCCGCCCCTGGCCACTCGCGGCCCGGCGCAGCGCGGCAGTGGTCTGCGATGTTCTGCGTATGGAAGGCACCAGTTGTGGCCGTGTGGACAGGGGGCCGTCCGTGTACCGCGCTCTCCGTGCGGAAAGAGAAAGAGACTTCAATGCCTTCCTCAGCGGTGCGTCCTGCTGTTCGAGCTCGACGTCGCGCTGGACGCGAAGGATGTGCCAGAACGCAAGCGAGCGCGGTATGCCGTGTACCTCCATCCGCTTGAAGGTCAGTCGAAGAGCATCAGGCGTCCCCATAGCTACTTCACGGTTTCTAGCTTGAACAAGGTCTGACCAGGGGAGACTAGGGTCTACTAGGGTGGACTCCTGTACACTCATCTGCGCGCACGCGTCGCTATTGGAATCGTACGGGACGAATGCAACGATTTTCCATCTAGCTGATTCAGGCTCGCGCACACAGCCGCGTTCGACAAAGAAACCACGAAAGCTAGAATTACAAAACGACAGCGTGCGGAACCAATGTACTCCGTCGCCAGAGGGCGGCGGCAAAATCAGCCGGGAGAGTGTCATGAGGGAGCAAGTGCGTAGCGGAAGCAGTAGCGATAGTACTAGTACGACGTGACAGACATGTCCACAGCACGAAGGACGGAAACGAGAACGAGAGAGCGCGAGCACGCTCACTGCGCGACGGGCTCCTTCTCGATGCTCGCCTTCTCCGCCTCGGGCTCGTGCGCGCCCTCCTCCGCCTGCTGGCGCTTGAGGTCGTCGACGTACACCATCTTCTCGTCGTCGTAGTTCGTCTCCTTGATCGTCTTGATCACCGCCCAGCAGAACGGGAAGGAGAAGAGCATCATGAGCCAAGAGGCGAGGTGCTCGTTCAGCAGCGGCGTGTTCACCGCGTCCATCCCGAACGAGCCCGCGGCGCCGGCGGACTGCACGGCCTTGTACAGGCCCGCGTAGCGCGCGAGCTGGAAGGGGTCGTTCGTGAGCGCGGCCATGACCCAGTAGACGAGCGCCTGGTAGCACGCGTCCGAGAAGTAGAAGAAGAAGAAGAGCGCGGCCTTGCCCCGGTACGCCGCCGACTTGTAGTTGATCTTCGCGTCCCCGGCGGCCTCGAGCGACTCGCGCGAGAACGTGACCTGCCACGAGAGCGCGACGGCCCACACGATCACGATCAGGACCACGGTCGCGCCGAGGCCGAGGTAGCCGCGCGTGCGCCGGTGGAAGTACTTGAGGTCGAGGACGCCGTAGCCGATGACGAGCGCGCCGACGATCGCGCCCGCGCCCTCGAGCGTCGCGTTGAGCGCGCGCGTCGGGCCGTCAAAGACGTGCGCGTTAACCGCGCCCTGGTAGGCGTAGAAGTAGTTGGACGCGAAGAACATGGGCAGGAGCGCTGTGGGACCGGGGTCAGAGCGGGCGAGGAGAGACGGGTGGGGGCGGAGACGGACCGAGGATGCGCCAGTCCTTGAGGAGGCGGAACATGCCGACGACCTCCTCATGGGGCTTGGAAGCGGCCTCGAGCTTGACGATGGTGCCGTCGGCACGGATGACCTTGTTGGGGGGGAGGATCAACCAGGACGAGGCGATGCCGACGAAGATGATCACGACAAAGGCCTGCGTGCGAGGGTGAGCGGGGGACGGAGGAGGGGGTGGAGAGGACGTACGACGTAGGTGGAGGTGGAGACGGAGGAGAGACCGCCCTGCTCGATGTTGATGGCGAGGGCGATGAGGGAGCCGATGAAGGAGCCGAACTGGAAGATGGCCCAGAAGACGGCGAACGCCTTGCCCTTGTCCTTCTCGAGCGGGTAGGACATCATAATCGCGCCCTGGGCGGACCAGAGCAGGGCGGCAGTGACACCGAGGATGGCGCCGGCGAGGATGACGAACCAGCCGGTGGCCTGGGTCTGGTAGCTGATGGGGAAGTGAGAATGCGCGAGCGATCATGCGAAATCAATGTGCGGAGGGGTGTGTGATGGAACATGGCATCAATTTGGTCGCGTGCGGGAGATGTGATGGAGGGAGTGCGGGGGAGCGAGAGACGAGGATGGAGGGCAACGTACCACCAGAGCGAGCCGACGTAGAGGACGTAGCCCAGAGTGCCGAGGAAGAGGGTCAGCCTGGGGCCGAGCACTGGAGAGAAGGTAAGGGAGCGAAAGACGAGGAGGAAACGAGAGGACGCACGGTTGTTGATACCACCCGAGACGAGACCGGTGAGGGCGAAGAGGGCGTAGAGGACGGCGTTGGCGGTGTCCGAGAGGGCGACATCGCTAATGCCTCCGGCACCGAGGTTGGAGACGGCGCTGAACATGCCGACTGTGGCGAAGCTGACGGGCGTGGTTGGCTCGGATGTGAGGCGGGGCGCGGGGAGAGGACTCACCAGGTGATGCCGACGAGGACCACCTGCGCCATGGGCGTTCTGGGGGGGAGTGGGGTGAGTGTATGCGCGGGGAGGGGGAGGAGGAGGACATACATGTACCATGCCTTGATTGTGTCGATGAACATGGCGGACGACGAGGGCGCGGAGAGCGGGGGGGCGGATGCTCGGAGAGAGGGCGCATGTCGGGACGGCGGCAGCTTTAATACGGGAAGACGAACGGACGATAAGGCGGGGAGGAGAGGCCCACATGGTCCAGCCAGATGGGCGTGATGGCCGTCCAGCCGCCTCGCGCGTCTCCGCCCTCCGCCAGCGACCGCGCCGTCCCGTGCACCCACTCCACGCTGCCGCCTGTCTCGACCCCGCCGCGCGCACCCTTCGCCCGCCTCCGCGCCCGCCTCGTCCGCCGGGCGTGCACCCACCAGCGCGTTAGATAACGGTATCGCTCGACACCCAACGCTCGCCCGCCGCCGTGCCAGAGATTGGGGGCAGATTCCTTCACCCCGCCCAAAACACTAGCGAGGCTGCGACGACTCGCCTGGTCCTGGACCCCTGATCAGCTCGCGGGCCCGCGCGCACGCGATCAAATGCCCGCCTGCGCCCCTCGCCCGCCTTTGATCCCAACGCGAACCGACCGCCAACGCACCCCGAATCGCGCGCAGAATCAAGACCGGGTCCGCACCGCTTATTTTCGTTGTTGTCCCCTCCGATCCAGCGAACTCGGATCGGTCGCCGCGGCGGCGGGATGCGCTCTCCTCGCGCGTTGGGCGCCGGGGTAGCGGAGGGGCAGAGTGCTAGCGTGGAGCACGACCATATCGCCCCGATGGTGGAACGAGCCCGCACTGATGAACTACTGGACGCCCATCCATAACGCGAGGGCCGGTCAGACCACTCCCGATCACATTCGCTTAGCTTCGGCTATCTTCGGGGTCTGAAAATGAGTCTGGAGAGGGGGTCCGACCCCCTCTCCAGCCATAGCCGAGCTCGGTTAAACAGTCGGAGTTCAGATCCCATCTCGTCCAGAGCGATCGAGCGGAAATCCGAGCGACCTGGTGTTACGGATAGGCGTCCACTGTATCCGTCCCCGACAGCCACCTCCGACCTCCGACACGGTCGACGCGCCCGCGTTTCCGCGCTCCAACGGCCGCGACCGCGTGCGTTTGAGACGGCAGGTTCCGCCTGCGTTTTCAGATCACCCACCCTGCTCTCTTCCAACTTCCAATTCCAAGTTCCAAACGAGATCGTGCGCGAGATTAGGCCCCTGGAAGTGCCCTGGCACTGGGGGTACCCACTGCCCCGACGTCGAGGTCCGGCAGCGCTCGCGCCGCGGGGTTGGCCTCCCGGCCCGCGCGCCGCAGCTCCCCTATGGGACTCGAAGAATTCGAACGCGCAGACGGCGGAGGGGGTTATCACTGCCATCACCCCGCGCGTCCTCGCCTGGGGCGTACAGACGATAACGGCCGCGCGGCGAATCCTGGCCGGACGACAGCTGCACACGGCGAGTCTTCTGAACGGAGCGTTAACTCTAAAAAATCTGAGCTTCACCACGGCGCTCGGCGAACAGGCCTGGGCGCTGGGCCTTGGTCGACTCTCGACGACCGCGCTTCGGGGCTCGTCGAAGGCTGCTTCTATCTCGGGGAACGACGTCCATACGCCGATGCAGATGAGAACCTCGAGAACGACGTCCGAAAAGATGGGTTCGAATCCTCGAGGCCTCATGTCCCTCCACAACGGTCCCAGGCGGGTATTCGCAGGACCGCTATATCTCCAAGGCACAGAAGCTTCAATTCAAACAGAGGTGAATAACTGTCAACGGACAAACGAGCACGCGCTGCACGCGCATCGATTCGCAGTGGTAAGAATCGGGTGGGATCAGAACATTGGCGAGTCGCGGGCGAGTATGAAGGAATATCTCAAGAGGTGGACGGCTGCCACCGCTCGAGTACTAAAGTATGGATCCCCGCGAACATGGCCAATTGCGGACTTGCCCGGCTCAAAAATCCTCCACGGTGCTGGCGGTAAACGAAATCGGGCGCAAAGTGCGTCCGTTTCTGGGAGCGACGGTGGTATGGCTGGGCTCCGCCGGACGCGTTCTGACACGCCCCCCGAGTCTGGCCTGGGGACGTGTCCCGCCGGAAGGTCGAAGTAGGGGCCACGCCTTGAGGCCTTCGCCTTCGCCGAAACCGCATACACGAGCATCTTCCGGCTGAGATCCGGGCTCAAGGTAACATGTGTTTGCTCAGGGTCAGCGCGTGGATGTTTGCGCACGCGCGGATAATCCGGGTGGGCCTCAAAAACGTCGCACCAGGAGCAGGGCAACTCGACTGTCTTCTGGTGAGCATCTGCGTGATTCGAAGGTGGGAATTCGATATTTGTCGCCCTCGTTGTATGCGGCACCGTCGTCCTTAGGGATGTCGAGGTGACGTGGGTTGACGGACTTCGCGTCGAGTGCCCTATGAAGTGCTGAGAAGCGCTAACGACGCTTCCAGTACCGTCTCTTTTTTCCCATATTCACTGTTTATCTGACGTTGGATAAGCTCGTGCAGCACAATGAGATACCAACAGAGTCACATCGACTCTAAGGCACTACCGCAGCGGCGCGGCGCCACGTTGAGACTCAAACCCACTCTGTAGCCGACGTCAAAGTCCCAGCACGCGTGCATGAGAGGGTTCCAGAAAGCATGGTGTGTCGCAAGATGTTTGAACGCCACTATCGATGGTTGAAGTGCGGCGTGCCGCGTAGAGATGAGTACGCGCACTCCAATAAAACCACTAGTTCTCACCCGTGGCGTTGCCACGGCGCGTGTGGGCCTTTGGCCCTCGAGATGCGACGTTGGGTAGATATTTGAGGATTTTATAAATAATACTTATGTACAGAGATACTGGAGTGTGTGCTGCAAAGGGGCATGCGGAGCTTTTCTCGACATGCTCTCGCGTGTGTTGGTGGTATGGAGTTGAAGGATCCGCTGAAGGCAAGGGAGGTAGTTACCCCGTCGCGATATCCCGCCGGTGCCCATTGGACACCCCGGTCAGTTGCGCTTTAACGCACGCGCACATGCCCCGGGGTGAGCTGAAGGCGAGCGCCGAGGAGTGCACTGTAGCACCGGTGTGTGTGTGCCCTCGCGCGAGAAGGGAAGTGTCGCGCGGGGTCGGCTCGTAGAGCCTGCCGATGCCCGTAGGCCTTTTTCGCGGAGGAGCGCGGCCACAGCGCCTACCGCCCTCGCGCACTGCCGCGCGATGTGCAGTGCGAGTCCGAGCGCACGGGCGCGAGCCCCGCGCGCATGCGGTGATATCTCTGCGCGCACTGCAGAATACCCGCATGCATTTTGCTCGCACGCGAGGGCTCACGTCCGGACTTCTGTCAGGACTTTACCCGTGGGCATACCCTTGCAGCGCCTCGCTCTGGGTGCAGGGGCCATTCCATAATACAATGTGTTTATCCAGTGTTGCCCCACCTCGCGAGGCTCGTGCGTGGGGAGTTCTGGGTGTACACATAGATATTGCCACACGCACGCGGGGCTCGCAGCGGTGCGCTCGGACTCGCGCTGCACGTACAGTACTCGGGTGGTGGTGCGTGAGGACGCTACGCACTGTGGCCCACTCTAAAAGTTAAAACTAAACACGGCCCTACTCCCGCTCCTGCGCGTAACGGCCCACCTGTATTGGAGCGGCCGCAAACTCAGCCAGACATCGCCACCCGCATCGACCTCGTAAACTCGGCCGAAAAACAGTCCCGACCCAGGGCGGCCTCGCAAGCTCGGCCACACACAGACGCCAGCCTCGCAGGCTCGGCCGGCCGGCGCACATGGCAGCCACATGGCAAAAGCTCGGTTAGATTCATAGCCGACGCTTAACGCTGCAAGCGACGTACGCGGCTTACTAACACCACCGCTCCCTTCTTTATAGATAGGTAAACATCATATGGCGAGATGGCCGAGCGGTCTAAGGCGCCAGACTAAGGATCTGGTCCGAAAGGGCGTGGGTTCGAATCCCACTCTCGTCACATGAAATCTCTGGATCCTGTTTTTTGTTCTGTCACGCTCATGCACGGCCAACTACCAAACATTTTCAGGGTCAACACTAAGCAGAATTTGGTTGTGGTACGTGTACAGCAATGTAATTGGTACTGTGCAGTATGAATACAGATGCATGAAGTCCGGGCAGGTGCTTTGGAGCCCGAACCCTCCACTGCACTTCGCGTCGCCCACGACTTCAACTTGAACGACAATCCAGAATGATCCACACGCCTAAGTGACAAGCTTGTCGTCGCCCTCCCGTGTATCCGGTGCCAGCTTGTTCTTCCGGGACCCCGCGCCACACTTCTCTGGCTCGTCGGGGTACTTACGAGCAGGGAAGTGGTCAGGAAATAGAGGAGATGGTAGCACTAGGAGCCGTGGTAGTAAGACTACTTGGTCGGGAGACCCGCGAGCAGTGAGAGACCGGCCGTTGCCGAGAAGCCATGTCATCGGTCCACATCTTGTCTTTAGCCATCGAGCCGTCCCATCTCATCCTCTCGTCGCTGCCACCCGGATAGCCATGGACGGCGACCATATCTCTTTCTCTGGGCTCAGAACCACCGTCACGCTGCTCTCCGTCGTCCTGCACTGTTGGAATCTGCCCGCATACTTAGCAAGCTCGGTCGTACGGTACCAGCGCTTAGTCATCCCGTAGATAGCCGCCGTCCCTCGTTCCGCACTCGCCTCACGCGTTTGCCCTTCACCACCACCTCGTTCTTCCCCGCGTCCGTCTGTACTCGCCTCCCGGTGCCCATAGGGACCAACCGCGTGGTATCGATTGCCTTTACCCCCTCGTCCGACCCCGACCGAGCCGCCGACTTCTAACATGCACAACTCCTGCCCCGCCGTGCCAACCGTCAACTTGTCAAGGAACAAGAGGCAGGGTCAGGCGGGATTGAACGCATGGCAGGCGATCTCCTCCCTCTTGACGACTGGCAATGAAGCCTTCGCTGTTACAGGCACCATGGACCGCGACGCCATCACTGCATTTATCGCTTCTCACATCCCGTCCGAGGGGCGAGTTGCGCCAGGTGCGGCTTCCGGGCCGGCATCAGCGCCGTTCCGGTCGGATGCCGCCAACGGATCTCAAGTTTTACGCAGTGTTAAGAAAGGGGAAAAGTGGTATGTTCTCCTTTTGTGTGCAAATCGAGAAGAGATCGCTGAGTTGCGATTTCAGGGATGCCGACACTTTCAGGGAACACATCCAAGATGTCGTGAACATGATCCAGTCCGTCATGGCGCCCCAGGAGGGCCAAGGCAGCCTCTCAGCTGTGGACGCAAAGACGCGAGACCTCTTCCCCTTCGTGGTCTGTCGTTGCCGCCACAACCTCCTAGCCCGTGTGAACGACGGCGGCAAGATGTGGGGCCTTGCGACGCACCCGATGACCTATATCCACGAGCAGCTCGAAACGAGTGCAACTCGCGGCTCGATCCCCGATCAGACCTTCGTCCTGCTTCCAAACGCGCTGCGGTCGACCTTCGAACGCGAAGAGATCCCTCCCGCCCAGCGTCCCGCGCTGACTACGACTCTTACGAGGTCACGGCTGACAACCTCTTAGCATGGGCCAAGCTCTTCAAATACAGCGTCGACACCATACAGACGACCCTCGAGGAGTTGGTGGCGCGCTCGGAGGTGAAAGCGAAGCGGCGCAAGACCGAGACGCTGGAAGAGCGCAAGACCAGGGTGCTGGAGGCGCTCAAGAAGGTTTCCGATCTGTATGACGCGATGCAGCTGCTGAAGCGCCTCCTCGACAGCAAGGTACTCGAGTTTCTCCTCACTCCTGCCATCCAGAGGAAGTTGGGTGAGATGCGCAAAGGGATATCCACGGCGAGGTGTTCCCGTGTGGAAGGTACATGCTCATTCCATTCACGTGGCACAAACTACTGCCTCGAACTGATTCCCATCAGCGCTCGTCATGGAGGCCTCCGGACGCAAATCCGAAATTGGAGGTGGGCATATCTGGTCCAATGTTTGCGCCATGTGTTGCTGACCACCAGCTCGTTTCGGTCGCGACGGCAGGCGATGTAGAGGAGGAAGAGGGTATGTGTCGCGATGCATGCTTTTCGTTCCTACAACTTCAAGTTAATTGCTGACGTATGCAGCGTTTCTTGATGACGGCGATGGGGACGACGACTGTCTTGCCCGATACCTGAAGAGCCTCCTCGTGCCCCTCGACATCGTGACCGCCATAGTCTTTTTGCCGACACCATCCCACCCTCCCCGCGTGTCTGCTATCTATGTCGACGACGGACCCCTGGAGCCGTTGGATGCCCGGCCCTTTGTTGACGACGTTCTCAAGGTGATCCAAGATGTCTTGCAGGAGAAGAAAATCAACGTCCCTGCGGCAGAACTCCAGAAGGCGCTGGACACTGCGGTCGGGAAGGTCAACGAAGCAAGCGTGCACGCGGAGGCTAAGCTCATGGCCCGGGCGTTGTCTGCGCATGCAGCGAAAGACGCACCCCTCGAGGGGCATGGAACGTCGGCGGAGACGTTGGACTTGATGAAAAGTGTATTCAAGGTACGATCTGGCGCTGTCGGCGCCGCTCGCCGCTCACTTGCCGTTGTTCACAGGACGACACGATCGCTATGGGCGTCAGCCAAAAGTGCTGCTACTGCTGCCATCTCCTCGCTCAGCTCATCGCCGAACGTCAATCCGACAGAGTGCAGTTCGTCCTCCCGGGCACCCGCTCCGCCGTTCTTCCTTGGTACCCTCCGGATGGACTTCCCATCGACGTCCTCAAGCGCATGAGGGACGAGCTTTACGATGCGGTGAGGGAGAGGGTGGCGGACGCCACGTTCGTTCCCGGCTCGACGCAGACGATACCACTGCACCTCGACTTCGACCTCCCTGAGCAAGGTGATGCCTCATGGTTGAGCGCCGACTAGACGACACGACTGCACTACAGCTCTGGCTTCCGTATGGAAGGTGATGCCTCGTGGTCGAAGCCCACACGGCCGCGACAAAGTAACATACGTTGTCGGATCCCACTGTCCATTTCGAATGTTCACACCTTGACCCGCCGCACTTCGTACCGGACGCGCTCCGCGTCCCGGACGAGCACCACCACGCGCCCCGCCCCGTCCTCCCAGTGGTCGAGCCGGCGGAGACGCGGGCAGCGCCACGCGAGCACGCTCGCCACCTCGTCGTTCTTCCGCGTCCGCGACCGGTCCGAGAGCGAGAGCCCGGGCGCGGCTGCGTCGGTGTGCGCGACGGCGTGGAAGAAGCGCACCCCGTGGAGCGTCGTGAGCTCCGGTATCTGCTGCAACACTGTCGTCCATTCGGCCTGGTGGGAGACGGCGCGGGTGAGCACAGCGGAGAGAAGAGGCAGCGAAGGCACGCACCGCGTTCGCGACGACGTGCGCCGCCTTCACGCCCACACTTGCACCTGCGGCGCCCGTTTGTGCTTGAGCAGGCCCGCGACGGCCGACGTCCAGCCAGGTGAGCTTCGGCACGCACTCCGCGAGCCGCCGGACGTCCTCCAGATCGTTCCAGCCCGCGAGCTCGACGCGACGGACGCTCTGCCCGTGCACGCGCAACGCGTCCAGGAACGGGCGGTCGCGCGCAGGGCCGGTGAGACGCACGCCCTTCACGGTCTCCAGCGGGCGCGTCGGCCCCTCGGGGTCGCATGTGAGCGGGCAGGAGAGGACCGCGGCGGCGACGTCGCGCGGTGCTTTGAGCTCCTTGAGGCGCGGCAGGGAGCCCACGGGGAGCTTCAGCCGCGCCGCTGCGCCGCCGTCGGGACCGGCGTTCGCGTTCGCGGGGGCCTGACCGAAGGCGATGTCGAGGTGGAGGACTTCGAGCGCGGGGTGCGCGGCCAGGAACGCCGCGGCGGCGTCGAGGCCGGTGCCGGGCGAGCAGGCGAGGGCCGAGAGCGTGAGGGAACGCAGCGCGGCCCAGCGACCGCAGAGCAGCAGGTCGTCCGCGACGGGTGGGACGAAGCCGGGCGCGTTGCGCGAGACGTGGCTGATGTCGAGGGTCTGTGTGCGCGTGAGCCAAGGAGTTCGCCTGATTTACACGCGTGACAAAGTACACACCTGGAGGTTGGGGCACTGGTGCAGCATCGCAGCGATCCGGGCGAGGTCCGGAACCTTGGCCGCACCAAACGCGGACTTTGTGCCGCGCAAGGCAACGGTCTTGAGCCCGTGAAGCTGCGACACCGCGCCCGACTCAGGCCTCAGCCCTCGCACGAGCGACGAACCCACGGACTCACCACGACCTGCTTCGCCTTCTTCCGCGCCTGCCCGTCCACGTCCTCCTCATCCTCGCTCGACTCCCCCGACTCCGCGCCAATGCCCGGGGCAAGGAACACCGCGTTATCCTCCACCTCCACCTCCTCGAGACTCGCGCATCGCTCGAGTGCAGCCCACACCCTCTCAAACCTGACCAGCGAGTGCGAGCACGCCCACCTTACGCTCCTGAGCGCACCCATCCTCCCCAGCGCCGCGAGAAGCAGCCGCTCCTGCTTCGCATGCAGCCCCAGCTCGTCGCCCGAGCTCTCAAACTCCGTGTCCCGCCCCGCGCCCTTCCCCGCCGCCACCAGCGCGCCCGCGAGCTCGGGCGGGACGACCTCGCGCGCAACCCCCGCGCGCTCGTCGAGGACCTCGAGCCGGCGCACGTTGCGCGCGAGCGCCCTGTTCCCGACGAAGTGCGCCCAGACCCCGAGCGCGCCTGGGCGCGCACGCACGAGCCGGTACTCCCAGTGGCGCGCCCAGACGACGTCCCGCAGGCGCTTGCAGCAGGCGGCGAGGGCGGCGAGGTCCGTGCGGGCGTCGACGTGCCAGGCGATCTGGTCGAGGACCTCGGTCGGGAGGCGGGCGAGGGCGGCGCGGCGCGGGCAAGGGGCGAGCCCGACGAAGGGCTCGACGAGGGTGAGGAGGTGGAGCGCGAGCCGGTGCTCGTCCGCGGAGAGACGGTGGGTGTGCGGCGGCGGGCGGGAGGAGAGCACGCCGAGGAGGGTGCGGAGGGCGTAGAGGGCGGTGAACGGGTCCGTGCGCACGTACGACGCGGGGTTGGGATCGATTGGGCACTGGCACTGGGCGCCGTGTGTACGCGGCTGGGGTTTGCGTGCCGTGCGGTCCTTGACCGGCGGGGAGGGAGCGTGGGGGCTGGTGCTGGCGGTGGTAGGAGGAGGAGGATGTGCGGCGCGCCGCGGGCGGGCGGCGGCACGCGAGAGGGGCGGCATTGAGGTCGAAAGCAAGCTGGGACGGCGGGCGGCGGGACTGATATGAGAGCATCCGCGCGTGGGAGAGCACGAGCTCGGCCGGGCCCGAGTACGAAGACTGGGATGACTCTCGGCCCTCGTGCCTGCCCCTTGCTTTGCCGCCACCGGGCGCGACGACGAGGCCCAACCCGCCGCCCGCCGTGTTCGACAACGCTTCCTCGACTTCAATGATACGCGACATCGAACAAGATAGCACGATATTTGAGGAACTTCAATTTTCCGAGAGAGGTTAGCACGGAATCGTTGGGCAGTGATTCGTCTCGCATCCAGTGTACAGACCGCGAATTGCCGGGGTCTACTGTTCACACTATGTAGGAGTTATACATTATATGGACCCACATGGACCAATGGAACATCGAATGCTATGCAGTAGATCCTACCATTCAAAATCTTCGGCTGGGTCGGCCCATCATACAATTGGATGCGAAGTCACCCTCTCCTTCTTCCCATGCGGCTCTTACCTCCCCCTCTTCCAGAGTGGGACACGATGGTCGCTCACTGGTACATGTATGAGCAGGCTCCGTGCTGTCCTCGCCGGTGTATCTTGTACGGTGCTTCCGGAAACTCGAGTCTCGACCCAGGCCTCTGGCACTGAGTCATGCACAGTGTTCATGCACATGTTTGGTGGTAGACGCTGGATGTGATGCGTGGTTTGGGGAGCGGAGCACAGGCGGTGCAGGACGGCGCGACGCGGGATGACGGACGTGTTGAGAAGGATGTCTACGCTCATCGACTTGAACATCCGCAAAGACGTGAACACACCGAACCTGACTCTTCTGCATCGCTACGCCTATCACAGGCCGGGCCGGCATTCGAGCAAACCTTCTGCACGCGGGTTCGACGTGAATCATATGTTTGTATACCTCAACCTGACAGATACCCCCAAGGTACAGTACGACTATTAGCCCGGATAGACACAAATAATACACGACCACGTAAATTCTAGTTGGCAGGCGCCAGACAGCGGTCCGCAGACAGGTTCAGGTCGTTGCCCCACCACTCGGGGAACGGATGCGGGGTGCCGCTCGCGCCAAAGACGGCAAAGTTGAGGATGAAGGAGATGACCTGCGTGCCGCCGTCGAGCGCGGCGGCGACGATGTAGCTGCGGGGCGCGCGTCAGAGAGAGAGGCGAAAAAAGCGAAAAGGGGGGACGGATGCGCACTTGTACTTGGTGAACCAGCGCGGGTAGCGCGTGCGCACCCACCACTGCGAGAAGATGCCGATCACCATGCCCGCGTTCACCTGCGTGTTGACGCCCACGGAGAGCACGCACGAGTACTGGAGGATGATCGGCGTGCTGAAGTTCTCGAACCCGGCCTTCGGCCAGATGTACCACGCCGCGATGAACGGCAGCGGGAGGAAGACGCCGATCGCGAGGCAGATCGGGACCATGTGGTACACGCCCTGCGCGCCGAACATCTGCGGCCCGAGCCCGCCCCACGAGATCCCGTTCGTGTTGAACGACTGCGCGTTCTGGCCGGACCAGAGGCGCGTGCCGGAGATGGAGAGAAGCGCCGCGCGGTTCGCGTTGATGATCGACACCATCATCACGTCTGGCGGGGAGCAGGTCAATGTGAGAAAGAAGGAGGAAGGGCGAGGGACGTACAGTTGAGGACGGCACCGACGACGGTGCCAAAAATCTGCATCGTGAAGGTCACGCGTGGTGGGAGCTTGGTGTACTGGCCAAGTTTGAGGTCCTGGAGCATCGCGATACACTGGCCTTGCGGGTGCTGCCCGTACAGCGCACCGTACATGTTCGCGATCGGGTTGCCCGGGACGAGGTAGGAGACGATCATCTGGTAGAAGCCGTTCGCGGACGTCGTGAACTCGGAGAAGCCAATCGTGGCCGCGAGGATGGCGAAGAGGAGCGAGAGCGTGAGCGAGATGAGGAGCAGGATCGTCAACGCCCACCACGGCAAGCCGGATTGGCCCTCATAGTTGGTCGATTGGGCGATTGCGTACGCGCCGGCCAGCAGCACGAAGTACCACCAACGCGGGATCGCCTTGTAGACCTTCATCTTCTCGTAGTGTGCATCGTGAACCACAAACTCCTCCATGTTCCACGGGTTGAACGTCTTTAGGAACGGCTTGATGTCCCTCCAGTTCCAGAAGAAGACGTGCGTGAAAGTTGCCCCGAGCGAAAGGTTGGAGGTCATGAAGTAGAGCGCGTTCGTGGCGGAGAAGAAAGCGGGCTGTATGCAAGAGGTGAGATTCCAACTGATCGCAGATGGCGCGAGAGGCCTACGTACGCCAAGCTGTTCGTACTTGACGGGGTCAAACTTGCCGTTGGTCAGCAACGCAGTCTGGTTGTATTGTGATCCGTCTGCCGCCTGAGGGTGATGAAGTGTGAGCAGATGAGATATTCGAAGATATAAGCGTGACGTACGAAGATCGCCTGGGACATGAAGGGGAAGTCCTTCGCCCTCCACAGGTTGCCGTAGTACACACTCGCCATTAGGATGTACGTCAAGAAGATGCCGATGTCCTGGTTGATCTGCAGCCACAGTGGGCTGAACAGACATCCGCTGCCGATCAAATTCCAGTCAAAGCACCAGGCGAGGAGGCCCATGCCCTCGTTGTTGCTCGCGCCCCCGAATATGTTTCGGAAGACGGGGCTGTGGTTGTTAGCGAGACAGAAAATCGTCACTCCGGTCAAGAGCGGGAAGATCCCTGGCACCGCGAAGTGAGCTGGTGGGTTTGATGGCAAGAATGGAAAGGGGAGCGTACATTGTGGGATGATCTCCCAGACAAACATGACGAGAAAGACCGTCCAGAAGAGACGCACGCGCTTCGAGGTCATCTGGTTGTCATAGTGCAGCGCTTGAAAGAGGTTCGCGGTCGAGACTGCGTGCGAGGTCAGATCATGGTGTAACGTCGCTGAGAGGGAGACGCACTCGTGGACGGCCAGAAACACTTGGTGGGACGAACGAGCAAGTCCTGCAACAGACCAGCGTAACCGTACCCTAGGAGCTGGGAGCCAATAAGCGTGAATATAGCGAGGCCAGGGTTGAGCGTGTTGTTGTAGTACACTGTTCCACGCTGTTGTCAGGTGATAGCTACATAAATGTCGAGCTACTCACAGTCCTGGACGGAGATGACTTGGATGGCCGTCGCAGAGGTCGCCGCGGTAGAGGACATGATGATGATAGCGACATGCTCCTTGACTAGGGAGCAACGATTAGAAACTGGGCTGGGTAACAAGAGTACCGGGGACTCACGGTTGAACGGTCCGGGGTTCACAAAACGCCAAATCCCCTTGGACGGTAGCAGCGCCATGAGATTTCCGAACCAGTAAGAGAGTATGAGTAAGAAAAGCGAGGACACCCCGAGCGTCTGGGGCTTGAAGTAGTAGATCTGGGCGAGAACGCTGTATACAAGGTGAGCAGCACGAACAGGCGATCGGAGCGAAACATGAAGACGTACGCGCCAAACGCGGAGAACCCCAGTCCGAGGAAGAATGTGCGGAACGTGAGCGCCTGGAGTTCAGGCTCGTCGTGCGTCGATAGCACCTGGCATGGGAGGATGAGATGAGCGGCACGAGCGGAGGTGGGGGCGAGCAGCAGTGGGCGCGGACCTTAACGGCGACCTCGTATGCCTCCTGCACGAGGTATTCCTCTTCCGCGGCCTCGTTCCGCTGGGGTCGATCCTCGAACTCCTCGACCTCACGCGCCATCTGCGCGTCATCCGTCTCGGACTCGGTCGCATGGCTTGCTGCAGCCTTCTCGAGCTCAACGCTGGATTGGAGCCAATCTTGCTTCGAGTCTTCACTCGAGAACCCGGTAGTCTTCGTCGCGGGGTCGGCCATGGTGAGGAGGACGGGAGCATAGGGTCAGTCGGGCAGAATCCTGGTTGCATGGTTTATAGCGGCTGCCCGTATGGTCAGCCGCAATGGCTGGCATCACCGCGGCTGACAGGCGCACAGTTATTGTGGATGCGAGAGGGACGTGTCGCATCTTCTCGTAGGTATTGTGAGGGCCGCAATCGTTATTTCTCCGGGCGGAGAGGGTCGTCCATGTGCACCTGTGCAACTAAAGTCATCCTCAAGCCGCCGACACTGTGAGAGCCCCCGATGAAACCGCTCTTGCGCCATCCTCTGTTTGAAATATCCGCAGTGGCCCAAAGATACAACAACTTAAGGTGACGAGTACTTCAAGGTCGTTGAATGGGTGTATGCCAGAAGCAAAGTAGTGGAGAAGACGCACCTAGGGGGAATCACGCCCCCGAACCCCTTCCCAATTCTCCGAGGTGTTCAATGGACGCCTTCAAGTCCTCCGCGCTCCCCACACCATACGCCCTCGCCGCCGCCGCCGCGACCTCTGCCCGCCCCTCCCCGAACACCTTTGCGGAGCCCCTTGCTTCCCTGTTGCCTCCCTCCTCGCGGGCGCGCTCCTTCGCGTGCTCCATGAGCTGCTCGACCGCCCAGGCGAGGTATCCGGTCTGGCTGGTCTCCCACGGCCGCTTGCCCGGCTCGGTAACTGGATGCGTCGGCTCGAGGGACGCGGGGTCGAGCGGTGGGAGGGCGGAAACGGACGCATGCATCGACTGTAGGGAGGCGGGGAGGGAGAGGAGGGTCTCCATTTGCGGGGAGCGGAGGAAGGCGAGGCGGGCGAGGCGAGATTGGGCGCGCGTGAGGTCTGTCGAGGAGCGGTGGATTGCGCGGGTAAAAAGGCGCTTGAGCTTGCGTTGCTGTCGACGGAATTGAGGGGGCGCTGATGAAGAGAAGAGAAGCAGAATCAGACTCACCGCATGCACCTTTCTTCGCAGCTCATCGATCTCGGCCAGCAGCTCTGCTTCGCGCTCCGGTGGATGTTCTAGGTTGAAACCGGCTTGGTGGGGTACAACGACGGGCAAGTCGGAGGGGATGGCGAAGATGTTGCGCATGGACCATACCTCAAAGAAGTCTAAGGCAACGTCAAGATGGTGTTCGAGCAGTGTTTGAAAGGCAACAAGGCCTTGTTCAATTTCTTGCGTTGGGTCCCAGTCTGGTGCAGATGCGGCCCGAGCATCTGCCCATCGTTGCAGAAACTGTTCCATGGCGTCGATGGACTGGCGCGCCTCATCGTTGGCGGTGTTGATGATGTCGTCCAGTAGAAACTGTGGGATAAAGCCGAGTAGCTCAGGCAACAGGACGGAAGGAACAGTTGGAGGGGGACCAGGAGGTGCGCTCATCACGAGGATCGAGAAGGGGCCGAGCGGGAAGAGAGAATGGGTAGAGGAAGATCTAGAGAGACCAGGATGTTGCCGTCCGCTCTCCGCAACGCGTGACGTCACATTCACGTGCATTGTGACATGCCTACTTCTGAAGTTGGATCGGCGTCATGCATGCTCGGGCATAGCATAAAGGAGAACGCTTGTGTAGACGATGTCGATGATACAGACAAGACGGGTGAGTACTTAAGTCTACGTACGACCGCGCCTGTCTGAATCAGTGCGGGGGCACCGGTCGGCGCTTCTGCGGAATCAGCTCCAATATCAAGCGCCCGTTCATGGGCCTGGCGCGGCCACACCTTCGACTGCCTTCAGCTGGTTACTGTCGCTCTACACCTTCGTGCATTTTCTCACGCTGCACAAAATACATAGGTTGAGTCGAAAGATCAAGCGTGTGTGAGTATAGACGGTGGGATAATGGGAGCCGTGCGCAGGAGAACGATAGTGTACCCTGCGTGAACTACGTACGTTGCCACTACTATTGTAGAGCCCACCCTCGTCGACCATAGTTGAGAGCGGTAGAAGAGTGGGAAAAAAAAGGTTACGACAAGCACTGGAGGGCGAAAGAAGGCCTGGAGCCTTTTCAATTCTCAGCACAGTGGATTCCCGACTCGTCGAAGGACAGGATACATGTGGAACGATTAATCGGAGTGACTCCGGAGCGTCTTTCTAGGATGCGGCGCTCTCGGAAGCACACTGCAAGACAGAGGTAAGCACGCCAAGCTGGTTTTATCGAGAGCATTTTCTCACCTCGCCTAAAACCAGTCCGAGCTCTTCGCGCCAGCCTACCATGCCTCCCAGGCCACGGTGCACGCGCTGACGCGCAGCAGGGGTGTTGAGTATAGGACATCCGGTGAACTCGATTAGCCTGGCTTCCTTAGCAGCCTGCAGGGTTTGTTATTGAAAACGTCATGGAATACCGTGCTAAGACTCTTGATGTAGCATCACCACCACGCTCGTGGATGGAGGAGGCTCGGTTGACAACCTCCTGCACCGAACCCGATGAGCGGCGTAAGCAGTCCCAATTTCCAAAGAGCTTCGGGGCCTTCTTACGTGGCTAGCAAACAACGCGAATTCTTTAGCGAACGCTAAATAGTAAGTGATGGAGTCAAGAGTGAGTTAGAAGTACTGACATGGGTCTACGCCGTTGCTACTAGTGCCGACAGAGACAGACAGAGACCAGTCGAAGCGGTGATAACAGCCACTGTAGTCAGATTTTGATAGTTCTTGTACTCAGGTTTTCTTGGCGTATGGATTATGGTGATCCGACGCAGCCCGCACGTCCAAGAGAAGAATACCGCCGCCAAGTTGCTTCAGTGCGGGCGCGGATTCGACCTCGAGAACGATGGGAAAAAACTTCAACGGGACCTGACGGCAACAGCCGAAATTTCACGTGGTAGTTCCTCGACGATGCGCGCCTGCCCCGCGTTATTCTCTTTTACCGAGATACCAATCACCCACAAGATGCGCTCTACTCTCAGTGTCACAGGCCGGTCGCCCGCTGCATATGCGCAGCTCGGAGAAGGTATTGTCACTTCATTCTACACCCATGAGCTCCCAGAATACGCCACCGAATGCCAGCACGAAACGATTCAAGGCTGACTATGGTGCAGTCCATTTGACCACCACTACTTTTGTACAGCGCTTCGGGAGCGCTCAATAAGCACCCAATTTCTTAGTTCTCTAGCCAATCACTACCTTTTCGCTGTCTGAACAAATCCCCAAGAGGGTTTGTCGAAATTCTGAGTTTGAAGGATTTTCATCTCCCCGCTATTGCCACACGTGCTGATGGATGACTAATACAGTCATGTGATGTACTAAGCGCCTCTCTCTAAGACTTCTTTTGTGCAATTGCTACAGTGACGAGTTCAATCTGGACCAGTACACACTCATCAATTTGCTACTGAGCAGAGATAGTACAATTAGATACATAAATAGCGTGACTATCAGTGCTCGCAGGACAATTTGGCAATCTGGGTGATGGCTTCTAGCAGGTTCGTCTCCACCGCACGTCAATGATGATCTCAGACAAGTGAGGCAGAACTGGATATCGCTACAAAAATTTCTCATTTCGTCCAGAAATATATTCTATACATGTGCATGAGCCCATTATTGGCCGTCTTCAGCTTCTGGACTACATTTTCAAGTGTCTCGAAAATCAAGTCTGGCTATTGCCACCACGTGACTGATTATGTAAGCTGTGCGAAAGTAGTGGTGGCCAAATGGACTGCACCATAGAGCTTCCAGTATTGTCAAAGCCAGCATGGACGCCAACATTCACCCCAATCCCCGTCTGACGCCTTCTGATTTTGTCCCACACTCCACGGAGTATATATGTCAGGCACTGAAGCGATGGCTAGCGTGTCTGAAACTGACTGCTCGCGACCATGCTACTGTACAAGCAGCTCCGTGCCATGGTTCCGTCAGTGTCCCACTCCCGCGCTTCACTGTTGTCTACGTCCAGCAGCTTCATCCGGATAGCCCGTCCGCTTTCTAGCTCAAGCATCGAGCGTGACACCGGACCTGTGGGAGTTGCACGCGCGATCGCAGCAGCTACGAACCCCGAGATAAGCACGTCTCGTTCATTGGTGATTGTCTCCGCTGTGTCTGACTATTTTTTCACTAGAGGCTACCTCAACCTTGTTTACTCGCGAGCTAGCGCTCACCGATCGGGTCGCATTCGTCACCGGGGCGAACCGGGGGCTGGGACTCGAAATGGCGATGGCGATGTCAGAGGCAGGAGCCTGAGCGGTATATTGTCTGGATCTCGCAAAGGAGCCTGGAGAAGAGTGGAAGCTCGTTTGTGACTGGTTGAGAAGGATGACCGAGAGCGATGGCAAACAGAGACGCTTCCATTACGTGCAAGGCGACGTCCGCGATCAGGTGGGTCCCGCACGAATGTGAGGCTCGTTACATGCGCGTGTTGACCCCTTCTGCAGGCGAATATGTGGGAAATCGCGAGGGAGATAGGCAACAAAGAGGGGCGATTCGACGTCGGCGTTGCTGCTGCGGGGATTGAGAAGGGCGGTATACCAGCTACGCAGTTTCCGGAGGGTTCGTTTCGAGATGTGAGCGGATACCTTTGCTTGCGATCTCGTACGGAAGCTCACCTCCAATCGTAGGTGATCGATGTCAACCTGAATGGCGTTCTGTACAGCGCTCAGGCTGCAGGGCAGCAGATGGAGCGTTTTGCCAACGGCGGCAGCATCATCCTGATCGCAAGCATTTGCGGTCATATTGCGGTCAAGGTAATCTCTCAATCTGATAGGCTCCCCATCTGCTAATTCAGGTCCAAGCCCATTTATCAAGTTGCATACCACTCGGCGAAGTCTGGAGTGCTCCAAATGGCCAGGACGATGGCGTGCGAACTGGGCTCGCAGAATATCCGAGTCAATTCAATCAGCCCCGGGTTCATCAACACAACGTGAATCGTAGTCCCATCTCATCTTTTTGCCATGAAGACGCTCACAACCCGCGAATAGGATGATTGAAGAGGTGTACCGAGTTCCTGAGCTGCTCCAATACGTCGAGTCGTTGAACCCACTTGGGAGGATCGGGCGGCCTGATGAACTGAGAGGCGTCGCAACGTGGCTCGCTAGCGATGCCAGCTCGTTTTGCACTGGAAGCGAGTGAGTGTTTCGTACGCATACAGGTGGAACCGTGACCCTTATACAGTTCCGTTGCAGCATCAACGTGAGCGGCGGTTCCACGGCATGGTAAACCTTCTTGACACGCCGTCGTGTACCCCGGTTCGTAGCGCTCTCTGTCAATTTTTCAGCCATACCAGACCTGCGTGTATCAATCGGCGCGTGATGTCGACGTAAGGTATTCGTTTCAAAGGGGGTCTCTTCGCGTTGAGTTGAGTTGCTTCCCAGCTCAAGTTGCAGTAAGGTTTCAGTCATGAAAGTACGTGCATTGTGCGCTTCCATCTTTATGGATTCGTCTCAAACGATTGTCCAGTCATCGCATCGTCAACGGGCACAAACATGCGCACGCCTGAACGACACCAGCCACATTACTACCCGCAGCCGCCCCGTCACTAGTGAGATATTAATCCCCTCATGCTTCGTATTTTGTGCTCAGTGGCTGTCCGCCGCATCTACGGTGTGCAGGACACCGGACTCGTTCGTGTTCCCGACAAGAAATCTGCGTGAGATTCTACGACAGCCTGTTTGATGCCGATGAATTGTACTGACTCAGGGTTTCAGTAGACCGCGCCACGCGCACAACACAAGGGTGATCGCGTCGCCGTGCGGCAGATCGTACGACATAAGTTCGACATACCCCACCGCGCGCTTTACTTTCATGACCTGTGCGCGCGCATCAAACAAGGTTCAATGAGCACTGCACGCCAGGTTGCGAATTTGTCCGAAATCGGCGCTCGGAAACGCTCCCTCTGCAGGGAGCCTCCGGTCTCCCAGGCGTCGGATGCTAATGTGTCTAGGAAAAGCTTCACGACCACCGCTTCCACCCCTCACCGATGTCACAGTCTTATCCACGCCAAATGCCCGGCTAGGGATGCTGCGCGAGAGCTCTGAACCCTGGGCCACCGTTCATGGAAAAGGAAGCTGCGTGATGGTGCGGAGGGTGAGTGGACGGAGAGTGTCGGACGCATGTAAAATGCTCACCATTCGCGCTCTAGGCCCCCAGCTTACGAGCGAAGTACTACTATCCCCTATGCCACGCCTCAACTCCTTCCTCAAAGCCGCTCTCTCAACTCTTTGCCTGTCGCAAGTGACGAAAGCCCAGCCCGACGCTACTGTGCAGCTCGACAACGCGACGGTTATAGGTGTCCCCAACGTCAACTTCGTCACCTTCTTTGGCATTCCTTTCGCTCTACCACCGTGAGTCCTTATTCCTTGGTAGGACCTGACCTCTAGGATGATGTTTCTCTAACGAGCTGCTTCGCAGTGTTGGAGATCTCCGGCTTCAGATTCCCTGGCCGAATGCACCATACACGGGCACAATCAACGCGACCTCGCCAGGCACGCAGTGCTGGCAGAAGATGACCACGCCCCCAAAGCTCCCGCCTTCCGCTCCACCTGCTGTCGGCGTGTTCTTGCAGGAGATCACGACAACGAGCTCACAAGTGCAGAGCGAAGATTGTGAGTGGTCGCTATTCTGGATGATGCGTAACGTTGATGACACGGCCATCGTGCAGGCTTGAACTTGAACGTGATCATCCCTGTGGGGCGAAGGAAGGAGACAACCTCCCTGTCGCAGCGGTGATTTTTCTGACATATATTCCTAAATAAAAGTCTCTGACAGAGTATATGATGGATCCGCAGTGGATCTTTGGAGGAGGAAACGAGTTCGGATCGAATCTGCAGTGAGCAGTACAGCACACAAATGTTGCGCGTTGCTGACGGATCTTAGGGTGCCTGGCGAAAACGTCGTCAACCGGTCTGTGTTGATAGAGAAGCCTATCATATTCGTATCCATGAACTATCGGTACGACTCCGCAGCTGTGTCACTCGAAAGACCGTGTTGACGGAAATTGAACGTGCAGCCTCAACGGGTTTGGGTTCCTCGGAGGACGAGAGGTTCAGGAGGCGGGTGTCGGCAATCTAGGTCTTCACGATCGTTCGTACGGATAACTCGTCATGAATTCCCCCTATTGACGGCCTTGTTTGAAGAGCGCGAGGCTTTGCGCTGGATTCAGAAGTACATCCGGAAGTTCGGGGGTGACCCCACAAAGGTCACCATGTGCGTACTTTGTTCCCGTTTACCTGCACGCAATCTACTCACATCGCATCTTGTTTCCATATAGCTGGGGCGAGAGCGCGGGTGGAGAAGGTGTCGCCATGCAGATGCTCGCAAACGACGGCGACTCCGAAGGCCTCTTCCGTGGCGCATGGATGGAGTCTGGATCCACAACGTTTACAGGCGACTTCGCTCAAGATCTGCAGCCCAACTTCGACACCATTGTTCAAAACACCGGATGTGCCAATCAGATGAACAAGCTCATGTGCTTGAGAAGTGTCGACGTCAACACGCTGGTGCAAGCAATTAGCGACACGGAGGGTTTCTTGAGTTTCTCGGTGAAGATCTGAGCTCGCTATGGGAACTATCGGCGACCAACTAAGAATTTTACTCAGGCTATCGCCTCTCCCTACGCCGCTGTGCGTGCAGACGGAAAATTCGTCAAGAAGCCTCCCCAGAAACTCGTCCTTTCTGGGAGCATCGCGAACGTCCCCTTCGTGCTCGGCTCAAACCAAGACGAAGGGACACTCTTCTCTGTCTCTTCGCTCAACCTCACGTGCGTTTCCATTCTCTCGAGTTGTAGCCACTCTCGCTCACCCGGCTCTCCGTTCTCAATCCACAGCACCGAGGCTCAGGCGCAGGCGTACATCCACGGCAACTACTACTCCAAAATCCCCCAGGCGAAGATAGCCGAGCTCTTCAGACTCTACCCCGCCGACCCCGCCGCGGGCTCGCCGTTCAGGACGGGCCACAACTTCACGATCACGCCCGTATACAAACAGATATCCGCCTTCCAAGGTGATCTCCTCGTCAACAGCCCGCGCCGGTTCCTGCTCAACCGGCGTGGGGAGAAGCAGGGCGCGTGGACGTTTTGTGAGCGCACTTGGGCGATCTCTGAGCATGCAGGCGCTGATCTCACCAAGTGAGCGAGCGCAGCAAGATCCCCGGTCTCGGCGCGGTGAGTACCACTCGTGCGCTACACCCAGAGTCACACATGCTGACTTCATAACGATTCGCACTATGCAGGCGCACACTACGGAGGTGCCGATCATCTACGGCGGCGGCGACCTCACGGATTACCTGATCCGCTTCGTCAATGACCTCGACCCAAACGGGGCGGAGAACAGCAGCGCGATGTACTGGCCGAAGTGGACGAAGCACGAGCGGAGCTCACTCACGCTTCTCGACGGTAATGTGACGCTGGTGGTGCAGCTGGACACGTTCAGGGAGGAGGCGATCGAGCTCGTGACCGAGTTGAGCTTCACGCAGAATGCGTGAGCGCGATCTCGTACGTCTTGACGAACTTCTTGGTCCATTCTCGACGGCTTACGAGCCTTTTCCTTGACGCGCACAGGCCAAGCTGTCTTCAGAGGACAACAATGGAGAGGCAAAGAACGATGCGCCGAGGTTGTCTTTCTACACTTTTCTAAGCATTTTCGTCCACAATATAAAGGTCTGTACAGAATGCATCTACTTTTACTTGGCCGGTGTACCATAAGGGCGCCCAATGCAATGCTTTGTAGAAGGGTATGAATGACGAGAAGACGTCGATGTTATGCCTGAACCTCAGCTTGCCCGTCCGAAGTTGACGGGAAAAATAAATGAAAATTCTTCTTGACGAGAGTGGGATTCGAACCCACGCCCTTTCGGACCAGATCCTTAGTCTGGCGCCTTAGACCGCTCGGCCATCTCGCCATGTAACGCCCTAATCTTTGTAAGTATATATAACCAGTTCTCCGCGGCAAGCCAAGAACGCTGGCTACACAGCGCACACTGGTCGTTGCTCTCCTCCACCACGCCCCGCCCGCCGCCTTCCCTGATGGACAAGCAACCCATCTCCGCGTTTTGGCACGGGTTCGCGCGGAAGAACGAGGGAAGGTGCAGCACGACAAGTAAAACGCCTACGACTCGCCTCTTCCCTGCGACATTGCAACAAATCATTGGTCGACTCTACAACAGATTTCGACGGCGTCCGGCGGGCGATGAACGGGTCGCACTCTGTTATGGTTTGCTCCTGAAGTTTCCGCATAAGTGTGGATTCGCGCTGCGACGTGCGGCAGGGTCTCGTTATGCGCGAGCCCCGGGCTGGCTTTGCTCGGAACACGGAGTACCTCGAGCCCGCTTCTCCGCAAGTCACCAGGCTGGAATACGGGGACTTTGACCCCCCTATCGTCCAGGATTTTACTGGTCAGAAAGTTTGTGGCGCATGGCGGCGGCTCCGACAGCTCTGCAGGCACCTCGAAGTGCTGGCCGACCTAAATCCCCCTCCCGCGGCATGCTCGCGCTCGACGTGGATATGCAGGCGGGGGGCGCCGCAGCGTCTGCGGCGTGCGCGACCTGACGCCAACTTCGCGCGACTGCAGATGCCACAGGCCACTTCAGTGGTTTACTCCCGCTCTCCGAGGCGAGACCCACTTCGCTGTGTGTTCCCATCTTCCGAAGGGCCTCACCGAGGGCGGGGCCGTCCTGGTGCGTCTCGTATCGCTACGTATGTCTGCGCATAGGTCGCCGATGCACGTCTCTCGCTCGGGCGCACACCGGATCGAGGTGCGCAAACTGCTTGCACGGTCCCGCCTCACGTTCTTCGTCTTCCGCGTCGCCCGCGAGCTCTTGCCGTCCCTACTGCATTGTCACCGCGTCGCGGGCGAGGCGCTCTTCGAGGGTGCCCGAGACGCCGACGATGGTGCCGAATGAGGGCGGCTGGTGTGGACTTTGAGTGCTCGCTCGTGTACAACATCCGCGCCTTAACGCGAACGCTCCGCGTTACCTGCACCCCATCAGCGCGGCGAGATGTCTCCGTGGTGTGAGTTCTCGAGGTGGACACCGACGATGTCTGCAGATACGCCCGCACGAGGAAGACCCCGACATGACGTCACCGCCTACGTGCAATACCGGCACCGAGTATCTACGCTGCGCGGAACGGCGGCATCGCCCCACGCCGCGTACTGTAGAAGAAGCAAGCGTGCACGACTCGATCGCTGCCCCGACTCCGCGCGAGCTCGAAGGCGACCTCTTTCCGCACCTCCGAACGTCCGTCGTCCCTCTCTCCGCGCCCGCGAGCGCTGCTGCAATGCTCCGCTGTGTCTACTTCGCTTGGCCAGCGATCTTCGCCTTCCTCGCTCCCATCTCCTTGGCGTCCGCTGCGGCCCTCTCCCGCGTCCAGGTGAGTGCGCCCGAGTCTTCATGTGGTTCGACGTCCACTGATGGACACTTGCTGGCGAAGCGCGACACGAGCGGAGTGTTCGTGTGCATTGATATCGACTGGGGTGGCGATTGCACGACGATCCACACGCCGCTTAACCAGTGCATGCAGTTCGACGAGCAGTTCTCAAAGCAGGTTTCGAGTATGCGCAGCTTAGACGAGTGCGTATGGTGTCATGGTGGGTGTTTCCGGCTTACACTGCTTCGGAGACATTCAACGCTGAATCATCTGCGACAGGGTACTCGTGGGTTCTTCTTCTTTTACGCCACAGCACCACAGCGCTCACTATGAGGTGAAGACAGACCGACTGCGACGACCCCTCGCTGTGGATGTTCGACTCAACCGGACACAGCGACGGCGGGATCCCCGACGTTCCCGAGGGCCAAGGGGGCCCGACGGTAGATCAGCTCGAGCTCGACTTCAACGACCAGATGACGGCGTTCGAGTGCTGGAATATTTGTTGAGGGGAAGAATGATACCTATTTGTAACACACATGTACCAGTATATGCCCCGCTAGTAAGCCATTGTCGCCATTCAATGTGTCTTGTAAAGTCGATCAAAGCACAGGAGTCGGAGGCTCGGTGGCGTTGAGTTAGGAGCGACGAACGGATCGACTCGGGACGGTGGACACCGCTCAAATCAACATATGTGGACGGAGGCGGTTGGGGTCTCTTGTTTGGGTCAACATTTATATTCCGTGCACTTGGTGCAGGTACGGTACATGGGCTCACATAGGTGTTATGCTGGTTGCAGCATCTAAGGCCCTTCAAGACGCGTCATCGCGTCGCGGTTGGCCAGGTCTAGTGGTCTGCAGGAGTTCGTGAGATCGAGAGAATTTCGTATTACATATCTTAATTGATGAGGGTTTAGTTCATGGCCCAATGGTCTAGAAGTATGATACTTGCTTTGGGAGCCATGTGCTTCCATCACGTGACCTAACTGCAAGGGGTCCCGGGTTCAATTCCCGGTTGGGCCCATTTTTATTCGGCGTCATTCCCATGTTGCACCTCTACCTTTCGTCTACTAAGCTGGGGATATCGAAGTGATGGTCGCTCTTTTTTTTTTTTTTGAAGAGCCACAATGGATACGCGACTGTCTGGGGCTATGGAGGCTGCGCCGCCTGTGCCCGCAACCTGCGCCCTCGCTCGTCGTTCGGTTCCTATCGCTCCGGCCTGCACACCTCTCTGCAGCCCGAACCCTTCCCCGCTATCGCGGGTAGGAAGGGTTTGGGGCGCGGAGAGGTGTCCGTACCTCCGCTCTGGGAATACCGCTCAGGCTATGGTCCCGGGTACAATTCCCGGTCAATGTCTTCCCCCTCTAAGTACTTGCACGATGCACCCTGCTTGACTGGCTTCTGTCATTGTTCCCATGGCCGTTTTTTCTTGTCGGTCCAAATGACGACGCTCGGAGACAGACGGCGGTGCTCCAGATTGCAGAGCCATATGTTTCGCGAAGGACCTACGCTTGTCCATCTTCTCGCTGTATCTTTCGTCTGCGCTTTGAGTTCACCTCAGGACGATCCTGTGTAATATCTGCACGTAGATCGAGCATCGGCAGGCGTCACTTCGAGCATCTAACACAATGGGGCGTGCGGGATTCGAACGGGCGGACTAGGACCTCCTCCCTAAACTCTTCAGCTGTCAAAACCTGTCATTCGGACCCCACCGCGTCATCATTTTGGGGAGCATACAAGACGGCTAGACCACCCTCGACCCACTCGCGGCTTTTCCTCTCAACCCCCTCCCTAGCAAGCCCTCGTCCTCATGTCGGACCAACCTGAACAGCGCACGCAATCACCTCAGCCCGAAGTATGTCACCGTTGTATTCCTTCCAGCACTCTTCTCACATGAAGTCGTTCCTCTACATTCGCCGGTCTCGAAGCCTGCCCCGAAGTTGTCGGCGGACGAACCCCGCTCGATGCCGGTGTCCAACGTCGACGACCGCGACTATCGGGCATGTATGGAAGAACAAAGCCAACTTGAGCAGGAATTGAAGTCCCTGATTGAAGCGGAGATGGAGCGCACAGGTCAGACGGTCGAGCAAGTCCTGTTTGACATCTTGGAGCAGTCAAAGCTTGACTTCATGGAGGAAGAAGCTGCCGGAGCATCGTGGACGGTGCGTGTCCGCGCGTATTTTCTGTCGTGCGCGTTTCCATCTGTGATACAGGGCCCTCGTCGTGCGGATTGACGGGAGATCGTGAGCGCAGTGGTGCCGCCAAATCGTCCTTCGTGCATCCGAAGATGGCCGCAAAAAACAATGCTTCTCGCCACGTGTACATCAACCCTGCCGTGCGTTCTTGTCGTCCCCGGGTGGTCTACTAGCCACTAGACCGATTACAATAGCACCCCATCTTATTCCCATTTCCCGACACGGTACACTGCGGGGTGCACGGTCCGTTCTGGGCAGGCGAGTGCCATCTTCAGCTCTCCGAAGACGTCGGTAGCCTCGCGCGGCGCACATCTCACCCTGATGGCGACCAGCTGCAGCTGGGCAGGCGAGGGTGCGGGACGGCGAGCGCGGCGCGGAGAGTGGGGGGTGTATGCCGCTCGTCGGCAAGCGCGGCTGCTGAGGTCTGCGCGAGCATCGCGGGGAGAGCAGGCGGGTGTGGGACTCGCGGAGGGGTTTCAGCTGGCGTGATCGACCTCAGGGCCGTGGGCGCAGTGGTTTAGGACTACGCTTGGACCGAGTATGGGGTCGAGCGCGCCGCCCGATGAGACGTCCGGGACGTGCAGAAGAGGGATATCAGAGGTGGGATGAAGGGGAAGAGAAGAGAGCGCGCGGGCGGTGCCGGACGATGGGGAAAGCGACGCGCAAAGGCGGAGGAGATCGCAGTGTGGGGCTCATGAACCACGTTTTGCCGCCTTGCTCCGGCCCTTGACCGGACCCAGTCAATCATGTTATCCCGAAGAAAGGTGCGGCCGCCTGACTTTGGATCTGGGGATGGATCAACCCCATGAACATGGCTCGCGCGCAGGGAAAGAGAGCGATTGAATTGGGCAGCATCGAGACTTCGCTGCGAGAGTTTCGCTTCAAGTGCGAAGACTTCGACGGGCTCTTCCGTTTGGGAAAACAATAAAACAAGTAGACCGAGACGCGGAGGAAGGCCGCCTAGGACGATGGACCCACCTCAAGTTACAATATTACAACCTTACATCGGGCTACGCGGCTACACAGACGCCCCCTCCATGCACTCTCACCACGCAGTGTGCCCTCCGCAAACATGTATACTGGCAAGGCACGGGCCGTAAGCAGACGTTCACGCACCAGGGCAAGGCGAGAAAGACGGAGACTCACTCGCTCCCGGTCACGAACGACGCCGCGTCGCTCGCGAGCCACACCGCGGCCCCGCGCAGCTCGTCTGGGCGCGCGATGCGCCCCATCGGGTTCCCGTTCACCGCCGCCGCGTGCAGCGTCGGGTTGTCGTCGAGCAGCGCCGTCAGCCTGTCGCGCCGCACGCTGCGTCAGCGGCCCGCAGAACGCAGCGAACGAAGGGACGGGACGCACGAAGTCTTGATCCACGCGGGGCTGATGCTGTTCACGCGGATGCGCTTCGGCGCGAGCTCGCACGCCATGCTGCGCGCGAGCTGCACTTGCCCCGCCTTTGAGGCTGTGTACGCGACCGTGCAGAACGCCGGCTTCGGGTCGCGCGCGCGGTGAGGCGAGGGTGAGCGGTGGGTGAACTGGCGCGAGAACCGCGGAGAGCGAGACGGGTGCGCACCTCGATCGCGACGCTGGCCGCGACGCTCGCGATGAAGATGATGCTGCCCCCGGTGCCGAAGCGCTCCATCTGCTGCCCGCACGCCTGAGCGGCGAAGAGCGTCCCCTTCAGGTTCACGTCGATTGTCTGGCGCGCGGGGGCAGGTGAACGAGCCGGCGGACGGCGCGCTGGGAGCGATACGCACCTTGTCGAACTCGGGCTGGGGGTGTGTGAGAGACGGAAAGAGCCCTGCGACGATCCCCGCGTTCGCGACGCAGATGTCGAGCCGGCCCTCGGCGTCCCCGATCGTCCCGGCGAGCGTCCACATCGCTTTCTGTGTGGGCCGCCCCGGGCCCGGCAGTGTGAGATCGCGGAGAGGCAGAGGCGGAGGCGGAGGCGGAGGCGGAGGGAAAAGGGGACAAGGGGGCACACCTGGTCCGTCACGTCCTGGCACACGTACTCGAGCCGGCCGAGCCCTCCGATGCGCGCGAGGTAATTCTGCACCGCGGCGAAGGTCGCGCTCGGCGCGGGCGCGAGGTCGACGCAGAAGACGACGCGCGCGCCGGCCTCGATGAGCGCCATGGAGATGTCGAGGCCGATCCCACCGTTGGCGCCGGTGACGAGGGCGACGCGGTCGGTGAGCGCGAATTCGTACTTGAAGAGCGTCGCTTCAGGCTCTGGAGTCACGCCGGAAGGTGAGCAAAGGGTGGATAGGGGAGGGAGTGGATGCGCACTGATTGCTGAATCGGTCGACGCGGCGAGGGCGCGCGCGACGCCGACGGGGTGGTAGGGAGGGAGAGCGTCGGGCATGGTACGGCGGCAGGAGAGTGGGGGGCTTGAAAGGCTCTGCGATGTCAATATATCTGTCGCGGCGTGATGCAGCTCCGAATCGCGAAAGCCAACGAGAGACGCCCAGAGACTGCGCGAACTTCGAAGAGCAGCAGGAATTCCCAGGGTAACGAGCACAACGAATAGGTCCCGTCCGCCGGATCCTACCAGATCGTCCTGAAGCACATGGATCCTGCCGACTCCAGCATGGAACCTGTTGGCGAGCTCACTGCGGCCATCCAACCTATGCTTGGGAGCAGCCACGTGAGAGTCAAGACGGCATACTTACATAGGCACCATCCTCATGCATCCTCAATCTCGGCAGGGACCACCTCTAGTACTTCCGGGACCCCAATTGCTGTGTGCGAGCCCCTCCTTCCACACCTGCCGCCACCCAGATGCCACTGAGAGGCTGGCACCGGCGAGTGACACCGGGTGGACGAGTACACGCGAAGACGTCGAGTCTCGTAGTAAAAGCCGGCGCGTCCGCTGCGGTGTGCTCCGTCGTCGACGTTGAGCCACGGGACGCGCCGAGCCGGAATGTAAAGGCCCGTCAAAATCTCGAGGCGTCCGCATAGATGCAGTAGACATGTACACGCGCCGATTGCTTCGCCGTCTTGAAAACCGGAAGTCTCTGGAATTTCGTCGTCGAACTGGGGATTGGTGACCTCGGGGTTCTCCACTCTTCTTCAGGAAATCCGCAACCACTTCCAGGATGTGCGCCGCAGCGCGAGAGCGCGTAGAGAAGGAAAGTCGAGTGCGTAATGATCTAAGCCCAGTAAGAGACTAGCTCCAGCGAGTGCCGATGAGCTAGTAGCCGATAGTTGCGAGGTCCGTCGGACGGATCGTAGCCGTCAAGCTCGTCTCGGATCTGGGGACCAGGGACACACCCACTTGCAGGATCGATAGGCTTAAGTGATGTGTACACCGACATCGTGCAGGATGCCGAGAAGCGCGTGTCCGTGAGGTCGAGAGGGCGCTTCAAGGGACCAAGGATAGACCGGCTCAGGCGCGGAAGTTTGCATAAGATGATCGATCTTGAGCTCGTGGATGCCTGTCGTATGCTAAAGGACCTGAGAGACACCAGAGTATGGATCTGAAGTGAGGTCGGAGTCGTGCGTGGCACGTAGGCGGGAAGTACGTAGGGCAGGACCAGGCAGAGAATCGTGATCTAAGTCCACTTTTGAGGCTTCAAGATCACAATGGGTGCTTCGGGCTTAAGTTCCAGGGATGACGACCGCTCCTCAGTCTTCAAGTTGCGCATGCTGATGGGTGTAGAACCAGGTGCAGGTGACATCCGCTCGACCTTTGTGAGTTCTGGAACTGTTGGTGCTGAATAGACGGAGGACAGAAGCAAGCTGCAGCCAGCGTCGAACCAGAGAATAGTCACCAGTACGTGCCACGAGAGACAGGAATTGTAAGTTGTCGATTAAGTAGGTGAAAGTTCCACCATTGCACAGAGTCTACATCGTACAAAGTCAAATTGTCGTATGGGCGAGATGGCCGAGCGGTCTAAGGCGCCAGACTAAGGATCTGGTCCGAAAGGGCGTGGGTTCGAATCCCACTCTCGTCAAACTTGATTTTCGACCTTTTTGCGAAAGGCCACTCTCGTCATAAAGAACCTCATCAGTTTTCCGCTCCCGAATCCGACTGTATACTCGGTCTGCCTTGCCGTTGTATAAGTTACTTATCGGTGGTCCTATGCAAGTTGCTTCCGCACCTGCGTAACTTTACAGCTGGCCGACCTCGAGGTTCATGGGCATGTGGGAGAGCAAGCGTCGGCAACGAGCACTGCAAATATGGATCCGTGGTCTGCCGCAGCTGAACGTCGAACGATGGATCCACTTATAACCTCTACGCACCCCTCTGCCATTATGTCCACTGTCGCCGTCCGTAAACTCACGCCCACTCATCCATCACCAACCGCCGCCGCAACGTTCCTTGTCCGAATCCTGCTCGGGGACACCATTTACGGCTCTGAGCTCGTGTACCTCACGCAGTGCGCCGTCGACAGCGCAGGCCCGCATGAGAGGCTCTCCTCGCTCTTCGACACCGTCCTGGCCAAAGCCCACGCGCACTTGCTGCAGGTGGCCCGCGACCCAACTAGCATGACCAAACGGCGCGTCGTTCTGGAGATCTTCGAGGTGTGTCGCCCGCCGCCGCCGGTTCCAGCTGTCGATGGGGCCTTCGGCTGATCCCAGACCACACAGACGTGGGAGCCCTTGGTTCCCACCCTGGTGAGGACCGTCGTGGCCGAGTGGAGGGAAGTGTGCACGCACTCCCCCCGAGGGGACCGCGCCGCCCTTACGCGGGAGGCGTTGGAGGGCAAGGCGTACGCGCTCGATCCGACGTTGCGGTTTTCGGACATCGTGAACCGGAACCACCTCGTCGGGGTGCTGAGTGAGTGCTCCCTTCGCCTGCAGCCCGGTGGTGACCGGTGACGATCGAGCTCACGATATATGCCGGTCGCAATCGACCGTGTTGACCGTCTTCCAGGAGTGCTCTGACCGTGGCTGGAGTAAGTGGATGAAACCAGCGATGGCTCAACTGGTGCGAGTCCAAGTTGTATGGGATGTACATAGAGCACACTGCACAGCGCGGAAGACGAACAAGCGCGGGAGAGAGATTGACAATCAGTCCAGAATGGATGTCCACGGCTGGGATCGAAAGTGGGAATACATGTGCAGTGCTCAGTGCCCAGCTGTCCCGGGGAACGCTAGACGGTCGCGTCGCGTCAGTGTCCTCACAGCGGAATTTTTTTGTTCATCGTTTAACAATATTAGCAATGAATACAGTCACCCTGGGATCAGCGAGTCGGGCTAAGGCATACAAGCAAAGAGCCAGAAACAGACCAAGAGACGATATATACGTATGTACGTAGGAGGACACACGAGAGGGTACGGGGATGTATGTATATGCATGCGTGCGCACGAGACGGCCGCGATGGATATTAATGTGCGTACGGCCCAGGTCACAAGAGCGAATCCAGTTTTGAAAGCACTTCGAGCACGCCCGCGACGAGCTCGAATGACAGGTCCTCCTCCCCGCCCACCATCTCCCGCTTCACCTCCTGCACGAGCCCGAGCACGACCTCGCGCGAGCTCACGCCCCCGCTGCCCATGCCGATCCGCGAGCCCTCGCGCCGGCGCGCCGCACGCGCCGCCCCGCTCGCCGAACCGCCCGCGCTGGCGCCCCCGAACGGCCAGACGGAGAACTCGGCGAGGACCTCGTCGCAGCGCTGGAACGCCGCTTCGCGGTCCTCGTACGTGAGCCGGCCGAACGCGTTGTCGAGCACGCTCGCGGCGTACGCGGCGCAGACGAGGCAGACGGCGCGGGCGGCGCGGGCCTGGGTGCCCTCCTTGCCGAGCGCGGCGGGCGGGACGGCGGCGGTGGTCGCGGTGAGGAGCGCGACGACGCGGGAGACGACGGCCTCTTTGGCGCGGACGTCGGCGACGGGGTGGGTGGCCATGTCGAAGAGGAGGAAGTTGCGCTTCTCAGTGCGGAGGACGCCCTTGTCGACGAGGCCTTTGGCGAGCCGTTCGCGGACCTGCTTGAGCTGGAAGCCGATCTTCATCACGTTCCATGTCTCGCCTGGCACGCGAGGCGGGGTGGAGGGACGGCGCGTCAGCGGGAGGGAGCACGGAGACGGAGAAGGCATGCCGCGTGTTGGGTGCCGAGGACGGTGGGGGCGGTGGTCGCTCGGCGAGCTCGTGCCGTTCTCTTCGACGGACACGCACCGCACAGGCGGAGAAAGCGATGGGGCCACTCACCGGAGAGAAGGTCTATCCATGTGTTGATCGCCATCCGCTCGCCCTCCTGGGCCTTCATCATCCGCAGCGCCTCGTCAAGGATGGTCTCGCCCGTTTGGCGGTCATCGACCACTTCGACGAGTCGTTCTGAAAGCGGGAGATGTCGGCGGTTCGGGTCTTTGATGAGGGCGATTCGTCGGCGTAACGCGAGTTCGATGAGGATGCACCCGCGCAGGGCATATGAGATGTTGTCGTTCCAGAATGAGAGGTAGCCCTGGTATCATAGGCGTGGGTGAGTACGATGGGAGACGAGGAAAGAAAGAAGCGGCTGCGGGAAAGACGCGCTGCGCGCGTGGACGTGGGTCAGAACTTGAGGCACAGCTTCGCCGACTGCGGCCAGGTGGGTGTCTGGGAGGGGGGACGAGCGAGGGCAGGAGACAGACGGGGACGGGGAGCGGGAATGGGATGTGCCAGGGGGCAACGTGGAGCGCAAAGATGATGAAAACTAGAGAAATGAACGGACCTGCTTGTCTTTGAGACCAAGCAAGAGGACTTCCTCCATGATGGTGAGCAGTGGGGGCTTGCCGCCTAACCGTGCATTCTCGTCTTCACGCTCGAGGTCACGGGGATCGTATGCAATCCTGCTGCCGCCCTCGAAGGCGGAGCCGGCGTGAAGGGGAGGAGACTGGAGAGGCTCGCCGCGGGAAGAGGTGCCGTTTGGTGTTGACGAGCCAGAGAGGCCCCAGGCGGAGTCGGCATCGTCGTCGGCAGTGGTGGAGGCGTTGGGGACACGGCGACGAGAGAGACCGCCGGCGGAGCTCATGGCATGTGCAGGACGGAGGGGACGGGAGGGGAGGACGAGGAGGGAGAGGGAGAGATGGCTGCGGTGGCGGGACGCACATTGCGGGCTGGCGCCTAGGGCATCCGTATGCGGCAGGGGGCGGTCGTCGCTGCCGCCGTGCCGCTCTCCTTCAAACCGCCATCGTCGCCGCCCCGCTGCAGACGATGGCTCGCGTCTTCTCCCGCCCGTCGCCTCTCGCACCCCGCACGCGCCCCGGGTGGACGTCCCGGGACGAGCTGGAGGTCCTCGAGGGCAAGACCTATAGATAGAAGGCCTAACGCCGCGTGGGCCCCGCGGCCCCTAGCAGCCCGCTCGCGGACTTGGGCCTCCCGCCGCGCAGACACTCGCTGCCGCGATGGTTCACGCCCCCGCCTCAGGCCGCCCCGCCCCTGCCCGACTCCGCGCCCCGCGCCCCGCTTCGTCCACATCGCCCGTCACCCGCCTCCCGGTCGAGATCCTCGCCCTCGTCTTCCACCAGCTCTGGGCCGCCCACACCGCCCTCCGCCCCCGCCTCGACATCGAGACATGGCCTTGGCAGACCTCCCTCTGCCTCGCCATCATCGCCGTCTCGCACGTCTCCCGCCAATGGCGTCAGATCGCCCTCGCCCTCCCCGTCCTCTGGTCCCGCGCCGATGACCAGAACGGCCACCACATCCGCCTCTTCCTCAACCGCTCCCGCACCGCGCCTCTCGACCTTGCCGTTTGTTTGTCAATCACCCATCCCGGCATCTCCCATTCGGACCTCGACGCCCTCCTCGTCGCCGCAAGTCCTCGCTTGCGCCGGTTTGATGTCCGGCTCGAGGCCGTCCATCTCCCCCGCCTCGACTTTGCCGGCCCCACCCTCGAGGCCCTCACCATTCAATGCGAAAAAAGCTCGAGCGTCGAGCTCGCGCCCCACCCCGTTCTTTTCCGCGGTCAAACCACCTCCCTTCGCGCCCTCGCCCTCCTCCACGTACGCCATTGGCTGCCCGGTAACCACTTCCCCAACCTCGTCCACCTCAACATATCCTACTTTTTCCAGGAGGAGCTTTCCCTCGCCTCCCTCACCCTCCTCCTCCGCAATTGCCCTCGGCTCGAGACGCTCCATTATGGCCAGATCTGGAGCTACCTGGTGCGCGAGCTTGTCCTCGATCCCCCCGTCACGCCTGTCGCGCTCCCCCACCTCCGCAGCCTGACGACCTGCTGCGCTACCATGCAAACCGCCGCCGCGCTGCTCTCATGCATCACATTCGATCCCATTCCCATGCACCCGGTGCGCGTACGTATTCACGACGCCGTCGTGCAGGCCCACACCGACGTTGGAGACAATCATCTCCCGTCTCTACGCTTCTTGGGTCCCATCGCCCGCCTCGAGCTCGCCGCAGACCCATCCCGTGCCTACGTCTTGGTCGAGTCCCACGGCCAAACTCCGAACTCCGCTGCGGCAGGTGAAAATTCCCCATCCGCACTATGGATTCAAGCCGAATTCCAGGCGAAACGCACCACAGCGTGGCTCCTTGCGCTCTTCGACGTTCTCGACCTTTCCGCGCTCGACGTCCTACACGTCTCCAGCGCGGACTGGTCCTTCCTCCCCGCCCTGCTCCGTCGCGCCCCCGAGCTGAACACGCTCGGTGTGATGGCCCTCCCCGACGCCGAACCGACGCACGCGGCTATGTTCATCACGCTCACGGACACGCTCCTCGCATCGCACGACGCGTACCTTCCTTCGCTCAGCACACTGAGCGTTCAGGCCCCGCCATCCCCCACACACGCCGCTTCGCTCGCCCGGCTCGCCGCGCGCCGCGCGGACATGGGCTTCCGGCTCACGCGGCTCGTCTTCGACGGTGTGCCCGTGCCCGTGTCGACGCACCCCGCTCCGCCATCCCCGCTCGACGCGCGCCGGTGGGCGGCCGTGCGTACCACGCTCCAAGGTACTCTGCAACACGTCGGCGTGCTCGCGGTCGGGCAGGGCGGGGCGTGCGCCTGGGCGCATCCTCACGGCTGGGACGCCGAGAATCCGTACTGGCGATTGCCGGAGGGCGACGAGCCACGGTGCTCGTTCCCGTGGCGCTGAGCGCGCGAATCAAGAGCCGGGGCGCCGCTATATTCATACGCACGGCGCACCCCAGGAGACAAACAAGCACGCGAACAGAAGAGATGGGAGGGCAATGTGGGCGCAGCATTACGTGCGCACGCCAAAAAAACGCCAGACCCGAGGCGGCGGGGTCTGCACGCAGCACGGAGGTGGCACATAGAGTCGATGCACGCCGATCATGGCGAGGACGCGAAACGCGAACCTGTCCCAATAGACCTGGTTATGACGACCGCGGCCACCGCCGATTCACGCATGTGCTGCAGGGGGCCCTCCCCGTCTGTTCCCTGCGCGTGCGCCGCGTGCGCGTACGTCCTCCTCCCTCCTCTTTGATTTCATCTCCGCTAAACCCACGGACAGGTGGAGGCTGCGGCCTCGTGCGAGGCTTCTCCCGTCGCCGCGCCCGCATAATATTCGTACTCCGCTCGCGCGCACAAGCGGTCTGTTCTCCCGTCCGGCGACCCAGAGCGCGGGCGGTGCGAGGATCTCCGCGCGAAGAAATCGGCTGGACGCTTTCCACGCGGCGGACGTACACCGGAGGCCTTGTACTCCCCACCCGGGACGGTCTCGCACTTCAAGCCGAGCTTACACCCTTTTGGGATTCTGCGTACGTGCTCGGGTCGGGATCCGACGTGCTTGGGTCGGGATCCGACGTGCTTGGGTCGGGATTCGATGGAGCGAGGCAAGAATCGAGAACGACTGGGAATGCAAATCGATCGGCGGACGGTCGGCGGCGGCCGCAAGACACAAGACACGACCCTAATTCGAGAGGTGCGCGGACCTGCATGCGCGCAGTCAAGACGTCTAGTTCGCCCGTTGATGGGCATATCAATGCCACGGAGGGCTCTGCGGAGATGGATCTCTGGGACGCAGCGCCGTGGCCGCGCGCGATCGCCACTTGTCTGTTATGGCGGGCGCGGGCTCAATATGTGTACTAGTACACACGTCTTCCCTTCCTTCCTCCCGTCTATTCCTCAAAACGTCTGCACTCGCTCTGAGCTCGTGCCGATCTTGCGCCATCAACACCCTTGCAAGCCTTTGTGCACTCGACCACGTGCAGCCCTGGAGAATACGCGTCGACGCTAGTACCAGAGCTTGCGCGCACGAAGTAGTACCAGTGGGATCGCTCGCACGCCCACCCTGCATACGTCACCAGCGGCGTCATGGGAGATGGAAGTCGGATGGTTGTCTGTGCGACCGGAACGTGCCCGGCGCATGCTGCGGCCCCGCCCGACCTTGGACGGAACGGGCCCGACAAGGGTGCGCCGCGCGCGATATGGATCAGGCTGTCGTATGCGCGAGTGTGCTTCGCCGACAGAGCGCGGGGACCGCAGGGGACGGCGGTGCTCGAGCGCAGACAACGTCGTCCGAGGCCCGAGGTGATGTGGAGGAGGAGGAGGAGGCGTCGGACCCGCGCCCTCGTCCACTCGCGTTGTTGATGTCACGCGCACCCGGCCTCTTATCCCAGGTCCAGGGCACTTGCGCGCAACGTGTTTGCTCTTCTGCGCCAACGTTGGCCTTCTTCAATGAAAGGATGGTCCCTTTTGGCGAGCCGCCGGGCCGGGAGGCGATAAGCAGGGCTGCAGCGTCCACTCCGCTGGGTCCCGGTTGCTCTCTCTCGGCATCCACACCCTCCCTGCGCTGCTCGCGGCCGTGGACGGCGACGCCCTCTGCGGCGGCAGATGCGGCCAAGGGAGGGTGGCAGTTGCGGCAGTCGAAGAAGGCGCGAACGCGAGGGGCGCCGGGCGGACGACCACGGGCCCAGGCGAGCTTCTGCGAACGCGGCAGGCGCGTTTTTGGCGGCGTGAGAGGAGGAGGATGGACAGGGCAGAGGTCCAGGGACGGTGCGCACCAGGGGGACGGGAACGGCGTCCAATGGGCACCGCGGCCCCACTGCGTGCACACCCCCGAGCGCTGCCTGTCGCGAGAGAAGGCGGACTTATGAGACGGCGGAGGGTTCGCGGACGGGCAGCCCCTCGCTCCTGCTTGCTCTTGAAAGACGCACGCGTGTGCTGGCCATACGCCGACTCCCCCCTCGCTCCTTCTCCTCCACCGCCTTCGTTCGCTACCTCCGCTTTGGGCTCGCTGACAGGGCGTCCTCCAGCCTTCTTCGTTCTTCACCCGCCTTTGTACATACGACAACACGCTCACGGCATGCCTTCAGCTTCCCCAAGGCCACCCACCGTGAGTGCTTTGTGGTCTGCCTTTGTTCCACACAAAGACCCCCCCTTCCTCTCCTCCCAGACCCCTCCGAAGACGCACAAGATCCCGACCGGACTGAGGCCCAAGGACCGCGACGGGCCCGACCGCGCGCACCGCTGGTCCGAGCTCGTCCCCCGCGCACCGCGCTCACCTTCGCCGCCATGTGGGACCCGCACGACGGCATGGTGACCTTCTCGGGCGCGCACCTGCTCGACTCGGAGCCCAAGCTCCCGTGCGCGCCCGACGACTCCCCGCGCGACGGCCGCGCGTTCGCCGACGACCAGTCCTCCCTCGCCCTCACCGACGTCGCCCTCGTCCGCACGCCGCGCATCGCCGTCGAGCGCGCCTCCGACGACTCGCACACGCTCCTCGCGGACGACGAGGGCGCGCACGTGTACGCGCGATACCCGCACCCGCCGCAGTACCCGGGATGCCACTCCGCCGGGGCAGACTCGTTCGCGTTCGCGCAGCACGCGATGGACGCCTGCCCGACCCTCGACTCGCGCTCCTTCCTCGGGCTCGGGACCCCCGGGCCTGCGGGCGGCGGCCGGATGCCGGACTCGCCCGCGGCGGCGTCGTCGATGGCGCTCGCGTCGATCGCGAACGTCGCCGCGCCCTGCAGCCGGCGGACGCGCCTGCCCAACGCGCTCGGACGGCTCTCGGAGCAGATCCGCAACAGGCGGATGGCGCTCCGGGTCGACACCACGGTTGACCTCCAGTTCGAGCTCGAGCGGGAGGTAGAGCTGGAGACGGAGATGCAGATGCAGCGGCAGAGGGAGGAGGAAGAGGAGAAGGAAGAGAAGGATACAGACACGGGGGTTGAGGTCGTCGAGCTCAGTGGCCGCTTCGACGGACGATACGCGGGGCGGATGCGCGGGCGGGCGGTGCCTATGCCTTGCGACTCGGACAGCGACGTGACGGACGAGGGCTTCTGCGAGGTCCTGCGCCTCGCGCGTCGGTCGGGGAGCTCCCGCAGCTGGGAGCACGTCAACAACATGGTGCGTCTGTGCTCTGAGCTCGCTCCGTCGCGCGTCCTTACCCCCTCTTCCGTCATTTTTGTTCCCCATTTTCGGCCTCGCTTCCTCCCCCCTCCGCGGCCGACGACATCGACAGTCCTCCGCGTTCTCAGTGACGACGACATCAACGGATCAGTACATCGAAGTCGACCTCCCCCCGTGGCTGGCCGCGAACCCGCCCACGCCCTCCCTCACCCCCGGAAGCCGCCGCCACCGCCGGCTGCACCCCGTCGACAGCGCCGCGTGCTCGACCGCCGCCTCTACCGCCTGGTCCACCCTCCGCGACGCCGACCGCCAGATATGCTTCAACGTCCCGCTCGCGACCGGTCGCCGGCTGAAGAAGACGCGTGCCCCCCGCACGCCGTCTCCCCCTCCTCCCCTGCCCGCATCGCGCCGCCCGCCGCCGACGCGCAGCCAGACCGCACCACCCGCCGCACCGCCGGCGTCCGCCGCCCCTCCCCCGACGTCCGCTACGATGGTGAAGCGTGTGGTGCGCAGCGTCGGGAGCCCGGTCCCGCTCTCGAGCACGTCGGGCTCGAGCCGGACGATGGTCGCTTCGCCCGTCGCGCCGCCGGCGGACCCGGCGGAGGTGCTCGCGCGGCGGTACTACAACCACGCGCCGTGCCCGCAGTCAAGCGGGAGCGAGTCGGACTGCGGGCAGCCGGGTTCGCCAGCTGGCTCGGACTCGGTGCACGGGCACGGGCCGTCGTCGTTCGTGGGCTGTGGTGGGGCTCCGGCGCGGACCGTCGTCCGCAAGAAGTCGTTCTTGCATCGCGTCGTGGAGAACTGCAGGCGGGGCGACGAGGGCGAGAAATGGGTGTATGTGGAGGTGGAGCATAGGGTGACGCAGAAGGTGTGCGCGGTCGCGGTCTGAGATCTGAGCTGTGATCGATGTGCGCGGCGCCGGCCATGGACATGTGCTGAGCGCTGAGCTCTGCGCGGATACTCCTGCAGCCTCTCCCTCGAGATCCGTGATCTCTACGCTGACTGCGAACGGTAAACCCTGCTGCTACGCCCATTTTCGATTTCTTGTCATTATTGTTGTACAGCATTTCTCCCCGGTGAACCTTCCGAGCCATGGTCGAGCCTCCCCTACCCCACGCTTGCCTCGGATGTCTCTCTAGCTTGTATCGTACCTGTACTTGTACCCATCTTTTCTTCCCTCTGCGAGCACTCTGGAGCACAGCATCGAGCTAGTGCACGAAACCAGCCACTGTACTTCAGTAAAATACTTTCAGACCCAACACTCCTTGTTTGTCTCCGCTTTACGTGCCCCTTGCCTCTAACCCCAGACGGATTCATACACACGTCGGGCATAGAAAGCGACCGCCGTTCTAGAAACGGCGCTGCCGGAGACCCTACCAATATAACTTCCATACATCGAGATAGACTCTCCCGTGAGAGGTCACCGCGAATCCCGCGCTCAAGCTCCCTCCAGGCAACCATCCCAAGGCGTCGAGTGTGACCCAGCAGGGGGGAGCCCGTCGTCTTCAGTCGTTCTCGGTCCCAGGCTGTCAGGCCCTCAAGCTTCAGGCCTCAGGGTTGCTTTGGGTTAAGCGTATGCGCAAAGCTTCAAATCTTCAACGCGTCTCCCCTGGCTTTGCATTCTCCGATCTTCACGGTGCGCTTCCCACAGGTGCGCGTCCCTTCTGCCCGCCTGCTCGCGCTGCCCTCGCGAAGTCGACGACGCGCTGTTCTCCCGCGCGCGCCGCCGAAGACGCCTCTGGCGGCGCGCGGGGTCGACGGACGGGGCGGGCCGTGTGGCTTGAATTTCTTGTTCCTTCAAGTTTCTGCGAGGCCGGAGAGGATGCGAAATGCTCCCGCCCCCCGCTCGCGTTCGCGACCGACGCGCCACGTGAGGGCGAAAGATGGGGCCGGCTCGGACTCAATGACGATTCGAGGAGAAGTAACGGACCAGAAAGAGAAAAACGAAGACGCAGGATACGAAGGAAAGGCCGAAAAAGAACTCACAAAAGCTATCATCTCGAGGCTACGAGAAAGACAGGGACCGACTGCGCTCAAATGGGTAAAGGGCCATCAAGGCCACGCACTGAACGAAGGCGCGGACAAACTCGCCGGCGAAGGAGCAAGGAAACAAGTGGCTGACGAAATCGACCTGAAACAAGCAAGAATTTTCGAACTATCAGGAGCCCGGCTCGATAAGATGACACAAAAAAGGGCGTACCGGGCGATAAGGGAACGAAAAGAGAAAGAGTACGAGCAAAGACCATCGACGAGAAAGCAGATCCAAAAAATCCAGGAAACAGCGAAGACAGCCTTTGGAAGAGAGCTGACGGAGGCAGCTATATGGAAAGGCATCAGAAAACGTGACAGGATCACGAGAGAGGCAGCACAATGGATGTGGATGGCCACCCACGATGCGTACATGATCGGGGAAAAATGGCTCAGACCAAATATGTCACCCGAACAAAGAGAACGAGCGACATGCAAAACATGCGGAACAACGGAAACAATGGACCACATACTCTTCGAGTGCAAAGCAAAAGGAAGAAGAGAGATATGGAAGCTCCTCGACAAAACATGGAAGGACTCCGGAGGAAAACCGCTGAACCCATCGTGGGGTACGATAGTGGCAGCGGGAAACGCGGAAATAAAGATGAGAAATGGAAAAAGAAATCACGATGCAGAGAAGAGATGGGCAATATTGGTGTCAGAGACTGCATACCTAATATGGAAGCTGAGATGCGAGAGAGTAATCGCAAACGATGGAGAGGAACTGAGCGAAAGGGAGATCGTGAATAGATGGTATGCCACGATAGATAGGCGCTTAACGCTGGATAGGCGCGTAGCGTCTCTAACAGAGAGCGATAAAAAAAGAAAAGCTTTAATAGCCTCTGTCGAAAGGGTTTGGGGCAAGCTATTGGAAGACAGTGAAAGCCTAAGACACGATTGGGTAACGAACAGTGGGGTTTTAGTGGGTATTAAGAGAGGACGTTAGCGTTCTCGCGGATCAGGAGTCCCACACATAGTGCGTAAATGGCATTTCCCCCAGGTACAGTTGAATGATCTTACTCGAGGTTTGAATCCCCCGAGACTACAACAGCGAGTCTGGTAATACATGATGAGCCGCCAGTAGGACGAATGTAAACCCAGACACAAACGCTCCACCAAAAAAAAAAAAAAAAAAAAAAAAGATGGGGCCGGCTTCGGAGGCTCGGGGGGACTCTGAGATCTCTTGGCAAATCTGTGAGCGCAGCATGTTTGACCATGTAGGTGGTGCGCAGTTCGAGATCTGTGTCTGCCGGTCGCTGGCAGTGCGCACGGGCTTGCGATGAGGAATGCCCGAGGATGGAGACGAATGCTGCAGCGAGAGACACTGCACTGGTACGATCGTTCTCACTTGGGTTGTTGCCTTTTACGCGCGGGTAACGGAGTGCACGGATCTCGCGTCCGCCTCGCAACGATACAAGCTGCAATGGGCCGGCTTGTAGTTGTGAGTGACCAATGATGATGCTCCGTACACTTTACGGATGGATTTCCGAAGTGCTCTTGGCCTTCTGGCATCTGTACCCGAGACCCCGGCGGGCCCGACTGATGATCATCCCGCGCTGAATGAGAGGGATACGCCGTGGACGCAGGGATTTTGGGAACATGGCTGATGGTTAAATCTGATAAGCAGTGGTCGTAGCCACGGCGCCGTGCATACTTAGCGCCACCTTACGTTGGAGTGAGACGTGCAACTCTCACCGTCAGAGACCTAGACCAGCCGCGAACAGAGCGGAGAGCCCCTGCGGTTGGCAGCTTCAGATCGCAGACGGGGAGAGGCGGTGTGGTGAGGACTGGAGAGGGCTCTGCTGCGAGACGGCGGTGCGAACTGGGGAAAAGGGGGCGACGGGGCGAATGAAGATCAGAGTGGGCTTAATATTCCCTGGCGAAAGCAGGATGCGTTCGACGGTTGCGAGCTGGGCGGATAGCCGAGGGGGGCTGCTGACTCAGCGGTCGCCGTGTCTGGATGGGGACGGCCCATGGGCAACGGTGGTCGTGGAGCGCCTCCTCTCTTTGTTGTTCATTAGCTGCGACGCTTTCGGTCTGCTGGCATCCCGACCGCCGCAACGACGAACCGCCCCCCGCCACCGTCGACGACGAGCTCGCGGACGACGAGCTGAGTCCTCCTGCCTGATCGGCCCGCGCCTCGTGCCGTATCCTCCACTGCGAGCGCCCGTGCCCACATCAAATCGACCTGCACATCGACCGGCGGCCGTCGCCCCTTCCTCCTCCTCCTCCCGGATACCCAAAGCCCCCCTTCGCCCCATCTCCGCCGCTCTGCCGGGATGACTCGCTTCGGGGACTTCAAGCCCCTCTGCTCCCAGGTGCCGTCCTATCCCTGGTGCAATCTCTTCTACCGCCAGGTCCGTCGATCACTTCTCCTCTTCCCAGCGCCCGTCGTTGACTTTCTCCTCCAGGTCGAACACCACAACAGCTCTGTCTTCAATTCCGTCTCCAGCGATCCAGCCACCGCGCCTGTAGGTGTGAACCCAGAGTGTGCCATCCCCCGCGCCGGCAACGGCAACCTGGGCAACATCGCCAACACCGTCGCCTGTGCCCTCAGCATCGTCTTCGTCGGTCTCCTCATCTTCTGGACATCTAGGAGGAGGGCTGCTGTTGGTGCGTTCCCTGTTCCGCTCACCTCCTCGTCACTCTCCTTCTCCGCCTGGCGTCCCCTCGCCCCTCCTGCGCCTCTTTCTCCCCTCGTCATCCCCAGCCACCTCACGACCTCCTTCCGCACTCGTGCACCCTCTCACTCCCGGTGCCCGACAGCAGCTCCGTCGCTCTCAACTCTACTCCCATTCCCGTCCCACGGCTTTATTTCCGTCCTAATATCGTCCTCGTGCTCATCCTCTCCTGCCTGCAGGTCGTCTCGAGTTCCGCATCTTCCTCGTCCTCTACTTCCTCACCCTCCCCCTCCAACTTCTCTCCACCGGCTCCTTCCTTGAGCAAGGTTCAACCGCTCTCACCGCCATCACCGCTGTCCATGCCGGTCTCGTCACTGCCACCTTTTGGGCCTTGCTCGCAAATGCGATCGTGAGCACGCAGGTAGTTGAGGATGGCACAATCAGCGCGCTCTTGGTACGTTTTTCATCCCCTCCCGCGCGCATGTCGCCCTCCCCCGTCCCGCTCTCATGCTCACCCGCCGCGCGGCAGCCGTTCGACTTCTTCGCCGCCGCCTTCTTCGCTGCCACGACCTACATCGCTCTTGATGTCGCCTTCTCCTTCAGCAACGTCTTCGGTCCCTCGAATCCGCTATCTGACCTGAATAGCATCGCGCTTTTCGTCCTCACCAGTATCTGGCCCGGCGTGTAAGTTCAATCCACTCTATCTCCCGCTATTGTCCCCGCTTCCTTTCGCGTTCTCACGCCCCCGCTCCTCCAGTGCCGTGATCCTGTATCTCGTCATCATGACTTATGTCGTGCTTGGGATGCTGAACGAGGTCCGCCCGATGTGGTACTACGTGCTCGCCGCCGTCCTCTTTGTGCTCAGCCAGCTCGACTTCTTCCTGCTCGGCAAGGTGATCTGCAACGTACGTCTCCTCTCATATCCAGCGATCGCTATAATGGGCACAGCCTGCACACATGTGCCCACAACGCGGTTTCGCTTCCTTCGCCCGTGTTCGCCGTGCCTGTGTCCCTGACGCCCCCTTTGCCCTTTCCTTCTAGGGTACGAACAACAAAGTCGACGGCTCGTTCGTAGCGACAATACTCGAGACCGCAGCAGTAGGCGTGCTGTACGCGGCATGGAGAAGCATCACGGAAGGTGCGTTTCTGCCCTCATGCTTTCGACCGCCCATCCTTGGCCGTACTCCTTTTCGCGCGTCGCCGTCTCACACTCCTCATGTGCAGAATCGTGGGAAGACGAGGTGTACTACCCACGGTAACACACGCGCCGTGGCCCGTGGCCCGCCTCCCGTCTAACGCCCCTCACGACCTCTGAACGCACCTTTTAATTCCTCAATCCGAGCCCCAGCCACCCGGACCGCCACCCGCGCCCGCTTCCAACCCCGGAACCCACCCTAGACGCACCGGCCCCGCGCATTGTTCTCGGCGATTCCCGAATGTTTAAACACCAACTACCAGGCCGGAGCCGCCGCCCCGTCCACTGACGCTCACTCGTGTATTCAGCTATGTTATGCTGTGCCTTCCTCGCCCTACCCCCTTGTGTCTGTCCCACCTAGGATTCCGACCCGCACGTACTGTACGCTCTACCTATGTTTATCATTTCGTCACGCACACCTTCCGCCCTCCTGCGTCTGGCGCGGGTCCTTGTCCTCGTCCTCCTTCTTGTCTCCCCCCTCTCCTTGCTTCGATTTGTTCCGCCGACGCCTGGTCTTGGTTCCTGACCCCGTTCCCCTTTCCTGTCTCTGTCCCTGTTCAGCGCACTGCGCTGTCTGTACTCGACGCCGGTCGACGCTGGGCGCTACACCGGGTCGCAGGCGCGCGCCGCGGGGTGTCCGCGGCGAGTTTGGATGTACATACGCGTGTACCTCTCGAGCGCGGCGGGTTGCGCTGCGGATCCGAATTCGATGGCCCGGCTGGGCTCTGGCCTCGTGCGGGGTGCGTGCGTGTGCGTTCGCGTTCGCGCGCTCGATGTCGGGCACCCAGGTCAAAGGCTCGAGGAAGGTGTAGGTGCGGAACGCGGTCGCGCACATACATCAGTCCTGGTACAAACGACACCGGGGATGTCTCGACGAACATTGTCAACCGCCCCCTCAGCTCCCGCGCCCTGTCGAACGCCCCATCCTCGCGAGTGCGCGAATGCAGTTCCCGATACGGGCTGTGGCTCGTCCGGGCGAGGCCTCGAGCTCGGGCTCTTTCCCTGGACCAGACGAGCATCGCCATTGCCACCGCTGTCTCTACGTCCGGGCATGCCCTTTTTGAAAAGCTGCTTAGGCGCGGGCGGCGTGAAGGACGGTGAAAAATTGGGACTCAAAGCATGCCCACATCCCTCGTGTCAACTTCATGCATCAGTGTTCCGGCAATGTGCAACCATACCACACGGTACGAGTGTTATACGTGGTCTGTTGATGCGGTACACGTACAGCGACAAAATTCTTCTCAGTGTTGACCCTGATGATAATGGTAGTCTGCCGTGCATGGCTTTACAGCACAAAACAGAGCATAAAATAACCCATGACGAGAGTGGGATTCGAACCCACGCCCTTTCGGACCAGATCCTTAGTCTGGCGCCTTAGACCGCTCGGCCATCTCGCCTTATAAATGGTAGACACGGGTTCATTTTGAGGTAAAAACATCTGGAGTTACCCCAACTTTTCGTCCCTCTCGTCCCTCTTTTTACTAGCCAGTACGCCGCCGCTGACAGAGTGACCCTCCTTCTTTGCCCCGAGTTTGACGACTGGCACGACGTGCTCTCGAACTGCCCCCTGGACAACTTCGCGGACCTCGTCGCAGCTGGAGCCGATGCAACGCTGCCAGTTGGAGAACTTGCAGAGTAGAAACATTGTGTTCGCGTACGCGCTGAACGACACGGGCGAGGATGCGCCGTTCGCGACAGGGCAGAACGGGAGCGGATGCCTCGGAACTTCATGAAGGAGTCTTCTCCGCGCCTGGAGGACAACGTGTACTTCCTTACTGGAATCGGCCAAAAACTGAGAAGGTGTTCACGTCCAGGCAGGCATGTTGCTTTAAATGCGCTTATTTGTATCGTTGGACGCTCATCATCGATGCTTGGCGTGCACCTCGCAGGTGAGGATGTGTCTCGACTAGTGTCGCTGCACGCGCTCGGGGAGCCGACGCGGGGGCGGGTCATGCCGCCACCGTACAGATACTTGTACGTTGTCACGGGAGAGGGTCAGAGGATGGTGCGGTAGTAGGATTTGACAAGGTTGGGAGGGGGGGGGGGGTTGCCAGTCACACAAGGTGCAGAGCGTGGGTGATTAGTCGAGGGTGTCGTGTATTGGGACTCGGGCTGACGTGCGTCATAATAGACGTGAACGGCACACACGCCTGCATACGTCTACCATGGCACACGCTTTCCAGTGAAGTCGAAGAACGAGCCAGAATCGTCGTGCTTGAGTTCTCGAGTGACGTTGAGAATCCCTTCCACCCCAGTCGACACAGGAAAGGCTGCGCCTGAGCCGCCCATGTCTACGACGATTGGGGCAGCAATATGTGTGAGTCATGGACCAGCACAGTGCCTACGTCAGAGTTGCAGATGCACCGGTCTGCAGCCACCCAGGGCACATGGAAATGACAGTGAGGTCTGGATACGCGTCCGCCAGTTTTCCTGTCTGAGCACACATACTACCATTAGTATGGTGGCGCTCATGTTGTGTAGATACGCACGAGCATGGTAAGAGCGGCTTTCGAGATCGCGTACGAGGCTTTGTAGTTATCCGGGAAGTGGCGCGCGGCGACGCTCCCCATCGAGCTGGAGATTTTCACGATGGCCTTCCTCCCGCTGCGCGCAAGCACAGGCGACAACGCTTGGGCGATGAGGGCAGGGCCGACGACGTTGGCTTGAAACGCCGCCATCATGTCCTCTGCAGTCATCGTAGCGGCCGTGTCGTTATCTCCCGGATTCTGCGGGAGGCGCCGTGCGTCAAAAGATCTGTGACGCCTGGCTTTCAACACTGCTGGCGGCGAGGACTGACCACACCGGCGTTGTTGACGAGGTGGTCGACGCCCGCGTTGCCAACGAGCGCCTCCGATTGCGCTGCCGCTGCCGTTATGGTGGCCGCGTCGGTGATGTCGAGCGCGAGTACGTGCAGCCTGTTCTGGGACGCCCCGGCGAGGGTGTTCAGGGCGTTCGCATTCGCGGGGGTCCGACAGGCGCCGATGACGACGTTGAACGGAGACTGTAGGAGCTGGCTGACCATTTCGAAGCCAACACCTCGCTTGGCGCTGTACGACGAAAATGCAGACTGAGTATGGTGCTGCTCGAGGAAAATCTCGATGTCCTTACCCGGCAATGAACCAGACTGTGGGATTTGCGTTGGCCATGGCGGGGACGGTAAACAGAGATGATGTTGCTCGTACTCCACCTGGGCCGTTTATGTATATTTTGAGCCCCCGGAGGCTGCTGGTGGGAATGTCAGACGGAAGTAGTGACGAGAGTTGTAAGCTCGGTGACAGTCCGATCTTCCGTTATGCTCGACTTCCCATGGCGGTCCATCACGACCATAACTGCGGGGATTGCATACGGTCAACGCCGACGTCCGTTTGGGAGCGGTGCGCACCTGCATGTGCGATGAAACGCGGGGTACTTCCGGCGCCGAACGCGGCGTCCGACGCTGCTTTCCAATCCCACGTGGCCCGCTGTACTGCGAATGTTTCAACTGACACGCTTCAAACATGTGTTGGAGTCACAAGTCGCCTGTAGTAAGCACCGAATGACTTGCCTAGTAAGGCTGCAAATGAAAAGGAAGTCACTCTACTATGGCAAGCGTTTCCCCCTCTGATGGATGAACGATCCCGGATGCATCATGTGGGTCGAGTAAGGAGAGTCGGAAAATAGCAGCGGGGCGAGAGAGTAGGCGCGTGTTGCGGAAAACGCGAGGTAAAGAGGGTCGAGCGATAGAGCATAGCAGATCGTCATCGAGAACCATCCTAGGGACCACGTGTGAGTTCCTACACCCGCCATATCTAGAGATGGACAGAGAGACAGAGAGACAGAGAGACGGAGACGGAGACAGACAGAGAGGGATTCATAAGCGCTCACTTTACTATCTCCGGTCGGTCGGTTACGTAATCAACCGCGACACCTTCTTAGTTTAGACGCCAAGTAACAAGCCCACCCAATGATGAGATGAGGCTTAGACGTTAAACCCTCCTATAGGTGCTTCATTCGCCGCTCATTTACTGCTGGCGAGTGCTCTTAATCCGAACCCAACGCTGCTATCGTACGATGAGATGAATAGTACACATTAAGAACAGTCAAGGACGCAAAAGCACAAACGTAGGTGCTAGTCGTACAGATAAGCATCAGAGTCCACGCGTGCGGATTATGCGGCTATAAAGTCCACGATAACAACCCAAAGCATCATCATAAAGGAGTCCGATCGTACCACCTCATCGCGTCACTCCGCGCGAAAAGCTAGAAGTCCTGCGGGAAGTTGAACACCCGCGCGGGGTCGTACTTGTTCTTGAGCGCCGTCAGCCGGGGCGTGTGCGTGGGGTAGTAGCGCTTGTGCGCCTCCTTGGCAGTGTACGTGCTGTCGATGTAGTTCACGTACTCGCGGAACACCGTCCCGCGCTGGTTGTCCTCCACGGCGGCCTTCATGCCCTGGATGAACTCAATCCCGTCCGCGTCTGAGACCGAGGCCGGGATCGTGCCGTAGTACCTGCACCGCGGGCGGTCGATCAGCATCAGAAATCTGCAGGGTGTCGGAGCCTGAGCTTACTGGATCGAGTACAGCGCGTCGCGGCCGTTGAACGAGTTGAAATCTGCGGGCTTCTGGGTGATGACCGACTCCCCGCCGCCGTACAGGTCGCTGTCGGAGCGTGTGAGCCTGGCGCCTCCCACCCGCATCGCACGGCTCCAGGTGGACTCACAAGATGACGAACCACGCCACGCTCGAGGTCGCGCCGGGCCCGTAGAAGTACTCCATGAGCGCGTCCGCGGCGGCGGGCGCCATCATCTGCTTCTGCGGCACGAACGTCGACGTCGCGTAGAAGGTGTCGTGGGTGTCCGGCGCGAGCGTCGAGTTCAGGCTGTCGATCCCGGTGGTGCCCGCGAGGAAGAGCACGCTCGTGATCCAGTCCTGCGCCTCCATTGTGGTCTTGGAAGGGGTGCCGAGCTTGGCGAGCAGCGGGGCCATCGTCGCGTTCACCTTCGCCTCGTCCGCGGTGTAGTACTGGCCCGAGACGGAGAAGAGCACGCCGGTGGGCGTGTCCCCGGGGTTGACGTGCGCCTGGAGGCCGAGGTTGACGTCGAGCGGGGACGCGGGGTCGTTTGCGAACTCCTGCCACGCCTGGAGGGCCTTGCTTGCTTGCGCGGGGGAGTATTGCGCGAACTCGTACGAGAACGCGACAGAGGGGACGGCCTCGTGGGTGATGGTGGTAAAGGAAGTGATGATCCCGAAGCTCGCGCCCGCACCGGTGACGGCCCAGAAGAGGTCGGCGTTCTTGTCCGCAGACGCGGTGTGGACGGCGCCGTCGGCGGTCACGATCTCGACGCTCAGGACCTGGTCGGAGAGGAGGCCCCAGGCGCGGGAAGGGAGGCCGAAGCCACCTTGCCCGGCGTGGCCTCCGATGCCGACGTAGGGACAGGTGCCGTGCGCCATCGCTCGGTTTGCTGCGAAAAGGTCATTCGTATCACACGGATGCCTGGGGATACACTCGCACCCACCAGTCTCCCAAAGGAATAGGGCCACATCACCAAGGCAGTTACCGGCGCCAATAGTGGCGACGTCGCCGTCGAGCGAGAGATGACGGAGGTGGTCGAGGCTGACCGTCAAGTGACCGTCCGCCCCGCCGAGTGCGAAAGCGGCGTCTAAAGTCGGGTTCGAGGAAAGGATTAGCTTCGTTGGCAATGATGAACACGGCTGCGCGGTCACACTGACACGAGTGGCCGCCGCTACGGGCGTTGACCTTGACGCCATGAGAGGCACCGCACTTGACCGCGGCGGAGACTCCAGCGGTGTCTGTGGGGTAGACTAGCGCAATGGGCTTCCACGGCAGTCTGACGGATTTGGGTCAGCGTCCGGAACTGAGATGACACCGCGGGATGGACGGCATACCGTAGGTTGAAGGGCGCAGCGTCCGTCGCGTACGCCGAGTCGCTGTAGACGACAGGGTCGAGCCCAGCATCGTCCAAGCAGTCGATGAGGCCACTGGAGCCGCGGTTCTTGAGAGTGCGTGCAGGGACCCACGCACCAAAAGCGGAGGTTGCGGCGGTGAGAACGAAGGATAAGGTAAGAAAACCGCGCATGGTGGAGAAGGAGGTCGGGTAGGGAAACAGGCAACAGGGAGAGTACTACCGACGCGGGGCGAGTCGAGAGCAAGCCGGAGTGACGACGGCGCGACGCCTGGCTCTTTATACTCTCTTGTCGACCCGACGTGACAGCTCGAGCGCGGCACTCCATAGGGCGGTGAAATGAAACCGACGATTTAGCCTACTTATGTGAGACGGGCAGCTGCGATCTGACATTGAAGCGAGACAAAAGTCTCAGCAATCTCCGTTTAAGGGGGAGAAATACACCAGCCTACCCCATGATCCTTACTTAGGGGATAGCGTGGTCTCGAATGGGCGGAACTTCGGCCGGAAAGCGGTGGCGAGGGTGGGCCGCTGGCCCGCGCTACATGTTCCGCAAAGGTCGGCGGTGCCTAGGCGTAAGGAGATATACGTTGGACGGGGGTGGGATGAGTCTGGGAGATGACGGCACTCACGAGAGCTTCTCGGCGCGCCTACACGAAATGAGGCACAGATTGCGTTGGCTTCTGGGTGCTGTGCTTCTGGGTGCTATTTGCGGACTATTGAAGTGTTGGATGATAGTGAGCCTGAGGTGCAGCTCCTGCAGGCGAAAACGAACACTCACCAGTTGCCAGCTGGTGCCCGGAGCTGGTACCGGAAGGCGTAGGGAACGCGCTCCGAGGTCTTTCATTGCCCCGGTGCCGATGGAGCGCGGGCTGTGGACGCCGAAATGAATCATCGCACGGGCCCTGCTTGACTGGGGCGCCAGGCGGAGAGACGGCCCGGAGAGGCGCCGTCGTCATCGAGTTATTACTCGGGTGGTCTGGAGCGAACGCGCTCATGCCATTACCTCCATCCAGAGAGTTAGATGGCCGTCTCCTGTCGTGGTACGGTGCGTCCTATTGATAGCTACACGCAGCCCCCGCTGTCTTAGGGCGAAAAAGTGACCTATCAAAGCGAGGTGAAGGCTAGGAGCACAGTGGTCCTAGTCAAAACCCAGCCAGCAACCGGAGATGAGGCGGGAAACAAAGGACAGATAAGACCTGTGGCATGGGAAGCGAACCCGTCTTTAAAATAGCGTACTGAATGCTGATGTCGACGTTGACGGCGCGCGGCGAGCAATTCCGACCATGGATTCGATGATCATGATCCATTCCCGGTCTTAATACATGCGTGGCGCGCTGTACGGGTCTTGACATGGGGGTGAAAGCTACGTCCTTGGCGTACGCATCCGGGGGGTCGGAGAGCTCAAACCGTGCGCGTGATCGATCTGCTTGGCACCGTGGGTTCAGCTAGCGATACTCACCACCCGGCGGACGAAGCTAATCATCTTCTTCATTATCATGAGTGTTGCGAACCTACAGTAACGTGAATTCTAACCTGTCGTCGTTTTTCACGTCGGGCTCGCGATGGCCTAGCCGAATGTCCAGATCATAGCTTTTTTGAGACGTAACGGGGGGCCTGGATTGAGAAGGAATGATAGGCACGTCCATAAATACGCGGTAACCAAAAGTTAGAGAAAGTGGGGATAGACTCGAGTCGACTGCATGTGGATCGGAAGCGAGAGCGGGTGGCGACTCACAAGACTGGTTGTCCTAAAAATATCGACATAGCCAAGGCACCTTTGAAGACTGCGAGCTTGCCTCGCATGGTCGTGGCCAAACCATCTCGCACCATAGTGCGGTTCGTAGGTTTCCCCCATCCATGATTGAAAAAGACAGCGACTTAGCATGAAAGAAAGCCAGAGCTATGCGATACAAGATCTACTCAACGTATAACAGATCCTAGTCACCCCATTCACCTACACGCTCATCTTCATCGCGATCGTCGGGTGCGGATCGTACCCCTCGACAACGATGTCCTCGCTCTTGAAGTCGTCGATGCTCTCCACCGCGCGCGGCCAGCGCAGCTTCGGGAACGGACGCGGCTCGCGCTCGAGCTGCGTGCGGAGCGCGTCGACGTGGTCGCGGTAGACGTGCGCATCACCGAGCTGGATGACGAGCTCGTGCGCCTCGGTGCCGGTGACGTGCGCGACCATGTGCGTGAGGAGGGCGTAGGACGCGATGTTGAACGGGATCCCGAGCCCGAGGTCGGCCGAGCGCTGGAACATGAGGCACGACAGCCGCGGCTTGGCCGTGGGGTCGTTCGCGGGCGGGAGGTGGACGTAGAACTGGCACATCATGTGGCACGGGGGCAACGCCATCTGCGGGATGTCTGCGCGCGGGGGGCGTCGGTAGCGGCGCGCAGAGAGAGAAGGAGGAGAGGACGCACCTGCGGGGTTCCACGCGCTGAGGATGATGCGGCGGTCGGTGGGGTCGTGCTTGATCTTGCGGATGCACTCCTGCAGCTGGTCGACGCCCTTGCCGGTGTAGTCCGCGTCGCAGTCTTCGTAGGGCGCGCCAAAGTGCCGCCACTGAAAGCCATACACAGGCCCGAGGTCGCCCTCGCGTCGGTGTCCCAGCCCACGCTTCTCGAGGAAGTCCTTGGAGCCGTTCCCGTCCCAGATCTTGACGCCCCTCGCGGACAGCTTCTTCGCGTCGGTGCATCCCTGAACAAACCAAAGCAGCTCCTCGACGATGCCTTTCAAGAATGTGCGCTTTGTCGTGAGGAGGGGAAGGGTAGAGTCCGCGAGAGAGAAGCGGAGATTTGGAGGGGCGAAGAGGGAGATGGTGCCGGTGCCAGTACGGTCTGGGCGCGTGTCGCCGGTATTGAGGACATCGCGGATGAGGTTCAAGTACTGGTGCTCGTCGTGGGCGCGTGTGGGGGCGGTGACTGTCATTGTGCGTGAACAGGGAGGAAGAGAGGCGCGTTGTTTGACAATGTTGTAGACTCACGCACACATCCAAACGCGTCGGTCACAACTCACGTGGCTTGGCTCTACCAACTTCTTATTTCCTTCTTTCCCTGCGACGCTTCTCTGCTCTGTTCTCATCCTCTGTCCATCGCAGTCTCCGCGTCGTAGCTCGGCGACGCGTTCCAACCCCGACTCCGTGAACGGTTCGTCAACGCTCAAGAGGCGATCGGGGCGCCCGCACACAAGACCCCATCTCAGATCCCCTCCGCGCAGCTCCGCGCCCGCAGGATTAATCGCCGGGATGTTATCGACTGCCGAGTACTCCCACCGCGCGCGGCCAAGCGACCCTGGCGACGTCGACGATCGCTGGCCTAGGTCGCCGGTCATGACCCCGCATCTCCCTCGACCTCGACCACCACCCCCGCTTGCGCCGTGAACGCCATGGCCGTCGACTGGAACGACCCCGCTGTGGTCAAGTACATCTTTTTCCTCTACCAGCAAAATGCGGTATTCCTCCTCGGCTTCCACGGGTACGTCTGTCCTTCTCCTCTCTAGCACTCCGCCCTCAAGCATACCTCCCCGTCCCTCGTTCGCACCTAGTATGCACATCGTGACTCAGCTCCGCATCGAGCGGGAGCTGCTTCTCCGCAAGCGACCCTTCCGCCTGGTCTACGTGCCCTTCCTCCTCGCCCGCTACCTCGTCCTCTCCACCCTGCTCTTCTTGTGAGTCTCAGGGGCTTGCTGATCGACACCCCGAACTCAAACCCGAGCCCCGCCGCCCAGCGTGATCTCCCAGAACACGACAGTTCATGTGGACTGCGACGGTGCGTTCGCGTGCTTCGACCTGGCTTCAGCTGTCGGCACACGCTGATCGCTTGCTTCCTGCAGGTGCTTACCGGTTCTTCGCCGTTCGTTCTCCTCCGCCCCCGGTCTGTTTTGTCGTGACTGATGCCCACCGGTCTGGCAGGCAGTCGGTAGCATCTGTGCAATGTTCGCAAGTTGGATCCTCTGCACCCGCCCGTACGTCGCCATTTATCCAGTCCCCATCAAGTTCGTCTGATCTCGCCGTGCAGTCTCGTGATCTTTCACGCGCTCTCGATGCGCCTCCCCATCGTCGTCCTTAGCTTTCTTGGCTTCGTCCAAGCCGTGCTCGTCGTCCTGCGTACGCCACCTCATCCTCTGCGTTCTCTCCTGCACTGACAATCCCCAGAGGGCGTCCTGACTGTGCGCTCGCAGTGGAACGCCGCACGGCAGGCATGCGACATTGTCCAATGGGACAGCAAGATGCTTGCGACCTTCTACTCTTACTGTACGTCATCCTATCCTCTTACTTCCCTGCGCCCCGTCTCACATCTGTTGAAACAGCGTTCGGCTACGACGTCGTCATCGTATCCTCCACTCTCTACGCAGTCCACAAAGTGCAGCATCTCCAAGAGCGCCGCAAGTGGCACGTCGGCGATGCGCTCTGCGTCCAGGGTATCTGGTACATCATCACGACCTGCGCGGTCAACGTTCCCGTCGCGGTTCTCGCCATTCTCGACCTCAACAGTACGTTTCTGTCCTCTGTCCGCCACCGTCTCCTTGCGAGGAAGTCTCACCTCCTTTCACGTTCAGTTGGCATGGACATTTTGCTCTCGACCCCTGCGATGGTCATCAGGTCCGTCTCTCTCCTCTGCCCGCTCAAACGTCAGCCCTCACGCTGACGTCCCCGCCGTGCTCATCCAGCGTCGTCGCGTCCGCGCACGCCATGCTCTCTCTCGACGAATACGAGCGCGCCAATAGCCCCTCCACCGCCGGCATGTACATCACCACCCTCCCACTGTCGACGATGTAAGTCCCAGGGTCCGGTTCGGTGCCGCGTGCCGCCGGCTGATCACGATCGTGGCTCGCTCTCCAGGCCGATCGACACTGCGATCTCGCTCGGCGAGACGGAGAAGACGGACACGCAGCGCTCCGCCGCGACGACTGCGTCGACCGCGTCCGCGGACCAAGCGCACGCATCTGGACTCCATAGCTCCAATCCTGGCTGACGTTCCACGGCGCGTCGCGGACCTCTCGTCGTCGTACTCGTCGTCGCGGCTACTTGGACCCACGCGCCCCATGATCGGCGCTGTACTATACTGTCTCCCCCGATCGCTCTTCAAAGCTTCATTCCCCGCCTGTCAGTTGACCGAGCGCTATCGTCCTTCTGTGTATACCATAGATGCATAAATGGTTTGGTCCGTCTCAGACGATGTGGACATACTTTTCTTTGGGTTTTGAGGGGTAAGTGCTCCGGAACAATTTTATGGGCGTGCTTCTACAACATCAATGGTTGCAGCTCTAAAAACATAATGTACAACACAGAAGACGTCTTGTTCCATCATTACATCATGCACGCTACCGCGACTCGCGCACCGAGAGCCGTTCAAGCGTCCCAATAATCACACAAACAAGTTCCGTCCGGCTTCCGCAGGCTCCTGAACCTCGATGCGGATGTCCTCCGCCGCCGCGCCCTCCCGGCTCGTGTTCTCGACCTCGCGCGCTTGCCACGCCGGCATCGTGTGCGTCGCCGCCACGATCTCCACGAGTGCGTCACCCGCAGGCGGGAGAATGACAGTCGACGAGCCACCCTCGTCCGCGTTCGCGTCTGGCACGCCCGCAAGTGGAGAGTCGGGAGGCGGCGTCGGAGGCGCAGCCTGACGCGCCGGAAGGCCGCGGACAAACAGTCCCGGCCCGCCGTCCGCAGGCTGCAAAGCGCCGCGAGATACGGGCCAGTCTTGCCAGGGGGGAATGTCGTCGGGGGCGTCGGGGGCGGTGGGGCTGAACGGGTTCCAGCCGCGAACGCGCATCTCGTGGATGATGAAGAGCGCGGGGAAGGGGGCGTGGTGGTCCTGGGCGTCGAGGGCGACGGCCTTGTTGTGGAAGGGCCGGAGGTCTGGGAAATCGGCGTAGTTGATGAGGACGTACCGACCGAGCTGGACCGGGATGTTTGGTGCGCATATAGCCAGGGGCGGAAGGGTGAACACACCTTGGGATCGTTCTCGGGGCCGGGGAAGTAACGGATGAAGAAATGATACGCCTCGAATTGCCTGCAGTGGTCTCGGCACATGAGGAGACCGTTGCGGGGCTCGTTCGCAATGTGCCGCTTGGCTTGGACGGGGATCCAAAGGCGGCCTCTGAGTTCGCGCCACTGATGCAAACGTCAGTGACATGGGTGACGACGGTAGAGGCTCTGCGAAACTCACAATATCCCGCTCGGAATGGGGGACGATGGGAACACGGTGTATTAGACGGGTTCCTGTGCGTCCGCAGACTCCGCAGGCCCTGCGTCCGAAGAATTGGTCTCGTTTGTCGACGCCGGTGTCGAATGCAGTGCGGGCGGAGGTGGAGGAGAACGAACGGGCGGAGGACGCGTAGCCAAAAGGGAGTGTAGTGAGAGGGAGTGAAAAGGCAGCGAGAGCGGCCATGGTGGCGATCAACTTGAAGCTCATGAATTGAGAGCGACGCGCTTATATATACATGCAACGGATGACGTAGGGCGACGCGCCTGGCTCCTTGGTCGGAGTACGCCACTCACGAAGAGAAACCGCCGCCACCGATGCGCTTTACGAGCCTGACATGTAAGCATCAGTGCGTGCTCGTGCATGCGTGAACAAGATACAAGCAAACCTGAGACGGAAGGCATGGTGTACAGCGTGAGTGAGAAACGGAGGCAAGGAATGACGCGCATCCTTTAACACGCCACGATCACGTGCAGCGACGCGTTGGGCCTGCTGATGTCTGCAGTCCACCACCTTGGCTCGCCATCCGTTCGCGTCGCCTGCGCTCTAAAAGGGCCTCTGCCCCTTCTATCACGGACTCCAAGATGCCTCCAAAGACTCGCCCAACCACCTCTCGCTCTACACGGACAACAAAGCCCACCGCCGCCCCCGTCGCAGTGTCTCCCGATGACCTCGCCGACAAACTCGCCACCAAGCTCACGATATCGAATGGAAAGGGGAAGGCCAAAGATGCCGAGCTTACTCTCGAAGAGCGCAAAGCAGGCGCGATGCGCGCTGTGAATGCGGCCTCCAAGAGCCTCTCCGCCGTCCTCGAGACGGGCTCGAAAGCCGGCTCTGAGGCCAAGCCTGCGGCCGATCGTACCACTGCAACTTCTGTCACGAAGCACGCAACGACTGCGCGGAAGGAGCTGGGGACTCTTCGAATGTTGGATCCTAGACAGGTCGATGTCGAGAGGGCAGCGTCGAGCGTGGTGGGAAAGCTCGTTGGTCTCGACATGGTGCGTCCCTCGCTTCTCTCCATCCACACCCCCTGACATTTGCATAGTATCATGCGGCGCTCGGTCTGTTACAAGACATGTATCCTTTCTGCGCTAACCAAGACGATGCACCGTCGCCTTCAAGCACTTCCCCGTTGACCTTCCTCGCCCTTCCCATCCCCAATGTCCAAATCTCAGACATCCATCTAGCTCTCATCTCTGCCTATCATCTACATGCGCTCGCAGTCCTTTCACACACCACCACCGACCGCGGTGCTCTTGCGTCAGCCCTACTCGACCCAAACAGCCCCACGATTCTGTCCTGGTCTACCACATTCTCTGCACTCCCCGAGAAACAACACGACCATCTCTTTACACGCGCGTACTCCCTAACGTCCCGCCTTGCCTCCTCAACACCCCTGCCATCAACAGCATACTCCCTCCGTCTGTTTGCGCTCCTCTGTCTCACGTGTACGCGCCCCTCTGTCATCGCCCCATCCACGTTCTGGGAACAAGCCGTCAAGTTCGCCGCCATGTACGCGAACGCCGCCTCGTCCGGGCCCAAAGAGAACGCGGCGCATGTGACGACGTCCTTCGCGCGCCTCGCCGCGAGGGCGCAGGTTCGACCGGACGCGGTGGAGTTCATGGCGGGACCAGCGTTCGCTCGCTTCTGCGAGTACTGGAGTCGCTTCGCGAGGCAGGTGAGTGCGGACCCACCCGCGAGTGTACGCCTGGCTAAGGGACGTGTCCAGGCTGGTGATCTGGCTACGCTTGAAAGCATCGGTCGCTTTGCGCAGCCGGCGGGGGCCGCGTCCGCCTCGGAAGAGGACCGCAAGGTCATCGAAGCTTCGGACTTGGCGACGACCCTGGCTCGCGCACTGGCTGTCTTCGAGCATTGGCAAGGTGGGATGCTTGTTATTGGGCGCCGCGGAGTATCGTTGACCCCCGGTTCCGTAGAGCATGCATCCGATTTCGCCTCAAAGCTTTCTGAAGGGTCTGCGGCAATCAAGCGATGTGGGCTCATACTCGCTCAAAGCGGGAGCGATGCCGAGCGCGTCAAGCGCGGGGTAGAACGCTTGCGCCGCGCTTCAATGAAAGCGCTTGAACCCTCTCGGTCCGACACTACGAACTATCCACCTGAAGTCAAGGCCACTTGCCGCACGATCCTCCAAGGTGCCGTTGACGCTCTTTGTGAAGCAATAACCACGGTAAGCTTTTTGTGGTCTTGCATGGATTTTTTGTTGATAATCGTGCATAGCACAATACTCGAACCACCAATCTTCTTGGACCCGTCCTGGAGGGCCTCTTCACTCTTGCACGGACAGCTTTCGCTCTGAACAACCCTGGCACATACTCAACTGCACGATCGCTTCTTTCACGAGCACGATCTCTGTTACCCTCATCACCATTGTCCGAGGGATCCGTCTCTCCAATATCCGCTGCATATTATACCCGTTGCGTGGCCGCAGTCCACTACTATCTGGCTGGACAGCTTCACCAGAGCGGTCGATATGACCATGCCGCCCCTTTTGTTGAGGAAGCGTGCGCTCTAGGTCAACAGGCGTTGGATGCGTACCACGAGGTCAAGACCTCTAGTACCCCCATGGACGTCGACGGAGAAGCCGCATGCAAAGAAGAGCATTGGGAGCAGCTCGAAGAGCAGCTGTTCCGTCGGTGGGAACTCTTGGGGGTTTGCCATGTCAAGACCGGCGATCGCAGGGTACGTATACTTTTTTATGCATATATCTCCGGCTGACACGCTATCCAGTCTGCGTACGATGCGTTCGTCAGAGGGATCAAAGCCTTCCCATTCGCGAACCACGACCTTGTGGCCCTCGCGCGCAAGACGCCCATTGTCCGGCTCTTTGATAGTCCTGCTCTCAAGCAGCTCGGCGTGCTCATCGACCGGGTGACGTACGTCGCGGCGTGCGAGCTCCTCCTCCCCCCAACCGCCGTTTCCGCCCTCTCATGGTTCTCCGACGCTAAAACTAGTCCGGAGTGTAATTGCGTCTATGGGGCGCTTATCGAGCGCCAGATCGCAAGCTTGGAAGAAAGTAAATGGAAGCCGGGCGTCAGGGACGTGTTGAGGCAGCTCGTTGACGACGCCTTGCTGGTGTACGACGTGGAGGATCGGCCGGTGCGGCACGTCCGGTTGGTCTTGAAACGGCTCGAGTTAGCATGCCAGCCGGACGCAGGGCTGGAAGCGTCGCCCGATGAGCGGAGCACCGAGCTAGCCAAAGATGCTGAGCAGCTGCTCGCGCGTCAGGTCCGTGCTCCCCGCTGCCTCTCGTACTGCTCGTTAACCTGGTGTCGTCCAGTCCTTCGCGCTCGACGCGTCCCTGTCCCAGCACTGCCCGGAGTACCTCGCGTCCCTCCACCTTTGGCGCGCCATCTACGCGCACCGCACGCGCGACCCTGCAGTCGTGCCCGCCGTCGTCGCGCACGCTGAAGAGGCGTGCAAGGTCATCCGCGCGATGGTTCCCGCGCTTCCCACGGCGGCTGTGCGAGCCTCCCTCGGCGGTGGGCGTGCGACAAAAGATCTTCAGGCCGCGGCCCCTGCGAAGCGTGCGACGCGAGGTGCCGCGAAGGCCGCGCCACGCCCGAAGATCGCGGTAACGCGGACGAGGGCGCCGCCTGTGACACCCAAGAAGCGGAGGCGTGAGTTCTAGCGTGGTTTCTAGAGAACAGAGAATGTTGCTAATGGTATCGCAGCACTCGATCCTAACCTACCTGTGGTCGACGTGTCGCCACCAAAGGGCGGTGTGTCAGTGCCGGTACAAGGGAAGATGCATTTCGAGGACTTCGACAGGCTCGTCTCGCTCATACGTGAGTCGTTGCCGATAAGGACCGTTGCTCTTGAAACGAACCAAACGTTTAACAGGGATGGTCTCGCATCTCATCGGGCTCGTGGGCCACGTACTCGTCCGAATTCAACTCCTCAATGCCGCGAGACGATTGGCCGAACGTCACCTCGGCATGGGTTCTGAAGGTGTGTTCTATCAGACGTAGAAGGAGAAGGAGTGCTCATGAGCTTCTGCTAGTCTATGTGTCCTTGACTATCGATACCGCCCACGAGTACGTCAAACTTGGGCGCGCCGAAAAAGCGGTGTCCATCCTCGCCCACGTTCTTCCCGCCGCGCGCGCAGGGTCCCTCCCGCAGGATCTTGTCGTTGTCTTGCTGTTAAGATACTCCGAGTCTTTGGCTGCCGCCGATGAGGTGCTTAAAGCGTACGTATCACCTTTCACTGTGGTGTTACGTTTGTGGTGTCTGATCACAACGTCTGGCCAGCTCTATAACATATTGTGACGCTGTAGCGGCCGCCTCCGACGTGCTTGTCGAGGAGAAGGGTCTACCTACAGCACAGCGGATCCGTGTGCGGGCAGCTCTTCTTGAGAGAGCTGCTCAAGCCGCGCTGTCGTACGCCGCTGTGCAGGATGCGCGAGTAAGGACGTGCGTCTTTGTTCATAATCTCCGTGCTGATGAGGCACCTTTTAGGATGATCCCACGTCTTCGATCGAAGGCTTGTCGCAAGCCCTCCGCCTCTGGAATCGCGCCATCGAAACCATCTCCCGCCTCCAGCCCTTGGCACCGAAAGAACCCGCCGAAGACAACCCGTTCGAAGTCGCCCCCAAACCCGATGCCGACCCACATGCTCCCCAGACGCACGAAGCACGCGTGATCACCCCCGCGCGTCGCACGGCGCCGCCTACCTCGACTCCTCCGGCTGGCGTCTCGCCGAGGGCCTGCTCGCGACGCTCCTCTCACTCGCGCACGCGTACGCCGCACGCGGCTCCGCGCGCGAAGCCGAGTTCTTCGCCGCGCAGACCCGCGCGCTCGCGACGACGCTGCACGCCCCGGTGATGGTCAGCCGCGCGCGCGCGCTCCAGGGCGAGCTCCTCATCCAGCTCGGGCAGCTCCCGGAGGGCCACGTGGCGCTCATGGAGGCCGCCGCGCTCGTCATGCACCTCAAGGGTCCGGACGCGGTCGAAGTCCGGCGGCTGCTGGGGCGGTACAGCCAGCGGAGCGCGGACGCGAAGGGGGCGCAGCAGCTTTTCGAAGAGGCGGCGGTGCTACTGGACGAGCTGAGCGGGATGTTTGCGTCCCTGGACGGGGTGGTGGCGACCGGGTGCGTTTTCACGCGATTGTTTGATCTCCGGCCGTCCTAATTCTTGCTGCAGTGGCCGGAAGTCGTTGGTGGTCGCGTCCCCGAGGAGGAGCTTGAACCCGCAGGAGAGCACGTTGGCGCCGTCGTTGCTCGCACGGGTGCTGCGTCATCAAAGTAAGGAACGTCTTCTGCCGTCCGCGCTTGTGCAGTTCGCTGATCGAGCCACTAGTCTCCCTTCTGCATGAGTCGGGTGCAGAGTATCAGAGCTTACTAGAACGGTTTGCAAAGTTACCACAAAGCGCAGATGCCAAGGTGAGTCTCTAGCATCTGCATGAAGCGTTAGCATTGACTGGATCGTCCGTCGTGCAGGCGGAAGAAGTTGCTCTACGCGCAAAGTTGACTTTGGACGAAGTTTACTCGCGTTTCCGTGCGGACATGTTCCTGAGCTCGCTTGCAGAATCCGGTGCGCACATTGGATGCTTAAGGTTGCAGCGAAGCTCATGTGATTTCTAGCAATGACTATTCCCATGGGTATGTCCGGAGACGGTGGCTCGTCGCCTGCGTCGCAAGACATGCTTGAGACCTTGTCGACCGCTGAGCGGCTGTTCTGGGAGCACATGGGATACATTGCGCGGCGTGGACATGTGTCTTCCGTGCGCGAGGCCGCCGTCTGTCTCGCATTGATACGCACGTTCCGTACCAGTCTGGGTCGTGGAGATGAGTACACACCGGTACTGGCCGCCCAACTCCTTGGTGAGTCAGAGGATAGGATCTTGGGAAAGTTGCTGAACGAGACCACAGACGCATCCACCGTGACGACACTCCGACGCGAAATGCTGGATGTGGTCCGGCACAAGTTCCTGAACATGAACGCCGCCGACGGCCTGCAATGGCCACTCATGACCCCCAACGGGTCGCCCCTTCCTCCTCCATCGAAAGCCAAGCGAGTAACACGCTGGAGTGAAACATCCCTTCTGGACTCAGAAGACGATGAGCCGATGGACGTCGACCTGAAGTCGTACTGGGAAGCGGTGTCGAAGCGGTACGAGGCGCAGTGCTTCGACTCCGAGCGGATGACGCACAGCCAGTGCGACACACTCCCCGCGCACTGGTCGGTCGTGAATATCAGCGTGACGGAAGACCGTCAGACGATGTTCGTGACGCGCCAGCGCGCCGGTCGGCGTCCGCTGATATTCTGTCTACCGCTGCGAGGGAGGCGCGAGGGCCAGGAAGACGAGCATCTCACGTACGATGACGTGATCAAGGAACTGGAGAACATCATCAACGCTAGCACGGAGAAGACGCGGGAAGCGGGAAGCATCGATAAGGAAGACAAGGCTGCGCGGCAGGCGTGGTGGAAAGCCCGCACAGAGCTTGATGGGCGGTTGCGGGACCTGCTCGCCGACATCGAGTTCTGCTGGCTCGGGGCGTTCAAGGTTCGTTCGTCTGATGCTCCAATGCCATTGTGGTTTACGCTTATGATCTACAGACCATCTTCGATTCTCTGCAGAACCTTCACTCCGAGGACCTGTCGGCTTTCAGGTCGCGCCTGGAGTCCGTCTTCCAGGGAAATCTGGTGTTTCAGGACAAGAAGCCGAAGTCTCGGATCAGCCTGGACGACGGTCTTCTGGAGTGCTTCTCCGCGCTGCCGGCCTCCTGCCGGGACGAGGAAGTGGAAGATCTGGTGTACTTCATCCTCGACCTCTACCAGTTCCACGGGATCCCGGTCGCGACGTCCGAAGTGGACATAGACCAAGTGGTGGTCGAGCTCCGGAGCGCACTCGAGGAGCACGGGTCACGACTGAGATCGCGGGGTGAGGCGCGGACGGATGACGACAGCCACCTGTTCCTGGTGCTGGACAAGAACGTGCAGGGGATCCCGTGGGAGTCGCTGCCTGTGCTGCGGGGGAAGAGCGTGAGCCGGATCCCGAGCATGGACTTCCTCGTCGACCGGCTCGAGTTCTCGCACTGGCGCAAGTGGGAGGACGGGAGCCCGCAGGAGGGAGTGGTGGACCGGGCGGCGGTGGACCCGCGCAAGACGTACTTCGTGCTGAACCCGAGCGCGGACTTGAGCGGGACGCAGGCGAGGTTCGAGCCGTGGCTGAAGGGGATGAAGGCCGCGGGGTGGGACGGGGTGGTCGGGCGTGCGCCGAGCGAGCAGCAGGTGGTGGATGCGTTGACGAACCGGGACCTGTTCATGTAAGTGCCAGGACAAGGGCCGGTCGAGCGTTCGGCTGAGGACGAGCCCACAGATATTTTGGCCACGGGGGTGGGGAGCAGTACGTGCGGGCGCACAAGGTGCGGCACCTCGCACGCTGCGCCGCGACGATGCTCTGGGGTTGCTCCTCCGGAACGCTGAAGTACATGGGGGACTTGGACCGGACCGGGACGCCGTACCACTACATGCTCGCCGGGTGGTGCGTCCCCTCGTCCGTCTCTCCTTTTTTTGGATGCTGAGCCGCTCGCGGACAACAGCCCGACGCTGGTCGCGAACCTGTGGGACGTGACGGACCGGGAGATCGACAAGGTCGCGCAGTCGGTCTTTGACGACCTCGCGCTCACGCCGTCGGCGGTGGGCGCGTGGCGGGCGGCGGGGCCGCGGCGCACGGGGGCGATGTCGGTCGTCGAGGCGGTGGCGCGGGCGCGGGACGGGTGTAGGCTCAAGTACCTGACGGGAGCGGCCCCGGTCGTGTACGGGATCCCGTTCTACCTTTGAACGGACGGATGGTTTCGGACTGGATGCTCGCCACGTTATATGTTTCCGCGACAGCGCCGCCCGTGTATTTATATGTTGTGCTGACAACGGGGCCGGCTCGCGCAGAAAGTAATCTGGCACGTTGGTATGGGCCGTGTTGTAGTTGCCTGTCCTCCTGGCATGTACAGTGAGATGTCCGCTCGTGGCTCGTGATCTCGCGCGATCGGGCGTGGCTGGAGGCTGGATCTGATCCCGGGAGGCGGCGTTGTGGGCCGCGGGACGCCCGATCTGGGTGTGGTGGTCCAGTGGGAGGGAGACAGGGTCGGCGAGCGTGCGCTGCCCGGATCTGAACAGTTCATCCGGGGCTTCCAGGCTGGAGTTTCTCAGTTTCAGCCCCGTCTCGGACAGTCTGTTGGCAGCCCGTTTGGCAGGTCGTGAATGCTCCAATGCGCGGGCGGAGGTGTCCCGTACTGGCGAAAGGTCGGGCCAATGGCTGGATGCTCTCTCCATGCAATCGCCGGTCGATTCATGTGTGGCCCTGTCGCGGTTCGTATCCCGGACGTATCCAGCCAGGGTCAGAGGCATCGAACGAGGAGAATGAGCGAGTAGGACCGTGTAATGGGCGGTCAGAGTCGGAGTCGAGCGCCTGAGCTGCCAAGAGCTGCCAGTCGGACGAGCTCTAGTGCGGGAGATCTGATTGCGGCCGGGCGGAGGAGGGCGGATGAAGGTTAGCATCGCGGCAAGCGCCGGGCGGTCACGGGCGGCGGCCTCCTGAGCGCGCGCATATACTTACCTCCTCCTTCTCGCCATCGTCCTCGTCCTTCCCCCCTCCGCCTCCGTCCTGCCCGATGCATGCCATCCGCCACTCCGCCGACGATGACCCTCTTGCAGCCGCCCTCGCCCCGCCCCCCGGCGAATCTCCCATCGACCGCGCTGCCCGCCTCGCCCGCGAGTCAGACGCAAGGCGCGTCAACGACGAGATTGAGGAGACCATCAAGCTTGACCGTCTCGCCTGGAAGCGCAACAAAGCCATGTTCAAGCTCCTCCTCCTCGGCCAGAGCGAGTCCGGTGCGTGCCCTCTCTTGCTCCCCACCTCTTGCGACCCCTGCCCTCCGTCCACCCCTTGCCATTCATTGCGAACGAGCATCACCCCTCGCCGTCCCCTCGCCCATTCACCGCCCTCTTTGCTCCCCATCTGCTGCACAACCATCTGCCAGACCCAGCCCGCTCTCCCTTTCCTTCTGGCCCTGCACCGCACCTACGGCGCCTACCCCCGTTCTCCCAGCCTTCACTGCCCCCCTTCGCTCCCAAACTGATCTCTCCTCACAGGCAAATCTACCACGCTCAAGAGTACGTCCTTCTCTCCCATTTCCGCCCTTGTGAATGCCCTTTTCATCTCCCACCGGTAGACTTCCAGCTCGCGTTCGCTCCCAAAGCATGGCATGCCGAACGCACCTCCTGGCGAGCCGTCATCCAGCTCAACCTCGTCCGTTCCATCAACCAGATCATCGACCTCCTCTCTCAGAACATGACCAAGTCCCCTACCGGTCCCACTTCGCCCTCCGCCACTCCCTTCAGCCGTCCACCCAACGATATTGTCCCCGATCCCTCCTTCTCACCTGACGGCCCTCCGTTACACTTCACCCCTAACCACTCCTTGCTCAAGCTGAGATTGGCCCCCCTCCGCCAGGTCGAGGCCGACCTCAAGATGCTTATTGGTGCTGCGACAGACGAGCTCGATGACATCCCCGGCTCCCCCCTCGGTCAGGCCAACGACACTCTCGCCGCAGCCCCCTTCGATCCCGCTGCTTCAGGCACTGCGCGCCGGCGACCCGCTGAATACTACGTGCGCGCCAACGCCGCATGGCGCGACGTCCTCAAGTCCGCTTCCGGTCGCCGAGGGGAGGAGTCTGGAACGGAGCGTACGGGGCTGCCTACGGAACGCTTGGAGTCCGCGAAGGAGATCATCGCGAGTTGCGCGGAGGACATGCTAGCTCTCTGGGCGGACTGCGCCGTCCGAGAGCTTTTGCGGCGGCGGCGAATCAAGATGGAGCTCGCCCCTGGCTTGTACGTTGCGCCGCGCCGCGTGTGGCCAACCGTCGCTGACCTTTTTGCACCCCGCCCCCAGTTTCCTCGATGACATTGCGCGGATAGCCCAGCGCGACTATGAGCCGACGGACGGGGACATCGTGCGCGCGCGCTTGCGCACCGTCGGCGTCCAAGAGTACAAGCTTACGATGGAAAAGTACGGTGCGTCCCGCGCCCGTGCCTCTTTGTTACACGCGCACTCATCACTCACTATCAGTACCTAATCCAGCGACGACGGAGGTTGGGCGGGATTGGATGATTTACGACGTCGGCGGGTCCCGGACTGCGGTGCGTAGCCGTTCTTCTCTCTTATTCGGGACCGTACCTGTCGCCGGGCGGTCTCGGTTTTGAGACCGTCCTTTGCGTGCCCCTCCTTTTCGCGCCCGCGGTGATGATCGTGACTGACGCCGTTTGACCCCGACAGCGCGCGGCGTGGTACCCGTTCTTTGATGACGCGAACGCGATCCTCTTCCTCGCGCCCATCTCGTGCTTCGACGAGCTCCTCGCCGAGGACCGGCGTGTGAACCGCCTCGAGGATTCCTTCCTGCTCTGGAGGGGCATCATCCAGTCCAAGCTGCTCGCTAAGTGCATCATCATCCGTGCGTGTTCCCTCCCTTCATTGCCGGTGGCGATCAGCTCACTATAGAGCCCCGCAGTCTTCCTGAACAAGTTCGACCTGCTCGAGAAGAAGATTAACGCGGGTGTCAAGGTGAACAAGTACCTGCCGAGCTTTGGCGAGCGCGAGAACGACGCGCAGGTCCTCGCCCGCTGTGCGCCCTCTTACACGTCACCTGCATGTCCTTCTCGCTGACGACCACGGGCAGATCTGCACAACAAGTTCCGCGACCAGAACCGGGAGTACTCCCCACAGCCGAACCGGCCCTTCTACGGCTACGTCACGACGTGTATCGACACCAAGGGCACGGCGGCGACGCTTGCGTCCAGTACGTACCCCCCTCCCCCTCCGGTCGTCCGTGTGCGAGCGCTGATAGTCTTGTAGTGCGCGACGGTGTCCTACGGCACAATCTACGCCGCGCCGACTTTGTATAGCAGGCACTCATTCGCCTAGTCTAGACTTCATCTTCCCAGCCACCCCACCGATGCTAATTCCAGCCCCCTTGCCCCTCCTTCACGCTCACACATGCTATTCTGCTCTGGTGTCCCCGTCGACGCGCCCCCACCTAGACTAGCCTGCCCCGGCCTCCCTGCCTCGTCCTACGAGTAAAATTGGGACCATTTCCTCCCATCTCTATCCGTCTGTCGCTCTGTATCTGTAGCATAGGCCCGTGCGATCTGCGCCGATCTCGTCGTTATATCTTATTTGCTATGTACTTGTCCCGCCATATCTTACCTACCCACGAGCGCCGTGCGCGCCCGTTATTCATGTGTCCCCCCGTCTCGGCGAATGAGGCCGTGAACGCGAGTGCGATGGGCGGCTTCTTCGGGCCATCGCGAGCGGCTGAGCTCGGGTCCATGCCTAAGTATACGGTTTGAGTTCACTGAAACCGTCGGACTTGCCGCACGTGGACGTGCGGTGGCCAGCGCGCACGTCGGTGATGTCAACGTCGATGAGTTCGCGAAGGCGGGTGCTGGATATCTGGATGCTGGCCACGGGTATCCAGGGGGGCGGTGCAGGTGGAATAATGTACAGGAGTTTCATTTCGTTCTTGTAGTCTGAACTGCACTTGGGACTCGCGATCCGAGGGCTTGCAGTGTGGCGGATGTCACAGCGTCCAGCGATCGAGACGAAAGCGTCGAGAGTCGCGACTCGCGAGGCTCTGATGAGTCGGCAGCCCGGGCGGATGAATTTGAACCTCGAGAAACTTGTTCCCGTTCGCGCCTTCACTCGCAAAGGACGCATTATCGAGCACACCAAAGGTGCCACGCAGTGTGCAAGGAATGAGAAGTTAGAAAATGTTCGCCGTGAGGTTGGAGCGGGGGCGGACACCGGCTCGCCTGTGCGAGCCGATCGGAGCCTCGCCAGTCGCTGTGACCCTCTCTCCGAAATCAGCATCACAACCCCATCGCTCCTCAGGCCTTCGGGCCTCAAGGCCTCAGGTTGCACTCACACGTCTCTGCGCATTCACCGCGGCCGCCTGTATTTCAAATCCCCCACTTGCCTTCCGGACTCCATTATCCATACTACTTCCTCGAGCGCTTTCCTCAGATCGCGGCGGCGCGCGCGCCACCAGAGCTCCGATATCCTCTCGTCAAGGCCGTCCCTGCGCTCCTTGGCAGACATGATGCAGCCGAACGTGCCCAATCGCGCCGCGGTTCGCCGAGGCTCGACAGGAGCTGATGCGTGGGTAGGGTATGCGCAAGTACGCGTTGAAACGTTGAACGTTCAGCGTCAGCGAAGAAAAGACTTGACTCGGTTGTGACTCGGACTCGAAGAGATGATGTACCCGCGAGCCGGCTTGCAGGCGCGATCGAAGGCTGTCTGTCAGTGTGGGTACTACATGGAAATTTACACGGTAGTATGTCAGCTTCGTCGTTCTGGAAGGTCGCTGGTGCTGTAACGGAGTAGAGGAAGCGCGAGGAAGACAAGCGCGCTGCTTGAGTGCACCGTGGGAATCAAATATTAATCACCTCCGACGCGCCGTCACAGCACGTCCGGATCCAGCACTCGGACTGTCACTGCTCAAAGCTTGCCTATTCCTGCACCCCGTAGCCATGTCATAATTGCTCTTCCTTCAGCGCAGGCTCATTTCCCAGTCTTCTTTACAGTGCTCTATAGTCACAAGTCGTGTGCGTGATTTGCTGCGGATTGACTTTATCGCTCTCACGTTAGTCAGCCACAGGTGGAGGTTTTCCTTTGCTCCACTCCATTCGCCGTGGGCCGCCCTTTTGACGCGGGTAAATTGCATTGAGTACTTATCGATTATCGATTTATCACTGGTACCCACATATAACGGCCGGTGCTGACCAAGAGCGCCCATATCCGCATGCGCACCCACGCAGCTCACGTCTCGACAACGCCTTGCGCTAGAATGGAACCATCGCTGTGCGCGGATTAGGTTGTGGTTACGTGGTTTGCTTGCTTCCGAGCGCATTCGCTGACTACACATCTCGATCCCCACCTCCCGCCCGAGGCTCGGCCTACATACTTATAATAGCACAGTGGGACGTGGCTTGTTGGACAACGCCCCGCATCTGTCCCTCTTGTCTTCTCGCCATGGATAGCCTCGCACCGACTGTTTGGTTCATAACCGGGTTAGCCTCTCTGCCATACTTGTTGTCTTATCCCTCAATCTGACATGTTCTTTCCACACAGCGCCAATCGGGGTATCGGTCTTGAGCTAGTGAACCAGCTTCTGCAATCTCCTTCCAACGAGGTCTTCGGCGCGTGTCGCAATCCTGTCGACGCAGCATCCCTTCACGCTCTCGCGGGCCCTGGAAAGGGCACGTTGCACATCATCGCACTCGACATCAACGACTCCGCGTCGATCGAGGCTGCCGCGGCCGAGGCAAAGGCGGCTCTCGGCGAGCGCGGCATCGACTACTTGATCAACAACGCCGGTATCGTACGTGCATAGGTTTGAAGATTTCTCTCCCCTCTGAGGCTGACTGCGTATTGCGTAGAACCCGGGGTGGGGGGACTCCCCGCCCGTCATGACCGTTGACAACATGCTGGCCGCGTTCCGAACCAACGTCATTGGCCCGGCGCTCATGGTCCAGACGTTTGCGCCGCTCGTCGCGCGTGGCGGGAAGAAGGCCATCGTGAACGTCTCTAGCACGATGGGTAGCATCGCATCACGGAAGCCGCAGAACCAGCACTCGTCGTACTCGATCTCGAAGGCGGCGCTCAACATGCTGGTGCGTGTTCGGCGAAGTTCGCGGCTCGCGTTGTATGTTGGCGAAGCTGATGCATGATGCGCAGACGGGCAAGCTCGCGGACTCTTACCCGGACCTCACGGTCATTGTGATGTGCCCTGGGTGGTTGGAGACGGGTATGTGTCGTGCTCCGGTGGCTCCCGCTTTGGTCATAACAGGATGTCTTCTTGTAGATATGGGCGGAGCTGGCGCTGGACAGCTACCTGTGTCTACGGGAGTTGGAGGTATCATCAAAGTAGCCCAGGGACTGAAGCACGAGGATTCAGGATCGTTCATCGAGTACACGGGAAAGCGCGTGCCCTGGTAGAGTACCTCCCCTCGATTCCCAGCTGGCCCGACCGGCGCTACTTGTGGTACTAGATATATAGCTCATGCGACAGGACTTATTTTCCTCGCGAGCCCGAACTTGGCTCGAGTCCATTCTGAGGAACCAGTTCATCTCCTTCTATTGGAATCGCATTTTCCTACTCTTTGAACTCCTGCAGCACCTCCACTGTCTTCCGACGTCCGCCAAGGTTCCCACCGCACGTTGCGTACCTCGACACTCACGATGACCACGCTCTCATTTCTCCCTCGCCGAAACGTGTCTCGTCCCAGAAAATCACGAAGGTATCTCCACTGAAGTCGCGTTTGACGTGCTTAGATTATGTATCTGCAGAACGATACGCTTTCTCCTCTGAAGTTCACTCACGCCAAATGTTGCAGAACTGGGTGCACCAGACGCCGCGTTTCCGGTGGTGACTGGCTTCGCAGAGATTTTCAAGGTCACTCAAGAACTCATCGAGTCTAGCATGTTCTTTAAACTCATCGGAAGGTGTGTGCCGTGGGGGATGAATACAAGAGTTCGTTACGTCTATGTCTAAAACGATGTCTATGAGCACAGCTCGTGGGGTAAGATCTCGTATCGATGCTTGTGATCCCGCGGACCGGGGTCGGGACTGTCAAAGCTAGTCTGGCGTGGGCCCATGTCGGGCGCACGCCAACCAGAACCGTCGAAGTTGTCAAGGCTGCACACCAAGGCATGATGAGTGTTCAACGATACACCGGACATCATAAAAACACTCACAAAAGCCGTTGCACGCCCGCCTCGGACGTGAACACCTCATGGGTGTTGTGGCTGACTCCGGGAAGGAAGTCGACATTATCCTCCGGGTCCGGGGGGAACTCCTTGATGAAGTTCAGCATGCGGTCTTTCCGAGTGGCACCCGTCGTGAACGGCCCACAGGTCGCCGCGTTCTCGCCCGTGTCGTTCAGGCCGTGCGCGAAGACGACGTTCCGGATCTGGAAGCGCGCGAGCACCGCGCCCGCGCCCGCTGCGACGAGCTCTGCCGAGTAATCGAGCGGGTAGTTCGAGAGCCCGTCTCGCCAGTCGTCGAACCCTGGGCAGTGGGAACGTGGGAGCGGGCCGGGGCGGGAGCGGGAGAGCCAGACGTAGGAGGACGGGTCGGCGATGTAGTGGACTACTTTCACTTGGGGGCGTAGGGGAAGGACGGCGCCGACCGCGGCGTGTCGGCTGGGTGGGAGAGGAACGGAGGGTCAGGGGTGAGATACAGGCTAGCGGGACGAAGAGGAGGGAGCGGGACGGACTGGGTGGCTTGGCCGCCGAGACTGTGGCCCGCGACGACGATCTCGGCCAGGTTCGGGTATTCGGAGTCGAACCATTGGAGGATTTGGTCCATGACGTCGAAGGAGGAGACCGCACGGTCGGCTGGATGGAGGTTGTCATCGCCGGTCGAATAGTTCGCGCCCTCTATTCCCATCGCGGTGAGCGGGTCAGATGGATGTACCCTGGGATCAAGGGGGGTTTACCTGTCCACACCAATGCATCGCCCTGAACGTTGTCGCCAGGATCGAACCAGAGAGGGACAAGGATGGCTGCGGTCTCGCGCTGGACTGCGCTATTGTTGAGCGTCGCGAGGTTCCGAGCATCTCGCGCGGCGCGGAAATGGATGTCGGGCCGCCCGTCAAACGCGGTGTTGATGAGAAGAGCGCGTGTTACTTTGCTCCGGTCGTGATCGCTGTCCAAGGAAAAGTAGTTCTGTCGATATCGGACTCGTCAGATTCAATACAAAACGAAGCGGGAAGAGGGAGAGCTGCTCACGATTAAAGTGCTATTCCGGCCCAAGGTGTCGTTGATCCGGAAGAACTCTACCGTGGCGCCGTCGACAGGGGGAAGGGTATTTGCGGATGGCGTGCCTTGATATTGCTGAGCGTGAACGGCGGCCAAGAGGGAAGCGGCAGAGCAGAGAGGAGATAAGAAAGAGCCCCAGGCTCTCATGATTTGGTGGGAGAGCGGGAATGGAGAACGTCTGTGGCAAGACGGGTCGAGCACAGTGCCCGCGGTGCCTATATAGTGCATTGCATGATGGCATCGCCCGAGCGCTGGAGCGCACCGTGTGACCGCAGCATGGCATGGAAATCCACGACGGGAGGAAAAACTGTGGAGAGATGGAGGAACCGAGTGGAGGAGGCGTGGTGAGGGACGAAGAACCCGGGCGCGCGCCAGGCGGCCGGAACCGATAATGCGGGCGGGCAATGCGCAGGACCCAGGTCGCGCGGTGCGCGCGCGCACAATTGGACGAAACGTCGTATTCACGTGTGGCCTTATCGCGTAGTCCACGTATACTGCCAGCCTATCCACAAAAAATTAGAGGTTTTAGAAGCTTTAGAACATAGCAAGACTTACGGATGGCCTCATTGCCAGTACTTCGTCTCGTACAAGATATATGAATGGCGCCCCGAGGATCCGAACACTCGGGCGCAGTACAGTATATCGTGAAGAAGGTGGAGCGCGGACAGCGTTTTCGTCCAGCCGCAGGCAGATTTGCGCCCAATTGGCGAGCATCAATGGACGACTTGGAGGTGCACTGACACATCTAAGTGTGCTCGACTAAACATCCAATTGAGTCCAGCACAGCGCTCCCTCGTCAGCCATCCCCTGCATCTACTGGTATCTCGAATACTCACCAGAAGGACTTCGCACTCCCATGGCCCTCTCCTGCGACTATATACAAGTTGCTGTAACTTGAGGTGGTGGCGCCTCCACCTCGGCACCCGGTTGAACGCGGGCGGCAGCAAATGGGATAAGCGGTTGTGGTGCGCGCACGACAGTAATCACATTGCGTTTGGGGTGCGCGTGCGGTCGCGCGGGCCTTCGACGCCACGGCCGGCACGGGGCAGGGAAGGACACAGTTCATGTGCCGCCCGCGTGCGGACGCGACGCCAGGCGGGGTACCGCCCGGCGTGCGTACCGTGAAGCCTGGGCAGTGGGCACTCGTTCTTGGCGTGTGTGGTCCGAGTTCATTTCGAATTGCAGTGAGTTGATGATGTCGGCACTGGACACTCTGCCAGCGAAGAGTTTGAGAGTGTGCGCGACTTCGATACCGGCTCTCGTGGCACTGTCAAGGACCGTTTCTTCCGCTTCCGATGGCTCAGGGAACGTAGTAATTTCAGCACTCCCATTGAAGTAGACGAAGAGGTCGGGGCGGGTGAGCCGACGGTGTGCACACTGGTTCGCATCGCCGTCGGAAATGCTCTTCGTCAAAGTGTGCAGAACCATCATCCTGTGAGATTGCGGATCACAAGGGGTAGCGGACTTACGATTTCAAAATTCGCTTGCCAATTCGCACGTTTGGGGAGTACTTAGAAAGTGATGAGGAGGATCGCGTCCGGTGCCGGCGGTAGGGAGACGCCCCAGGGTCAACGAAGCGCCCAAGCTGCGCTGCACCAGAAGCAAGTCTCCCCCATTCTGTACCGATGTTGTCAATCGCCATGACTCGCTCCGCTCCCTCTATCCTTCACTCTCTGTGTCCTTGATACGACGTTGCACGGATCATATCGTGAAGCATCAGACAGAGCAGATAGTACGTACATGCGGAATCTTAGAGTCACAGGAATGCTTGCGCCTGCAACATCCATATCCGCGCATACTCTCCCTGCTTCTGCATCAGCTCGTCATGCGTGCCCTCCTCCACGATCACCGAGTCGTTCATATACCTGCGCTCAACGTAAGTAGCCGCTCGCGCAAAACAACGTCAACACTCACAAGATTAGATCCGCGTGGCGCGTCAAACTTCCGAACCTGTGCGACGAAAATACCATCGTCTTGTTCCCCCGCAGCTCCCTCAGCCTCCCGAACAGATCTGCAGAATCTCGACGTCAGCACCGCCTCCGTCCTTCTGGCATACAAGAGTCACGCACCATGCTCCGCCGTCGGGTCCAGCGACGCGCTCGGCTCGTCGAACAGCAGCAGTCCCACGCGCGCCTCCTCGGCGACGACCGCGCGCATGAACGTCCGCGCGACCGCGAGGCGCTGCATCTGCCCGCCGCTGAGTGCCGGCCCGCCCTGGCGCGCGGCCATGCCCCCTGCGCTGCGCACGCCCGAGTAGTCGATCGGACGGCCGAAGAGCGAAGTTGTGCCCTGAGGCATGCCCGCGAAGTAGTCGCGCACGGGACGGTCGAGATACGTGTCGGCGCCGTCAGGGAGGCGCGCGACGAAGGTGGAGGCGCCGCCGAGCTCGAGCGCGGCGGTGACGCGCTCGTCGTTGCGGAAGTTCGTGGGGTCGCCGAGGGCTACATTATCGCGGATCTTGGGGTGCATGAATAAGAGGAAGGACAAGTAGAGAGGAGGTGCAAACGTACGGAAAGGGGAAAGTGAGTATAATCTTGGAAGAGAACAGAGACGGCTTGTCGAAGGTCGAAGAGCTTGAGCGTGCGGATGTCTTGTCCATCCAGCAGGATTTGGCCCTCGTCGGGGTCGTACAGTCGTACGACGAGCTTGAGGATGGTGCTCTTCCCTGATCCATTCGCCCCTACGATGACCTAAAAAGTTACAGTTCATGAGTTCACGCTTGCCGCCTCTGAACAGGTAGACGTACACATAGCTGCCCGGCAGCGATTTTGAACGACACGTTCTTCAACGCGTACATGTCCGACCCGGGATACCGGAACGACACATTACGGAACTCAAGTGCGACGCCATATTTGATCTTCTGCGCATCCTCGGGGAACGGCTTGGTTCCGTCTTGGATGCGATTTGAGATCTTTGTGACTTCGTATAGTTTGCGTACCGTAGACAGCTGTTCGGTGATTGAACTCGTCTGGTCGAAGAAGCGCCAGACAGTGAACGCAAAGTGCGCGGTCGTGTTTTGCAAGAGATTGAGGGACGCGAGCGACACTGGCATCGAGGCAGGGTATTGGACCGCTCGTAACGTAAACACGATCTGCGACATAGTTTAGACGGTGCGCTGAAGGATGTGGCAGGGGGACGCGCCTGGGGTAACTCATGTATGGGGTCCTTGAGTAGGCTAAAGATACTGAGACGTTGGCGACTCTGGGTCGCGCGCCGAAGCTCACTGAAATCGACCGCATTGTCTGGACCGACACGTTTTGACACTTCCTCGAACTCTGTAACACGTATAAGTAACGATGAAAGAGCAATCCTAGGAGACCATCAATATCCAAGACAAGCATGAGGGCGATCCGTGCGACGAACGTGTCCTCGAACGCATCCTTTTGCAAAGATGCTCTGCGCAAAAAGCAGTTCAAACTCGCCTTTCGTCATGAACTCGGCCAGGTTGCCCGAGATGAACTCCTTCCGGTGCTCCATGTTGTTGACGACGTGCTTCATGCCGACCATCTGGATGTAGTCCTTGTCCTTGGTCGTCGCAGCCCACACTAGTGGACGATGAACATGCATATAGTCAACCAGCAGCGAAAAGACGCACCCTTCTCTGTCGTAAACGCGTTCCATCGCGTGACCCAGTCGCTGATCGAGGTCGCAAAGCTTAGTATTGCGAGCAGGATGCCGTCGCGCTGTCCACCGAGAACTTGCGCGAGAACAGAAATCTGGGACACGACCTGGACGAGCGTCGAGACGATGCTCGATGCCATCATGAGGGTGTCGTACGCGATGCTACCGGACGTCGAGGAGGCCTCCTCGAGCTGGCGCTGGACGAGCGGGTCCTCAAAGGTGGGAAGGTCGAGGCGCGCGCGTGCGCGGAAGAGGTGGAGGGAAAACTGGGCCTTGAGGCGGCGGGATAGTGGCCCGCGGAGCTCGGCGAGGGCGTGGCTGAGGATGCGGCGTGCGACGGAGCAGGCGACGCGGGCGAGAGAAATGCGGAAGAGGGCGTCGGCGTCGACGGTGCGGGTGTCGATCGCAGTTTGGAGCTAGACAGTGTGGCACTGGGTCAGCTCATGCGCGTCTTGTTACACTTGTGATGAAGGAGACGGTGTGCGGATGCGTGAATGGGAAGGTGCGCTTGGTGCAGGAGTCGGCAATGGCAATGGAAGGTTGGAGGGAGGAGGGACGTACGATGTGGATGAGCTGCCCAGAGTACCTGCAAAATCTCAGCGCGCGAATGGAATGCAACGCAAGCGGGCTCACCATAGGGAGGCGGCGGGGATGAGGGAGTGAAGGACCTCGGCGGTGGCATACGAGATGAGGATGATCCAGCAGCTCCGGATGGCGAGGACGTCGGAGACCATGCGGACAAGGTAGGGCAGGCACTCGTACGCCTCAACCGTCCTCTCGAACCATGATGAGCCGGGGACATGGTCGAGCGCGGGGTTCGTCTCCTCGTACAGATCCCAGATGCCGATGCGAGTGTGCTTGACGCGGGTGGTGTCTGCGGGGTCAAAGAGGCCCTCACGGTTGCTGCGCGGGCGGCCCCAGCGACGACCTCTTGCCATTCTGAGCGGGGGAGGAGAAGAAAGAGCAGAGGAGTGGGAGCGCGCGAGGGCGTCGTGGCAGAACAAAAGCAGGCGAGGCAGAGCAGTGGCAGATTCGGTGATGGCAGCCTGACTCTGAGCCTCGCGTCCCCGCGTCCCCGGCCAGTCGGCCCGGGCGCCTGACCGCCCCATTAGGCGGACTGACGCGTCGCGCGCACGGGTGTTCGCCACTCTCCTCCTCCCTCCTCTTCACTCGCCATGGTGAGCACTTGGCGTTCTCCTTCGCAGCAATACCATCTCACCTCGTTACAGAACTCCGATCTCCGCATTGTCCCTGAGCACGGCCCCAAGGCTGCTTCCGTGCAAGACACCTCCAACAGCTTCGGTCTTCACGACACTCTCAAGTATGGTCCCCGGAGTCTCGCTGCGGAGGTTCATACTACAAGTAAGGTCAAGGACCGTCTTGAGAACGTGCGTTTTCCTTCGCTGCTCCATATCGGACTCTTTGCTCAGCTTGTCGCAGTGGGAGGCGACCCAGGACAACCTCAAGCTCCAGATGCAGCGCCAGATCTTCGGTCTTCACATGCCCATGCGTCTCCTCATGGAGCGCAAGATCGTGAGCCAGGTTCTTTCTTTCCATTCCGTCTCTATGCACCCTCCCCTCAACGCCCCCATCCTAGAATGCGCACATGCCCATATTCCCCCAATCCAACCTCCACCTCGACATCCTCATGGGCCGCGACGAGACACTCGAGTGCGCCGACTTCATGACACCAAGTGAGTCTATTTCTATGCATCATCCATATCTCGTCTGATCGACATCGTCTTAGCGGGGGAGATGAGCCAGTCTCTGGATATCCACGCTGACATGGAGAAGAAGCTGCGCATGTGAACCCCTGCAAGTTGTACTATCTGCATTACCTTTCGCTGTCTGTGCACTGTAGACTATGATCCAATTTACGTCCATCACACTGGCACGGTTCCTCCGAGAGACGCGACGAGCCTCGACGTTGACAGCAAATACGTTCGCATTGCCGCGTGTTCGGGAGGCCAATTCCGACGTAGACTAGCAGCGCGGATGGCGCACCGTCTCCTCTCCGGCGACGCGTTGGCGTGGGCTGAGATTTGAGAACACGCGCCGCACTCCGCAAAGACCAACCACTGGTAGCCGGCTTCTTCTCGCAGTCATCAGTACTTCAGTAGGGGCGTTCCAGCTGGTACAGCTGATTCCATAACGATAGACCAGTCGCGCGAAATTAGCACACAACCGATTCGGGCGGAGTTTGAGGGCGTGGGCGATGCGAATCCTTCCTGACGGTGCTGAAGCATGACGTAGGAGGGATACTAACCCGTATATATAAGTAGCTGTACTGATAGTTACAAGTAAGTGACCGCGTATTGAGAGGTATAATTGATAACGGAGCCGGGCAAAGATCGTGAGTGTGAAGACGAGCCGTTACAGATACTCATCAGGCAAACTTCTCATCCTGTCCATTGGGGGACCTTTCGTTGTCCCGGATGACCTGCATGAATACACTCTCGAGGCTCGCCTCCTCCACGGCGTATCACCCACGCCGGCGTCCGCAAGCAGGCCAAATAGCACGGCAAGGGAGGGCACGTCCTCGTCGGCGCTCCCGATGGGGACCTCGAAGCGCGTCGCAACATCGTCGCAAAGGCGCGCCCCAGGGATACGTGCCATCACCTCCTGCGCACGCACAACGTCTTCGCATGTGCGGCCAGGGAAGTGGACCAGGTATCGCGCGTATCGGGCCATAAGGGCATCTGTCGTGTCGACAGCTGTCCAGCAGCAATTAGAATGGGAGTATGAAACGGGAGATGTGGGAGAAATTCACCGAGCAAGCGCTGCGAGATGATGCCGACTCGCTCGCGAGAGTGGAGGCTTCCTCCATGGAATCTGGGAGCGGGGTCGTCAGCAGGGATATCACCCCGAGAGGGGCTGACAGACGCACGAGTGGTGATCACGAACGCCTTTCCGGGCGCGACGTGCTTGAGTGTGCTCCACATGTCGCGCTTCATCTTTGCATCGACTCCGGTCGAGAACTCGTCGACGAGCACGACCGAGGGTTTCCTGTATAACGGTCAGCTGCCTTGTTGCAGTCGGTGTGTGTCAGAGGAATGCTCACCGATGAGCGCAATCGCCAGCGCGAGCTTCCGTTGGTTCCCACCGGAGAGCTTGTTTGCCAGACGGTCGGCGTACACGCGAAGGCCCATGACCCGCATCACCGCATCGACGTTTCATCGACCTGCGCACCGCGCTGCAAACCCTTGAGCCGCGCGTACACGCGCAGGTGTTGGCGGACGCTGAGCTGCGCGTCAATGGCCGTGAACTGCGGACATACACCCAGCGAGAAGCGGGCGGCCTTGGTGTTCGCGACGACAGAGTGCCATTGACAAATATTTCGCCCGAGTCGGGTGTCATGTCGCCCCCTGAGAACAAACAGATCAGCGCAGCGAACACGCGCCCACGACGAGGAGACTCACGAATCATGTTGAACGTCGTCGTCTTCCCCGCGCCGTTGGGACCGAGGAGGGCGAAGATGGTGTCCTTGGAAACGTTGAAGCTAACGTCTTCAACGGCCTTGAAAGCGCGAAGGACTTGGACACGTTGCGCACCCGAAGAGCGATATCCTTGCCATCCGTGGCGGATGCGGATGTAAGGCGAACATTCTCCGTGGATGCCAGCGAGTTTCGTGCGCGGAGGCCCTTCGTCCGGAGGCGGATGAGGGTGCTGCGAACAGGGAGAAGGAGTCCGCGTAGACGAGTATGCCGAAGTAGATGAGCGATTGAAGAATGAGGTAGAGGATCGGGCCGCCGTAGTGCATAATGTTGCCGTAGAGGAGGGTCCAGTAACCATTTCCCCGACGCAGAGGATTGAGAAGAGATTGGTGGCGACGAAGGAGGCGCGAACCTGTGATGGGGTGTGAGCGGGGAGCAAGTATCTCGAATCATATACAGACTTACGAGGCTCGGAAGGGGGGAGACGAGGCCCACCGTGAAGTCTGGGATAGTGATCAGCTCCGCGAGTTAGACATGAAGGAAGTTGATGCTCACGAATCATGGCGTACACCGACTGCGTCTCTACAGCATCTCCGTATGTCTGGGCCAACAGGTACGCCATTGTGTAGAGCTGTGGATCAAAGTTAAATTGTCATGACAATATCGATTAGTTGAAAGTCACCTACCAAGAACAAAATAACGTGCCAGACAGCAATCGCCGCCCATGCACCGATAGGGACTTGAAGTACAGCGTAAATAGGTACGCATACAGGATACTCGCGATCCCGTAAAGCACTATCACGAGCCACTTCATCCACGACACAAGTCAGCACTCCGGTGTACTATAGCCACGGTATCGCACTCACCAAGTAACCCAAGCCGTGGAAGAAGAACGCATACTTTCCCGCCCATACGATCACGAGCAGGGTCGCCGCGAACGTCGTCGCCATCGCGTCGAACATCAGATGCCCGAGCCAGAGCCCCGCTGGGTTCGACAGCCCGTTCGAGAACTGCATGGCCGTACCTCGGAGCGGCGCTCGCGCGCGACGTACAACGCGAAGAACCCGGGGAACACGGCCATCGCTGCGCTGAACACCGCGGCCCATATAATGGGGGTCAGGTCGCCTAAGCTCTTGGATGCGAAGCTGCCGATGGTTGGGGTGATTAGTAGAGGGGTGGCGTAGCCCGTGCCGGCCCCGGTGCTGTTGAGCTTGTGATTGAGGAGGAGGTTGGAGGCGGCGTTCAAGAACGTGGCAGCGGAGAGGGTTTCGTAGGCGTTCCAGGCAAGGAGTGCAGCACCGGTTTCGAAGTCGATGCTGAGACCGGGGGTCCAAATGTTGACGAAATTGCCGCTAATGTACTCAACAAAGGATGTGTTGGAGGTGAAGGGGAGCGAGGTGTTGGTGAGCACGCCGGACACGTTGAGCGGCGCGAGAGCGTCTGGAGGGAAGAGTGAGGGCCCCGGATCTTCTCCGAACAGGAATTGGAGCGGCGAAGTGGCAATATATAGCGAATCCCCTCTGAATTCGCGATCAACGACGTCGCACTTGTTGCCACCTGTTACAAGGAATTTGAGCGGGATCACGGACGGGATGATGACAAAAGTAAGGGCAAGGAGAGGTGCGAGCCAGGATCGACGGAGGATCAGGAGCCGCTTGTAACAGATCGTGAGGGCTTGACCGAAGACGGAATGCTGCACGCCGGTCGTCAGCTCGACTCCCTCGTGTGCTCCATCATGCTCGGCGCTGCCACCGGCCTCCACGATATTGTCCTTAGAAGTGTTCTCCAGATCCTCGTTCTTGTCCTCTGCGTCCATCAGCTCCAGGAAGATGTCTTCGATGGACGCGGCCGACACCGAATACGAAGAGATCTGCATGCGCGCCTTCTCCTTGTCGACGTCCTCCAGCACCTGCTTGACGACGTGGAGATCCGTAGTCTTGAGGTGGAAAGCACGCTCTCGAGGCCCCGTCGTGGTCACATAGGCCGCCGGCGCGGTGCGCTGCACGAACTGTAGGACATCGGACTCCGGGATTCCGGTCTTGACAGTCTCCGCGTTGAAATTTATTCGCAGCTTGTAGCCTTCGCCGCGAGTCGATTTGAGTGAGATTGAGGTACCGTGCGCGACGAGCTTTCCGGGGGTCGCAAGAACGGCAATGTCGTCCGCGAGCAGATCGGCCTCGTCCAGGAACTATAAAGGCTATGTCAGAACCAGCGCACGCACCCGCGATCTCTCCGAGTTACTTACGTGCGTCGTGAAGACAATCGTTCTCGACTCCTTCACTGCGGCAAGCGTCTTCCAGATTGCGCGCCGTGAAATCGGATCGACACCTGACGTTGCTTCGTCGACCAAGACAACTGGAAGAAAAGTCAGTCAGCACACATGAAGTCGCACGAGTGCAGGAACTTAACGTACTCGATGATCCTCCTACCAACCCGATGGCGAGCTGAAGCTTCCGCTTCTGTCCACCGCTGAGCTTGCCCGACGGGTAATGAATTTTCTCCGCCAGATCGCAGTCGCGAAGGAGACCCTCGAGGTCCGCGTCCGACTCGCGTGGCGCGCCCACGTTACCTGCGGTCTTGATCTTGCGCCAGAGCCGGAGGGTCTGCAGGCACGAAAGCTCATCAAAGAGCACGTTCTTCTGCGGCACGATCCCGATGCTCCCACGCGCGGGCTCTAGCACGCCGTCCCCGTAGAGAACCGTCCCGCGCGTGCGCCCAGTGAGCCCCCGAGGACGGCCATGAGTGTTGACTTGCCCGCGCTGAAATCGCAACATCGCACGTCAGCTCCGGATCGACGCATGACGCATGCACAAAAATGGTGCGCGGTACGCACCCATTGGGTCCAAGCAGCGCGAAGATGCCGTGCTCCGGGATGTTGAGCGTGAGGTCTTGAACGGCCGTGACGAGCCCTGATTTGCGCCTGAACACGGACGTCTGGAACGACTTCTCGAGCCCGCGGATGGAGATCGCGATGCCGGGAGGGTGTGTGTGCGTCTTCTCGTCCTTTGTGCGGCGACCGCATAACGGCGCACGCAACCCGAACGGGTTCCAGGGGTCGAACCGCCAACGCTCAATGAGAGCGCCAGCAATGGGCCAGAAGAAGATCGCGATCTGTGTGAGGAACAGTTACTGGTCAGCAGGTGAGTGCGAAGGAGGGAGACGGGAGAGCGTACGATGACAGCGATCAACATTGGGAGGATTGTCGGAGGTGGGAAGTCCTGCAGGGTCTGCTCCGTGAGGGAAGCGGGTAGGAGAAAGGTTTCGAAGTTGATAATCGCAACAAATGTCCAGCCGAAGAAGAAGGTCGGGAAAAAGAATGTGAGGATGGCAGCAGCGGTGGGGTTGATGCTCGTCCAGAACATAGTGATCGTGATCGGGACGAGGCAGCAGAGCGTCGAAAGAATTGCAGCGAGTGAAGGAGACTTCCCGAAAGGCGCCATAATGAACATCGAAAACGAGGCGGTTGCGAGGCCGGTAAGGAGGCAGAGAGCGAATATGAAACCATAGTTGGTGAGGGTGAATAGCTTGACCTTCCAGACGATGGAGAGGACAAGCCATGCCGGGAGATAAGCGAGCGAGAGACTGAGATGCCATGACCTAGAAAACAGTTAGCTCCTAGATTGACAAGGGGAAAAGGACTTACAAGACTCGGGCAGCGTCAGACAATCCCATAGCCTTCATATGGCTTGTAAGACCCACTGTACGCTCGGCGGTGGCGGCTCCTGGGATATGGTACGCAATACCGATGAGACAGATATAACTGCCGGGCAGTGCCATCAGTAACACATCAGACGATATAGATTGTACGAATACGTACAATGGAAGCTGTAAAAGAAAGCCGACCATCTCGAGGAAGTCTGGCGCGATGTGCGTTAGCGGGGCTGTGGTGAAAAATCGCCTGCCACCACATACTGAGTCGGGGATCACTGGCTTGGTCTCCAAAACCCCAAACAAACGGCCACTCGAGTGGGGTAGGAGGCTTCGTACCCGTCTGGACCTCGATAATCGCCTGCACGAACATCAGAGCAATAAGCAAGTTGAAGAGAGCCTGCTTACACTATCAACGGCCCACTGCACGGGCAGTACTCTGACTTCGTAGTCGCTATTGTGCCCCTTGACGTCAATGGAGCCGATTGAGTCGTCAACTCGGATTGTGTAATTGATGGTCTGGTTGTTGCCGCGCGCGGGGAGTTGTTCGAACGTGACAGCTGCGAAGCACCGAGACTTGCCGTTTGGGTTCTCGACACAACGGCCTGCGATCTCATCCGTAGTGACCTTGTGGAATGCGGCAAGCTGTTTGCTAGAGAAGCCAGCGGTCATACGGGCGACAAGGTCATCTGCAGTGAAGCCTGCAGTAGTAGAGTTTGTGTCGTCAGACCAGAGCAGGATCCGTCGAGCATCAAAGGCGTCGGCGAGGGCGCGGACAGGGATCATAGACCCGAGGCCGCCCTGAAGAACGGAGGATCAGTGTTATTCAAAGCACAGAGAGTGCACAGGGAGTCATGCCGAGAAGGAAACTTCACGTACGATATCAGGCTTTGAGGTGAAGCTTGGTGAGTATGCGAGCAGGATGCCAATCGCGATGGGGCCTATGAGACAGCGGAAAAGAGAGAGCTGCGGCGGATATCAGCAGGGAGACGCGTGATCACATTGGAGACACTTGCAAAAGGATGTTTGAAGAGAATGGTCCAGTTCTTGACACAGAGCGCGCAGAACTGGCTCACGAACCGGGACGAGCCCGGCATAGTCGCGACGACGAGGGTAGATCGACGGGTCGGTCCCACCGGGGTGCGGGTCGTGCCAAATAGTGAAGGTATGTGGTCGTGGTCGAAGAGGAAGATGCTGAGGGCGGGCCGGAAGCAATAGTATGTTGAACTTGTTCAATTGCGCCTCTGCCAACGATCTGTCAAGTCACCGGTTCGGCACCGTCCTTGTTCTCACCTTCTGGGCGTGGGAGACGGGCAGTCAACCCCGCGAACTGCCTCGTGGCGGTGCGCCCAGACCTCGGTGCTGGTTGACAGGAAGAGGGAGGCTGAGCGGCGCTAGGTTCGGATCAAGCCCCGTCGGCGAACGACATTTTGGCGCTCCGCGCCACCTTCACCGAAGGTGCGCTGCGAAGCAAGCGCCGGAGCAACGGCTTGCTCCGAACCTAGAGCGGCGCGCTGCAGCAGTGATCAGTGGGGCTCGCGCGGAGAGCGCGGTCCTGGACCACGGCCGCGCTGAGGCGAGCCCTCACGTTTCGAGAGACTGCACAAGAGCCTGCAAGTTGTGCACGCGGACATCCGAGCCGCCGCCGAAAAGGGCAGATGCCCGCGTGTAATCCAGCTGGGCAATTAGAGGTCCGCCCGCCCGGGTAGGACCCCCGACATCTCCCTCAGATGCCTGATCCCAATTTTTGAAAAAGCGCCAAAAATGTCCTCGGGGATCAGGCCTCCCGGCGACCCCGTTTTGGTCGGACGGCCGCAGGCCTCGGCCGTCCAGAGGCTGATTTGGTCGGATTTTCGGAACAGGCCTCCGGAGGGCCTCAAAATGTCCGGATTCCGCTTGAACAGACCTCCGAAAGGCGAATTTTTTGTCCAGGAGACCTCGGGGCTTCTCAGAGCACGTAGGAGAGACATTTAAGAGTTGTAGCAACTTGTGAATACAGGAGATCGTTGACGAGAACACATGGGGGCATAGACTCGCGAGTCCGACAGTGGCTACTGTAGCCTAAGCGCCCTCGTCCTCCCCCCACGCACTTCCCCTCTCGCCTCTTTACAGGACCTCCCATGGTTCCTCTACGCTGACCCCTCGCCCTCGCCAACGCTCGCCCTCGCCGCGCTCATGACTGCGCTGCATGCACACCTGCACACGTCGATCGCCGCGGATGACTACAACGCCGCACTGAGCCACTCCGCGCGGGTGTGTGTCGCGAGCGCGTGTGGCGTGCGCGGCGGCAAGTGATGATGGTGCGCGGGCGCAGGACCCGGAGGGCATGCTCGAAATCTGTCGGACCGACGACCTGACGGACCGCGGGATGCTGTGGGGGCTGCGGCAGGTCTCGAGCGGGGAGGGCGAGGAGGTAGGTGAGGGCGTTGGGGGGACGCGGGTTCTGGGAGGTCTTCGTTGACGGCCCTTAGGGCGCGCACGTCATCACATCGAATGCACAGGTCTTGACGATTACTCGATAGTCCAGCATGCGGGTGAGAGGGTTGGGAGAGCATGGCCCATGGCACCTGTACGCGTCGAGAGACCCTTGCCGCCAACCTACCCGGGTCACCTGTGCCCGTGGCGATCCCTAATCGTCCTCTCGATCTACCCGCGCTTTCTGGGTCCTCGGCCAACTTTCGAGCCGTCGTCCGTGCCCTCGCGTTCTCGTTCTCGCCCCGGATCTGAGCCAGGGTGGACCAAACGAAATCTGTGGCATCTGTACCTGGCGCGCGGTCATTGGTCAAACGGACGGCCCGTCGATTCCCGGAAGTACACTGTGAGGAGATTAAACTGTATTAGGTCTTGAAGAAGTATGCTGCCTCTGGCGGAGTCTGAGTTCAGCTCGCTTTCTGTATTTACTTGCGGGCAGTAGAATATCATTATAAACAATTCAGTCGATGCAGCGTTCTTACGCACGCGCCGGCGGCTCACATAAGGTGGCTGCCATTGGTCGCGCAGTCGCCCACTCCAACTGACCCCCGGGGACCGCCCAAAGCCGCCCGACCGTCCGTTGAGGATCAGGCATTTGAGGAGCCCCCGCCCTAATGGTCGGATGATGGCTCAGGCATCGGCCGGTCGATACCCTGGAAAATGTCCGACAAGGCCTAAGCGCCTACAGGCATCGAGCCCGCGAAATCGCCATAAGAGAGGCCTTTTTTTAAGGTCCTGAGGGTAACAACTTCATGAGGGCTAGAACTAGCGCCCACCCAAAAGGGCGCGAACCATCGCGCACATGGACTGTGGTGCCTCGCACAGCATAGTTGCCATGTGCGCGATGGTGCGCGCACATCCGTGTCTGCGATCCATCGCGCACATGGCGCATAGTTGTAATGTGCGCGAACCATCGCACATATGGTGGAGTGTACTAGGGCGTAATGTGCGCGATGGTTCGCTCACATCATCGTAGACAGTGTCTCAAATGCCTGCGATCTATCGCGCACATGATGGAGTGTAGGGTATAATGTGCGCGATGAATCGCACAGTGTCATGTACGTAATGGGAGCAAGTCCCCCAGCAAGAGGGATCTTTTACACAAATTCCTCACAGATAGGTGCAAGCCAGTATGGCTTAGTTGCTTAGGTGGCTGGGTGTCTCTGTTGTGATCGATGACACTCGCAGTTATGCATGGAAATGGCTCGCGTCTCATTGACAATGTCATTTATTTATTCGTCCTCTTCGTCTTCCTCATCTGACCCCTCTGCCATCTCCCAATCTGGGTCAGAGAGGGAATCATCGGAGACCACACTCTCCTCCTCCTCCTCCTCCTCCTCCTCCTCGGCAGTGCCTTCGCCGTCCGAGGACCCCACATCACCTTCACTCTCCTGCGGAGAGCTGGTGTCGGGTGGCCAGGTCGTTCTTCTGGCAAGCCTGACTTCGAGTTCCTGTACCGCTCCAGTGAGCGGGTTGGTGAGAGAGCCTCTACGAAATGCTGGGGGAAGTGGTTCAGACATGGAGACGGGTCGGACGAGTGGGCAGTGGTACTCACAGCCATTCAATATAGTAGCTTCAGTGACGTTGACGATGCCGTTGCCGAGGATGTAACCTTTGAGATGGAGGAGCGTGTTTACGACAAATAAGGAGCGAGTTTCCTGAAAGACGTTAGTTGGTGGGGCAAAGAGAGGACGACGAGTGATGTGAGAACTCGCCTCATCCAAGTCGGAGAGGTCAAGTTGGATTGGGTCGGGAAAGGGCCATGATTGATTGATGGTGGCGGTTTGCGCGACGAGATCGGACTACGAGGAGAATATGAGTGCCTCGTGACGGGGTGAGATCATTATTATAATCTGACAGTACGTACGGTTCTGACAACGCATGTGACGTCGATGTCGCAGGCGGCGTAATTCAAGAACTGAGCGGACATGGGTCGTAGAGGTGTGAAGGAAAGAAAGGAATGCTGTTCGGGGAGTGGAGATGGGCTTATGTATGTGGAGAGTGGGAGAAGGAACGGCAGTATGTGGAATTGCGCACGGACCTGTTACGAGAAAAGAGGGACGTGTGTTGTCTGCGGGATGGTAGAGTGCTTCGTAGTTGGCGCAAGCTCGGGTACTGATTTCGACAGCACACCGTTTGTTTCTGCGGCGGAGGATTAACCGGTAATATGACAGCTTACAATGCTCACGAACCATCGCGTGAGTGAGTTCCAATGTGCACGGACCATCGCGCGGGTGAGTTCCAATATGCACGGACCATCGCGCGGGTGGGTTCCATTGTGCACGAACTATCGCGCGGGTGGGTTCCAATCTGCACGAACTATCGCGCGGGTGGGTTCCAATCTGCACGAACTATCGCGCGGGTGGGTTCCAATCTGCACGAACTATCGCGCGGGTGGGTTCCAATCTGCACGAACCATCGCGTGGGTGAGTTCCAATGTGCCCATCACCTCACGTGCCATCAAGTGGCCTCCAATGAGCGCGATCCGTCGCGCACATGAAGAACTCCTTGTCAAGGGAGCTTCCGCATCGTGTGGCGCAATATTGCGCATCGAAGATCTCCTCTTTTTGGCAATGCCATTCCTGTGCATCGTCCCGGAGATGATCGATGGATGCACCATAGGTGACGCGTCCGCGAACACACGTCTCTCCGCCTCTCCCCGTCATCTCTGGACACCGAGAAGCACCCCACAATTCTGGTTTGATTTCTCTATATCTTCATTTCTTCCATCACTCCCAAATAACACCAAAAAAATGCCCCCCAAGAAGGTGCGTACAAGGCCGGCCGTCTGTTGACACACTGCGTACTGATTTACGACTGCTGCAGAAACAACAAGTGGCCGAGTCCGAGGTGAGCCCGAGCGGACGCGTGGTGATATTGGTGAGTCGTCAATTTGACGGCCGATCTCTTGCATAGGATGGCGCCTCAACAGCGTCGGGAAGTGGGACGAAGAAGCGGACGCGCAAGGAGGCGAGCGAGCCCAAGCAGCGCAAGGAGCCCAAGGAGCCCAAGGCCGTCAAGGGGCCGTCTCGAGCAAAGAAGATGAAGGACGAGGTCGACGTCGAGGCGGCCGGTCGCATGTTGCAGCTGTCGCAAACGCCGAGCACGAGCGTAGCGAGCGCGACGAAGACCGGGTCCAGCCAGACTGACGCGAAGCAGGAGTCGGACTCCGCACAGCAGGCCGAGGCCGACAACGCCTTCCTCGGGTTCGGGCGAGTCGACTTCTGCAGCCAGGAGAAGATGCTGTGGACGTCGGGGTCGACGAACAACCGCGCGCTGAACATGGTCCACGTCGGCAACATCGCTGAGAACCTCGTGCTCGAGGGGGTCTTGGACGACGACCCCACCCGCATGTTGATCTTCGAGATCTACCCGGAGCATCTCGACGAGAACACCGTCTTGGCGAAGACCGCGGACGATCCGGCGAGCTTTCCGCTCGTCAAGTTGAGCGAGCAGGGCAAGAGCTTCTCGCACCTCTTGCTCGCGGGAAACCATCGGCTGCACGCACTGCTGGATCGCCAGAAGAAGGACGCCGCGATCCTCAAGGCGCAGATCCGCCGGCTGAAGGAGCTCGAGATCTCTGTCGGTCTGACGGAGGAAGGGCAGACGACGCTGCCCCAGCTCACGGAGCATGAGCCGATCGCGGACCTGAAGCGGGAGATCGCGGCCACGGAAGACCGGATCGAGCACATGAGGTTCTGGAGGTGCAAGTTTTATCACTCTGGTGAGCATGGGTGGGTAGCTGTCAGGGTGACTTTGGCTGACGGCTGGCGCAGGGAAGCTCACGGATCGGGCGCGTCGTCACCTCGCGCGGAACATCACGCAGCACATCCGCGTTCAGACCGGGTGGGAGGCGTTCAACGCGAACGTCGCGGTGCTGCGGGACGCGGTCATGTCGGAGGCGGTCACGGAGGAGCCCGGGTCGGGCAAGTTGTGGGAGGAGCAGCTCAAGAAGCTCCCGAATAAGCTCGACCACAACAACCAATACGGGTCGTTGATTCGCGGTCGGATGTCGGCGAAGTTCTGCCTGGAGATCGCGCTGTGGCCGTACCTTCAAAACGACGACAACCTGGACCCGAAGGAACTCAAGAAGTACTTCAAGGCGGCTTCGGAGACGAGCGGCGTGCTGCCGAACGGACAGGTGCGTATCGTTCGTCGAGCGTAGTTGTCGCGATTGATGGACGGCATGCAGTTCGTGCTGGAGCTGCTGTACCGATCGACGTCGCAGCTGAGCTTCCTCGCGTCGCCGTCGAACCTGGTCGCTGGGAGCACGGCTCAAATCGTGGCGATGGAGTACATGGACGCGTTCGCGGCGTTCCGGAAGGCGACAGAGGAGGTGCAGGCGACGCGGAACGGCGGCGAGGAGCAGCCGTACCACAAGATCAAGGAGCACGAGGCCCTGCACACCGCGCGCGAGAAGTGGGTGAAGATATCGAACACGAGCATGGTCGGGGTGAAGACGCCTCAGCGATGCGTGTTCCCGAACGAGCTGTTCGAGGACATCGACAAGGTCTTCGTTTCGACGCTGCACCCGGTCATCCTGGCGCGGGACGCGATGGGCTCGATGCAGAGCTCTGCATGGCGTGAAGCGTTGAAGAAGTATTGGCAGGGGGTGAAACAGGCTGGGAAGAGGCACTGGGACCACGCGTCGGACCGTGCGACGATGGAGGCGGAAGCCGAAAGCGAGCAGGAGACGACGAAGAAGCAGAAGAAGAGCAAGGCCAAGCAGACGGACGTGGGGACGGGGCCGGAGGAGGCGACGCGGGCGACGCTCGCGCTAGCGGCGTTGAAGGGGGTGCGGGGGAAGATCGACATACTTCACTACATGCAGACGGCCGGTGCGGAGCTGGCGTTGCCTTTGCCGACGAAGACGTTCATGACGGACCTGTTCAAGTTCGCGGGGAAGATCGAGCAGAGCACGAGTATGGTGAGTGTTCTTTGTCCCCGACATGTGGGGATTGTTGTGCGCGCGACGGATCGCGTGGATGAGTTGACCCGTCCCGGGTCTGTACGACATGTGCACGACTCATCGCGAACATTCGTATGTGTACGTATGCGCGCGATGAGTCGCGGGCACTTGATTGTAGGTGCGCGATGAGTCGCGGGCACTTGATTGTAGGTGCACGATGAGTCGCGCGGATTAATGACTGTACTTAATGTGCGCGATCATTCGCGGGCATGCATGTATTCAGAAATCGTGCACTGACGTTTGTCACTTGTAGCTGGCCCGCACCATCAATCCCGCCCTCGACTACCTCATGTTCAGGACGGGCGAGAACAGCCACGACCACTTTGGCGAAATCCGTCACTGGGTCACCACCTGCGAGGACCACGAGCGGTGCGAGTGTGTGTGGCAACTCGTGAGTCGTACGTCTCTGTACCGGGTCGGCTTCGTTAACGCAGTCCTGCCTAGTTCCTGGTCTGGTTCCTCGACCACGGCGAGGAGCTGTGCGCGCTCGAGGTCATGTGCAAGGCCGGCGACGTCGAGCTCCTCCGCTACATGTCTCGGTCATCCCTCAAGGGGATGAGCGAAGTCGGCTTGTCTCTCCTCGCTGATCAAGGCATCAACGACTCGCACGCGCCGCTTCTCGCCGTGGTGGACCGCAATTCCACCTTCCGCCAGACCCTCCGCAATCTGTACGCCACCACCAACACCGCCATCCATGTCGACGCGTCGAGCGGGTCCGGAAAGGGAAAGAAGAAGGAGGTCGCCAGACCGTCCCTCGACAATGTCGACGAGCCCGTCAGACGGATCGTCGCCGACCTCAGCATCAGCGAGCTACCCTCTCGCCTCATTAAACTCCTTCCTCAGCTCCGCACGACGCCCAAGTGGCGGCACAACTGGGCTCGCCCCTCCCAGAACGACAAGCAGACGACGCCGATGGGTATCGCGTTGCAGATGGCGCTGTCCTGGGAGGCCATCAAGTCCGTCATCGTCCTGCCGTTCTACTCCCCCCTGGGGAAGGAAGTCTTCTCCAGCTTCGCCCGGTTCTGGGCGACGCATTCCACCCCTCGCCACCCCCCCAACAACTTCCTTGTGCCGGGGAAGATCCTGCAGACCTGGTCGTGGTTCGCGTTCGAGTGGGAGGAAGGCCTCTCGGTAGAGGAGCGGACCACGCCCGAGCTTCAGGACCTCGTCAGCATATTCGGCCAATCGGTGGAGAGCTACAAGGTCAACCCGCTGCTGGGGTACTTCCGTGCGACCCTCGTGAGGCAGCACAACCTCGCCGAGGGCTTCAAGGCCATTCGCGAGCTGACCAAGTGCATCGCCTTCCACAAGGACGTCTTTTTGCAAACGGACGAGAAGAACAGCTTCGTCATGAAGCCATCCTATCTGGGCGACGTGGAAGAGCTGACGGTCGCTCCGGTGATTGACTGGCTGCAAAATGTGAGAGCGTGTGGGAGAGCGATAAGGCGACGGACTGACAGGACGCGTTGCGCAGGTCATGATTTGGAACGTCAACAGGCAGAGCGTGCGTCAGAAGGACTACACGTATTTCTGGTGCCGCCGAAGGAAAGGCCGCACGAGTACGTCGCTCCGAAAATCTTGGCGTACCCAAAGGCGGCAGACATGTTCGCGTTCTCGAATACCACGGACTACTCGACGAGGTTCAACCCCGAATTCCGCAACGACCACACGCGTCGAGAGACCAAGGTCAAGGAATACGTCGAGCGTAAGCTCCGAGACTTTGACGTCGAGGCGGCGCGCAAGGCCCTCGACAGCGAGAAGACCGCTCTCATCCTTGCCGACATTGCCGGTGGGCCTTCGGCTGACGTGGAGCGAGAGGATGAAGTGCCGCAGTTCGCGAGGCAGGACGAGGACGTGCATATGGAAGATGGTTCGGACGACGCGACAAAGGACAAGGCCGGTGGAGCCGATGATGGACGCGCCGCTGCAGAGGCCCGGTTCCGCGACGAAGCGAAGGCCAAGTTCAAGTACCCGCAGGACTTGATTGAGGACGCGTCCGCGGACGCCGAAAGCTTGTCGTTCGCGACCTTCGCTCGTGCCAGGACTGAGGTGAAGAAGAAGGACAAGGCGGCGCACGAGGAGAAGATGCGGAAGCAGCAGTCGCCGAGTCGCCGAGTGCTTCCGTACTTTGGCGGTGCTCCGGAGTTCGACGTTCACCTCAACGATCTGCGGGCCGTTCTTTCGGTGGGTGACCAGGACGACGAAGATGTGGAGAAGGACGCGGACGAAGGGGAGTCCCTGGCCGCCGCCATTGCCCTGGTCGACAAGGACCCGTCGTCGGCAGAGGACTCGTCGTCATCCAAGAAGGGCACCAGGACTGGCACAAAGCCGACCCC